CCTGGCACGTTCGCCCTTTCTCAAAATGGATGTACACTGGGTCCGGCATAGGGGTTCCAGTCGCATACGTCGCCACGTGTGATCTAGTCGCCGCACGATCACGGTCCTACGATCCCGTGTCTTAGATTCACGATGGAGCCAGACCGTTGGAATCGAATGAGATGCCGCGGTAGTGAAGAATGCGCTTTGTCTGGTTACTCTGTAACGCTGGATCGTACGTGATGTGCATGAGTCGAGCAAACAGCTCCTCTTCGACTTTCAATTGAGAAATTTTGGCCGAGGGAAACTTAGCGTGGGTGTCTGGATCATCCTCTTTGTGGTCATTGCTGAATGACTGAATGACCCCTGATCTTCTCTGGGCAGTGGAGAAGCAACGAGGTCCAAATCATGATATTCCGATAATCCAGGCAGACGTGGCGGCATTTGTGACATGACTAGTGCCACATACCTACTACTCTAGTAGTATATCCATGTCAATGGTCAACGTACGTCTATTACGTACTTCTTCCACAGCTCAGCAATATCAATGGCTCTATCAGCTGCGCAAGTAGGGCTACTCCCCGATCATGACAGTCGATCATGGGCAGGCGACAGACTATTGTACCTGAAACCCATTGTAGAGCTCAGATAATTCTTTTGATGAACCAGTCATCTCGTCTCTCAATCTCGATCTCATGCGATCGAGATATCTCCCGAGAAATTGAGAAGCATGTCTCGGAGCTGTATCCAGGTGCCGCTGTCGAGCGTCCGGGCGCCAGTCCAAGCGTCACGCAGTCGAGCGGAAAATCCGTCTCCTGCGAGGACTGCCCGTCGTTGATGAAGTCCCAGACTCCCAGGGGAAATAGTTTGATCAGCGGCCATTGGTTCGGTAGTAAAGACTCATGGAGTATCGTGCTCCCCTCTTTACACGGCCACGGTGTTTTTCCCTCGTTCAATGAGAAGGAGAGTGGTCTTGCTTGAACACTGACCAGTGACCAGTGACCACTACTTAGGCGTGACCATTCCAATTACGAAAGTGATCAGGACTTTGTCAGGTTTTTTTCCCATAGAGAGTGGAGATGCTTACTTTCCTCTGAGAGATTCCGGATCGTGTGGCGAAGAGTGAGAATTTTCCATCAGGGAGGATTGCACAAGACTTTTACCGAGGACACTTGACTTTGACGTAGACATCTGGCACTATGTGACCTAAACCGGAGCCATAGTAGATTTGCAAATTATTGTGGCTCGGGACATGACCGACGGCTCGTTGACCCGGTTCCTTCTTAGACTCCAGTGTGCAGTTCAGTGCTGGAAACTATTCGTAGGTGTTCCACTCTGCAAGAAAAGGGAAAATTTAACAAGGTTCTGCTTCAACAACTAGTCACGTTGTCTATCGACGATCTGCACAATCCCATACTTTCTTCAGCCCTCGTGTGACTGCCTAGTCTACAATACTATACGAGACACACATCTGTCCTACGATTGTCGCCACTCATAGCGTCTTGACAGAAATTTCTTGCGTTTCTTCCCTTTTCCCCACTCGAGATTGTCAGATAGGGTAAGGCTACAGCAGGGCAAAGGCAAGCATTGCTGGGTTGACGCCAAATATGACTGCGTCTCATTGAAACTGGACCCGGGACGAGCAACTGTCTCACGATGGTCTCCGAGATCAGTAACCCCTGAAGCCTCTGAAGTGTCCGAATGCACCTCGTCCAGAGATTGCATAGAGTCGCGACTGTCCATTGAAATTTCATCTGCAGGAGCGGTATCAATCTGCTCCAGGTACTTGGGCTGTTCTCTGCTCAACCGCGAGGGTTGATGTACAAGGCTGACCTGTCTCTTCGGCTCACCAGGGCAATCGTCAATCGAAACTCCCCTTGAAAGTCTACGGGCATACTACATAGCTGTCAATCACGTAGATGTCCTCTCCTCAGCTCCATGGATGTCCTTGTTTCCCCCCCCCCCCTCGGTCTTCACACAATCGCCTATCTCGTCGCTCACAGATCCTGCAGGCTGTTCGAAATCCGAGGGTTGACAGTCTCCTCCAGCCTTGAGTTTGAGTCCTTGTGAAGCTCTTCCATAAAGCATCCTTCTGCAGGATTTATCGTGCCAGGGATCAGTACAATAGGCTGCAGATACGGTAACGCCCGCAGCGGGTCGTGAGAAAAGAAACACCACAAGGTAGCCAAGACGACTCGTAGAAAGGGGGACGCCCATTTACGACGTACCATTGAGCAAGTCCAAGTCGGCAGGGAACTCTCATATGTGACAGAGCATTGTTCCTAGCTCTTCATTTGGGTCTCAAATCCCATCCTCCATGATCATGTCCTTGTAGTGTGTTGTAACAACGGATCTGATCTGACGCCCTGATTATCGTAGAGCCGGCGAATCTCCCCGTGGATAGAATATGTGGCTCGCTTGTTCGGCCGTGGTTATCTGATATAAGGCGTGAGTCCATGAAGGGTTCAGCATCAAGGGCACTAAAGGGCGAGAGTGTGGAAGTTCGAGAACAGTGTTCAGCTCACCATGGACAGAAATGTGACATTTTTAGCAAGAGGTGGTGCCCACAGCAGCTGGGATCGAGCACGCGATGAAACAAGTATCTTGTCTTTGTTTGCGTGGACTAGCCAAGCAAGATATGGCTAGTAGGTTGACCCCAGCACGTCGAGACCATCGATCAGGGAGAGATGAGTGGAAGTAAGCTGAGCCAGGAGGACTTGTCACAGCAGATGGTCAGTGCAGACAACACCGCACCGGTATCTCACAAGCTTCTTTTGCGGAGAGCCCGCCAGATATGCCTTGAACGTCAAGGAATTTTCACGCCTAGCGAGTGGTACCGAAGATTTGAAGCATCGGCGTCCATCTTTGTTCTCCCCAGGATGGTATTAATGTAGGTCTCACGTGAAGGGGTCATCTTTCACCTGATACATGCATTTTTTATGAAGCGTAATCCACGGCGAGACTATACAACCACAGAAATTCTTTGTAAGTCAAGATTTTCTTGAGCCTCCAACGGAACTAGGATACATCGTATGTCCGCAACGAATTTGACGGTTCTGATTAACCCATGGAGTAAGTTACCAGGACATGTTGTAGAGCCACACACCATCGAGCTTCCATCTTACAAAAAAACCTTGGAACTCCTTTCCGGCATGATTCATGCGGGCAGTTCGGGCAATATGCCGGCGGGGCTATCGTGAACAAAAGCACGCTCAAGTGTGTTTCCAATTAGCTGGATTAGACCCTGATTACAGGGGGGGCAAGAGCAGGGAGTAATCTCATTGGTAATTTGGAAGGAGGTCCGATCGAAATCGTGAGACTTGGAAGAAGCAGCAAGAGGTGATGCCTATAATTAGGGAGGGATTCTGTTCGGTCCCGAGAGTAGCATGTCGCTAGAGCCGGGGTAGGCGGCATTTTTCATCAAATGTAAGGCAAGGGTCCTCTAGGCCAACAATGAGCGGACATCTTTCTGGAGACCAGACCAGACGCACCTGTATTTGACATAACATGGATGAGCTCGGCTTCACGACTGAGTTTTCCCGCTTATGAAATAGATGATTCGGCCCCGTGGTGGATGATCACCCCTTTTGAAAATGCTTCAACCAACGTTGCAACATGATTCAATCTCCAGGAGAAAAGATTTCTCACGACCACGTATTTCGACTCAGAAGGGTCTCCAGTTCCAAGCCCAGACAGAGATCGCGCTAGCAAGACTCGGTAGACTCAACGTCCAATCGACCTCTCTCTCCCTCTGTCTCTTTCTCGCACGCGGGATCAGACCCCTTGGAATGGATGCGTTGGTGTCAGATTGTTCTCACAGGCCGATATGACCCTGAAACCCTTCTGACCCGGCACTCGTTTTGACCTTCACCCGACAGCTACCTCATTAGTTCTTCCTGCTTCGTCTTGACTAGCTCTCATGAGTAGTGAGCAATCGTGTGGCGGTGGGCTAGAGCAAGTCATGCACGAGTTTCAATCCAGAGCCTTCCCCGAAGAATTCCAAAGAGTGAGGCGCTGACAGCGCTAACCGTTGACACGGCATCAAATGTGAGTGACCGGGGGCCCCGATCTAGTGAAACCTTATTCGCCTGCTGATTCCTGGCTGCATATGCGGACTTGACATCTGCAATGCAGCTTGCCGCATGGGGCTGCAGTCCGATCGAGTCACTCAGCATCGATCATGTAAATCGAATTCGAATATCGCCAATGTTTTATCTCTAAGCGAATGTATGTTAGCTGGTTCGAGGGCTGGATCCAAGTTGTGTCCCACCGCATGTTTCTCTCTGCATGTATCACCTGCATGACAACCTATGAGTCTTTGCTGTGTATTTGAGAGTCTCCAGGATGAGAGGGTTGATACTCTGCCTGGTAGGCGTGGAATCACCGTGCGCTTACACAACGTTGAGCAGCAGTATTCGCAGGCTCTAGGATTAACTGAATGATGACCAAGGAGTTGTTAGATTAGGTCCTGGGACTTGTCTTCGCATTATAAGCCACCAGCAGCCCGAAGCCATTTTGTCGTGGGCTCTTCTTGGGCTGTTCTTGAGTCTGCAGACTGCAGCGAGGCCCATTCTGCCCTTTTTAATGGCGTCGCTAATGTTTGGCATCACTAGAACTTGCTCTCAGCAGGATCTGAGATCTGATCATCTGACTATGCCATCACAAGATTAGCCCTTGACCGTACGACTAGAAGCCTTCGGTGAGGTACTGAGAGAATACTTCTCGTCGATGACTGAGACTCATTCTTTTCGTGGAAAATTAAATGTCGTATCTTAGAAGACAAACCCAACTCAGCCTTGGTCAGCTAGACACTGATCCCAGACTCAACCTTCTCTCGTACGCCCACGTGACCATGTTTGCAGAAGACGTCACTCGCCAGGAAATAGAACATGACATGACAACCCAACCCTCCAAACCTTCAATAAATCAAGAACTCATCTCGCATCAAACTTCACAGTGCTTTTTTCGCGCTGAACGTTCACTCACAAATCTCGAGAGAAGGGTCGATTTCATCTCCTGTCATGGCTCGATCTATGGTAGTCGCGCTCTCCGAGATTCCAACACTATCGTCATTCTATCGTTCACGCATCCAGGTGAACGCGGATCCCTGGCAGGTTGCGGCTCAATCTCTGAACGATAATATATCTGTGATATGCTCAGATATCACGGAACTGGAAGTAGATTGCATCGTCAACGCCGCTAATGGATCCCTCCTGGGTGGTGGCGGTGTTGATGGCGCCATTCATCGCGCTGCCGGCCCTCGGCTGCGCGATGAATGTGCAAAACTGGACGGCTGTCAAACGGGAGACGCAAAGATCACTTCAGCCTATGAGTTGCCCTGCAAAGCGGTGATTCACACCGTGGGACCGATCTACCACAGAGCGCAAGGTGATGCCGAGTCTCTGCTGCGTTCGTGTTACCGTCGCAGTCTCGAGGTGGCCGTGGAGCACAAGATGCGGAGCATCGCTTTCTCGGCCATCAGCACTGGCGTGTACGGCTATCCCAGTGGGAAGGCTGCATTGGCCGCCAGCGATGAGGTGCAAAAGTTCCTGATCCGGCCTCAGAACCTAGATAGGCTGGACCGTGTCATCTTCTGCAATTTCACTGAGAAAGATCAGATGGCATACCAAAAGGTCCTACCGTAAGTCCTGTGATTTCGCTTCGACCAAGCTACAGAAGGAATTGGCTAATTCAGTCATACAGATCTATCTTCCCGCCCACAGAGGAGGATATGCGGCTCGGGTCTAAGGAGGACCAGGACCAGACGTGAATAAGGAGAACATGCCAAGACCCTGGTATGTGAAGATGTCTTAGAATTCACTTTCAGTGATGGTCAGATGGCTGATGATATAAAATTCCAGGTCCTCTCAATTCGAACGATGCCTCTATGGACGACAACATCAGTCTTACTCTTTCAAACAGACATTAAAAAGATTTTAGTCCTCTATGGCTCATTGAGAATAGCTTGTCTGTGAGATTAGAAAACTCACACGACCACATCTCGGTCCACAACCACCGACTTACTAGGTGTGTCGTCAAAAAAGGGTCAGGCAAATTGTTAGCACCCTGAAAGATCCTCGGCCTTGTGCCATAGAATGGCGACTAGTTCCTCACTATGTTCGCAAGTTCGCCTCTGAGTCACGTTTGCAGTTTGGCGTTGGTTACTTTATCACATTAGCGTTGTATTCCAAAGACAGCCGTTCTGTGTCTTCTTTGATTCAAAAGATGATGAATTCACATTCCATTTCTCCTATTGTAGTTTGAGAAATCATATGTTTCATTCCAGCGTCCAGCCCACCACGAAATATACTCAGCATCTATTAAAATATGCACAATTCCCCAATCTGGTCACGACATATTTCAGTACTTGGCTCTAACAGCTCGGGGGCTGACTCTCCGGGCCAGAATAACGGTAGGACAAACAATGCAAACGTACTGTCGATCAAGTTCTCCACTTTCTTTCTATCAATTTCACATGAGCAACTGCAGCCACGGCGACTAGGATCTCCGCAGACAGATCAGCGATTTCTTCAAGACGCTCTGCACAGCACGATGAGCCAGAGCTCAGTAACAAATCTGCAAGGTCTTTAGTCTTAATTCTATTCCCATCACTTTCAGTACTCCCTACACAACCAAAGATCGCGGCAAACCACTTCCGCCTACGAACATGCCACCTCCAGATCGCATGGTCGGCAAGCTTTCAAAGCTACGCGCAATCAATCCCACCGACGCCAAACTTCTCGCTCGAAACGGGAAACCTCTACCAAAACGATCCGCAAATGCTGCTCCTCCTCCACAACCAGAGCCCCAGCCAGAACCAGCCTTCTCCTCTGAACACTATGGTCCCAGCCTCGGTCGCCGACGGCTTTTCGAACCTCTCCGCAATACGTTCGCCCGCTTCCGCCAGCGTTGTAGGAAGCTTCCTACCCCGATCTTGCTGTCTGCGCGAACAGTGCAAGTTATGATTCCAATTGTACCGATCGGCTATTTCCTGACAGACAATGTGATGCGCATAACAAAAGTCAACGGGCCGTCAATGACGCCGTACCTGAACGAAAACTACGATCAGATGCATACGCAGAGTGATACGGCACTTATACAGATGTGGTCGAAACATCGATGGATACCTTGGAAGGATGGCCGAAGACTGGAAAGGGGCATGGTTGTGATATTCCCGTACGGTGCCTCTCTTCCCTGACTGCGACTTCTTGAATCCGGAATTCTGTGTTGAATACTGATTTGGGCCTCAACCCTGACAACCAGATCCCCCGCCGACCCGTCTCGTAAGGCTGTGAAGCGTATCGTTGGCCTGCCTGGAGACCGTGTGACTAATCGAGACTTCCCCAACGAAGGGGCGCACCTCGTTCCCTGGAATCATGTCTGGGTAGAAGGAGATGCGGCGAACCAGCAGCGCTCAATGGACAGTAACTCATATGGTCCTATTTCTATCAGCATGATTGAGGGTCTAGCCATCGCTGTATTGAGCCCCCGAATGCGCTGGTTGAATTGGAAGGACTGGGAATCAAAAGACGTGGATGCTGCCGGGTCCAACGGTCGATTGCGCCCCGACTATCGCAAGAGCATACAAGATCGTATAGTGAAGAACGCGGCCAAAGTGGAACGACCTCCAGAATGGTAGAGGTCTTTGAGCTCGGGCATACCTGCGGTTGGCAGCTCTTGTGACGTGCGGCTCTCGGAACCAGGATAGCCGGGACAGTGCTTGGGGCTGGACCCTTGGGGACAATACTGTACAATCACATTCTTTATATCCACTAGCGACGGCTGAAGTATATACAAAAACGAAATGCATCACTCAATCAGACTCCCTTATATTCCACCATCCTTTCTCTACTGGTGTATTCGCAAAATGAATGGTGCTGACTGCTGAGACTGGCTGTAGGCTTAGTGATGAGACAGACCAGGCAGGTGAGAAAGCATCACCTATGACGCAGGGACAATGCGAATCTCCTCTTCCATTTCTTCCTGTAGTCGGTCCATCTCCGATGAAATGCTCAAGACCCAACGGTCTCTTTCCATGCGGCTACGAGCCATAAAAACAATACTTCGGCCGTTCTTGCCGAGTGCCGACACATGTCGCAGAGATCGTGTGGATTTGCCGTGGGAGACTTTATGCTCGGCACGGAAATAGTTCTTGCGCCGAGGCTGCCAGATCACGAAGGTAGTGGCGGTGTCTTCATCCCGGCTGGTAAATGTATCTGACGCAAGATACACGCGAGGCAGAGCAGACACGCCCGGGTTGTTGTTATCAAAAGTTTCGTTGGCGTACAAAAGGTCAGCCTCAGTTGCTAGTCCTGAGTAAATGTAACAGTTGTTCAGATCAATGACGGAATCGAGGTCCTGGTGGATATGAGGGACTTCTGTACCGCTCCTCTGACGAAGCGTGCTTCGAAAGATGACCAGTTTGCCTGCTGTAAGGACAACTTGACATTTTGCGAACGTTGCATGGCGTCGGGGCTTGCGATAGAGTTGACCGGCCATCTGAAGGACGATGTGTTACTCAGTGATTTGGACTCCCAGCAGATACTCACGGCATGCACCTGACTTACCTTAATCGGCCGACAACCTGCCAGTAAGCACATGTTGTGTAAATGTGGCGACGCCTCCGCTTTCCTCAATTCCCATTTCTGTGCAAACTGCCCCACGGCAGATTCTAACTCTTCATCGATCTCAAGAATTTTGAGATTCCTCTGGCGTACAGAGTGGAGTTCTGCAGCATCTTCAAAGCAGCGCTTTCTCCAGTAATTCACTAAAGCTTCCATTCCCTTGACCCATTGATCTCTCGTGGCCTGATCGAAGGCTTGTAGACGAATCACCAGTCCATTCTCGAGGACCAGTTCAAAGACTCGATCGGACTCAAAGTCCTTGGTGGTACCGTCCTCATTGCGATCGTCGTCGGGCTCCGGATGGAAGTTAACAGAAGGCCCTTCGGACATGTTGGGATCAGCAGGACTGCTACAAGGACGCATGTTTCGGACTTTTGTCACTTTGCAGAGATCGATATATCCCTCGGCTTGACCGATGTTGTGCACGTTCCTTCGATACTGTGCAAGCGCCTCTTCGTCATGGTGTCGAACAAATTCCGGATTACCACTTTTCAGCCAGGAAATTTCACCATCTTCCAAAGCATACGGCTCAACATCCCACCACATTGGCATTTGATCCATGATCTGGCGCGTGGTTGGCAACTCCGAGCTTTCAGGCAACTCGAAGCGTGGCAGTCCAGGTGGTATTGCCCTTGCCGGGCGGCAAAAGAACATTAAATGATCTTGTGTGTAGAAATATAGTCTCTTGTAGAACATTTTGTGCATCCGCTGATGTAGTCCCTTCTGGGATGTCAATCGGATCAAGAAGCCTTCGACAGGAGGGGGCTCCTCTTCTTTAGCCCCTCCGTTTGAAATAGTCGTCGGATAGTGATGTCGGGGTCGAAGCTCGAGTTCATGTGCGGACAGCATCGCCATCGTTCCGTACATGTTCTCTTCCTGTACGCCATAGATCCATTCGATGCGGTCGTATCGTTTCCAGGCCAGACCCATCTTTTGTGTCTTGGACCACGACTTCAGAACCTCACACCACTCAGGGCAATCCTGTAATAAATCAATGCAGCCTTTGATAATATTCGATGCCACGAATCCTTCCTGTGCTGCAGCACGCCCCAGCACCGTCGTGTGCTGACTCTTGTCACTTTTCACCCCGAGCCGTTCTTCAAGTTGACCGAACGGATTGTTGAAAACTAAGGACACGCCTAGGTCAGGCACATTGATCGGCAGTATGTCTGGTCGCCGCCATCCAAGAATCTGTCTGATCAAGGTATACCATTCAGTGGCATGTGCTGTGGACTTGGGTCGTATAATGAACATTTTGTTACCATGACTGCGAGAATGCCATATGACAATAGTCTTATCGAGAGCCGAGTAGAGATTGACTCTGGTGGTTTTTCTATCAAGGCGCACGTTCCAAAACGGCTTTGATTTATTCTTCGGGTTTTGAGCGTCGGGGATGACACGGGTCCGGTACATTTGCAGGACGAAAGGGCTGTCATCAGTGGAGCCTTTGCGGCATACAACCAAGTATTCTTTCCAGTCATCTACAAGTCGAGATTCCATTCGTAAGGAATCTTTCTCCTGGTAGTCTTCCGGGAGAGTATCTTGGAGCGTCTCTTCGACCAAGACCAGCATCTTTTCCGCCTTGATGATCTCTCCATCTTGGACCTTCCGGCGGCGCGGGCGATTTGTGGAGATCGCCCCATGCGTTCGGTTAATACGAGAACGCAGTCTCTGTTTTTTGTCTAAGACATTGTCGTCCAAGTTGAACCGTGTCACTTTCTTGGTGATTTTTCGATGTCTCGGGATATTATGGTCGTGGCTTTCCAATTCGGCGTCATCCTCGTTCTGCGGCTCCTGACGCTCCAAGGTCTGTTTGGACACAGCCGAGGCCTTGCTCTTGGATCTTTGGTTCTGAGGCCTGGACTTGAGCAGTCTAGTAGTGGAGTCAGCTTCGCTTGGAGCCGCAGAAGCACTCGGAGTCAGGGGACTGCCGTGCCTATTTTCGATGATCCTCAGATGTTGCGATCCTTGTGATCGCTGCCGAGCTCCCGGTGACGGTCTCGCGAGGCGAACAGTAGACGAGGTGTGGTCTGTATTGACGCTGCTTGCAATGTCTTCCCTAGCGGTCACGTATGACGAGGCCGTATTATCGTCGCCGCTCGAGTGATCGTCGTCGTCGCTTGGTGAGCCGTCATGCCTGGAACGGGGGCGGGCACTCGCCCGTGGGGTTGCATCGGAATCCTCCTCGGATGCGGATCCGCCCTCGGCATGCACGTTAATCACTTCATTCCCCTCGGTGGAGGTAGCAATCTCCCCTGTGGTGCGTTCGGCTTCGGAATCCGTCCCAATCACGTCATCTTCCGATACGGGGTGAGACAACGTCCGCAGCTCCCCGGGCGTGTCGTCCTCGGACCCTACCGACTCCGTCGCGCTTTCGTCCTCAGAAGCAGCTGCGTCGTGAGAATCGCGCAGCGTGAGTATTGCTTCTTGAGCCGGTTCATTGACCACGTGGCCTACACCGTCGGTTTGGCCTTGATTGTAGTGAGCAGCCACAGGGTCGATGGAGAATGAGAGAGTCTTGGATGAGTAGTTCTTGAACTGTAGACGTGCGCGATACCATGATTTGCGATGACCATTAATCCAGCCCTTGGGAATCGGACCGATGAAAAAGCGCCGACTCGTCATGTGTAAGTGGTGAGCAGAAGCATGGCGCTGTTTCGAGAGATGTCATCAGCGAGAGCTCCTGTATATGTGGTTTTTGTAACTGCAGACTTACCAGTTGTTGCTCAGTATAGGACCCCTTCTGCAACCCCTGATAAGGCTCCTCGTCCCCCGCCTGAGGATGTTGCGAGGGAGTCCCGCTCGACTCATCTTGAGCGGTCATGGCATTGACGTTGACTGCCTCCAGCATCAAGGATCTTTGCTGAGCATGAGGGGCAGACTCCGCAGTATCAAAATCAAAATGCTGGGAGCATGCGCTGAGAGAAAGAAGATCGGGTGAAACTGGGATGGTCCGTGTTGAGATCGACTCCAGGCACCGCCCAGTTCAATCATGTAGGATTCAATGCTGTCGATCGATTTGGTGGATCCATGGGTCAACCCCGACGCTCAATTACGTCATTTGCAGATGGGTGTAAACAGTGCAAACAAAGCTCGGTCTCATCCGCTTAGCTTCCGTAAAATAGTACAACAAGTCACAAGAATACCTACGGCCGCGTTGTCCATTCCCTGTGCTGCAAGCTGTTTGCGGTGTTTGAGATGTTTGCACCTCATTTGCTGCAAAGGTCCAATTACGGTTTCAAAAGCGGAGTCGTCGTCGTGGTCAGCACCACAATTGCCCCCCGCCTCCCCAATTGAGGCCGATTCTCACCAGTGTTTCACCGCCTGTCGGTCCCTAATTGGCAGCTGCTGGCGGTGAAGGAAACGGTCGAGGGGGGTTCGGAGTTCTGGACAGCTGTAGCCTGTCGATGTTATTCTAGTTCCCCGCCTTAAAGTGGGCTGTTTGAACTAAGTTTAACTCATCACCCCTTTGCTCTTGACTCTTGAGCAGCTCCTTTTCTTCTCTCCTACAACTTGCACACCAATCCCACTTCAGGATCCCCCCCCCCCTCGACACTCTTTGCATATCACCATCATGTCTCGTACCAACGAAGTTCACGCTCCCGGCACCTGGTTCAGCAGCATTCCCCGCTCCTTTGAGGAGGTGCCAATTGATACTGCCAACGGCAATGCGATCTTGACTGTCGAGTTCTTGGAGGCTGCTGGATCCTTGGTCTCTCTCTTTGGTGGGTAGCTTCACAATCCGAATGATATGTGAAATCGAGGCTTATCGGACTCAATTCTACAGATGTGATCGGTGGAGTCGGTCTGGCTGCGGTCAAGAGCGATCTGACGGGCAACATCACGGTATGCAGGGTGCCCCGATTCAACGGCGCGGGACATAGAGCAGGAAAGGCCACAAACTGACTCAAGTATAGAAAGTTCAAGAAAGATACAACAAGGCTCCTGCCGAGTCCCAGACCCTGCAGGATCTGGTCCGAAATGAATTGAAGTCGGGGCAACACAAAGCGACCGAGGGACTCCTTTGGCTAGTTCGGTACGTTGGGCCATTCGTGGATGGAAATTGGCAATCCTATCTGTCGCTTTGGTTTTTTACCCTGAGTCATTGATCGTGGGCACGGGTCTGACATTTTGCTGTCTAGTGGCCTTCAATTCACCGCCTCCGCCCTCCGTTTGAGTCTCAACAACCCCTCCGAGGAGCTCAATGCATCTTTCTTGGGCGCGTACAAGGCCCCCGGTGGCCTCAGCACACACCATGGCTACATCATCCGCAAAGGCACGGAAGTCGCCATCAAGTCTGGTGTGCCATACCGCAAGGACTTCTATAACAAGCTGGGTGAGAATCAGGCCGAGGTCAACGTCGCCCTGGAGAAGGAGGTCAAGGCTCTGGAGAACGTGGTCACCATTCTGCTGCAGTTCCAATCCACCCCCGAGGCCCAGTGGAAGTAGGCGGCTATGATAGATGATCGGCATTCTCGATCGTGGTAGAACCAACCGCTCTCGCTAGCATGGCTTCTGCACTCTGTACATATTTATTTAAAACTGTGTCCTATTGGAAGCGATGAACCCCAATTTTTTTTTTTTTTAATTTAGCAAGCTCGACAACCCATTTTGATTGAACCATTGCATCAACTTGGCTCTTCACCCACTGCAATGGAATGGCCGTGGTGGTGGGCCGCATAAAGGTCTGCCCCTTGTTTTGGACGTAGTTTGGCCCATGTCTAATTGATAGGCCTAAGAGATGGGCAGCTTGAGTCACTTGTATGTGCTACCGGAACCACTCCACCTGGTGGAGCTCTTATGTCAATTCCAGGCATTCCATCTGACAAGGTTCTAGATCGGGTCCTTTAATCGGTCGATGGACCTATTGTCCGTCAAGTTGGCTTATCTACGATTTGGTGCGAATGCTACCAATATGTTGCAGTAGGTGGGTAGGTACCCAAGGGATGCGGGTAAACGTCGTCCCAGCACTGCGCTATATATTCATTGTTCGCTGGTACGACCTGCACCTGTGGAGTTGGGGCGTACATGGATGCCCAACAGCACGTGGACAAGCTGGCTCCCGGTCGACATAAAGGAGAAGACTTCAGAGAATATAATCATAAATGTTTACCACTTTCAAGTGGAACAATCCATTATTGAAAGACATCTCTCAGAAACCAAGCAACGTTGAAGCCAAACGCCAACTTTGAATTAATGGCTGCATCAATACCCTGGATCCACTCGGATGCGACTGGCCCCCGTCAATGCGCCCTACTCCCGATTATTGGAATATATTTCATTAGTAGATCAAGCCTCCCAACCAGCCCTGCCGGGCTAGCTCAATCGGTAGAGCGTGAGACTCTTAATCTCAAGGTTGCGGGTTCGACCCCCGCGTTCGGCTATTCCTACAGAAAAACCTGAGATATTTCCTTTTTTGCTTGTTTTTCACGTGCACGACATATACGTGGTGTATCACTCCTCCTACATAACCTTTTGAGTCCATATATACGGTCACTATTATCAAGCGACGTGCCCTGTTCACCGATCATATGCCCGAGTGATGATGTATTTCTGTGTTAGTGGCCGGGCTAGACGGCAACTGATTGCCCGCCATCAGAAGAGTTCCGTGGAACTCGTCGACATTGTAATAATCTAAATGATCCTGGCTGTAGGCTAAGCGTCGTAGTTAGGGTTTACCGTAGCTGGGTAGGGCGGCGCGACTCGCTAGTACACTTTTCAGCTAGCTGCAGTCGCACAAGACGGGGTCATGGTTACAAAATTACAGTTGACATGTCTGACTCGGGAATACCTGGGCATTTCAAGGGGCGTAGGTAGACAGGTAGACAGGTAGACAGGTAAGTGGACATTAAGTAGTACAGTACATGGAACAAGCTGCAAGCTGCAAGCTGCAAGTTCTCGACCACGTGCAGACCCAATTGTCGGGCTCCACCCACGTGGAGTGAAAGGTGGTGTCACTTGCCCAGGTGTCGATGGGGAGATGTATTATCGAAACTGCATTTGATGATCGATTGAGATGGATTCGAGAGAAGTCCCATGAGGTCGGGTTGAGTCACTGGTAAGACCTACCACATGCGGCTTTCCCCAAAGCTTCCAACAGTGGATGTCCGTGGATAAAACACCCGACCTGGTCGGCCGCCTCAAGACTGGAACAAACGAAAGTCGTGTATTTTGATATATAAAAAGGTGGTTGATATCAAAGAAGACAATTAGACATTAATGCTCATTTCCCGACACATAAAACGTCTTGTGCACATTGACGCCCTGGAAGAAAGTCCCTCCGTCATTATTCTTCGGATTCAAATCCTCCTGACTGCTGGTGCGACTACCATTCTTGACTGTGGAGGTGGGGATCGTCGTGACGACGGCGCGGGTATCCTCTGGGTCCAGATCTGGGCGCCAGTATCGCGGGGTGGAGTGATCGGAACGAAGCGCGTTCACGCTCGAAAGGGGCATGCTGCCTCCGGTACGCTTGCTGCGACTCCCTCCGTAGCTGGTGTCGCGGAACCAGCGGAAGAGAGGGCGGAGGGTGACGAGACTGCCGGCGGCGATGCCGAGACTGGCCTCGACGTTGGACCAGATGGAGATGTCGGTGGTTGCATCTGTGGGGATACCGGCAAAGGGTCAGTAGCTGATATGAAGATGTTGGATTGACAGTCCGGTTTGCAATTTCTTTCTTTCCTTCTTTTTTTTTGGTGGGGGGGGGGGGGGGTTGGGTTGGGGTTGTTCCTCTTCTATTTCCTTCTTTCTTTTTTTTTTTTTTGAATTTCCCTCTCGATAGTCCTCTGGGCCAGAGTGTAGCCTCCAACTCACATAGGAAATCGGGATCCTTATAATCATGAAGAAAAGGAATGCGGACAATGACTGCAGCACTAGCAACACATCCCATGCCCAAAATCCCAGCCAAAGCGGCCTTGGTCCGCACGTTCATATGTAGATTCCACACCAGGAAGATGGGAAGAAGACCCAGGGTGAGATCGCAGAGCGTGGCGGTCACACTGTAGACATAGGCCATGTCGATGATGATATCCAGATTCAGACAGTGGCCATGGACGGGGGAGGTCGGATCAATCTCCAGGCGAACCTGCTGCCAGAAAAACGAGATTGGTTGGCATTGTAGCGTCAGCATCAGCCAGAAGACGAGACCCACGACCGTTGTGACGGCAATGACGCCCCAGAGAATGAGCGTGTGGATTCGAATGACGGTCAGGCGCAGGAGCGCGACGGCAATGGAGATCTTGGCAACGGCGCATACCCAGACGTAACTCGTCTGGCCGAGCCACCACCACTGGACGGGCGATAGATAGAAGGTTAGAGAATTGACCGGATGAAGTCGATGCCGGACTGGGTTGTGGATGGGACTTACAAACATGGCGGTTTCCATCGTCCCTCGCTGCATCAGGGCCAAGGATCTCTGACCCATGCCATAGAATGCGCCGGTGATTCCGCACAGTGCAAACAGAATATTCAGCAACTACGCAGGCCAAAGATTGATCATTAGTCAATCCCTCCAAATGAAAGTGAGGCCACACCCCATATCGTATACTTCACAGTCCCCATCCCCTCACGTACCATTGCAAACACCATCAGACAGTCGTCCCAGCCAAAGGCCTTGACGAGTTTAAGTCGAACAAAACATCGCAAGCACACGGCAATGAAGGAGAGTCCCAGAAAGACGGTAGTGACGATGAAAATGGCCTTGCTGCGGCCATCGGGCATTGGCTGCATTGTCATGGCCGACGAGTGGTATGGAGAAGTAGCAAGTTTGACTACCTGTCGGACATGGTCCAGAGAATGATTGGAAGGGATAGTCGATTCGTCAGATCAGATCGATTCTGACAGGGTTCAGTGTTGGTCCGTAGAGGGCGTATCAGTTCAAGCAGGCGAAATAGACTCCGTAGGAAGGATGATAGAAAAAAAAAAACAGAAATCAAAAAAAAAAAAAAAAAAAACACCCCCAAGGCTGAAGGAGAGAATAGAGAATGATAGAAGGAATCAGATGGACGGTTTCGGCCAGACCAGAAGGATCAAGCGGTACAATAACGGCTGTCGGGGGCAAGGTCAACGGCCATGCACATTGACCAGGGGGGTGTGTGTGTATATCTATGTGGCGCCTGTTTCCATGTGCTCGCCCGTTTCGCGCAAAGAGACTTTTTAGTTTAAAAGACCCGAAGCCGAAGGGGGGGGGGGATGGGGAATCCCCGCTTATACCTGCGGCTCTGGGACATGATGATTAACCGGGAAGTAGGAAAGAAAAGAGCACTAACGGCATAAAATGGCCATATGCACACGAGGACCCAAGGCGAGAAAGTAGCGGCTGGCTAGTGCGAGTTCTTCTAACCGGGTCCGTGGGATCGACACGGCTTTTGCGCCAGACTCACCACAAAACGTAATGACTTGCGGACAAGAATAAGAACCCTTGTTCATGGCAATCGTGTGAGAAAGAGGGTACTCCAGGACTTGGTCGTCTCGGCAATTCCAAGACAACTTCCCGTGCGGGCTTTCATGCTTAGATTTGAGCATCGGGTCCTCGGTTCATGATTCATGAGTCGCTTAATTTCTGGTTTTCAAATGAGGTTATCCATCTTAGAAAGGAGCTAATTGAGTGACAAGCAACACGTATGCATGTCATCTTCCCTCGAGTGATTCTTTGGCGAGCACTTGCACTACACTGACCACATCTGCACATGAAAAGACCGCACACTTTGATATTCTTGACCTTTTTCTTTTTTTTCTCTTTTCTTTTTCAAGATCCGACATCCCATAAGAGTAATGGCTTCGTGCTGGCCCACGCAAGATGGTGGTGGCGAGAATTCAAGACGCAAGGGGTTCGCCAGGTTGTGTCCATGGCTAAGCAGTTCTCTGACATGTGAACCAAGTCTGATGGGATGGGTAGGGAAGGTTATGAGCGGGTCCAGGCTGTCAGATGGCACCGGCACACTGGAACCCTCTCTTGACGCGTAGACAAAGATAGAATGACGGACATGTCATGTTAGTACGACTACGTACGAACATACTAATGGTATTGTGTGTCTCGATGGTCAATCATCATCATTTCTTCACCTTCCATCTCAATATACGAGACGTTCGTTCTCTGTCTGATCAACCTTAACTCCCTCACGGCATTGTCTTGAATCCTTCCCGTCTGAACCCTGACAGTTTCGAATGCTCTTCGGTCGTTGGAAAACTCAATTACGCCCACGACCCGCTACGCTGCCTTAGCCTCGCAACGACGCAGAGGTATGCATGACCTAAACACTATTTATCCTTGCCCAGTCTCGTGCTCGGCTCAGGCGCGGTCTCGACAGCGAGGCCATGGAGTGGGTAAGTGGAGAAGATCCTGGACTCTGGAGCGAACCTGGCAAGGCGTTGGTCGAGTAGAGTTCATCGTGAAACCAACGCCGCTCTGCTTTCTGTCGTACCATACCTGAAAGAGGCATGGTCCCGTGGGGAGAGGCAATACGAGATCTGCAGTACTGAGTCTACTGACTCACTGAGTAGTGAGCACACAATTAGCAGCAAGTTGCAACTAGCAACATCATTTGAACAACCGATCATACCATTGCCACTGTCGAAATGAGGACGTCGTACGTAACAGACCTATTCGTGTATCGTTAGACCATCCAAAGAAAGTCCGTTGGTCTGATCTTCCAAGTGCTAACCCGCTATGAGAATACAAGATGAGCCGTCCAATAGCCCTGTCGGGATACCCGTGCCGTCTTCACCAAATTGGTCCAAAAAAAAAAAAAAAAAAAAAAAAAGCCAAAGAACGTTCGCGGCATTAATTTATTTGAGATGAACTGATCCGAACCCAGTGTGAGGCTGTGAGCATTGAGCACTGAGCAGCCTGCCAGCCATCTTGGTCACAACTTCAGTGTAATCCTCGGTGAGCGTTTCTAAACGGACAAAACTCCCACCAACTCGTCCGACTGAACCAGATCTTGCTGGTGAGTCCGTGCTCAAACTTACCAGGGACTGTTCCCGCAGCCGAGGTACGTTGGAAAACTTGACCAGGGCCCATGAAGGTTCGGGACCCTTATATAGGATAAGGTCGTGACTGGGGAAGAGAAGGTCCCTGCGAGGCTCGAGCAGTCTGCAAAGCTATTTGATCCTGCCCGAAGCCACGACTGGCCATGTGGCTCAGCCGGGCAGATTGTGGGTAGAACACGTGAATGTGTGTGTCGTTCTAAGTTGTGTGGTTGTATACTCGGTAAGAGTGTAATTTGTGCAAGTGTGTAGTTGCGTAATGTGTACTAGTGTAGTGATGCACGGGCCAGTGGCCACTATGTAGTTTCACATAACTTATCGGCAATAAGAAAGCCAGACTGCCAGACTGCCAGACTGCCAGACACCCTTCTTAATATCTTCCCAATACCCGAAATGTTGATCAATGGGCCGCGCCACGATCCCACGCGCGGAATGTTCCGACGAGTTGTACAGTAGTCTGCCAGATGGACAATGGGTTACCTGACCTCGTACCATAGTAGTAGTGGTCAACTGACTTCATTCAAGTCGAACTCGGGTCTAGATTCAAGACACTCGACACTGGCGATAACTTGAAGTCGGGCCGCAGTCCGCGTAGTCCACCATCCGCAGCAGCCGCAGCCCGCACAGGCTTTTCTGTTCTTAGTTTGCTTTCTCATGTTGCCCACAAGAGGCCCTTGATGATTTGACCGTAGCCGAATTGATCCATTTGCTCAAAGAGCTCACTGGACCCAGCGGACCGCGCCTGTCATAAGCGAGCGTGGATCTGCGGGCTGGAAGTCTTGGAAGGGCAATTCGGAAATTACTTGGTCCGTCTGGAGAGGGTCCATCCGCCATCGTCTCCGTCGTCGGGAGAGAAAGTGGAGATGGAAGGTGGAGTGTTGGCGGTACGATTCGATCAGCATATCGTCGACTGAGACCGGTTTATTCTTTGTGAGCCGTGAGCCGTGAGTAGTGAGTAGTGAGTAGTGAGTAGTGAGTAGTGAGTAGTGAGTAGCCTGGGTAGTGCAGGTGGGCAGGCAGGTACTTTGGTAGGTAGTGGACCAGTTGACTGGGTCGATGTGGGAGGGGACTCGGTGCGGGTGCTCGGCAGCAGTTCCAGCAGGCTGAAGATGCACCGGTTATTCAAGGGGAGAGAAGATCCAGTATTCTCAGCAAAAAGAGGTGCCCTTTGGAGTCTGATGCAGGTTGTCCACCATATAGGGATAGAGTTACAGCATGTCGGATGGTTTCGAACGTCGGAGACGGTAGACCCAGTCGATGCCTTGATCTCGTGCACTCATGTGAGCTTCCGCACCATACTGCATCTGTGCATTGACATTCGGCATTGTCCAGTCCAGGACTCATGTCCTGTACCTGGACCTGCCATGATTCTCACTCTCAGACAATAGTCCGTCGGACACTGCAGAGTGGAGAAGAAGCAATCCGACGTTGCATCGATGGGCGTTCCAGAGAGCCCCACTCGAGATGTGGAAGTCACCCAGTCAGTCCGCTTTGACAAGTTGGCCCTAGTTTGTTACAGTACAGTACAGTACTGCAACCCTGCACCCGGGCAAAGTATCGATCCTGCTTCGCATCGCCATGTCTTCATGCCGCGATCAGCACTCTGTACCCCTGCACTAGGCTGGTGGAGGAGGCCACTACTACCGTTGATAACTTGATACTATCATGCATCGCAGATCCCGCTTCCAGACGGCTTCCACGTTCGGCAACGGGACCAGAGCAAGAAGTACCGGTGGTAACGTTGCGCGGAAACCCGACGCGATGGTCCGAACCGCGAGAGGGTCTAGTTCTACTGCCCTACTGTCTAGGTGTTTGACGACTCACGACTCACGACGAGTGGCTGTTGTGTCGGAGGTTGCCGTCTGTTGCAAATGGCCGGGAGATCGCGGCGAGTGCGTCTAGCCCGTCGCCTACACTCCTACTGTACGTTTGAAGCCGGTCAAGCCGGCGGCCATGTAAGTGTATAGTAGGTCCATCGATAAGGTATATTCAAATGTCGACGGTACCTCCTTATCAAACCGCATGAACCGACTCCAAGCTATGCAGATGTGGTTCAGTAATAATGGGTGTCACAATCACAATCACGATCACGATCACAATCACGAGCCGGACTGGACATGCCCCGTGTAGACGCTCTCAAAGTCAAGCGCCGCGAGCATCCCATTGACCCGGTCAATCTCGCGGCTCAAATCCTCCACATTCACCGCCAGACTACTCACTTCATCGAACTTGCGTCGTCGGTTCGCATCGGCGATCATTTCGGAGACAAAGAATTTCTGCTCTTCCAAGACGATCAGTCGTTCACGCAGCGATTTCTCTTCCGCCTCCAAGGTAGAGACCGCACTACTCGCATCGCTGCCTAGGCTACTGCTACTGCGACTGACCCCCACACGCTCGTTGTATTTGATCGACGCAAGGGCAGAGTCGGCGGGGCGCGATCCAGTCGAAGATCCATCATGGAGAATGCTGGGTGAGGATGTCCGGCTGCTGCCAGCGTCCGCGGGATGGACAGATTTGAGAACCTTGGGCAGGGATTTCAACGGCAGCATGTGCAGATGGAGGAAATTGCTGGCTTTCTGATAGATGGCCTTCTGAAGCCGTTCTTGCGCAGGGGATTCCGTGGGCAGATCTCGAATGCGTCGAGCTGCAACATCATATTTGGCGAACGAATCAATGAGGCGCTTACGAACTTTGGACGCCTCTGCGATTTGTGCTGAAGATGGAGGTCGTCGTGGGTCCCTGATCATCATCAACACACAGAACGATCACTCAATACTACGGGGAACGGACGTACTGAAGAGCGGTCATAAGCTTTTGGAACCGGGGTAAATGGAGACGGATGCCTCTTTCGAATTGCACTAGATTCTCGTACGCCCGTACCTCGGGCGGCACTCGAGACACATCCGCCTGGAAATCTCGGCGATCAAATATCGTACTCTTGCAATCCTTGCAGAGTCGTATGTCAACGTTAATTGCACTTCGCGAGGTCATTTTCTCGGATGTTTTCGAGACTAGAGCGAGGGGTCAACTTTCCATGTTCACACCGTTCCTCTGGCCTGGGTGGCAGGCTTACTTGGCGTGACGCTCAGGCCAAGCTCGCTCGAACAAGCAGTATTCGGATCACCACAGACGACTCGCCCGCAAGTTCGACAGTGGTGTCGCCGAAAGGAATATCCGGAGAAATCTTGTTGACAGAAAGGGCAACGGGAGACGCTGGCGTCATCTTGCCAGCTGACTATAGTCTGCTCGAGGACTTTGCGCTGGTCATTATGCCAGCCGAGCGAAAAGAGTTTGGCCGAGCTGTTCTGGATCTGCTCCGGCGGCAGGTTCGCCAATAATTGTGTGAGTCGCGTCAAACGTGTCTCGAGCCGAGAGACTTCAAGCAGGGCCTTGTCCACGGTCTGTTTTCGAATCTTCTTGAAGACGTCGGTCTGATCTCTGCTAGCTCCTGTTCCCAAGAATGCATTAATCAAAATCATCCTCACGAGCTACTTGGCCGGCACTGAATCAGCTCACCATTGTGGTCGTTATATCCTTCCCGAGATTTGTAGCACGTCTCACAAACCCTAGCCCATATGCCTCGAACTGGTTCGTGGTGTGCGGATCTAGATAATTTGATCTGATACATCGTGTGCTCTTCACAAAAGAGCTTTCCACACTTGCGACAATTGACACATCCATTGGTGGAATTGAGTCGTTTGCCGCAGGAGGGCTCCAGGCAGTTATCATGAAAACCGACCACCTGCCAATGGTCCTTTGTGATCAAATCCTCCGGATCCAGTACTTTCGGGGTCACGTTGTGTTCAATTATTCCCGTGCTTGTCGTCGTGGGACGCGTGACGACAGAGGCCGTTTGGTTGTCATTTGACTCGAACACATCCAAGCCCTTGAGCTTTTGATTGAGCACCGCCAGAGGCTGAAAGCGCTTTGCCTTGTCCATTTGTACTTTGAACCAATCCTTGACTTCATCTTGCCTGTCGTCCTCGAGGTTCTGATGGCTGTCGTCGAGGTGCCTGGGAGCTTGTGAACAACCGCGTGGAAGACAGAGAAGAATCCCGATATGACGTAGAGAGTCTTACCTGTTCAGCTGTAAGAGGGTCATCTGTGATTAATTTTAGTCCGAGGTCTTCAATTTCCGTCAACTTTCAATTGTCGGTTGACATACCATCTCTTCACTGCAGATCGGGCACGAGAGCCGCGCTCCGGGCGCAGCCGGCGGGGCAGATATTGAAGTATCGCCATTCTCCAACGATATGCGCGATGTGAGATCCTGGGTCTCGGTAGACAATAGGGACGTGGAAGCCTGGGAGCTGAGGGAAACGCTGCTGGCTGTCGGGGATAGTAGCCCAGGCTTCGACTGCGGGGACGGAGCTGATGGAAGCGCGCTTGGAGTGCCTAGAACACGACCTCCACCCAGCGTCCTCCTGGACATGTTCACGGGAACATGAGCGATTCAACGCTGATAGTTCTCTTTTAAATACTCCGTACCACAAGCTGGATCGTTAGGTCAACGGGGGAGGGGGGGGGGGGGGGGGTTCACCGTTGTTTGTTCTAGACGCAAGTTCGGGGGGGGGGGGGCTTGATGATGCAGTGGAGCCTCGCAGCTTGTCTTGAGCGCCTCAGGCATCAGAAGACATTTGAGCCTCGGATGATCAGTTCCGGGGAACAGGTATGACGGCATTATTGAATTAACGTGGCTCCGTGAGACAGACAGTATATCGGATTCCAAATAGAATGCGAGTCATTTGATCGCTGAATAGAAATCCGTTATATTGAGCCCGAGGTCGAGCCTATGCTACCCAGATATGTTCTATTCAAGGCTATGTCCACTGTCCAATAAGTTTTATGTTCAAACGAGTGTGTCAATAATCTATATAGTTGAGGTAGTAACGATCGTGAGTATATCCATCCACGCTAGTCGAACAGCTCCCAGGAAGATGAAGGCGTGCGCATCTCCACGATGAAATCCCGCAATTCCGTACCATACCGCTTTGGAATTCTTTTTCCTCCTCTTTTCATAATATTCGTCTTCACGTTTTTAGACCTTTTTTTTTTCTCCCCGGTTTTTCAATATCAGCCTATGCTGCTTCAAGCCGCCGAGTCATGGAATGGGAAGCGTGATGGAACAGTTTGCGCTCGTGCCAAAAAATTCTCGTGAGAATTGTCCATCAGAAGCTGAGCCTCGACCATCTAGCGCTCATAGTCTCGATGGTAGCTGGTCCCAGTGTTCGGGTTGTCGTATTCTCTGTGGACATGGACGGTGCCGTCGTCTCGACGGTCAACATCGCGGTGTCGGTAGACGCCATTGGCATCCAAACGCTGGCGATGATGACGGCGACCCTCGTCAGTGCGATAGTCTAGATGCTGGTCATAGGCACCGGTGCTGGGATCGTAGGTGGTTGTACCGTATCCCGTGTCGTAGGTGGTGCCGTAGCCTGTGGTTGCGGCGCCATACCCTCTGGATCCGTAACCTGTCGTGCCATAGGTGCTATAGCCGGTGGGATCGTAGCTCGTCCCCGTGGTGTCATATGTCGTGGTGCTGGTATCATAGTCGTAGTTGTCGTAGGTACCACTCCAGGTACGGCCTGCGTTGTCTGAATTGGCCATTTTCACAATATAAGTGGTCGTGTCTTCTGGAAGAAGAGGAGATTCGACCGGCTGACGGCAAGGGCTCGTTGGCTTGCTAGGTGACGACTGGCAGATGAATCTCTGAGACTCTGGAGATTCTGAGATGGCAATCAGACCTCCGGGGATGTTCTTTGCTTAAATAGGATGATGGGTGGCGCTCCTTGTTCCCAGCCCTTCTTTTGATATGATTATCAACTGACATCATCTGGCAGGTTCGACAACCAAAAGGTCACCGACGTGGAGGCAACTTGAATAACAACTTTAGGTCCGAGGCGAGATATTGCCATCGCGATCGGTCGAGAAGACGAGTTCGTGCCAACCACAGGTGGCTCTATCTCATCGCCATATAAGGCGAGAATTGCTTGTGAGCATAAAACGACCATGTCCAATGAAGTAGTCGGATGCGGTTTATACCGTAGGCTCAAACCTCGTTCCACGGGAGGATGTCCTTGAGAGCAGGGTCTAAGGGCATAATTTGAGGGAAAGTGCGAAAAAGTCGCCGACTCCCAAGACCAATCTTTGCCATGTATGGCGATTGACTAAATTCGCTAAGATGGCCTTGGTCATTCATATAATGATTCTAGAGCTATTCGCGCTGGCGTTTGCCACGCTACAATCTCAGATGACATGTTGATGTTGCTCCATTCTGTTCTAAAAGGGCGAATCAAATGTGGTAAGCTTACCACGAAGTGACACAGCCGTCGGGACTGCCAGGTTGTGCCTATTGTGTGAATTATAAGGTTGATTGTATTATACAGCACTGAAATCAAGCACATCATCCTATGACACGCCTTCAAAGTGTAGAATTTGAGAGATCCTAGCCAAAGTGTTGAAACTGCTAGCTCTCGCGACCGAGGGGAGCCAAGGAGTCCCTGAGGAACTCGGTCGCGTTCATCAAGTCGGTGCTGCCATAGACGACCCGACGGCGACCAGTACTGCGATTTGCAGCCGAGGCGCCATCTGCACCTGGTTGGCCACTTGTTCGCTTAACCCAGTCCTGCAGGTTCCCATATTCGTCCATACTCCCACCGCCAACGGTAAACACGATAGCCTCGTTAAAAGCCTGGCGGCGTTGGCCAAACGTGGCGTTGATTCCGGGAGCAGGGCCGCCCATGGCTCCGGGAACCTGTGTATTGCGTGAGGCCGACGCAGGAGGCATGGCGCCACGTGCGTTCGCACTGCGTGGATCAAAGTAGAGGTAATTCTCGGTCTTAGCAATGGCAGAGCTCGATGCCGTGGCGGGATCCATGATAGACTCGGTAATCTTTGTCACAGTGAGGTCCTTATTCGCAGGCAAGAAATTCTTCACACCAGAGATGAGGGAATCGAAGTTGGCACCCAAGGCACCCGAGGTGATACGATCCGTCAAACGATTGGAAAGTGAGGAGAATCCGCGAAACAGATCCGACGATTGTTGTTCAGGGGCGGCGGTGGTCATCATGGTCATTCGAGTGATTTCACGCACTTGTCGAACATACGAAAGAGGTGAGACGTCTTCAACTCCGGCTTTGGACAAGGCCTCCTCAAATTGACTCATCTCCGCCCGACTCAGCTCGGTCTCCGTGCTCAAGAACCAGATCAAGAATATGCGCAGTTTGTCCGAGGGGTTGCTGCCCTTGGCGCTGTCGTTGATCAGATCGAGCAGCTGTGATTTGGACTGTTTCGTGATGTTCTCTTCTAACTCGAAGAAATTGTCCAGTTGCCGGTCCTTGATGCCTTTGAGTAAGGCTGTCGCAATGTTCATATGCATATCCAGGACCGCCTTTCGCTCCCGTAGCTCGGGGAGAAGGGTAATAGCCGCCTTCAAGTGTTGCGCAGATGCGCTCGTATCGTTCTGGAGGTCCTCGATGGAGGAGGCTCCCGTCTTCTTTGTGATCTCGTTTGCATCTTCTTTGTACCGAGTCAATTCGGCGTCGATATCCTCAGCAACCTGCGGGAATGGGACTCCGGCATTGCGTTGCCAGAAGAAATCGTTGCTATTCAAGTCGTAAGACTTTTTGGCGGCTTTACCGGGCGCCTGCTCATCCGCCTCCAGGGTGATGCGATTTAGTCGCATCTGGAGCACATCCTGCACAAGAGATTGGTAGGTCCACGAGTGCGAGAGCATAGGCACTAGGTCAACATTGCGGTCCATGATAATGAGAACGGGCCGGGAAGATGGAACCCCCGGGAGTGCTCGCTGGTTCCCTGAGAAAAGATTGTCTTTTGAGTTGAGGATGTGGTCGCGGAGCTTTCGGTCCAATTTTGTGGCAATCAATTCCGCTGCACCCCCTTTCGGGCAACGAATAATCGGAATCGTGCCTACAAGCAGCAAGGTTAGTTCAATGAACGGTTGAACAAAACCATCGCGAATTTGGAGCACAAAACTCACCCATTGTTACGCTTACGCTAAATAAGCCACTGACAACTTTGTCAACGATTGCATCCAGATCGTCATCACTGGTCTTCCCGCTGTTAATCTTGTAGTACGCATCGTTTCCGAGGCCAAGGCTGAACAGATCAGGTTCAGCGACAATGAAATTCAGGTATTGGTCATAGACTTGGGCGATGTGCTCTGATGCTCCGGAGGAAGCTATTTGTGACGCAAAGTCCTCCAGAAGTGGACGAGGGACGGAGGAAAGAAAGTTCACATAAGCCGGCGAGTAAAGACCCTGTGCGAGATCGCGTGTGATAGCTTGGATGTTGGACTCGTTGGGTTCAACGAGGTAGACAACTGGGACATCAGGGATAGGGTATCGTTGAGAGTGTATGTTCCTGCGTTGAGTCTCTCGGTAATTAGCATTGTCAAGCGCATTTCCCAATAGACGACAACCGATCTCTTACAGATGGATTGTCACACCCCACGTTCGGAGATCATTCACACGTAAAACACTACTGATGACGTCTCTTCCCATGCTGTCAAATACCAAGACTTTCCAGATTGGATCGCCGTCCTCGTTCAAGATGGGAGTGCTTTGAGGAACAATGCCACTATGTGTGATTGATTCATGGGCGACATCATCTGCAGGCTTCGGATCGTGGTTCAAGTTAAGTAACTTCTGGATTGACGCTGTTTCAGCCAGAGTTCAGTTAGCTGTCAAGCGGTTCAATTCGTTAGATCGCGGGGACGGAGTATGCGGCCACCTACCGACCTGTCGATCGCGGAGGGACATGGGATGCGCCATCGCAGATAGGAAGAGTCGAGCGCCACGACTCAGTAAGAATTAGAAGACCGGATATGACAAGATAATCCTCACAGCATGAGCAATGAATCTGAAGAAGCTCGAGTGATGCTTCGAACCTATGCCTGCCCGAAAGCTGTTGACATTGTATTAACACCTATTGACTCCAGCTAACCGCATGCTGTCCCGTCTAGGTCGGGGCCACCCGTACCTCCATTTTGCTGACATAAGTAGCCCCTGACAAACAGTGCAAAACTTGCACCCTGTAGCGCTGGCACCAGTGTGTGGGTCGGGACGGTAGGTGTGTAATTGACAGAGCAGATATGGTAGCATCCTTACAATACGGTGTAATAACGATATGGCTCGGCTTAAAAGACGCACATATTGGGACATACCAATACATACAGCTGTATGTAACTTACAATACCATGATTTATACAGACCTCACAGCGGCAGTATTCGTCTTGTGGACGGTGGTCCTCGTTGTGCCAGACTCGCAGCAACTCCTCATTAACTTCTCGTTCACACCTTCCGTCTTAACCACCCCTCCTCGTTTGCCCAATTTCCCCGTCTTTCTCTCCGTAAAGCAAATGGTTGTGACACTGGATTGGCTCTTTGTGTAAAGAGACCGACGCATCATATCTCAATCCATAAGAGAAGAGTCTCTGAGATAACTCCGAAGGATTCAATCAGGACCAGAGGCAAGTTCTACAGACGTCAGCAATCAGCCTTGGTCAAAGTATACTCGTGAAGGGAAGGAGACACAGAATTGAGAGGAACATAAAGTGTCGTTCAACTGGAGAAAGACCGGTGATATCATCTTCTTTCCCATCTGTCTTCAGTATCAAGGCGTGTTTCTTAAGTCATCCCAAGATCCCACCTGAAGACCAGGCAGTCGCTGTCCAGGAGCTGGGTTTGGGCAACATTGCACATCCTGCAGTTGGTAGCCTGAGAAAGGTGGCGATTCAAACCTCGCATCACTCCAGGCACCAAAGCAAGGCACCAAGGCAGAGCATCGTCCGTTCTAGACCTTCTGGAGGGTGTGTCGGAACAAACAGTCCCGTTTTCTCTTTCTACCAAAACACCCAGAAAGAGGCAAAGGAGACGAGTCACAGAAAAAGCCTGGTACTTATGAGACGACCAGTTTAATATTCTGTTGCGCCTTTGAACTCAGGTGGTTCTGTCCTGGCACTTGGTGCTTCCTCGGAACCTTGACCTCTCATCAACCGACCGCCTTTTAGTTGATCCCGCACATTTTTCTGCCGTTCTCCGCAAAAGCCTCGGTCGAACGATTTCCCGCCATCCGAGCTAGTGGCACATCTGGCAGGCGGTAACAGCACTTGAGGGAGTCTTTTGATGCACGTGATCCAGCGAAAGTACTGGCAATAAACGTCCTCGACGCCGTCGGTTCAGCTTGTGGAAGGCACGGCACCATGGAGCAGTCGTCGGCACAGAACTCGATGCCGGGTCTGCCCCATGCGGGCGCATCCTCGGGTGTCGCGTCGGTGTCTGATTACTGGCCCCCTTTGGACATGATCTTTCCCGACTCTCATCTCCAATTTCAATCAGCTCAGCCATCTCAAGCGCAGAATCCATCTGCACAGCAACAGCAGCAGCAGGCGCCAATGGGAATCACCTGGGATCACCCTGTTTTTCATCAACAACAGCAACGGGCCCCACACCAACAAAATCCCATAAACGCTCATACAGACCCCAATCATGGCATCTATTCCACGATCCCGCCTCCATCCTGGCAGCACAATACTCTGCCATCCGCGGCTCGATTCGAAGACTCTGCCCCATATTCGTCTCATCCGCAGGCCGCACAATACCAGCAGGGCCAGATGGCGTTTGACTCAGGTCCTATCGCGACACCCGAAAGCTCGGTCTTCCCGTCGTACTACCAGCAGAATTTCTTCCATCCACAGCAGATTTCTCTGGATGGGACATTCTCACAGCGACCTGCTCAGTCGCAACAGCCGCCGCAGCGACAGCTGTCTCGAACTCCGCAGCAAACGCAGCGGCAACAACAGCAGCAACAGCATCAGCAACTGTCAGCACCGTCGCATCCACCTCAGTCCCAGCCGCCGCCACAACCACAACCACAGCCACAGCAGCAGCAGCAGCAGCAGCAACAACAACAACCGCAATTACAACAGGGGCAGCAGCAGCGCCCGCAACACCTGGAGTATTCCAATGGTGGTCACCATTCTACAACGCAATACCCACTCTCCGCGAGCTACTCCCAAGACATGATGACGAACACGATCGATCTCACGAACGACGGCTACCCCAATACTGGGGCAGCTTCACATCAAACAATTGATCCCTCGTATCTCGACGGGCTCGCACGCTCTTCGAATGCATCTCACACTCTTCCCCATGACTTCTCCTTCAACAGTCCGGCGGACTATCAAACACCCGACGGAATGTTCAATTACTTCCAGAATGATTTCCATGTCCAGCCACAGGTTGGAGTTCCTAGACCAAAAGGGACTTCTCAGCCCGGTACGAAAATGCCGAACCTCTCTCCTCTGGAAACCTCTATCTCATCACATTCTGTAGGCGTCCTTGCCTCAGGGGCTTCTGGAGATTCTCACCAACCCGGTCCAACCAGCCAGCCAGCAAAGGCTCAAGTTAATAAATCATCTCAACCAAAGAAGACCGCAAAGAAGAACCAGAAGACTCGAAAGAATGGATCTGAAAGTGAGACGTCTGGCGAGTCTGATCTGGAAGTGGAGCCTGAACCATCCCCACTACCTCCGACTCGTCCGACCGATCCCATTGAGGCTGCAAGTTATGACACTACAAAGGCAGTATGGTCTCCACGTAACTTGCATGTTCCCGCGGAGAAGGTAAAGGCTTCTTTGGTAGCATTTAAGGATGTTGTTAAGGCACTCCGTGACGGCTGGAAAGACCAGGTACAAGCCATGAAAACTGCAGAGAACCAGGGAGACAACGATAAGGCATCTCAAATTAAGCAATCGGTCTCTCTCTATCGTCGCACAATGGAGAGAATCATCTCTACCACGTTTGAGACCGGTCACCCTGTCATCATTGAAAAGTATGTATACCCGATGCGGCGTTCTTTCCTATCTGTCAAAGTTGATATTTGGTCTGCAATTTGTGATTGCCTCATTCCCTATCATTCTGACCTTGGACACTTGTTGCACCATCTTGCTACATGTGGATCTGAGACGTGCTCGAAGTCAATTTCCATCAGATTTGCGGGATATTCATTAAGGACCAAGTCATATTGTGACCTGTGCTGCTGGCATACCAACAGTCTCGGGCAATCTGAAAATGTTCCCGTACTTCGACCTCTCACGTGATCACGGGGCTGCAGCACCCAATTGGCTTTCATTCCTCCCATACAATATCTTTGCCATCAGACCATAATCACTTTGTCTGTCTCGTTTAACGACATTTATACTGACCAGACATCTATAATGCAGGCTTGGCGAACATCCGATGACTCTCTCTGTGTTCTACTCATTCCTAGCCGACCGGTTTCAGGCTGCTGACCTGGACGGTTCATTGACCATCAGCCTACTGAAGGTTCGTTTGATCTCAGCACATCCATTTTCTTAGACTGAGAATCGTTTCACTCACAAATATCTTAGCTTCTCGCGCGATTCGTGACTGTAGACGAGGAACTACTCCAGAAAACGAACATGGCTAAATTGCTTCCTCGTTTTGTCAAGAAGGGCACCTCATCCACTAAGGAACTCGCGCAGAATATCCTAGACAATGCTGCTGTCTCTACCAAAAGAAAACAAAGTAATACAAAGCCACCTAAAGAGGAGTCACCTGCCAAGCGCGACTCGCCCTCGGTGGAAATCGCCGGAGTTAAACGTTCTCGTGATAATGAGAGTCACGCTCAGCCCGCCACGAAACGCATGGTGGTCACCTCGAGTTCCAGAGAGAACGGAAAGTCGTCTCCTGCGCCGGTGGGCCCTGTCAAAAGAGCTGAAAATGGCTCACAGAATGGCAAGCCTCCCACTACCCAGGTTGCTCCGCGGCCCAAGGCTCCGGTGGCTGCCCCTAAGCCCACAGTATTCTTCGGTGCACTGAGTTCTGCATCCAAGAGACTGGGTACTACGAATGCAGAGAGAAAAGCCGCCCAGGCAGCTGCCAAATCTACGTATGTCCAAATCACATCACTCTGAAACCAAGTCATGTCCTGTGGAAGTATTAATCATTCTTCAGACCACCCCCGGAAACGAAAGAAAAGCCCGCCCCACCTGCGCCAAAGCCAGCATTTTCATTTGGGGACCTCATGGCTGATCTCAACAAGCCAAAGCAAGCCGTCGTTGCGAAGCCTTCTGAGGATGTCCCGCTCGAAACTGAGGAGGAGCGACAGAAGCGGCTCCGGAAAGAGGCTCGACGTAAACTTCGTGTTACCTGGAAGCCGGATGAGTCCTTGACAGAGATCAGATTATTCACCCATGATCCTGACGAGGAGCTCGGCCCGGGAGATGGATCCCTACGTAGTATGGGTGATGTCAAGGGCGAAGGTAGTGTGCTCAAGCTTCACAAGGATCTAGAGGAGCTTGAGGAGGACGATCTTGGTGGCATTCGGGAGGTATCATTGAGTCCCTACGCCGAGTTGTCTGAAATCCTCATCGAGTCTTCGGAAATGAAGTCGGCGAACTTCATTAAACGAGGTGGTGATGAGCAGCCCGTCAGCCAGGAGAAGTCAGAGCAAGACCAACGCGAGGCGACGACACTTATGGTCTTTCATCCATCTCCCGCGGATGTGCCTTCCACCCCGAAAGAACCTCCTGCTGCTGCTGACCCCGGTGAGAGCGCTACCGAAGTGGTGCCATTCGGCGATATCCCGGACAACGTGAAGGTATGATATCCGCAGTTCGGTACTTCGATAGCTCCGATGTGGGAAATTGTCTAACGATCACAACAGATTCGGCAAGAACGGTACTACGAGTTTATCAATCCCAAGCCCGCGCCGGTCTCCAGCTCAATGCCGGTCCCTGGTGTTCCCAGTGCTCCCGCTGCTGTGCAGGCCGGGACTCCCGGTTTCGACATCTCCAATTTGCTCAAACTGATAAATGCTGGTACGGCGCCGCAACCACCTGCAGTCGCTGCACCAAGCCAGCCGGCGGCCCAGCAATCACCTTTGTCTGACCTCGAGCGAACGATCAACATGTTCCGTCAGCAACAGACGCAACCAACAATTCCTCAGATACCTCAAATCCCTCAGGTTCCACTTCCCCAGGTTTCGCAGGTTCCTATGACGCAGCCGCAGGTTGCGCCAGGTGGCGTAAACTTCCAACAGCTCATGAATGTCATGCAGCAATTTCAACAAGGTGGTGCTTTCCCTCCGAATCAACCGGCGCAAACACAATCTGCAATGGCCCCCGGCATGGGCGCCATGCTGTCACAGTTCACCGCTCAAAACCAGCAGGCCGTCTCATCCACGCACTATGAGGACCCTGAGCGTAAGCGAACACGCGATGTCGGTCAGTATGGCGATCAGTATGATAGCCAGTGGAGTCGCGGCAAGCGAACTAAAGCCAACGACCCCAAGCCTGTATGTTCCAACCCTTTTTCCCCCCAATTCCTCGAGGCGCATATCGCGACTTTGTACTAATGAACTTTCGAAAACAGTACAAGGTCGGACTGGTCGCCTGCAGATTCTGGAAAGAAGGTAAATGTAGGAAAGGCGACAACTGTACTTTCCGGCACGACCCATGATCTTTCAGTATTCATCAAAGAGCCGAACTACCCATGGATCTCTTCGACGATCATCCTGAGCAATCGTCTAATTTCCAGACTCGCACCCTTGCCTATCACAGCCACTACGATTATTCAAGTCCTTATGTATTTTTAACTTGCATTTCCCTTCACGACGGGGCACGCCGTCGAACCAAACCTTATTCCCATGAACGAGACCGTCCGGGCCGTTCCAGACAACCTCTCCTTTGCATTTTTCGAGGTTCTTTTCCAGGCGGTCCCTTCTATTCGAAACCAAAAACACTTGCATAGCGCCCTTCCACGTCGGGCGCATTAGGTGGCACTCGGCGTTTCTCGATCCCTATCTTACTTTTCTTTCACGACAATGTGGCCGCCGGACCTTCGATATCATCTCTGTTACTTCGAAGTTGTCTGTGTGGAATCATCCCCGGCACACTTGGCTGCAACCACTGGTTCACCGGCGCATGTATCTCTCTACCCTTGCGCTTTGTCAGAGCATTGCGAAGAAGCGCGATGTATCATAGGATAATTCCTCCCAGATTATGGATTAGCAAATTATCTCTCTTTTATTTAAAAGATTAAGTGACTACACTTAGGACTTGGAAGAAGTTTTAGAGCAGAAAATATCCGGTATAGCACATCGTATCTTGCAAGAAATGATTCACAATTCGATTCGAAGTTTGTCCAGAGGCCACCATCCTGGACATTTGCCCCCAGGCTTAGTACTTACGTGGAAAAAGAATCAGGCCTCCTCCCAACTAGACGTGATGTACCCTCGTACATCCGCTCCAGAATGTTTCGCATGAGCTCGACGTCAGGAGCTTCCGCGCCCCACTCCTTTAACGTTCGAATCGACATCCGCATAAGCGCAGGCCAGTTTTGCGGCGGCTCAAGGATCCAGCCAGGCTTACAGGCATGAAAGTTACTGAGCACGGCGGCGATGATCTGCACGGCGGCACCGAAGCTGCTCCTCATAACGTTCCAGATCCACTCATGGCGGAACTGATACCACCAGTAAGGAATGATTTCAGCGCAATTTGTGAGGGCGTTGTGAGCGTGCATGAAGATTTGCTGGAGGATTGCTGCGTTTTCTTGGGCTTCGGGTGGTAGGAGGTGGACGTGACATGCGAGGTAGAGGACTGGACGGTATATCTTTTCCAGAGATATTGCACGGCGACCCCAGAGGTACCATTGGACACGCTCAAAGTCCTTAGCCTGTGATGCACTTGACACTAGTTGTTCTCGAGTCATGTTGTACCTAGGAGGCAAAAAAAAACAATTAGTCAATGGATGCATAGGGTGTTTATAGGCCGTGACTGGATTTAGAAATTCGGCTTTGATAAGAGGTCTCTAAATCAAGAGAGAGGTCCACTTCTACATACCATTCCTCAATCACTTGAATAGCGTCTGAAGTTCTTCGTATGACACGTGCAGCGTCACTGAGCCATCGCCTTTCACCATCACGCCATAAATCTACCAGTGTGTCGTTCACAGTCCGGCGGTTGCAAATTGAGCCTATGTAGAGGATCCAGCCCTTCGATTCATCTGTATCGCTGAGTATGAGATCATTCTGTGTCTTGACAGGACTGCTGTGATCCTCTTCCATTTTGTCTTCCGGGGATGTCGAATTGGTCTTGGAAGGGAAGGGATCCGAATAGCCCAGATTCTCTAAGCCACTACTCCACAGAGGTAGCTCACTCTGCATTTCGCTAAAAAGTTTTCGAGACACGGTCAGTGACGAGCACTTTGATTGTGCAAGTATTATCTGCGAACAAATTCGGACAAGGTACTTACTGTTCAGCCTGAATACATGACCAATAGAGACGCGACTCGAGATTGTGGTAATCGGTATCAGCCGCCCACTGCTTCCTGCATATGGATCGGAGGCGTACTTCTAGCCTGCAAGACGCCTGCTGAAAACAGAACCATGCCTGTAAGGGACGCATCATATGTCGATGGAAGGATCCGGCGAGCAGAAAGCAGGAAATGTCGGTGGGAGAAGTATGCAACGAGCCGAATCGTTGCTTTGCTGCATTGAAGTAGGTCTCTGCGAGTTCGAGATTATTGTCTGACGGCGGCGGTCTAGGCATAAGATCCAAGTTACGGTGGACTTCGCTTGGAGGAGCAAAATTTGTTGCAGAGCAGCAGCCGAGAGCGCATGCGAGGAGCTATAGGATTCGGCAAGAAATCCATCACATCTTTCGATGAGCTTTCATACTTTCTAAGCCACAACGGAGGTTCGAGCAAATCATCGACATACCACCTGACAGGACGGCCCGTCCCATCCCAACCCATGTAAGGTGACCTCCTTAGCATAGCGTTCAAGCTTGTCTCTGTCCACAACAGGGTTCCGGGGGTGTATCACCTGAATGTATCTGTGGCATAGACCTTGAATATCATCGAGAAGCAATCCGGCACCAAGTTGTCGGGGCGGTGGTATCACAGAGCTTTGCTGACTGTCTAGTGAATCCAGCAGAAACGAGCGGATGTGCTTCTCAGCTTCGGTCACAACCTGGTCGTAGACGGGCCATCGGATCATATGCTCCGGGGAGTTAGCTGCATAAAGCTTCAGGGGGTCATGTTCGTCGGATCGATCTTCGACCCCTGAAGTACTCGTGCGTAGATGGCTGCTGCCCGAGCGAAGATCCTCTCGGGGACTAGACTCGTTCTGCATTTTGGCCTCAAAAAAAGAGCTCCTGATGGAACGGCCCGAAGAGAGGGTGGAGCCACCATCTTTCTTGATATCCTCTAGTAACGAGGTGATATGTCCAAGTCGCGAGAGAATCTCATTGCTGGCCGAGTCAAAGCTACCCCTTTGACAAAGCGGTAAGAACTTAGCGACCTATGTCTCTTTTGACACCGACAGGGACCAGGAATACCAGCCACACGTCGAACTCACTGTGTAGGATGCGGCGAGGTCTCGGGGTAGATGCATTCGACCCCTTGAATGGAGCAATAGCTGCAGACGGGTCTTGAATTGTCGCACCGAGTCTTCCGCAGGCGGCAAGTCTGACACGCCGTGGGAGCTCGTGTGCGACTCTCGCGCTTCCTGCCGAGTCTGGGCTCCGCGATATCCATGATGCTGGCCGCCGAATGGAGACCGGTTGATTACCCTGTTGAGAAAGGTCGGCCTGAGATCATGCAATAGTGTCGGGGAGTATCGGGGAGCCGGGGAGAATATATTGTTGTCGAGTTATCTCGCCAGACGCGTGCGTGACTGAGGGACGGCGTCATGTACCGAAGAGAGGGGCGGAGCCCTGCCGTCTCAGCTGACAAAAGTTCCAGCTCGAATGGAAAGGACGGTACTGTTGCTTGATCCATTCATTGTACTTCTCACACTGCCTGTTCGGTTGTCGTGGACCGGGTGTCTTGGTGTGACCGGATGAGGCAAAGGGTTGCCGTCGAACAAAGAAAGCCAGAACTCTCTCATGGACTGGTCAACGCTTCGGCCTCACCTGTAAGATGCTCAGGTTGGAGCAGGGATGCGATTTTGGGTACCCAATCCAGTGTGTTTCCATGCCAACTTTGGGCTCGACCTTTCTCTTTCCGGACGGCTTGGCACCGTGGCCATACTCCCTGTCGTGGAACCCTTTGGCATGCGCCAGTGCGAAGCAAGGCATTCGAACGCAAGCTATCAACGATCGCATAACATGGTAGCGTCCAAAGACCTGTTCGGCGATCGCGAATTCTCCCACGAGCTTGCTTCATGCTTAGCTGCCCCGCTTCACTCGTGGGAGCTGAGTCGATGACATCGGCCAAGCTTCTGGATACCCCAGTTGGAATCCACACTCCGGCAGGGACCGTCGTTGGATGTCGCTGATTCGCCCTCGCAAGGCCTGTCAGCTTGCGGCATCAAGTATATGAATGGACCTACCGAGGATATAGCAAAGTAATTATCATGATCATGAAGTAGTAGGGTAAACCATAGCTAGCAGGTCGCATTCTGCGTCGGATGTTGTGAGATTGCCAGAGAGGTCACAATCGGCGGCACTAGAAAATGTCGTCCCGATGAACGATGCCCCGTGACGGCACATGACCGTTTCCTACATTGTGGGGGAGTTGCACAAGAGTCAAGAATGTAGAATCGTCTGTTACATTTCATCAACATCGCTAACGTCACAAAAAAAGCAGCAGAATCGTTCCCGAAGCGCCGAGGAATTCGAATGTACATAGATGAAGAGACCGTGCATGGTAATTTCCTTCCAACGCCCTATCCAAAGAAAGATGAAGTCAAGATGCAGAAGAGGCCATGAAATGCAAGACGCGAGAATTATTCTTTCGTCACCGCCGACAGGCTGCGATCAGCGAAGTCGTTTTTTGCCCTTGCTCTGAGGAGCCTCACACAGCTCGGTCCAGGCGTCTTCAAACCCAGTCTTGCGAGCACCGATCTGACCCTCGTAGAAATCGAGCTTGCGAACAACTTCCATGGCACCGGTACCCAGACCCATCGTCTTGCCCATGATAATGCATTCGGAAACACCTTCAATCAAATCAGTGCGACCAGCACCACCGGCATCGAACAAATGATCCGCGGTCTTCTCGAAAGAGGCAAGCTGCAGAACAGAGTCACGCATCTTAGCGAGACCGAAACGGGTGATGCCCAGCACCTCTCCCTTGTAAGTCATCACATCAGCGAGGAGTTGCATGTGACGGGGATCGATGTCCATGTCTTTCATGACCTCGCTAATTTCGGTAATGATGGTACTCCGAGCAGCTTCAATGCCAAGCACCTCACGGGCCTCGATGACATTGTTCGTCCTGGTACGGAGACCGTCAACACCGGCAGTAGTCATACATTGCTTCAAGCCGTAACCTTCAACCAGAAGCGTGTTGGTGGTGCCCTTCTCGTCGGTCCGAATGATGGCACGTGCGGCCTGAGGATGACCCATGATTTGAATATTAGGCATCAAACGCTTCAGGTGCTTGAGACGCAGGAATGGATCCGCACTAGTAGCGGCGATCTCAGTCTTGGACAAGCCCTGCTTGCTAACGGGGTCGAGGTCGATGACAAGAGTGATAGCGTTACGGCTTGTGCGGAACTTCAGGTCATCACCCTTGAATCGTTTGTGATTCTTGATCGCAGCCACAATCTGAGGCATGGTGATTTCAAGCTGGAGATTGTCAATCGTCTGTTGGTTGATCTTAGCGGTGATGTAGGCCTCGCTGCCCGTCCACACCTCAGTGATAGAGTGAATGACGTCCCGCAAGTAGGTTTTCTCAATGCGACCTTTGACAATACGGGCCGAAGCAAGTTGATCCTTGGTGACAAGCTCGCATGCAATAACCGGAGTACTGATCTCTTTCGAAGCGTTGATGATTTCCTTGATACGAGGCACACCCTGGGTGATACTCATACCGGCAACACCAGCGAAATGGAAAGTTTTCAGTGTCATCTGAGTACCAGGCTCACCAATCGACTGGGCGCCGACTGCACCTACAGCATGGCCAGGCTCGACTTGAGCCTTCTTGTACTTGAGCAGACAGGCAGTGATGAAAGCTCTGAGCGTGGTCTCGGTCAACTTGCCAGTGTGATCCAAGCCCTTGCGGCTTCTCGCATCGGAGGGATCGTAGTCACCGCCACGAGAAATCAGTTTCTCAGCCTTATCCTGAACGTATTGCTCAATCGAATCGAGGAAATCACGAGCACTTTCGAATTGGTCAACACCATGATCACTCCTGTCCATGTAGCCGAGCTCATTGCCCATGAGATCCTTGCGAACGAGTTTCGCACGCTCCTTCTCAAGCATCTCATGACACACGTCCATGATCTCCTGTGGCAACAAGCTGCGCTCGTCGTTGTTGTACGTGGTCGATTCTGAGTGAATGAAAGTCCGGTCAAAGTGTACTGGCTTGGCCTTGCCTTCCATGTCGACGGGATCCAGCTTATCATCACCGTACTGGAATTGCACAATTGCAGCCGAAGAATTTCGCACAGTGTCATCATATCTGGTAGATAGATCCTCAAGAGACTTCATCAAACGACGAGACATATAACCGGTTTCGGCAGTCTTGACAGCAGTATCAACCAGACCTTCACGACCGGACATGGCGTGGAAAATGAATTCAGTGGGTAGAAGACCTGAGAAGAAACTGTTTCGCACGAAACCCTTTGAAGGTGGCTGGCGTGCGTTTTTGGGGAAATGGGGGAGTGTTCGATCTTGGAAACCGTCCTGAACACGAGAACCCCCAATAATCTGCTGGCCGACGAGAGCAACCATCTGGGACACGTTGATACTGGAACCCTTGGAACCGGACGTAGCCATGATCAGGGGCGAATTGTATTTGCTTAGCTGGGCAATACATTCGTCGCCAGCCTGTTGACGAACTTTACTGAGAATACCCGACAGTTGATTTTCCATGGTCTGCAACTCGTCACAACCGGGATATTTCTCAAGCGTGCCGGACTTGTACTTGGCGATGACCTCGTCACAAGCGGCGTAGGCTGCTTCCACAAGGTCATTCTTCGACTGAACTAGACGGGCGCTGGGGTAGACGTCTCCAATACCGATGGAAAAGCCGATGTTCGTAAACCAACGGGCCGATAATTTTGAAAGACGGTTCATGCCCTCCGCGGCAGCCGGCGGACCATAATCACGAAGCATGATGTAGAACACATTGTCTTTCTTTCCGGAACCGATTGTGGATTTGTCCATCACACCGCACATGACTTCGGAGTTACGGATCACGAGCCAGCCATCATTGGGATCCAAATCCTTGGGTCGACCATCTTTGGGCTGTTTAAACTCCCGACAAGCAGCGTCAAGATTGACAAGCACTGGATCCTCCTTGTTAGGGTGCATCAGAATGTTGAACACTTGCTTACCGGTCCAAAGCATCTGAGGTTTGAGCACCGACGGAGGAGGAAGATCGAATTTTGTGTCATGGCCCAGCATGTAGAGACAAATTTGAGTGAATGATCGACGGTCAAAAAAGTTGTCTTTGCTACTGAGCAGGTAGGCGGCACTGATGAAATCCTGAATGGCAGAAATGATGGGTTCGCCGTTCTTCGGTGTGGCCAAGTTGTTCTTGACACCCATCAGCTCCATGGCCTCTGCTCTTGCCTCTTCCGTCTGAGGTACGTGCAAGTTCATTTCATCTCCGTCGAAATCAGCGTTATAAGGATTACACACACATTCGTTCAAACGGAATGTGCGATGCGGCCGAACTCTGGCAAAGTGAGAAAGGATACTGAGCTTGTGCAGCGACGGCTGGCGGTTGAACAGGACGATGTCACCGTCCTCGATGTGACGCTCCACAGTGTCGCCCTCCTGCAGCTCATTGGCGACGTGCCTCAAGTTACCGTACTTCAACATCATCTTGAAGTCGGAATCCTTCTTCATGAGATAATTCGCGCCAGGCCACTTCTTGGACCCATTCAACACTCGCTGTTGGAGCTTTTCTTTGTTGTAGCGAGTCACAACTTCGGGGTATGTCATGTTCTTCGCCACGAGTTCAGGTACAGCGACCTCATCGACTCGCAGATTAGGATCGGGCGAGATGACTGTTCGTCCAGAGAAGTCGACACGCTTGCCTGACAAGTTTCCACGGAACCGACCCTGTTTACCTTTCAGTCGTTGCACGAAACCACGAATGGGTTTTCCTAGATCTGCCTTGTTCAAGCCCGGCACATCACTGTTGATATAGACCGCAAGCTGCAACTGCATGTAATCCCAACACTCCATGATTGTCTGAACAGGCGCACCCTTAAGTAGGGCGTTTTTGAGATTGATATTTGACTGCACAATGTCTCCCAGCTTAGCCGTCAAATCGTCTTCCGTCGAGGCGCCCTCCTGGCCCACGGAAGGCCGAATACAAACTGGAGGAGCAGGAATAAATTGCCACAAGAACATTTCCGGTCGAGCTTCCCTCGGATCAAGCCCCAGCAGCTCACAGTCGCTGTTGGAGATTTTCTTGAAAAGCTTCAGCACCCGCAATGCGTTCATGTCATCCTGTGCTTTCTTGAAATGTTTTTCAATCTCCGCATTCGAATGACGGGCTTCGGCAAAAGAGTCGTCGAAAACAGTCTTGCTGATTGGCGGCTGTTTCTTGACAGAGGTTGACGAGTTGAAGGCGCGGAACTTGTCGTGGATAATTTTCAAGGCACTTGAGCCGGCCTTTTTCACCACGCCGTTGATGGCCTGGCAGTGTTCGCATTGTCGGGTTTTTCGGCAACGTTCGTTGATCCGCTTAGCAATCTGCATTCGTCGAAGGTTGTCCAGACCCGGTCGGCGCATTTCACGCAAGAAGGCACGTCGCTCAGTCTCAGGAAGCAGGATGCGTGAACATTCCTTGCAAATCTCTTGTAAAATACCAATGACGCGCTTGAAGTAGCCTACGTGGAAGGCGGGCAGGACGAGTCGAACGTGACCGAAATGTCCGTTGCATTCCTTCAACATGTGTCCACAGGTCTTGCATTGTGCTGTTTTATTCGAGATACCCATGCGCGCGTCAAGCGGGCCATTGGATACAACCGCGCGATCATGATCAAGATCGAAGAATTTGCGATCTGAAACTTCGACAACGGCTTGGCTGACGATATCATCACTTGTTCTAAGGTGGAGGCGATACCACGTTAGCGACCAGCATGGCGCAAAAGCATTGACTTTACAAAGCAGAGAACTTCACGTTGACACTCACAGAACGCCGAATTTCAGCTCCTTAATGACCTTTGGAACACGATCGATGACCTGGGCCTTGCCCAGGTCGATCTGAGAGCTCTCTGGGGGCTGCATTGCGCCGTGGTCAAGGACAGGACATGGCCAGATGACTCAAGGCTGACTAGACTGTAACAAACGGATAGCCGGAGGGATCGACGACGCGTGCCCAGAATTTCGATTATTGACGCTCGCACAGCAGCCTTATTCAAGCGAATATGAGGTCAAAAAAGGGAAATGCCGATGCCGACCATGAGTTCTGAGGGACAAAGGAAGCAGGCGAAGACCAAGAGAGGAATAATCAGGAATATCGGCCGCGGCGGGGTCCGCGAACTTTTTTCTGCCATGAAAGCTCCCACCGCTCCGGAGCATGGACGACACGCTGTAGCAGCCAATCAAATCATTGAGACCGACTCTACAATAACGGTAGTATGCACATGCATGCTCTGCACAGCCTCGACCATTCAAGTCCGAGAAGACACAAGTACCCAGCTCGTGTCTTCAACAACCAAGCAGTTGACGCCAACTAATTGGCAAGACTCGTCTCTCAAAGTTCGCGATAAAATCCGCCTAACCCAAAAATCGAAATCATGATTGACATGTATCTAGATCCATCCATTCTGAAAAACTACGGCTTCATTCTCAACGTGGGACCTGGGCTTCACAGAGATCCAGTCTAGGTTTGAATATCAAGCTGCGACTTCCTGCATCCACAATTCAACCCATCATTTGGATATCTTCGACTTGCCTGCCCTGTCATGGAAGGGGTATATAGTGAAAGAACTACGCGGTCGCTTGGAAAAAAGACTTTAACATCAAAGTTGAACATTCACCAGCAGTTTCCTCATTATCGAAGACCGGGGCAGTTGCATGTACTGATCACAGAATCGTCACACACCAGGTTTGAATTGCAGTCAAGCCAACTGAAGCATATCGCGCAGTTTGGTGGCAAAATGGAATCTATTGACAATGCAGAGATATTCATTCAATGTGATGAATCGAGCTTCAATAGGTTCTGCTCAATGGGTGCTGACTCAAGCTTGATTCAACTTGGAGAATCCGCCCGCGGGGGGCTGCAGCCAGTTTCTCTTGTCGTAATCCCAGCCCTCCGCACCTTCGATGACGTGGAAGGTGTACGCATACCGACTGCGCGGGCTGGTGTTCTTCTCACTCTTGTGAAGCACGTTGCCGTGAATGAGGACCAGAGATCCAGCTTTGACGGTGAGAATCTCCAGGTCATCATCAGTGGGTTCATCAACTTTTTCCTCTTCCATGCCTTTGGGCAATGAGGGACCATCATTTGCGATGAATTCGGTCCCCTTGTTGTCGGCCTTTCTCACAAATCGACGCGCGATGTGGCCTCCCTTGCAGCCCTTGTGGGAGCCTTTCCACATGCCCAGGGTGGCATTACCCGGCCCGGAATCCTGCAAAGCATACCACCATCCGACAGCAGATGGCGGGTTGGTGTACAGGAATTCGGAGTCGCGATGCGATGGAACAGCTCCACCTATTGAGGGCTGCTTGCAGATGACCATGCTCTGAAGCACGCGGGGGTCAATAAAGCCAAGAGACTTCGCAATGGCGGCATTCTTCTCATTGAGCGAGATCGCCTTGAATGGAGGCGACAATGAGTGCAAAGAATGGCCGACCTTGTTGATGGCGAGATGCTTCGGTTTCAAAAGCGCAGGGCGGCCCGTTAAAGGATCGGGCTCGGAAGTGAAAGCTTCAGGCTCGAAAAAGAAGCGGATTTTGTCACCGGATTCTAGAAAGTATTCATCTCCCACGTGGTCGGATTGCTCGTCATCGCCGGTGGTGAATTGGGTGAGAGGATGAGACTCGAGAGAGAAATCATTCAGTAACTGATTGGTCTCTTTCAAGACAGCGTCAATGTCATCTTGACTCAAACATTCAGGAATAACGAGATAGCCATTCTCATGGAAGGAAGCGACCTGAGCTTCAGTCAAACCAGACATCTTGGTGCACGTATGATCCAGGTCAGTTGCCACGAGGACTTCTCCAGATTGTGGCAGAGGCGGGGAAGGATGATAAGCGATCTTGAATGATAGTTGACTGATCAAGAGCGGGTTGGTGGGTATCGGAGGCTGCCGTCGGCAATCGGCAACGCCTTTTCTGGAGCGATAAGAGCTCCGACAGCGAGAGGCTGTGGCTTGGGAGAACGGAGGTTGCAGGCAAACCCTGGTCGTGGAAAACGGATTTGATCAAGAATCCTTGTCGTTGGTACTGGATGTACCTAAGGTACTCGTAACCTGCGGTCGATCGTGCCCATACGCGTGTCAGTCATTATGTTCCAACCTATTCCCGAGACACGGCGCACTTTGAATTGATCCCAACTAAGAAACTAGCTCCTTTGCGTTACCCAAGCCCAAGTCACGATAGACCTTGGTCATCACTCAAGCACACCTCTGATTTGACTGCAGCACCCGACAACTCGTTGCTTTTTTTTTCGCCTCGGCTGAACGGGCCAATTACCAAATAACCATGAGGTGGAGATAACACAAGCCTCAAAAACTGGAAAGAAAGTGACAATTTGACTGAATAAATTGATACAATAAAAGCCAGAATTGGCAGCTTTTGCACGATTGAAAGACGCCGAAAATGGCCGGATATCTGAAAAAGCCAAACAGTCGCATCCCAATGCAAATTTGTATCACCCAAAACCACAAATATGTTTCACCCTCGAACGAACCAGTCGAAAAGGTCATCGATTCATATCATTGAAGCTGAAATCACAGTGTTCGTCTTCTTATTCATGAGATTCTCAACTAGCATATCCCATGGTCACCGAGGGTCGAGCGGGTGCGTATTTGCGCACGGCTCTGCTTGGGCTGCAACCCACAGAGCCAATGTCAATAGTCTTGAGTTCGCGGCTGAGGGCATCCATGCCCGGGTTCCCAGTCATCGCCTGGTTAGCTACCACGGGATACTCAGGAGCTCCATAGGAAACTGGCACCTTCGCTGGAAGAGGAGGCCCTGTATGGTAGTCGTACAATGGAGATCGAGAACCCGGGGAAGGGGACACAGAGCCACGGGATGAGCGTGGTCGCTCTCCAGGGGAAGGTTGGCCATAACCCCGACCGTTGGAGTAGCTACTATAGCTCTCCTGGCTACGTTCGCCGCGAGGGGGGGTCCGGTCCACAGGCTCGCGATTGTGAACATGTGACGGGGTGTATGCAATACTCGCTCGGTCATGCTCGGCCGGGGTGCGAAACCCTACACGCGGTGGCCCGGCAGGGCGAGCGGTATCGTTACCGCGAGATGTGGGACGTTGAGAATGTTTAAATCGGATGATCACTTCGGGTTTCCGGCCCTTTCTCTCAGGCTCGGGAGCCCAGGTATCGGTTGGAAGGTGGTCGGACGGATCGATCTCGCGACCATCATCTCCAATGATCGGCTGATCGGAGTCTCGATGAGGCTCGATCTGGCTGCGGAGGGCTGTATCTCGAGCCTGAGATAGAGTGTCGTACGCCGGCAAAGGCTCAGAGCCGCCTCCTGAACGAGAGGATCGGGGATTGAAGGAATCATATGAATCTGGAGAAAATGGCACAGATGAGCCTCGAGAGATCGGGGGCGCTGGGCTCACCGATTTCCGCGTGATCATACGGGAATCGGAGGTTTGCGAGATGCCTCGATGGCGTGTAGAGGCGCGGTCATCAATGGGCTGCGGAGACGTTCGAAGGGGGTAAATTGTGTTGTCGTAGGTCGAAGGAACGGCTGCAGACGCATACGATGGAGTAGCTACCGGAACCATGGCAGAGCTACTGGCTGCCGACAAGGGCTGCGGAATCATCATCTCATCCTCGAGATGACTCGCACTGCCTCTGCGGCTCAGGTGTCCCTCGTAGACGCGCTCACGCTCTTCACTCTCATATCCAGCCACCAGGCTCGCGGGCATGGTGGGGGATCGGTTATCTGTGTACACCGGACTGTACGGGGTGTAAGGTGGCTGTGAGTGAGGCACAGGTTGTTTTGTCGGGGACGGCGGTTGAGCCATGCGGGAGCGATGAACTGGAGGAGGTGGTGGCAGAGCGTCTTCTTCCTCATCTTCTACTCGCGGTTGCATTGTAGCATATTCCGGGTGATACGGATCCGACCGAGGGGCGGGAAGAGCCTTTAAAGCCCGCGGATGGTACCTGAAGTCATCTACTGGCCCAGATGATGAAGTCGGCCGCGAATATTGGAGGGGTGCGGGCTCTTCAACATAAGCTGAATGGTGCGGGGTGAAGGTTGAGACGTGACCAAATGTCATAGGGTTCGCAGTGTATTGCGGGGAAACAGCAGAGCCCTGCAGGTTGTGTGACTGTGCATGTCTGTCATATGTCATTCTTTCAGGCGCAATCATTGGCTCCAGTGATGGTTCTGGAATCGATCGATAGCTTTGAGGGACATGATCAGAATCGCCATGACTGCGAGAAGGAGCTACATGACGGGGTTCGTAATGCGCAGAAGGCGACTCGACGGACATCCGAGGATCTTGGACGTTGTTTCGAGTCGTATTCATAGGTTGAGCGTGTTGTGTCGGGTTAGAAGACTGGTCTTGGTAATATGGCTCGATGGAGCCATTAGTTTCCCTCGTCCTCGAATTCGGACCAACTTGGTTGTAGGTGGGCATACCGCGGGGAATTTCATGCTGAGTTTGTGCGTAGGTGGTGGCATCGGGTCTAGGAAGCTGAGTAGGCGCGGGTATGCTATGCGGTTGTTCTCGTGCCACGGGGCGAGATGGCTGAGGATGTTGTGGCGCCGCAGGCGCTGAGTGAGTGTGTTCCACCGTGGAGGGTCTATGTGCAGGAGCCGAATGCGTGGCAGCTCCAGAGGGATCAGTCGGCAGCGGACGTCTCTTCACTTTTTCCAGCGTCCGTGGTCCCGACAGCCCCGTAGATGTTGGGCCACTGCTGACGGTCTTGCCTTGTACCTTCTCTGCTGCCTCCTTCCGCTTCACGATGACTGCCTCGTCTTGTTGACGGGTGTCGTAGTAGGTCATCTCGATTCGAACGTCACCGGCATACTTGCCACGGCATTGCAGAGGGTGCCAGTGATCGTTCTGGCTTCCTCCTGGAATGATCAAGTTTTGTAAATCAATCCAAGTCTCTCCGATCAGATCCGTCTTCTTGTCGTCATTGAAGATGGAAACTTTGAGTTTGAAGTAATCTGGAGACTCGTGTACTGTGAATCTCAGCTCGTAGTCCCTGGCCGTGGCTTCGAGTCAGCGTCTGAGTCGGTGACAAGGAGGATATACTGATTGAATCTCACCATTTTGGGGTCTGTCCACCACGGAGATCTGTGGGTGTTTTCTTTGCTTCTTTGCCTAGCCGTGCTGCACAGTAAGGATTTTGCTTTCCCATCGTCTTCCGGTTAGGTAAGTTCTTTGCACGATCGATAATGGCGACCAGGGTGCCGATAGCAGGCCCGTCGACGGACATGTCCGCAAAGATACCGGCAGCATGATTGATCTTGGTCAGCTTTGACATGGTGGGAGATAGAGCAAGAACTTTGGGTCTTGCTCAGTCTTAGTAGCGATTGTAGAGGCTTGTCACAGAAGTCGCATCAACGAGGCTAGTAAATACAGCCCTGGGATGCTGTCGAAGATGAAGAGCAGGAGGAGGGGAAAGAATAAATGCCCTTGGCTGGAATGTCAAGACCGGTATTGGAGGGGGCTGGGGATCCCCGCTTGAACCCCTGTGATTGGGCAAGACCCCTGATATGATCTGACTTCAGAGTCTCCAGCACGGTGGATCCGGCCAATGTGACAATACATGACAATACACAAGGTTCCAGATCCACGATAAACAAAGTAACAAACCCATCTGTTTACCTGGACTGGGACTATCCAAGCTTATTTTGGATCCATAGGAATCAGGATACCTAGGTTTCCAATACAGTTGAACCATGAGATACTATTGCTACCCATTACATACTACCCAACACACACTACACACTACAGTACTACACTAGTGAACAGAGTCACAGACCACAAACCATTGTTTGGCGATTGGGCAAATACCAAAGCCACCCACATCCATCTCCAGCTCAGCCTACGTCAGCCCTACCATATTTACCGAGTACCGATTCGAACGTGCACGTGAATAATACCTCTATCAGCCGTCCTCACCAGCCTCTTTTCGAGCAAATGAAATTCGCAATGTACTTCGATCACTGACAGGCGTTCAGTCTAACCCTACCCGTTGGCAAGAGACGCGCTTCACGTTTCGCGTTTCTTAGTCCTTAAATACGACGAGACATGGAGTTCTTCAAGGAGCAGTGGATCAATCAGCAGCTAGGTTGGAGGAAGTGCAATTCTCGCGCTAGATTCAATATGCAATAATATGTATGCACTATGCAGGCCTGCAGTAGCCTGAAGTACGTATGCGCCATGTATAGATTGCCCAGCCACCACAGCCGCCAACCGCCGCATGGGATGTGGAACAAAGTCAAAGATACATTCTCCTCCCCCCCCCCACCGGGTAGTGTAATGATTGGTGCAATGGCTGAGAAACATGATTCTATGCGGCAGTGAGAACGTTGAATACCTGTTCACTCTCAGCACATTCTGACGGTTTTAATTTCCGACAGAGCCACCATCGGGCACTGGACCCCACTCGGGCGATTTGACTTAAAAACGATCCAGAACATCAGAAGGCGCTTACAGACTTCAAGCCAGGATTGCCATGACGACAAGCACCTGCAAACCCCACCGCTTTGTAGTGAAGTACAGAGATTTATAGTAAGTTATGTAGTATGTAGTATGTAGTTACTAACTACGTAGGGATGTGGTGTACTACTGCAATAGGTATAGGGTATCGAGTATAGACTCAAGAAAACTGGTCAGAACTACTTATCGTCCTGCGGGTCATTCGACCAGTCTAGATTATTTGACAAATACTGTCCAGTGTCTAACTTACTAGTCTGAGATGTCCATGACGGAATATGATACAATGCTGGTGAGAAGTTCAATAACGAATTGCGACAGGGGATTGCTGTTGCCTACACTGGCGTTATGGTATATCCCCGCACGCTGGTTACAGAAAACAAGTAGTACGTAGCTCCATGCACTGCCAAGTTGTGATCGTGCTTCAAGACCCTGTTTCTCCGCCACATGTGGGGGTCCTACACGGAAAAAGTTCTTTTACATACGAAACACAATGAGATTTACAATTCAGATAGATATCATATTGAGCATCAAATGAGTATGATAAGAAAAACCTTAGTACTTAGTCCTACGAATATGGATATGTTTACGAATACGCCCATAGAGTACGTGAGTCAGTACGAGGCTTACAAGTAAGATTTCGACCCCATAGCCTATGAATGTAGAAGCTTGACCGCGCTTTTCTGCGCCCCATCAGTGTACCTCATTCCTGTGAATCGCATTGTACTACGACCGGGGACAATCTTCTAAATTTAGCCGAGAAAGTGAAAGAGCGGCGCGAAGATCTGGGAGGCAATCACGTTTACTATGGATGAATCTGGGTACTCACATTAAGATCGGAGGAATAGATAGCTCTGGTTGTATACTGTATGGTCGTGTTCGGCGTAGCTGGGGTGATCGATTGCATATGATAAATCGACTCTTATCATGGGCAAGTACCTAGCTGACAACTATCACTGCATTATCTCAATTTAATCAGGTGGGCACCATATTGGGTAGCAAACGCTGGTTGGGGGTCGGTTTCCACGTGCGCACCTACTGTACCTGAAAGAGTGCCTTGTGGCCTGACAGAGCTGGTTCGAGGAACCTTGACGCCTCAGGCCTCAAGATCCCTCGCCGCCATCCGCAAAGAGGTGCAAGTTTTTGGATCGGCAGAAAAAAAGATCCGCAAGCTTTTGTGACTGAACATCTTTGCGAGCCACAGGCGCTGATTGAAGGGTCTGTTACCAATTCACCACAGAGGAGCTGGATCATATTCGCTGTTCTGAGTACATCATTTGCCAATCATCATGGCGGCACCCGTCCTGCCTTTGCAGCAGGTGAAACTCGCCTCGCTGCCTTCTACTCGCCTGACTCCAGAACAGCAGTATTGGCGCACTTTCAAGAACCCTCTACTGATTCCCTCACCCGCCAATGGTCCTGTCAATCTCATCACACAACCTTCGGCGCCCTCATCATCTGCCGCTTTCCCCTCATTGACACAGCCTCCCGACGTCTTCACCGTGACCACCGGCGCGCGAGTGCAGATTTACTCCATCCGAACCCGAAAGCTTTTGCGAACGATCACTCGGTTTGATGATACTGTGCGAGGCACTGATGTGCGCCCCGATGGACGGATCTTTGTGGCGGGCGACGATACCGGAAAGGTGCAAGTCTTCGATGTGAACTCGCGCGCCATCTTGAAGACATGGACGGATCACAAGCAGCCTACCTGGGTCACAAAATTCTCTCCGAGTGACCCCACGACACTTCTGTCAGCGAGCGATGACCGCACGGTGCGACTGTGGAATCTAGCTTCAGACTCATGCGCGCGGACGTTCGTCGGTCACAGTGACTACGTCCGTAGTGGCTCATTCATGCCCGGCTCGATGGCCTCATCCGGACTCCTGGTCTCTGGCTCGTACGATCGAACCGTCCGTATCTGGGATCCCCGTGTTGAAGGCCGTGCTGCCATGACATTCAAGATGGCGGCTCCTATTGAGACAGTGCTTCCTATGCCGGCAGGCACCACAGTCCTGGCTGCCGCGGATAACAAGATCGGCGTTCTGGATATTGTGGCTGGAAAGCCATTGCATATCATCCAGAGCCACCAGAAGACTGTCACATCTCTCGCATTGGCTTCCAATGGAGAGCGTCTCATCAGTGGTGCGTTGGATGGCCACATGAAGGTCTTTGAAACGACGGGGTGGAACCCTGTTTCTGGCACTAAGTATCCATCCCCGATTCTCACTCTTAAGGTCATCACTTCTGGGATTGCCTACGAAGACCGCCACATCGCTGTTGGTATGCAGTCTGGACTGTTGTCAGTCAAGACTCGATTGTCTGGCCAGCAAAAGGTCAAGGAACGTGAACGTCAAAAGGAAATGCAGGCTCTGCTGGAGGGCAAGCTGGAGGAGCATGATCGCCAAGTTGCAAAGAAGCAGAAGCTTCGTGGATCAGGCTGGGAGAAGCGTCTCCGTGGACGAGACTTCACCGGTGAGGGAGTGGACATCATCATTGAAGGTCAGGACCGAAAGCGTCGTAAGAAGGAACAGCCCTGGGAGAATGACCTCCGCAAGGGACGCTATGCCGTTGCTCTCGATCAGGTCCTTTCCTCTACCGACAAGACCGCGCAGCTCACTCTCTTCACGGCGCTTCGACACCGTTCAGCGCTGCGTGCCTCCCTCAAGGATCGTGACGAAGTCACGCTGCAACCCGTCTTACACTGGATCTACAAGCATATCCGCGAGCCTCGCCTTGTGAATTTGTGTGTCGAGATCGCGATGAATCTCCTCGATATTTACTCGGGCAACCTCGGGCAGTCTGTGCAAATTGACAAGCAAGTGGAGCGTCTGCACAAACGAGTACGGGATGAAGTTGAGATGGCCCAGCACGCGTGCCAAACAAAAGGTATGCTGGACATGTTGAAGGTGACTTGATTGGAGCCTTCTACACGTGTTCAAGCTGGGTTGGAGTTTGTGCATATTAATGGCAGGTGTCTTACGGATTTGGAACGACCTTTTTTCTTCTTCTCTTTCTGTCGGTGTACATGGCGGGCCATCAAGCATTCTGTATATTGCATAGTACCCAAAAGTTGATCAATAGTCCACGAACTTTATGCGACTTTCGTATCATGCCTTCTGCTCTAGCCCTTGCGCCTTGTATTCAATGAACGTTTCAATGCCAGCTACTGAATGAGTCAGGGAGAGTCATACTACAAATCCGTGAAAGCATTCCGCGGCGACCCTAGAAATTTGCTTGCAACGAAGCGGATATGTACAAGACTTCAATATTCCAGTCACGGATCGAAGACGTCCACAGTGGGAAATGCCACTTGATCGGGCTGTAGATAGGGTTTCTGGAGGTACAGATGTGCATGTCCGGAGACCGAGTTTCCTCAGCCACTCCGGCATCCTACCATTCTTGGCTACCACCTACAAGTCACCACTTCACCTTCGCTTTCCCCACTGCAGAAAGATTCCGTTGCTCGAAACTAGCGACACTTTGGAACAAAAAACCATTTCAAGTTCTACTTGCGTTAGTTACACCGTCTCGTCCTGCTCAGCGCCAAACAGCACGTCATCTCATGATCCTGTCTGCCGAGTGACCACACGTGCGAATACCGAAGCAAACCCCCCCCATCTTTCCCCCCCTCTTATCCGCCCCGCTTCCACCTCCCCTCGGCCACCGAAGCAGCAGGAGAAAAAATAGAAAATCACACCAGCTCTCTAAGCTCCACCTTCGGCTCTACTGTGGGGAGGGTTCGAGACCGATTGATTGGCAATGCTCTGAAGAAAGGAGAGCAAAGATCGAGTTCGCCTACTCTGATTACATCGACACCGCAAAGGTCGACATCCACGGCACAGTCAGCACCTCAACCACTGGGCCGACCCAGAAATCAATCACGTCACGATAGCCTCGCCGGTACTTCACCATGGCCGCCGCCCTCAATGAGGAAGACCTGTCCGTCCCCCTAGCCCCCTCAGAAATTGATCAATCGCGAGACCGCAATCGGGAACGGGAACGGGAACGATCGAACAAGACGACAAGCTCGAATCCATCTGCGATGGCGATGCCTCCACCCTCGCGCCCGACCGGCCGCATGGATCCCACGACGCAGTCACCGGCTACCATGCGCGACATGCAGCGCCTCGATCAATACCAGACCGTCAAAATCCTGGGTGAAGGCTCGTTCGGCAAGGTCAAGCTTGCGATCCACCAACCCAGTGGACGACAGGTTGCGCTGAAGATCATCTCGAGACGCAAATTGCTATCCCGGGACATGGTTGGGCGGGTGGAACGAGAGATTCAGTATCTTCAATTATTGCGACACCCGCATATCATCAAATTGTGAGTTTGAGGAGCGCATTTTCCCCTGGTCATCACATCTTCATGACGTGATGGCCTGGATCATGGTTTTTATTTTCCTAGCCTCGCAACCAGATCACTGCCCTTTGGACTAGGCATATCTGACTGACGACCTGCCCCGCCTTTTCCATAGATACACCGTCATCGCAACCAAGACCGACATTGTCATGGTCCTTGAATATGCAGAGCGCGAATTGTTCGACTATCTTGTTCGGAAGGGAAAATGTGGTGACGACGAAGCCCGCAAGTTCTTCCAGCAAATTATCTGCGCCGTCGAGTATTGCCATCGACACAAGATTGTTCATCGAGACCTGAAGCCCGAGAATTTGCTCATTGACAGCAATAAGAGCGTGAAGATCGCGGATTTCGGACTGAGCAATATCATGACCGATGGCAATTTCTTGAAAACGAGTTGTGGTAGTCCGAACTACGCCGCGCCCGAGGTCATTTCTGGCAAGCTTTATGCCGGTCCTGAAGTAGATGTCTGGAGCTGTGGCGTGATTCTCTATGTACTGCTCGTCGGTCGCTTGCCCTTCGACGATGACTACATCCCCGCTCTCTTCAAGAAGATCGCTGCCGGCAACTTCCACATCCCTAGCTACATATCACCCGGGGCAGCCCGACTCATCCGGGCTATGCTTCAAGTTCATCCGGTTCACAGAATTACAATCCCTGAGATCCGACAAGATCCATGGTTCACCAAGAACTTGCCTGCATACCTGGAACCTCCACCAGAGGAGTTCATTGCAACTGATGTGGACCTGAGCAAGATCGACCCCCGAAAGGTAGGCTCGGGAAAGCCGGTGCCCGTGCAGCATAAGATACACCAGATCGCCGTCTCCAAGCTTGAACGGAGCATGGGATATGACCGGGAAGACATTGAAGATGCTTTACGCCATCCCGAGCCCAGTGCGATAAAGGATGCCTTTTCAATCGTCGTGGAAAATGAGATGATGCAGACCAACTGTGAGTTCTTATCTTGCTTAATAGACACCTTCGTGGTTTGAATCCTGAACTAACTAGGGTTTCGCCATTAATAGCGCCCACGGATGACACCTTGTTGGCCCAAAGTGTATCGCCGCAGCCAAAGGCAGCTGTTTTGGCCCCATCTCAGCGCCCTGCTGCAGTGCAACGAACCCAAAAGCAACCGGAGAGCGCTCCCGAAGACTCTCATGTTCCCCAACGTCAGCACCTAGAAGAACAGGCGCAGCAAACCGAGGACGGAGACGAATTCGAAGAGCCACGTCTCAGCCATGTTCGAATTCTACCGACAAGCTTGCCTTATGTTCATGACCAGCTGATGGAACAACGAGACCGAGAGCTTAGAGCTCGTCTCGAGGAACGAAGACGCGAAGCATCTCGCGCCGAGGACGACCGCTCCGGATCGGATCGCCATGAATTGACGCCGGAAGAACAAGCGGCCACAGCGCGCGCTTTGAAGCCTCACTCGCGCAGCATTGTTGATTTGGAGAAGCTCAAGTTTGAGCCGCCTATTGGCCATCCAATCACTCAGCAACCGAAGAAGTCTCGCAAATGGCAATTTGGAATTCGGTCACGGAATCAGCCATATGAAGCGATGTTGTACCTGTACCGCGCGATTGCTGCCCAAGGCGGCGTGTGGGACATCCAACCAGCCGATTCGGGCTCAGATGTCAGCACGGATTCACCAACCTTAGACAAACCAAAGCCCCTGCAAACCAAGTATCCCGAACTTCCGTCAGACTATTATATCCCCAAGGATCCCTGGTTCATTCGTGCCCGCCTACTGAAAGAAGGAGTGAAAGCCCCTGGCTCATCAACGAGCGTGTACAATAGTCGAAGCGACTTGGAGGAACTCCGTCGTCGGTTCCATATCTCCGGCATCTCCGCCCCCGTTGAAGACAAGGACTCGATCAAATCTCCCACTTCTGATAACGGCGGGTATTCTGCACCTTCGTCCGCCACACAGAATTCCGGGCTTCCTCCGATCTCGCATGGCGTCTGGGTGTTTGTCGACATTCAACTTTATCAGTTGGAAGAGAACAACTACATGGTGGATTTCAAGTGCGACGGATACCAAAATGTCATTCGACCTCAAGGCGACGCCGAGTGGCACCCGATCAGCAAGCGTTACCTCAACAAGGAGAAAGAGGTTACCAGTCCCTATCCGTTCCTCGACGTGGCATCTGATCTTGTGGCACAATTAGCTGTCGCGAGCTGAGTCCACCAAGTCTTTATACTGATTACCGCTGCTATCTGTTACAGTCGAGATGGCAGCCTTGGTGCACGGTCTATCATGCCACTTGTTCGTCTATAACTTTCTTTTGGCGCGTGCATAGACGTGAGTTGCATCAGCTTGTATATGAAATCTTGATTGCATTTGACGATTTCCATTTCCGAAGTGTTTGCCTTGGTTGACGAGCGAGCGAGTCTCTATTGGTTGTTTGGATTTTTGATTGTCACATTTCGTGATATCGCGTACTATGCCACTTTTTCCAGCTCATTATCTTTTACCCTGCATTCCACTATGTGAATGGATTCTCTGTTGTTTGATGTCTTCACTGAGGGGGCAAGAGAAATGTCTGAAACAATGTAGATTTATTGGAACTTGGCAAAGATCGCATCCTGGAAATGGCCCTTTTCTTGATGAGTTTCCAGGAGTTCCCGTGGGACCGAGCTCGTCGGGTGTAGTAAGGACGCCTCAGTCATGTGGCGTAAAGCAAGCATACTTAGTCTGGAGCCCATGGTTTCCGGCTGTCCTTCGGACATTTGGCATGAAGCCGAGAAGAACAATCGGCTCAGCACATCGGAGAATTATCCCTTCGAGGACCAACGCAAGAGGCCCTGATGGCACAGCTTGTCCTCATGTTTACCCAAATGCTCTGATGTACTTGTTCCGTCGCATTGCAGACTAATTGAACTCGATCGTCAGAGAAGAAAGACTGTTATCATACGAAAGTGACAGTTAATTTCTCAAGCGTCTCATCAACAGACCCAGAACTCCAAGTTACGAAGAATGCCGAATAAAAACAAGGAAGACAAGAAGCCTTTTCAATTTCCGTAACCAAACACCAGTATAGCTTTCATCTCGGCAAGACAACAGCCCAGTCCATGGACAGAATAATGATGTGTAATATTACAATAGTTGAATAGAAACAAGAGGCTCAGAAAGAAGAATGATCCACAAGACTCCCCTCGTCCATGAAAACCGCCTTCCCACAGAATGTGCTTGCCTCAAACCAAACAAATCAACTAACCTGAAGTTGCCGAAGGCACACAACAGCCTCATTCATAGCTCGACATACATCACGCGTCAACGTCCTCCTCACTTGGAGCTCGTGGCTCGCAAAGAGCAAAATCTGCCTGACTTTGTTGCATTTGAGGTAGAAGTAACTGTCACCTAATCCCTGATAATGGGCGATATCTTGGATGTGACGGTCGAGAATGCTGGCCATTGCCTCTGGGGGGATGAAGTAGGTGCCGTTGACCCATGCTGTGAGGCTGCCGATGAGCTCGTATCGGAGCTGGAGGAATTGGTCGAGGAGTTGCATTGTTATTGATATGGAGAGGATGGTGAGAAGAGGGAGTGATTCAGGAAATGAGTGTGAGATAGGCCTTTCTTTTTCTGGCTGAGCTTGGAGAGGCCTTTTTGGTCAGATGTTGGTGTTTGTGATTATCAGTCAGTGAGATCGTGGTGAGTCGCAGAGAAGAGTGTGCATTTGCAGAAAATGAGACTTGCATTGAAATTGTATACAATGAGGGTTTTATAGCCATTGAGGCTTGCCTAGTACGAAGAATTCGTCGACAAATTTCAGAATTTGTAAGTGTACTGCCGAGCCCTACTTTCTTTGAAGGACAATGGGGAGAGTCGGATATCTCAAATACCAAGATTACCCAATGAAAGAAAGTCCTTTGACCTAAAATTGGGATAATGGAGACAATAATTTGTCATTGTCCTATTTCGAGGATCCAGAAAATGAAGATCAGCACCGTCAAGTCTCGTCGCAATGCAGCGCGGTATGAGGCTCCGAAATGGTTGATGTGACCAGCGCTACACTTACCGGCAAGCCGAAGGAACAAAGACCCGGCGAAACATTCGGCTTCAGGTTCACTATCAGTAGATCAAGTCTCAACACAGTTACGTTTTGGTGTCGAATAGGTTTTTCTTACCATCAGCTTTGACTTTCGTTTCTGCATACGCTACATTTCCGCTGATCGTCAACGGGAATAGAAGGTCATCAGTAGAGTGATCCGTCAATGGGTTGTATGTCTGCGGCCATCAAGTCAGACCCCGTCTATGATGGAAAAGCTCTCAAGACCCCCCCGGGGTAATGTGTCTTTAATAATGTGAAGTAAGCAGCTGATCCATTTCAGGTCTACAAGCTCGTTTTGATCAACTGTGGACTTGGTGAAACTCAATATGATGAGCGATGATATTAATTGTTCTCCAAACTTAAAATCGTGTCCGTGTTACGAAATTACGACTCCGATATCTCTGATTATTATAGAGTTATGCGATACCCTGCGCGAATCCTCAACTAGAACATAAGCTGAAACGTGTTTATTTTCGGTAGTTGACTTCATGAGAAACCACAAATCACAAATGGAAGCACTACCATTGTGCTTTCGTAAAAGTTACTTCAAGAGAGACATCAGCACGAAGCCTCTCTTGACAGGTATCAATCTCAAGGACTGACGCACACAGAAGAGATTCAAATAAATCGGCGAGAAAGACAAACATCCCTCACGCCATGGATTCCTAATCCTCCTTGATGTATCGACGATTTCGTTGCGAGCCGTCATCCCTCAATTTTCTGACCGTACCACGTCCGGACACACGATTGCCTCTGGGCCGCGATCCCTGGCTTTGTCGGCGACTTCTTGAAGCGGATGCTTCTTCTCCAGCCCTGTCGTCCTCCGTTTGAGCACCAGCGGATTGACTTTTTGTATGCCGAGCCGAGGAAGAAGGTTTCTTTGGTTGGAGCGTATCCTCGTCGAAGGCCGGGATAATCTCAATGTCGGGAAATATGACATGAGCCGAGGAACCCCTTCTGGGACCTTGGGAATTGAGTGTCGTGCTGCCTAGAGCTTGCTGATCTTGCTGGTCACGCTCGGTCTCTAAAAGATACTGACGGATCCTTTGAATGAGATGACGAATGTCATCAAACGACTTGTCTGCTCCCACCTCTTCTTGAAGCCACTCGGGTACGGGCGCCGTGATTGTGCGCGAGTGGCGGCCGCGCTCTGGTAATCCAGTAGTTGAATCGGGCTCAGGGCTTTCTTCGTTTCTTCGACGAGTCTCTCGAAGGCGTAGGCGAAGCTCGAAACTTCGTACCTGGCCCCACATCTCCATTCGGTCCAGTGTCTGTAAAAGATGCTCACATTGGGTAAACGGCCACTCGGCAGCGCGGTAGCGACAGCGCTGGTAGTGTTTCCGACAGTACCAGATCCAGACAGAATCTGGGAAACATTTCGTTGCGAGCTTGTTTCGACCGAAAAAGTGGGATACCACTTTTCGGCAGCGGTATTCGTCCGAGCTGGGACCAGCCATGCATGGGATCACAAATTCACAGATTGGCTGGAACTGTGTAGTTGATTGTTCCTGGGCTGTTTTCTTGGGCTGATCTGAGGCCGAGAACAAGGCGAAGGAAAGCTCCTCGGAGCGAGTGCTGGGTTGGCCGTCGGTTATGGCACTTTGGGGGGGGGGCAAGAGCAGCTTGAGAATCGCAGGTGTGTGTGACCCAAGGGTAATCGTGGCTAGCGAGATCGGTGGTGCCGATTTCTGCGTCCTCAACGCCTGGCATTTGATTCTCCCAGGGGCGAGCCATTGTAGGTGCGCGGTCAGAATAGCTCGTTTCGGAAGTAAGACAGAGCGAGCGGAGAGTCGAGAGGAAAGGTTTGGTTGAAGAGACCCAGAGAGTCGAAGGCACTCAGAGGGCTGAAGGAAAACAGGGTGATGGAGGGAGACCGCTCAAAGGTGAGAAACAGGAAAGCCCAAGATAACAGTGCAGGTGTCGAAGATTGAAGTGAAGGGAAAGTGAAGTGAATGCTTTGTCAGATAGAGATGAGGGGTCTCTTCTGAGAGGTGAAGGAAACGGAATTTATGGACAGAGGGAGAGACGGAGAGAAAAGATGCCAGATTGAAGTTAGAGCTAGGTGATTTTATATTCTATTCAAATACACCATTCCTGTTCTGGCATTTGGTTATTATTCGTTGTGACCGTCGAATCTGCTCCAAGACACGAGTATCTTCCATGTGCCACGAAGAGAGCAAATATTCCACGAGTACCTCACGAGAAACCTCTTCCCAAGGTCAAATTTGGTGTTCAGCCCTGGCGGAAAGCACTTTGATAATACAGAGATTGGACACTATCATACAGATTCTGAGATATGGAATTGACACTCAAATTCCCAGACTCCTAGAACGAGAGGTTTAGCAACAGTTCAATTTTCAACTCTTCATTCGCACATATAGTGCTCTCGCAAAAACACAAAATGGACCAAAACTTGCGCCCCGTAGATCCCCATAAACAGAGTATCCTCAGAAATCAGTAATGTTTTCTTTTTGGTGACCCGCTTTTGATATGTCGTCCTCCGGCCCCTGAACAGCGCCGCGCATGACCAGTTGGCGTACATTTGTAACCGGTACTCCATGTTCAGCCTCGAGCTCCGTATCCTGGGTAGCGAGTTGCTGCTTCTGCACGCGTCGGCCCTTCGAGTGTCTCTCCTTCTGCACGGGCTCTTCCCCATAGAATGAGGCGATAATCTCGATATTCGGAAACTTGGGGCTTAGATAAGAATGTAGCTGATCCTCTCGAATTCGTTGAACAAGACGGCGGATATCAGCAAAGGACTTATTCGGGCCAACTTCTTGCTGGAGCCACTCTGGCACAGGTTCTGCGACAGTCGTTCGGTGCCGGCGGCCGGTTTTTGAAACCCTAGCTTTCTTAGGAGAAGAATCAGGGTCTTCTTGTTCCCGTTGGAGAGTCTCCCGATGATGCAGGCGAAGCTCAAAGCTTCGGACCTGACCCCAATTTTCCATCCGGTCCAGTGTCTGAAGCAGTAGGCTACACTGAGTGAGCGGCCATGAATCGGCGCGGTACATGGCTCGCCGGTAGTGTTTGCGACAGTACCACACCCAGACGGAATCGGGAAACTTCTTCGTGGACAACTTGTTTCGGCCGAAGATGTGGGAGACCACCTTGCGAAAATGTAGCCCATCCGAGCTGGGACCGGCTTGGCATGGACTGATGAATTCGCAGGTAGGGTGGAATTCATCAGGCTGCTGGGATTCGTGATCTTGACCAGGAGGGCGCGTATCGCGAGTCTCTTTCGTAGGAGGAGCCCACGGAAAGTGCGTATCACCGGGAAAGACAGTCATGGGAGGGCGAGGAGAGAGCAAGTGCGTAGTTGGAGCTTTGTCAGAGACTCGTGAGCTAAGAGAACTCCAGAGACCGGCGTGTTCTCCGTGGAGGGTGAGCGAGCTGACGGGAGGCAGGGAAAATTGGGCTTCAACTTGACTTGAGATGGCAGAGGAAAGGGCACCACAGTCGCTGGAATTGGAGTGATCTGGGCATGACTCCGTGTGATGAGACCGCAAAGGTGGGCTTTCAGTTGGCTCTTCTCGATCACGTTGACCCTGGCTGGACCATGGATATTGAATGTTACCAAGTTCAGACATTCCGTCTGCTGGATCCTCCGCGCCGGTGAGCTGGTTTGACATGCTATTGCGAGACATTTTGAACACAAATGCGGGTAGTGCAGAGAGGAAGTTTAAAAGTGCCGGGGGGAGATCAAGTCGACGACAGAGATTTGTGATATGAAAAAGACAAGGCGAGCTAAAAGGCAGGTTGAGGGCAATGAGAAGAGAGAGTCACGAGAAGGTGAAGTAACGTGAACAGCGCCCGGAACAAATGGAATTGGAAGCAGAGTACGCAGGTCTAAGATAAGATAAAGAGACACTAAAGTGACGGGGGTGACGGTCAGTCAAAAAGAGAATAAAGAGAGAGATGAGACCAAAATCAGAGATGGAAGGAATCAGAATGACACAGAAAGTGACACCCTTCATGTTTTTCAAAACTGTTTGTCATTAGTTCTGATTCGCACAACAGTTACAAGATCCTGGCATCTTCACGTTCTAGTCAGACCGACGAGGTTCTCTGGAAATAGCCTCAAAGATTCCATTACAAGGTGATTTGATGTGTTAAGCCCAATGAATCAACTCAGAGAAGAGAGCCCAGCGCGGTTATTGTGAGACCATCTGATGCATCCCAGGGGCCAAGAGAAGCGTCAGGCTTTCTGTTCAAAGTTTGATACCTCGGTATCAGCAGGCCCGTTTGGTTCTCTTGAATTACCTTGCGCATATCTGTGACTGTTCTGGCAAATATACTATGCATGCGAGAACAAAAACACATTTGGAACTCAGTGCCGAGGAGCTGTCTGCGAGGTTTCCATCCAAGTGAACTAAATATTTCAAGCGAATTTCATCCAAGTCAGCTCACAGACCCTGAGAAGCACTTGCAAGAATCTGGATGATTAAACGAGCTATACGGAGAGAAAATTGTAAACGAACTGGAAGGTCATTCAATTTATGGCAAATGAAAGCCACAGGCACTGTGACATATGTTTTTGACAGCAGAACCTCTGATATTTATAATGCTTGCTGAGCGACGCGTTGAAGTTCCCACCATTTATCGCAAAAAGAATCTCAGGAGAAACAACACACATGAAGGATGGATTACTGTATCCATAAAAGACGGGAATTCATGGATTTTATTTCAAGGCTCATGATAACCCTTTCACATAAATGTGATTCACGTTCCTGGGGACCCAAAATCAAGCGTTCACCCTTTCGATGTGTAACGGCAGCTCGCGATATCCTACATCTTGCTTTTGACCTGGGCCCCTGTTGACGGCGAGATTGGCTTCTGATAGTTGAAACTGCTTCCTCCGATCCGGTGTTGCTCCCTAAACTCGCGGTATTCTGTTTCTTCGATCACTGTTCCGTTGAGTGTCTCTTTTTCAGCTGAAAATTATCATCAATGGACGATAGGATGATTTCGATATCTGAATATCTGGTAGCAGAATGGAACCGTTCACGATAGGTCATGACACCAGTCACTTTATTGGCACGCTGAGATTTGGAAGCTGAGTTGCTCATAGTCCGCTGTACCTGCTCCGCTTGTTGCATATCACAAAGAAGGTCGGAATTAACTTGATGTCTAGAAATTCAATAGCAGACTGGAACCCTTCACGATAGGCCGTGACACGAGATGACTTGTCGATTCTTGTCGAGGAATTTGACTGGCCTAGGGTCCGTCACGCCTGCTGCCCTTCTTGAATTTCATGTAAATATACGTGCATTCTCTGAGTGAGCCGGCGGATCCTCGTCAAAAGACTTATCCTCGCCTAGCTCCTGCTGCAACCATGCAGGGACAGGTGATGTAGCAGCTCGAAGGTGAGAGCGGCCACCCTCTGAAGATCCAGAAGGCACAGATGTCAGGGTACCACTGTCCACAGGGCGCACTTCTCGGGTACGAAGACGAAGTTCAAAACTCTGAATGCCCCCCCCCCTCCCCAAATTTTCATCCGCGCCAGTGTTTGAAGGAGCAGCTCACACTGTGTGAATGGCCATCTATCAGCGCGGTAGAATGAGCGCTGATAGTGTTAAGAATGTTGAGTAGGCCATGGATGCTGCAAGTTGTGAGAGTCATGGAAGTCCTGACCTCGGAGTCTTTGGATCAGGTAACTTCAGAAGCTGGTGGCGGGAGATGGTCAAAGTCGAAAGGAGGGTTCGAGATAGGCTTTGATATTTGATAAGCGAAGTGAAGTAGGCGTAGGGGATAGTGAAGCGGAGGGAAGAGGAGTGATGACGAAACGTTGAAGTTAAGTAGAAGGCGAAATGGGTGTGATGAAATAAATTGCTGAGTAGAATGGACTAGAGACTAAGAGAAGGAAGAATCACAGGTGAGAGATTCATCTCTCTTTGGTTGACTGCACCCTCCGCTTACTTATATATGTTCTCACGTCCCAAGACGTTCAGGATCTTCCAGGTGCTACGTGTAAACAGTATCGTATTCCTCGCAAGGAAGAATTCATGTGAGACCTCCTGGGTGGTTCATATAAGCTCTCTATATCTGTGCCGAGCGAGAATACGGTGCATCGTCAATTACATTCTGGCTTGGGGCACTTTAGATCTGCAGTCGATCAGATAGTCAAAAGGCACGGATAAAATATCTACAAAAGGCTGGAGGACAGTGCACATAATAAGAGGCATCAAGAGTTCCAGATTGGTATTATGCTAGCCACTAACTAGTACCAGGGATACAACATCCCAAGGTCCCCTCTTCTCACAAGCCCACCTCATCCTCTCTGCCCTTCGTAGCCCCACACCTGGCGATGGCTACTCAGCTTCTTCGCTGACGTCTCGAGTTTCCGTGGCCTGGCTCTCAGTCGATTCCTCGACAAAGAAGGTCGGAATTAACTCAACGTCCGGAAACCTAACAGCAGACTGAAAACGTTCACGATAGGCCGTGACACGACTTTCCTTGTTGACACGCTGCGTTTGGGAAGCTGTGTTCCTCGAGCTCCGCTGCACCTGTTCTGCTTGCTGAACTCCACGTAGATATCCGTGGATTCTCTGGACGAGCCGGCGGATCTCGTCAAAGGACTTATGGTCGCCAAGCTCCTGCTGTAGCCAGCCTGGTACAGGTGCCGGAGCAGCTCGAGGATGGCGGCGACCACTTCCAATGGGGGCGGGCGTCGGGGTCTCACCGTCCACACGGCGCACTTCCCGGGCACGAAGACGAAGTTCGAAGCTTTGAACCCCTCCCCAACTTTCCATTCTCGCCAGAGTCTGGAGTAGCAGCTCGCACTGCGTAAATGGCCATTTATCAGCGCGGTAGAGTGAGCGCTGATAATGCTTTCGACAGTAGTAGATCCAGACGGAGTCTGGGATCTTCTGCGTCGATGATTTGTTTCGGCCAAAGATGTGCGAGACTACTTTCCGGTAGTACTTGACTCCGTCTGGGCTGGGAACAAGCGAACATTGGCCTGAGAACTTGCAAGATGGTGTGAACTCTGGAGGGGCAGAAGTATGTTGAGCTGTAGTTGGCTCCAGATTGTTCTGCTGTTCGTTTAGGGAGAGGGGCACAGGCTCGTCGGCGTGAGAGGCTTCATCGTTGGTGAGGTAATCCGCAGAGGGCGAGATATTGGAAGTATGGACCAGGGAAGACTGTGAAGCAAGCGTCGTTGTGTTGTCTGGCTCTCTGGGCACATGGTGACTGTGTGTGGACCAAGGGTACTGAGGGCCCTCGAGGTCAGAGATTCCGACCTGGGAGTCATCCACCCCAGGTAGTTGACTGGAGTTTCGAGAAGACATCACAAGACGCAAGTGTGTGAGGATTCGAGTTGAGTTGAAGTGAGGTTGGAGAGATAGTGAGTGGGCGGATGAAGTGAGACTGGTGTGAAGATAACCAGGAGAATGAAAAGCTAGAAAGCTAAGAGACTTGAATGAAACACACGGTCGAAAAAGGGAGAGAGGGATGTGGGAGAGAGGAAGAGAGGGAGAAGAAGGATTCAAAGTGAGAGATGCTGGCTATTCAAGTCCTGCGCGAGGAGGCCTTTCCATTTTGGGTAATTGTTTGCTACAAGTTATGTTCCTCGCAGCCTAGTGAGTGCTAGGCACTTCCATGTGCCACGACTCAGCAGTGCCGGAAGGTTCTACCACGATCAGTCCTTAACACAAATAGTCAAAATAGTTAGCTCGAATGTTTGGCCAACACCCTGCACAGTGACTTTATGAACAATTCAATCACTGTTCTTTCCGAGAGAAACAAAAACAGCGGTCATCAGGTACCGAGATCTTCTCATCATCCTAGAATGCGAGGACGAGGCTTTCCTTGCTGCCCTCAATCTCGAAGAGTGCGAGGTCCTTGATCCTACAGGATTATTGCGTTTGGACTGGATTGAGTAATCCTCTTCTTCAACTATCGAATAGAATCCTGCAAAACTCTCAAAGAATAGAATTGTTCGAGAAATGGTTTCAGTGGCTATCTGTACAAAGTTCGCATAGTTTTCTCCTGGGTTGTCAAAGCAACCCGTGAATAAAATGCTCGTCGATCAAGCAAGTGAGATTCGAAAATACGCTTGTGTTTCTGTAGCACAGGCAGTGATTTTGAGAGAAATAGATTAGAACCAAACGCAGATGGATCGACATTCGATGATACACGCGGCTCTAAGTCTTTTCGATGAGGCGCGCCTCTCCTTTTCTCTGTAGTCATGTCCTCAGACAGGCTAGGAACGGCCAGTTCGTCTGTTTGCACGTCGTCTGGTCAAAGGTGTATCCGCTGTTTGAGGCCCATTTGCCGCAAAAGTTGGAATCGATGCGATGTCCGGGAGTCTGAAAGCCGCGGTGGATTGCTCAAGGTTGTCGCTTTGGGTGCTTTGGAGATCACGAGTCAGATTGTTCCCAGTGTGCAATGATTGTTCATGCAATGGTTGCGCTTGCTGCATCTGCGCCAGGTGATCCCGAATTCGGCTGATCAGGTTCCCGAATCTCGTTAAACGACTTTCCTCGGCCGATTTCACGTTGTAACCACGCCGGTGATGGTCCGGCCTGGACCCTAGGCCGGCGTCTACCCGATTCCCGAATATCAGATCGGCCCGCTTCAGCTAGCTCTCCACGAACTCGTAAGGCCTCGCGTCGTCGGAGTCGCAGCTCGAAACTTTGTACGCGGCCCCATTGATCCATTCTGTCCAGTGTTTGTAACAACAAATCGCACTGAACAAATGGCCACTCTGCTGCGCGGTATCTGGCGCGTTGGTAATGCTTTCTGCAGTCCCAGACCCAGACTGAGTCTGGGAACTGCAGTGTCGAACGCCGATTACGGCCGAATACATGCGAGACGACCTTCCGGTAGTACCGTCCACTGGGGCTAGTGCTGGCCATACACGGGTTTGTTAACTCGCAGACAGGACGGAAGTCTGATGGGGGCTCAGCGTGGCTTCCGGGGTGCTGTGCTGGCTGAATCTGCTAAAAGTTGGCGTTGAACCAGTTGGAATCGACTAAGCTTTAAGGAGAAAGAGACTGGTTTAGCTCGTAGAATATCCACTCGGCTGAATGGAATCGTGGCTCTGGGTGTTGATGGTACTAAGCTCTGTGGCTTCAGCCTCAAGATTCCGTAGCACCCCGGGTTGAGACATACTGACTACTTAACAAGCAGTATGTCTGGGTACACTGGCCGAGAGACTGAGGAGACCCCCTAGTCAGAGTAGCCAACGGCGAAAGTGAGGAGAGGAGCGTGTCGAGAGCCAGACGGAAGAGTGAGGTTTTCGAAATGTGAATGTGAAAGAAATGTGTAAACGAAGGGAGATGCAAGAGGAAGGAGAGGAAGGAGAGGAAGGAGAGGAAGGAGAGAGAGGAGAGAGGAGAGAGACAGGAGAGAATTAAACGTGAAGTGAGCGAAAGTGCGAGAACATGTCCGACTCACAAGCAAAAACTCTATCCCCTTTTGGTATTCCTCTTATCTATTTACCTGAAGATCCCTATCAGAAAGTCGGACGTGGTTGTCTGGCATACCCAGAGCTGAGATATATTGCCGTGGTACTAAGAAACTGTCTTATTGAGGAGATAGGATACCGAAGTGATACTAAAGTAAGTGAATATGAAAGCAAACGTGACAGAAGTGAGTGAAATGTAAGATTGAGATGTGAGGAATCTCAGAAAGTGCCCGGTAGAGTGCGGTTGGTGAAGAGAACAGAGAGATAGAAGAAAAGGTAAGAAAATGGAATCAAGATATAAAGTGAGAGGAATGCGAGCTGATTTATGTCTCAAAAAAAGGTCATATCCCCGTCTTGCATTCTTTTGCTGTCCATTTGATTCACGCTTCACTTGAACATGAGTTTCTGCTGATCAGTGTTCCCTTAAAGTCGCCTCAGAGTAACATCTACCAGAGCTGGGCGTGATAATTGCTGTGTCACCATCTTGCAAGGTGAGAAGTTCATCTCGCACTATACTCACAACCTCGACCGCACTCGAGGTCGTTTTCTCTAGCCTCGAAAAGTCTGGAACTCTTCCATGGAGGATGGGCAACGATCTTATCAATCTATTATGTGCCAGAACTCTCATAGCTTTCTATGTTGCATCCTTGCGAGGTCAATCAACCTCGCAAAGAGGTAAGTTGACGACGTGATCAAGCGCACCGATGAATTGCAAAACTAGTGCTCATTGTCATAGATATGTCCCTGGATCTTGTTGGAGGCTACAGGGAGATCGTAGCAGACCCAAAAGAGGGGAGAAAGGAATGGTGAGATTGCATCTGGTGAGAGGTGCCTATCTAAGCTACGAAGGTGGTGTGCGTGGGCGCGCACCACGCTGGTGACACGCCTGACTACTAAGCTATCTTAATACCCCCTGGACCTCGATCCACTAATCTCACTCAAAACATGAAAAGTGATTATATAAATATGTTAATAACGCCTTAATGTAGCTTTTTGAGCTTAAAAAGGTATTTAAACCCTTAGAATTAAGCTCGCTATAAAGGCTATTAAAAAACCGTTGAATAGCCGTTAAATCAGAGCTTTTTTATATCTAAAAGGTGTAGGAACCTCTTGAATTAGACTCGCTATAGCGGCTTAGTAAAGCTATCTACGGCCTACTCTGTAGTAGAGATTTTGACGAATTTATATACCCCCCTAGAGACTTAGTCTCTAATATAATGGTATTTAACGTTGATATACTTCGTTCGTTGGTGTAAATTATAGCTTTTAGTGAGGTAAATAGCGCCTTAGTTATCCTTATAGATTATAGTAGGAAGTTATAAAAGGGACTCTATATTAAGTTCCTTAAGGAAAAGCTATAGCTATAATACCTCTTAGATAGCTAAAGATATAGCTATATACTTACTTTCTATAGAGGAAAGAGTAACGTATACTTACTTTTTATAAGCCTAAGTAATTATACTATTCGTAAGCTTAAAAAGGAAACCGGAGGTTAATATACTACTATCCGTATATTTACCGGCCTAATCTATATTAACGAATCTAAAGAGGGGGTCTAGTAAGTAGGAATACGCGATAGTAAGCGTTTTAGAATCCTTAAGATATCGAAAGATACGCTTTAATATAGTTATATACTTCGCGGAGGGGTTATATATATATCTTATAAGCTTTGTAACTACGAATATAATATCTAGTCGCGTATTAACTATTAGCTAAATAAGTAAGCCTACTATCTTGTAGTAAGCTTTAACTTCCGCCGGAGTAGTAGTATCCTTATACGGTTATAGGATCTTCTTATTATAAAATAGCGTAGGGACTATATATATATCTTATAGGTTAAATTTCGCGAGGACCTTTCGAATATAGGCGAGCTAAGAGAGCTTTACCTTACTATCTATATAAACGATATTAATCGTAAGGAATCGCGTAGTAGTACTATTATTAGTAATATTAAAGGATTTTCGAATATAGTCCTTAAGCTATATAAGAGATATATCTAAAGGCGTGATAATTAGTATATTATTAATATATATAAGAAGATAGAGCTTATATTTAATATATACGAATACCGAATAGTCTGCTTATAAGCGAATAAATCTAATTACTATTAGAGCCCTATAGATAGTATTATACTATTCGCGAGGACTCTATTTTAGACTATATAAAGTCTTTAAAAGAAGGCTATATTTTCTAGGCTCTTTAAAACTATTAGGAAGTTAAATATAGATTTCTTTAAGAAGCTCTATATTAAGAAACGCCGTAACGAAGTTAATATAATATATCTACTAGCCGAAATACGTAGCGATTACGTAGAATATTTTAAAGCTTAAAGCTTTAGCTATACTTATATAAATATTAAGATAATCGATTCCTTCGTATTACTTAAACCCTTTTATAACGAGATACGCTTTATAGGTCCTATTATCCTTAATATAAAAGACCTATCGAAGTAGAAGAAGCGTCTTTTTAGTATCCTTAGTAGAAAGATTATATATATACTAAGTACCGTTTATTAGCTATTTCTGTATTTCCTTATCTATAGCTTTAATCTATTTAGTCTATTTATCCTTACTATAATTTTATATTATATCCTACTAGCTATCTAGTTTATATAGCGTCGACTAAGCTAAAGCTTAATATAAAAGCTTTAGAAGTAGTTATAAGTCTACGGTTATACTACGAATTAAAAAAGTAGCGTATTTAATATAATTAGCTAGAGCTATATTTAAAAGCTTAAGAGAATATAAATATTCCTCTAACTCTATAGCCGCTTAAGTCTTCTTACGGACTTATAAGGAACGCCGAAGACCTATCTTAGGTATAGTTTAAGAACTACTTTCGATAGTTTTAGGATTAGCCTCGATAGTTTCAGAACTATCCTCTATAGTTTAAAGATTATCGTCGATATTTCTAGGACTACCCTCGATAGTTTCGGAACTATCCTCTATAGTTTAAGGGCTATCGTCGATATATTTATTCTATTTATAGGCGAATCTCCGCTTAATCTATTTACGAAGCTTTTTAAGTTAGACTTCGTATTTAAATAAAGAAAGTAGTATATTAGACTACTTAGATAATAGTAGATCTCCTATTAGAATATAAGAAGATAGAGTTACTAGCTATACTAGCTTATTAGGACTATTAGCTAAATCTAGCTAAATTAGTTAATCGCTATTAGCCGGTAGGAAATCCGATAGTATATAATAGCGTTAATTAGCTATAGATTATATAGGAACTAACTTTAGCTCTATATCGAGATCGTATATAGACTTAGGTAGATCCTTCGTTATATTCTTATTAAAGACTATATTATAAAAGACTACGATCTTCTTTAAATAAATATTATAGAGTCGATATCTATTAGTACTATAGCCTACTAGCCTTACTTCGGCTATATATAGAGAAAGCTTATCTACCCTACGTTCCTTTAGAATTAGATACTAAGCTTAGTAGCTAAGTACGCGTAGATTTAAAATATCTAGCTTTTTACTATAGAAAGCTTCGTATAGAGTTATATTAATAGTAGACTACTAGAGACGGTTTATTATATAATTAATACCTAAAAGTAGCTTACCCTATAGATATTTAGGAAGCTAATTTTTAGCTAATATAGCGATTAGCGGCTTAATAAGCTAACGATTCCTAATCTCCGTAATACCGTTAAGCTAAGGTATATAGGGGGGAATAGGATCCTAAATAATACTATTTTCTTCGTAAAAAGTAGCGATTTTAATATATTCTTATATATTATCGCCTAAAATCACCTTAACTTTATAGTTAAATTATATTAAAAAATAGGTTACTAATATACGAATTTTATTAGTAATTTCGCTCTTCGCCTTTAATAGGAAGATCTAATAGAAGCGAGTAGTATTATCGGTAACTATTATAAAATAATAATTATCTCTAACGCCTACGATAGAGATAGGACCCTAAATATTAATATAAAGCTTCTATACTAGTATAGTCTTAATACGCTTACTTCGTCTAAAAGGTAAGATATAGCCTTTACTAAGAATATAAGAAGGATAAGGATACTTAATACTAGATCCCTTTTTAATATTAATTCCTTCGGTATATTTAGGTATATACTTTACCTTCTGCTTATCTACGTAATAGGCTCTGCGATAAGCTAGATCTATTAAAATAGACTAAATCTTACCGATTTAAGAAGCTATAGCTAAATCTACAGTAGATATATAGCTATTACTAAATACGTAAGATAGTTAAATAGATAGAGCTCTAAGTATATTAATAAGGCTATTACTATTATAGGTATAAACCTAATATTAACTATTCTCCTACTTTACTATAACGATAAGCTCTTTCCTCCTATATAGGGAGCTATATATCTTATTAAATCGAGTCTTAATACCAGAATCCTTCGTAAGTTACTATAAGGAAATAAGGTTTATATTAAAAGAAGGAATATACTAGACTCTAAGTAGCTTAAGCTTAGAAATATTATTTCCTTTTAAAAAGTTTAGGATAATATTACTATATCCTTTAGTCTATACTTAATAACCGTTTAGAAGCTTTATATTAGTAATAAGTAGTATAAAATTAATAAAATTTACACGATAAGGTATTATATATACTAATACACCAGAGTCTACTATCTAAGTATACTATTCGTTATTATCTATTAATATAGCTATAATATTAATAGCTAATAAGCTTATTTCGGCGAAGCTTATTAAAATCTTATTTTCGGATTTCTCCTTTAACTCCTTTTTTAAATTAGAAGTACTAGCTATAGCTATATTAACTCCGCCTTAAGAGATACCCTTAGATTTAGGGTTAAAGAAGTACTACTTACTAGTATAAGCTATTAAATACTTATAGTAGATATAATAATATAATAGCTAATTATTATTATCCTAGTTATTTTAACTTTAGCTATAACCTTATCCGGAGCCTCTACCGCGGCCTCTATCTCCTCGGCCTCTACCTCTATCTCTATCTCGGTCGTTATTTTACGTAGATTTCGTATCTTTTAAGATAGAAACGGCTACGATTACTATATTTACAGATTTTTTATTCGACTTATATTTAATAAATTTACCGAAAATATAGTTAAGTATACTATCCGGATTAGCTAGAGGTTTATATATATTTAAGAAACCTTTTACGCTTTAGTAGCCGTTAATTATAAGCTTAAAATAAGCTAGAGCCTATTTAGGTAGTAATAGGGTATTTAGAATAGCTAAATTCGTAAGGTCTAAAGTAGCTTACTATTTAGTAACGAAATTATATAGATTACTACTAGTATATATAAGCTTAATTAAAGATAATAGCCTATAGCTTAAAGTAGTATAGTTACTAGTACTATATATATTACTAATACGAAGGAAGATTTTATAAGAATCTTTATAATCGTATATAAAGCTACGAGCTAAATCGCTAAGTATATAATAGATAAGATATTTCGTAAGCGTATATTTCCGGCGAAACTAGTAAAATCGGTTATTTAGTTAAGTTATATTCTTATTAATCTACTTATTAAATTCCTCTTTAGTAGGTTCTTATCTAAGTTAAGCGAAAAGGACGTTTTAGATAGCTTCCTCTATAGGAGTATCACAAGGCTCTTAAATAGGATATATTATTTTACCTATAATAATAGACTATAGATCTTCGTCTAGGCTATCTATAATAAATTAAAGCTCCTATTTCTATTTCTCGAAGTTAGCTCTTTCCTTAAGTATAGGGACTAATTCGGCGAAGGTTTTAGCCGCCTTATAAGTCTTAAGATCGGAAACTATATTAAATATATATAAATATATTAATCCTACTACGACAAAGTACCGCTATATAGATAATACCTACTACGGCGATATACCGTTACGTAGTTAAGGAGCATAAGAGCCGGAAGGTATAAGGTCTACGATAATAAAGGTATATTATATAGTAAGCCTACTATAGCGAAGTACTGCTACGTAGGTAAAGAGTATTAGAGCTCTAAAAATAGCGTAGAAGCCGGAAGAAGGGACTTTAGCGATGATTCGATACGATAGCTTCGGTAGCCGTATTCGATACGTAGGGATCGTTAAGTCGTAAAGAGGTACGAAGTCTGTACTCTGTAGAAGGCGCAAAACGCGCCGAAAAACGATGGAAAAAGAGGTTATTATACAAGTTATATCTAGGCAGTAAGGAAATGTGAATAACCTTACTTTTTATGCGCTAAGCAGGGCTTATAACCTATTGGAGGCTACAGGGAGATCGTAGCAGACCTAAAAGAGGGGAGAAAGGAATAGTGAGATTGTATCTGGTAAGAGGTGCCTATCTAAGCTACGAAGGTGGTGTGCGTGGGCGCGTACCACGCTAGTGACACGCCTAACTACCAAGCTATCTCAACAGATCTCAGGCGCATTCAAAACAAAAACACCATATAGACCCTGTTCATGTACCCTCGCGACTGTCTAAATCCACAGCAGGTATTTGACAAGCCGTACTTTTGCTTTAACGCGTTGCCAGTACAACACTACTTTGAATCTGGCTCTTAATGAAACTCTGGGATGATTTCGAGGTCAGGAGCCATGAAGATCAAGACTGGTCGCTCACAATATGCGGTGTTTCGCGAGTTTTCTCTTGGTCATTTGACAAGGGAGGATCAGGCGTGCTCGCAAGCCGCTGCGATAGTTTCGTCTCATGTGCCTGCTATAGCGTCCACTGCAGGGAATCCCAATACGTTCGACGAGGTGGTAGATATTTCCGGAGAACTTATGTTGAGCACAACTATTGTCAAGTTCGAAATTTTGGGGTCAGTGCTGCGTTTTCCATATGATGGTTCCACCACGTTCCCGAATTCCTGAAAAAACGCCCCTCCGGGGCTCTCCATCTCTTCCTCGGACCTCACAAAGTCGAAGGCGAGCTTAGGACCTGCGAACGTGTCCCTACTCTCCAATGCGCGGAAGAATTTCAAGAGGAGATCGAATTGAATCGATGGCGAAGCCCTCCCGCGATAAAGACTCCGGCAGTATCAAGCCCAGGCAGAATCTGGAGACTTCTTTGCCGAAGGCTTATTTCGGCCGAATAGATGCGACACAATCTTATGGGGTAGCGGTCCAACAGTGGTTGCCCCGCCACGCGGGGCAATGTGAGCCCGCAAACAGGGTTGACCTTATCAGGAGCATCAGCATGGCCTCCAGTCGACTCTTGGTGCTGGGATGCTGTAAACGCTAATGCTTCGAGAGCTGATGCCGAGGACGAGCAGATAGTACTATCTGCAATGTGGCTTTCTTGGCCAGCTGAACCGGTAGAGGTCCCGAAACCCTCTGAAACTGTGCCCTGGAGCTATGAGAAGTGTGTGAGAACCATGGGTATTTGCGTCGGCCGAGGTCAGAAGCATCAACCTTGTCTTCATTCAATCCCTATTCTTTACCATTGTCATGCTTAAACCTGTTAGATCACAATGTTGGTGAGACTTCAAAGCAACACGTCGAGGTAGCGAACGCGGCAAGACTGCTCGGACCTGATTTGGGTGCTGGAAAACATTTGCCATGTCGCATTGGATGCGCTCCATGATGCTGGGCGAACAATGGAAAACTTTCGCTCCCAAGCTTCCGCTGTAGCTAGTCATGCGCAAGTGCAGTTATAGGCTTTTGGGTGTCGGCGTCCATTGTGAACCAGTCGTCGGGGACCGGGCCTCTGGGTCTCTTGATCCGTGCGTAAAGTCTCGCGGCGACAGGGACGAAGCTCGAAGCTGCGAACTTGCCCTCACTGCTCCATACGGTCCAATGACTGCGAAAAATGGCCTGCATGAGTGATTGGCCAGTGTGCAGCACGGTATCGGGTGCACTATTAATGCTTGCGATAGTAGAACGCCCAGACGCCGTTTCCGCGAGACAGATGCGAAGGCTATGTTGCAACAATGAACAAGAATACCTCTGCGCCTAAGCTTCACGGCCTCCTGATAAATCCGTGAACGAACCTGACAGCCCAAGAAAACGAGACAGTGGATAGGAAGAGAGAGAGAGAGATCAGAATCACATGTGTGAGTGATAAGTAAACTCATGAGGAATCTCTCATTTGGAAAGGAGAAGAGTGGTTATTCGGCGCTGAAGCTAAAGATCCATTGAAAACGTGAAAGAACATGGAGCCCAGAAGATGAAGAGAGAGTGGAGAGGAAAGAATTTACAGCGAGAGATTCTGCTACGTTCTATCTACCTCACCCAAATTTTAGGTCATCATGCCATTTTGGAACTTGCGCTAGGTATTTGTTGCGGCTTTTACGTCTATAGATCGAATTTTCTTTTTCACATGGTATGTGCTTGTGTTAGGGTTAAGAGAAATGGCCGAAGTTAGATATCTTAATACTTGAAGCCGCTTGATTTCAGTGCAGTTCTTTGAAAGTAAAACACTGCGCAATAATTGATATTTTCGAGCTGAACGTATCTCGCCGAAGTATGAATGAGAGTAAGAAGATTCAAGTTATTGCCGGGATTTTTTGACCGCCACCTCGGTTTCAATGAGCATCAGGTAGATTGTGGAATTTTTGAACAGTATAGCATATTCACCCCACGCCCCAGTCGTGCGGTGAAATCAATACTCTTCGCCCCGTTGCAGCTGTATCAAGAGCCAAGCAACTTTCTGTTTGTACGGCATGTGATACTGCCGCCTCACCGCAGTCTATAGCTTAGGTAGAATCTCTCCCCCTCAGCAATCTCACTCCTCATCCCTCTCACACATCGATACTGCTGCCCCTACAGTAGCCGTATCCCATCACTTTCCTTAGCTGATCGTCCATGTTGTGAGAAAAAGAGGCCGAGTTGTTCAGAGTCTGCTGTGCTTACTCCAAACGCCAGACGCGGAGTAGATCTTCGACAAGTCTTTCAACAAAGCTGACGAGTATGAGCTCTAGACATACTGTCGCCCACGCCTTCTAGCAGTCATTCAAGGACAGGTGCCACGGAAGCTGTGGGATGGAGGTGAGCGAAGTCCTGGAGCCTAGTAGAAGAAGGCGTGTATCCGTCCGCTGCGCTGACGAGCCTATCGAGGATGAAGAAGTTTCCAGTTGGCCCTAACGCTCCAGTCGCAGCTTCTAACCTGACCACGAAGTTGTACCCGCTCCCCAGGTTTGGAAGGGCAGATTAAGTTGTGTGAACGGCCAGTCCCAAACCAAGCCGAGAGCGCCGATAATGCTTTCGACAGTAGTAAATCCGAACTGAGTCTGAAAACGTTTGACTTGGAGTCTTATTGCGCCCAGAGATATGTGACCGCAACTCCCGACTCTGTATAACATTCAAGGCCGACCGAGCATGTGATAGCGATTTCAAGAAATCAACAGCGGCCCCGGTATATGAACACAGTTGGAACTGAAGACACCGTCTGGTGTTCGGGTTCCGAAGCTGTAGCGGACTTTAGCACAGCAAGCGGCTAGGGCTCAATTTGACGGTATGCATCTGCTCTGTCTCGGCGATTTTCGGGTTCTTTCTGCTTTGTTTGTTTTTCTGGGAAATGGGCGACAGAGATCGCGGGCTCCGTGTATCTGTCCTCAACTGCTCTCTCGCAATTTCAGTCTTCCGATCGGTTGCTGCAAGCACAAAAAATTGCGAAGATCAGTATGGCTGTTGTTTGATAGCTTTTGACTCTCATTTATTCAGGTGGCAACCATCTCAGTAGCCGAGGAAGTAACCAGTCCAGGCCTCTGTTCTTCTTCATGCGTCGCCCTCGGTCGGAGCTGGTCAACAACACATGCTACATGAGTGCAAGCGCCATCATGCTTCGATGATCATAATGGACAGTCTGCAAGAAACAAGAAATATGTATTGAAGTTAACAAAGGGGATATCTTATCTCCTGAAAGACATGACGGACGATGGGTAATAATGAAGTAATAATGGAGAAGAGAGGAAAATACCATGGAAATAACCGCCTCGTTCACTTCCAAGCGTTTGTTGCAATTGATCATATTCTTCATGGATGTATGCCTCTGCGCTTGGATTGATAGACGTTGGGAATGCCACCGTGACCCTGAGTGGTAGGTACTTCAAAAACAAGTTGACTTTGAGACTCATTGATTTCCTGAGCCACTGCACACTTATTGTAGAATAAATTGAATTGCAATTTCGGTTTCCGAGTCTATCATAATAGACTGGTCTTCATAGTGATTTTAAAACTAAGAATTACTTTATCCTCGTAGGAATCATGTCTTTTTGCCCTCTGTGGTCTTCCTACCAAGCTTGCTCGCTGCTCTTTGAGTGGAAATCCGGGACATTCCACTCACGCGAGATCTATGAAGCTGCCGATGACGTGAGTGTCGACTCTATTCAGCCCCTGCAAAGATTCCAAGTCGTCTTCAACAGGCATGGCATGTCTCTTCTCGCGTCCCTTGGGGGCTCGCGAATGTGCAAGCACTCCGGAATCGAAACTTGGTAGAGTTTCCATATTCGGCACGCGAGCGAGATCTCGATGCTCACAATTATCTATGGAGCCCGAAACTTGTCGTGACTCCGGCGGGGATGCAAGGTAATCGATTATCTTCGAACGGTCCAGTCTTATAGACCTCTGGATCTTGGTGATTATTGATCACGTCTCGGCGGAATTCTGCGAAAGACTTCTCAGTTGTAACCTCCTGCTGCAGCCAGGTAGGCCCAGGCGTAGTAAATGCTGTGCGGGACGAAAGATTATCTCGAGCTGTCCGTGAAGACCAGGGTTTTCCATCTCCTGGTCAGTCCGTAACGTGAAGAAGAGAGGCGGGGGTAGCGAGACAGAAGGATTGAATGTGGGAGATACCAGGATTCGAAGTGACCGAGATAAGCATTCGTTGGTATCTTATTGGAGAAGAAGACAATACATCATAACCCGCGTGAAAGCACGTCCAGCGATATCATTCACCATCAGCTCGTTGGTTAGTACCGGGTATTCCTCAAGACAATCACTTGCTCCATTGTGTGTGAGACTTGATCATCTATTACGTCGCTGTACGATGGTCAACGGGGACACGTGAGTTGATATCATGGAGATTCCGCCAGGCTCGGCTGTCTCTGACCAAGTGCGTCTGAGATGGACTTGATTCAATGCCTGGACACCACTGTATTCCACCAGAACCTTCTACGTAAGTCAAAATCAGGGCTCGAAGATCCCTGAGGGGTCGTTTGAATCATGAGGCTGTATCGGATCCGGCTTGTAATTGTCGACAAACTCGACATGGAGCCGCGGAACTCTACTAGCCTTCCTAGGCCTCGGGCAGGACTGAAATTGTGGCTCGTCAGAGGCCATAACAACATTCCAAATTCGATACGCCAAACCCCTGATCATGACTGGTTGCATAGAGATGAATCCTTTCCATAGCTTGAGTATTTTTACCACCTGCAAGTTACCGGTACCGCGGAGAGCTTACGCAGTTTCTTACTTACCTCTGAATGGTCACTTTCTGAGTTTCTATGCCTTCCAAATTCAGGAGTCAACGTAATCTGTTAGCGTACACAAACAGCTTACTATCTGCATCGCAGCTAGTCAGCGCTGCCAATCTCGTACCGCCAGCTCTAAGGTTAGAAGATGATGGAGATAGTGCAGGAGCTTGATTGAAAGCTCCGTAGACCGTTGGGTCGAGCCTAGGCAATTACAGACGAGTGTCGAGGCCACAAAGTTAAGGTTCCAAGGCATAATTCAGGCGATATTGGGTAGCTTCACCGATACAACAGAACGGTTGTCCCTACCTCTGCCCAAAACGCCGTATCCCGAAGAAGGTAGCCCGAGTGCCTGTTAGGCTGTTGTGTCTCTTACAAGAGACGATTATCCAATAACGTGTGTGGTGAGGTCGTATAAAGATCAAATCTCGATGGTTCGCGTGTAGAAACAAAGAGGTTGTAGGAAATGTGAGTCGACAGGAGACTGTCTCTTAACGTGCCACGAAAATCTATGGGCGACAAAGATGAAGATAGATGATTACTATGGAAATCTTCGCCCCGTTCTTATCAACGCTTCTATTACATCTTATCACAAATTCCAACGATATAAACTGTTGCCGCTGATCAGATACGTGCTACGAGTACTGTCATTAATCTAAGATTGGGGATACTTCGGTTGATTTAGTTAAATGCATAACTCGCAACAGACTCACGGTGGACTAATAAGGCTTCTGGTGAAACGCCCGAAACCTATCACGTCATATCAAATCATCTTCACACTCCACAGTTCACCCAACTCGCAAACTAACTCGGCTAATCCTTGCGAATCCGTTTCTTCTCTGGACTTCTCTTGTTGAGTTTCCTGATTGCCCCCTAGAGGAGACTCGGGATGTTCCAGAAGAGCGCGACCCTTGTTGTCGCTGATAATGCGGGCCAGAGCTATACTCCGCATCTGCGACATCCTCAAAGTGGGATCTGGCTAGCGCGTGTTTTTTCATTTCGCGTCGCTTCGAGCCGCATTGCTCAGCCAAAACGCCCGAGTGGAAGGTCGGTAGGATTTCAATATCCGGGAACCGCGTGAAAGCTTGGCGCTCGCGGTGAGCCGAAGACCCAGATGAACTTGTGTCGGCCAGAGCTTGATTGTAGCCGTTTTCCCGTTGCCGAGCATCTGTCATGTCGCGACGGATGCGCTCGACGATGCCACGGATGTCGTCGAACGACTTTCCGGCTCCGACCTCTCGCTGCAGCCAGTCGGGAACAGGCGCAGTGAACGCCGTTGGGTGCCGGCGTCCATTGTCAAGCAGACCTGTAGGGACAGGTCTCTGGGTCTCTCGATCAGTACGTAAAGCCTCACGGCGACGAAGACGGAGCTCGAAGCTGCGCACATGCCCCCATCGCTCCATGCGGTCCAAGGATTGTAGGAGCAGCTCGCACTGATTGAATGGCCACTGTGCAGCACGGTAGCGAGCACGCTGATAGTGTTTGCGGCAGTAAAAAACCCACACACTCTCGGGGAACGACTTGGTTGATGCTTTATTTCTCCCGAAAAGGTGAGAAACCACTTTGCGGAAATGAACGCCATCAGGACTGGGCCCCATTCTGCAGGGACGCGAAAATTCGCAGACGGGTGAGAACTCCGATGCATTCTCAGCCTGTGCTGAGCCCGGAGTTGAAGTACTGTCTTCATCTGACGCGCAATTCTCATCTGACAGATGACTCGCTACTCTTCCATTGCCGCCTGCGCCGTCACTGTTTGGTGGTAATGTGTTGTGTGGGGAACCGGAAGCATACGAGCTGGAATGCGATTCTTGAATGCTTACTTGTTGCAGTGCAGCATGTCTCTGAACAGTTTGATGAGACAGCGAAGAGAAAGGTGAGGTTTGAGTGAGAGAGACCCGGGATGCAGAAGGGTTGACGTTGACATATTGATAGATTGGAAGGTAAGGTCGAATCACTTGAGGCTCAGGGTGAGATGTGTCAAGACCGAGCTCTGGAAGTGAGGGTAGGCGAGTCTGATACGGCTGGAAAGATTGCCATGCCCAAGGGGCTGAGCTTGTGACGAGATAGGGAGCAGAGCTCGTGGCGTAAGAGAGCGAATTAACGGCAGACGGAGGGCAAAGAGCTGGATTGTGGGCATGGCCGGCCAGCTCCTGTGACGAGCTCGACTGACCAAGCACTGTGAAATGTGGGCTTGGTTCAGTGAACGTGCTGATGAGCTCTCCACTCATACGGTTGCTGGTACTTGGCTGGCCACAAAGACCAGCGGCTGAAGACGACCATGGGTACCCAGGGCCACCGAGATCTGAAATGCCCACCTCGGAGTCATCAACTCCTGGAATCTGGTTGTCGCCGTCGGAACCCATGGTGAGACAAAATGTGATTCTTTTTGAAACGAATACTAGTGGTGGGAGGCGGACTGTTGAGTTGGAAGATAGAACATGAAAAGGTGGAAGAACACTCGGAAGGAATAAGTAAGAAAGAGAGAAAAGCTTCGAGGTCTCAGGTGCGCGGAATTTAAAGCCCACAAAAAGGAAACTTCCATCTATTTTGGGTTGGCAGAATCCGGTCGTTTGCTAGAAGTCGCGCGCAGCAACACGTCAACACATGGAAATTTCCGTCGAAGGGAAAGCAAACAGTTCTAACGAGACACTTCCAGCAGAAATTCAACCCTTCCAAAGATCCCCGTAGAACAGTCAGCATATCTTTGAGCGGTGTCAGTTTCTTGGAGGGGCGTCGAGTGAGTACGATCACGAAGACCTTCATGCATGGAGAGCATCAACGGAAGTTAGATTTTATGACGTGAAATGTCTGGCATGCAACAAAGGCACTCGATACTTTGAACGCTGATGAAAAATTTTCTGGGCAGTGCTAGGACATCGAAAAATTTCAAGAGTACGCGACTCGAGTCTCGTGTCACCGCTGAATAGCTGCTATCTTGAGCATGCCGCTTTTTTGGAAGTGAGAGTGAGCAAGAGATGGTCAATCTTCCCTTTCACCGCACTCGACAAGGGATTTCAGGATTAGGCTTTTGATGAACTTGAGCTGGAAGCAACGCCTGATTGAAAATACCTTGTTCAGTTAGCTCCACAGTTAGCGTTATTCCGAAGACAAAAGAAGCTTCATGCACTGTTGGCGACCACATGCACCAAGTGACTTGACGGGTTTCAGCCAATCTTGGTAGTTGGCACCGAGCCTTCGCCCCTTGAGACAGAATGTGACTGCAGACGGAAGAAGCTTCTTGCATGACCATGGCTACGGAGCCAGAAGTAGTCTTGCTGGTCGGAGTTGTCAAGCCTGACGAAGCATCGCGTCACAAGCAGAATGGACTTGATCCTAAACATGGAACGACGTGAGCAAACTCTTTGGTAGTTGAATCGACGTCTTCGTATGATATCGTACGTGCAGACGGCCATTGCTTTGACCTCGCGAATATCGAGCAAGGCATTATTGAGCTACGCACGATATCGACGACTCGAGCAGGGAACCCGTCGGTCATGGCACCCTCTGGTGAAGTCCTATGTTTCGTGATGCACGATAACGTCGGCTCGCGGCTCGAAGATGTCACTCCAGCTGCCGCCTTACTCGCCCCTATGAAACCGCGATGGATCATTTGACGAGGGGAAGGGTTGTTCTTCTTGGGAAAGGCTGGTCTGGATGTCGCTCGATCAAGCCTTTGTCGCTCGGGGGTCCATCGAACTTGCATGACATGGCGAGCAGGTCGACTCAAATACGGACTCGGGCTAGACGCTGGCTATAGGGGGGATAAGCTTGGACGGCCAAGTGATTGCCTCTTTGCCTTTTTATGGGCAAACTTTTCATATATCAATCTGCCCATGATACATTACCGGCCCCAATGAGAAATTCAAACCCGTTGATGGTCCGACTCGGTCTATCGGTGAAATGACCGCAGTTCCATAAGCATTTCGCCCCACCGCCCATCTGCACGGGAAGGATGTTGCTGACCCGACAGTGCGAGCCCGGCCGTGACGTTCGTTGACGATTTTCCTAACGCGGAAACAAGGCCCTGCAGGACAAGCGGAAACCGAGGAGGCGGGCATCGTGGTCGGCAATACCGGCAGACGAAACTCCTGGCATAGAAGACCAACGACGCACCGCAATCCTATCAGCTTTGCGCTTGTCGATGATCCTTACTCAATGGAGAAGATGGCTCTTTCTGCTCAGATCAACGTGGTATTGTCGGGTTGTGCAGAAGAGCGGGGAGAGGAAGGCTTGCCACGACGCTATTCCCGAGAGGGAAATTGCTTGGTTCAGCAGAGAGTCTGAGACACCCGAGCATAGACATCACGTTTTCCGGGGCGACAGTGGCTTCATGCATCAAAGTACCACCCAGTCATCATTCCATGCCGATCGAAATCTGGGCGACAAATCGAGGAATTACATCGCATTACTTTGCCTTGCATGATGCTGCGACCACTCGCGGGCTCCCTCAACTTCCCCCTAAGCTTTTCCCCTTGTGGCCATGTGAAGTATAAAAAGATCTCCTCGCGCCTCAAGATGCATGAAGCAAATTATCATTCTGTGAGTATTCTGACTTCACTTACGAGTCACAAAGGATTGTCGAATTACTTCTGATCGTTTTGTCTTCGAATTTCAACATGGTCTACGCTGCTTGGGCTCTGTTGAGCCTTGCAACTTTGAGCCATGGCTACGCGACCGAGAAGCGAGCCGGCTCAGCTTCTGCGTTTAGTTCCAATTCCGCCGGCAACTACAAGCTATCTTCAATTGCTGCACCAGTGCAAGGAAGTGGCAATCCTGGATCGGAGTCGACTTGGAAATTGAGCATTGATGATACCAGCTCTGGACACAAGCAATCCATTACTGGGTTTGGCGCAGCTGTGACAGATGCGACGGTGACCACGTTCAATAGACTTTCCAGCTCGAATCTCCAGTCGCTGCTCGAAGAGTTGATGACCAACTCTGGTGCAGACTTCAGCTTGATGCGTCACACCATCGGTGCATCTGATCTCTCGGGCGACCCGGCATACACCTACGATGATAATGGAGGTTCTGCCGACCCTTCGTTATCCGGCTTCAATCTGGGCGACCGCGGAACCGCCATGGCGAAGATGCTGGCGAGAATGAAATCCTTGCAGTCAAATCTGAAGATCCTGGGCTCTCCATGGAGCGCTCCTGGCTGGATGAAACTCAACGGTGTCATTGATGGCACCACCAATCAAAACAATTTGAACGACGGGTATCTGAGCAGCGGGACAGGTAGCTCCGGTTACGCTCAAGCCTTTGCCAACTATTTTGTGAAATACATCAAGGCATATCAGAATCTCGGCGCCAATATTGATGCAATCACTATTCAGAATGAGCCTCTGAACAGCCAGTCAGGCTATCCGACCATGTATGTGTATGCAGACGAGTCTGCGCAGCTCATCCAGAAGTACGTCGGACCTGCCATCTCCCAGGCCGGTTTAAATACCAACGTCTGGGCCTACGATCACAACACTGGTAAGTAGGAATATCCATCAAGAATATCCCATTGAAATCTTGTTCTAATGAAGTTCATTCGTCGCCCGAAAGATGTCCCATCTTACCCCCAAACTGTCCTCGACAATGCTGGACAATATGTTAACTCTGTGGCGTGGCATTGCTATGCCCCCAACAATGACTGGGGTGTCCTCACTCAATTCCACAACTCCAACCCTTCCGTGAGCCAGTACATGACCGAATGTTGGACTCCCGCCGGAACATGGAATCAAGCAGCCGACTTCACCATGGGGCCCCTTCAAAACTGGGCCCAAGGAGTCATTGCCTGGACTCTGGCAACGGACGGCTCTGATGGACCTCATCTGTCCAGCGGTGGTTGCGGGAACTGCCAGGGACTGGTGACCATCAATGGCGACAGCTACTCATTCAACCCGGCATATTACATGATGGCCCAGTTCAGCAAGTTCATGCCGCCTGGTGCTATTGTGTTGGATGGAACTGGGAGCTACACTTACTCTGGGGGAGGTGGTGTGCAGTCTGTTGCTTCGTTGAACCCAGATGGGACACGATCCGTCGTCATTGAGAACACGTTCAACAACGATGTTTACGTCACATTGTCCACCAAGAGTGGTCAGCAGTGGAGTGGGAACATCCCGAGCGAGTCGGTGACTACCTGGGTACTTCCCGCGGCGTGATTTGGGCACTTGACTTGGTCCCCTCGATGTGAGTGACCATGGCATTGTACAGATGGAGTAAACTATTGTATAGTCCCTAGAAATCAGTTTACATGCGATGGTACTTTTCCTTTGCGACAGCCTTTGCCACAACCTGTCCTTCTAGGCAAGACTTGAATATAACCCAGGAACGAACGCATCCCAATTAATACACTTATATAGCAAGCTTAGAACAGCTAACACCCTGTAGTCTTGACTTGAATGTAACTACACCTCTTATAGTCATGAGTCCAGGTTTAGTAGGCTAGGTAAAAGGCTGACGAGCCTTTTGGATGGCCTTTCCAGATAGTCCTTTTCACATAGGTGTTGATACAGAAGTCTTCCTCATAATTTTACCGAGATCGGGTGTTTCTTGATTCAGTATACCGCAACTCTTCGTAACATTCCCATTGGCCCCGAGTGCATCCATCGGCCGCCATAGACCCGGCGCTACAAGTAGAAGTATCAAGGATGCGAAGGCCTTTTAACAAAGGTCGATTGCCGACACAATCTCAAGCCCGGATAAAGATCGCATGAGAGCGTATGTTCAGAGCCTGTACCTCAGTCAAGAGTGACATTCATATTTCAAACTCAGCTGCACGCGTCTGTGGTCTTTGATTATTGGAATGACAGAAAGATTCCTCGCTGACCAGTGTCAGCATTAAATTCGGCTATCGGCTGTATCAAGCTCAAGACCTTCACAACCCATATGGATTTGTATAAAGACATACAATGAGTGGGATGTAAAAGTGATCGGGATTCATCAAGGAGAAAGTACCCATGTCGCAATCCCGACTAGCGGCTTGCTTGAAAACGGCTCTGTTAGGGTTAATCAGTCACGTGATATACAAGACCGCAAAGGCGAAAGGCAAGTAGCACACATCAAATTTTCATAGTTGATTGAGATGGAAGAGAAGGATCAGGATATGGAATATTCGTATTGTGCTTTTTTTGTCTATCATAATGAGATCATTAAGGGTGCGGTGTGGCCCTGCTCCCTATGTACAAAAACCACACAGAAAACAGGAGAAGGGTGACAGGAAAAATGACTGGGCACTGAATGTTCTACTTTCTCAAATGCTCAGAATTTTTGTCCGTAAGCAAAGAAAGCTCGGATCGAAGGTCGTGACGTGCGTGGGGTGAAATAAGTCGCTAAGAGAAGGAGAATAAAAAAGAAAATCTTGTAATGGGAGGGAAAGCCGAGTACCCGACCGCCCAAATGATGAAGAGTCAACCCAGATTGAAAACAACGCCGGGAATGGTATGCAAGAGGTCGAAGGGAGATAGAATGCAAAAGAATGACAGCGAATCACTGGGCGGCAGCAGCAAGCGATGATTGCAAGGCCTGGGTCATGGCCTCTTCTTGTCGCTTACGCTCCATCTCCATCAAGTACTGGGCGTACTTGGAACGAGGGTTGTGAATACCACACTCGGTCTTTTGTTGACCTTTCCAGCGACCGGAGCGCTCATCCTCATTGTCGGCGACAGGTTGCGTGGAGTGCCAATCACCGATACTCTTGTAGCCGCGGTCAAGCAGCTCGTTGTATGGCACGTCGTGTTCCTTAACATATGCCTTGACTTGATCGAAGGACCAGTTGGCCAGGGGGTTGATCTTAATGAGACCGGCCTCATCAACTTCGATGACGTCCAGGTCCCCCCGCTTGCCACCCTGGCTGCGGCGACGGCCAGTGAGGACGGCATGGACGTTGAGCTCTCGGTACGCACGCTGAGCGGGCTCAACCTTAGCCACCCAGTCGTAAAGCTGGTCATCGGCCTCCCAGAGACGGGATCCATACTTGGATTCAAACTCGGCAGGAGTGTCAGCACCCAGGGGCTTGTAGACATGGATGTTGTTGAGTGGGTAGCGTTTCCGGACCTTGTCCACAAGGGACAAGGTCTCAGAGAAGTGGTGGAGAGTGTCGAGAAAGATAAGGTCAACCATCTGAGGGCGTGGCACATTCAACTTGGACATCATGTCCAGCGTCACCAGGCCAGTCAGGCCAAAAGCCGTGGTCTGGAAAAGATGAGGCAATGATGTGATGCACCATCTCAGAATCTCTATGGATTGATAATTCATGTCAGCCCCTCTTCACCAGGAAAAAGTTGGGGCCGGGAGGGAAGCCCTGTGAGAGCAGATGAACATACCTTGGGGCTCGAGGAATTGCAGTTGACGATTGAGGAACTGAAGGTGAGGCTTGGTGAAGACAATCTCAGGGACATATTCGTCACTGGAGCCGCCGCTCACGTATCCAGACTCTGTGTTGGCATCCCGGGAGTCGATGCCATTCTCGGCATCTGAAGGGTAGTTTTTCGCAGGCATTTTGTAAGCTTGTGTATAATATCCCGAATGACAAGAGGAGTGTGAAGTATGAGAAAGACAGGCAAGTAGAAGCAAAGAGATAGCACAGCCAATTCAGGAATTCAAAGTAACGTGATGGATGATTGAAGGTGTGGGATGAAGAAGGCCGGTGTCGGTGCTTGACTGGATATAAAAGAGGAACGAGTGGATTATCGAGCACGACATCATCCTGATATCCATGCCTGGCATTTCTCATTTCTCATCCGGCTGCAATGCCGTCTGATTCTGCCGGCTATCCAGGGAAGCAATCACGCAATTCTCTCGACCGCCTTCGAGCACGCAATTGTTGCACTTTTGGTCTATGTGCCTCGCCGAAATACCCTCTTTTGTTTAAGGGCTCTGTCAATCGCAGTCACTGTTCCAAATGAAACTAGCTGGGCGTAGCATAGCGTGCATCTTGATTGGAAATCATGCTTATGAAAGAGTCGATCAATGCACCGTCTCCATAACGAAGGGCGTGCGCCATTATTCACTCCTGCTCATGGAGGAATCGGTGTAGCTGACCAATTCATACTGCGGATATGATTGCATAGCCACGGAGCTTTGAGTCTATTTCTTTTCGTTAGCAAGGTCTGCAACAATGAAGTTTCAGTAGATCTCATCGAGTGATTACCCAATTCGGCATGAAAACACTCCCCTGATCGCTGGAATAATGTGCGTCATCCTGGAATCTCCCAGCTATGGCTCGTATGCAATGTCCGTAGCGCGGAGCCTCTTCGTACCTTTGGTCCATTCTGCCGAGCGGTACTAGCTCTATGATCACGTGAGACAGAGCCTTCCCCTCCAAATGACCGCCACCTTCTCAAGGAACCTGTGAGGCGTGCCCAATCCACGAGTGACGACGGGGTGGTCTTCAAGACCTTGGACCAAGTCAGGTGACTTGTTGGAGCCCAAATGTTGGATCAGCACGTGCGGATCACCTGCCTGGAAAAGTGGGTTGGGAGCATACTCGGAGTCAACAAAGCTGTTCAAGCTCTTGTACAGTGACGGCGCAGGATCTTTCTATCCTACTTCGTCTGTTTCATCTACAAATCTCTGTTTCTGTCTCCTATCTTTTTTTTCACAAATATGGCTGATCCCGCCTCTTCCCGCCCACGCCCGTCGCTGGGCCAAATGCGAAGCAACTCATTCTTACAGGATCACCAGCAATACAAGCCCCCCGTCAACCAGACAATTGGGGAAGTTCTTGCTGCGTTGCCAGATGAAGCCGCGCTGAACAACCCTATCAAGCCCGATCCAGAGCGCGTCACCGACAGTGGAATTATCCATAGTTTGTTCAATCACCATCCCAATCCACTTCCCCAGGGTACCCCGCGTATTGTCGCAACCATTTTCTACAAGTCCGCCAGTCCTGTCCACCCCCACTATCACCCCGACGCATCCCCTGCTCTGCGTCCGGGAAACAAGCTTCCGTCGCCACAAATCCCCTCAGGCTCAGCTCCGTCTGTGGACATCGAGAAACTTCCTCGCGAACCGCCCGCGCGAGAACCCGAACCGCTGGACCATCTGTACGGGCCATATGTCTCGCAGCTATGTTTGACAAACTTCTTGCAAGTGCTAGAGTCTCTTCCTACCCCTTACCAGCGAACATACACATCTCACAGGTGTCTTGACCGTGAGGAACAACCGCATGTTGTCGAGGTTACATTCTCCCCACCCCCAGACCCAGCCTATCTCTCATTTGACGACCTGCGCAAACATGAGAGCATCTGGCGCTTCGAGCGTGAGTGGAACGTTGAAGTGGTGCTACAGCAGGAGAGTGTCTTCCGTCGGCACAAGCGCTTGGCTGTGTTTGATATGGATAGCACGTTGATTGAGAATGAGGTCATTGATGAGATTGCCAAGTTTATCGGTGTAGAGAAGGAGGTCTCGGTAGGTTTTTGCGGGCGTATTTCAATGTTTTGTAGAAGTCGTCGAAGATGTACTAATCCGCGATCCCGTAGGAAATCACTGAGCGTGCCATGAATGGCGAGCTCGATTTCTCTGCATCATTGAAGGCGCGCGTGAGCCTGCTCAAGGGGGTCCCGGCCGATGTCTTTGACAAGCTCAAGTCAACCTTGACAATTGCAAAGGGTGCCCGTGAGCTTTGCCGCGCTCTGAAAGCCCTCGGGTTCAAGATGGCCGTACTCAGTGGTGGATTCCAGCCTCTGGCTGAGTGGCTAGCTGGTGAACTTGGCTTGGACGTTGCTGTTGCAAATCACGTAAGTAACAACGAGAGCCGAAAGCATCGGATTGTTCTAGTGACTTACCGGAAACTCGCCCTCCGCAGCTTGAGATTGACCCAGTATCACAAACCCTGACCGGCAAGCTCGTCGAATCGAAGCCCATCATTGACGCTACTCAAAAGCGCACTCTCCTCAAATCGATTGCCGCAGAATACAACATTCCCATTTCGCAGACCATCTCCGTGGGCGACGGCGCCAATGATCTTCTCATGCTGCATGCAGCTGGCTTGGGCGTGGCATGGCGCGCCAAGACCAAGGTTCAGCTCGAGGCTCCAACTCGTATCAACGGCCAGAGTCTCACTGATATTCTCTACCTGCTGGGCTTGGACAACGAAGACATTGTTGAGCTGTGCTCTGGCGCACAGAGTACAGCTTAGTGAGCTTGTCACAGACGCTTACACGGATTTTCCAGCCATGTCAGCTTCCTTCCGGACTCTCCCGCCTGTCCCTCGCATACACGGAATCTCAAACGGGGCTTGTAACGTTTCGATTTGACTGGCTGGGTCCCGAACATCGCACGCACATTTCAGTTTCTCTATTGGTTGATTGGCGAGGTGCCTCGTATATCTTCATTCTCGTGGACCAGGTAGTGACATTGTAAAGATCGGCTCGTGCAGGGGTTGGGTATCTGCTACGTAAATATGCGTATAGCAAAAGGTGCCACATTGTGTATGATGGCGTGACTTATGACCCTGAACAAACATAACGCATGGCATAGCTTATGAATCATCAACGATATATTCTGGATAAAAGTCGTACGATCTCGGGACTATCAAATAACACAGTAGTCATTCGTTTCATTGATCAGTGGACGGGACTGGAAGCTCACACATTTTAAAGCAAGTATATAAGCAGCCTGTACAAGGGAGCAGGAATTGATAGGTACCTAGTAACACAATAGAGAGAAGAACAAAGTGTCCATGTTGAATTAGGTGTAATAAACACCGAATGCCGACCAAACCAATGCAAAGCAACGCCAAATGAGGTGATCGTGGAGGATATCAGGGAAAAACAAGTCAAGTCCGGAGTGGAAGATGTATGGGTGTTGAAGGAGGAGAAACGCAAAAATCAGGCAGCAGTCTTGTCCAATGAAGGAGAGGTTTGCTCCACGGCGGGTGTGACACCGCCAGAAGCAGCGCGGCGCTTTTTGAGAACATTTTCAATGAAAGCCTCGCCTGCCTTGTAGCTGCTGCGTACCAAAGGACCAGATGCGCAATACAGGAAGCCCATCTCAAGTGCTCGCTTACGCCAGTACTCAAATCGATCAGGGGTGACGTACTCGTGGACCGCCATGTGACGCTTGCTTGGACGCATGTATTGACCAAAAGTAACGACATCAACCTTGACGGCGCGCAACTGGCGCAGTGCATCCTCGATTTGCTCATCGGTCTCACCAAAGCCGAGCATGAGCGAGGTCTTGGTGATGAGATCCGGACGAGCTTGCTTGGCGGCATCCAAGACTTGGATAGACTGCTGGAAGGTGGCTCGGCGGTCTCGGATGTGTGGTGTGAGAGCCTCCACGGTCTCGACATTGTGAGCGTAGACGTCCAAGCCGGATTGCGCAACCAAAGCGACCATGTCCATGTTACCCCAGTAGTCACCCGTCAAGCACTCCACAAGGATATTGGGGGCCTTTTGCTTGATCTTGATCACGGTCTCGGCAAAGTGGCGAGCGCCGCCATCTGCCAGGTCATCTCGGTCGACACTGGTCAGGACCACATAACCCAGTCCCCAGCGGGAAATCGCTTCGGCAGTGTTTTCGGGTTCGTGAGGGTCAAGAGGCGCTGGGCTTCGGCTGGTCTTCACGCTGCAGAAGCGGCAGCCACGGGTACAGGTGTCACCCATAAGCATGATCGTTGCTGTCGCCGCGGACTTGTCACTGCCGCCCCAGCAGTCGGAAATGTTGGGACAACGAGCCTCCTCGCACACTGTATGTAGATTCAGACCACGCAAGTCCTTCTTCAATCGTTGATAGTTCTTAGAGTCGGGAATCGGTGTCTTCAGCCACGAAGGCAAACGAGTCATTTCCTTTTGCGACCGGCGGGCCCAACCATGGCTGTTTTGAGCTCATACGCTTCAGCGGCGTCAAGCGGCTCCTCCTTGCCTCCAGACACAAAATCGGAAAAGGAAGGACCGGCATTGAGCTTGTCCTTGAACGTCGTGGCTCGCCGCCGTGTCAACCCATCGGGCGAACTTGAGGTGGCGGACGAGGCATCGGTTGTGGCATAGGTGCGATAGGCAATTGGAAGTGCGGAGGGACCCAAAGACGGACTGGCTGTTCGAACGGACGAGAGACACCGAAGTGCCCGTGAGGAAGCTGCCATTGTAGCGTATCGTAATTGTCTTTGTACTCGTGAGTGAAGAGTTCGAGAATCCTATTTCAAAAGATAAGCCGTTGATACTGGAGAATCCCGCGGGAAACCGTCTAGCTTTCTGACTAACATTCCCCGTCCGGACCATCTTTGTTCCGCCGATCAGCGGTCGATTGAACCGACGCCGAGATCAAGCTTCGCCGACTGTGGGGCTGAGAGCTTCGCAAGTACAGTGGGTGAGTAGGGTACGGTGAAGGCGCAAGTTGCAGTAAATCTGACACTGTGTGCGGTAGAGATAAGTTGAGTCCTTGACGTTTGGTGTGTTTCTCTCGCTCAGTACTTGTGGGTAGGGGGGCTGGGGAGTTCCTAGTGTAGAGGGGAATGCTCAAGGCAGTCTGATCTCACTAGACAGGTCGAGTCATAGAGGAACCAAACCACAACCACCAGCACGCACGTCCAGAGATCTCCCAGCCCGACCGTACAACACCTATCCGTAGGATGTCAAGAGGCACAAGTGAAGATCAAAAGGAGTGTGTCATTGCAATGCAAAAGAATCCGACTGTAAAGACTGTACTGAAACCTCAATTCCCTTCTCCGATAGGTCTCCCGGATCCCATGAAGTTGTTCAATCCCTTGGGTCCTTGGTTGTTAAGTTGATTGACCCCCTCTCGTCATGTCCAAATAGTCTCTCCCGACTATAAGGCCACCATCAGGCACACGCACCTCTGCAGACTATCTGTTCTACATACAGGCAACCGGATTCCCTACTACACTAGGTACGAATATAAGAGCAACTCAGTACTTTGTACTTTGTTGGTTTGGAGCACAGAGAAGTATTAAGATTATGATATATGTAGTACCTAGTACCTACTACCTAGTGTGTGTGGGTATAGTAATATGCCAATGAACTGATTTCCAAAGCGAGAAATCGCTATCACAAACGCATGAATGAGAATCGCAGTATAAGGGTATGGTAAGGACAGAGAATAGAATTCAAAGCGAACAGAACAAGAAGGAGATGTTTCGAGTCGATCGAATGTGGGAATCACTGGAGGGAAAAAGAAGAGAGCGAATGATCCATGGTGGGGGAGAATGACAATAATGAAATGGATGATAGAGAACGGACAACATGAGGTACGTTGTGGAAAGAATGTCGACAAGACATTGGTTTAAAGATTGTGGGAGGTTTTGGAAAGAAAAATGAAAGAGAGGGTTGAGTAGGCAAGTGAGGAATAAGGTAAACATCTTCTTAGACATGTGTCTCAAGTACTTGGGCAAGGACCTCAAGAGCTGACTTGAGCGTGCCGTCGGATCGGCCGCTGATAGCAAAGAGAAGTCTGTCGATGATTTTCTCGACATGATGGTGAAGATCCAGCGTGCGGGAACCAGGCCTGCGCTCCTTGGCGCGGCTAGGTGATGCGGTTGGGAGCTGAATGCCCAAGGTACTGTAGGCCTTTGCTGGCACAGCCTCAACACAGTACGAGTCGGCTCGTGATGATAATGACGGTCTCCTGCGCTGCAACTTGCTCAAGGAATGAAGATAATTGCGTGCGATGAGGGCCGCGCACAGACAATCGAGCAAATTGTCTGCGACTGTCGGAAAGATTGTTCGAAAATGACGTAATAGAGTCTTCTCGTCGTTTTTGCGAAGGAAGACGATGACCGGCGATGCGAGTCGAAGCATATGGCGAGGAAAATCTTTCACCGAGTGTTCAAGTTCACCCAGAGACCATTCATGGTCATCCAGTGTCCACTGAGAGTCCCAGGAAGTTTGCTTTTCCAGCTTCTCATCTTCAGACGGACGGAACGCGTGACCCGGCGAGTGTGTTCGCAGGTACGGCGACGCTTTGGGGCTGACGCTTCCCGAACGAATCTCTGGTTGCAGTGTAGCCTCATTCTCATCGAAGGTGGACTCCAGCTTGTCGCCAATAACGGTCGACGAAACACTGTCAGATGTCAACGACCCAGGATCAGAGATTGTATCGTCGTCTCTAGAGTGCGCGAACTGTTCAATCGGACAATCCGATTCATCTGGCTCAAACTCGGTCCTTTGTTCCGCACTTTCGAGTGGCGTATCCAAAGGCGTGTCTGGGCTGAAAGCGGAAATTTCTTCCTGTCGCTGATCTGGGGTCATCGGAGATCGCGCAGGTTGGTGACCAAGGAATGGGGGCGCAAAAGGTGGAACAGAGGCACCCATTGAAGGTGAGGATTGCCGCGATATGTCCACAAGCTTCGGTTTACTCGCCACGGCAAATCTCTGTGTCGAGCATGATTAGCATAAAGGTCACATGATATGACAAGTAAATGAAGACTCACCACTGGTTCGTCAAGGGTTCGCGTCTCCGGATACCAGTTGAATGTGGGCATCGGCGGGTCCTGTTCAATGATTTGACACTTTCGGCGGTTCGACTCTCTAGGATGATCCTGTCGATCGAGCCGATTATGTGGAACACTCTGCAACCATGTTTCACAATACGAGAAATTAGTGGGCACCCAACTCGCCTCGCTCGAGACTGTCGTCGTCCGCGGTCGTTGAGGTTTCGGGGACCCGGAGGACATAGAAATTTGAACACTGTAGTGTGACGAAGGCGAACCAACAGTCTGCTTATCCACGGGTCTTGGATGTTCTTTGGGGCTTGAGGTCGCGAGTGTTTCCTCACACTGTCGAATCAGAATTGAATGCGCCTCGTGAACGTTAGTTACATCCGTACGTCGCTTCTCAGGTAACTTAGTATGCCAAACTGAGGCTCCGGGTGGTTCACGAGGAGGCTTCTCATCTGCAAGTGTCTCTTCTGAAGCTTTTCGAGACAGCTGCGACTGAAGCTTCGGTGCCTGTGGTTTGTTTGACTTTGAGCTACTGAAGGACCTTCCAGTGGCAGGACCTGGTGGGTGCAAATATCCAGGCTGAAGGGTGGCGGATTCCTTTTGACTTTCAAAGTAGGAGGCGTCCGGGCCAGTACTTGCTGGCCTGGATTCGGAGATTGGAGGACTGGGCAACAAGCCGAACGCTGCCATGCTTGCCGACGTTAGATTTTGGTCTGATCGCCACGTTCTCAATGCATGCACTTTCGGTGTCTTTGAGGACTGCCGCGTGGGTCGTGTGGAGAAAGGAAATGTGCCATCGCAAGATGCTGAGACTGGAGACGATGCTGATACAGGCGACCCTGGCAATCTCAGTTGAAAAGGCTCCTTCATTCTGCGAACAGACCGAAACGGCGAAGCGCAAGACGACGTGCGATCTGCAGCCCGACGTGGAAGAGGTACAGGCGGTTCATGCATGTCCGATGATGACACCGGAGGCGCTGGTGCAAAGGATAAGGAGGGTGGGTAGTGTTTGCTTGTCCGACGCCGAGGTTGATATGTAGGTGACCACCTTCGCGGCGATGGGATGGGGTCCAAGACACAATCCCGAAGGGCCATCCCATCGGGGTCTATTGATCCATCCCTGAAAGGTTGACTCTTGACTCGTGTTTCCATCCGGACTGGCGGACAGATAGACTTTGATATTTGAGAGGGTCCAGAATCCATACTAGCCGTCATGGCGTCGGTTCCTGGATGGATTGAAGACACGACGCTGGATCCCGGCTGCTTGAATTGATCCGTCTCGCCCTCCAGAGCAGTTGAAATGTTTTCTATTGGCGTGTACCGGTCGAGATCGCAATGGTTCACAATGGCAGGTGTTGTCGAGTGTCGCAGAATCCGTCGTGATCAAAACAAAAACGATCGCAATCGCCTGTGTAGGGGTTCGATTTGTCCTTATACAAGAACAGTGGCGCTTGGGATCAAAGACAATCGGCAGGATTGATGATCACCGGGGTATTGAGACCTTGTACAAGCCCGCCCCTTGACAGGAATGATGGGAGAAGTTTACTCCTTCGCGACAGAACGGTCTATGTATCTCACTTGACTTCCAGTTGAGGTACATCAGGAACAGCGACGAGCGTTGCCACCCCTTCTTCTAGGAAACGGCACGCTTTCTCGTCGGCACTACTTTCAGGTTACTGCCAGGCACGAGTTCGGGCAATAATAAGGAGAATGAGCTTACGCTGTCCTTGCATTCCAGAAAGAGATGAGATGAGGAACAGCAAAGCTACATGATTGGATCCATGACCAGTAGTCATGGAAGCCAAGGACCTGCAGGAGCCCGTCAACGTGGAAAACAACCCCATCCATCAATCCTCACCGTCATCCGTCTCATAGCCCCGGTGATTGAGTGGAGTCTGGGAATGAGACATCCGGGTTGGACTTGAAGTCATCTCCAGCTCATAGGCGAATCAGCACCCTTACGAAGGGCAACAGGATCGACCGCAGGGTCTTCACGAGCGGGCAACAACCGGTTCGATTGCAGGATGTGTCTCGTCGCCGCGGGACAACAGGGGAAGGGGAGCTACCCCTTGCTTCGGACCTGCTCATGCCCTAGCTGCAGTCTGAAACTCGACTATAAAAATGCTTCGCCGCGCCAAGAATGCGTGATCTGACAAGCGGTGATCGGAGTAGACGAGCCGCTTCGTATGCCCGTTCGGCTCGTAGATATGTCGATAGGTTCGCCTCGGGAGGCATATTCAAATTGAACCGCATTTACAGGACATCAGCCTCGTCGACTAGTCATACCGCGTGTGGCAGGTGCTATCACTGGGAACACCGATGGGCAGCAACCCCCATGTAATGCATGCTCGGCGGATGTTATCCAATCCGGCCCAGTAGGCTCGTTTCAATATAGTCGGAGTAGTGAACACTGGATACACATGTCGGCTGGCGAGTCCGATCCAGATTCCGGTGGCGCTTAGCGAGTCAGCCGAATGTCGACAGGTCTCAGGGAGCCTCGAAGAATGAAGGTGACAGGTATCAGCTTGACAGCCTCGTTCTAGCCAAACTTATATCATGAAAATTCTCCGTCGGGCCACCACATAGCTTAGCGCAATTCCCGCTTGTAGTTTATGAGATTCATCACATTTCGAGGCTGCGGATGGCGCACATTTCTTGGAAAGGCGGGACAAAGAGAAACGGCAAACAGTGCAAACAGCTCGCTATCAATCAGTCTTATCGCCAAAAGTTGACGGGGCGGGGGGGGGGGGGGGGGAAAGAAAAATTAAAAAAGAAGAAAAAGACTGCGGCTGCTCCATTGAACAATGAAGCAACCATTAAAGACGACGTCCTAACTGCCGCTTCATACGACTATCAGTGTGCTTCTCGAACGATAACCACCTTTACTTGATTTCGTGAAACTCGACTCCAGCCCGCTCGCAGTGGTCTCGGACCCTGCGCCCTCCTCCAATCCCCCATGCTCTCCGAATCATTTATCGCGTCGACCTTGGCTTCCGCGAAAACTCCGACTGCCACATTGCGCGATGTAGGGATATGTGTACAGGAACTCCAGCCCTCTCCTCAGCTGCGATCGACATTCAAGAAGAGCTCCACTTCGACCAATTGCTTGGCTGTGACTCCGTCGCACATTTTCGCCGCTCAAGCGGACAAGGCCGTGGTTCATGTCTACAGTCGCGAAAAGGGAAATCAAGAGGCATTAGTACCTTTTCCGGAGCGAATTCGCAGCATTGCGGTCGCGGACGCCAAGTATGGCGATGTGCTTATTCTGGGAACCGAGGGTGGTCGGTTGATTCTGTGGGAGGTACGATATGTGCTCTTGGTTCATGCCATGATCTGAAGCCTCTGGTTGGGATACATCATAGTACTGACACAGCTCCCCCTTTGATTCTAGACATGCACAGGACGTCAATTGGCAACAACTGCATCACATCTCCAGCCTGTCACGTCGATTGTCGTGGACCCAACCTCTAATTTCATCCTTTCTGGCTCCGACGACGCGAGCATCCATGTGTGGTCGATCCCCAACATCTTGTCTTTCTCCAAACCCGCCCATGGTGGACGAGACCGTCATCCGGCCAATGCCCCCATACGTACATTCTCGAACCACCGTGCTGGCATTACCTCATTGGCGGTAGGACACAGCTCGGGTCGACACAACATTGCCGTGTCAACGGCCAAAGACAACACGGCGATTGCCTGGGACTACCAAACCGGACAGGTCCTTCGAACATATCTTCTTCCCTTCTCCGCGACATGCGTGGCTTTAGACCCCGTCGACCGGGCGTTCTACGTTGGCTACGAGGACGGAAGCGCTCAATCAGTAGACCTCTACCGAAGCCAATCAAGTCAACATCCTCTGCATGATGCCTCGCTCCAGGCAACACCGGCGCAAGTTTCGGCCGAAGACCGTTGGCTACCTCCTGCGGCCGACTCTGGTACAGTGAAGGCTCTCACTCTTTCCTATGATGGCACAATCCTTTTGTCCGCTCATGAAAGCGGCAAAGTGCTCTCGTGGAATATTGCACGACGGAAGTTTACGGCCAGCGTTGCCGACTATACTCACCCCGTCACCAACCTGATCATGCTCTCTCCCAGTGGCTTATTGTCATCATCACAAGAGCTGAAACGAGTGACCCATACCATCGTCAAGCCACGCATTGACAACTCTTTTGCCGACCCAGCACATGCCCCTGGTGCAGTTCCGGCCGAATACAAGTTCCACACACATGTCGTCACATCTTCTGCCCAGTCACGAAAGCCCTCCCCGTTCTCTCAGGCACTTACTCACGCCTTCTTCCCCGAGTCAATGATCGAGGAAGGTCTGGCTGAACTTGCCGCGTTGCAATCACCCGACGCTCTCAACCCAGTACGGGTTGTCGCGGGTACTGCTTCTACGGACCACTTAGCGCCTACGCCCATGGAAGAGGACAGCCGGGTCGCAGACCTTGAGCGAGAGCTTGCCACGCTCCAGAAAAAGGTCGCGCTCAATGACACTGCGCGCCAGGCGAATGTCAGCGAGGTGGTGCAGCTGCGGTCTACCGTGACCCAGTTGCAGGACTACATCAATGAGCTCCACGAGAAACAAGAGGCGGCTCAGGCGGATCGAGTGAAGCGGCAAGCAAGGAAAGAAGAGCGCGAGACCAAGCGTCGTCAAGCGTGGCTTGCCGCGGAGAAGAAAGGGCGCAACGGGGACGCGGCGATGAAGAAGATGGAGATTGAGGAGGATGTGTTGACGAGTGAATCTGATGATCAAAGCGATGAATGAGCAATACTCTGTCAGTGGGAAGATTCGCCGGATAAACTCCTATGGTGTTATAGTGAACATACATGACATTGGGTTACCCTACATATAGACATGCCTCTTGGTGATATACCAGAACAAACTGAATCCGCCGGGAGCAACCTCTTCCAAGATTGCGGATCAGTCTTCTACGGAATAAGAACGAGCTTGATTCACGTTGGATCGGGCGGGTATGCATTTTTTTCCCTTGATTTGCTCGAGAGCTCGAGTTGGCTGGATCGAACCCCTTCAGTGGCTTTGCTAAGCTGCCAAAGTTGAATGATGTAGCGGGGTTTGTAGACAATTGACCGCGTCGTAGCAGTATGAGCTTGAAGCGGTGCGCCTCTTCTTGATCGGCAGCGATTTCACAGCCATCCTTGCACTTTCTAACCATGGACCACTTTGAGAGATCGTTTTGAGAACACGACACAATTAAGGTCAGGGTATTGAGTCAGTATGACGGGAACTCTTCCCCTTTGCCACAACCATCAATGTGATTGTCTGTATCAGTCGAGTCCATGCATTGACCACACTTGCAATTCCCTTGGTTCAGCATCCATAGTTCATGGACTAAGCTCGGGTTAGTGCACTTCCCAACGCGTTGAACGGCGCAAGTCGCCCAGAAGTGATGTCAAACTTGCCTCATCTTAGAAGTGGTTTGGTTAAGGGTTGCCACCTTTTTCGGTGTAGATACAATCTAGTAATCTACGAGCTACATATTTGAGGTGAATACTTTGAACCTTACGAGCCACCTCGCATAACGAGATACCTGGACTTGATTCCGTGACTGCCCGTCAATTGACTTGTCTTCCTTTCCAATGGTTCCACTGCCACGGTCCGCTTCTAGATTCAAAATATAGATCTCCGTTCCAGCCAGATCTAAGGTTAGGTAACTCACCCCTCTCCATCCTCCAGTAGCTAGTAGGTAATGGTACAAATTCCATAAAAGCCCCCCAGATACCTTACATCAACTTGACAGCTCCATACCCAACACCCACCTACCTTCCGAGCTCAACGCCTATGATGTCTGAATCATACACCGCATCATCCTACTACTTCAGCTCAGCCAGCAACTCCGCCGACGGCACCACCAACGCAACCGGCCACCGCTACAAAACCAGCTCACTTACCGAACCCAACGGCACAACCACCACCTACACCACCCGCCAAGAACTTGGCCACTCGCCCACCTTTGAAGAACACCAGTTCAACAACCGCGGCCAAGAGTACTTCGCTCTCCCCGGGCCAGGCGGTACAGGGACATCCGCCGGCGGCGTGCGTCGGATCGTAGACATGGACAACGATGAAGCTGGCGGAGGAGCAGGAGCGACGACAGAAACAGGGGGCCAATCTGAATTTTCGGCGTTCGAAGCCTCGACTCCGCGGTTGGAAGACGGGGCGGCGGTGCCGTTCGGAACGAAAGTGGTGGATGTGGATACGGGGGCGTATGATGAGCATATGCATTTCTACGGAGATACCACCATGCGACATCATCGGGAGGTGAGGGACGATGCGGGGAGGAGGTTTACGAGGGATGTGGATTTTGATCCGGCGGGGAGGGCGGAGATGGCGCATGAGAGGAGATTGTTTGAGAATCCGGAGACGGGGACGCGGGTCGAGAGGGAGGGCGATGTCGAGGTTTCGCAGGTGATTTGAGGGCCTGGCTTCGAGTCAATTTGCGTTCAAAGATAGATACCGTTAGGTAAAATGAGTGAGTGAGAGATGTAGACTCGTCAGTGCTTGAATGGACGCGTCGTGAAATTAACTCTCCAAGCAAGATGGTATAGTAAGCTAGGGATCGGGTCATGGTATAATTTAAGTGCTTCGACCGATTCATAGGCTGTATCTAGGGCCTGACAAGTGGTGGTATTTAAGACTTATTCTTAGTCCTGTGACACTCGATTCAGATCAGGTTTCAGTTGTAGAAAGTCAATGAATCATTCAGGGTTGTCGTTCACATCTCCCTCGTAGGTATACCACTGTTCAAGGCCAATTTCATAAGCTCGCAAATTCCATGGTCACATTGTCATCATGTTGCGCGGATGTGCAAGTATGCGAATCCGGACCGTGTTCCGGTAGGTGTCCGAAGTCTATACTCCCTCCTCCGTATCATTTATGGAAGACGAAGACGCCCCTGTGACCATCGAGTGCGTCCCATCTCCCACCCCTCCGGAACTCGATATGCCCAATGGCAGAGCATCCCGGCTATGAATCCCAACGCATCATTCTTGAAGCCAACCAACACCCCGACAGTCACCATCATGACAGTCCATCGACGTTTGCGTTCCTCGTCACTGCACGCTGGGTCAGAGTCACCGAGATCTCTAGCTCCTCGCGTGTTGAGACTTTCGCCCACGCTGAGAAGCTCCAATCCAGCAGCAATGACCATCACTCCCAAGAAAGCCTTCGGAAAGCGCTTGAGCAGATCAATCAGAGTCTCGCCAAACATGATGCCAATGACGAGCTTCAAGACTCCAAGGAAAACGATACTGGCGCCAGAACGAGCGCCAAACCGATGCTGTGCCGCTAGTCCACCAGAACCATGGCAGACCGGCATTGCGCCGAACCAACAACCCAGGAGGTTCATGGCCGCCACGCTCAGACCGATATGAGTGATAGACGGGGTGTGCACATTAGGCAACAGGTCCCCGGCCAGATACACGACGGCCACGACCGAGTTGAGCGTCGTCAATGGGATCTGTCCAATGCCCGCGTCCACAGCACCCACCCACCACTGATGAGGCGTGGGGACCACCAGCCATGGATGCCAGATACTAAACACAGGAAGATGCCCAGCCCCCGCCGTGCAGATGATGGCAAATCCCAACCCAATGGCAAACAGCACCAGCGCATAGGGCACCCTTCCATACACACTGGTGATCATCAAGGCGAGGAATGCCACGATCGCCCAGATCCGATTATCCGCCCACGACGGATCCACCCAGCCCAGCGGACGAAGCATCCCACCACATGCCGAGATGATCAGTGACAGGCCCGCGCCCACCTGAATACCCTTGATGACGGGGATGGGAATGACGCTGGCGAACCAGCGCAGCAAACCGGTCACACTGAAGATCAAAAGACAGGCTCCGACGAAGATCCCCGCGGCGGCGATAGATCCACTGGAGAAATTACGGGCGATGGCGACCGCAGCAATCGCTTTCATCGGTTGCACGGGTAGTGGGATTCCAAAAAAGAGGCCCGTGAGGATGTTATACACGCCAGAGAAGATCAACGTGCTGGCAAGTGACACGCTGCCATTGACAGTCAATGCAATAGCAATGGGCAAGAACGTGCCCAAGTCACCGAGTGATCCCGAGATCTCAGAGACGTAGTTGCGTCTGAAGGTGCTCAGATTATACCTCGAGATCTCACGGAGCGTTTGAACAGTCATCTTGTCGAATCGATCGAGCTGAGTGCCGTCGACCTAGATCTGTCCTCGAGTTGCTTGATTTTCTCAGTCTCCACACATCAAGGGGGAGATGAAAGGAACGGACTCTCGACGGTGCGGATAATTGCGAAGAAGGAATGTGTCGATGGTCCTCTAGCCCGACGGTCGAGTTCCAGCAAGGGGCGCGCGTCAGATGATGACAATCGCCCGCTTGATCGACTGCCGAAGGCGGGGGGGGGGGGGGGCCTCCAGAGTGGGAGGCGCGATTGGCAGCCTAAAAGCGGGTGACGGGCGGGTGAGGCTGGAAGTGGGCTTGTCACGGCTGAGTAGTAGTTTGTCTGGTAAGGTTATCCTTTTCGGATGATGGACGATCAAGAGACCATTTGACCGGTCGGCCTCAGAATGAGATCACAAAAGTGGACAAGAGTGTACATTGGTTATATGGAGGTATTCATGTGGACAGAAATTCCTGGGAGGAGTGGGCATCCAGCCTTGATGGAAGAAGCAGCTTTGCTGATCGAAACTTGTACCGACCAAGACCGGTGATAACTGTCGGTAAGCAGCAGATGGTCTACGATCGTTCGATATGTAGGTCCTTCCATAAGGAAAACCATTACTTAGGCGTACTTCCAGATCTTTGAAGGGGTATTGCGACCAAGGCTTACGGTTGGTCAACGAAACCCTACACTGTCTGACTGGTTGTTCTTACAGGTTTGATGCTGGACTTGGTGGGAACCCTCTAGAACTACATCATGCCTGCTCCAACACCAAGGAACGACATCGGACATGAGTCCGGCACTTACATCACTACGAGTCTACGGCGGCTTGCTATGATCGTCTGCGACGGGCCCCTGCGCTAGACATCACATCGGCGACACGGGGGAGGGGGGGGGAAGCAGCAGCTCTCAACTTAGGCTTAAGTGAGAGACACGCGCAGAGTACCTCCCGTATAGTGCAGATGGCAACTGCAAGGGACCATTCGGATGTCCGAGATGCAAGGACCGTCACGGTCATGATGGCACGTCCACGGGGGTGGACATCCAACCAAATTCTCGGCCTTCGGTCATCAGCAAACCGCCAATCTACGAAAGAAAAGACTCTTGTCAGTAGCATCTGGCCCCGGCCAAGGCCTGAAGGACGAGACACCATGGCAAGAGAAAGAAAAGAGAGAGTGGGGAATGAAAAACGAGGCAGGCATGTCCTTTCGCTGGTATTGTCCAGATCAAGTTCTAACGGTAATTTCTCAGAACGAGGTTCACTTTGCAGTGAAGCCTCGAACACCCGTCATGCGTGCTTCGTCGTAGCAGTACTCACCTCGGGCTATACCACGAAGAACGTTCATGATGTGTCCTTCATGATGTAGCCCATGTCCCCATCCACGTCGTCCATCCTTTTTCTTCCCCTCTGACCTACCTTCCCCCTGTTCATGCACCTTTTCCACTGAGCTTGACTGATCCCTCTCCATTCGCTCACACAGCATTGTGCTTCTCCAGGGAAGTAACGGCCGCATTCTGGTCACTCAGGGTCTGGGTCTCGATTTCAGACGGAGACCCCGGCGTCTCGAGGTGCTGGAACCAGTCATTCTGGGACTTTCTCCACCATTCAAACAATGCAATGATGGTCACTCCACCCATGATGACGATGGCGTAATTGAACAGTCCAGAATCCCGGTCAATTGCATCGTTGGAGTATTGAGGTGCGCATAGCACTGCAAAGGCAAAAGTGTTCCAGAGAAAGGTGACAACGGCCGCCACGACACCAAACCAACCCATGTCCCAGAAGCCCGGACGGAATGAATCGCGCGTGATAAAAGCCCGTCCAATCCCCACGAGGCCGTAAGCCGCGATGGAGCCGGCAGCCGAGGTTGAGATCAGGCTTGCAAAGGCCACTTGTGAAGGAAGCTGCGTGCAGAGCAAAAGCGCTGCAATGACTGCAATGAAAATGACCGCATTGAGAGGCTGCTTTTTCTTCGAGACTCGAGAGAGCACGTCGCTGTAGGGGAAGACACCGTCTCGAGCAACAGCAAAGACCAGGCGGGAGACAGCAACCAGGGAGATGGAGGTGTTCAGAATCGCGCCGATCATAGAAATGACAGTCATGACCACGTGCGCACGAGGGCCCAGCGCAAGGGCATACATGTTGATGAACGGCTGAGGCGCGGTGGTGTTGTAAAACGTTTCAATGGGCGGCATGCAGAACAAAAACAGGATGATAATGGGGAATCCACACAGTGCGGAAGCGACGGTCGACCAAAACACACCTTTGGCAGCCGCCTTCTTTGCAGAGATGGTTTCCTCGGCCACATGGCCCGACGCGTCCTCGCCCACAAGACAGCTCGAGACGAGGAACCATGAGAGCACCCAGTTAAGGCCTGGAGCGGTACCCTCGCCATTATATGTAGAAGTAAAGACGTACTCCGCGGACTGGAAGCCATATGTTCGGGCTACCCCAATCGGCAGCCAGATGAAGTTGAGTAACATGTCCAAAACGATGACAGCAAAGCCAGTCCGGAATACCCACGCGTACATACGAGGCGGCAAGAAATTCAACGCTGTCGCCAGAGCCAAGAACCCGAGGGAGAGGGCCCACGCGATCGCCCGAGCATTGACATCGGACGTGCTGATCGGAAAAGTCGTGGCTGGATTGAAGACCACGATTTCCGATAGCAGGTAGTTGGCCACCCCGAAGGAGTCACTCGCCAGGAATGCCGTCCAGGCAACGAGTGTCCAGGCGGCGATCAGGTAAGAGATGAATCGGCCCAAGCGACCACCGCCCCACGATCTATAGGCCCAGTAGTAGATCGACCCAGCGGCTGGATAGGCAGAGCACGCTTCCGCAAGGCATGCGGCGGTGATTATCGAGAGTATACTGCCGGAGATCCATGAGCTCCACCTAGAAGTGCGCGTTATCTCGTCAGCAGGTGGTCTTCCTTGGACAAATAGCAAGTGAACGTGGAACAAAAGACGGAGGATTCATACAGCGCAGCGGGACCTCCGTTACTGAGAGCAATGTAAAAGAGCACTCGGATACCTCCAATACAATACAAGGCCGAGAAGGAGCACGCAAAGTTGTCAAACGTGCCCCATCCTCGAGCCAGGACTGCACGGTAGCCAAGTCTCAACAACTCCTGGTCATCTTCATTTGTCACGGCGATGCTACTATCCGTTTTGGAGCCATTCAGCTCCCGTTCGGGCTTGGCGACATCTGACGACGGAGGAATCGTGGAAGCGACCATCTTGGCGAAGCTGACTGACAGCACGGACACAGGTGTAGCGGATAGAGCTCAGATGATCTCAGACGGTCTTCCGGGCAATAAGACGGATGAAATTGAGGAGTTGTTCGTTCTGCAGAGATTTCTTTTTCCTCTGTCCTCGTTCTCACGCGGTCGCGCCATCATTCATGTCCAGATGGACTGATTGGTGGACCGACCAATCTTGGTGCTCTCTGGTGGAGTTGAGGTGCAAAGTTTACTTTGGAGGTCCATGCGAGCGGCCTCGATTGCCCGAAGAATACGACTGAAAAGGTCGATGTTCGCAGTAGGTCATGCAAGTCCAAATCATTGTCTGAAAATGAGGTGGATGATTTGCTATTGGATTCGATCGTGATCGTCCTATGTGATCGAAGACCTATATCAGGTCGTTCATCCTGTGGAAGTCGATGGAACCTCCAGCTTGCTGTTTGTGTCCTGAAGTAGTTGGGTGGTGCTGTGCGGCTACTACGGGAAGCGTGTGTAAGAGTATATTTTTATGGACCAACCCGGAATCTGACCTCCGTAAGGCGGTCCAGAAACCACCCAGAATGGCCAGTGAAATTCATGATGAACACTAGACTGGGCTAAAAACTAGTTTTGAAAGTAGCCAGCTTCATGATGTAATGTACCCTGAAGGTAAAAAGCACTAGCTCTACTTTAATCTTTGCTGCCCTCTGCAGCGCGTGCCACAGGCATGGGAGTCAATGTCGAAATCGATCGAGCCCAGCACGTCGATATGAACAGATTTTCCACGATGAAATGCACGACCGTTTCACCTGATGGCTGATACTGCGGATATTTTGGTTAGAAAGCTATCGCAATAGATCCAGAGGATCGAGTGTTGATACCGACTGATCGATATTCAGTGTCGGTCAGTACGTGGAGAAAAATACTTGCGGCAGCACAAAGTAGTGAGTAGTTATGTACCTACTACCTACTAACCACCTGACCCTAGTACTAAGTTAAGTACTGGTTACTTGTACGCCTCGATTGGGTTGTCAGCTCCATCATGACGGACACAATGCAGACTCCACAGAAACCCTGTCTTGAAGTTATTTCGCATGAAGCAATATGATGCGCTGCGATATCGACTTGCACTCCCAACGATTACTGGCAAATGAATATGCCTGAAAACCATCTATATGGGTTCTGATCTCATTGCCTTGGGTACCGTAATGGCCTGCCTGCTTTCAGTTCCTCGGCGCGATAGCCTCGAGGCAACCTCGTCACATTCATGCAATCCTCGTGTCTGGACGCTCGGCAACACCGAGTGGCTGGCTTTTCTACGAGCCAAAAGTTGTGCACGACGAAGAAGGCTGGAGCAGAAGGACAGGGCAACAATGATCACAGGGCAGTGTCTCCTCGCAGAGCTACACAAGAGTGGATTCGTCTTTCACGAAGAATGCTGCTTGTGGAGGACCAGACGAGGCAGGTACGATACTCCATGCGATTACGGACGGACGATCCACATCGACCGCTTTACCGTGCATCTTCTTTTCCTTCCCACTGCATCTGGGCTAAGCTTGAGGCGAAGAGAGTGCTTGTTCCTGACTGCAGTCAGGCTGAGCAGATGCGCCACCCTCCGACACGCCATGCACCTCGCATCAACAATCCGGTTCTCCAGCGGCGCGTGAGGAAATGAGCCTTCGCTGCGGCTGACGGCGCGGTTTCATCGGCATGCGTCCTCGGCTTCTAATTCGACAACATCTACGTAGCTACCTCGGGACATGCAATGTCCTGCAAGGGATACGCTTTTTCTCGAGATGAATACGTGCCAAGCCTGCACAGACGTATGGCCAGTCTGGAGAGCCTCAGACATTCATGTAAAGGGAAATCGAGGTACTGCTCTTGAAGGCCATGCACACAGGGGAGTTTAGTACATTGGTTTTGAAGCATCTTGATACAATGCATCTCTCAAGCTTGCTGATCGCTGCTTTGAGCATTTATAACGCAGCGCCATGTCTGGCAACGAAGAGCAAATCGCCGACAGACTCGCAACGTCCAAGATCACTTTACACATTTGACGAGCTATGGAATTTGGAGAAGAAATTCTGGGACGAGTTCCTATATCCCGCGAATGTGAAGCAGACTCGGGGAAATGAGTCCACCGTGTTTGCGACTGACGTGAGTGGTGAAAAAGCAATTGTGACGCATTTGCGATAGTGATAAGCTCAACAATGCTCACACTCTTTTGTGACTACAGGTGCAAGGTCGAGTCGACATTACCCGCACTTTTGATGGCGATGAACTCAATCGAGAATACATCTTCGGTCTCTTTTCCGAACCAAGCCGTGTCAGCCTCGTTGGTGTTCCCGTTGCCTACAGCATCACTCAATTTTCTGCAAACGACAACATTGCCAGTGCCACAACTGTTGTCACGTTCAATGCGACAACCTTTGGCATCCTGCTACCGGTGACCATCGATACCTGGATCGAGTTCGACGGCGATGGCAAGATCGCGCAGTATGACGCGACTTTCCGGTGGTTTGAATACCTGCTCGATCAGATTCTCGAGAGTGTCGGCATGAAGATTAACGCGACATCCCCCACTCAAACAGTTGCGTACATGTCTGATCTGCTGGCCAAATCCATCTGCGCGACTCATGAGTCCTCGTGCAAAGGGGCCAATCAGCAATACAACAGTACTGAAGCGTGCTATGATTACTTGACCAAGTCTATTCGGTTTGGCAAGAGCTACGAGCTCGGTCGCAATACTTTGTTGTGTCGTGAGGTTCACGAGCATATGGTCCCTTACCGTCCTGATGTCCACTGCTCACACATCGGACCGTCCGGTGGTAGTTACTGTGTGGATGACACCAGCTATAGTCAGACTGTGTTGGCAAAGTACTTCAATGACTCGTGGATTCCCTATGGGTATGGAAAGGATCAGGATATCTGGCTTGCTTAAGGGGTGCGTCAGTGATCTGAGCAAAGGGGACTATGCGGCCAGCCTCCGCGCTCCTTGCGTCGGCGATCAGTTCCTTCGTCAGCAAGTCTCTGAAGGAGTCTTCAGTACGAACGAATGTATCTGCTTTTTGACTCCTCGAATAAGCTTAATCGGTTGTACTACAAGGTACAAACCAATAATCTTTGCTTCCGGTCCAGACTGCCTTTTAGCGGCTCTCTGGAAAAACTTTAATCTCGGTTCGGTCTCGAACGCACTACATTTGCACCCTAATTGACCGTGTGACATAAACTTAGGTGCATCTTGGACTCCATCTGACTCCTTTCTCGAGAATAAATGTGCACCTCGCTCAATGATTGAGGCACGGCGCTGTCCCTCTGTCGACTTTAAGATCCTATTCGGGATGCGTACTGTTACTCAATCGTTTTACGTACAGACGGACCTACTTGCCCGTCTGTGGATCCTTGGAGGCTCATCTTGAGGCGGCCACCGTCGGAGATATTCTGAACAGGAGGACGCAGCCAGCGGTCAAGAGACTCAACCTGGCACTGCCGACTCGATCTGAGGAAGAGACACTTACAGTCATGTCCTGGCTACCCACTTTGCGTGCAGTCACTAGTAGCTCTGTCAGACATCGAGCTCGTGCGACACGTTGAACCAAAGCGTCGCTCACCACTTACCCATCTCGCGACGGTATCCTTGCCTGTGGGGAAGGCGGCGGCAAGTATCCACCATATCCCAGTCAATCTACTCAATTCGGCGCTCCACAAATCCACGATGGCCAGAAATTTTTGCTCTGATCATCGTGATCCACGGGAAGGGGGGAGAACCGGAGGATCATTCACCATTCGAGTTAGTTCCTGGTCAATGGACGGAGAAGATCTCGTGGTTCAACCGCCATTGATCTGTGATCGACTTTTGCAAAACCTGGACCATATACAAAGTCGCAAAATTTTCGCGAGCGAGTGACTCGGTCTGCTTCAATGACCTGAACCTACAGGCGCGGGGAATACAAGCATCTTGAGGTTCAGCTTCACGATCTCTCGTGGTGTGACTGACTGAGGTCCCTCACATTCTCTGTCGCATCGATGGCTCGAAAGCCATATTTCGGCCTGCAGGGCAATGCCTTGCTGCGAGCAGCCATCATGCTGGTCGTTTGTCCGACGTTCACCTGTTACGGTTACAACATGAGTGTGGCAGGTGGTTTGTTGACGCTGTCGGCTTTCAATCATCAGTTCCCCCGAATGGACACGATTAACACCACCGGTGTGGAGCAAAAAGACAACTCGCAAATCCAAGGTGTGCGCCCAATCTGAGAGAAGACATCTCGACGTCCTATATGATGAGAGGTTGGCACAAGAGAGATCTAACATGAACCACCTTCCTCCCCATAGGAACCGTCATCGCTCTCTATACAGTGGGTGGCATCTTCGGCGCACTCTCCTGCGTCTACCTAGGTGATCTGCTTGGGCGTCGCAAAGTCATTTTCTTCACAAACCTCATCTCCATCATCGGTGCCATTCTCATGGCAACATCTTTTCAATTTTCGCAATTCATTGTCTCTCGGCTCGTGCTCGGACTTGGAACAGGCGGCTACATTGCAACGGTACCGGTCTGGCAGTCGGAAATCTCTCCGGCTGATAAGCGTGGCTCAAACGTTGTGACAGACGGCATTTTTATGGGTGTGGGTGTTACCCTTGCCTTATGGCTTGACTTGGCATTCTATTTTGTGCAGGGGAGCTCGGTCTCATGGCGCTTCCCGCTTGTGTTCCAAGTGATTTTCTCGGGGACTGTAATGGCATTTATCTATTTCCTTCCTGAATCACCCCGGTGGTTGATCATGACCGGTCAAATTGACCCGGCGCGCTCTGTTCTGGCAGCTCTTCTTGAGGCTGAACCTGATTCAGCAACCGTGACCGACAGTATTGAGACCATTGAGGCCTCTCTTTCTCTGTGCGGATCTGGAAAGTGGACAGACATGTTCACCAATGGAAAACAGCGCCTTTTCCACCGCACGTATATCGCGGCCACTGGCCAGATGTTCCAGCAGATCTGCGGTGTCAATCTCATTACATTCTATGCCACCAACATCTTCGAGCAGTACCTCGGCATGGACCCTGTGCGCGCCCGAGTTCTAGCCGCTGCCATGGGTCTCATGCAACCCTGCGGTGGCTTCCTGGCGTTTTTCACCATCGATCGTCTGGGTCGCCGACCACTCATGCTCTGGAGTGCCGGGGCAATGGCAATTTGCATGGCTGGCCTTGCAGGGACAACGTCTCAAAAACACAACACCGGTGCTTTGGTCGTCGCTGTCATCTTTCTGTTCGCCTTCCAGCTGATTTTCACCATCGGCTTTGCTGGAATGACATTCCTGTATGCGGCGGAGATGGCTCCACTTCAGATCCGAGCCGCTGCGAATGCGGTTTCCACCAGCACCGTGTGGGCCTTTACCTTTTTGCTTGCGCAGGTCACGCCCATTGGTTTTGCGACCATCGAGTATCGGTATTATATCATCTTTGCCGTGCTCAATGCGATAATTGTGCCGTCTATCTACTTCTTTTTCCCGGAGACCAAGGGATTTTCCTTGGAAGAAATCGATGCCATCTTCGAGCAGTCAAATAGCATCCTTGATCCACCTCGAATCGCACGTGCCATGCAACTGGCACAGTCCAGGAAGATACTCTCAAAAGAGGATGGCCTGGCGGCAGATCAAAACGCCGTCAAAGAAACTATGAACTGTTGAAGAGTTCGAAAGCGAGGTCAGGGAGGATGAATACCCTATTGCTCTGTTATCCAGTCTCAGTCTTTGCAAAGGAATACCTACTTAATCATGAATAAATGACTACCTGGTCACGGTGATGTTGGAAGCCAGATGAAAATTTCCATTCTATTACGAATCACTCGAGCAACAGTAAATACTACGAATTCCTAAAAAAGACATCTGAACGTATCTTCTAAAAGAGTCTCTTTGCTATATCGTGAACGCCGGTGGTGTTGTCCTCCAACATTCGCCCAAGATGTCGCTGCCATATTTCACATGTCACTGGTTTGCCCCGTCTGTGTTTTCCTCATCCTTTGAATTCCCACACTTCAGTTGACACATTTCCCACTATCTTGGCCGGTGACATTTCGCGCTGACTGATCGCGTCATGTGCGTGAGTATCGCGTCATCAACCGCAGGACAATGACACGTCCTGTAAAAAGAATCCACCCTCGAGCAAATATCCGAGTTTGCACCGTCTCTCCGGTATGGTTCTTTCGGAAGCCGAGGTGTCTGAAAATCCTTCCTCGCAGGGATCTTCTTCCAGGAAGGGTCATTCCGATGATTTTTGTGCAGTAAGTCTTTTGATCAGCTGCTCTGGAGACTTTACCTGCCTCTACTTAGCGGGTGTGTTCTCGCCAATTAATACTTTCTTTTCTCTCCGGAATGCACCACACTGGATCATTGAAATGAACTGCTTCAGCGAGTCGGCAATGAGAAGCATGTTGAGAGCTCTTGATTCGTAGATCGTGTTTGAAAAGTTCACATTTTCAAAGGCGTCCGTTCATTTATCGTCAGCTTAGTCTGGCTCCAACGGAGGCCGAAAGACTCGACCTGGAAGATGTGGTGAGTATTTGAGTCCAAAGAATGAAACCCAATCGGAGAAGAGGGTCATGATTTCAAGTACCTCAACTTGGAATAGTCGTCTCAAAGACCAAATCCGCCATGACGAAGTCGATAGCGCTCATAAATACGATCTCTAGACGCGTCTCGCACATGGCCATTTCGCAGTCTAGCACGATTGTCTCTTTCATACGCGATCACAGACCAACCTTGCGTTGGACTCTTGCGGACAGCCGAATATGACCATCTCACAGTCCGTGACGAGTCTGCGTCTCTGTTATGTTGCCGAGATTCTGAGATTGACTCACTGCGTGATTCGTGAAACAAGCTTTGCGTATTTTTATTTCGGGATGTGTTTGAAAAGATGCCGAACTGCGGCGATACCTCTTCCCAGATTTGGTGGAAACAGCTATTGTTCGTTTAAAGTTCTTCGAAAGGAATCGCCGCCTGAATCAGAACGAACGTCCTGACGACGAGCGAGTAGATACGGTCCAAGGCATCAAGATCATTTTGGATTACATGCCCAGGTATTGGCATTTTCGTGGTTGGCATACCGCCACAGCTGCCACCGAACCTGCTCTCAGAAATCCATGTGGGAGGTTTGCAAATAGACTCTGCCATAAGGTTGAATAAGACACAGCTCCAGCGTGTGCTTGGACCTTCTTTTGAAAAAAGAAGTGTATTGAAGGTGTGAGTTGGAAAAAAGCTCCTCAATCATAAAGTAGTCTTTGAGGTAGGCTGATACGTTACGGGTGCAGAGCAATCCCGGTAAAATGTTGGTTTATAGATGTGTTTAGAAAATCCCAATGTCAGAAAGGAACGCGCTTTCAGACTTCCATGGAGGTTTGACAGAATGATAGAAACGCAGGATCTCTGTCATTGACATAGTCTTCATGGTCTGAGCACTCACTCCTGTCCAGTGAGTGTTCTAGCCGGCCATCTTTTCATGTGGCTGTACGTAGGAGCCAATGAGTACACATCCACTCATCAAATCGATAAAGCTTTGGTACGCAAGCTCTTGCTGCGTACTCCAAACCTCCATCCTGCAATTCACAACGATTGCGTCCTTGTTCTGGCGCCAGATACTGGTCCAGTCCTTCTGCTTGTTGGTGCGGCCTGTTTGTCGATCTGGAAAATGGCTAGAACCATGGGTGCAACCGGCGAAATTGGACATGAGCTCTTGGAATTTTGCGTTTGACACAAGCCTTGTCGGCAGGCTCTGTCCCAGTCGTCCACGCATTAATACTCTGTAAGCAGAGAAGATAACATCCTGTCTCTTGAAGGTAGCCAAGAGAACGTATAAGCCTGTTGTATAAGGATTTGGTATATCAGGGGGTCAATTTAACATGAGAGGAGGATGGTACAAGGAAGCCGTATACAGGTGGTGGATGGCAAGACTACTCACTCTTGATGATTAGGTCGCCAATCATGCAGATTTGAGAAGAACTAGACGGTCAAAGTCATCCTTGCATGCGATTTCTCATCTGGATCGTGTTCAGGTCAGCGAATTGCAACGTGGCGCTCGCGTTCTCGACTTCAGGCTGCCTTGTATGGAATTTCCTTTTCCACACAGGCTTCGTGTGACTGTTGCTGAGGCAAGTCTGGAAGGGCCTCTGGCCACTCCCTCAACAAGATATGTAGATGCAGACAAGGTGTTGCCAGGGAAGAAGCTCATGGTAATTGGAGAGACTCACCTTTGGTGATTGGCGCTCTTCACCCTCTCGTCATGTGCTGCGCTAGCGTCTCACATATGCCCTGTTCTCTTGTAGATTTCAAATGGTGTATAAGAATTGACTGGTATTTTGCTTGTCAGGATTCTAATTGCGGATTTGAAGGCGTCTTTCTAGCCGCGTCGCCGTCTCTCTCAAAGTTGTTGCGGGTGGCTCGTTTGGTGCTTAGCGAAGGCATTTGAGCAGCAACATGGAACCTGCCGGTTAACGAAGACGTGAATACCTGGATACGCTCAGAGATTGCGCATTCGAAACACAAAGAAATTCCGATAGTCTCCGGCTATTCGTTTGTTCCGGAAAGTCTTGAGGCTCCCGCATCGTTGGCACGAGGACGAGAGATCCACGGGCGGACATGAACTGGCTTTTTGATGATGAAATGCGGATGACTGGCGGCTCAAAATTCTTGCTCGTCCGGTTGAGACTTGTGAGAGGACGAGATGGGATCAAGAACATAATCACAGACTGAACTGGAATAGAAACACTCAGAGATCTCAGGTGGTCACTGGACAGTTAGGTAGTTGTCAATCAAGCCCGATTCCATCGAGGGAAGCTGATACTTGGGATTTCGGACAGGTCGAATTTCTCGAAGTCGCTGATCCATTTTGTGTGAGCCAACCAAAGAACAGTAGAAACAGAGGAGAGGACCGGGGAAGAAGGGCAGGAGACAGCTTTCTACGTCAAGGATTATTGAGCTGGACTTGATCATCGACACATCTCTACAAGTATCGTTGTTTCCAGCTATTCAGAATCGTCTTCAGTCTTGATTACTTCACGATATACGAGAATCAATGAGAAAAGGCGTCCAGAGTGTTACTCAATGCGAGCTGGCACGGGGTAGTTCTAGACTGATGCTTATACTTTGGCACCTATCACATACCCTAGCCTTTGATGCCATTGGGACCGCTAGCGAAATACTAGTGTTTGGTTGAAATTCGATGGATTCTGTTATCAAAAACGCGTTTCACCCTTCATGAAGAGCATCACAATCATTCAGCGAAACTGGCACCTTGCCTAACTCCTTCCCTACCCTGCAAAGTCCAGAACAGAATATGTACCCAGCCCTTGATCTGACACAGTTCAAATGTCCGTCTAATTCTCTGTGCAACTGTCAGGGCGTCCCGTAAGTTTGTTCTGGACGAGGAACCTCCGGTCTACCATCTCAAAGTCTGTATCAGCCGAGTTGTTGAACACCTGCAATAAATCTGAATGCGTAGAGTCGCGGGACCCTGTCTGACTCGACCGGAGGCGGTACTTTAGGCAGATGAAGCCTACTGAGCGAGCCAATGTGATAGGATTGTGAGGGACCAGAGGCGCTTGTTGGAATTTTGCCGGAATACCGCTTCATTCGTTCGGATCGAGGGATCAATGATCCTGGGGTGAATGATCTTTAGTGCCTCAAGATCATTACGAATAGCGTGGCCGATAAAGACCGTGCTCTGGTTCGCGAAACTCCAAAGTGCGCTTCGGGCCTCCTTCCAGCCCCAGAGAACTTTCCCTTGGCGACGGGCAGCATTGAGCTTCTTCGAGGTAATACCACTCCACCGGGTGTTCCAACGCGTCACTTTATCCGCCGGCTGAACGAAGGTATGAAGAAGTACCTCTCCGGTGAGAAATTCAATCGCACTGATGGAGGCAACCTCTTGGCGACTACCGTGGCTGACCATTTCGCAGTCCAAAACGATGTCATCTTCTCAGAGAAGATTTTTTTCTTGCCTGTCGTGCAGCTTTCATGGACTGGGGCCTGATACCGCTCCACCGAGTGTTCCAGCGTGTTATCTCGTGGTGCGGCCGGACAAGGGAGTGGGTAATCATCTCGCCCGTCATAAAGTGCGACACATAAGGCAATCTCTTGAAGAAACCACGTATGACCATCTCGCAGTCGAGGGGAATGTTGTGTATAACAATTCGCAAAATGAACGTCGACTTGAAACGGAGCGGAAGAGAGGGAGAGGGATGACTGTATGTGTCCCGCTGGGAGTTTCCGTCTGCGTGTTTGACTAGCTCGGAATTTGTCTGTAGGTTGTTCATTTAACTGATAAGGCAGATTCTGTGATGGCGAGTACATTGAGTGCACTGAGATGTTTGAATGCCAATCGGTAGCAAATGAGGAATATCAAGCACCATTTGTAGCAGCTGAGGGCCATCTATAAAATGTTCACTTCACACAATATCAAGCCTCGGCTCATAACGGTGTGTTGTGACTAGAAGTGGACACCATGGAGTCTAGCAAAGAAAAGAGTGCGTGCATGAGGTATGTGAGAGAGTTGTGATTAGTGAGACCTGAGGAAGGCCAAGGGCTCAGAGATTGATCGCCTGCTTCTCATGGATCTAAGGGAGAGAGCGAATCCACTAGAAGTAGAAGCCTCTGGTAGGGGTGTCAGGGCACAGGAGCTTTCGCCGACACGCACTCCAAGTGAAAGCGTCAGAGAAGGTAGCCGAATGGAAGAACCTTCAATGCGACTGCAGAGATTGAAGTAAGGGTAGCTGGAGTAAGGCGAACTGAACATAAAGCGGCATTTTCGAGACAGCCATAAGCCTTACAGCCATAAGCCTTACAGCCATAAGCCTTCCAAGGGGATGAAATTGAAAAAAGTGACCAATTCTGCTGAGCAGGTGTGATCAGAGCTTCGAGTGGAATCTAGGTCTTCTGGCTCGGAAGCCTGCTTTGTGCAAGCCTCATGAAGAGTAACGAGGGTCTTGGTATTGAATGGTGTGTGCGGGGGTTCCAGATCACAGGACCTTTGGCAGGAGGAAGCCCCGTTGAGAGAAGCTGAATTGCGAAGTAGAGTCATTGGCCAGTGAGATATGGACTGAAGTGAAGCTCAACTGAGAAGGCTGTGAGAGTGGCCCGGTGAAGAAACAGGGATATCGAGGAAACTCAGTAGGCTGAATGATGCCAAGGTATAAGCAAAGAAAGGTCTAGCGAGCTCCAAACACCCGATTTACTGCGACACGATTCCACGTGCAATGGATGTCACGGCTCAGCAACACACGGGTTATCGAGGGTTCTACTAAGTACAAGAGCCGGTGATGACCAAATTTTGTCCTTGAAAGGGTCTGCTATTCTAACAACAATAACAATACATCCACCCATGCACACCCCCAAAGTGAGTTCCATAAAGTGCCACGTCAAAGTCAATGTGAACAGCGTTTGCCTGGTTACAAGGGCTCATGGGATCCCTAAAGCAAGACTCCAGAGTCAAACACCCAGCCTGCGTGATCGTCTACCATGTCTCTGACCCAGTTTGTGTGGTGTTCACGCGAGACTCTTCCATTGAATCCGTATTGGACCAGCTCTGCTCTGTGATTGAGCTCCAAGACTCCGTGGTAGAATCAGTGATCTTCTTCCTGCTGGTCTTCTGGGACCTGCGGGATTTGCGAGTTTTGCCAGATCTCTTCGCAGGGGCCCGCGGCTTCGCAGTCGACCACTCCATCTTGGTGGTTAAACCCCAAGATTCTTCGGCCGTCTCGTACATGCCAGTGAAGGCTTTCTGAGACTCTATCGCTCCTGGCTGAGATTGCGTATTTGACCATCCTGTCTCGATAGCCGAGCCCCAGGATTCTTCAGTCGTCTTACAAGTCCACACAGTCTTGTGAAACTTCATCTCTGGCATCCATGGCTCCGGTTTAGACCACTCTTCCTCAGCAGTAGAGCCCCAAGACTCTTCGGGACCCTCACAGAACGTCTTCATGTTATCCTGAGACTCTGGAGCTGTCACCGAATTAGCCTCAATGAGCCCCACATCCTCACTTTTGACCTGATTAGTCGATAGTAACAAGTATTGATCATGCGAAATGTGAAACACTTGGGCCGTCGCCGAAGCACGAGTCCATTTTGCCCAGCTCTGAAGCTGCTGATTGTGACGAAGGCACCAGAGAAGAACATCGCGAGTGGCCTGGACATCTTCCAGGGCATCGTGGCCATGCTTGCTTGTCTGGATACTTCGGCCGAGGAACGTCCGCGAAAGCGTTTTCAGGGACCATTTGCGCTTGCTTGACAAGTCTGGGAAGATCGCCTCATTTGTCAAGATGGAGGTATCCACAATCTTGGGGTGGATAATCCGTAAGACGTTTAAGTCGTTGCGGATATCATGACCGATAAAGACGGTATCCTGGTCCGAATACTGCCATACCTCGTGACGGGCTTGTTGCCAGCCCCAGAGGATATTTTTCTCCCGTCGGGCAGCTTTCATCGACTGAGGCGTGATGCCACTCCATTGGGTATTCCAACGTGTTATCTTGTCACGCGGCTGGACATGGCAATTTATAAGGACCTCGCCCGTGACGAAGTCAATGGCGCTCAGAAATCCAATCTCTTGACGTTTGCCGCACATCACCATCTCGCAGTCCAGAACAATCGCTTCTCTGACTCGCGAGACTAGGCCGGAGTTGACTTTAGACCCATACCAGGTCTTGCGATACTGTGATTGAGGTGTGAGTCTGAAATCGTTTTCGGCATGAGGTACGGCGGTATTCATGGTGTTCTGAGAGTCTGCGGGTGTCTTTTTGGCAGGTCCGGCATCTTTCTGGGTCTTTATACCCCAGACGATAAGACGGTTGGTCGAATGACAAGCGTCACGGAGAGACTGAAGAAGGCTGTCATACTCGTCGGCGGCCAGTGGGGCACAAACGATATCGTCGTGCGGAGGCGAAAAATGACCTGGGAAAACAAATCAGTATGTTCCTCACTGCCAACTTGACATTAAAACATGAGACTCACTAGGCTCCGCAGAGGAGTCGTTCGAATCCTGAATGGGTGCCTCCTCTTGGAAAACACTGGGCTTATACAAGTTACTAGCTTGAGACAACTCGGTAGTCTGATAGAATGAATGGTGGTAAGTAGATGTTTTGCTAGCCCATAGGTAGTTCTGAAGACTTACCATCTTAGAGACGGACACGTTATCGACGAGGCTTCGAAAGAAGGTTATTGTACGGATGCAGAAGCGTGAGGGGTGTGTAACTTGAGTAGGAGTACTCAAGGTGATGCAAGTCTGACTGGACAAGCCCAAGCAATAGAGGTGAAGGTGAGACCGGCGTGAGATGAGTGAAGGCGAGATAAGTAAAGGCGAGATGAGTGAAGGCGAGATGAGTGAAGGCGAGATGAGAATATTCAGGAGATGAGAATATTCAGGTGAGGTCGAGCAGGTGAACGAGACGTAAAAGTAGCTAGGTGAGGCTTAATTTGTGTTGTGATGTTGAAGGAATAGGGAAGGTTAGGAGAGAATAAGGAGAGAAAGAAAAAAGAGATGCCGGTGTTAGAAAAGGGCAGTATTTATGGGTATTATGTGGTTGGCGAGGAGAGAGGGGTCTATTCCTTGAGCTGGGATAGACAAGCTGAAGGGAGCGTGATTGAACACGCCTTAGCAAGAGATTCAACTATGAGAGCGGCGTGAAGTGAGTGCACGCAAAGAGCACACAAACCTAATTACAGTGATATCATGTAAAATTGCGGGAATTTAAATAGACTGGTGGCAATCTCAGGGGGCCTATAACTAAAAGAAGATCAAGAATGAAATGAGCTATGGTCATCAACATGGTTCCACGAGTATTCAGCGTGTATCTAACTTCAAGCATCGCGAAGAGGAAATCGGACCCAGAATGATAGAATCTTACTCACTACGTGGAAAAGATCATGAATGCTTTCACGATATCAAAGAGCAGAAAATCTGCCAACACGATGCGAATAGTGGAATTGATGATACATTGGTCACTAAATAGGTGGATTGTCTCTCGCATCGCCACTCGCAACATTCCATTCCTGCTCTATGAATCCCAGAGCAGGAAATACTACCAGCCGTCACTCCCAATTCTAGTCCAGCTATCAGTGCATCCGCTGGTTTCGTTGGAATTGCCCCAGTCTGCTAATTCTAAATTCTTGTCAGTCGAGCCGGTGCTGCTTGACCACGAACCCTCAGGCAATGCTTTCGAATCCACAAAGTCATCGGGACCTTGTCTCATAGATATCCCATGACTCCTTGTAAGTCAGTGGGGCGCAGATGATGTCAGACGTCTCAACCGAATGAGCATCTATGAAATATCTAGTCAGAGTAGAGTCACCTCACAGCTGCTGACAATGGAATCTAACTAGGCTTATCTGCTGACTCTTTCGAGGCCAAGGCAGTCGTCTGTTCTGGATCAACGGTCTTCTCGGGGGCATTGCTCGCCTTGTTCGAGGTTTTGGTGGTCAAGACTTGAGTGGTCTTCGAAATGTAGACTGATTAGTGACGTTTCGTGAGAGCTAAGACGAAAGTAAAGACTGACGGGTTGGTAAGCCTGCATCTTGTAGGTTTATGTGACTTTGATGCGTGAGTTACTGAAGGCGAAGTAAAGGGATAGTGTGTGAGGGCAGAGCGTGTGAGGTAAGACTGTGTGAATTAAGAGCAAGCTGAAAGATTAAGAGCTTGAAGGAACGGTGGGGTGACGACGAAGGGAAGAAAGATCGTGGGGTGAACAGAAAGAGCAATATTTATTCTCGTGCGTGTGAGAGACTAGTCACGAGCACACTGTGCGCCTCAATAATTCTAGCAAACAATCTTTGTGGGTTTTCCGGAGCTATCTAGACTTGGGATGGAGGGCACGAGAGACACACATGGCAGCAAAAGGCCTAGATCATGAGCCCTGGCCAGAAGACTAGGGCAATGTTGCAGAATGTGAGCAGGCCCAGCATGCGCCGCACAATTGTTTGGCACTCACGAGCCGTGTGAGTCTACGAGATATTAGCACGGGCTATTCATGACAGTATCAGGAAGACTTTTTGCTGGCTCTGGCCATGCACCCGTTGTCGTGGATCTGATATCATTTTGATTATCTGGGGGAAATGGCAACAATTGACGAACCCTTCTCCTGTGATAGTATTCTGATAGACATCCATGGTTGTACTTTCTGACTGAAGAAGCTTAACCACAAGTTCTGGCAAATCAGATCAAGGCGAGCGACATCAGAAAATGCCGTGGGTCTTTGACTTGATACACTAAGTTGGTCATTCCTTGCTTGTGTAGCAGCTAAAATCAACTTGCTTGTCCAGGTTAGGCGAAACGGGGGCGCTTCGGGCCCCATGGCCATCAGTATCATCTTCCTAGATGAGTAGGATATTTCCAGCATCACAAGGATTCAATGCATTAAGAGCAGTAGCTGAGTCGGGTAACCGCTTGGTAGATCACTATCAAAGTCTCATGTTCAGGGCGAACACAGCTACTGCCTGTGGATGCCGGATGTGGCTTGGGGTCGATACGCTATGCTTGGGATGTTTTTCTTAATTGATCATCTTGAGTCCCCCAGTCGATTGGCCGAAATGAGTCCAATATATCCCAGCACTCACATATATCCAGTGCTGGTAGTGATATGAGAGTGACGTGGGAAAACGCCTGAACGTTGCTCGTGTAGCGCTCCGACAACATCCAGACACTACTGTATCATTGTGTGCACGGTGACCCATCTAGTAAGCAGGTTCGAAGCTAGTAAGGTAGTACTACTGTTTCGTATTTGTTGTAGGTCTAGTCCTCGGGGGTATTATCATTGCTTTGGTAGGCTGCACACAGTGGAATAGTACCGATGTATGGAATGGTCTTTTGGATGGTCGATCTCTGGCATCTGGCGAAAATCATCATTGATGGTATAAGTAAGAACCACAGGCAAGTCTGGGAGACTAGTATACAACGCTGAAACTGGCTCTATGACAGTGTTCAAAGGGCAAAACATGATCATAAACAACGCTACTCAACCTCTTCCATGGACTTGGCAAGATGTTCGGTACGGACGATATAATCGTCTTCTCCCTCGCCGTCTTCCAGCGGGCCATCAGTCGCATCTTCGTCGTCCCCTTCTACCGAGGCATCTGAATCACCATTTACTACTGAGCTCTTGCCTTTCTTGCTAGCGGCAGCAGCTTTGCCCTTGCCCTTACTGCTGCTGATTGAATGACCGCTAGGGCTGCGAACCATGCCACCGGGCCATTGTTTCAGACCCTTGATACGGCCGTGGATACTGCCCACCATGGAGCCGTCGCCATTGCTGGTCGGGGACCCCAACGGGGAAGGTGAGCCAGCTGTGTCGCGGTTGAACGCCTCCATGGCCTCCGCTATCGTCTGCAAGCCGTTGCTGGCCTTATCTTGCTTTTTGTCGACGGATTCGAAGGTTTGACGGATTCTTTCAAAGTGCTCTAATTCCTTGGCGCTACAGAAAGTTAGCTTCAAAGTGCGTGCTAGACTCATCTTACGGGATTATCTTTCCAACTTACCTCACACTGGGGACGAGCTCTCCCTGTGCAGAAAGGAAGTCCTCTTCCGTTACCGTGACTGAAACATCCTCGGGTGTGGCCAAATGATCAAAGAAGTACGCTGTAGAGACAGGCCCACCGGGGAGCTGTTGGATCTTCTCATCAACGGCGGTCGATTTCCTCGTGATAGCCTTAAGCATGGCATCAGAGCAGAGAGCATACAGATCAGCTCCAGTGTATGTCAGAGGAAGACGTTCTGCCACACGATCCAGAGAGACATCGGGATTAAGCGCAAACTTCCGAGTCAGGGCCTCCAGAATAGTCGCCTGCTTCCGATGTGTATCTGAAACGCCCAGGTACAGCATCTTGTCGAAACGCCCGGGGCGTAGCAGTGCTGAATCTAGCAGATCGGGACGATTGGTGGCTCCAATAACGAACACACCTCCGCTGTTTTCCTCACCGCCGTTCATACCATCCAGCTCGGCAAGCAACTGACTGACTATGCGGTCCATGACACCACCGCTATCTCCCTGGTTGCCACGCTTGGGCGCCACAGAGTCCAGTTCGTCAAAGAAGACGACGCATGGTCTGGCGTCACGCGCCCGTTGGAAGACTCTGCGAACATTTGCCTCGGACTCACCAATGTACATGTTGAGTAATTCCGGTCCCTTGACTGAGAAGAAGTTTAGAGAGAACTCGGTAGCAATGGCCTTGGCTAAGAGGGTTTTGCCGGTTCCTGGAGGCCCGTAGAACAAGATGCCACTGCGCTTCTTCATGCCCTTGGCGAAAAGCTCGGGACGTTCAAGGGGAAGCTGAATAGTTTCAATGAGCGCATCCTTGACATTCGTCAGTCCACCAACGTCATCCCAGCTGACGTTGGGGATCTTGGGTGCGCCGATGGAATCGGCGAAGTTCTTGCGAGCCGCCTCAACAGCAGAGTCAAAGTCTGCTTTTGTGACTCCTCGAGCACTATCACCACCAGCGATAAGGACGTCTCGCACACAGACCTCTTGGCCGAAAAGCTGCTTCGTTGCAGCTTCGGCAAGTGCCTCAAGGCGAGCGGTACGGGCAGTTGCAGCCCGCTCAACGACATCCACAAGATCTCCGGCTACCAAGGCAGCAGTCTTGAGCGCCACAGTTCCTAGATCGACATCGGCGGCAAGCTTGATACCGCGTTCCGTGACCACATTTCGCAAAATTCCCTCGCGCTCCTTCTCCTCAGGAGCTCCCATCTCAAACTCGTGAGTGAACAGACTGCGAATACCTTCAGGAATCTGCTCAACATCTGTCGTTGTCGCGATTATGACTCGAGCCTCGCTGAGAATATCGTTCATGGCGGTCACAATACGATCAGCTGTCAGCACTTCAATGTGTTTAATCAGCAGCGCTGTGCAATTCGCGCCGCAGTGGAACGCGCGTTCGGCGCGGGCTTTAAGATACGCCTCGGTCTTCACGTCGCCACCATTTGCGCCACCCTCGGTGAGAATATCATAGGCGTCAATAGGGAATGTGTGGAGGCCAATATCTGCGCAGGCGCGTGTCGCTACAGTTGCCTTGCCAATATGTCGCTGCTGGGATTTCAACAGAATCACAACGGGCTTCATGCCTAGTTGAATGGCCCGCGGGCTCGTGGCAGCGGCCATCAAGTCTCGGATACGGGGCTGCAAAGGTCCCGTAAATCCTTGCGGAAGATCCGTGACGATGCCGTGAGTGGCCATTACTTCCCCAGGGATCTTGGGAACTGTCTTGACGCCAAGCCAGTACTCCCAGCCATTACCCATATTGCCAGGGACCCGACTTACATCACTGCCGGCCTGTACCATCCGAGTACTGCCAGGGTCGATGACCGCAACTCCTCCCCACGTATCCTCACCCATCTCATCCACATCTTCTGTGCTGATGGGAGCAACATGGCCGACGCGGAACCACGCGACGCCAACTTTGCGTGGCTCCGAACTTCCAGCTTTGCGTTCGGGACTCAGCTTACCCGTGATGTCGTCTTCGCCGCCGGCACTTTCGCTCCCCGCCGTACCGGAGAAGATGGCTCGGCCCAACCCTTCGTCGACACTGATGCCAACAAGATCGCCGCTCTTCAAGATCCGTCGCCTTGACTCGAAGTACTGTTTCAACCCGGCAAAAAGTGCCGGTTGTAGTACTCGATCCATCGACAGAGGCGTGGAAATTTTGAGTAGCGTTACTTCCTTTGCTAAAGGTGGATTCTTGATAGAGCTATTCTTCATGTGGTGCAAGAGACCAGGTTTTGAGACGTTTGTGGCAGTCGCAAAGGTAAGTTGGGAAATACGTAGGTATTTAGGGTTTTCGATATTGCTTAGAAGCATCGGAGGGACAAAGACTGACGGTGTCAGGCGCGTCGGGGCCAATTGTGAAATGCTTGAGCGACGGTCGCCTGCGTGGTTGATAGCGTAGCGTGGCTTGGCTGATGGAAGCCCCGGCAGGCCAAAGACCTTGACAGGTCGCCAATCCGGGGCTTCTTCACTCATGTGATTATTGAGACTGCCAAACTTGAGCGACGCGAACATGTTGTTTTGCGGCTCCTCGGCAGCCTCGATTCTGACCCAATCACCGGAAAAGCAACCAATCTTGGCAAGTGTGCTAATATCGACAAAAATGAAAGAGTCTACGTCCTCGTCATCACGTGGCCGCGGGTGGAGGGCTTCATTTGGCACCTGTTGCAAGAGACCCTCGACTTTGAAGATCTTCCCGCCGCCACGGCCAGGACGCATCGTAGCGGACGTGAAATTTGATGCTACCGAGCCCGGAGTATGTAGACCATCCATCCGGCGGCCACCAGGTCGAGGTGTTGCCGAAGTCATCGAGGACATGACGCCTGACGGAGGCTGAGGTAGCTCTGGTGCGGAAAGCGAAATCATGTCTTCCAAGGAATCATCCGAGTCGTCACTGGTCGAAGTGACTGAGCCTTCAGTCTCCGACTCTTCGGCTGCAGAAATTGTTTCTGTCTCGACGCCACTTTCTCCGGCTCTGTCTTCGGCTGCGGAGTAGAATTGCTCGTTGGACGTATCGTCGGCCTCGTCTTCGGCCACTTGTCGCAGAAGCGCAGATCGAGCAGGCAGAGCATGTGACTGTGTCCGGCTTCTCTGCTGCGAGCGGGCTTGAATAAGCACTACTTTTGTAGCTGGGCCCAAGAGACCTTGCGATACCGGCTCGCAGAAAGACACACGTGCTGGTGGCGCAGGCGCATATGTTATTGGGTGTGGAGGCAGAGGTAGAGGAAGCACATCGCCCATATGGACGAGTCTTTGCGCAGCCAAAGCCTCGCGTACAGCCGCAGTCAGTCGTTGCTCGGATTCGATAGTCGTCGTTTTCCCCGATCTTCTCGTGTCAAGGGTTTTGGCGTTCTTCAACCACACTCCATTGGTCCCGCCTCCATTGGATGGGAAACCACCACCAAACCGACTCTGTACATCGTCATGATTGCGAAGCAGATGTCTCTCTACAGTCACATAAACGGTTTCAAGATGTAGCGGGGCCACGTCGAGCAGCCGGATCTCCACCGACCGATGAGTCTGGAGAGCATTGCGGGACCCGTCGAGCTTTGCAAGAGTCTGAAGCAAGGGCTGGAGAGTGTCTGCCGAGTCGGGAAATAGGACAGTTGATGGGGAGATTGGCGCTTGCGTGCGTTCAGGGCTGTGAATCCGCACAGGCAGAATTGTCCAAGCCGCATCCTCCACCGAGGGGAGGATCGGGGAATGCGGGGAAACGGCAATGTAATGGATCCCGTCATGCGTCGCAACATCTAGAAGCACCAGAAAATTAGAATTTTGCCAGTGACGACAATGACGACAAGTACAGATCTGGGAGTGGTTCCGTCAGACCGTACGAGCTTGGTTCCTAACCGACCTTGAAGCGATTGTTGCGGGAAGAGCTCTTTGGCCAAGTCCTCCGATAAGAGGCCGACATTACCACGCAGCTGCGCGTCAAGCGCCAGTCGTGCATTCACCGGGTTCCTGTTTCGAATGCGCCTTTTGGCGACCCGTTTGCGCCGCTGGCGAGGCTCCTGGGAGCTCTGCCCGTGTAACTGGTCGAAGTCCATCGCTGCAGTGGCCCTAATCGCTTCCGGGATGATAATGGCGGAGACGCTTTCAATGGGGAGTTCCAATGTGATTGTATCACGGAGGAATTGTGTCAGTTTCTAGTCAGGCCATTCACACCCCGTTCGACAGCGTCGAGAACTTTTGGTTATCTTGCTTCACCGCGGGCAAGAAGAGACAAGTTCACCGGCCCCAAAATCCGGGGGAAAGCAACACGCGGGCAATGTGGCACCGCCCGCTATTCTGCCACTGGCTATCCCGAAGCCGAGGTTCACGATGCGCGGTGAATAGCCCCGGGGACAGCTCCACCTGCCTCGAAAACCGGAGGAGCTTCGGCTTTCGGCTTCTATTGATCTATCCTGGAGCATAGTTTCCTAGCTCTGATTCAAAATTCACTCACCATCGCTGTACGAAATCTATGAAACATGAACATGGGGAGAGATGCCCCCACTGGATTGTTCCATCAACTGTCACATTCAGGCACACGCCTTCCGCGGGAACATGGGCTTTGAGTGGTTCTTGGTCTCTGACAGGCGAAGGATAATAACAAGGAGAATGCCTCGAGCGATGGAAAGCCTCACACCAGATCTTTCAGAGTCATCCGTGGTAATAGTGAAAGACCTTCCAGTCATATGTAGCCGCTCCTCAACACCAACGTGGTCCAACCGATGTATCCTTCCATTTGTAAATTTTCCCATTTTTCCGTGATGTACCTAGAGGAGCTATGTTATAGTACCCCCTCAATTGACTCATAGACTACCGGCGCCCTCATCGTTTCCATAGCCCAGATAGCCTATCTGTGATCACATTCGATGAGAAACGAAATGACAGTCGACCTGAGGAGGACGTTGACAACAGTTGTGATCCTAGGCCCCGAGACAAGAGAGCTCACGTGATGTAACGTCACGAGGCTGGCGCCTGCTGGCGCCTAGAGTCTTGCCTATTCCGGCAAGTACCATAGCCTCATCGCCGCTCCCTTGACTCACAAAATGAAGGCTTCCGGGGGTAATGATTTTACGCCTCATGATGAAGATAAATAGCAAGAGAACTCCGTAGCTGGCTTGGTGATCAGAAGGTTCTCCAATACCACATTTTGATGAACTTTTTGTGGACGATACACCAGGACATGAAGTCACTGGGCTGTCCTCTTCGCGGTCTGCATACATCCAAGTTGCTTCGAGATATCAATTGCGATGTGAATCTATGCGGCCGCGTATCGCGTGATGTTTCCGAAACGACTGCAGGTCCATAGCGGCATGGCCTGACAGAGCGACACTATCATCCTGTTGCGAGCTGCCTTATCATCAGTGCTTGCTGATCTCGATGGTTCAATCGCAGACAGTCTTCTATGCATGCGCAGACTGAGGTGCTCTCATCCAAGTACCTAGGTGCTACCTACTACTGGTCTCGTTTGGCCACCACAGGCCGAGTACGTGATATTGTACCACCCTGTCCACCTAGAATTTGTACAATCTGGATGGTCCTTTTCTCGGCAGTGACTGTCTGCTGTTCGACAATGTCAGCCTGAGGGAAATGCGACCGGTATCACAGTCTCCAAGACACGCTGATGTGCAAGCCTCGAAGACGTTGCCCGCTCAATTCCACGGAGTCGCGGCACGTAATAGTGTTGACTCTTCCCTGCCTATATTGAAGAGCAAGTGATTGGTAAGACGATCAGTGTGGTCGGCTTGGAGCTTTCTTCTGAGGTAGCAAGGTTACGATGGCCCTGGCCTTTGCCTTCCAGGCACCGAAATATCTGACGTGTTGTCGCAGCCATCGGTTTTTGAAAGACAGATGGCACCGGGGAGCCCGCCCTGGCAGAGACAGGATCATGCCTTTTGGCACATGGCTTCAATGCGGAGATGTACCACCATCGGTCTCACTCTTACCCGGCGCAGGCTGTGGGCGGCGGGTGCAATAGAACTCAGGTAAGGTACGGTACTCAAGGATTCTCGTCTTGAGTCTTTTGTACCCTTTGTACCGGGAGACTTGAACCCAGCGGCAGAATGAGGCTCCGAGGCTCACAAGGCCACGTCGACCTCGAGTCCGGCTGGCCACCGAAAGACCTCTCAGGCTCTCTGCCCACCGCAGAGATTCTCTATGATCGGAGCCATTGAGGATCCGCGATTTCCGTTGTGGTTCCAATCTTTGACCGAACAGAAGTGGAGTCTGCTCAATTGCTCAATTGCTCATGGAATTCGGTAACAATACAGTACCGCTGGAACTGCAAAGACCGGAAAGATCCCGTACCCGTTCTTGCATCCCGCCGCCATCAACGGTCACATTCATAGGGCTGGATTGGCCAACGACTCTTTCCTCGAGGATGGTACATTATTGTACAATCACACAATGTACACTTGTACACTTGTACATTGTTCGTCCATTCACCACGTGACCACTGTGACTGGTATAGCATTCATCCGTCGGCAACGGCACCACCGTGGCAATCTTTTCCTGCCCAGTGAAACCAAACACTAACCACGGTAATAGCAGTGTAATCCTGAGCTGTTCTGTAGTCCGTACCGTGGCCTCCTCCCGAGTCCTACTCCTGGCAGGTTGGCACGGCCGCTGGTCTTTCATTCAGCCGTCCTCTCCACGCGGCTCCGACCAGGTATGGCAGGTAGACTGTAACCATACCATACCAGGATTCTTTTCTCCAATCATCATGGATGAAAACTGCTCAGCCATCGCGCCCCATACCCCATCGGTCTTAGTCTTGGCACCCTCCAGGCAGACATCCAACACGCATCTCCATCCTCGTCTCCCTACCCTCCGTCATCTTTCTGGTCTTTTACCTCCTTTTCTCTATCGACAGCTCCTTCACAGCGTCAAGCGCTCCATTCCTTTCGCATCTTCCGTTGTCTCCAGTTCTCGTAAGATCTGTGATTTCTGTCCATCAACCACTGCCGGTTGCGCGCTCACAGCTCTGCATCAACCGGACTATCGATAAGACAATTGGGGCCCATCGTGATCGCCACGACCCGTCGCCATCTCATCGTGCAGTCGGCACTCTGAGCCGCCTCGAAGCCATCTGTCGTCGAGCTATTGTGCGCCATCTTTGACCTGCTATCACCAACGATTAGTCGGTTGGCTCATGGTAACTTGAGCGACGGATTTCGGCAAACTCACCTTGCACTCGTGGTGTATCACTTTCGAAATATTCCCTTCGAATCTCAGGATCAAGTAGGACGACCGAGTATCCTTGATCACCGTCTCACCAGGATTGAGAACCAAAACGCCATCTCGTCGGCTTTTGTGTAGAAACTTGTTTGGGAGTAGACGTGCGGGCTCCGAAGGGACTCGACTCAATCTAGGACTCTGACTTCAGACCCTGTTGCGCGAGATATTTCTTAACAACTAGTTGGTAAGTCTCTTTGATATCAGTGGAATGCGCTAGATGCCGTGGGCGAGTGGACACACTCAAGTTGAAATGTGAATGAATGATACTAACGCCGCATGTAGTGCCAACCTTAAAAAATTCATCATGGTATCTCCGCAATTCGAGTCAGCTCGGCTGCATCCGCGACGTCGGCCTGTGGTCAACACATCCCTCGATTCGACAGTTGCTGATGCAGACTCGGCTCTTTCCAAAATGCAGCTGAAGAAGGGCGAGACATTCAACGCACCAACTAGCCCCCCTTCTGCTGAGAGCGATCCTGTCATGAGTATTCGATCGCTTCCTCATCGATCGCCAACTTCTCTCGACGCTCTGGCTGCTGATGAAGAGAGTATGGCATCCATTTTCGAGCGTCTAAACCTCGATGATAAGTGTGATCTCCAGAGCAGGTCCACAGGTGTCCAAAAGGAATCCAAAATGTCTGCATCGGGGAACCGGGTTGAGGCACAGCAGCAAGACGACGGCCACGATTCCGACAGCGGACTTGGGTCATCAGTGAGTAGCTGCGACTCAGTGCCTGAGGCCAGCGAGAAAGGTACGTACGACGGGGCAAACACGCCGAACACCGGACCAAAACATCGCGATCATCCCAATGAGGAAATTTCCTCAATAGGAAACACACCTCGCTTCGTTAGCCTACAAATCAGAAGTTTGCTAACCCTCAATTTGTTTGCTATTTTTTTAGAGATGAAGGACGTCTCCGCGACGGAGGACTCATCTGCCTATAATTCTCTCCCGTCTTCGCAAGGCTTCAGCCCTAAACGTGAATTGCCCCTTTCAGCGTGCAAACAAATTGAACGCTATCTTTTGCTGCCACTACTGAAGGAGTCCAAACTTCAACCTTTTCATCCTCTCCTCAAAACTGTTCCAACTCGCATCGCCAACAAGCAAATTGCCTGTCTTCGCGATCTTGAGAAAATCCTCTTGTGGCTCGCACCCGTAAGTACTCAGGTTGTTTCTCACTTCCTCTCAGTTCAGAGTGGCATCCCATCCTTCGTCACCACACTCTAGTCTCGCTTCTTCTCTCATTTCTCATCACTCTGCTCTCTCCCTGCCCTGTGTTACGCACGTCTTTACGGAGATTGATCCTTTTTACCGCGCTTAGAACTTCTCACCTTCACGACACGCCTACTTGACATTCTGCGAGTACACAATCCAGTGTCTCCACACCGCGGTCTCTCACCTGAACGCCAACGATCAGCGTCTTCCAGCTGATCGTCCATACACGAACGGCTACTTCCTCGACCTAGTTACGCAGGTCCGCCGTCTCGCCGCCATGGTTCAGGCGACTTCCGGAAAAGGCAAGGGACGTGTGTCCGAGAACGAGGAGATGAATGGTGTTTCGTAAGTCTTAACTCGAATAGCCTGAACCTCACCTACCTATCATCCTGACATGACATTGCCATCAAAGTGTTCCCTCTGCCACCCTTAATGGTGGCCTAACCGTCAATGGCCGTGTCGCCGAGCTGGTGATCCTGAAGGATGGCGAAGTCATCTCGATGGCCACCGGCAAGCCCTACCAAGGGCCTTCGGCGATCAAGCGTGCCCACGGCCCTAGCGAGGCCGACGAGGAGGCGCTTGACGAGGGTGTCATGCGGTCGATGGCCCGTCGCAAGAAGAACGCACCGCCCATGGACATCAACCAGAAGTGCGATCACTGCGACAAGGTCTTCAAGCGGCCATGCGACCTGACCAAGCATGAGAAGACCCACTCGCGCCCCTGGAAGTGCTCCGAGGTGACCTGCAAGTACCACCAGGTCGGCTGGCCCACCGAGAAGGAGCGGGATCGCCACGTCAACGACAAGCACGCGGCCTGTCCCGTCCTCTACCACTGCCAGTACGTGGACTGCACCTACACCTCCAAGCGGGAGAGCAACTGCAAGCAGCACATGGAGAAGTCGCACGGATGGACCTACCAACGATCCAAGAACAACTCCAAGAAGGGCAAGAACGGCCAGTCTGTCAAGGACGAATCTGAGCAGCATTCCCCTGCCGGTGCCGATGAGATGTCTCCCACTTCTGGCCTGACCGACTTCAACACTCCCATCGTTGGTCCCACTCCGTCACCCTTTGAGCCATCTCTCACCTTCTCCGACCGTGGTTCGTCTTACATCAACTTTGCGGATCCACCTGCGCCAGCTCAGGGCAATGGCTACTCCAGCTTGTTCGACCAGGGTGTTGTCCAGCAGCCTGAGGGTGCCATGTCTTACCAGTCGCCCCCGGAGATCGCCCCTTTCTTCCAGACTTCTCCCGGTTATGAGACCTCTCCTGACGCCACCCGAGCTACGAGCCTCGACTTCACCGCAGACGATGTTGTGAACTTTAGCAACTTGAACAATTTGCAGGCTCAATTTGCCGGTGGCCGGCCTGACGAACTTGTCTCTGACCTGGCGATGCACCAGTCAATCGTTGCATCCATGTCTTCCGTGCCATCTCTCTCTGGCTCCGCGTCTGCGTCTATGAGCGACTCTCCTCCTGCCGCTGCTGCTCTTGGAACCGATCCATGGCAAGACCTGGATTGGCAGCCTAATTACTCTGTCCAGGCCAACGGCAACAATGGGTACAATGGTAACGACGGCTACAACACCACCGCTGACCTCAGCGACGGTAAGCCCATTATGATGGCCGGTCTCTCACCCACTGCTCAAGGTCACCTTATGTTGCTCTCCCCCGACAATGGCTTCGCCGCTTCAAACATTAGCGCGTCCTTCCCTTACGGTGGTCAGAATATGCAACAGAACATCCAGCAGAATATTCAGCAGCCCATGCAGCAACCCCTGCAGCAACCTATGCAGCAGAATATTCAGGACTTTGAAGGTCAGCATGTGCAAGACTTCACCCTTTTCGACCAGCCGAGACCCGTCATCCCCATCGACTTCCCTGGTCCCTCCTACGACTGGCTCGGCACAGGATGGATGATTGAGAAGTCCTAGTCAAGTACCTAGGACTCAGCCTTCTGCTCCTGGAAGGGTTCACGACCTCATGACCATTGTTTTCTTTTGTGTTTCTCGTTGGCGTGGGGTTTGTAGCAATTTGCTTTGGAGTATGGGTGGTTTGCCTCTTTGTATCTCTTCTGACCATTGAGATCGGAATCGAGATTTTAATTTAAACTTTTTATTCAGTCATGCTCCCTCCATCAGTAGTCAGAACTCAACATTCTCGTGCGACAATCGTTCATTAGTAATCGGCGATGCTACCTCGGACGTTGTTGTCATGGACCTTTGCGATGACATTAAGCTTTATGATGACATGCTAATCCCGTCACGACGTTTGGGCCCTCACGACGTACATACAAACCTAACTCGTTTTCGGTTAAGCCATCTTCCGCTTGCAAGCGCAGTGAACGTTCTTACTGTTCAGCCACGCCCGACGACGTGCCGTGGTACAGTTCGTCCCACTGGGAATAAAGTATTCAAGTGCAGGGCGCCAGAGACAATATTGGCCATGGTACATAAACACACACAACTTTGTGACTTGATTGTCTGGTCAAGGCACCATGACCAAGGCACTCGTATTCGCATCGGGCAACTGCGTGGTGTGGCTTGCCCGGCTGCTCGGTGGGGGGGATCTGAGATCGAATCTGATCGACGCGCAAGCCGCATGGATCGGAAAATGCCACACATGTCATTTGGATCACGGCCTTGTGGGACGAAGGGGAAATAGAGAGAACGGACGGAGATTGACAGATGAGCATATTCGCCATATCTTGGATTGGGTATTCTGATCAGATTCCACTTCATTGTACGGCTGTCTCCTCAGTGCCTAATGTCCACTGTTTATTGTACATGTGTGGCTGCTGCATTAAGCGTTCGCATGCATCAAGGACACGGGCGGCTTCAAACAGGAGTAGTCCCATGTGTGCTGTAGCCATTGACCCGTTACTCGATGCGCTGCTCGTGAAATACTACTTCTTCTTCGCCAAAATGGTGAAGTTAATTACGGAGACCAGTTTGTCAAATGTAGATGGCCTCCGTTCAGATTGGTATTGAATGCGATCATGCAGTATTTTTTTAGCAGCGCTCAAGTCTTCACTGCTGATAACATTCAGGCCCTATTACCAGAGACTTGTTAAGACTGTCACTGTGAAAGGTTGTGATGTGAAGCACATGAGATAGAATGGCGGGCACATCAGCATGGGAACAATAGATAGTACTGTGTGCGACACACAAGGTCTCATGCGCAGGCTTCCCTCCTCAAAGACGTTTGCCGGTCCGGACTCTGGAGTATGGTGGAGGAGTAAACAGCAGTGACGCCATAGAGCCTTCGTCTTGTCCCTCCCGCGTTCTTGTCCTCGTCAACATACGCAAGCTCCGGTCCGGTTTTACTTGTTGCATTTGACGTGCGTATTTGCCTGTTTCGCGAGTATTTGATCGCCATACCAGTGGAAACCTTTCATCGCATTCTCCAACTGCACATATCTGTGAGGAACGCTCTTCTCTCACTTCACCATTGACCACGCGGTAGATACATGGGAAGTGGACAGGTGCATCCTCGGCCCAAGAATAGATACGGGGCCAAGTGTGGGTGTGGGTGCTGCTCAGCCCAGCCGCTACGGAATCTCGGCGTTAAGCCGCAGACCACATCACATCTGACCGATTCAGAATTCCAAGCAGGCAGACAGATTCCCTTCCCGTCGAGTCAAAAGTGCATCGCGCGCAAGTTCTCTTCTTCACCAACACAACTGCGCATGCCCACCGGGTCCAACACTCAACTCCCAACCTCCGACCGCAACCTCGCGTCTAGGTAGCATGTCGACGCTCGATGAGCAGGTCGTCGCCAACGGCGGTCAGCCGAGAGCTGACGCCGATGCAGCAGCAGCCCCGCCAGACAGTCAAATTCTGACGGGGAAACAAGAACACTGTAAGATTGGATCCTCAATCTGAAGCGCTGCGGTGACGGATATCTCATTTGAGCGACGCCCGACTAATCACTTGTTGGTGGACGTGTTCATATAGACCTCAAGCGTGAGCTCATCTCTCGCCAAGTTCGCGGCGAAATATCCGAACTCAACTCACCCACCGCGCTTCAACGCTTTGGTGCCCCATTCCGATCCGACTTTGGCGAAGTCGCTCCAGTTGACTCGGAGCTACCGATCCTGCGATACATCTTTGTGCATCATGTTCGCAATTTTCCCTTCCTCGACAAGGCGCAAGAGAAGCAATTCTGGCAGGACAAGTTACAAGTGGTGAGTGAATTGTGTCCGTGGAGACCAAACGGCGCAGGCCAGCAAGTAGATCTCCCTCCGCGACTGCTCAATGCTAATCCATCTTCCGCGAATTTTAGTTCCTTGAGTCCTTCGCCAACAAGCATGTATCGTCATCGGAAGATCGTCTGGAGGAGACGAAGCGCCGGAAGCTCGCTCGTAAGAGTGAGAAATTGGTGGAGCTGATGATGGTGTCGGGTGTGCCGACCGCCTCTGGATACGAAGAACGCATCTCATTCTCAGAGATGGAGGTGGTGGACCGCGGTGCGAATGAGAACGGAATTCTGGTCAACATGCCCGAAGGCCATGCCATCAACGGCTGGGACGTCAATGTGGCAGCGGTCCGGGTCACCTCGATCAAGCGAACAGTCCGCTATCACCCTCATGCGGTAAGCATCTCTACTTGGCCTGGAAAGCCCGGTTTGGCCGTTGCGAAGAAGCATGCTAATGGTCTTCCGTCTGTCCCACAGGAATTCATCCTCCGCGTATGTCAAGATGGAAAGCAGGAGGTTCACGTGGGTCGGAGATACGGTGAATTCGTTAGGCTTCATCGCAGACTGCGCACAGAGTTCCCTGGGAAGTATCTGCCCCCGTTGCCCCGCAAAAACAAATCATCTACTACGTCTAGTTGGTTTGGTACGGGGGACGATGACAACGAGTCTATATCCTCACAGTCAACGCAAGGCAACGGCTCTGAAGAAGCAATCCAGGTTTCAAAATCGTCTCTTGCGGCAGATACGGTTCGCCGCTCCCTTTCCAAAAGCTCGCTGCGATCTTCCAGATCTCCGCGGGCTTCCACTGACGTGGTGTCCCGAGAGACGGTGCTATATCGCGAAGAGCAGCGTGTCTCACTCCGCGCATTCTTGCGAACCCTATTGCAGAACAAGCGCATCGCCGAATCCAAGGCGCTTGGAGAGTTCTTGACTGCCAAGCCGATCACACTGAACGAGGAAGAAATGATCGATGTCAGGAAGCGGAAGGACATGGACGCTGTCCGGATTGAGGAGCAGAGGAAATTCTACGAAATCGCCAGGCAGCGTGCTGCGGAGTTGGATGTTTACATGGAGCAATTCCGGAGGGATATTGTCGAGAGCAGTATGTTTAGACTCTGAACGCCCCGTCTTGGCTTGGCTATCGGCCACCATCGCCAGTCCAATACTAACAGCTGGCTAGATGGTCTGACCAAGTTGTTTGCCGAGATTCGGGAGAAACCGTGCATTGCGGAGCTGAGCCCTCAATATCAGAAATTCGCCGAATGGCTTCGAATTGAGTGAGTACAATCTCAATTTTCGCGTGGGGCCGTTTTTTTTGTTGTTTGACCAGCTTTCGTTGACTTGACGACATAGGGTTGCGGCGACGGTATACCATGTGTTCCTTGCCGAGGATAATTCGCCAGAAATGTTCGCCCAGTTCAAGCGAATTCACGGACTTGTCCCTTATACACTAATGAAGAATGTGATTCGGATCGCCAACCCGGCTGCCGTCATGTCCAGCGTACTGGACATTTTCCTCGCACAGCCCTTTGGATCGCGATCGCTCTTGCAGCGCATTTTCTCCATGACGCTGAATGAAGGTATCAAGGATTTCCAGAAGTCGATTGGACCATTGGCTGCGAAAATTAACGATCCCATCTTGACTGGGAAGTTAAAGAACTTTGTTGAAGCGGACGAGGCTGTGAAGAACATCATTCGCGAAGAGGCCGAGGACGAAGCTGTCGACACGGTGGTCGCGATTCTACGTTCCGAACTGATTGAGCCCCCGCTTACGGCGGAGCAAATTGGCCGGGTTTTCAACAGCTGGGTGGCGTGGAACCACGCCGTTGACAACGTCGACCTTGAGATGCAGCAGGGAGCTCAGTGGTTCGCTAATATGAAGCAGCTGCTGAAGCTTTACACCCGTCAGCGCGACAAGGCGATGATGCTCAGCATTGTGGAAGAACCCGTCACGCTCCAGCTCTTCCGTGATCTTTTCACTATCTTCTATGAGCCTTTAGTTCGCGTCTATAAGTCGGCCAACGTGTACAGCAGTATCACCGACTTTGCACAATTCGCTGAAGACGCCATCTCTGTTATCGAAGCTGCCCAGCGTCAAGATGCTTCGGCCGATCCGAACCAAACAGTTCAGTCATTCATTGATCTGTGCGCTCGCCACGAGGACAACTTTTACAAGTTCATCCACGAGGTACACTTGCACGACAATGGTCTGTTCCAGTCGCTGATGGCTTGGATTGAGGAGATTCTGGAGTTCCTGCGCAAGGGTCCGCGCGGTGGGAAGATGGACATGAACGCACTCTTCCAAGGCGCTGTTGGCGTTGGTCAGGTCAACAGAGATGTTGCCTTGCAAGAGATCAACGCCCTCATTAAATGGCAGGAGGATCGCAAGAGATGGCACTTGAACAAGACACGGCAGAAGATGGCGGCCGAAGGAACCGGCGCCGACACTCTTCCGGGAACACATGCTTTCCATAGTCTCGATTTCGGTCTCGACGAGGTCAGTTTTACTCACTTGCCCCCGTCCGCTAGGGCGATGCTTGATTCGTGCGACTTTGTTGCTAACTTTTCTACAGGCGGATCTTGAAGACCTGACCATCTCCGACGAGGCATCGGATTCGGAAGATGAAAACGAACAAGATGATGATGACGACCCGATTGCTGTCGAGCGTCGTCGTCGCGTCAAGAAGCAAGACCAGCTCCGTCGTACTGCCGGCGAACCCTTAAAGCCGGAAGTGAAAGAGATTCCAAAATTGATGGATTCATTCGTGGTCATGCTTCGTCATGTGCTCGCTGATTAGAGGTGACTTTGAGAGTTCTCTAGCTGGTGGCTACTGGCTTATTCTCATTATCTGGCTCTCTATACAGGTGGATACTATTAATACCTTTTGCATCTTCATCTCGGAGTTTCTATTCGCATAGGGACACTGAGCTCAGCAGTTCTGACTTGCTTCCCCAGTTGTTTCGATCGTCTAGGTCTTCGAGATGAATTCAGTGGCTCTTGATGTGGATAAATTATGTAATGACTTGCATGAACATAGCAAATTGATGAACTCCATAGATTTTCTCAATCTTCCATGACTTTGGTGTACTGATAGCTTTTGACAATAAGGTTGTGTGGAATTAAGATTTATCATGGTGACAATCTTAGTAGGTGTTATTCTCTGGTGTACCTCCGTCGATCACTTTCACGTGTCTGGCTCCTTATCGGAGGAACTTGATCTGCTGATAAGGAGTTTCCGTGGCGACCAACTGCAGGCAAGCGGCCGCAAACGTACTACCTACCTGAGCAGTAACTTCTTACTTGCAATGTGGCGAGCTACCCCATACAACAAGGTTGTGGTCTTGTCTTCCGAGGCCTTATGTATGAACAAGCAATCAGATGGCATCACCCAGTAAATATGTCCGATATGATCCGAAGTCGCCTCGAAAGGCGGTGCCGTTGAACGGGCTGTTCAAAGAGGGTATCTGGTGCTGCAATTGTCCTGCACGACCCCCGCAGCTCGGCGCCAGACAAAGAACGGCGGGAAGAACCACGGACGATGGTGTAAGTGGTCGCGCAAGCTGAAGAGATGATCAGCTTTCTCTTCCAATCCACTTTCAAGCTACCAAGACCTATTGAAAGCTAATTTCAGCCTTTCCCATCCAGTCTACACATGCGAGCAACTCCCTCCCAAGAGATGCGGCTTCTTCCTCTGGGCTGACGACGCCGAACCTCGCGAGAAAGCCGTCGTCCTGTCAAACTCTCATTCTGAGCTCGATTCGGACATCTCTTCCTTTGACACCGTCCCACGAACGCCCACAAAGCCATCGCCATATGCGCAACGAGAAACCAACGGGCTGTTAACACCGCAGACCGAGCGCCGCGCAGAGAGGGGATCCAACGCCCACTCCATATCACCAGGTTTATTCAAGACGCCGCCACTGAGCGCCAAAGCAAGAATGATGCTCGAAGATTCCGACGAATTCGGCTGGAAGGATGACTCCGACGACAACGAAGAACTAGCCAACGTGCTCGGCGCGGCCAGTCAAGCCGATACAGAGCCATTCATCTCTCAACCTGTCTTTTATCCGGACTTGTCTTCCAACAAGGCACCCCGGACTCCGCGCACGACATCGCCTGGGAAGCGCAAATTCTACCAGTCTGAGATGGAGACTTTCAAACAACCCTCCTTCTCCAAGGATCAAGATCCATCCTCGGGTTTCACTCCGTCCACGTCCACGGGGGCATCCGCGTTGCCGACACCGGCATCTACATCCGCGCACACATCCCAATCCACGTCCCAGTCCACGTCCCAATCCAGGGGCTATCAACCGCCCTCCTCGGCCGAGCTATGCATGACACCTACGCCTGTGCGCCATCGCGACGTCCTCAGCTCAGATACACGGCCCGACGAGTCGGATCTGTCCAAGTCGGCCTGTGCTATCCTCGACAAGCACGGCGTGGTCCTACCCAACAATGCATACGATGAACTCGTCGAACTCTTGAACCGTCATGATCTCAAGATGAGGGGTGTGAATCGCGCGAGAGACATCCTCAGAGTCGCGATGAAGAAAAAGGACGATGAGATTGTGAGGTTGAAGGAACGGAATACAAACCTCTTGGCGCAGAATGAGATGGATCAGAGTATTATCAATGGGATGAGGCGTGGGTCGAAATGAGCTTCATCTCTAGTCAGAGAACAAAGGAGATGGATGAGGTTCAGGGACGCTGCAATGGTCAAGTTTGGACACACATATCCACCGATGCATGTGTACTTGATCCTACATTGTTCTCGATGTACGTGAGCCTGCCAGTCCTCAAGTGGTGGACAGGTAATTTTGTTTTTTTTTTTTCCTTGAGTTCTATGTGTCTTGGGCGTTCATCAGCACTAACGAGATCATGAATTGATTTTTTTTTTCGACGAGTCATTTGAAGCGAACATTGCTATTCACTCTGGGAAAACCGCGATTTGTGTTACTATCATCATCACGTTCGATGGTCTGTTCAAGATCGAATCTAATGATCCCATTTTGTCCCGGGAAATGCCAGCCTTCGGCTGTATCTTTATCGTACCATACAATGAGAAGCATTTCTCACTTCTAAGAAATGGATCCCCTTCGGCTTCATGCGATGAGCAAAGAGTGTAGTCATCACCTGAATATTTACATTAGTATATTCGTTAAAACGTAATATTAAACATACACATATCTCTCCAACCGCTCCCTTCAGTCAATCCGGTCCAAGTCTTATGGTTATTACAGCGACAAGACCAAATCCTTCAGCTTCTGGAAGTCAGGAGTACCCAGACCAGTAACTGGGTCCCATCCCTCCGTCGCGTTCCAGTGAGCGCCGGGAATGATAAGACTGCCGGGGACGGGCTGGTCGCTCTGGGGGTCAATGCCGCCACAGCCGTAGGAGCTTCCGCCGGTGATGTCGTTGAGAGCCTGTTGTCCCAAGAAGTACAGGAAGGGGTTCAGGAAGCCGAGTTGGCTCTTGCCGGCGCGCAGACGGGCGTCGTTCAGGAGACCGACGATGGCGGCGAAGACAGGGGCAGCGGCAGAGGTACCGCCTGTAAGGCCCCTGCGGCCGCTGTAGATAATCTCGTAGCTAGAGGGAGATGTCAGAAGGAGCTTGTCTTGTCCATATAGTCTTTGAAGTGGATTGCGAGGCGAGAGGAGGAGCGTGGACTTACTCAGGGTACAAAGAGTGAGCAGAGACGTCGGGGAACCCACGGCCGTTAAAGTCGGTGTATTTGCCGTAGTAGTCCTTGGTCTCCGTGCTGATCTTCTCGAGATAGCTCTCGACGGCGAAGTACTGGTACCAGGCACGAGGGAAGATGGAGGAGAAACCGCCGGAAGAGGCGTTCCAGGCAACTTCGGGAGTCACATCAGAGGTACCACCGACAGCAGTGACGTAGGGGCAAGTTGCAGGGAAGATGGGCTGGAACTGAGGAGTCTTTCCGTCACGAGACTGGCAAGCAGAGCCAACACCTTGAATAAAGAGTTAGAGCTTGATTCAAAGGAGAGTAGTGTTGAAAAGCTTCTTGACGGGCTACTTACCTTCATCGCCGGAGGAGTGGAGGACGGTCAAACCACGCAGGGTGTTGAGACCGATCAGGTTGCAAACACGTTGAGCATACTTGATGGGAACCGTCTGTTGAAAAGGTGTGTTAGCAAAGCCTGAACACGTTCTGGTATAGAGGCATGTCACAATACCTGTTCATCATCACCGTAAGAGTTTGAGATCACTTGGGGAAGCTCCGAGTTGCTCTTGGAGAGCAAATACTCGTAGTAAACCAAATACGGCTCATTCGAGTCGCTTGCCTGGGTAGGCTCATCCGCGTCGGGAATGAACGGACTGCGCATGTTTTGTCAGTGGAACGAACCTGCAATTCGTCGTCACTTGGGGTTCCTTCGTGGTCATCACTTACGCAACACCGCCAGTGATGTACTCATGGACGGGGAGAGGGTGAGCAACACCGACAATGTTCTGCACATCCAAGTTGGCCTCACCAATGTCGGAGATACCGGCACTCTGGTTGTTTACACCACCATTCAGCGTCTCCACGGTGAAGCTCTGAGAGGGAATGTTGAAGGTCTGCTCATATGTTTCCAGGTCGGAGTAGATGGCGGATTGGTTCAAGAAGCTACCGAATCCGATGCGGCTCCCAGAGGCAGGATCGGCCTGGTAGTCACCAACGTTGTACATCTGCTTCAGGCAGGACGGGGTGATGATCTTCTGGCAGGAAGCGTCGACCGTGGTCTTCGCGGTCTTGCGAGCCTCAATGGAGTGCGCCATGATCGGAGCCGGGGCAGCACCGCGAGTCTTGCCAAAGTACACCGTGGGGGAGATCACATCAATGTGGCCGGTCAAGTGATCGGGGATCGAGTACTCGGTGGTACGGAGCTTGACCGCATCGCCATTCTTGTAGTAGGCGAAAGAAGTGTCCAGCAACTTGTTGACCTCGTCCACACTGCCACTGAAGCTCACCACGGCGCCATCGCGGGCAACATTGGTGATGCCCGCGCTCTTGAGCCACTTCATGACCGGAGCGTCGTCCACGACGGGGAAGTGCTTGTCGACATCCTCCTTGCTCAACCACTTGCCGTAGGAGCCCTTTCCAGGCGTGGAGACCTCGGCGAGTTTAGACTCCAGCTTATCGAAGTTCTTGCGCGTCAGCGCAATCGACAAAGCCATTTTAGAGTCGGCCGCGGGCTTGTCCACGAGCGACCAGCTGTTGGCGACATTGCCGGCGGCGCTCTCCCATACCACCGCCATGGATTGACCGGCGAGGGCGCATAGTAGACCAGCGTAGACGGTAGAGTGCATGATGAATACTCCAGCAATAAGCTCTCACTTGTGGCAATGAGGGAAGCTGAGGGTGGTGAGACAAGAAAAAAAAAACACAACCAGGCCTTGGAGGGGAAAGGGAAAAGGATCGACAGGACTATTTATCATTTAGTCCAGCTATGCTGGGAGTTCGTGGCAGGCTTATGCATGATCGTATGCCAACCGACTTTGATTCGACCGATCTGACCAGCCATTCTGTTTGTTGTATACTGAATGATCGAATCCGCCGCTTGAACCCTCCATGCTCCAGCCCATTGACCGGCGGAGCTCCGCATCCCAAGCGTTACATCGCGTGAGTCTAAAATGGACAATGCACTGCTGTGCAGTGCCTGTTGAGCAGTGGTGTCATCGGCAGCTCGTGTGCCGAACATTCGGTTGCCTATTTGGGGGGGGGGGGGAGGAAACAGGTCGTGTTGATTTACCTCGGAAAGAGGAAGGTGGATCTTCATGTCTCTTGAGGAACGAATGCGGACGTTGGGACCGGAGCAAAACTTCAGTCCGATACACTATCAGAACTTTGAGAAGTGATATGAATTCCCGTTGTCGACTATCTCTGGCCACTGAGGATGTCAACTGGATGACACAAAAGATCTCGTTGAGACAGTTTCACTCGATCCCGCGTGGACATGCGGGGGGCCACCGAACCAAGTCGATTGTGGTGATTGTCCATTACAGCAATATTACATACTTTACCAGTATACATTGTAATATGTACGGAATCCCTTGTATACTATACAATGGATACTGCAGATACGATAGATCATTGGATACTGCAAAAGGCGGGAGATAGCGATCGCCCACTGGTAATTACTCGCTTGGGTAAAGTCCGGACTCCGGCGGGCTTTGAGCCCCACGAAGCTTGGCTTCAAGAAGCTTTGCCAACTCTGGTGGCCGGTTGCTTGGTTGGTCTGTAAGACCCCCGGAATCCCCGGGTGTCCTTGGACTGTCCACCTCGCTAGGACCAGAGCGGGAGAGTCGAACTCTAGTTTTCACGTGACTGTTCTGTCATTTTGTTTTGATGTTGTATTCGTCAAGAGACTGGACCCTTTTTTGCTACTCTTTACCGCCCACCAATTTCCCGACCGTGAACACCAAAAACTCATTCAAAAGTTCTCTACACCATCATACTAATTTTTATTTAATATTATTACATATTTCCATGAGACTTTGTAAAATTATGAGAAGATAAAGCTGTAGATAATTTTACAGGGTCGGTGATTTATTGATAGAGGACGGGGAGATGCTAGATCATGGACTTGAGAATTTGAAGTGTTGAGTCGGAAAGCAAAAGCATCATCGTATTTTATTTTGGAAGTCAAACACTTTCGAAACGATGGACGTAATGAATCCGAAGATTGACCTTACTATTTCGATCCTAGCGAAGTGGACAGTCTAAGGACACCCGGAATCCCCTCACTCATTACGAAGCAGGGTCTTTCGCTTCTCCGGCCACAGCAATGATGTTTTGCACATCTTCTTTCAAATTGGCAACAAGCATCCAGGTAAGCACTCCCGATCAATCCAGCTGTACTGCTCTCTGCAAGTGTGTCATGACTAGCCAGTATACTCTAGATTGATCTGAGGTCTGATCTGCCTGAGCCTCTCATACCGTCATACCCAGTCGATGTGGAAAAAGGATTCCTGCATTAAAGGAACGTCATCGGTATCTCGGGTGGGTATTCCAGGCACCAGTCTAGAGTGACCGACCGTTGCCATGGTACGGTAGAAGCCTCGGAGGTATGTAGCATGTAACTATGTACGCCCGTTGACCAACAACCTTGCCTGAACTCTGCAGAGATGTGGAGAGCGGCCGGGGCCTCAACTCTGGTGGATGAGGGGAAAGGTCCAGGCACAGTGTACACTCCCTCGTGATCCGTTCGCCCTAGTCTGGTCCACGGCATGATCAATCAAGTAGGAGGTACTGTGCCACGGGAGAAGGCTGTCTGATTTCAATCAGATTGGAGATACGGTCTGGAGGGGAGTTCGAGTGGAGGAACTTGTTCAAGCGATGGATTGCACTAAAGTGCCCACTGCCCCAGTGCCCACTACTACTGAATGCGATGGTGCCTTGTGGTATCCTCCCCTGCTGATCGCGGTCATGTGCCTGTCCGGCCACGTGAGGGTTGAGCCAAGGTCATCTTTATCTAAGAAATAGCTCCAGATTGCGAGCCTCATTCGACTACAGACGGCAGTACAATTATTACAACACTGTAGATGATTACATACCATCGCATCTCTTCCCGGGGAGTTCCTAGGTATCCACCAGGTTCAGCTCGAGTCCGGTTTGTTCATGACTCTCCACGTCCATATTTCGCCGTACCTGTCAGTTTCGCACCATTACGTGACCCATTCACATTCACGGTCGAGTCTTATCACCAGCTAGGACAATAGATAGGTAACTTCTTTGGCGTGGTGGAAATGAATCACCCCCTAACGGCGTTTAAGATGTCTATCTTTGCCGACCTGATCGTCAACGGACTGATCGGTGGGGTAAACAACGGCGCTCAGCTGCCCCTTTTGTCCTAGTCTCCCCACCGAAGGTTGAAGCCGTACACTGCATCGGTACATACATTGCATCCTGCATCGTTGGAGAACCTTCCATGTCTCACATTTGAATTTCTCGCAATATCGCCGTGTGGGGAGCTGTGGGACATGGCCTTATTGTATCCATGCCTCTGTCGTGTGCGCCTATGGATGGATTCGATGCAGAATGTCCAGTACTCCTCATACCTCGAGCCGATGCAGCCGATGCAAAGCATGTTCTCGGCAACACCTCTACTCCTCCAGGTTGAATGTCGATGCACAGCGTCGAGCACGCATGACTTTGGTACGTCTGAGTGACAAGACACATCCTGAAGGACTAAGTTATTCGTTCCCCCCTTCGTGAGTTTATGTTCAATATTGTATGCCGTCTATATATACTCCAGGTGGTGGGTTGCTACATAGGGCTAGGTAGTAACTAGTAAGTTAAACAACCTAGTTAACTAGTAGATGTCCTTACTTCAAGGATGACATGTTGGCAGGGACGCTTTTATCGGTGCTCGTGCCAGATCTGGCAGACATATCCGTTTGTTTGACTTCTAATGAACCTGAGGGGTGCCTAGGTATGTAGTTTGAGTATCGGCTTGTCTGCAAATTCCGTCTTTGCCTTGTTTTAGAGAGGTCGACTTCCAATTGATGGATGGATGGGGCGGTTCCAGTTCCCAAGCCAGATACATACATATATTATCGGCACCCGTCCTCTCTACATCATCATTTCTATCAGTGAAGATAGTATACGGAGGTTGACGTTTAACGCCTTTACAAACACCATCTTCTTCAGCCCATCCCGTCCCGACCATCACTTCCAGACTTTCACGGGTCCTACCTTAAGCTGTGAGATTTACCGACCTGCACTACTGGCGGGAGGCACCTGGTTTGTATGTCCGTCCACGTACCTGCATAGGTAGGTATCTTCCGCCCTGCGTCCGCCTCCCCTTGGTACAGACATACAGAAGTGGGTTGATTGGCGAAATCATTAAAACGAAAATAATGGATGTTTTTGTAAACTGATTCTTGAGTAGCGCCCATTTTACTTGAGATATACTGCAAAGAAGAAGTTGAGAGTCAGAGCTCCTTAGTCCTAGCGTGGAACTGTGCGTTGTCGGCGAACAGAGTACAGATTCGGCGACGCAGGCAGCTTCAGGACCATCAGAACGACAAAGGGCAAAGACGAGACATCCAGACTGCTGAGTTTTGACCGATGACTACAACCGAGAAAAGGTGACACGACGACTTAATCAGACGGGAGCAGAAGTGACATTCCTGGATATGTGGAGCAAAAGGCCGCAAAAAAGAAATCAATACTCCCTCGAACCGGAATCGAGCCGGTGACCTTTCGGTTATATGATAATCCATTACAGCCGAACGTGATATCCAACTACACCATCGAGGGTTGAGATTGATGCATTGAGTACCCAAAATTTGATATATATACGACATTATCTCGTCACTGTCTCACGATAAGGCTAACACATGTCGATGGTCAAGCGGAATTCTTCCCTGTCAACCAACACCAGACAAGACCCTGTGCTTCCTGTTCAAGGCAACGGGCCTCTTGTTCAATGGAGTCAAAAAAAGAAAAGCTCCAAGAGGTCCCACGTGAGCTGCCAGCCATGTTCCGCCCGCCCGTCAACCGTGCGATGAAATCGCTCGACCGGTCATTTTTCCGCAAAACCGTGCCCCTCGCCGCCGCGAAGATCTTCGAAAAATCGCAAATTTCCAACGTTCGTCAAGCGCTTGGCAAGAGCCATGATCTTCTGGTTCTTCCCCGACTCAATGTCATCCGGGAACTAAAGGACCAGGATGGCGCTGTTCGGAAGGGCCTCTTGCTGCGCGAGGATATCAAGGTAGATGGTGGGTAGACTCTATTCTCGTACGACCGGCGATGAAATGAGCGCATTCCGGAGACCTGACTCGCAAATGATCTCGCAGACAAGACGACTTGGTCACCAGTGATCAATGAGCTTGTTCAGAAGGGCACCGTCGCAATGACGCCATACAACTTGGAGCTGGACTATGACTACTGGAGCTACGGTATGACCACTATCTCATGCGTCTGCCAATGCTTCCAAGAGCTGTTGCTGACATGACCTCAAAGCCGAGATTGCCAGCTCGATTCTCCCTGAGGATATGGAGGAGGTTCCTCAAGGATTCACACAGGTGGGGCATGTTCGTACGTTGCTGCCCGATGTGCACTCCACCCCAGTGCTCCGCTATGGCGCATTCAAGCTGACTCAAAACGACAGTTCATCTGAACCTCCGAGAACACTGGCTCCCATATAAACACATAATTGCAGAGATTCTGAAGGACAAGAACCCTACGATTCGTACAGTGATCAACAAGACCGAAGATGTGGGCTCCCACAGCCAGTTTCGCACGTTTCCCTTCGAGCTGCTCACCGGCGACCCCGACTTGAATGTGATTCAACACGAGCAAGATTGCGAATTCAGATTTGACTACTCTCGAGTGTACTGGAACAGTCGTCTCGAGACTGAGCATCGCCGCCTAGTGGACAAGTTCGAGGCTGGCCAGATGGTCTGCGATGTGATGGCAGGAGTTGGCCCGTTCGCTGTGCCTGCTGGACGGAAGCGCATTTTTGTGTGGGCCAACGATCTAAACCCTCATGGCTTCGAGGTGATGCAAGATGCAACTGTGCGAAACAAGGTGCAAGATTTCGTCACGCCGTTCAACCAAGATGGCCGTGAATTCATCCGCTTCGCAGCCAAGTCACTTCTCGAGAGTGACCCCGTTACTGTCACTATCAAGTCAAAGGCCCGCAGAGAGAAAAAGGGCAAGGCCAACGATGGAAAGCCTATCGAGCAACCAGCGGATCAATTGTACACTCGACCTCGCTTCGTGGACCACTACGTAATGAACTTGCCCGCGACCGCTATTGAGTTCTTGGATGCTTTCCAAGGCCTGTACGAGGGCAAAGAGGAGCTTTTCACCCCACACACCAAGCAGACTCTCCCGATGGTCCACGTCTACTGTTTCTCGGGCCACTCCGAGAACGAGATTGATGATCACAAGGATATCTGTGAGCGTGTATCGGAGCGCATTGGCTTCACCATCACCCCCGAAGACCGAGTGGGTGGGACGGGCAACCCGGCCATTGAGCTCGATGTTTTCAATGTCCGACTGGTCAGCCCTAAAAAGCAGATGTTCTGTGCCAGCTTCCGTCTGCCGCCTGAGGTTGCATTTCGCAAAGTTTAGCGGACTATCTTTGATGCATGAGTAGGCGTTGACATATCATACTGGCGGCGGCGAAAAAAAAAAGTCCAAATGGAAACCTGGAAGAGTTGATACCCAGCATTGCAACAATATTGTTTCTAAACAAGTGTTTAAAAATTGAATTAGAAGCAAGGAAAGAGTCATTCAAAATCTCATTTACACTTAGAACTTTCACATGGCAAAGTGGTAACTAAGTCTAGAACATTGATAGCGATAAACCTGCACCGCCTTTTTCTGCCCCGCAAACCTGGACGAGCTTCAACTGATTGACGATAGCGACTGCGCAAATCATCACTCAGCATCTCCTACTCCGCCCAGTTCGCACATTGAAGCCCGTCTCTACGTCTCCCCCAACTTGCGAGGGCTTTGTGAGGTCACCTAGTCACATAGCACACACAACGACTCCAAACTTCCCAAGATGAGCATTCAACTCCCACCCGCGACACACCGCAAGCGCGTTGTCCCTCAGGGCGAGCTCGAAGCCGCCGCGACACTCAGACTTGGCGCCGATCAACACACACATACCCTTTCATTATCTGAGGCGCGCCTCGTTATCCACAAAGTCCTGGAGAATAAGCGACGAGGAGGTAGCAAATACGAAGAGCCAGAGTATGTGATGATGCGAACTGGACGATCACGATAATCACCCCCTCCAACGATGCTGCTCTTGGAAGAAAGGACGGGAACATTTAGAAGAAGATCTTGTTGCTGACTGGGGGGTTTGTGACCTGAACCTGCAGGAACTTGACCAAGACGCTTGATTATCTGGATGTATTTGCTCGATTCAAGGATGAGGAGAACATCAAGGCGGTGGAGCGGCTATTGAACTCACACACGGAATTGGAGATGTTTGAGCGATCACAATTGGGTAAGTTCTGCCCTGTGTTGTTATTGCTTGAGATTCAGGTCCCAAACGAGCTGTCTCCTACAAGGCGGAAATTCACGCGGAGAGAAGGAGGGCTCATCTGGCACGTCGCTGTGACTGAGACGAGGCCGTGATACCCCTGATCGACCTTGGAATCGTTGCGATGGATCCTCTCTCCATATGCGCCGCAGTGCCTGTGACTTGTGGTGGGATTGGACCTGTGCTGATAGGTGTTCATGCTTGTAGGAAGTTTGTGCTGCGACAATGCCGAGGAAGCCAAGTCCCTCATTCCCAGTTTGCAGAACAAAATTACCGACAGCGAGCTGCAGGAGCTGTTGGACGAGTTGACGAAACTTCGCAACTTTACTGAGTAGGTCTGGGGAGTGAGAAGCATGGAAGATGGGTGGTCTTCGACCGTGATCCCTTACGGCAATGACACGATGCCATGAGGTGCCTTTCATAGCAGATGGGATTGGGCCAATGCTCTAGACCCGGGGTATTGAATTATTTAGGGAGTTTACTGGCGTTCTGACCTTTCAGCCCATTAATATTCAGGCGACAGGGGTGGTGATATTGCACATACCATTTCGACAGCGACAGCTGGTTCTTGAATGAGATGATTAGAAGCATTTGGGTCAGAAGGGCGGGTAGTCTTGACGACCGCTATCTCCATGAATACTGTAGTCTGCCGCCTTTTTTTTTTCCTTGCTACGGTAAGACTGTGATCATGTCCCTATATGGAGTGCTATGCTCCATCATTGACTGTCATGAACCTGATTCTCCGCCAGTGAATGCTGTATATTCGCAACCTCGTATGGCTATGAACACGCTATGTATGGGCCTGTATATATATATATGCAATGAGTAAGTACGATCATCAGGCTTCAGCGCATTCGGACATATCTCTGAGGTAAGTAGGAGACTGAATCTCATTCACATAGTTGCCGATTGAGAAAAGAAGCACGTGATTATCGCCTCGTGCTATCCTCGAAATCACATGTGACTGGAGTGGATCATTCGAGCACGAGCGCAATCAATGACAGCTTCTGCAGTGTCTGTCAAGCAAGTACAGACTACAGACTAGAGTATGTATGCCATGCGTCATCGTAGCCCTAGTTGAACTCCAAGCCCTTATGTTGAAAGTAATGAGCTCCCCGTTGAAGAAAGTACTTCCTCATTTCCAAGCTTGTCACCTTGAAATTCGCCATGTGCGTTGGTGCAAAAGTACCAGTACCGTACGCATGCAATGTCCATCTGACCTTCTTGATCGATGACCACTGATCATTTGTCCATCGCCACCACGGCAGGCCAAAGGTAGTCTCAGTCCCAGTCTCTACTCCCTGAGTCCCTACTCCCCACTACTCGAGTCTCCGCCCTCTGTACCTTACCGGCAAATCGCTCTCCGCAGCAAGACAAGCACCGGTAGCACACACCCGGGGCCAAGGCCTCAAAGTTGCCATCCCCAGGCTTTTGGGTCAGGGAGGAGACCGGGGATCGAGTGACCGTCTCCGATGGGCCACAGCCCCCCCCCCCCCCCCCCTGGGCGGGTCTGCTTTTGTTCAACGCTCCAAATCAGCAGATGGCTGAGATGGGAGTTTGTTCCCAACTGGCCAGTTTGAGAGAAGGGGATAGTTCCGTCCAGTCCTGGAAAAAGGCCCAGTCATCAGTGGTCGGAGCACAGTGTGCCTAATTTGCCATTTGTAGTTGCGAAGGGCGTGGGTAGAGCCTGTTTCAGGGTTTACTGCTGGAGGTGCTATGGAGTCATGGACTACTTGTAAGTAGGTAGGTGCCTGGCCCGGGGTCTCGCTTGACCGGGAAATGGAGATGGTACGCTGACATTTGTGCCAAAGCGACTCAGAACTGGGTAGGGGCCGGTAGGTAGACGAGAGAGAAAAAAAGAATATCTATCTATGCGATCTGAGATTAAGGCGTCGCAGGTTTAGTCATTTTCTCCTGACGTTGGGTTAAATTGTACGTAAATGCATCAAGCCGTTCGGGAGAGATGAGTCGGGACTGGGACTGGGAAGTGATACAATATACTCTCATCACCGGGTTTATTGTAGGAGTGATGTAGTCCAGCAAAAGGTTATACTCCAAATGAATAACTTACTAGAGTCGGGTCCCTAGGTCGGGTGCCCCCTACTTAGGTACCCAACTGATAAAGCAAGGATCTAGGTGTTCAGTGTTGTTGTACATCGTTCCTATCCCTGCCTCGAGAAAAGTGCACAGCACGATAGTAGTATTTCCTATTTACTATTTACCGTTCACCTAGGCCTCTCGATTTGACCGATAATTGACCGACTTTTGGAAAGAGTGTTTCTTTGCAGTACACTCCAGGCACTTAGACTATGCAGTGCCATTCCACCCTCTCATCTGCATATCCTGCATCATCCTTGCTCGATAGCACCCGGCATCTGTTTACCATGCATTTACGTTAGGTCACAGATTGGCCTCGGGGAAAAAAGCCCGTGGATATGGACCGGCTGGCGAGATGTAAAGACTACAGAGGGAGTCCCTGAGTCCCTGGAAGGGCTTGGACGTATGCAACCAGGTCGTTATGATTGGCTTTCGATTTGGCTTCTTATCCAAACCAGTCGATTGGACTGGGAATTCAATGGCTTGCTGCGGGGACGGGCGGACATGCAGCACTGGACCAGTGGACACATGGAGACGTTTACCAGGCCGGGGGGAGCCACTCAGACTGTCGACCTGTAGATACTAGAGTGTAGACTGTAGACTGTACCGTAGACTTGTAGAGTGTAGACTGTAGACGACTAGACTCACATCAAAGCTGTTGTTCTTCGCTAACCAGTAGCTAGCAAAACAGTGATGTTCATTGAAATCTAGCGTGAATGAAGTAATTCTGTGAGTCCTGTCAAAAAAGGGATACTCTTTCTGTGGTTCCGGGCTAGTTACTCATTTGCTGGTATTTGAGTCTCGTCGGAGGTGCTTCAAAAGAGCCTCGGCTCGGTAGATGGGTTCCAGGTATGGCCCAGGTATGGATGTGACTGCAGAGTTAGTACCTTAGGACTGCTACTAGCTAGTATTTACTAACTAGTAGTTACCACTGAGTCTGACTACACTGATACTGAATAGGTTGCTTCCCGTGACAAATGGATGTGGATGTGGATATTGGTTGAAGGGCAAAGCGGATCAATGGCTGATTTGAATCAGAGGGTGGAGACAACATGAGGCAAATCCATGTCATGCGGCTTTCGCTACAAAAAATTGTTGCATGACCAACGTGCTTCGATAGTTACCTGGTCGAGTATCGAAGTGTTGCGTGACCTTTGGGCTTGACATTTGGTCACGAGAATGCGTTGGACTGTCATCCGCTCCACAGTATAGCATCTTTAACTCCACGGAGATCAGTCGTGTCGAGCGTAGAGTTAGTAAGTACTAAGTAGTCACTTAACTAGTTAACTAGTAAGTAGTTAGTACTTACTGGCCTTAGTCAGGTAGTCATCTCTTGGCCATTTAAACTCAACTGGATGGTGGCTTTCCGCGGCGCTGCGACTACCCGTCGCAGTCGTCGCAGTTGGTCAAGTTATGGTCCTGACCTGGGTCCATACCCACGGCTACCGTATTCCCTGATATACATTCTGATCTTGGTCATATGGCAGCAGAAATTGCTCCCTATGGCATTGAAAATAGTGAACAGTCCACAGTAGATTACTAAATACTGAATACTACCGGGGATTGCGCCGTGTATGATTCACTAGTTGGCTATGCACCGTCGCATACGAAGGTGGTGATGTACCTGTAGCCCGATTCCAGTCAACCTTGATACCTCAGAGGGCCGGGAACTCAAAATGCTTAGGTAAGATGAGTTTCATCGTACGTAATATGATGGCGGCTCCGTCGGTGGACCCAATCAGCGCGGTGGAGGTTATCAGAGATGACAATTGCGCCGACCTAATTTTTATTCATCGGAATGCCTCCCAGTTGCAATCCACGACCAGCACGCGACGAGTCGACCTCTTGGGCCAACTTGGGGCTGAGCCGCTCGAACAGACGCGCTGGGGTTGGCTGTCGCGTCGTTTTTGTTACGAAACCAAAAAGGCAGATCGTCTGGCACTCGGAAACCTATCTTGCATTCGATCCCTTCAACACTCGACCGACTCGGCCACCCCATCCATGCATCACGGAGATGGAGGGCAGATCCTCGGTCTGTGCCAATCACCGTCCCTGCAATTCGACCTTTTTCTGTCCTGGCGGGGACGCTTGATGCTCAAATCATCCGAAACGGTCCTCTGGTTGAAGGTCCTCACGACTCCATAATCCCAGAACGCTGCCCCAAATCCGATAGATCCCTCGTCCCCCCCCCCCCAAAACTCGAGAGGCCCCGTCCGATTTATCTTTAATATCCGGCAGTCGATGTCATCATCTTCCGCCAGTAGTTAGTCGACTAGAACGGAGTAGCTAGCAATCTGGGGCATCCAGGTTGAATCTTTATTTTTATTTTATTTTTCCTCTGCTCGTGATTCCATCCTTTCCCTCGATACACTACTGCGCAACCACTTTCACCTCGACACCTGCTTGCCCATTCTAACTGCATATACGCCGGATGCACCACTGTCGGCGAACTCCATCCTGTGGCGCTCTGTTCTGATCTATCGTCGCGAGCGAGTGTAGGCATGACAGCGCGGACCATCCGTCATCTTATCTTGTTGCAGTCTCTCGCGGGCATATCGGCCTAAGTAGATTGACCACGGATTGACCTGAACGGACATCATTTGATGTGCTCTCAGTGAATTCCTTTGACAGCTGTCTTCTCCTCTCTCTCTCTCTCTCTCTCTTCTCTGGTTTCTCTTACGCAATCTTGATCCTCACAACCGTCACATCGCCAATAGTCCCATCTGGTCGATCACCGCGGGCCACTGGTGCAGCCTCTCGTCCACCTTCGTCTTCCGTCTCCGGTGCCGGGGTCCGCGATTCTTAGCCTCAACTGATATCCGGAGATAACGTTACCACTTTCTCCAATTTTAATCTTCGCTGCTCCGATCTCTTTCGGGCAGCCATCAGACAACTGCATACAGTACATGACTACATACTACATACACACAACCGATTCGGTCCGATAAGCTCTCCTCGAGCCTCTTCTCATTCGATGTACGCACCCGCTTCCCCGGGCTCAACGCTCCTTGGCTCTCCAGATTCCTTATCTCTCTCCTCCCTCCGACTTTGTCCACTTTTCCCTCTTCACCCCCCCCCCCCCCCCCCAACCTGTCTCCATGCGCAATTATGGTCGAATCACAATCTTCAATGTGCTGTGAATGACGAGCCCGGAGTGGTCGCTAAACTAACTCCTTGCAGTGGCCCTCTAGACCCTCTCTAGCACAGGAAGACACCGAGACTCGAGACGCATATCCATACATTCCATACATACGCAGATAGACTCATCGAGCCAGTCCCGCTCCGCCCTGCCCCGGACTTACGCATCTACGATACTATCATCCACCCCAAATCCATATATCGGGGCTCCGAGGAGATCCCCGTTACGGGACAAGCCCAATTGTCTCCCTTCATCCAACCTATCAGTTCCTTTGCAGCCTATCTGAACTATCACGCCAGATACGGCAGCCTCCGCTTATTCCGCGTTTCCTGCGAAGCCCAAGCTCTGCGTCCCGCGAAGCTTAACTCCACTTGCCAATTACCCCGGCGCGCAGAAGCAGTCGGGTGGGTAAACCTTTGATCTATAAACCCTCGACGGCCTCTCAAGAGTCCTCTCCGATGGCGACGGTCATCACCATCCAGCCTTCCCCCACAGCTGGCTCCGCAGCCCCCGTTTCCTATTCCTCACAAGCGCATCATTCGCCCTCGGACGCTCTTCGTCGTCGTCCTCACCCATCCGCGTCCGCCACACCAAACACATTGTCGCCTTCACCGGTGCAAGGCTCATCGGGTCTGAACCGAACATCTGGCCGGGATGGGGCCAGCTGTGACGCTTGCTTGAGAAGAAGAAGCCGGTGCGCCATGAACGATATCACCAACAAATGCTACTCGTGCGATTTTCATCGCCAGGATTGTACGTTTACGCTGTCAGCGGGTGGTCCGGCGGAAGCCAACACCAAGAAGCGGAAATTACCAGAGTCGGGGCGGGATTATGCAGAGACCACGAAGAGGTAAGAAGTATCTCCCTCGAAGATGTCAAACGGCCCTGGGATATCTTGCCTTCGGAGAGATCCAATGAGCCTTGACTGATTTTACTGAAAGTTCAACTCACTAACACTGTTGGAAAACATCCAGACCCTCCACTGTTCAACCTGCCGAGGCTGATCGACCCGTTCCGGAGAGTGAAATGGCTCGTCCGGTTCAACCGCACGCGATGATTCGCTCTGGTTTCTTCAACCAGACGACGCAGCACATCGGCATGACGACCGAGCTCGAGCCGACCTTGCTGGAGTACCTCCCCTTGGATGAGTATGACGAATGCACCGTCTCAGCTTCACGGATTCGTCGTTGTGCAGACGACTGCACTTTTATGCGCGTGGTCAATACCGTGCCCATTGGCGACTCGCAGGTCGTGTCGCTGGACGCCATTGAGAGCCTGGTTGCTCCATATGGGTCTACTCTGGTGGAAAAGTTCTTCGAACACGTCCACCCGTCCTTCCCCATCTTGATGGAGGATGCTTTTCGTCAATCCTACCGGGAGCGGAGGCACCTGTCACCACTTCTGCTCGCCGCAGTCTATGTGTTGACTTTGAAATTTGTGGACGTGGGCTCGGGATCGCAAACCGCCCGACGGCCTGATGCCCAGCGATTGGAGAGTGCCGCATTGAAGCTCTTGGTGGACTCACTGCCGTACCCGAGCATCTCCACCATTCAGGCAGGCTTGCTGTTGACTCAGAAATCGACGCTCGCCACAGCCTCCCTGAACGGTCAATTGGTCACGGCCGGCTTCGAGCTTGGACTGCACCAAGACTGCACAACGTGGCGCATGAAGACTTGGGAAAAGGGGTTACGGAAGCGATTGGCTTGGGCCCTCTACATGCAGGACAAATGGTCCTCGCTGGTTCATGGCCGACCATCCCAAATTTTCGCCTTCAATTGGACTGTCAAGGATCTGGTGGAGCAGGACTTCTCAGATGCCTTTGTGTCCGGCACCAATTCGGTTCATGATGACGGCGACGTGGGTCATGGACCACTCCTGTTTTGTCACATGGTGGCTCTCACTACCATTCTGTCGGATATTCTTGACCGATTCTACACGCTCCAGGCAATTGAGGATTTCCGTGCTGCGGGCACCCAACGCACGCGGATCATTCTAGACAAGGCCAAGCCTGCACAGATCCGTCTGAAGGAGTGGTTCTCATCCTTGCCCGCGGCCTTGAAGATGGAATCATCCACCGGCGAGATCGTGGAGACCATTACAGACGAACACGCTCGAAATGGTGCTCTGCATCTGGCCTATTTCGCCACAGAAATTACCCTCCACCGCTGCATCGTCCGGTCCCTAGCCGGTGATGGCGCTGACCCTCACCTCGCACACATCTGCCGGTCGGCGGCCAAGACACGACTGATCTCGGCTATGGACTTTGTCAACCGCCTGCGACCCGCTCATCTGCGTTCCTTTTGGCCCGCCTCTGCGCGCACCAATTTCTCGCTGATCGGATCATTCGGCATGCTGCTACGTGTCACTGCACCTACTCACGAAGAAGCCGAGTTCTACCGCATTCGATTGTGCGAGTACCGCTGGACGCTCAGTGTTTCCCACAAGAATGCCGAATTCATGGGCTTTGCGTTGGAAAGCCTCGACCATGCCACTATGCTTGACAAGCATGTCCCGGCCAAACCAAGTATCGAGGAGTTGATGGCGAATTCTGCCAAGCAACCCTCACGGCCGATGATGCCCTCGGGCAGCTATGACGATGCCATGGGTGGCATTGATATGCATGGTGGAACGGGCGCCAGTTCCTCGGTCATCTCGGGTCTGGCGTCGCCAGCGACAAGCGTCAGCGATATTGACGGCGACGACACACCCATGCAGCCTCTCTAAGAAGGACTCAACCGGAGTTCCTTTTTCCTTACCATGCCAATGAACAGTAGTATGGTCATCTCCTCTATCCACCCCGCGATCTGGGGTCTCGCATCCTAGGATACCTTCCGGGAGACCTTCTCCTCCTCTTTCTCACAAACGGCATTTGTTTGGCGTTCACTGGACTACTTTCCCACGAGATGAAGGCGCTTGATGAAATACCACTTTGCATGCTCGATACCGTTTTTTGTTTTGTTTTTGTCATTTGGTTTTCCGTTCCCACGGCTGGATCTCGCCCATGTGGTTGCTTTGCGTTTCTCCTGGTTCGATCCTTTTCTCTTGCTTTTCTCTCTTTGTTCGGATCAACGGATGAATTGGAACGTTTGGGTTGGTGGTACAAAGTTACCTTGGGAATGATCCTTGGATCTGTTGATCGTTTGGGGGCCACTATACGGAATCACTATTTAAATAGATTGGAACAGCGCAGAGCAGACTTTGAATGATTAATGACTTGACCTTTTCCACTCGTCGATTCTTTGCACTGAGTCGAAATTGGCGCAAAGGGCTGGCATAAGCGCCCTTGCGGTGGACTGAACAATGAGCCTACTTGTGATATGCACATAGCTTGTGGTGCGCCGACAAGGGACTACCGTATCTCTATTCGAGGTCTAAAATGGACGACAGACCTGGAACATGAGACACACGGGCTGTTGCTGGACGCTGTGGAATCGGACCCTCTCTCTGAATTGTCAGAGCTTTCGCCGTATGAACAAAGGCGTTGTGCGCGGTCAATTTTGAAGGAAGATATGCAAGTGGTTCCATTGTTCGGGAATCCAATCTAGAAGAGTAGGAACAATAAATATGTAGAATACAGTGCGCACGAAAGCGGCCCCCAAGTCCCGTCTCATCTATCTGTACATAAGTATGATGCGTCCATGTGTCGATGCATCACCGATACTGGAGCACAAGTCCGAAGATATCACATCGATCAGGCATCACAAGAAGCTCATTATCGAAACGAAACCTCATGGGGCGTGCTTCTTTGGATCTCGGTATCAAATCTTTGTCATCTGCGATATCATGATCATGACCGTGCCTCAATTCTCGATGTATCCTCGCTGTCCTCAACAACGACAGCGCCTTCTTCCAACAATTGCTCGGGCGTCTTCACCCTCACCTCCATCACACGCAAGATCGTGTGACGGTGCTTGCTCCGCACTTGGCGAACATGGCGCTGTCTCCGCTTGGTCTTCTCCTTGATACGCAGCGGCTCCGCCTCGACACCGATCACACGGACACGGCACTCAAACAGACGCTCATCCAGATGTGGCGAGCCCTTCATCGTGAGATCGCGCGAACCAAGCGCGGTTGCCCGATTGAACCGGAGGATATCGCCCGATTTGACCTTGGGCATGAGGAAAGGCAGACGGACGTGGTCGCCCTCCGTCAAGAGATATGGTCGTGCGTGCAGCTCCGCGACGATATAATGGGGCGACTGGCCGACTAGATGCGGTAGACGCGAGAGGAGAGACTTGCTCACTTCAAGCGGGGACTCGAAAGCAGGTGCGACGGGTTGCTTTGCGAGAGGGACATCGGCGCGTGTCTTGGGGGTGGAGGATGGGGAGGAAGGGTCGTACGAGGGGACAGTGGGAGAGTGCTGAACTTCGGGTTGAGAGGTTTGAGCACGCGGGGAGGCGCTCAATGGGGGGTCGGGGTTTGTGGGAGAGGATTGAGACGAGCTCTCTTGTTGCTGTGTTCGAAGTAGGCTTGTTTGGTGGAAGCAAGCTGCTCGTTGCCGAAGGGGAGCCGCGGTGGAGGTTGAGATTGGTGTGAATGACCGGAGATCAGCGGCCAGGCCTCTGAATACTGAGCGGGAAAACATCTTTGACTGAAGACACCTGCTCGCAGTGTGCAGAGCAAATGGCGGGACTGTTGACTGGGGGAGAGACTTCTTTTTATTTCTTCCCTTTGTAGGTAGAGCCAGGTTCCAGTGTAATCGAATCGCCGGGGCTGTTTCTGTCCCGAGAAAATCAATAATTGCGCCTTATGGCCGCCTGGCCATCCGTAACACGTCACGTGTCACTGGCAGTTCAACTGCAGTTTCCACTTTGCACAATTGGCACATAGCGGGCGGCCGATAAGACCGTCACATGATCCGCTATCTTTTGCCGCAGAAACGACTTTTTCGGTAAGCGATTAGATCTTGCAGGTCAACTCCATAAACTTATCGACTAACTATCTATAATCACCTACTCCTAGTCGTTCAACATGGTACGTGTCATTCTTGATAAAATTGGTTGCTTCTTCCCCGGATATATTTGACTGACAAATCTTCCGACCTACAGCCTCAGAACGAGTTCGTGAAAAGCCCTCCCCCCCCTCTCTCTCTCCAGCCTCGAGCTTTCCGACGAGAAATTGCAAGACTGACACGCAACCACACTCTACAGGTATATCGAGCGCTGGCAAAAGCAGCACGGAAAGCGCCTCGATCACGATGAGCGTGTCCGCAAGCGCCAGGCTCGTGAGGGTCACAAGCAATCCTACGATGCTCAGAACCTGCGCGGTCTAAGGGCCAAGCTGTACCAGCAGAAGCGCCACAAGGAGAAGATTCAGATGAAGAAGCGCATCAAGGCCCAGGAAGAAAAGAACGTCAAGTCTTCCGCTCCCGACGAGCCTTCTCAGACCCCTCTGCCCCAATATTTGCTCGACCGATCTCAAGCCACAAATGCAAAGGCCTTGTCCAGTGCTATTAAAGATAAGCGAGCGGAGAAGGCGGCCAAGTTTGCCGTGCCTTTGCCCAAGGTCAAGGGTATCAGTGAGGAGGAGATGTTCAAGGTCGTCAATACCGGCAAGAAGACTCACAAGAAGTCCTGGAAGCGCATGATCACAAAGCCTACTTTCGTTGGTAACGACTTTACCCGTCGTCCCGTGAAGTACGAGCGATTCATTCGTCCTATGGGTCTGCGTTATAAGAAGGCCAATGTTACCCAGTACGTGCTTTCTAATTCGCCAATTCGCTGGACTTTTGTGTCCAAAGGCACTTCGCATTGAGACTTTATCAAACAATGAACGAGTCACTAACCAGTCTTCACGTTTTCTTTTTCATCAGCCCCGAGCTCGGTGTGACAGTTCAGCTGCCAATTCTCTCTGTCAAGAAGAACCCCAACAACCCTCTCTTCACCCAGCTGGGTGTTTTGACCAAGGGTACCATTATCGAGGTCAACGTCTCCGAGTTGGGTCTCGTCACCACCACCGGCAAGGTCGTCTGGGGTAAATGGGCACAGATCACCAACGTGCCCGAAAACGACGGCTGTGTGAACGCGTGAGTACCCTCTCCCTCATTGAGGGAAATTATATCTTTGAACACTTTTCGGGAGACTAACACTCTTGGATTTTAGCGTTCTCCTCGTCTAATCAAACTGCATTGCAACGCCAAAATTACCGCCATTCAACTATACTCTTCTTAGCAGATGAAAGACTATCTGTATTCGATACCACTCATGTTGCGGACAACACTCTGGATTTTTTTCTGTTATCTCTTTTCCCTTTCCAGCGGCTTATCTTTCGTCATTGATAGAGAACCCTGCTGTTCATGTGGCGTTATGGCGCAAATCCTGTTGATATCGATTTACGGAAAAAGTTCCAGCTTCTGCATGATTAAAACTCGCATTCAACTCATTCGACGATTGATTCGACGTACTGTAGTTGAATACCTGAACGATCGCAGTCAAAAGTGACTCGGATATTTTGCGTCTTGAGACACTATCACCCGTGCAGGATGATTGCAGTATACCAAATCCTATAGCTTCATTGAAATACATCGCGGGCATATGAAATGGAATGAGCTGCCGCTGGATTCGAAGGCCATGAAATGCAAATGATTAGAATCGATCGAGTCACATTAATGTACCACATACACCGACAGGGTTAAGTGCATGTCGAATGCTACCTAGCTAATCTAACAAACAGGAATCTGTTCAACACAAAAATGCATGGACGGACTTGTGTGCTCGGTCAGAAAAGTAAACGGGCCTCTCTTGCCACCGCAAATAGACAGACAGGGAGTAATGGATCACGTGTGGAATTTGCAAAGCATCAATGGCGAGGGAACGCAGGATGAAAAGGAAGACAGAATGCAACGGACTCGAATAGATACAAATCAAATCAGCCATCAAATAGCGCTAAAGTGAGCACCCGAGCGCCAGTGGGAGAATAATCGAGAACGACAACACCAACGAACACCGGTCATGACGTCGTGACAATGGAGAAAAGGTATTGGAAACGCATGTGCTGAAAACAAAGGAAATTATCAAAAGGGAGTGACAGAGGGTAATTAGACATTTTCTTCTTCAAGAGCCGCTTTGATTTTTGCAAAGAAGCCCGCTGGCCAGGCAGCAAGCTCTTCTTCCCTTGGTATACCTCTGGCTTTGCAGTGATTGACAACATTGGCCAGGATACGGCCGAGCATATCTTGGGTAACAGGTACAGCGCCCTCCAGCTGTGCGTCCGGATGAAGGAACGGGTCACGAGGACCAAGCATTTCCTCAATGGTCGGGCGCAAAGTCTGATCTCGTTGAAGACATCGCTTCAACGTCTTGATCAACCCAGACGGCACCGGCACACCACCAACACCATGACTGGGAAAGTCAATCGGGATGCGCGGATTCGGAATGGCCATGATTCGCTCATAATACTTGGCAATCTTTCCAAAAGGCGGTTGCCCATATACCATCTTGTAAAGAATGCACCCCAGGCTCCACACGTCGCTGGGTTTGCCCAGCTTCATCATTTTGCCCATACTTGCTGGTAAGCCAAGAGAGGCGTTGGAGTCCACCAAGGCTTCTGGAGACATGTAATTCGGCGTGCCAACTTGCTGCTCGCGATGAACATTGACGGTATTGTCTTGGATCGCATTCGCAATCCCAAAGTCGATCAATTTCAGTCGACCTTGGACCATGAGGAAGTTCGCCGGCTTCAGGTCCGAGTGTACAATGTTGTGTTCATGTACAGCTTGTACACACTCAAGCATTTCTTTCCAGTAAAATCGAGTAAAGTTGATATCAAACACGGCATCTTCAGCATTCAGACGGTAGGTAAGAATCTTTTCCAGATCTGACTCGCCAATTTCCATCAAGACACTGAGACAATGTTTGTCCAAATTGAGCTCCCAGTCAAACAGCCGAACAACACGGTCCACATTCTCGAGTTTTTTCAAGAGATCGATTTCACCTTTGTACCCGGTCAGGGTGACTGGATCCACATCTTCCAAATTGACGCGCTTGAGCGCGAAGATCTTGTAGTTCTCGGCCATAACACGATACACACGCGAGCTGCCGCCTCGACCAATGCAATCCAAGCGAGTGAAATGCTTGTGATTGATGGATACCTGTGTCCGCTTCTTCCTTGCTTGAGATGAAGAAGCACCACCCGTGGCAGTTGCAGTCTCGAGAACTGACATTTTCGGTGGAGGAGGCGCAGGGCGATGTGGGGTGTTGCTGCTTCTGTGGGCAAGGACTTTTCGCGCTGCACTATCCACGGGGGTCTCTGCCGCTGCATCTTTCTTGTCCGTGTCGTATACAACAGAGATTTTCTCGGGTTTGTCTAGTAAACCGAGGCCCTGTGATTTGGCACGCTTGAAGGTTGGCGGAGGTTCATTTTCTTGATCCCTTGCAGAGGGTAATAATGGTGGCAATGACGGTACCTTGTAGACAGGCTGCTCTTTTTCACCCGATGACTTAGAGGATATCTCTGAGGGAACTGGCGTTGACTTGGAATGAGACCCATTGGATTTTGGAGACGCAGACCTTGAGAACAACCACTCTCCGCTGGCTCGACTCGCAGACCTGTCTGAAAGTAGACGCTGCGGCTGTTGATCGTATGCACGTTCTTCTGGGCTGGGGTTGGGATCTGCCCATGACACCTTGGGCGAAGACGCTTTGGTAGAGCTTCGGGGCTGGTAATAATGCTCATCATCGGCTTCTCGTCGCGCCTCGTGCTCCTGGATGATATCCTCGTGCCTCAAATGAACCTCTTCATCATTCTCCTCGCTTTGCCGCCGTAACACTCCCCTGCGCGCTGGACCATTCAAAAAGGTACCCGTCAGCCGACCGACTCGCTTTACTCGGAGGGAACTGTGTGGAGCAGCTTCGTCGCCGGCACGACTGCGTAACACTGATGACGTCCCAAGACGCGATAAATAGTCATCTTCTTGGCGCGCTTTCCAGTCGCCATCTGAACGTTCGCCACTGCCATACTTTTCGCCCGATTGGCGATCTGTTAAGCGTTTTGCAGAAGGCGAGACAGATGATGGAGAGCGGGTGTTGCTTCGCGACGCGTTGATTCGTACGCTTCGCGGTCGCGGCGCGGGTGTGATGAAATCGTTCTGACGGTCGCGCACTTCAGATTCAGCGGCGTGGCTGTTTGCTAGTGGAGAGCCCTCGCGGGAGAATCTGGCTGACGAAGACGAAATTGCGCCGATTCGGACGACTCGCGGGGCCGGGCTTCCATTTGATTGATCATGTGGTGATGAATTTCGAGGCGACTGACTCTGTTGTCGCAGATTGGCTGACGAGCGGCGTTCGTATGAAGAAGAGAGTTGTGGTTGTTGTTGCTGCTGCTGGTATTGATACTGTTTTTGGCCTCTGTGTAGATGAGGAGAGGATCCCAGCCCGTCTCCATCAAGGAGAGCCTTTACTGAGGCGCTGAACTTTGGCTCCGGTACTTCATCATCAGAGCTATCCCCAGTGTAAGTTTTTGAGACCGATGCCTTAGATTCGGCGTACTGCAGCGCTGGCGACACCCGTCTGGACCCGGAACGAGAAACCATGGGCCGGGACATTGGTCGGGCGGATTGTTGATACAAGGCGGAATTGTGGGCAGACGAAAGTGATACCGGAGACGCCATGATGCTTGCAGCCCTACATTGAAGTCGTGTATCAATGCTGGCCTCTGTCGGCCCGAGGGTGTCGTATGTTTGTTGTTATTCACAATTGGGGAAAGTCCAATCATCTCGAGCCCGAGGGTCCATCGCGATTTGTGACGGCGCGCGGCCTATCACGTGATTATCTGTTACTATGGCAACTCTCACAATAATCTTCTCTCGGTCATCGACGACCGAGACTATTCCACGTCATAGCACTGTACAACCACACTGTGCACTTGTGCAGTTCCTGCAGTATCCACCCAGACCAGACGCCTGGAATAGGTAGTACTCAGACTAGAAACTATTTTAAAGGAGCTTAGAATTGCCCATGCGCCAAATACAAGATGCTTCATGCGACAAATTTGTACCTAATGGGCGGCAGTGGTATCTCGAGGCCGCAGCTTCCTTGCTAGTAGCGCTTGCTCTTTACCTGAGATGGTTGAACCAGGAAAATCGTGCTATCAGGTGTTGGGTGACCGACGCGCATCAATTGTATCACGTTAAGAGGAGGTTAAAAAGGCTCTTCAGTCTCAAACGTTCTACCATCTTGGTGGAATGGGACTCACGAGGTTCTACGTAGGTCCCGAGCACGGGCGGTAAGCTCGCACGAGAAGGTTTTGTCGGGATATATAAGTCCACCAGCTGTAGGAACCGATGGAGGGTAGATTGGAATACAAGCCGGGGGCTGCGGCGTGCATTTCTACCGGCGTGCATGGAGCACATTTCTTTTCGAGATGAATATGAGGCGGACTGCAGGGGGTTCAATCGCCTCAGAGCTGCGATTCATTCACATTAATCACGCCCTTGACATCATTCGTGCTATAGCATTCGACAAGATGCTCATTGTTCCGTTCGTTCCACGGGTGGCAGTAACAAGGTCAGATTCTAGCACAGTCGACCCATGCAAAGTTGCTTCTTGCAAGCTTCGTCGGGCTAGACAATTAGGTAATTCTTAGTTAGACGGCTGGAATATTGCGAGATTGATGATACATCGCGCATGGTATCCAGTTTCCAATTTGACCGAAGCTCCACCTCCAAAAGTCCTGTCAATCTCGTCAACACCGAACCAAGCATATCTATCAAGACTCTTCCAACTACCACCTGCAGGACTGGATGGAGTCTGTGCAAATCTGACTACCTAGTATATCGTATCAGAACCGAAAAGTGGTGAATACAGTGTGATACTTTCTTCGGTAGTATCTAGGTAGGTATATCCGTCGACCTATACGAGAACGCTCCGAGTCGAGAATTTTATCTCCATCCATGTCTCTATAAGCTACCTCTATCCGTGATCGAGGGTACATGTAGATTTGAAAGATGACTGAAGCAGTCTCTGCCGGAGAGAATTTCAATGTCAACCTATAAGGTCTTGCGTACACCGCAGTGAATCTCACATCTCAACCCTGGGTCATGGTACAAGAGAGAAGCACCAGGAGCGACGCAGGAGTTACACGGTCTACTATGTAACCTGAGTGCCATGAGGAGGCATTTTTTCGTAGTCATGCGCTTATTCTACAACGCGATTGCTCATAGCCACGCGAGACCTACGCGTGAATTTTCCTTCGTGCCATGCTTTCCTTACCTTTGAAATTATGCAACATTCGAGAAGAAAGCGGTCATCTCTCCAGAAAAGGACCACTGGGCCTGTGAGCCTGTCGCTCGCGCACGTAAATGACCCGAGCTGATCGTCACTTTGGCGAATCGCATGTGAGATATGTAATTCTCAGAGTCCTTATTTGCCTCTAGTCCATCGAAAGTATGACGACTGAGCATAGTGATATGGTGCACTAAGCTCAATGAGGAATCAGAGGTCATGGAAATTCTATTCCCAATCAAATATTCGAGGAACTCAGACATTTGTGACTATTTGTTGACAAACGTGACGACCCTCTGGCTTTGACAACTCGGCACCTCGGTTGTCGATTGTCGAGTGTGAACCTCGTGCCAGCCGATGATGAGACGGAATTCAGAAGGATGAGCAATATTGCCCTGCGCAAAGAAAGCTTCAAACGCCTGGCGAAGCCTTCCACTAATAGCCGACAGCTTGGCAGAGAACCCTCAACTGTCATTGATGAAAACCTGCCGTCGGATCTGAATCATCTTCCGTCGCAGATGTAAACAAACTTTGTGGCACAGATCACGCTGTTCTTTTTTTAGTCTGTAACGAACCACTCCATGGTCCGCACGAACCTATGCGGATCAAACAAGCTTGATGGGGAACAATCTATCTGCGACTACGCACGAACTGCTATATATTCTTGTGGGAATCATGAGATCTGGAGATGTGAGAGTTTGGTACGAGGGACAATTGTGAAACCGCGATCGCTTCAAGATCCCGCCCCTCCCGCGGCGCGCACCGGATCTTGACCATAGCGGTCCCCGATTTGAAAGCGATCGGAATTTTGCGCCCCTCTACAAGTGGATTGTGGCACTGACTTGAGAGACTCTGAATCGCGGATGCATTGTTCTCCTGACCGAGACTGCCTGCAGAGGCTGTCGATGGAGACTGGAGCTCGAGTCGGAAAACCAGCGCGGTGGAGTTACAGAAGCTTAACAAAAAGCCGAGGCTTCACATAGTCATACCCATCGGATGAGCAACATACACATTTTGACGAGCGATGGTGGAAGCGAGCTTGACATGCGTTCATTCCCGATGCCTAGTGAACCGATTTTCCAGCCTCCGCGGCTGGGTCAGTGCATTACTGGATGCTAGCAGACCTGGGCCTGAATGCGATCAAGTATTGTTCGCATCCTACCCAGATTTTGGCGGGGGCATGGTACAGCACTAGTGGCCTCAATTTTGAGAAAAAACACAATCCCTGTAACACTGGACCCTTCAAGGTCGCCAGCACGGTTCCTATGGTGAATCGAATTCGGAGTCAGCCATTGTCTAACTGAAGCCCATTTGTGCACTGTTGCCGACTTTCCACGGCTAATTATCGACTCGTGCACATTCCCGTCTTCTTACGAGATTGATGCTCGGTCGTGATGGTCGTGGTGGACGTGGTGGGCTGGGACCCCAGGTTTGGAGCACGAATGACAGAGCCCGGCGCTTCATCTTCATACACCTCGGCCGATTGAGTCACTCTGATATTGTGCCTCTAAACAATGGTCTTTCTTGGATTGGGTTGACTGAGCGCAAGCCTGCGAGGGTCCAGCTCTTCACTGACAGTACGAAATCTGGCCAAGCGATTGACACCTCGAGATTTGAGTAGTCTACTCTGACGGCGCTTTCATTAATCTAGCCTGATTGAGCAGACAGCCGGGCAAATGCGATCATACTAATTGGTCGTCAAGTCCTTCTCACGATCAAAGCTCCCGATTTGAGTTTTGAGCCGCTAGCCGACACTGAATGTGTTGTATAATGTATTGTGACGCAGAGCGATATTCAGTCTGGCTGATTTTTTTTTTTTTGGCACAGATCAAAAAAAGCAGCGGACAAACTAGCAACGAGCTTTGAAGGTTGAAGAGAAATGTGGACCACGGATGAGTCTGAAGCCTTGAGCTTGGATCTGCTTCCGCATTTGGCGGCGACCCCTTAGCAGTTCTGTAGCAGTGCATTTCAGATCCCGAGATGCAGACTCAAAAAAAAAACCGGCTTCCTATGGCTTTTTGGTAGATCTTCTTGGCTCGGATGATGATGTGGCGAATAGACCCAATTCAGGATAGACGAGACTTCGTGGCCGCACATGTTTCTCTGGGTTGATCACTGAAGACTTTGGACTGGGGGAGGTGGACCGGTCTGTTGTCAAATCGAGCTGGATACTTCGGCTGGGCCAACGGGGCAAAACAGAACCGAGTTTATCCGAACTCAACCTGGCGTCTTCCCAACATTGGAGTCTCCTTTCCTGTCGCCTGAAGGTCTGGCCTTGAGCTAAGACATGACTTGACCGAAGTAAGCGTGGATCCCTGTAAGGATCTGCATTTGGTGCCTGGTGCCTGGCCCGAATCCATGATTTTGGAGGATGCATGGCAAAACAACATCTAAAACTGATACGAACCAATCTGCACTGTACCTACTTGAATTACTGTACTTGCAGTCTGTAAGAGTCGTCTACAATCCGAGAGACTGCCTAGAGAACCTAGTAGTATAAGTCATTGACCAAGCCACGGTCGGTCATGACAGATACTATTGTAAATTCTTAATTTTGAGAACATGGACATCATTGTGCTGACTCACAAGAAACAGGGTCACTGACTACCTAATGTGGTTCTGCAAAAACTCGGACGCTTGAATCTCCCGTCGTATCCGGGAATTGTTTTTGGGAGCTCACGCTAATGGAAGCTGGAAGCAGTTAGTGCCTCCGAAAGAGCACATTTGACTATTGTCAATGAAGTTGCGTTGATGGCCCAACCAGCGTCGGGACGGGTAGGCGAGTGGAACCTGCGGATGGAAATAAGTGACCACATCGTTGACACCCGCTCAAGTGCCATATCAATATTGTACTTATAGTCACTTGTAGTTACCACGACGTGTCTTTTGTTATGGCTGTGGCCAATGAACAGACATGTGAAATAAGTGTGATACAAGGTAGACTCCTTCCTTAGCTTGAGGTACTGCGAATATAGTTCGAACTTCGAAGTAGTACTACTTAGTACTCTCAGTACTCTGTAACTTACCTGAAATATGGTACGAATGTGATTCAAATAGTCAATCGTTCCATTCCTACGAGTGCATGTGACCAAGCTCGGATAGGCCTAGCTTACTTAGCGTAAAGCCTAACCTGATGATGACCGCCTTGGATTGCAGAATCCCGTGTGCTTCCCTAACGGAACTCTCGGCCGCGAGTACGTCCTGCCCGTTGAACCACCCTGAGATCCTCGCAAACCCTGCCTGATTGAGACCCTTGCAACGCATGCAGGAAGGACCCGCCTAGCCGGTCCTCGTGCGTCCTTCCAACGTCAGATGGTAGGTATGTCCTACTGAACTACACCGTCCATCTGGGGCTGGAGTCTCAGCCGTGTGAACGGGAGGCTGCCGTCCGTCTGGAAAACCGAGTTAATTAACTTGGTCGTCAATCATGGTCGATACTCGAGACTGCCCCCTTTCCAACGACGCTGGCAGCTATTACCCGTCACACGGGCTGAGGACTCACTTCAAGACCTTGCACAAGTGATGACTATCTACGTCCCAATTGACATGGCACCAAGCCTGAGTTGGCAATACTATAACATGGTTCCTTCCACAGAGCCAACTCGAGTCTGGCTTATAGCAACATACCAAGCCCTGACAACGGTCTCGTCCAGTCGATGACTGTGAGGGGCGTGCCCCAAAATCAGTGTTCAGTAGACAACTTGGCAAATGCTACGATGTGCTCTTCTCCACTTGGAGCCTCGGAGCAAGTCGTGGATCAGCTGCCCGGTAGTTGTCCGCCACCATTTGCGACTCCCAATTCTCAGGCGACGAGAAAGGGGGTAGCATAAGGTCAAGAGCTGAAAGCTGGACGTGGTGCTCACCCTAGTGCGTTAGCGGCCGCTCCGTTGTGGATCAAAGTTATGGGTGGAGACCTGTGGAGTGCTTGTGAAACTGATAGCTCTATTATTGAGGGCAGAGTCCTTTTCCCCCCGTCGAGGCCGGGGTAGCTCGTTGTTGGAGACTTGACGATTTGCACAGGGCTTGAATAGCCCTCTCCACTGAGAAAATGGCTCTCCCGGTCTCCACTCCATCGTGTGCTCCATGGGCCTTGTTGCAGGGAGCCACAAGGGGTAGCCAAAGAAGAAAAGTGGAGCGAACGGGACTAGTCGTCTCAGAGTGTGCTATTCTTTGCTACGGAGTCGAAGATGGAGTCGAGAGAGGCAATACGCTACTCATGGCACCTGGCGAGCATCCGTTCCCCGCTAGTCAAGGTTGCTGGATGCTCATGGAGGTATATAAGGATCGAAGATCTTCGCCTTTGTACGAGATTCTCATTCACTTTCGTCTTCATCTTTCTGTCTTTTATTGCTCCACAAGAACGGCGACTGGTCCGTCTTGCACTGTCTTTTTCCATCTAATCTTTCCTTGTCTTTTTTCCAATCGCTCTCGTTGTCAGGGACTCTCGACTCCCAACTCATTTACTCATTTCCTACTTGATCATTCAGCTATTTTGGCTATACACTCACTACCCTCTCACCACTTTCCGATAATCTCGAATCCCGAACCAAACCGATTGACCGTCCATTTCAAGGCTTAAAACAATCATGCGTTCCCACATTCTCTTCCTTGCCGCTCTGGCAAGCCATGTTCTTGCTTATCCCACCGAAGTCGCCGTTGATCGTCGCACTTTCGGTCTCCTGTCCAATATTCTGGGCCATGCCGCCACAGATGTTGTCGGTCTGGTCGATGCGGTCCTCGGCGGAGGTGTCCACGGATCTGCGTCTGCCTCTGTCTCCATCCTGGGTGGTCTCAGCGCCAACGGTGCCGCCGCCCTCGGAGGCAGTGCCCTTGGATGCTCTTCTGCCAAGATCGACGCCGGAGCTCGTGCTGATCTCAAGGTGTGGCTTGCTGGTCAAGCCCACATTACCGGTCATCTCAAGACCTCCCTTCTGGCATGGTGCGAGGGCCACGGCTCTCTGACCCTCGACGCCGATGTCATGGCTGCTTTGGCAGTCTTCGTTCCTACTTGTGCGGACATTGCCGCCAAGAGTCACATCTATGTCACCGTCGATGGTATTTTCCCCTCCGCGCAATTGTCTTCGACTCTTGTCCTCGACGCCTCCCTGCAGGCTTCTCTATCCGCCTTCCTTTCCGCCCACGCTCAAGCGGGTCTCCACGCTCACGTCTCCGCCGGTCTCAGCGTTTGCGCGGCCGGTGGTGTTATGGGCAGTTTGGACGCCGATATCAAGGGTACTCTCCTTGGTTGGTTGAACGGGTCCGACTGTCCTCTTGAGGCTAATCTGCGCGCCTCTGTTTTGGGCTGGTGCAACGGTAGCCACGCCGACGGTCTGGTCGAGATTGGTGCCATTGCCGATACCGCCCTTTCTGCTGTTTCCGTTGGTGCATCCGTTGGCGCCTCCGTTGACATTCACGGTGCCCTGTCCGTTCACGCCCAGGCTTCTCTCGCCGCTTTCCTGAGTGGCCAAGCTGCCGCCGGTATCGATGCTGGTCTTCTCGTTGGTCTGCAAGCCTGTGCTGGTGGCAAGCTTGCCGCTTCGCTCGATCTCGAGGCTCGTGCTGCCCTTGCTGCCTGGATCTCGGGCTCCAGCTGCTCCCTTGGTGTCGAGCTCAAGGCCGTCGTCTTCCTCTGGCTGTCTGCCGCCACCTCGGCTGACGTCTCCGTTGGCCTTGTTGGCGGTCTCGCTACCGACATTTCTGCCTTCCTTCGCGGTGACATCTTCGGATCTCTCAGCATTGACCTTCGCGGTGCCCTCGGTCTCCTTGCTGGAGGCGAGAGCATGGTTGGTCTGTCCTGGGGTGCTCGCTCTGAGCTCGCCGGTTTCCTCGGTGGCTGCACTGGTCTTGACATCGACTCCTCCATCCAGCTGATCATCTCCCAGTGGTTCACCGGCTGCAGCATTCCCGGTGCTCCTGCTCCTAAGCCCCTCCCCACCGGTGCCGATGCTCTCGGAACCAAGCCTTCTGGCTCTATTTCTGCTAGCGGTGTTCCCACTGGTTCCATGCCCACTGACTCCAAGCCCACTGACTCCAAGCCCACTGACTCCAAGCCCACTGGTTCCAAGCCCACTGACTCCAAGCCCACTGGTTCCAAGCCCACTGACTCCAAGCCCACTGACTCCAAGCCCACTGACTCCAAGCCCACTGGCTCCAAGCCCACCGGCTTAGTTCCCTCTGGAACTGCTTCTGTGCCCGCTTCCTCTGCTTCCTCTCCCACTGGTCCTGCTGGTGGCGCTAGCGGCAACGGCGGTGCTTCTTCCTCCGGCTCTGCTTCTGGCTCTGCCTCCGGCTCTACCTCCGGCTCTGGCAACGGCTCTGCCTCTGGCTCTGCTTCTGGCAACGGCTCTACCTCTGGCTCTGGCAACGGCTCTGGCTCTGGCAACGGCTCTGGCTCTGGCAACGGCTCTGCTTCTGGCAACGGCTCTACCTCTGGCTCTGGCAACGGCTCTGCCTCTGGCAACGGCTCTACCTCTGGCTCTGCTTCTGGCTCTGCCTCTGGCAACGGCTCTGTCTCTGGTAACGGCTCTTCCTCTGGCTCTGCCTCTGGCAACGGCTCTGGCTCCTCCTGCGAGGTATCTGGCTCTGGCTCTGATTCTGGCTCTGGTGTCTCTGCTACCGGTAGCTCCGGCTCTGGCTCCACCACTGGCAACGGCTCTGCTTCTGGCTCTGCCTCTGGCAACGGCTCTACCTCCGGCTCTGGCAACGGCTCTGCCTCTGGCTCTGCTTCTGGCAACGGCTCTACCTCCGGCTCTGGCAACGGCTCTGCTTCTGGCAACGGCTCTGCCTCTGGTTCTGCTTCTGGCAACGGCTCTGCTTCTACCTCCGGCTCTGGCAACGGCTCTGCCTCTGGCTCTGCTTCTGGCAACGGCTCTGCTTCTGGCTCTGCCTCTGGCAACGGCTCTACCTCCGGCTCTGGCAACGGCTCTGCCTCTGGCTCTGCTTCTGGCAACGGCTCTACCTCCGGCTCTGGCAACGGCTCTGCTTCTGGCTCTGCCTCTGGCAACGGCTCTACCTCCGGCTCTGGCAACGGCTCTGCTTCTGGCTCCGACTCTGGTGTCTCTGCGCACGGCAGCTCTGGCTCCGCCTCTGCTTCTGACAACGGTTCTGCCTCCGGCTCCGACTCTGGTGTCTCTGCGCACAGCAGCTCTGGCTCCGCCTCTGCTTCCATGCCTGCTGGCGGCAATGTTGTTCCCACCGCCACCGGCGCTGGCTCCGTCCCGACTGCCATGTCCACCTCTTGGGCTACTACCTGGACTGTTGGTGGTGGTGCCCCTGCCCCCACTGCTGCCCCTGTTCCCACAGGCGCCAGCGGCTCTTTCCAAGGCGAGGCCAAGACCGTCACCGTCTACCAGACCGTTTGCGGTTGCGAGTAAGCGGTTGAATGCTCTGTCAATCCACGCGAACAGAAACGTATATACCCGCATTTTCTCCCTTCGCTCCTGTTTTTGCACATCTCCTCACGCCAAGATGATTTTTGACAGCTCTCACGTTGGGATTGTTTGAAAGATAAACCAACGTGCTTGATTCTCCAAATACCATCTCTTTTGCCTCTCACTCTTTGCCAATAGCGTTGCTTCAGATGACTCTCTTTTTCCTTGCTCTCTTGTGGATCTTTAATTATAATATTAATCTACTATAGAGGATACAAACAATTTTGCTTTCTAAATTTGTTCATCTATCTCCTCAGCTTAAACGTAGAATTAAAACCAGAGTAAGCTTGCGGCCTAGCACCACTTCTCAAACCTTAAACATCAGGAGGACAAACACGACTACTGAAGGCAGTCTACTTGGCCAAGCCTTGCTAGCGCTTTTGGTCTAAGTTGTCGCTTGTTGCTTTCAGAATGCCTCACGTAAAGGCATCCTGAGGACTGACATCATGAAATCTGGTGTCAGTAAACAATCGGCAGTCTTCCCGGCACTATGGGCTTTCTCGACAGATGAGCTGATATTGAGAGTCAAGGAGCCCCGCTACTTTGCTTTGTGTGGTGCTCTGATCTGACGTGATGATGACTTATTGGGGATGTACTGACCAGTAGGAGATTTACTTGTGGAAATGTACGACACGCGAGAGAATGCGAGGGACCATTCACCGAAAAGTGTCGAGAAAAACAAATAATGCACTGTTAGAAGAATAAAAGGTCAACTCATGATTTGATTTTCTGGGTGACTGTGGATAGATATGAAGCACATCACCCTGAGGCTAGACTGTTGGGATGGGTATCAAAGCAAAAGACAATGCAGATTACGATGAGGTGACAAGAGATTTGTTTTTCCAGAAATATGCCGATTCCATTGAACAGGAGATGGTTGACGGAGATCGGTGTCTGTCTGTCAATACATTGTCAGTCTCTTTCCAATGACTCCAGATCGATCCCTGTGAACTACCACCCAAGGGCACACTCGACGGCAGGTATAGCAAACCCGCGCCATCTGCACCCATATCTCCCAACGTTCTGACTGGACCCTGAGCCTTGTGACGAGCTTTGCTGTGACTGCTGAATGCATCGAGGCCTTGAAAACGCTTTCAATTGAATGCAGTGAACTTATCTGCTGTTGCCCGAAATTCGATGATCGTAGCCATGGATGGCTGCCCTATGGCTGCAACTGTTTCCTGGGCGCCATCAGAATCGATTGCCTTTGGTCCGCGCCTACCACTGCACCAAGCGAGAGATTATGCCATTTCCCCCAGTCATGAATGTGAGGTGCAGTGTGAGTATCGGAAGTCAGGTAGTAGCCGGCTTCTACCGAGGAAAGGCCCAACACTAGGAGTCTTTTCCCAATGGCCAGGGAGGCTAGAACTGAAAGCATTCCAGTGAACGCAATATTGAAGTGAACAGGGAGAGAGCTCTACTTCCGGTAGCCTCCGGGCGAACTAGAAGGAGATCGACGCCGTTCAGCTCGGTCGTTGTACTCTGGACTGGAGGACCGGCTGTATGAGCGACGGCGGTGCCTGCGAGGAGATGGAGAAGACACACGGCGAGGCGAAGATGAACGGGTTGGACGACGGTGACGGCGAGGCGATCGAGACCGTGATCGAGACCGAGACCGATGCGGAGGAGTGAGATCGGCTCGATGCAAACGACGCGGTGAACGAGAAGGAGAGCGAGCGCGTGGAGGAGTGTAATTTGACCGACGAGATCGACGAGGAGAGCGAGAACGAGAAGGAGAGCGAGCGCGCGGAGGTGTGAGCTCTGGCCGACGAGGGCGACGAGATCGGGAATCGGAACGGTCATGAGTCGGAGTTCGATCTGGCCGAGCAGACCCACGGCGAGGGGAGGAGTCACGATATCGTTGTCTGGGGTATTGACCAGCAGGCGAGCGAGAGCGCCGTCTATCATTGCGTGGCCTACCCCAACCTCTTTCTCCTCTGTCACCTCGGTCTGAGCGTTCCCGCCGTCTCACATCGTTCAGCTCGCGCTCGCGGATGCGCTCCTCTTCTCTTTCTCGTCGAGCGGCTTCGGCAGCTCTTTCAGCCTCAAGCTATTTCAAGAGAACTGGTCAGCGACAACGAACATTCGACCAGAGATCAGAGCGAGCTAGTAAGTACCTTCTCTTGCATCAGTTCCTGCTTTTTGGCTTCTAAGAGCTCCTTCGGCACACCCTGGGGGTTTTCCTGACCACTCAAACAGAGAGACCACAGCTCTTTGCAGAATTTGGGCGTGTCTTTGTCGAGAAATCCGGTGAGTTGGATTTGGAGCGACTTTATATCCGGCTGATTAAGGAATTTGGCTGATTAGCGCGTTGTGGCACAGAACCAAGCTAAGTCGTGTGTCGCACGACGTTTGATGGACAGACAGCATATCACATACATAGCGAGTACCCTCCAAAAGATTGAAGCACAGTTCGATAACAACATCATCCTCATTACCCAGAATATCGGAGATACGCTTGGCTATCCACCTGCAGTTGCTGTCAGACCCTTGTATCCGTGAGGGAAGCTGAATCCGGGGTAAAGACTCACTTCTTCATAACCTCGATGTTCACTTTCGTCATGTCCACCTTCCGGCTGAACTCAGGGGGGAATTTGGTCTTCTTCAAGAGCTTGGAGTCGACGGGAGTCGCCATTTTCAAAGGCCGGCAACGTTATTAAAAAGCGTGGAGACGAACGCGTCTTGAGAATGAGGATGCTGGGAGAAGAGGATACGGCAGATAGGAAGTAATTCCGCCGAGCGGTCAAAGAATTGCCGTGTTTTGCTGTCTTGTTGAAGGCGGTAGAGAAATTCGAGGAATGACATCAGATGATCAGACAGCCAGGCGGCCTCCAGCTGCTGGTCTGGTGAACAGCACGAAGACAAGTCCATGACTTCATATGATAACACAGATTATTGCACAAAATATGTCATGACGACTAGGAGGCTAGTAATATGGACGAGACAAGGTCCAGGACTCCAACACATCCGCCCGGAGAAGGCTTTGCGATTCAAATCGTGTGAGGAAGTGAGGGACGGGACGTCCCGAGGTAGTTGTCCAACGGACCATAATTCGGCATGATGGCCGTATGTTGCGTAGCACTCGCAAGAACAGACCAGTTTAAGGATACCGTGTTGTCACTATAGGCTAATGTGACTGTACCTGTCCAATATGTCTGCGCTCCCAATTTGACAAGATATTCCAGATAGCAATAGTGCCAATCATCCCTAATCGAATCGTCGACATCCCAGAATACACACAGAGATGTGAACAGGCATCATGGTAACTTGAGCAAAGTCAAGAAACCTGTGACCATCAAGAGTCGAAGAACAAGGAGAGAGCCTTTAGCAATCTTGCAAGTCTCAGGACAATCCATTGACGAAGCAGCGACTTTTCTCTTCCTTTGAAATGCGTATTCACTCTGCACTTACAGTTGATAAGAATTCCCGTGGCATCTATACATCGGTAGCGCCAGGACTGTCGAGGGCACTGTCGTCATCTCCACGTATATGATATTTTCAGATCAAAAGCAAACAGATAGGTAGGTGATTGAAACTGAGCATGGAAACAGTGTGCTCTAATACGGCCCCATCCCAACCTTAAGGGACAGTCATATAGCGCCACAGCGTCGCCTCCGCATTAGCGAGCGCAATAGTATGTCTTTCCCCACTTCGCATTCTGAGATTCTCGATTTTTTCGCCTGTAGAAGAATGAAGTCAGGAGCTTCAGACATGGCGGATACTTCGAAAATCGCAGTTCAGCCGGTGGTCCAACGTGGCACTCAAGCCGGAAATGGCGACGACTCTGGGCATGAAGCACCAGGAACTTCCAGACTCAAATTCTGGAGCCGAAAGAGGCAGGATTTCTTCAATAAGCTTATGGAAAATCAAGAGATGAGTGAACTAATGTCAATATTATACTTAGGTTCTCCGGAGCGGTGCTCTTCAACCTCGCAACTTTTCTTCTCCCGGCTCTGTACAGTACCCTCAGCAAGCTCTGGGTTGCGAACATCGATTCGAGCCTAGTAGTGTTGACGGATATCTACACCTACATTGGCATTATCTCGGAGGTCTTGAACGAGGCATTTCCCAGATCGGCCTGGAACGTGATCGGCGACTCAAACACGCGATCCATGAATGCACGCTTGCACTTGGCCTATACGCTAATCATGATTACAACGACTCAAGGGCTCATCTTAATGATCATCTTTCTTACTTACCCGCAAAGTTTAGCGTCTGCGTTTGTGCCAGAAAAAGTCAGAGGAACATCTATTGCTTATGTGCGTTTGTCAGTGGTTCAATTCTTGAGTTCGGCCGCTGAAGCAGCTTTGTCGTCCTCAACTCGAGCCCTCGATGACCCAGACGTGCCGTTGGTAATCAGCTCAGCCAAGTTCGTCCTCAACATTATACTCGACCTACTCCTGGTGTCAAACTTTCATGTTCAACAGTCAGAGCCCACTTTGATCACCCAAGGTACGGTGAGAGTGGTATGTGATATGACATCTGTTACTGCCGGCCTGCTCTACTTTTATTACAAAGTGGTACGCAAAGCGCAAAGAGAAGGTGATGCACGAGCCCAGATGGTGCCAAGTTGGGTGGCATTCATGACGCTTCTGAGACCCAGTGTGTATACATTTACGGAGTCTGCAATTCGGAATGCAATCTACCTTTGGCTGGTGAATCGGATCGTGCAAATGGGCCAGGTTTATGCGACTGCTTGGGGGGTCTTCAACACTATCCGTTGGGGCTTGGTCATGGTACCTGTCCAAGCATTGGAATCATCCACACTTGTCTTTGTGGGCCACGCCTGGGGCGCCTTTCGTGCAGCATCAGATATTGGAATGTACCCCAGGGCTTCTCGAAAAGAAGTTCTCAGTAAGTCTGTCTGTCTGGACATTGCTTTCGAATGATGAATGCGCCATCTTAACAATATTTGGTAGCCATTATCCGACCGGCCTTAGTCTCGTGTGCAGTAGCTCTGATATTCGAGACTGTCATCTGCATCGCTCTTTCGGTACATGGTATCAAGGGTTTCGCCCACTACTTGTCCAAGTCGGACGAAGTTGCGACAGTCACTCAGCAGATGTGGAGAGTAAGTAACCTTGAATGGAGGTCAAAGATGTTCGAGATCTAATCTGTTTGAGCAGGCTATCGACTGGACCTACATTTTCTACGCTGTCAATTATCAGCTGGCAGCCATTCTCTTAGCGGCTTCCCCTCGTTGGTACTTGTACCAAGCCTTGGGGTCTAATTTCCTGTGGATGCTTCCTTGGGCTATAGTGATGACTACCCGTGCTTTATCCAAGACCGAGGCATGGCTTTACTACGCCATAATCTTTGGTGGAGCCATGGTGTTTGATTTTTTCAATGTTGCTATCGTGCTGTGTGTCTGGCTGTGGAGGGTTTCGAGAGGCAAAGTCAGGGTTTGATGGGCCTATCATTCACGGATGCCCATGGTAGAAGTTCTCCTACCAGAGCACGCATCACTTAACAGTTGGTTTGCCTGGAAGGAACATGATGTTTTGTCTATTGTGGCTCATCGTATCTTACTAAGTTGTGGTCCTATCTGTGTCTCCCACGCAAAACAACAATGAACTATTTAGAGAGCAGGTGCTCCACGCAAGCATTGAAAAGCAACGGCGATACATGAGCCATCCACCGCTGTGGGCTTTTGCGTGTCGTCAATAACTCGGAGAACAACATCAACTTTGAAAGATCGAGGGAATGATATGCTAGTATGTGCAGTGACGGTAGTGCAGATCAATGCGTCATGCAGGAGCAAAGAAGCCGCGCACGAAAAGTGCCGTGACCTAGCAGGTCTGGCTGTGCTGGTTTTGTTTTGGCGACACTGGATTCAACATTCTCTCTGATGCAGGGCGCCCAGCCCAGCAACCTGACAAATGAGACAGATGCTCGGGCTCTTATTTAGCATGCGATCAATGTGAGGCCATATTACGTGCAGGCCGTCGCCGAGAATTGCGTTCGCAGTGCAGAAACACTCAAAGGGATGAAATGTCATTGCCAGGTTTCACAGAGGTCACGTAAGGGACAGAGCACATCTTACTGACCTGATAGGGTGGATTGGCTAGTAGACCGTGCTGAAGTGATGCAAGATAAAGCACTCAGAGATCAACAGGAATTGCTTTTTCTCGGTCGCAATCACCTTGCATGATTGTCTCAGCTGCTACTACGTGAGTCGAGGGCTCGTCCGGAGCCATTTCTACCACAGTCATTTTCCATTTCCCAACATGCTCGCCTTCTCTTTTCTTCACCTCCCAATTCTTGAATGATATAATGGGGAAGACCAAAGATTGGTTAGATCGCGAATATGGATCGATATCCCCTATCTCTGATCCACAGACCATCCATTTTTACACTGGCAATGACGAGGAGAATCAGCGACCCTTGATGCTAGAAGTATCTGCAGCAGAAGAAGCCGACAAGTTAGAGGCCAGATTCCTACTGCTTTGGTTCTTTTCGGCAGTGTGTTTTGTGATCACGGGTATCTTTGTTCTGGCTCTGTTGACGGCGCGCCTGTCAAAGGACACCAAGGAGTCCTAGACGGGAACAGTCCGCTTGGAATTTCACGATACGAACAACTTAGGTTGGCATCAGGTAAGCCTCTATACTTTGACCAAATCTGTGAGATGTCACACTGACTTTGTCCAGGCGATTTAGTCACGTCTGTGAAACTTGCCCGATACAGGCACAGGGGACATCGATTCTCGAAGCGCCGATGCTGATATCGGAGTGCGGCATTCGCTGATCCAGAGATATCGCCAAACAGAGACGTAGGCCACTTCTAGCCAAGGGAAGCTGAAGTCCTAGTAGTCCACATCGCAGACATGGCGCTCCATACCAGCAAGGTAGTAAGCCCTACTTCGCTCATGGGCGTGACAGCCGAGGTGCAGACCATGGAGGTCGGTATCAACACCCGTGTTCCAAGTCACGCATCCGCACAGAGATCACTCTATTATTTCGAATACGTACCCCTGAGACCTGGTCATGTTACAGCTCTAGCTCGTCAGTGATGACTAGTTTCGCGCACACTTTGTCACTGCGCGCGCGAAGGGCGGAGATTCATCATCCCATGTACTGGTCGAAGGCGTTCATGTGGAAAATCCGACTGACAGGGTCCGCCAGGTAGCATTTCGTGGATCGAAGTAAATTCCATGCTGAACTCGATTTCTATCCATAACCTGAACTCGTATCGCAAGCTAACTTCCACAAGGAAGTCAATGCCCGAGGATTTGTAATGCCATTCGTGAATCTGTTATGGGGGGGGGGGTCGTGCCGAGAACCCAAAGAGCAACCATTCGATCAATAGAGGTGTCAGGCTAAAAGGATGTGTAACCCATGTAGTTGAGTCACGATCCCACTGCCGATCGCTGCAAATGACCTCTTTGCTCTTCTCAAGAAAAGTTCAAGATCACTGACCTCGGTGTACTCTCAAGGACCGCTCGGCTATTCCAGGAAATTTATGGGTTTATATTGAGACTGAATGAGCGCAGACTCTTTGGTGCCCCAACCTAGCGCTCATGGAGAGACAGACAAGACCTGTCGAGGGTAAGGTGACACGGTAATGTACCGGGCAGACGACGAAGAACCTTAAAATCCGTGGGTGAGTTTTCCGGGCAAAACAAGTCCTCACAGATCACATGAGTGTCATCAGTGCAAAGTCACGTAGCAAGGCAAATTAGTGTCATTGATACATCATGGGTAATTGGCCCGTATAGCCGGGATACTAGTATGGTCACTTCTAAACAACAGTACACGACGCGAGCTCCGGTTTGTGCATGGTTGACGGGCTGTCGTCCGTAGACCAGATCGTGATCGGTATAAATAGACAGACCGTCCCCGGCGTCAGTCAGGCTCACATATCGAAGGTGAGTTGCACGATCAAGAGCTCATTGATAAAGAGACCACCAGAGAGGGCCAATGTTCCCGGTTCATAAGCCACGTCGCTAGCAAAAGCAAAAAAAAGAATCGCAAAGCCCTTCCACTTCGTGTGTCACTTCGCCTGGAGCATTACTTTGACCCAGCCGAGACATAAAGCAGCAGCTACCCGATATGTCAAGAGCCATTCTTTTCCTCACAAACAGTGAGCTTGGGCAGTGCAATGTTGCGCTAGCGGTGGCCGAGGAATTCCTCAGTCGCGGGGAATTTATCGTTCATTTCGGGTCCTTCCAACAATTAGCCCCGCTTGTTAATGATATGAACGAACGCCTTCATTGCGGACACACTGCTCAATTTCATGAGATTCCCGGTCCTTCGATGGAGGATCTTTCAATTCGTTGTCACATTGAGAACATTTCCCACCGACCGGGCGTGAGAGGGACAATACAAGGCTACCGGAAGATCATCAGAATGATGCAGCACTGGACGCAGTCAGAATACTTCAAAGCGTTTAGAACCTGTGTTGCGCTTATCGAAGAGCTGCGTCCGAAAATCGTGGTGACAGACCCGATTTTTCAGCCAGGTCTTGAGGCATGCCAAACGACTGCAGTTCGAATGGCTGTACTGTGGCCAGTCCCTTTGAAAGATGTGGTCATTGGCATTCAGCCCATCAGCGCCATTCTTGGCAAGTATCCGGTGTACGTGTGAGTTTCGCGGTTCGAGTGACAATACGATGCTGATTTCTCGAAAGAACAGGTTCTGGTTTCCCATTTCCGATACCCTGGAGCCTCGTGCTTTCAAACGCGTTCCTGATATTTCGTGCGATCTTGATGATCGCCATGGCAAGGCCCAAGCCGGATGTCTCTTTGGACGGCAGACGACCAGAAGGGAAAGGCGCATTTCCACTTATCCAAGCCTACTCCAAGAGGTCCCTGAATCTCACGCCCGCGTTCAAGGAACTAGACTTTCCGCTGGTGATTCCAGATAATGTTGTCTCGTGTGGCCCGATTGTCCGCGGGCATTTACCGCTCTCGGTGGCAGATGCTCAGATTGATGCCTGGCTCACAAAGCCAACAATTTTGATCAGTCTGGGGTCGCACGCGCCACTGACAGAAAGCAATGCTCTTCAAACAGCAAAGGGTATTGTAGCTCTCACGACCCAGATGCCGGATCTCAAAATCCTCTGGAAGCTGAAGTTTGACTGGCAGAATTCGAAAGAGTTCAATGAAGTCCTAGGGAAGGATATAAAGGAAGATAGGATCAGGATAGTTCCATGGATTCAAGCCGACATCATGTCTGTCCTGGATTCTGACCGGATTGTCGCGTTTGTTCACCACGGCGGGGGAAACTCATTTTTCGAAGCATGCAAGTAAGTCTTGATCAAGTGCGCAAACTACACATTAGAGCTTACCTGACAGCTTCTAGGGTCGGTGTTCCCCAAGTCATATTGCCTCAATGGTTCGACACTTACGATTGCGCAACTCGAGTCGAATGGATTGGGATCGGAGCTCATGGCAGCCGAGCCGTAGCTCCTGATATTGAAGCAGAGCAATTTTCAAAAGCTCTTCGCCGAGTCCTGACAGACGAGGACCTGAAGTGTCGTGCCAGAGCTGTTGGCGATCTTTGTCGGGAGGAAGGACGCGTCAATGCCTATCATCAGATCCTCGAATTCTGCACAAAGTCCGAATCAGATTAAGATACAGACAGAAGTGGCTGCAAGCTACCAAGTAGTGGTACGGAGGGATCAGAGTGAATTAAGAGGAGCATGATAGCCTGATCGAGCGCGGACGTGTGGGAGACAAGGGGCCAGGGGCCTCCATGGGCCTTTCATTTCTATATTGGGTCGCTGCAATCCGGCGCGACTGCGCACCTCCACGGTTGACCGCTGTCATGTGATTCAACAAGAATATAGGAACAATCATCTCCATCGGGCATTGTTTTCACGACACCTCTCTCAGAACCCGTTCAACGGCTTCTCTGGCTTGTTGTAGCTCATGGTCAACCTCGCCATTAGCGTGCCGTGACTTGACCTCGTAGTGCAGGGACACCAGTTCCTTGGCCCTTTGCAGAGCTCCGAGTTTAGAGTCTTGATGACCTGCGGTCACAGATTGATTCCTTTCAGCTCGCGTATCTTCAGAAGCCACCGTGACAAGAGCGAGGGCCTCCGTGTGTCCCTGATACGAATCAGCGCACGTGGATCTTCCTCACACCGACTTGAAACAGAGTGCCCCGGAGTCATGGACAAAACTTACACAAGCACGCAGCGAGGTAATATCGGATAAAATTTCTGCCACTTGCATCGAGAATGAGGTTGAATAGTTCGTGTTAATGCAGGTCTTTGCCAGTTGAACGAGGATGGAACTGGGTCCTCCGAAGGGTGGAAGGCTGCAAGGTGAGTGAGTGGGGCGCCAGAAGTGAACGCTACTAGTTGGCTTGGAGCGAAATTGTCTTGGCATTTGTGCCGTCACTGAAGTCACTGAACCGTTCTCGACATCATGGATGGACAAGTCCTCATGTTCCTTCGTGGTTAGGAGCAAGGTTGAGACCCACATCCAGATTCCAGTAAAGCAATCACCTGAATCAGCGAATATTAGGCCGAAACAAGAGACTAAGGATAAAGCTCCTTCACATTGGCCAGTCTTGAGTCTTGACTACACTATCCGTGTGAAACGCTGAACAAATGGATTCTGGTGAACTGGTACCTCTGATAGAAGAACAACGCGCGGTAATTGTCCAGTAGAGTGCCAATTTGCATGAAGAATGGAAAATCAATAGGGTATCATGAGAAAGTGGACCGTTGAAAAGAGAATACAAGACAGGAAACCAAAAGAAGAAGACAGGGAAGCGAACGATGGAAATCAAAAAGAGAAAGATAATGAAACAAGTAATTGAAGACCGGACCATAGAGATGCTATGAATATCCCAAACCCTCTTTCAATCCCGCCAAGTCATTGTTCCTGCAGGGCGTCTTCCGCGGTGTCTCCACGGCCCGTAACATTTGAACAGTTGCTGAAGTCGTCCTGTATGATCCAGACAACTGGTGAAAGGGCCAGAGCCAAAGACTTTGACAATGAGGCTGTGATCCTGACAAGATGAGACGGGACATGATAATGTTCTTATGTAAGTTGACATATTAGAGTCGGTATTTTGACTCAGTCTCTCGATCCCTTATGTTCAGGAGGAGCCTTGAATCGGACGACGGGTTCGAAGCCTCATGTGGCACGGAGTTGCTAAAGCAAAGTCTTCAGCGGGCGAGTGGGTGGTCTTGCGGCGACGTGTGATAGATCGCTCTTCACTGCTCTTGGGCTGACTGCTCTGATCAGGCCAAGTCTTCCTCGGTGATGGGAGGTAAGGTCACAACACGGTACTTGCAGGTGCCATCGGGTCTGAAGAAGGCACCGTTGGCGGTGATCTGATCACGAGCAATGTGCTGTTGGTTCGTGTATTGCTCCTCCATGAGGATCGACAGCACTTCGTGAGCGAGCCAGGTCCAATACCAGCCGGTCTTTCCGAGGGCGCAAGTGAGACGGCGCCGGAGCAGGTGGTCGTCAAGACCCGCCAGGAATTCGTGAATGAACTTCACGTCATCGGCTTGCCGAAGGCGGATCTGGTAACGGCGGAAAGCGCAGACGGCGTCGAAGTACCTCTGGAGTGATCGTCCATTCTGGCGCATGACCGCATCGAGCTTCAGGGCGAGAGCAGAGCCAGCCTCCGAGGATGAAAGTTGACCATCTCCGGGGTGGCTGTTGAAGGCCAGGGCAGGGCGTGGAATGCCACCGAGAAGCCCATCTTGAGAGCCGGAGGATGAGCCGGAGGATGAGCCGGAGGAAGGTGACCGGGAGAGACTATCTGAGCCGCCGCTGAGGGAGGATGAAAGTGAAGCTGCGCCTTCACTTACTTCACCTCCCGAGCAGATCCCTGGGAGATTGTGCAGGGTCTCAAGCTGAGCGATGCAGCTGATGAGAGCTTCATGGCCAAACCAGAAAACTGTGTCGCCCTCGTAGAGAGGGGCCAGGGTCCGAAGAAGCAGACCGCGAAGGTGACGAAGGCGGTGCTCCCCACCGCCGGGGACATCAGCCATGGCTGTCAACATTGAGGCGATGATGACAATAAGGTTGTTCAGAACCTTTGAGAGGACCGCATTGAGTAGGCCACTCTTCTTGAGCTGGTCTTTGATGCCCAGCAGGCGGGTGCTCAGGATGTCATTTTGGCGACGAAATTCGTACGACCAGAGAAGAGAGAGGGGATATTGCCAGGAGGCAAAGGAGGAACGCGTCTTTCCAGTGTCGGCAGCCATGGTTCTTGTCAAGCTTTCGTGAGGTGAAAGTCAGATAAGCTGTCGACGTTGTGAATGACGAATTGACAAAGTTGACAGAGAGCGAAGATGCTTCGTGTCAAGCGCGCGAGGGTGTAGAGTTGCGAATGTCTGTAAGTGTGAGGTTGCTCAGCGTCGAGTGGGTGAATGATGACGGTGGAACTGAGAGCCAGGAGACGGACAGAGAGAGCAAAGGAGAGGAAGAAGTGAGGGAGGGGGTATGAAGAGCAATTTATATCCAGGAAGTGTGTGACATCGTGACTAGCCTGAAAAGGCTCAGCAGCCTGGGGAGGCAGCAAACAACTTCCCAATCAAGAAGACAACCCTAATTAGGTACCTGTACAAGGCAGCGATGCTTGAGAACATCTCCACAACAGCAAATAAAGTATTTGTACTGGCCTCTTGTGTATATACCGAACTTGCGTCACCTCAAACTGCTTCACTATTCTATAGGCTGCCGTCACCCCTGCAGACAAACACCATATTCCAGTATTCGACACGGTTATGAAATTTGACACCAAATGGGAATGTCTCTCAGTCATTTTGTAACTCAGCGTTGTCTATGGGGAGCCGGCATCATTTGAATCGAGTGAGATGAATCTCATCACATGTACCAGCACTGTGGCCGGAGCTATTTGAGTAGTAATGACGAGGAACAAGCGTGCACAGAATCAAAAAATCGATCATCTGGAATAAATGTGAGAGCACCATAGCCTAGGCAGGACCAAGGGTCGGCAAAGGCCGCAAACAATTTCCCCATTGGGGTGGAAGCAAGCCCTAAGTGACCAAGGTACTTGAACAAGGCAACGACGCCCATATACATGAGAGCAAACAAACCATCATTACTAGCTCGACAAGGAAACAATGCTCGAAGAATATCCATCTATATCGGATCAAAACGAATGTTTCTATTATTGCTGTTCAAAGGCCCAAAATATTTCGAAGACACCCGTAACACTCGCCAGCATGCAATTCAGGTAATTGACGACTTGATGCCAATGATGGAACGCGTCGATCGTAGTCAAGGACTGTCTTCCGCCAATCAGTCATATCCACACGAGGTCCCATTGAAGACCAGATAGTGAAGTTTACTTGTCAATCATGTGGCATCATTAAAATAGTTTGTAACCGTGAGGAAGAAGTCATATTTTGGCCCGATCTATGTGATTAAGTACGAGAAAGCGGCATCCTTAACCAACCAGAGCGAGCTAGATACAAAGGGAAGCGGGAGAATCAGTGCGGGGATGAGGAATGAAAAAACCGCGAGAGCATAAAGAAGCGTGAAAATATCACGCCTTCGTGACATGTAGGAAAGGGTGGGACATAGAAAAAGCCTATTGCCTCCTAGAAGATGACATGGCCGACCCTGAAGATCGGTCATGGAGAATGGTCCCATTACATACCAAAAACCTCCGGGAAACAAAAAGCCACTTTTGACGCAGTTTCTGCGATCATCAAATCCGCATCAAAATATCATGAAAAGTTAGGGCGTTTAGATGAGGTCAGCAACGTTCATGGGCATCTCCTCGATCTGGGTGCTGTAGAACTGCTCGATCTCACGGAGCATGCGAACATCGTCAGCGGTGACGAAGTTGATGGCAACACCCTTACGACCGAAACGACCACCACGACCGATACGGTGAATGTAGTTCTCACGGTTGGCGGGGAGATCGTAGTTGATAACCAGAGAAACCTGCTGAACATCGATACCACGGGCAAGGAGATCGGTGGCGATGAGGACACGGGAAGAACCGGAACGGAACTCCTTCATGATAACATCACTATTCACCAAGAGGATTAGTATATCGTACAGAAAGCTATAAGGGGAATTCAAGGAAAAACATACCGCTGGCCCTGCTCCATATCACCGTGCATAGCAGAGACGGTGAAGTCGCGAGCAGTGAGCTTGTCGGTGAGCCAGTCGACCTTTCTGCGGGTGTTGCAGAAAATGACAGCCTGGGTAATTGTGACAGTCTCGTAGAGATCGGACAGGGTGTCAAGCTTCCACTCCTCCTTCTCGACAGCAATGTAGAACTGCTTGATACCCTCAAGGGTAAGCTCCTGCTTCTTGACCAGGATACGGACGGGGTCACGCATGAACTTGGTGGTGACCTCGAGAACATCCTGGGGCATGGTGGCAGACAGGAGGGTGACCTGGGTGGACTGAGGGAGCAGCTGGAAGATGTCGTAGATCTGCTCGGTGAAACCACGCTGTAGAAAGAAAGGGGGTTAATATCACGAATGAGGGAACGAATGACCACAAAGTGAGTACTTACGGACAGCATCTCATCAGCCTCGTCAAGGATGAACAGCTTCATGTGGTCGGTCTTGAGGACGCGGCGCTGGATCATATCCTGGACACGACCGGGGGTACCGACGACGACCTGGGGACCGTCACGCAGAGCGTTCATGTCCTCACGGACGTTGGTACCACCGATACAGGCGTGGCACTCGAGGGTCATGAAGTCACCAATGGCAACAACGACCTTCTGGATCTGCTGGGCCAGCTCACGGGTGGGGGCGAGGATGAGGGCCTGGCAAGCCTTGAGGTTGGGGTCGATCTTCTGGAGAGCAGAGATGGAGAAAGTGGCGGTCTTTCCGGTACCAGACTGGGCCTGGGCGATAACATCATTGCCTGACAGGGACGTGTTAGTCTAAATTGTTGGACAAGGAATGGATCCTGAAAGTAGATCAAGACAACAAAGGACGAGGTCGACTCACCCTTGATGATGGGCATGATAGCGCGCTGCTGAATAGCAGAGGGGCGCTCGAAACCGTAAGCGTAGACACCTATTCGGTCAGGTTAGTGGATTTCTCAGTAGCCCCGCCACGGGCGGGATGTCGGTCCACCCCACGAAAGGATTCACATACCGCGAAGCAGCTCAGGCTTCAGGTCCATAGCATCGAAAGAGTCGGTAACCTCATCGTAGTTCGACTCGATCTGACCTGCAGGATGGCGAAGGGGATCCATGTTAGTGATCTTCAGTCAAAATTCCGTCTTCTCGTTTCGACCGCTGTCGTGGTGCGGAAGATGTCCAAGAACGTTGAGAAGGGGAAGTCTGATCGTGTAGTTGACCAGGGATAGATATTTCGAAGAGAAGCGGAAGTAAGGCGACAGAACATACCTTCCTGGAGGTCCTCGAGACCCTTGTCGGCCGACATGATTGTGATAAGAGATGTGTGATCACAGGCGACTCTCCGCTGTGATCGGGTGGGGTGACGAAAAGCGAACGGGCCCTGGGCGGGAAAGTTCGCGAGCGAGTGTCGTAAGTCTAGTATCAAGGCTCTTCAAGTTTGAAGAGCGCACGAGATACTAGGAAATGGGTGAAATATGGTTGTTGATATTAGATCACAAAAGGGTGGGAGAAGAGAGAAAGGAAAATTTCCTCAGCGGATCGTGCCTTTTGCTCCAACGCTTTTTTTTTTCGCGGGTGCGCAAAAGGTCACCGCCTACCCAGTACGGTGGTCCTGTGCACGGGCCTCTCGCAAGTGGCTCTTGGGGAAGATTCGACAGAACAATAAAATGATGGCAGTTGTTGATTTCCTTTCTTTTTACCGACGAGGCAGTCCAGAAATCGTTTCCTTGAAAGAAGCTTTCAGGCAGTGCCGTTTCGGCCCAATCCTGCAATCTTGAAGTCCGGCCAAGTGATTGTTGCGTCCTTCGAGCAGCGGGTGGAAATTTTTTTTTTTTTTCACCTCTTATCTATCAGAGCCCTAAAGGTTCAAAGTGGCGGACAATGCCTGACATCACAACCCTGCCAATCCATTCGTCGGTACTGGATGACCAAGAAGGCAACGAAGCCATTCCGAGCCATCCACTCGGTGTCAAGCCGACCGGAAACGCGCTACTGGCCTCATGGAGCCTGCGCGACCATATCGGTACTTTTCAACATCTGCCCGACGAGTTGTTGTTGGAGTTGTTGGAATACCTGAATGGATCCGATCTGCTAAGTCTTGGACGCACGTGCAAGGCGTTTTACGCATTCACACGTGCGGAAGAGTTGTGGAAAACTCTCTTCATCGGGTAAGAAGCTACTCCGAGAAATTCTATAGTTCCCTTTACCCCACGTCAAAGTCCGACTGAGGGACGTATCGTTTGGCGTCGAGTCGAAGTCAACCAACGTGGCATCAAGACCGGCCCACGAGATTGAAGCTTCACCACCTGGATGGGCGTCTAGCGTAACTATTACTGACTGATGTCACAGGTCTCCTCCAGATGAGTTCACATGGAGAGGAACGTGGCGCTCAACTTACCTCAATTTACCTCCTTCAAAAGTTCCGGTGATCGACTGTTCAGACCTTTACTCGGACGTTCTCTATCGCCCGTTTAACTGCGCTCATATTTCCCTTGAACCCTACGTGACCAAAATACCAACACGCAACCAAATCCCTCGCTTGCCAGACCTTTCCCCAGAAGAATTCCATGCCCAGTGGGCCGACAGACCTTTTATCTTGACTAAGCCTGTCAAAGCTTGGCCTGTTTATAGTGATTGGACGATCGGGTCCCTGCTTTCTCGCCATGGAAAAGAAAAGTTCCGCGCAGAGGCTGTTGACTGGCCTCTGACTACTTACAGAGACTACATGGCGGACAATGCCGACGAGAGTCCGCTGTATCTGTTCGACCGTGCCTTCGTTTCAAAAATGGGTCTCGCGGTGGGCCCGCCCGAGTCGACTCCCAATGCCGCATACTGGCCGCCTGCATGCTTTGCGGAAGATTTCTTTTCTGTTCTTGGTCAGGACCGTCCAGACCATCAGTGGATGATTGTAGGCCCTGAGCGCTCAGGAAGCAAATTCCACAAGGACCCGAACGCAACTAGCGCCTGGAACGCAGTCCTGCGTGGTCCCAAGTACTGGATCATGTTTCCATCTGGTGACAAGCGGCCTCCACCTCCCGGTGTTTTCGTTTCTGATGACCAGAGCGAGGTCACATCGCCGTTGAGCATTGCCGAGTGGCTGATCAACTTCCACGCAGAGGCTCGACGCACCCCCGGTTGTATGGAAGGTATTTGCGGCGAAGGAGAGATTATACACGTACCCTCGGGATGGTGGCATCTTGTGGTTAACCTAGAGTCGTCTATTGCGATCACGCAGAATTTTGTGCCTCGCGCGCACATCACCGCCGCCCTGGATTTCCTGGCCAATAAGCCGGACCAGGTCTCTGGGTTCCGAAAGAACGTGGAAAATCCTTATGAGAACTTTGTCAATGGCATGCGAAAGACTCATCCGGAGCTCTTATCGCAAGGTCTGGAAGAACTGCAGAAAAAAGCCGACAGCAAAAAACGGAAGTGGGAAGAGATTGTCCATGGTAAAAGTGAACAAGACGAAGATACCTCAGGAGGCTTCAGCTTCGGCTTTGGAGATGACAGTGATGTCGAGGTTCCTTGAACCTGGCGTACACACGAAAGATTTACCGGATACTACACGAGACCCGTGAAGCGCGATCAGATTACATATGCCTAGGCATACAGGGATCTATAGAGTCAAACAAGTACTCCATCATCAGGCTCCACTATGCGCGAGCCATCTCAGTGGCAGGCGATAGACTTGGTTGCTGGAGCATCCTCGGCAAAAATCAGGTGTCCCACGAATGCACCGACAGCAACCGCGAGCATGACCATTCCATTGTACGTCATGAATAAAAGCCTGGCCAGAGGGGAAAGAGTGGCGCGTCAGCATTGTCCCTTTGATGCAAAGTTGACAGGACTAGCACTCGACTTACATGATGAAAAAGCTGTAGAAGACTTGGACGGCATACAGCGCGGCCAGAACGAGCTTCCCTCGGCGTGCAAGCGCACTTCTACTGTCCCTCCCTACAATCAATGGTGAGCCTTCGGTTTGAACTTGGTGGGCGTTGAGTGCCGTTGGGCCCGGAATTTCATCCACTGCCGAGCAAGGAATCAATGAACAAGCTCGCCAAAGTAGGAAGGAGACTTCCAGCCTAGAGCCAAAGAAGCTTCAGACTGCTATCACGCTGCAACATAGCTATGTATTGTATCCAGGCCACCACATGGCAAGCAGAAGGCGAGAATTCAGACTACTTTTATAACAACATACCTCCACCTGTATTTGTCGATACTGCAATCGCATTCAATCTCTGGTTGTGGCGTGCCTCGTATTTGCGGGTTGCGTGTCGAACCCCTTCGTAACCAGCCGTGAGGAGAACGATAAGTATAAGAGAAAGAATAAAAGAGACGGGCCCGGTGATGCGCCACTGGCGGAAAATGATGCACAGATTCTTCGAGGACCAAGTAAAGATCATCTATGAGAACGACAGAATTTTCGTTAGCAAAGTACACGGACAGAGTGAGCTTGAAATCAGAGAACTGACATTCATGCTGCATTGTCCCATATCCATATCGCCATGGTCCATGCCGCCATGATCCATTCCACCGTGATCCATGTGCATCGAGTGATCCATTGAGTAAACGCTGTGGCAATAATCGACCCAGGTATCCAACTGCAAGTATTCCCGGATCAGTCTGTTTCCAAGATGAGTATGATCCTCGTGTTGCTGCAAGTGATCGGCGTCGGGGGATCAACATCACACAAGATGTAACACGGGCGGGGGGTGCAAACCAGACAAACTCCGATAAGAGCGGGCACAATCATCCATGCCATCCCTCCGGCTTAGACCAGCCAGACTACTACACAGCTTTAAGCCTCGCAGTCCCGCAGCTCACTTTCTCCGACGGCCGCAGCCAGTCCGCACTGTCACCGCATTTTATCTCTACTTCTCTGTCCGCTCCTCCTACACTTCGCGTCACACTTGTACCCCTCCCATTTGAAATTGGAGTTTCCAAGATCCCTCGACATGGCCGAGACCGCTCCAGCCCAGGCCGCTGTGCCCGTCGCCAGCGCGCCCGCAACCACAGCTCCCACGACCGGAGCCACGACGGCCACTGCCAATGCGCCGAATGAGCAAAATACAGCGAATAGAGGACTACCATACTACGAGAAACTCAGACGGGATCTACGCGACACAATACAAAAGAAGCGGCTGATGGATAAGAGCATGGTGAGTAGAATCGCGTCGCGCGCAAACCCACCCGCGGTCGACGAGGATGCGATTGTGAGGTTATACTCGATCATACCTCATGAGCGTCTGCATATTCGATTTTCATGTGCTGGGGCCGAAACACAAATCCAAGCGCGACAAGCGAGACTGATACGTGACGCAAATAGGCCCAGCTCGAAGACCAGATCTTTCGATTCGAACAAACGTATCTCGAAGAGACGACGGCAGGCAATATTATCAGAGGATTCGACAACTATATCAAGGGATCATCGAGCGGGTCCGTTCTGGGAGCGTCAGGACTCAGTCTGGGCTCGGGTGCGGGAGCACGGCGAAAGGCACAGGTTACAGATTCGGACCGGGTCTTTTCACGAAGCTCGGCCAGCTTCACCTTGGTACGTCGCATTCACCCGGGGAGGCGGATTAGGAAGTCTCTGGAGTGCTAATGCCTTTTGTTATGACAGGATTCCCCTGGTCCTTCCTCGGCTTTGAACACGCCATCCCAAGCCGCGACCCCAACCTCCACGGCTGGCGGAAACGCCCCGTCTAATAAGAGCAATGGCGGTGATTCAGGGACAGCTTCTAAGGCTGGAGGTAGTGGCGGCGCCTCCAAGAATAAGAAGAAATCCAGTGGGGGGTCAAAGAATACCAAGGGAAAAAATCAAGCGGAGGAGGTCTCGGATGACGCAGATTCTAAACCGCCGATTAAACGCTTGAAGGTCAGTTATGGGCGGGATTAGATGGACGCGTCTCCTGTGATTTGTACGATATTCGGAAATCTTTTCTTTTAAAGCGAAGGGGGGGGGGGGGGGGGGGGGCGTCAAAGATCTCATTCAATACCACGGCGTTCAGTTGGTGATGGAATAAGGGATGAACCGCGGAGAACAGCGGGCTTGTTTTACCTCGATTGCCCATCATGTACATTATGACTTTGCAAAACCATCTTTCTACTTTTCGCATCCATGGAACACGGTGAATTGAGACTAGGGATCTCCTAACGCCTTGTTCACAATGTATTGAAAGGGGAGCCAAACAAAATCTCAGTTAGTGACAAGAGTTGCATATCATTGATCTCCTTCCTCGTATAGACCCCAGAGAAATACTCAAAGTTGCAGACGATAGGTTGCGACCTCAAACGCTCTCAATTCAACGTCCACAGTGACTGTTGTATCCTTGGCCTTCACAATCTTCAATTCTTCTTGGTCGTCCTCGAGAATATTGCACTTCCAAACACGCTTGATAGGAAGCGAGCTATGAATCGAGGCACGAGCTTTACCACCCATGGACTCATATGCACGCAGGATAATACTCTGACCTGGGCGTGTCGAAAGTCCACCCGTGGAAACATCCTCATCATCTTCGCCACGTTTGACAGCATCCATGATGATGGATGTATTACCTTGCACCGACAAAGCACTGAAAGCGGCCTTGCACTTTGAAGCTTCGGCATCTCCCTGCTCGATAAGTAGGGGGTGGTTGAAGTTGTAGCCAGCTCGCACGGTGCGGACATCAAGATTACCAGAGTGAGGAAGCATGGCGTATCGGATGTGGTGTCGACCCATGTCCGCATGAGCGTCTGGTGCCTTGGGAGCACGAAGCAAAGAAAGTCGCATCAGGTTCCCGCAGGTGGCAAAGCCATACTTGGAATCATTCAGAATGGAGACGCCGTAGCCGTACTCCGAAAGGTCAGCCCACTTGTGACAACAAACCTCGAACTTGGCCATATCCCAGCTTGAGTTTGAAGAAAAGTCAGTCGCGCCCTCATTTACTAAAAATGACTCTTTACATACCTTGTGTTATAGTGAGTCGGACGTCGCACGATACCATATTGAGTTTCGTATGAAGCCTCCGTGTTGGTCACATCAACAGGGAATTCAACCTTGAGGAACTTCATCGTTTCATGCCACTCGATCTCGCTCTCGAATTCGACCAGCGACGGATCCGATGAGACAGAAGCTGAGAGACTAATCGTTGTCTTCACCCAGCTCTTGTCACTGATCTTGGTTTCGGTCACAACACTGACGCGGTTGGGGTCATTCTCAGCGATAGCAGTCTTGGTTGATTTGAGCTCTTTCCGTGACTCCAAGTGGAAAACTTCCACGTCCCAAGCCTGCCAATACAATGGTTTATCGTCGAAAATAACAAGCTGCCCAGCCTTTCCACCTTTTGGAATCACCTCTCTCTGGGCATCGACATCAAAGAGGGAGACGATAACGCCGTCCTGAATATCGACCTTGAGCTTGCCATTCTGCAAACGGAAAACGCCAGGCTGGACTTCGGACACAATTGCTCGGTTTGTGGCACTCAACTGCACAGGTTTACATTGGATCAAGCCCGTCGAGCCGTCAACCAAAGCATACTTGGAGCCGTGAGAGGCTATCAAGGATGCAGGAACCTTGACTACTTCCGAACGGGGCCATGGTAGCGTGTTAAGTGCCATTAGCGCCTGCTTCTTGCAGACTCCTAAGGCAGCCAGAGCTTCTTTGCGTAGCTTTTGCCCCGTTTCAAATATCTCAGCATAGAGCTTGTCAGAATCGTCGTAGCACATTTCAATGGAGCTACCCGGAAGGCAGTCATGGAACTGGCAGAGCAAGGTTCCCTCCCACATCATGTCGATTTCCTTTTTCGGATACTTGTACTTCTTGTCAGAGCCACGAATAGTGGCCAGGGTGGCCAAAAGCTCAATCTCTCGAAGCAAGAACTCGGACTTGCGATTGTTCCGCTTATTGTTTGCTTGAGTGGTGTAGGTACCGCGATGCAGCTCGAAGTACAGTTCGCCGTACCATGTCGCGAAATTGGTACCGTTGGCAGCCTTTTGCTCCAGCCTCTCAAAAAAGTCGTCTACCGAGTCGCCCATCTTGACCCTGGGCAATGAACCGATTCTATCGCTCAAACCGCGGCATCGACGAAGCTTTTCCAGATGACCGAAAGTTGGACCACCACCACCATCTCCTTTGCCAAAAACTAGCAGGGAGGTCTTGTCTTGGTCCATCGACTTGTGCTGCGTGATGCTGCGCTTAACGTCGCCGAAATGAGCTTCGGCCGTGTAGGTCTCTGATGGAGGCATGTGGCACATGACCTGACTACCATCAAGCGCGACCCATTGGAAGGTGGTGTGCGGAAAATTGTTGATGTTGTTCCAGCTCAGTTTCTGTGTAAAGAAACGGCTCATGCCAGCGAGTCGGCAAATTTGAGGAATCTGCGTCGAATAGCCGAATGTGTCTGGCAGCCAAAAGGTAGTCGCCCGTTTGCCGAATCGGCTCTCAAAGAATCGCTGCCCATAAAGGAATTGGCGAACAAGCGACTCGCCGCTCGGCATGTTTGTATCGTGCTCGACCCAGCTGCCACCAATTGGCTGGAAGTGGCCCTTGCGAACCCAACGTTTCACACGGTCAAAGACGGAGGGATAGTACTGCTCGAGCCATTTGAATTGCTGAGCTTGTGATACAGCAAATCGGTGCTCTGGATAACGATCCATCAAGTCGCACTGGTTGGACCACGATCTCGCAACCTTGCGCTTGGTCTCTGCCCATGGCCAAAGCCAGCAGGTGTCGATGTGACACTGTCCAATGGCGAAGACATATGGATCCGTATCTTCTGCGTAGACGTCGGATGAATCCACTGCGTCACCGAGATATTCCTGTGCAATTTTTCGGGCCTCCTTGATTGATTCTTGACTCCCATCGCCCGCAATGAAAGCGTCCATCATTGCGTTGGCAACCACATTGGCTTGATGGGCTTCCCAAGAATCACCTGGAAACTCACGAGCAGCATCCCCGATGATCCAAAAGTCATAGTAGAGGGCCCGGGCCTCCAAATTGACAGCCACAATCTGTGCCTTGCTGAGCTGGTAGTATTTGTTGGGATTTGGTGGCTGAATAGAATCCCCTCCCGGAGCGTTACCAAACATGCCATTGCATGCCATTTCGATGTAGAAGACGTGAGTCTCGCCATCACGCCAGGCATCGGGGAGGATCCATTCAGTTCGCTCTCCACCACCGGTCAGTCCTTGTAAGGGATGTCCTTCCTTGGTCCAGACCATTCCCTCATTGTTGGCATCCCAGTGAAACTCCAAACGTTCTTTTTTGAGCAAGTGAGAGGGCACCGTCAAATGGATTCGAAACCAATGAGTGGACCAGCTGGGGCCAAACGACTCGCCCACCTTGGTCGGTCTGAAGTCATGGGAGGTGGCATCGTCAAAGGTCGGGCGCTCCAGATCTGGGACCGAATACACGGACAGCTTGACGTGCTCCTCGTCGGAGACCACGGCCTCGTAGTACTTGGACACTAGATTCTGTCCTTCGTACTGGCCATTTGCAGTGAACTGGCGAAGGCGTTCCGTGTAGATTCGATTGATTCGCTGCCCAACTGGACGCTCTGCGAGCTGTGGCAGCGACCGCGAGGCCAGAGTGGGGACGATATGCGGAGCTTCTCCACCCATGGCTGTGAAGATGTAGGTGAACAAGGGGAGATCGATACTGATCTCGCGCACTGCGAGGAATGAGAATGGCAAGGAGAAGTAAGATCTAGCAAATTGTTACAATGCTCTGCAGCAGAGTGTCGAAGACCGAGATGGACGACTGGGATGTCGATAGAGCCAGAATAATGGAGGAAGGAAGGAACGCATCTTGGCTAAATGCGGAGAAGCTGGTGTGACCTCACCCCGCAGCATCCACTTTTCGATCTGCAGCGGGATCCAATGGATCTCGCACAGAGATTGTTTACAATGAATGGAAAGTCGGTCTTGTACAATTGTCTTACTTTTGAATTGACCTGATTCACTGTAAAAATCGTCAAAGGAGACACAGTGGCTTAAAACGTGGCTGTTGGCAGATTTGAGAAGTTCGGGCCAGGCTGTCTTCTAGTCCTGGAATTCGGCTTCACCCTCATGGGAACCGTTTGTAGCTCGATCGATTGTTCGCAGAACACCGATCCGAGTTGATTGTAGCTGGAGAGAGATGGGATTTGAGGAGATCTTTTTGCATTATTGCCTCATCTCAAGCTTGGACAGTCAAGTACTGGTTTATCTGACCCTCAAGTGGCTTCAAGGTTGCATTCAGGTTATCATAATAGCTGGTAGATGGATATACATGAGTGTAATCGAACACCCTTTTGCACGCATCGAGAATGTAAGATTGATTTCGAATTTCACTCTGGGCGCAGCAAATGAATTTTTCATCGTGGTCATCCAGATGTCTTTTTGCTACTCCTCTGGGCTCTTTCTCTACTTGTTTGACTCCGGTTTTTACCACCGCCTTGACTGCTCCGGTTACTTCTCGCTTTGCACCTCTCTCTGTACAAATCATGCATCTTTAATCTCAAGTCAGGTATACCCACTTGATAACACCACACCCGGCGAATATACTGCATACACACTGTGCTGCGTTGGAGTACGCCTATCATAAACAACGTGATCGCCCACTGAAGTCGGGCTTTGGTCACGTTGATCTGAAGTCGGAAACGTGAATTCCGGTTTTGGTTACTATTTCAGATACCTAGCTTCACTGGAATACTATTTTATCGAAAACAAGTACGTACCTCGTTTTTCCTGACTACCATAGTCTACTTCGACTACTTTGATGTCCGCTGACTGGTCGAGGTCGGAGATTCGTTATATCAACGGATGGAGTACGATAGTACGAATGGCATCATTGCCACACAAGCTTTGCTGTGGACGGTGATAATGGCAGGGGTTGGCCACGCTCTCAAGTATAAAACCCTAAGCTTGCGTCTGTCAAGAGATAATGGACTGCATTTTATACCTTGTTCAAGAACTTTGAATAACGAAACTCTGGTAGGTGTGGGATATCTCGCCCAACGGGTCGTGCCGATGCTCCAAGTACCAGACGATGGTCTAGAGTGAGCGTGCAACAAGAGCAGCTGATCGTTAAGTATGTAGAGAATGTCGTGGTATTTCAGGCTAATTCATGGATGACCAAGTGGAGGACCTGGACATACCCGCGCTGAACAGTCATCTCGTCGGGTCGGATATTCCCCAACCGCATTTGCTACGGTCAACAGATAGACGATTTTTCTTTACGACTTGGAATTCTTGGATTTCTTGAACGTGCGCAGAGTATGAGTAAGGTTCCGTTATGGTGATGTACAGTTGTAGTAAGTGGATCTCGTCCGCCTTTTGCTTCTGCTTTCTTCTGGTCCGGGCGTTTGCGGGGAACGGCGGCCTCCGGTAAAGTCCAAAGCAAATCATCTCGTTTAGAACATCTTTTCCGTTGTTCACAAATCCAGGTGGAAAAACACGCCGTTGATGGGTCCGAATTGCCGTGGGCATGAATCGGATTATTGAGGTCAAGGTCATTCCAGACCTTCCATCTACATTGACACTGAGAACAACGCATCGGTCCCATGTCATGAGCACTGGATTCGTGATTATGTACGAGGGACATGGTCTGAGCTTCTTTCCGAAGTGAACGTTCATGCAAGTCCCTTTCATACCTGACATAAATGACGATTGTCATTCCGTGGGAAATTAGTTTTGGGCAGACATGAAGCCGTCGGCTATTCCTTCCTCCTCCGAGGTTGATTCCCACCTGGCAATTCGCGGACTGCCTTCCCTTGATGCAGCGCACCGGACTCGATCTAGATCACATGGACCTTGATCTCAGGACCTTGAAATAGCTTGCGTCTCCTTTTCGAGGTACATCCTCGCCCATCCCAACATAAAAGCAAAGTACAAAGTGACGAGCATACGTCAGAACTTGCAGGCCATGCGCAGTGCACACGGGGTCTGGACCATTCCGTCAGACATGGTCGAACTCGAACAAGCGTGGGAAATGGTTACGGCTCTACCCGCATCCTACCATTCCTCCGGATTTTCTCTTGATATTCATCTGATCAGCATGGACCACCACCGCCTCCACCAGACTACAAGGACCTCCGCTACCTAATTAATGTCACGTCGAATGTGTCATAAATTACTATTCTGGGCCTGGCAGTGGGCTGCAAGACCGGATCTCGCCGTAGGGTTGTGCTCACATGCACGATGGGTCTTTTCCGAGTAGAAGAGGGATCCTGGCTATTGCCTGGGTTGATCCTGTGTGCATATAGAGATCTCTAATCATTCCTTCGATCATTCCGAATCCTCTGGGCAGGAGAAAATAGCCAAGACTACCCAGGCTAGATACGTCGACATCTCTATATCTTCATATTCGCGGATCGGGGGTTCGGGGCTTTGAAGCTCTGCTATTCAAAGCGTCGTCGATCTACTTCGACAACAGTGCCGAAAACACCGGAAGCCTGGGAAAGCCCAGGCCGGCAATATCTGAGACTGAGGTCTGAAGAGACTAGCTAAGAAAATGGCATCTACCACCAAGATGGTCGAACTCCAGCAGATCAAAGGCCCCTCGGAGCCCTATGATCCCATCTTGATATCCGACTCGCAAAGCTCAACACCAATCTGCTCACAATTACTCCATGAACACGTCCTCATGCCATCTCCATTTTCCGCCACCGTGACTCCCATACTAGACAACGGGGAAATCGTCCGGGGACCACCGCGGCACGTACACAATTCTCAAGACCAGGACCTCCAACACCCTCGACGACCTCGGGCAATCGCCAACCCGGCTCCATTGGGACTCTGTGCATTTGCGCTGACAGCGTTTGTATCGAACATGATGAATGTTCGGCTGGGGTTGTCAATTGCCGCGGAGAATGTGGCATCTGCATTGATCTACGGCGGAGCGGTCCAGTTGATTGTGGGCATGTGGTATGTCATCCGACACCGATGAGAACGTCGACAATGATCATGATCACCCATCTTAGATAGACGTGCATGCTCCTGCTCGGGCGCAGGGTAGACGCATTCATCCACTGACCCGTGCTCCTTTCCTGCAGGGAGATATACGTCGGAAACGCCTTTAGTGCCACGTCCTTTGGGTCATACGGTGCTTACTGGATATCCTTCGGCTTACTCTCGAATCTCGAGAAAAACGAATACGTTCCGGCATACGACTCGGTCTGTCAAAAGGAGACTCTAATGGGGATTTTTCTAATGGTACGTACACAAAACACATTAGCACGACTAGGTAGCTCTGTCCAAGTCGAACCTCCTAGCCCTCCAACATTCCATGATATCATCCACTTTCAAAAAGCAAGAAACCCCGAAACAAAAGAGAAACCAAAAACATTATGGAAAAGCCTTTCTTTCCTCATCTATATCCACTTCCCCCCCCCGCCCCACGAGCCAGACTTGACCACTCACCATCTCCACACAACAGGCATGGTTCACCCTAACCACCCTCCTCCTCCTCTGCACCCTCAAAACCAACCTCGCCACCTTCCTCCTCTTCCTCTTCCTCGACCTCAACTACCTCTTCCTCGCCATCGCCCATCTCCACTGCACCCCTTCCACCGCAGACACCCACCCACCTCCACACCTCCCGGCCGCGCTCCTGAAGACAGGCGGCTCCTTCGGCCTGCTGGCCGCCCTGGCGGCGTGGTATAATGCGTTTGCGGGGATTTTCGATGCGCGGACGGGCTTTTTTGATCTGCCGGTGGGGGTGTTTCCGTGGGCTGGCGATGGGGATGGGGATGGCAAGGGCAGAGGTAGGAAGACGGGGCGGGGGAGAGACGGGGTGGTGCTTGCGTGATGGGTTCGAATTGGTTCTGGCGGGACTTGTCAATATGGGTTGAAACGCCTGGCTTGGGTAAAGTTCAAGGTTGGAGTGGGATCTTCGAGTATATGTTGGTCTGTATGGTGGTGGTGCTTCCACCTATGGGGGAAGCATGGCGGGGGCCTATGTTCAAGAGGAAAAGCATGTACGATTCAATACAAATACCAGATATACTATCGCCTCGTCCAGACAGGCCAATCGTATAGCCAGTACTCAGGAGACATGGAGCTACAGTAAATAATCAGACTCGAAAACCCGGCATTTCATGCGCCGACAGGCTATAGCGATCCGTGGACATAACCAACACAATCAGGAAGAATTGATTACCCGTACTTCAATCTCGATCAGCGCCATCGCAACATATAGAAGCGAGAAACAATGCAAACGCCGTATCCATGTCGGTTCCGTCTGCCATGCCCACCCTCATACCATAAAAAAGAAAAAAAACAAAACAAAACATGCTAAGTCAATCTGTAGTAAACGCCAAGATCGCACAAAGGTGTGCATCGAAAGAATGAATACCAGAACTGTGTCGTTCAAAAAAAAGGGGAGTCGCCGGAGATCCTGCTTTGCTCAAATGCGAAATTCAGAATCTTAGGAGTCGTCGGTATGCACTCAATGTGCCCAGTAAATGCAAAACAGAGAAGAGAGGGTAGAAAATAAAACAAGATCGTGCCAAAGACATGAGGAAGAAATGACTCCAAAGAAGTAAACGAGACGAAGCACGAAGGGGGGTCAAAAAAAACAAGAACAAAAGAAACCTGTCAAGGTGCTTCGCAATCAAACCCAAGCAGACTCAGATTGCATATAGGAGTGTGGATCCACAGGCCCAATCAACTTGATTTGAGCCTTCAGCTGCTCCCGGCGCCGTTCATCCTTGGAAATCTTCTTCTTGGCTCCTTCCAGCGTCAAGGCCACACCACTTCTTCCATGATGGGCGCCAAACCCATCACGAGGAACGCTCTGCGAGAAAAGCTTCAACCCCGGGGAATGCGGCGGGGTCAAGGTGCTTGGAGCCGGGAATTGGTCCGTGATCGGGGAGGATGGATTGGAGCAGGAGGTCTTTGATTTGGACTTCTTGGGAGTGTCCCAGATCGCAGGCCCGTATCGTTGGTAATCCGTCATGGGCACGGCGAGTTGTTTGGGCCGCGGTGGGAACGAGCGCGGGCTTTTGGGGCTGGGAGGAAGGTCGTTGCTACTGGAGGAGGTGGTGATGGACAATGCTTGCAGTTGAACAGCAATGTCATTTTTAGGTCGGTACTGGACGTTCTCGGACGGCTTCGGGTACACCTCGGCCTCGAGCTGCTCCACCGGTGCAGTAGATGGACGAGGCAACACCTCCCTCGTCTTGTTTTCAGAAGAGTCCCGCGAGAGCGTGCGATGCACATACGTCTTAATGGAATCGCGCATGCCAAAGGCCAACCCCAGCCCGGCTCGATCCAGCGACTGCCACTTGCGGCGCTTCGATACATTCAAGCGACCGTCTTTTCTCCGCGATTTGGTCGCCCGGGGGCCAGTCGTGCTCACGCGGCTCCCTGATTGAGCGGCCGAGGGGGCCAATTCGGGGAAGAAATCCCACTTCTTCTCCCGGAAGTAGTGATTGGTGCCACCCCGGGTCTGCGTCTGCGACCATTGAGAGTAGCGTCCATAGGGAACATCGGATTTGGAAATCAGCGATCGTCCCACAGGAACAGCCCCCGAGATCCTCCCCAATCCTTCCTCATTGTCATCCTCATCCTCGTCCTCAACAACTCCTTGCACTTCATCGTCGTCGTCGTCGTTCTCTTCCTCTTCCTCTTCTTCATTTTCTTCTTCACTATTCTCACCAGCCAATCTCGCTCGGTGGCTTAGAGACAGAATGGAGTCCGTGCGGGATCGCATCTCCTCCACGGTGGTTGGCGGAGAAGGGGAGTGGATCAGACCCAGGCTAATGTAGTCCGGGCCTGGATTGGAGTTTGCGGGGGCGTGACGATCAACCGTGTCGTCACAGTCGTCGGAACTCGTACTCACGAAGATGGGATAGCACTCGGAGGCATGGCGGGGGTCCCTGGGCCGATCGCGCAGACTCCCGGAGAGGCTCTCGTGGTCGTCGTCGTCGCTCTCGCTGTCACTCGAGTCACTCCACATGACGGAGATTTCAGGTTCGTCAAATAGGATCGGTCGTGCGGGTAAGGGTTTATTGAGGGCAATGTCGTAGCGGTGGGATCCATAATGTGTTGGCGGGAAGAAGTCTGTGTGATTGGAGGGAAAGCTCGTGACGAAGTTGTGTGTCGTTGTGGTGGTGTTGATGATGTTGGTGGTTGATGTTGATGTGGCGTTGTAGGTGGTAGCGGGTAAGGTTGGCGGGATCACCTGCTCGAGTCCTTCGAGCGACCGTGAGGGTCGCACCGGTGGTGGGGAACGAGTTGGATATGTGGAGGCGAACATGATGTGGTAGTCGTCGTTGTTGATAGAGTGGTAGAGAATGGGGACGACGGGTGCGGTCATCGATCGTGAACAATGAGCATGGGCCGGAGGAAGCACCGGCGGGCGGTTGACGATAATAAGTAGCAGGTTAATTTGGAAGGGTGCAAGATGGCGTGGCGCTCGGTGAAGCACAAGAGAGCGAGAGAGCGAGAGAGAGAGAGAGAGAGGGAGAGAGGGCGCAGATGAGGTGGGTGGAGAGACAAGAGGAAGCTCGGAGATTTCCCCAGACGTTTGTTTGTTCGAGGGTGAGGGTGGACAAAGAGAGAGTCGAAGACCAGTGGATCACCAAACTCTCGACAGGCTGATCCACCAAAGAAGATCAGGGCGAGGAAACAAAGAGATGGCCTAACGGGGAGATCGTCGGGTACTAATAATATACGCAGTTGAGAGCCAAGCGCAGAGCCCCGAGAGCAGAGCGAGAGAGAAGTCCAAGGACAGCCAAGAGTGTATGCACCTGAGCTCAGACCCAAGTTGATCGTCCAAGAAAGGAAAATCTTTTGAATGGGGACAATCCAATGACAGGCGACGAATGGAAGAAATTACAGGCCGACGAGACCACTCGCGGCGGAGGGAAGGGGGAGCAATTTACAAGAAGCGATTGAGAGTGATCTGAAGAAGATAATCCCAAAGAAAGACCAAACCGGAAAGTCTAACGTGGTCCGCAAAGAATGGAGGGAAATGGCAATTAAATCGCAATGATGAAATTGAGCCAGGCAGTCCCCCACAAGAGGGTCTTGCCAGTCCTGCTCCTGCAGTGAGGCAGATGGACCCGATGACTCCGACCACCCCCCAAAAAGGTGGGAAGAGTACAAGACCGTCGACGAGAGTGGAGTCATGAGTGCAGGATACCACGCGAGGGATCAGAGACACCATGACGAGGGGACCGGAGACCAACCCTGGGGGCCGCCGCTGGGCGAGTCAGTTATTCAGGCACTGTTCAGGAACTGCGGCATTGGAGGGGTTGGAGAGGAACGCCAGGAACGCCAGGAACGCCCGGTACTGCAGGCGCGCATGAGAATCGTGGACGAGGACAGGAAAAGCGAGGAGTGGAACGAGTGGAAGACTGTAGCTAATAGCTATTGTCGCTAGAAAGTGAACAGTGTCACACTGCGAGTCTGCTAGTCTGCTAGTCTGCTAGTCTGCTAGTCTGCGAGTCTGCTAGGACTGGGACCGGGACTAGTACTAGACTTCCTACATGAGTACATCGTATACCTCTCATTGAGTCCCGGTAAAGAGTCAACCTACATGCGCAATACTCGCACTCTGCCGAGCAAGGACCACGACAGACAGTGCGTTTGCCGTTGAAGTTACTGCCGTGGGTGTGCTCTGGCACTCCCTCTCCGGAAAGAGAATGGACCCCACCCATTCATGAGGATGATCTCCTCTGGAATGCATGGGATCATCGGCCTGGCGTTCGAAAGAATGCACGTAATCAGGGCGGGTCCCACCAATGACCGCCCCGACGTGGACTCCCTGCTGGTTCTTGATCTTGGACGATGCAGTCATGGAGACTGGACCGGACCATGTCGGCCGGGCTGCGAGTGCACTGAGCCCTGAGTAGGTCGGTAGTGGGTACTGTAGTATGTGTAGACGGTCGACGGGAGTGCACTATTGTACGCCGTACTGTGGCTTGCGGGAGGGGGAAGGAGGTTGAGATCCAGAGGGGTTCATCCAGTGGAAAGAGTCGAGTGTCATACTGCAAGTGTTGAGTATCGAGTGGATCACGGGAAGGGTACAGGTCAAGAGTGAAAGTACAGTATGGTCAGAGTACTGCTAGAAGTCCTAGTAGACTACTAGACTGTAGTACTCGGGTGACTATGTGACTATCATAGCAGTCAGTGTTTCCATTGCATGTGCAGTTGGAGTACTCACTGCTCTACCTACAGGCCACTGGAGTCCTCGACCCTGGCAGTCCTCGAGAGTCGAGAGTCTGTGCCAGTGTACCTGAGCGCCGACGCCCCGAGCCAACAGACGTCGATGTGGAGGAAGGGCCCCCACACCCGCGATGAGCCTAAGTAAGCGATCGGCGTCCCCGTTGTGGAGGTCATGACGGGCAATGTCAATGGGGGATGAAACACGAAGAATTCATCATCATCGATAAAACCCTCGCCGCTTCCATCATCCAGGGCAGACTTGGTATATTCGTGAAATGAAAACCACTCCCGCAGGACCACCGGATAAGACGGACAGCATCCCGAGAAGGACAAAGGGATCGGGACAGAGAAGTCAATAAGACATCCAGGCGTTCTCCACCGGACAGAAAGGCCAGTAACCAGTTTCCACCTGAACAATTCTAATTAATTGACTTTTGCAGAGCGACCCGAATGGAAGAGGCTTAGTGCCTGGTCAGCACCTGAGCACAGACCCCGACACCCCAGCCAAGAGCCACTCCAAGAGTGGATGGAGTCTGCAAGGGATGCGAGTTTCGAACGACCAACAACGATGCGAACGAAAAGAAAGGGGGGGGGGGGAGGAAGGCGTTCGTGAGCAGTCAGGCGATCAGGCGATCAGGCGATGAGAGCGATTAGGCTGACCTGGAGACCGCCAGGATGGCCACTGAACCAGGTCCAGGGTGACTTTTGCTTTTTTTCGGTCGGATGGGCAGCAGAGAACAGACAGCAGACAGCAAGGCAGCAGGACAGCACCTCAAGCGCAAGGCTGGGCAGTGATGAAACTATACCTGTGTGACTGTATGACTACGAGGATTCCCATGATGTCGGGTCTGAGAGGTTTGCAGCAATCTGGGATTTGATGAGCTACCTCCGCACGTGATGGAGGTGAACCCTCGTAGCATCCAACTCCTCTAACGTTGGTTTCTCCCTCGATCTCGGTCTCGACCTCTGTTATTGCTGCTCATTCGCAGCGACTTGGTTAGAACTTCTGTTCATCATAAGTCTATACTAGTTACACGAATGCATAGCTCGTATAGAAACTTTGTACAACGTATTCCCTCTCAGGATGCACGAAAACAGACCATTCAGAACAGTGTCCAGACTTCCGAGAGCCCAGCATGGGGAAAGACAAGAGTCATTATTGAATACGTATTTCCATTCCCCATCTCTCACCCCCTCTCTCTCTCATCCCTGTCGACAACAAACCACCCACCTGGACCGGCACATTCCCAATCCCGTATCCAAGTGGCACTGGTTGGACCAGATCCGCCACGCAAGGACGCCCAATGACCTGCAGGGTCGACAGAGGGCCCACCGAATTCATCGAACCTGGCGACCGACTTTTCCAGACCGATTATGTACTCGACACTTGTATAGCGAGCGCTCACTACAGCATACTGATGTACATGCTGTGCAATGCAGCAAGAAGGTTGGCTCTTGAGGCCCGCACGTGGTTTGCCGAGAGGACGATCTTCCTGTCGATGATCATGTAAAGAGTCGTCCATGTGTCCTTCTTATTCGTCGGTGGTTCGATGGCGGACACGCGCTGCGTCAGCTGGATAGAAGAGGAGATGATTGAATACTACGGTAATACGTCAGGAGTCAGGATGGTACCTTTGAGAGACTCGAGAGTCACTTTGTCATGAATTCCTACACCTCATGACGTGGTCTAACTTGAAGGGGCAACAGCCCTGGAAGAGAGAGACCTATATTTTAAGCTCCGAGTAGTCATTAGTAAGTTAATTAACATTGAATACTACTACTACTACTACTACTACTACTACTACTCCTCCTCCTCCTCCTCCTCCTCCTACTACTCCTAACTTACAACAGCAACATAGAAATCCCCCCATAGTCAGGCGCAACCACTAAACCTGAAAGGGCAAAGCTTCCCAGCTCCCGCTCCAGCTCCAGCCCCAGACCCGTGCGTGATGTCAAAAGAATACTCCACGCCGCCAGAGTATGTACGGTAGCTTGCGGCTTTTGGATCTTTCCACCGGACTTGACAGATCCAGATTTGACTGTCTACAACGTCTACCGACCCCTTGGGACACCATGACGTGCTGGAAAAGGCAAGACTTTGACGAGTGAAATCATAGAGCAGAAACCCAACACCAAGCCACAGTGCCAATGGAAGACTGGGCGATTCTTTCCGATCCGAGGAATTTAACTTGACATGGGATTCAAGGAAATCCACATGAAATTTTTTTTTTGAATAAATAAATCAGGTAAAGTGTAAATGTCCACATGGTTGAGGCTGAGCCGCGATGAGTCTAGCAAGGGTGAGACGAAAAAAGGTCTCATCATTAGTATGTGGCATGCACTCTGAATCTGTCCTCCCGTCGCTTACCGAGTAATCGAGGGATGGATGTTGGATTGTACCTTGACCTGTCCCCGTTTCAGTCCGCACGTCAGTACATAAATCACTTTCCTTTGAGGAGACTTCGTAGCGCATCCGGGCTAGACGGGTCTATCGCTTCGGCTGGCTGGGTCTGGCGGTCATAACCCAAGGGTGAGAGCGAGCCTGAGCCGAGCACGACACGCCAGCTAAGGAATTCCAAGGGGAGAATTGCGCCCATCTCCAGCTTCTCCAGGTTACTTTTGTGCCGAAGACGTTGCTTGGAGATGGTGACGGGTCGTTTTTCTTTTTCTTTTTCTTTTTCTTTTTCTTTTTCTTTTTCTTTTTCTTTCTAAGTAGGTGAGGTAGACTAGGCCGACCGTTGACCTGATTTGGTTTGCCTTTGTTTCGTATTGTGATTGGGTGTCCGGGTTGAAGACGGAAGGTGAGGAAGGGACGACAGTACTGAGTAAGGGTGAGGGAGGATTCCCTCGGTCCTCCGTTCTTTCGGTCGAATTGCTCGTCTCGTAGTTTACTCGTTGTCTACTCGTAGTCTACATGTAGTACAGTAGTAGTGCCCCCACCGTTCGTCGACGTATCGTCTTTCGATCAAACACCAGTTCACACTAGACTGGAACAGGTAGCGGATCGAGTCTAGCCGATCCTTAGTGTCTGTTTAGATCCCCACCAGGACAATAAGGTTATCTATCCATCACATTTCTGCTATTGATTTCGTCTGACCAAGATCTATGGAAATATACCGTACCAAGCTGCACCACTGAAAAACAGTACATACGAAGTGACAAAATACATACTCCATGTGACCATCGTAAATCAACATTTCAGACTATTGTACTATATATTCCCCCGTCTAACTCAATTTGGCCGCCCGCTCCATCGTCTCCCGAGTCAACTCCTCGCCCGGCCGACGCTTCTCACTCAACCTTCCCAGCCGTCGAAGCTTCGAGATCATCTCCTCGTCTCCAAAATGGCTATTATGCTCGAATCCCGGATCCCGCGCATAGGCCACCCGGGCCGCGTCGACGAGCATCCGAGCCGTCATCCCAAACACGCGATAGTGCGGGACCTGTCCACTTTCTTCTTGTCGGGACAGTGTTTCCACCGCGGCGTTTTGGGTCTGATTACCCGGACTGCGTGGTCGGACGGCGTGGTCGGCATTGGAGACAAAGAATTGGTGCACTGGAGGGGTTGTTCGGGTTCCACAATTAGAATCTTCCCTCTGTGTCTCTGGGGTGTCTTGACTTGGGGAAATTCATGAGGGATGACAGGTTGAAGACTCGAGTGTGAAAGGGATGCCAAGGTCCCACACGAAAATCAAAAAGAGAAAGGGAAGACCTGTGTTCAACAAAGAAAGACTGCCATCAAGTATGTAGCATCCGGGATAAGAAGGTTCAAGACACGATTATGTTCCCTGCCTCTGTAGCCCCGGACTCATGCACATTGGTCAATGCACTTTCGGCCGGTTCACCCAAGCAGCCATAAGCAAGACGAGTCAACTTCGAAGAAAAGTCTAACGCTGTCCTCGCGTGGCTTTGCTTCTCTTCCAAATCAGCTATAGCCAGCCAGCCAGCCAGCCAGCCAAATTTGGACTTGAAAGGGAGGAAGCCACAAGATGAAACACATCAAAACCGGATACCAGATATGAGCGCACCTTTCCATGCAGGTCCCACCAGCTTCCGTCTCCCTCGCCGGGCGTCTGTTAACCGAGCCATGTGGCTCTGGTTGTCTGATCAACCTCATTGTAATAACAACAAGGGGTCAACGATAAGTGGCGGTGGGCTGCCAGGGGAGGAAGATGGAAAGGGGAGTGGATCTGCAGGCAAGCAATGCGTGTTTAATCCGAAGAGGTCAATGGAAACAAAGAAAGTGAGACTTCGGCAGGGAAACCGCCGATGCACGCGACATGCCTTCGTTTTCCTCTTTGCTTTTTTCCCTCCGGAACGAGGCAACGCATTCGCATCCGAGACAGGCAAAAGAGGGAGAATGAGACAATATGCCGAGCGACTTCCTCTTTAGGAATACAGCCGACAATTTGCACTATCCGCCCACACTCATTTCACTTGCACGGGAATACAGATAGGCCGGAAGAACAAAAAAGAAACAAGTTGGACATCAACTCAGTGAGAATGCTTTGGCCAGAGTGTTGGAGAAAAGAAAATTTGGGAAAGCGATGATAAGAAAAGACACTTACTTCGCCAATTGCTATTATGCCACAAACTCCACGATCCCTTGTACCAATCCCCCTCTCCTCTCCCCTGCGAATTTTTGATCCGCAAAAAGTCATCGAATCGTGCCGTGAATACCGCGGCGACTTCACGAGCATCCAGACGAGGAATCAACTCGGTCTCGGGATCAGCATTCATTCCCGTCGCCGGGTCAAACGAATGAAGCAGTGCCACACAGGGTCGCACCACCAGTTCCGTTTTGGCTAGATTCGCTGGTAGTTCGCACAGATGCTCTACGGCAAACGGAGGCGGAAGGGTCTGGTTGATGTCTGGTAGTCCGATTTCCTCGCAGGCCTCACGACGGGCGGTTTCGAAAGCGGTTTCGGAGAGGGTATCTGCTTTTCCTGTGGGAGAGAGAGATGAGATCATTTGACTAGTTAGCGGATAGAATCTCAAGCTCTGGTGAGTCAATCATTGTCTTAACATGGAGAAGATCTTGAGACTGGATACTTCTCATTTGGGGGGCAAAGCGACGAGCCATAGTTTCTGGTTTGTTTTTTGTTTTTTTGTTTTTTTGTTTTTTTTTTTTCACGCTTCTAGATTGTCTCAGGCCATGGCCGTCACAGATCTTGGGGGAGTGTTTGCGTCGTCGTTTGACAGGTATCCACCCACGACTGGGGTCCCACATCCCGTAGATGATGAGATTCGAGTGTGTCGATCTTCGGACATGCTTCTCCATTTCATGTCCGTTATCTCATTTTCCCGCTTGCACTTGAAGACGGGGGTCACAAAACGAAAACTAGAAAAGCTACGTACCTCCAGGTAGCGCAGCCTCCCCTGCGTCTGTATATGTTCGAAGACAAACGCAATTGATCAGCACATCGCTCATCCTATATCATTCCGAGTCCTCAGTCCTGCAGGCTGTGGTCTCCGGATAGCACCAACCGACCGGAAATTGCCAAGCAGGAGACGCGCAACGGAGATGCCAGCACCACAAAAGAGGTAATTGTTTCCTTGAAGGAGCTCAGAAAGGAAGGATACATACATGAACTCAATGTCTTGGCCCGAATGGTAATCACCACCCGCAAGTCACCGTGCAGATCGGCATACAGCAGTATCAGTACTGCTGCCCGTCGGGAGAGCGGCACGTCGCCGTATGTAGTAGGTGGAGGTGTGTACTTTCGCAGACGATCAATTGCGTCCTGTATAGACAAGCCATGTTAGTGAGTGTGGTAAGGAGGGTCTTCAACAAGATATTGGAGTATGTGCTCGAATGACTCCAAGGTGGTCTTCGGATCATTTTGACGGAGAACTCGTAGCTTGCATCGGTCCTTGACCCTCAATCCTCCCCATTCTTCCAGAGTCAGGGGCGAAATGGGGATGGTCATCCAGGAGGGGGGGGGAAATTCGGGTTGACATTGTCAACCACATGATAAAGGTTCTCAGTTTCTTCTTCTGGAAGAGAGATCCCTCCCCCAGAAAGAGTGGACAGATACTAAGGATGAAAGAGAAACGGCCATATCCGAAATGGTGACTCTTGAAGTCCATCCCAAGACATGTCGCATCCATTGAGACTTGAAGCTTGGATCCAAATCTTCGAGACAGCTTTCGTTTCTCACTGTGCGCTGCGCATGCATACGCACAAGCCCGGTTCAAGACCACTCGGCCTCAGCGAGCAAATAATCGAGGTCATTAAAGATGCAAATCACGGGCATCTGATCAACTCAGGCAATGAGCCACGTCTCGCAAGCGAGGCATGAAATCCACAGCTCCACGACTCCACAGGCAACCTTCCGGAAAGACAAACAACATTCAATGATGCAAGGTTGTGAGAAATAAGAGACGGGATCCAGACCTGCGAGACAGCATTAAGAGGCGCCATTGGACTCGCTCGTGACGGAACGATCGTCTGGAGCTTTGTAATGCGACTGAAGAGCCGGGGAAAGCGAAGATGATTGAACAGTGATGGAAGGTAAAAACTTCCTGCGTAGAGTTGAGTTCGAATGCTAACTCTTTTAATGAATGTGAAAGGCTGGGTTTGTCGATTTCTCATTCCTCTAGGATAACGAGGGTCGACACGACCAGATGAAATTGAGCGCAGTCTTGAGTATTTGACATCTGCGACCTGTGTCGAGGCGTGTATGTCTCCGCTAGTCTTGATCAGGTGAATGGGGGCTTCACTTGAGCTAGCCTCCGTCAAGGTGACCGGTTTGTAGGGAAGTATGAGCTCTTGATCGTCTGTTCTCAGATCCAACAGAAGTGCTTCGGGCTGTCAGGCATCTGACTTTCCCCACGTTCTGGACGGGAGCCGAGGCTCGGTGTGGCTGAAGTGGGTCCCGCCGCTTTTTCCAGGATTGCTCTTCTGTCTGCCAGTGATCCCACCCCTAACAAGTTCCAAGCAACTGTTGCACGGTAATCTGTGTGAAAGACATGGGAGGAAATGGTGAGTCAGGATGCAGCGTACGTCTGAACTGATAGACCGGATATGTCTAGATGCTGCACCTCGTAATTGGAGAAAGAACAAGTGTACTTTCACCATCAATCAGGAATTCCATAGGTGCAAGTATGATACTCTGTGGTTCTGCTGATAGAACAATAGGTGCAAGAACAACCTTAGCTAGGCCACACAGAAAACTCAACGGACAAGAATCGCGTAGAAAGGAATCGATTCATGCACTATATTGTAAGCCGATCAAGCTCGGCAGTCAAAATTCTATTCATATCAATAGCAAAGACAAATAAGACACGTGAGAAGAGATATAGAAGAGCAAAGATTGGTAATAACACAGAATCGCCAGCAGCCTGCGGTCCCAGGGAATGAGGAAGATAGAAAGGGGAAGAATGATGGATACAACCAAAAACCTGTGAAAAGGAGAAAATCTATGTAAATATGACCAGATATCTTTATCTGAACCCACAACCGTTACAATGCGAGACCTTTTTGCACTGTCAATGTATAAACCCTCGTGTCGCCCTCACTTAGTTGGTCTTCTTGTCATCCCATTTGACAGGGGATTCTGCAGCCTTGACACCCTCGGACACAGCCTCTTTGGCCTCGGCAGCTTGCTTCTCGGTGGTCTCCGCAGCAGCTTCCATGCGGTTTTGCTCCTCTTTCTCATCGATGTCGTCGATATCCTTAGGGGGTGAGACGCCCTTGCCCTCGTTCTCACTGTTCTGCTCGTTCTCCTCCTCAATCAACTCTTCCTGCTCCTTGATGACCTCCAGACGCTGCTTGTTGGTGGCAGCACCCTCGGCATTGTGGACCTCGAGCTCGATCTCGTGGAACAGCTCTTCGGGGATACTAGACAGGACAGATTTGAGGGCCTCGATCTGAGACGCCATCTCGGATTCCTTGCCACCTTGAGTGTACATGTAGGCGTTGCTCAGCACAAGCAGAGTCGAGGGAACGCCCTGCTTAAGACGCAGATCCAACCACATAGTGAGATCTTCACGCAGGCGGGCGGGGGAGACACCATGAGTACGGATTCCGCGACTGGCGCAAGCCATCTGCAACTCGGGCACAGACAAAGAGTTGACACCCTCGTATGAGATGGCCCGGTCGTCACGCTTGATCTGTCGCATGCGGTGACGAATGTTATAGCGCAGCATAGCGTCGGTACCAAAAGTGTTCAAATTCATATAACGGCAGATTCCCACGAGCTGAGGGCGAGACAGGTTGTCCAAGGTCAGATCATCCTTGAAGATCTTGCAGACCTTGATGACATCTTCTGTGGAGGGAGACTCGCCGGTTTTGCGAATCTTGCGGAAAAATTCGGCAAATTCCTCATTCTTGACAGTTGCTGCAGTCAAAGGAAGGCCGCTCTCCCGAAGCGTGTTTCGAAGGAAGGTAGAGACTTCCGAGCGCGTCGAGCTCAGTTTCAGAGCCTTGGTCTCCCGGCCTTTTTGTCCCTCGTAAGTGCTAGGAAGCATATTGGGGAAGACCTTGAGCGCGATGGGGAGCAAAAGTTCGGCGAAAGGAACGATGACAAACATGGAGAAAGGGACAAGTCGGCCGAGATCCTTGACGGTACGTTGAAGCTGTGATAAATATCCGTCAGCACTTGACATTCAGAAGTTCTGAAACCAGATAATGCTCGAAGCAGTGACTAGCGAATGCGTACCTGACGATGCTCTCTGCGGCTGAGCTCATAACCAGCAGCCATCTTCAGTGCCAATCGAGAACTGATCTTGACCTCCGTAGCGAGCAGTTTTGTGCCATCCCAGTAGTGCTGAATCTCCTTCTTGACCTTCTGACCAATGGTCAACTTTTTGGACTCCTTCTTGTCCTCGGAGACAGCTTTAGAGCCTTCCGCGAGAACCTCTTTACTGTTCTTCTCTGGCGACGAAGCCTTGACAGCATCTGATTTAGGTTCGGCCGTGGGCTGCGTGGCTTGAGGCTGCTCCTGAGAAATTGGCTTCTTTGCTTGCTCGGCATTGAATCCAGGTGGTGGGTATGACTGGGATGAGGAGGTCGAAGTGTTGTGCTCGGTAGCGTATCCGCGATGGGGCAAGAGAATGGCAAGCGCAGAGACCTGTGCTGGGATACCTCGACCATTGAACAGAAGACCGTTAGTCGCGGCTAATGTAGCCGGACCCAATGCGCTGGCGCGAGAACGAACTATTTTTATCAGGAAACAAAGGGACAGTCAGTAAGAAAGACCCTTCAATCAAGGTCAAGCGGTTTGTGAAATGACACTTACCGGTCAATGCCGGTCGCAGTGCGCTGGTTTGGCGCACCAGTCGGGCTGATCGCATGGTGGCGGACATTTGCGGGAAATGTTGGGAAGAAGGAAAAGGGAACAAGCCCGGGGAAATGGAGCAGACGAAGATGACAACAACACAGCAGCAGCAGTAGGAACAACAACAAAGGGGGGGATTATTCCACGCGAATCTTCAACCCGTGAGCTAAAGCTGATAATTTTAGCAGTCAACTTGAGATTGGCAAGGTAATAATACTTGGTGGGAGGTGGACTCCAGAGATGTTTTGTGACGCCGGGAATCCATCACGTTCCAATCACGTGATATCATCCGGCTTCGGGAGTTTTGGTGGTCGGAGGACCGGAGTTAATTGGATGGCAGCGCAGGCCTGGAATCTGCTTGACTCCGCGCCGGGCGGTCTATGGCGATCGCGCCAAGACAGACGGAGCCGAACGGACCCTCCGTACCGAAGTTGAGGTGCGCGATGCGGATCGGACACCGACCCACCGAGACTGGTTATGGTGAAGTAGGTGAGAGGTGAAATGTTGATGATCTGTAAGCACTGAGAGTAAGCATTAACCAGTTGGGAGTGTCAAATTTTTGATATATCCTGTATTTACTATATTATTGGACGAGTGGTGGGCATATTTTGAGCGCTCTGGGAAGTATTGATATTGACATCATCGAGTTCTCAATAAACACAATGCAAGTAGTAGACCGTTATTCATCAAGTCGGAAATCTGACCAGCGAAAGAGAGACCAAGATAGACACAGCACAGAGGACGCCGGAGTCAAAGGAAACATTCACGGCTGATACAGGTAACAAACAACGCAATCAAAAGCTCCGGAAGAGTAAGGTGCAACTTCACAATCATCGAAACAATTCGCGCGAGGCCATAAAAAGACCGCTGTCCGCCGACCAGTTGGTGTACTGGAGATGGGTATATGAAAAACAAAGAAGACAGTTCGACACAACTACGACTCCTGACGCACTACACGCTCCCCGGCTTGAGGAGCGTCGTGGGCGCTAGAAACCGCAGCCGAAGTCGCATCGAGCAGAGGGATCCGGTCAATGCTGCCACGCTTCTCCAGAGGCGCAGGAGCACCGAGGGCCCCACTCACTGGAGTAGATGAATCGGGAAGGATAAGTGGACTGGAGGCATACTCGGGAGAGCTTTGCCACCGGGCAACGTCCTTCTTCAACTGCTCCAACTCCTTCTGGAAGCGCTTGCCAAAGACGTCAATGTAGTAGGTGGCACCGTTGTGGATGCTCCAAATGAAAAGAGCCGACATGTACAGCCCACTCGCCCAGCGTGACCAGAACCAAATTGGGCAAGGAATCATCGTAGATAAGGCAAAAGAGTACTGAATCAGCATGAAAGCTGGCTCTTGCAAGGACTCGGGAAGGCCCAGGACGAATTTCCCGATCCAGGCCTTGGAGTACGACTTGCGAAGCCAGGTGAAGCTAGTTGGACGGCCGGCGGCAATCTTATCGGCGCGACGAACCGTGATCATGAAGTGGTAGGTTAGCTGCCAGACCAGGTACGGAATTGTGGCCCACGCGATCATGGCACCCAGGGAGTAGTGCTCGGGATCTCCCGGTTGACTGAACTTGATTGCGTAGACTGCGGGGAACCGCTCCTTGAGCATCTCCACCGGAGTCAGGTGAACGATGCAGTGGAGAGTGACAGGTGGCATGATGTGGATGAATAGACTGTCGGTAAAGAAAAGGGCATGGTTAGTCAGATGTAAAGAAGAGCCATCCAGGGATACTAGAACTGGAGAGGAAACTTGACATACCTGACCACTTTATCCATGCTGTGAAAAACCAACGAATTTCGCCACATGGCAATGGCCGCCGCGTTATTGCCAAAGGTCAGGCAGTAGGTGCTGATAAACAAGCGCTTCGATCCCGGGAAGAACCAGATGGAGAGCATGCAGAGCAAATTGACAAAGTAACAGAGGTCGGCCAAGAAGTAGTGGTAGCCCTTGGCATGGTAGGTGTACCAGCGGATAGGCATAAAGTAGGCGAGCTGGACGGTGAACCAGTAGTAGAAGAATTGGGGATAGGAGCCCATCAAATAGCCACTGATGAAGATGTTGAGGACTCCAGCAATAAACGAGATCTTCTCGCGCAGGGTCACTGTGGCGGTCTTGTTCCACTGCTTGCCCAGACGCTCGACACCTTCCTTCATGCGGCGACGATACTTCTCGAGCTGCTCATCAGCCGTGGGTACTCGGCGCCGCAGTTCGCCCACCACTCGTGTCTTGGCATTTGCGCCGGTCGAGCGTAACTTTTCCCGTTGCCTCCGGACTTTCTCTCGCTGCGCCGTGATTGCATGTTGCCATTTCTCGAAGCGCTGCGAGAGTTGGATGTTGTCGAGCAGGTCAAAGATGGTCAACTTGTCCAGAGGAGGAAACGTGTCCCAGTCCTCCTGATAGGAACTGCTGTTGGAGAAGGATGGATTTCGGGAGAGTCTCCCCGGCGTATCCGTGGGCGAGTGGTACTCCTCATTGTCATAATCATCGAAAGGATTATCGATCAACTCGTCGACCGACGGAGTGGCGGCCACCGAGTCCGTTCCCACAGTGGAAACGGACTTGCGGCGTTCCCGCAAGGCAGAGTCCTCCATGAGGAATTGCTGTTGAAAGGATAAGATGGTAGGACCGTCCCGGCAATGGGGATATGGTCGACTGAGGAAACGGGTAAACGTTAGCATCCCCATTGTGCATGCGAGAGCAGAATATCGCGACGAGTGCCGGCGCCGGCCAGGCGAGCACTTGCCTTCTTATCGGGCGCGCAATCTCTCAGAAAAATCACTCTGTTTTTTTTCGGGTTTTTTGACTTTGCCGAATGCAACCTGTTGAGGGGCAACGAGAGCGTTGGTTACATACCCTTATCGGATCGCGAGAACCACGGCAGGTATCACGCGGGGAGCGCCAGCGCGCTGTGGTTGGTGAGGGGGTGCGAACGGGATGCAAGCACGAGCAGCTGTGCACGAAGACGGCGAGTCTGATGAGTGGACCGGTGGAGGCACACGCGAGGTCAGGAAAGGGTTCAAGGACGGGGGACTGATGAGAAGACGGAGTCGTTGAAGGCAGGTGGACAGGGTCTTCAAGCTCAGTCGTTGCAGGGGGGGAAGTCGCAGGGCCTCAGGAAACAAACCATAAAGCAGCGTCATCGCACACCGTCGCCGGGGAACTTGTCATTGGGTCGTGTGGGGGCCAATTAAGTGGCTCCATTGCGCCACAGGCCTGGATCCTCTTCGGAGGGCGAGTCTCGCCTTTTGCGTCGGAAAAGGTTAAGCCAACGCCAAGCGATTTCCTCCCCCACGATCCACGGGAGAGGTGAAGATCACGCCAATCTTGCAGGTATGAATAGTCCGAGATTAGTGTGTTCTCAGCTAGTCAACTGTGACTCATCGAAGCAAGTGACTGGCGCCCGCTGTCGAGTCAGTTTCAAGGTTGGTGATCGTGTGTGTGAACAACAAAGTCATTCGGTGTATAAGTCGATCAATATCATCATATCCATATTGTGAGCCTTGTGCAGCGCAAATTCGATAATTGATCACTACTGTCTCCTGTAGACCGTCTCAGTTCTGACTCACGTGGCCCTTCAGCGCGGAGTCCACTTTCTCCGTCCCGGACTGAACCCTTCTCCATAGGTACTTGACGCTACATGCAAAGCTTGCAAAGGTCGCTCACAACAGGGTATGCCCAGTGGCTAAACAAGCAATCGTCGTGACATTGTGCTTATGCTGGGAAACGCCCGTCCATATGACAACAGAGCCGTGATGTTCGACATGTGTCGATCCATGGATAAGGCTATCAAACAAGACCAGACAGAGCTTGATGAGACATTCGCAATACATTGTCGCAGACTCAAGTTAGGCATCCATCATGCTCCCGGGATCGTCAGAAAATTGCGTCCCGACTGACTCAGCCCAAATCGTGCAATCGAACAATCGGATCATAGCAAGACTTGTGAATCCTGACCAGCCCAGATTGAGAAATTGTGATGATCGATAAGTGACAATACCGCGATTCCGCAGCAACAAGATCTCAGCATGGGTTTAACAGATCTGACGAGGCTGCACCGAGAAAATGTCGAGACCGCAAGAGGGGACATTGAAAACCGCAAGGCAGGATTGCGTGGGTTGCAACGAGGTCGCAGAAACTGAAGGTCGAACCCACGGAGGAGAGGCTACCAGTGATGAGCCCTGTGCCGTGCGTGGACAGTCCGTATGTCGACGGCAAGCAATTTGTTTCCTTCCTAGGATCCCGCAAGGCCTCGAGTAAAGGAATATACGCCCTGCTGAAACGGAGCCATAAGGAGTCTCGATGAAAGCCTGGTACTCGTAATGCCCTGGCTTAAGTCCCTAGGGGGGGGGGGGGGGGCCAAACGCATATGCAAAGGTGAAAATTATCTTCTTGACTATTCAATCGAGAGAGGGTGGCAACAACTGTCTCGATCGAAGTGGAGATGGGAGGAGAAACAGAAACAGGGAGGTAGATTCGAACGAAGAAGAAAGGTGTATCTTATACGAGTTTCTCAATCTGACCTCATAGAGTTGGGACAGAAAATGAATAAAGATTCAGAAATGATGGGACACGCGAGGGAACATCTATACTGACCTATTCCAGGAAGTTGGAGCATATTAGGACAGAAAGCCTAATGATTGAACTCAAAGTGAATCAATCAGGTACTACGTTGGTCCGGCTAGCATGTACGTTGTTATTCATCCTCGTCATTGTTAGAATTCATCCATCACAGATGACCTCAAACCAGGCGATGTTTTGCGCAATCTTTTGTTAATATTACGATAGATCGAGCCCTCGAGAGTGCGAATTTTGCTCACACTGGAGACAAACACTTGAAAGGTATGACAAATATTTCCATGTTGGACCTACATAGAGTTATGATGGGTACTTCTAAAGTGCTTTTCTGGCAACATGCCCGGCAGAAGTGAGACAAGTGAGAGAAGAAGGGAAGAGGGACGGAAGCTCATGTGGGTGTAGTGGGTAACTCAAGCAGATACCCAAATTAAAATTGTCTTTACTCCATTTTATCTACTGTCTAAGTCTTCTAAATCACCATATCACAATCTTAATCACCAAGGTAATAAGTCATTGAATGAAAGTGTGCGACAGCTGCGAATCAAAGTACGTGTCATGGAATATACGTTTTAGGGCCACGTAATGAATGGGATAGTATGGTGTATGGGCTATCAGACATATAAGAGAACCGTAATTACAGCGCTGGATGCTTTGATAGCCGAGGGACGGGAGGGCTGCCGGGCATGTTTTTCTCTTCAAGCCTCGATTCTTGGTCGTATTCGTGATTCATTCTTGCTCCATTCTTGACTCATGACAGTGATGTATGGCGCTGAACCCAAGACGGAACCTGAACTGAGAAGGTAGAAAGTGAAAAGAAAATAGTGAACACACGCCCCCAATGTATGTATATAGTACTCTTTATTAGTAACCAAATGATGAATTCTGTGGCATTTGTGCCATGGTCGGCCAGTAACCCGCTGATGCCTTCACACTGGGCATGAATTGTTGCCCATAGCATGGGGCTAGGTAGGTTGACTCAATGGGGATGTCTTTGATAGTCGCAGGGGACGGCTGTGTTGCCAGTACACCGGAGGGCATGGCGGTGGTATACGCTCCGTATGTACCAGGGCTATGAGGACCGCTGGAGTCACTTGTTGTAGGAGAGAGAGGCAGCCCGTGTGGGTTGGGGTGTAACCCATGTGCAGCGACAGGGCCCATTGCCGCATTGTCATCGAGAGGCATGCCATGAGACTCAACTCCATAGCTGTCCTCATCTTGGTCCTCTTGTTCATCTTCCATCAAAGAGAGGGGCGCGATATAGATACTTGAGGATAGGTCGTCTTCGTGGCAAATTGCCTCGGGAAGATGGGTGTGTCGAACTTGTATGCGAGCGTTTGCGTCTGTGATGGCTTAGCTTTTGACACTCCTGAACCATGTGATGGTGACATGTGCATGGAGTAAACCAACCGAGGTCTCCATCCAGGAAGCGTTCCTCCAATTCTCGCACAAAGTATATCTCATCTAGTACCTGAACGCGATTCGTAGGAGTGATCTGACGTCGAACATCCTGACCAGCTTCTCGCAGCTTCTGGGCCGTGATGCCGTGGCTGTCCTTTAATTCACACAGAATGTGCACAAGAAGTTTCAAGCGGTCTACAGCAATTTCATGATTGTAAATTAGCCAAGTCGATCATGTCAAAAGTCAAAGCTTGCTCGTATATCCGGTCTGGACTCACCTCTCTTGAGCAGATGGTCTGGTTCTCGATGAAGAACTCCCAGAGGCCACCACGCTGGCTTGGTCTGTTCCGGGTCCACACGTTGTGCTACGCCCGCAATGACCTTCCGCCCATTGTATGGAAAGTGAACCTGCTTTCTAGGTTCCACAAGCTTAATATAAGACTTGGCGATCGTTCGACAATTCAATTGCTGGAAATCTTCAAAGGCCTTCTCGTAGTATCGTCGAAGTAGATCACGATCCCCAACTCGCAGGACCGTGTGACCAGGTCGCGGAGCTGGTGTAGGAGAGGCCGGTTTGTATTGAGGCTGAGCATTGCTGGTTCGTCTTGAGTCGCGTCTCCTCCTCTTATTCTGATCCAAGAACTGGCAGGGTATCATCTCCGCAAGTCCTGTTGGTCCCGTACGCATCAAGCCAGGGCTCGAACGGGTTGTGAAAGGCGAGCCTTCGAATAGTTGACTAGGACCTATGTTGCTGGTCAGCAATCGTCGTTCATGGCCATTGCTCTGTTTCTTCCTCTCGTGCAAAGATCTTGGATAGCGCTGCTATGGTGCGGGTTTCAGGCTTACTGGCATTCATGGACGGTAAAGCACTGGTCACTGGGCTTGGGTTGGCCAGTTTCACGAAATTGTCCGTCACCTCCGGTGTGAAGATCGCACCACCACAGCCAGCCATTGAAGCTGAAGCCTTGACACGCAGCTCGCCATTGTGATCCAAATAGATCATGGCATAATGAGGATGTGGGAAATCGACACCAGAGTCCGACTACGTGCATAAGTTAGCCCAGACTGTCGCAACATATATTACCCCCATTGAGGCCTGCCGGAGCCTTCAATTGAATCCTTGTCTGTCAACAATGATGGGAGCGATTGTTTACCATTGGGTTCGCGGGAGATATTGAAGCTTCGGAGTGTCTGCGCTCGAGTGCATCACCAACCTCCAGGAGTGGTCTGCTCAAGTCCATGTTTCCCAAGAGGTGATGTAATTCAAGTCAAGAAATGTCGATCGATGGGTTTTGCAACTTCGATAGTGCGCGTTCCTTCGATGATGTTATACAGATGTGGTGATCTTCCTTCAGGATGCAGGCGATCTATTGAGAAGGAAATACAACATATAGCAAAGGGATGCTGGTGGATCCCCGAGAGATAAGAAGAAGAAACTGCTTTAAAAAATCAAGGCGATGGCTTCTTTCGGTGTGAAAATTGATGGAGATACCGCAGCTCGCTGGTCGAGTCCGACCAGCAGCATAAGAGTACTACTACTGTCGAGTGCCCTGTACCAGTGTACAGTGTACACTGGCCATTTGATGGGTACAAATTCCGCCGCCACCTGCAGGGAAGGGGTCGGTACACCTCACCGCAGTTACTTTGCGAGGTCAAGCAGTCGAGTCGGGCGAGATCCTGCCAGTTGCTTATTGCTATTCACGGCCATCAAAAAAGCACCGTGTACACTGTACCCGCTGTCTGGGTAGATGGAACTCTCGGGATTTGTATTGTTGGGCCCTTTTGGTTTTCTTCTCTTTTTTTTTTTTTTTTTTTTTTTTTTTTTCCCTTTTCGGGGGTCTTCCTTCCAAATATTCAAGCCTTCTCATCTTGCGCGCAAAGTCTTCTCCATTTACGAAGAAGAACGATCGAAGCTATGGCAGATCTCCGCATCATCGCGGTTTCCAAATCATGCAGACTTGCGATTTAGGGGGAAACAGATTCCACTTTCATGCAAGGACGTGAGGGAGAAAGAAGAAAAACTAAACCGTCGGTGGGGCCCATTTTGGTGGCAACGAGGCCGGGCCTGCTCGCAGGTCGCCTGCTCAGCGGCTGCAGCCATGGATTGACATATTCCCCTAACTCTGACTTGTCGTGCCTCGTCTTTCGTGTGCTGCGAAAAGGGCTGGCAGGAGGGATAGCGTTCTGGGGGCAGAAGGTTGCGGTCAGATTGTCTTTGCGTAGCGTCATGCATCTGTCTAACCGAGTGAGGAATAGTCTGGGTTTAGACCAGACTGACCGTTGGGTCGAGATCGTCAAAAATAGTAGTCCATCACAATACACATCGGGTGTCCTGTTTTACACAATTGTTCCTACTTCCTACTTCCCAGTGGACGCTAAGTACTCGCTGTACTCGACACAATACTTGGTGGATGTCGTACATTATTCTTCATTCACCATGCATGGAATGGACACGGCGGTAGCAACGACCCCTCACCCCGCTGCGAAGTTCTTACAGTGGTAGACACTAGACAGTAGACAATCACAGGCCTCCCAAGCACCGTACCGATGGGATGCACGGACATCAAGTGAGAAATCCGATTCAGCCTGGGAGAAACAAATGCATGTACTGGATAGTATCCGACCAATGGATCCGATTCAGACCCCAGATGCAGCTGGGAACGATCTTGATCCCCGAATATCCCGAGAAAGCCTAATCTGCCCGATGAGAACTCTAGGAAATGAAAGGGCAAGGAGTTTCCAAGAAGGGCTGCCTATTGCGGAGCAGGGCTTGGTTTCAAAAGTCACGAGGTCTGTGTGTGTACCTCGTACAGTAGTACTACTGTGTGTCGTGTCGGATGGGGCTGATAGATCGCTCAAACTCTCGCTCGAGAACAGAACGAAGGGGAAAAGAAAAGTGACTCCTCCACACCTTCGCGCGAGTGTCGATCTTGAATTAGTGTTTGAGATTGTCACACACACATGGGTAGCTGTGCAGCCATCTGGGCGCCCCTGGCCGCACTGCTCAAAGTGATAGTGCAAATAGTCCAGCGCAAGCTCAGGATATGGAGTACGGTGGACGATAGTGGTAGAGAGAACGGACTTGGACTGAACCTTAGCACAGATGCTGTGATGATCAGATCAAAGGTCTAGACATTCATCTTGGCGATAACCCCTACCAGACGGTGTCCAGCAGTGCCTTCCTCCCGCCAGAGCACCCCGAATAGTAAAGTTATTGATAGGTCAGTGCGTCAACTTATAACATTGAGTCCAGCAATGAATATGAAAAGGTTAGTCAAAGTCAACGCATGGGGCGACGATACGACATCGTAGTAGACCATCGAATTCTCTGGACAGCCCCCCCCCCCGAGTCGTATACCTCCAGATGTACCGTGGATCGGCCAACTGCAAGGAAAATGAGAACAGGGTTGCAAATCAGAGACTCAGTCCAATCTCATTGTTACATGACTCGTGAGACGCATTTGTTGTGCCAGGCTAGAAAGTTTGAGCTTATCTGAGACTTCATCCCTTGAGCCGCTTGGTCAGGGTTAGGTACCTGATTCGAGGATGCCTTCAAGCATGAACAATTTCAGAGTGTGTTAGTTGCAAACAGAACTCCAGGTACCCAGCAGCAACAGAGAATGTCATCATCCACATGGGATCGATCGTCCTCGCTGGCCAGACCTATGGTCGAAGCATGCGCGCACAGAGATCATCATGAACCTGGAGAGCTGAAAAATGATGATGATGAATCCCATCATCATGATTGCGAAACACTCGACGAGAAGTAGTTACGACTCCAGATGGCAAAAGCACACATCTACTGTAAAGCCATGCTTCTGTCGAATGAAAAGTGCACGAAAAACGAAGGGAACAATGAGGGATACAAATGACTGTCAGTATGTAGTATCTTTGTCGTTGGTCCGGAATGGCATTCATTGTCCAGTAGGAACTGCTTCCTACTTCCGGATCGACAGCCAGATCCTCTTCAGACTTCAGACAGCATGCCGTGAATTTGACCACACTGGGCTCGAGGGATTCTGAACGGCGCTGAAGACCTTTCAGCGCGAAGAATGGCGGCACTATTGAGTGAGTAATTGTTCTCAGCTAACAAGACTCAAGGCTCCTCTTAGCTGGCGTTGCACGGTCGAACTCCCTCAATTGTCGGACTCGGGCATGCATCGATCGGATCCGGTAAAAGTCGCCATGAAATCCGCCTGCAATGACTCAGGACCAAGCCCAAGATAGGCTCACCAGTCCCGGAGAGTTTGGAGTTTGGAGTGACCCCAATCGGGCGGGTGCCTGTGAGCGGAAATTGCATCCCCATTCCGAGCATGTCTGAGAGCCAACAAATCTCATGAGTCTCCAGAAAGGAACAGATGATTGTCTGGGTCTCGGTCTTTTAGGCCCTGGATAGTTCAGCCTGCCTGTGCGGGTATCTCCACTGGAGCATGACCCCAGCTCTTCCTCGCTCCCGACCCACATCACCACCAGCAACACACCCCCTCTGAAAAGAAGGCTTGCAGAGAGGGAGTAACCCAGTCGGCGAGCGCAGGTGAATGCATGGTCACAGTCACGATATACTCCTTCTCTGCTGCACAGCAACCGCCGACGTCGTGACTGTGGATCGGGGGAAATCCGGCACTCCACAAGTCACGATTCAATCAGCTGGCGGCGGCGGCGCAAAGACTCGACACGTCGAATTGGCTCACAGCCACTCCTGATTCGAAGTCCTCGACCTCTCGTCTCGGGCCAAAAGTAAACGAATGCGGTCTGGCGTCATGGATTAGCCTCAACGTGGCGCGAACTCAAAAAGCTCGTGAAACCATCACCATAATACTCCACATTAAGACCCTGGGAGTCGACCCAGCTTCCTGGTTGATCTCCAGCGGCAAAGCATTAGCTCAGTATGACAATGATAGAACCCCGGCCAGACATCCAAGATCGACCGTTTCTCTCACTGTCCCGGGATCCAGCGTCAAATCAAAGAGCTCGTTGGAAAGGGAGGTGGCGTCGAGAGCGCGGGCCTTCTATCCCTTGCGTAGGTAGCGGGGAAGGCAAGATGCAGAGCTGTATTCTGTGCTGTACAACAATGCACGCAGTGGACTAATCCCAGATCTCGAGGGCCTTCAGACCCATGCTTATGGAGCAATGGCCTTTATCAAGGTCAATCGTCAAGCAAGAAAGAATCCACACAGAGGCCGACGCGTCGACGCACAACCTCGCCGGGAGATCGAGCGGGTCCTGAAGACCAGCGCTGAAGGCTTACAGGGGTTGTCTTTTCATGCCAGTGACTACTACTATACTCAGTCACTTAGACGAGCAGGCTGGGCACATATCGGCGATCACCCTGCTGGGACGAACACGTATGCGGAAGATCCAGAACAGTTTTGGTTTGGCGACGGCGCCAGCATATTGAATGCACATGGCGATGGCGACGTGGCGGTTGCAGCATCTCGGGGTTCAGGGATGAAAATTCTCGGACTTGCGCGTATTGCTGGCTTCACATTGCCTGAGACCCAAACACGCGAAGCATCCGCGCATCTCTCCCGGTCGTCGCTTGAGAGATGAGGAGAGTCTGGGCTGGGGAGGAGTTGCCGTGATATGTACACGGTGAGTCTCTTTGCGTGAACAGTGGACGATGTTGAAAGGTGGGGTGATTCTTCTAGACTTACCAGATGTAAAATCGTAGACGGATATTGATGGGGTGTGCCAACTACCTGGTGAGTCCCCGTGGCGGCACTGGCCATGTGTACATTTCACAACAGCCCAGACACGTGGTTTCTCTGAGACTTGTACTTTTCATATACCTACTCAACTTTCTGATTCAAGTTATTCCTCGATCCTGTAGAATTTCTTGATTCCCATCCGTCTGTACCCGTTAATTTTTCCCTGCTAGTATGATATTTCCAACAAACATCCGCGAGATCGTCGCGAAGACGCTCAATCTTTTGCATCAATCGACCCCAAGAGCAGCCTCGTCCGGCTGACAAGTGAAAAGCCAGGAGCAAGCGAGAAGCGCTCATATTCACGATGCCCACAAGCTACATTATATTAGCAAACCCCCAAGCTCAAGGCAGCTACACTTCTACCGTTCGCTGTACATGACGGTACAAACACATTCTGACAAATCGCTTGCTCTGCTAGGCGAACTCATCTGCCGCCTGTTGACGCACACCGGTCCAATCGTCCCTATTCATTGCTTGCGATGCTGCTTCTGACTTCATTCGCCGTCTATCGGTGCACATGAATTGCCGTACATAGCGCATGGAATGAGCGCATTGCAGACCATGGTAGCATCGAGACACTGCCTGCACCTAGAATGCAGTGCTACCAGATTGCTGCATGCTGAGAACCGCCATTCGGATCTTGCTGCCGTCCATTGAGTGTGCCTCCATGCTGACGCGACTCTCATCTTCAATCATGGAAGAAATCGCCAGGTTCACACATGCGCGATTTACATTTGATCTCAGTTGGAAACCACGGCGACGTATACCATTCCAAAGCACGTCTCCTTCATGTCAGATGAAGGCTCATCTTCCGTTCTTGTTTATCTTTTTTTCTTTTGAATTGAGGCGGTAGCAAAATTGGAAGGCGTCATGGAATGTCCTCACGGTGCATTTAAGATGACGAAATGTTATAAGAAGCATCTGTCACAAAAAAGACGCTGAGAGGCACGCGTTGGAGGAAGCCCAAGTTGGCGTGATGAATACAATTGGGGTCACCCTGGCGAGATTCTCCGAGCCTGATTTTGAGATTGACGAAAGCGACAAGAGTCAGGAGGACATTAAGCCAGCGTCGTCCTGGGCGACTCAGGGCTCTCTAATACGTGACGTCCTAGTATTTTGTGGTCAGAGATTTGTAGTATCGAATTCACCTACAACGACTCGCCTGTGCATGAGGTCGAAACTCAATTGATACTATCTACTCACTCTATGAAAGTCAAATCCCGCTTGCGAGATCTTGGCGGGACTCGATGGAGTTGGGCTGCTGAAGTTGCAATAGACGGAGCATGTCAAGGTTTCTCAACTGACAATTTGGCTAATGTTGATCAAGACACCCAAGAAGCGGAAGTCTCTCTTGGGCCTGAACAATCCCGAATACCTCATACACAGATCATGAGTACCTTATCTGATATTACTTGTATTATTCGAACGCTTTGTGCTTCATTGCCTACCTGAGTGCTGCACGGTGTGAATTACTCGGCTTCGCAAGTGGGAAGCGCTATTCACATACAGTTCACAGCGATTGCAGCGTGCAGGTCTGAGACTAAGCCACCCGACCAGCCACTGCTCGAATTTCGCAATTGCTAAGATGATCAATTACAATCTCCTAAAGACCAGCCCAAATTATCGCTGTCAAACTCATAAGAAGTACAAGAATGATATTTAGATAGAGTGTTCTCCACCGGCTGCCCGTGACAGTTGTTTCTCCATCCGTCGAGAACTGATGTGTCAAAGCTAAGGAGAGGTCCCAGTGAAGAAGCAAGAGTTTACAATGAAAATGAGGAATAGGACGCAATAAGCAAGTCGTAAATCCATCAGGACGAGTTATCTCACCCCGCGACTTCAGGTGTACTTTCGGAGCTGGAAGGAAAAATGTCAGCACACTTCAATCGAGACAGGAGGTCACTCAAGCGCCGTGTTACTCACATCGAGGGTCAAAGACTTGCTGCTGTTCTCCACCTGATCGCGATAGATGCCGACAAGAGCCTCACTGTTCTGGAACAATCCGGCTTTCAGACTGATCACAATGAACTGCATGCCGGGAGCTGCGTGGTCATGGATGTAATTGGCGATGCGAGCAACGTTTGTGTTATCAAGCGCAGCGTCAACCTCGTCCAACACGAAGAAAGGTGATGGTTGGTAAGAGTGGATAGCGAACAATAAAGCGAGTGCGGCCATGGTCTTCTCACCCCCGGATAGGTGCTCCATGTCTCGGAAACGTTTCAGCGGGGGCATGGCATGGTACTTGATACCATCCAGGTATGGCTCATCGGAGTCTTCAATGTCCAGATAAGCTTGACCCCCTAGAGGATAATTTGTACTCCGAGTCAGCTCGCGGTAAATGGGACCAATCTGCTCTGAGATGTGCGTAAAGGCTTTATTGAAGAGATCGGAACGTTGCTTCATGACCGCTTCAAAGTCATCCTTGGCTCGTCGAGCGTACTTGCGAGCATCCTCAAAGTCCTTTTCAGTGCTCCGAAGTTTGTTTTCCACACTTTCCAGGCGCTCCATAGCCCTGGTATTCGGAGCCATCTTGTCCAGTTCACTGTTGAGGGCGCGAACTTTATCGAGCAATTCTTCCTCGAGCTTCTCGTCGGTTCCCTGTGAAATGAGTATTTAGTTAGATGTTCAGTGGAGATTTCCGAGTAAAGCGACGATACCTCTTTAAGCGACTCTCCGAGCGAATCAAAATCGACTTCAATGCCATAGTCTTGAACGATAGGAGACTCATCCATCTCATCACCCTCGTCTACGTCCATTGCATCAGGATCGGCGGCGCCCTGTGCGAGGTCGTCGATTGGAAGCTTGTCAAGTCCATTGGAAGAGTCTGTAAGAGGAATGTCGATGTCTTCGAGCTTGCATCGTCGCAAGAGAGCATATCGACTAGAAGAGTTTCGCTGGATCTCGGCTTCAAGAGCATTAATCTGCTTAAGGGTACCTTCAGTGTGCTTGCTGCGCTTCAGAAGCTCCCTTCTTTGTTCGGCAAGGTTTTCAGCAGCTTGCGCATAGATTTCTTTCTGCTGCTTAAGATTCTCGCGCAACAGTTCAAGCTCCGCGTTAGACTCATCAAGCTCATTGCGAATTTCCTCTTGCTGGACCTGAAGCTCTTCAATGAGGCTAACGTCACGCTCGTATTGAGCCCTGAGACCGTTGATACGATCATCAGTAGCTTGGATTCTTTGTTTTTCGAAGCTCAGTTGATTTTCAATACGACTCTTCTGTGTTGTGAACTCGAGCTTCTTTTGCGAAGCCTCCTCTTGCAATGAGCCCTGCTGCGCTTCGTACTCGCGAATGTTCTCAAAACCAAGACGCTTGCAGAACCTGCGGTAGACATCATCCTCCACAGCACTGACAGAAGCATCAGTGCTTTCAATGGTCTCGTCCAACTCATCGAGGTTTTCTTTCCTCTCTGTGTATTTGGGTCGCAGGTCTTCGTGTTGGCGCTTGACAAAGTCGAGCTCGCTTCGTTTGCTTTGAATATTTCGTTCAAGCGCCTTCAATTCCTCTTTAGCATAGCTCAGTCGCTGCTCGAGCCCTACGAGCTCTCCCTGGAGGGTTTCTTCTTCAGATCCACGTCGGTGACTCTTTGGAAGGGTGGCGAGATCCGCCATCAGCTTATCCTTCAGCTTGTGAAGGTTCTCAACTTCAGAGTCCTCCCAGCGCTTAGACGAACTTTGCTGAGGACCACGTCCACCAGTCATCAAACCACCCTTGTGAATCACAGTGCCATCCAGAGTGACAGCCTTTGCATCGACGTTACGCTCATAGCACAGATACTTTGCTGTCGCAAGATCATCACAGACGATCGAGTTGCCACAAGCATAGCTGATTGCGCGAGCGACGGAGTCGTCGTAGTCGATGGTCTCAATCGCAGGTCGCATACCCCTGTGCATACCTTTCAAATTAGAATTGAAGGCCTTCACCTGAATAGTTTCTAGGGGGATGAAAGTTGCCTGTCCTGCGCGTTGATCACGCAGATGCTGGATACACTCCTTGGCAGTCTTCTCGTTGTCAACCACGATCGCATCAAAGTGGCGACCAAGAACGGTGCTCACTGCGTCGGCATATTTCCTCTGTTTGGGACGACAGAGATCACTGACACGGCCTTTCACGCCAGGAAAGATACGTTTCAATGTTGAAACAAGTTCTTTGGCCCGAATTTCACGCTCATTCTGCTTTTTGCCGTCATCGGCTTCAAGCAGCTTCTTGAGCACAACCTGGAGCTTTTCTTCCAGTTCTGTTCGCATCTGGGAAATCTTCAGGCGCTCTGACGTGAGAGCATTGAGGTCCTTCTTTTTGCGGTCGATCTCCTTGGTAGTCGTCTTGATAGTATCATTCAGAGTTGTCTTCCTCTCGTTCATGGTAGCCATCTCAGACTCCAAACTCTGCAGCTGCCACTGCGTGCTTTCGAATTTGCCCTTCAAGCTGTTCACAGCTTCAGCTTCAGTCTTGCGTTGCCGACGTAAATTGTCGAGGTTCAATTGGTCCGCAGAAGATCGCTTGCTAACTTCTTCTCTCAGCTTGTGGTATTCATGCTGGTCTGCCTCGCTCATTTGCACTCCCTGCTTGCTCATGGTTCTTTGCCATTCTGCTTCCCACTGCGCCTGGGCCTTCTCAACAAGCTTGAGATCTTTCTCGAGCTGCTTGGCATTGTTCGCCTGAGCGCTGCGCTCCCGGTCGATTTCAGAGATTTTCGAGGAGTAACGCTCAACCTTCTTCTGCGTGATGTCAATCTTTTCGTCGACAGGGATGAGTGAGTTGTTGAGATCCTCAATATCCTTCTCTTTCTTGACGATGTTCTTTTCAGCCTTGCCAACATCCCTGCCAACGCGTGCGTGATCCTTCTTTGCCTCCTCGACATTGTTCTCGTACTTTTCCATGCCACGGCGATACTCCTTGAGTTCCTCTTGGTATTTTTGAATATCCGCACTGGACTCATCGATGAGACGCTGGAAGTGGAAGAGCTTCCACAGAATATGTGTGATGATGGCCTGGTCGCGCTCCTCTGCCTTCTTGGTGTAGTTCTCCGCTTCCCTCTTTTGCTCTTGGTATTGTTTGACTTCGGAGTTGATACCTCGCCGGCGATTGAGCTGCACAGTCTGCTGCTCCGCGGCTTCTTCCGCCTCCGCTTTAAGCTTTTCATACTCGGCCTTGTACTCCAGACTGCCGGAAATCTGCTCGATCAGACGAGTGAGATCTCTGGGCGACTGTGAGGCAATAGCCTCAACATCTCCTTGGAATACAAGGAAATTTCGAGCGCGAATGAGAATGTTCTCTTCCTCCAAGGCTTCGTTGTACTGTTGTGCAGTCACGGTCCGGTTGTTGATGCGGTATTCGCTAACGCCAGAGCTGGTAATTGAGCGGCGCCATTGTTGCTCCTCGCCGGCGTCATCTTCATACACGGCCATAACCCAGGCAGTCTTCGGATCGTTCGCGCCTCCTGTATCCTGCGACTCGTCCATGGCATCGCCATCTTCCTCGGGCTCGCCTTCTGCTCCGTTGGCGGTGGGCTCTCCGTCTACTTTCGAGGTACGCAGGACCCGCCCACGGTAGACCAGGTCACGGAGATTGACGGACCGGAGATGAGACGATTTTATTCCTAGAACGAACGATATCGCATCCATGCTGCTTCGTGTTAACTCATGTACGTTTTGCCAGTCGCGATTTTCAATAAAGTATCGGTTGGACGCACGAATTTGACTTTCCGGAGCCATTAGGACCGATGATAGATGTGAAGAACGCATCACCGAAAAGAAGGGTGTGGTGACCTTTGTAGGACTTGAAATCTGAGTGGGCCAAATGTTAGGTCGTTTCTGCGCCATGTAGTCAAATGGTGTTTTTTCTTACTGAAAAGCTCCAATCGAATGAGTTTCCCCATTTTGATCCGACTGAGCTTCCGAGGAAGCCGTGCTCTCAGAAAAGCCAGGCAAAAACGTTCAGATTCGCGAACGGAATTTGCGAGTAATAGACCCAGGCTCGCTGATGGTGGGAGGGGCGCGATATGGGGAACCGCGTCGGGAGACGCGCCGGGGAAGATCACGTGCCGGTGTGGTCTCCGCTGTCGTCTATAGAAACGGTTTGTTCTTGGAGCAGTTCACACTTCACAGTGACATTCTACGATAATAGTATGAGGCTCGACGTGCTGAAGAAATTGTTACTCATGCCATGCGCCTGCAATCAGATCTGGGCTGCGGGTTATGGATATCATGTTATGACTATTATTCACCATCATGCATTGATTTCGATATGAGTGCTGTTGCGATGACTCGAAGTTCATCAGGTCTAATGGATTTGATAGTTCTATTGGTACATTTTTCATGCTTTCTGGGTGGGAATGCCATAGCCTTTGAGGGAAACAGGCAGACGATGGGCGATGGGGATCAGTTGCCTCTGGTCATTCTCACCGGATTGCCCAAAAGCAAGAAATCGCGGTCGACCATGCCGTTGGAGTCCATTCGGAAGGTCCCTTTGTGTCCGTCAATCTTCATCAAGATAAAGTCCTCACTTGTGAAGATTTGCCGAACGGACAGGAACACCCTCCAAATGCCATGACTCATTCTCGCAACCGGCGCTTGGAAGAATTTGGGCTTCGGCTCATTAGAACCACCGAGAAGCTTCTTGCTGTCGCTTTCGAAGCGCGCCACGGACTCTGCTGAAACCACAAGCTTCTTTGAGATCTGAACTTGTGAAGGCGCGACCTCGAACTCGTATGTCTTGAAGGGCATCAGGCCGCGAACCTGGAACCGGATTCGGGGTTGGCCTTGAGAGTGGACGGCCTTGATGGAACGGATCATGTTGCCTGTCCGAACGAAGAAGAGCGTTCCCATAACACTCATCGATACACAAATACCGCCAAACAGGGCCTGCTGCCACATAGGAAGCACAGTGACAGGGTCCCGGAAAACCGCGTTCGAGTTGTACACTGCGTACGCAAAGCAGAATGCAGATAGACCGTATGCACTGATATAGTAGCTGCGTTGCGAATGCGCTTGGAATAGCGTCACATCGCCCTCGTGAGCAACTCTGCTAAACAGCCTCCCAAGACCACCAGCTTTGGGTTGCAAATTCTTTGGTAATTCGGCGAATTGTGAACTGGAGAGCGCGGTTCGTCTTTGCGCTTTCGGTAAAGATGCCGGTTGAGGCACTCTTGAGGCGAATGAGCGCCATGAAGAGGCGAACTCTGTTCGTAAAAGCGTGCGTGTCGGAGAGCAGGCAGCGCAGCCGCCAGGGTTCCTGACCCAAATTGCTCGGAAAGTGGCCGGGTTGACAGACATAGTTTAGCTATCTGCAGTTCCTGCACGTGTGGCCGAGGAGTCAGCGCAATACTATTAATGTGGGCGTCATCGTAGCGTCAGTGATATGCGACCACCGAGTCAATCCAATTGAGGAGCATCGCAGGATCGTAGGAGTGTATCGGAGATATTACTTACAAGACCACCTAGACCGACGTCCAACTGTTCTCCTCGGGAAGCGCCGCCAGACGAAAACAGCAGCGCGCAACGGCAGAAAAATATTCCCGTCCCGGCCGCCGGTGAAGGCTCCCAACGCTCTCAACATCGATTGATATCCATTCTACAGTGTGCTCAATTCGCGCGCAATTTACCCATTCTATATCATCGAAAGAGAAGACCCTTGTCGCGGTGGTGAGCTGTTGTTCGAACGTCTCTTCTGCCGCCTGTACCGCCGTTTCGGAGAGTTGCGGACATCTATTTTGACTTAGCTCCGCAAGCCCCAACACCAACCCCGATTTCACCGGCGGATATACAGAACTTCATCACAAAATGGCGGCGCGACTCCCCATTGCTCAAGTCCCGGCCATGTTCGCCCGTCGACAGCCAAGAGTGCTTTGCTCTTCTCGACGTGAGTTATCCGCCGAAGCACCACGCAATTCACAGCGAGCTACGCTTAATCCTCTTGACCTCGGCGCATCTCCTACGGATTTGCATTCTCACGAACAAGCAACTGACGGCATTGTGTGTTAGGTCTTCAATCATCCTCCGCTCCCCAAACTCAGAACCCTGCGTATCCTCTTTACCCTTCTGTCATCCAACTCCTGCACCAGAAGGGAATTCCCGAGTCAGAAGTCTCCAAGATTCCCGCCTCTGGCCCTAAGGGTCGTCTCCTCAAGGGTGACGTCCTCGCCTACATCGGTCAAATCGCCGCTGAGTACCCGGCGAATCAGGCTGCGTCATTGGCCAAGCTTGCACACCTCGATCTGAGCAACATCAAGATCGCCGCGCCGGCCGCTAAGCCCGCCGCACCTGCCGCAGAGGAGAAGAAGGATGTTGTCGCACAACCGCCCCGCATGACCCCGATCGCCATTACGGTCTCCTTGTCTGCCGTCCTGTCTGCGCAAAAGAAGATCCAAGAGAGCTTGGGCGTCACTGTGCCTTTGTCACGCTTCTTGACCATTGCCACCGACCTTGCAAACGATGCACTTCCCCGCGCGAAGAATGAGAAGCCCTCCTCAGACGAGCTGTTCGACGAGCTTCTGGGGGCTGAGCCTGTGAACACATCTCGTGGAAATTATATCCCTGAGCTCAACGCTTTCGATGCCCCCGTGGCTCGTCAGTCTCAACCTGTCGTTGAGGATATCATCGATTTCCTCAGCGCCAAGCCCAGCAAAAGGACTGTCGCTCGCTCAGTCCCCTCCGTGGAGGGAGGTGCTGCGCAGAACGTCTTCAGCCTCAATGTTCCCGCAGGCGAGGAGCTTCGTGCCAAGACTTTCCTTGAGAGAGTGAAGACTCTCCTGCAGGTTGAGCCTGCTCGCTTGGTGCTATAGAACCCAAAGCTCAACTCATGAACCATTTTCCTTCTTCCGGATCTCAGAGTCAACTTCCCTTACCGTCTTCTTTACCACTTGCCAGCTCATGTCATCTTCACTCTGCGACGAAGAAGGCCCAAATTTGTATTCAATGTAGCATAGATAATTCGATACCGCCTCAATGGGCTATTTCCTGAAATTGAATTTGACACCCACCTCTTCTGCATTTAGTGCCGGTAGGATTCCCCAGGAATCTTGGAAGGACCTCGGACCATTCATGTCTGGGCTGGAATGTCGATCATATCGATGGACTGGATAGTAAGATGGAGGCGCCCCCCCCCCCCCCCCCGGCGGGAATCGCGTGGGTGATGTGAAAGTTCAGTCGCAATTGGATGGAAATATACATGTACGACATAGAGAGTCCTGAATAGAACGGGTGGATAAAATTCCCGGTATCGGAGTACTATTTCAAGTCTGTTAGGCAGGCAGGAAAACCTGATAGGTGATCAAGTGTAGCCCTCCGGACCGGCCATATATATGTATTTACACCGAAACTAGCTATTTGACCTGCAATGGATGGTATTCTGCGCCGTGGATACAAGATTAGGCACTCGAAATTGAAAAACCCCGGACGTGATACAAATTCAACTCCTTAACCGACAAGAATAATATGATGAATATTGAGTTATAATAGCAATGGTCATAAGATGTCATCAAGATAAATGGAACCAAAATGGGTAGAAGATAAAAGCAGCCCTGAAATGCTACCACACCTTGTCCGAACGCCATGCCCATGTATATCCGCGCTGCGATTGATCAATACCAAAACCGTGAGCGCCTCTGCTAGAACCGAGAAAAATGATATGCCGCTCAGAGAAGATCAATTCGGGGATGAGTGATAAAATATCTGGTATGCCGCCGTGATGAAGAAATGGCCGTGTCACACCGAGTTATGAAAGATGGCATTTCATCTCCGCGACCGTCACACAGTGAAGTAATAAGGAGATACCAGATCGAAGGAGATAAGAAGCCGAGGCAGATATGAGTAAAAAGGTAGTGCCAGATCTGGGTCGGCGAGAAAGACCCGGTCAATAAATAGTTCGTCCGGGTCCGTAATGTCGTGATATTTCGAGATGCACTCCTTGCTCATTGCGAAGGAGAAACCCAGAACTCCGTAAATGCTGCGCTGAAATGCAACCGCGGGAAGAGCACAGGAAAAGCCTGCGAAGTCGAGGAAATTTTCAACGTATTGTTCCCCATTCTGAGAGCTTGCTCCCTTCGCGATGGGAGTCTCGATTGGCCCGCTTATCGTAGATTTTCCAGAACCGAAGGGTCTCGTCGCCAGCACCAGTAACAACGGTTTGCCCGTCAGGACTCATGGCGAGATACAGGACACGGAAAGTATGTCCAGTCAACGAGACGATCTGCTCCATCCGTGGATATTTCCACACGACGACCTGGTTCTGGCTGTAGCCGTGAGTACTGATGATCTCATCGGAGTTTTTGGACCATGACAAATTGCAGACTTGACTGCCCGTATCAACTTCCTTGATCAAAGAGCCAGTCGATGTGTTCCAAAACTTGATGGTGCGATCAGCCGTACCGCCGCCCGAGGCGAGAAGGTGGCGTTGGTGCGGAGACCAAGCAATGGCCTTAACGGCGGCACAGTGATCAGAGAACCGGTAGAGAGGCGTGTCGTTGAGTTTGTCCCAAACCATGAGTTTGTTGTCATTGCCGCCAGACGCAAGTTGACCGTCCTCTGTATTCCACTTTAATCCACAGACTTCCTGCTTGTGGCCGGAAAGCCGCCGAAGATACTGATCAGGCGAGCGAACATCTCGATGATAGATCAAGCGGTCGCGCGAGCCGGAAGTGAGGATATGATCGTTCCAGGCTAGGGCTCCGACGCGGTTGGTATGGCCTACCATGGTCCGGAGCCGACGGCAATGTTCTACATCCCATATCTGGACGAGACCCCGTCCAGTCCCAACTGCCAGGTGGGTGCCTCTTTGTATCCAGCTCACGCTGGTGACAGTATCCTCTTTCAGCTCACAGAGCTTGGTCACCTGGCTCGATTGCGAATTCCACATGTAGACGGAATTAGCCAAGCCCACACCTAATACATTCTGACTGCCCCAGTCAACCAAATTGAGATAGAAATCATCTTGAAGATCAGGGGCATCGAGAACTTTGAAGGGTACTTTATTGATGAAGCGGGGCTGCTTCCGCGGTGTTTGAAGCATGCGCTGGCTTTCGTAGCGAATGGGTGAGGTACTGTAGAGTTCAGAACGGGGGTTCAAGTTGACAGCGTGAGCACTCCGTGGGGTCTTGGACGGGGTGGGATGGCTTGATCCAGGCCGACTCGGACCGTAATTGAATAAATTTTTATGTGGTGTAGATGGAGTGATGCTGGCGGGAGGATGACTGGCCCCCATATGAGGAGGGGTACGAGAGCGTGTCTTATCGTTGATTCCCTTGCTGCTGAAGCCGAGCAAAGGATCCGATGAAAAATTGTTGAGGTCGGGCTGAGGAACGGTACTCCCGAAAAGTTCACTGCGAAGAACGCTAGAGAACGTCTTATTTGCCTCTTCGACTGTTTTCGTGCAGAGTCAGCAGGGTTGCTGTCAAACATTGTCGGTCTACCGGACAAACTCACTCTTCTGGAAATGCAGTTCCGAATGAGGAGCGCGCCTCTTCGACTTTGATGGTGTCGTGGGGCAACCATCTTCCCCTAACAGGTTGTATGTCGCATGCAAATCTTGTCCGTCTCGATTGGGAATGAAACTTCAAGCTTGGTCAGTCACATATCCCTCAGGTGCCATGTATGACAAAGCAGGGCTGCTCAGCTACCGGCTCGTCGCGGAATCCATCTTTGCGATGCTCACATACCGATCGCCATAGACTCGCTGCCGTTTTCGACAGGGACTCATACCCGGTGTGCTCTCGTGCTGACGTCCTCCTTCTTCCATGCCCCGCAGGGCCTTTTCAAGAGCGTGTGCATCCACAGGGTCAGATGCCCCGTCCCCGGTTTTCGATCGCGCCTCTTTATGCTCCTGATAGAAGATCGTCTTTTTGGCGGGTACACTGGGAGGTGTTGTCGACGCTGGAGGAGAAATCATGTTGGCGGCCGCCTGAGCGCGAGCTGCGCCTCTCGTCACTCTTCCACCATTCTTCCTAGCTGACTGCGACTGTTGAGCGCGGTCCCCCATATTGGCGGCACGACTTTCGCACCAAAGGCGAATCGCGCGTCGACCGATGATTGACGAAATTTCGCATGCGATGATACCAATCGCGGAGCTGTGGAGGAATGACCAACTTGGCGGCAGCAGAAGAAGCAGATGGCAAGTGTTCAAATTGAACGGTGGTAGACGATCGGTCGGTGGAACCTGGAATCTGGAATTGATTATGATGACAGAGCACCTTGGGACAATGAACGGGCGCTTGGGCGCTTCGACACAAGAATGGTTAGTGAGACCGTCGACTCCCCCCAGCAAATAGCAATACGGATCACACTGTTTCAGCAGGACAAAGAGAACAGCATCGAAGAGCTTTGTCGGGAAGGGGGAATGAACAACTTGGAATGTCTACAAGGGAGGGCTGTTGATGTATTGTCTCAGACTCTCGGCATCCCTCTCGCAAAGTCACGCGTCGGCAGCGCTATACCCTTCTGGGCCTTAGCGTCAGACAGCTTGGCTCAGGACTGCACTATTGAACCGTAACGATTCTGGGGATGGCTACGGTGTAATTCATCAAGGGCCTTTAACAATATGGGCGTCGCCGTCTCAAAAGCTCCATGGTGATGCCATATTGGATCGCTCGGATCCACACAAGACTCCGCTGTCTGGATTTCTAAGGTTGATTTGCTCTTCAAAACCCTCGTTCAGTTTGGTAACTGTGGTTGGTGCGGATCTGCTTTGTGTCATCTTCAATGATCGGGAGCCACCTGCATGCAGTTGATGCCATAGTTCTTGTCCCAGTTATTTTTGTCTCCCTTTGTTGTGATAAAATCTGCCGGTACTGCTTCTGAGCCCTGCTTCTTGTCGAGGCGAGTAGCAAGTCGCGCGCAATGCAACGCCTCTGTCACATTGAGGAGTTAGGATGCTATGGCATTCGTTTCTTGTCAGTTTGGCTGAGACTGTATGATAGGCTGTGTTCATGTGTTCCAAGTTGGAGTTTGGGGTTATCGTAGTAAAGAAATAAGCCAATGTATCTGACGCGACTACTTTAGTCGCGCTATCACGCGAGCTCAACGCGTCAAGCTCGGGCCAGCTGTTGTACAATTTTGCCCAAATTGGCAGTTCACTTTCAGTAGTACCGTACGCATACCTTAGTGTACCCCAAGTTGGGATTATAGCGATCCACTCGCCAGAGAATTGTGGTCGAGGCTCTTTCGAAGAAATCCTGCCATCTTGGCATTACAAGATGGACTCGAGTTAGATTGTAAAGACATACTGCACCAGTGCACACTGCACACTCATATTGCACGCAGTATCGCCGATCATTGAGGCTTGATAGTACTGTGCTTTTCTACTCTGACCTGTCCCTAACTTTAGTACAGGTTGGATTGATCTCGGTAGCTTACGAGCATGTGAACTGGAGTGGAGCTCAACTATCACATTGGACATGTGCTCCCATAGGGTTGTGGCACTGCGGGTGTGTTGTTTAGGAGTGTATACTACTGTATGGTAGTATATAGGGTAGACTGATACTATCACTATGACTCCTTGATGAAAAAGTTCTCTTACTCATACGCTATCAATTCGCGACAAAAATCTAGACTCTCCTGTATACCTGAAAGTGAAATCAGATAGGTCAAACCCTGTAACTTGCCATTTGCAAGTTTCCCATCTCGATCGTGTGCTCGATGCAAATTGAAGAGCTGCAGGAGTCGAGTGATCATGCGCGAAAGTGTCGAAGCAAGAGTGCCAGTATGTGACTGGCATGGTACGTACCTAAGTATGTAGGCAATAACTAGTGGGACCTGCGATCTTGAGAGAACGATACTATGCGGCTTCCCTCGGTGAGGCTCACACAAGTTACAACAATCGGAGATGGAGCGATAACGTTACCGCCGGCAACTCCCAAGCGCAAGTTACCGCCACCCGAAATCTCCGCACCCCGCAGATAGCCTGTCGCTTTCTGACACCTTGCGCTATTTGGTCGACTATGCCTGCAGCGTCCTCGAAACTGCCCTTCTCATTGTCCTCTCTGCGCCGCAGCTTCTTCCATAGAGCCTACTACTCCTCTTATCCAAACACCATGGCTTCCAAGCAGCCTGCCAAGGACTTTTTGTCCTTTGTCAATGCCTCTCCCACCCGTATGGTTCACTCTGGCAGTTCCCACACACCCGCCGAGTACTTTGTTGTTGACCCCGTTTTAAGCTTTTCACGCCGTTCAGTCCGCCAAGGATCTACTGACCAAGGCCGGGTTCGAGGAGATCAAGGTACTCAATCAGACCCCCACCAATCTGATGTAGCCAAAAGTCAGAACTGACCTGACTCTATGGAGTAGGAGAAAGACTCTTGGGCCAACACCTGCAAGCCAGGTGGCAAGTACTTCTTGACTCGCAACACTACCACCTTGGTTGCTTTCGCCATTGGTAAGAAATGGCAGGTAAGATCGACCGCACTCAGACTCATTTGTCGAATGAAGCTCATACTCAGGCCAGCCGGGTAATTCTATCTCCATGATTGGTGCTCACACCGACTCTCCTGTCTTGCGGGTCAAGCCCGTGAGCAAAAAGAGCGGAGAGGGCTTCCTCCAAGTGGGCGTCGAGACATACGGTGGTGGCATTTGGCACACATGTACTTTCTTTCTCGACCCTGACAAGAACTTGATTCGACACATTGCTAATATCAAATAGGGTTTGACCGCGACCTGGGTGTCGCTGGGCGTGTCATGACCCGCGCCAGTGATGGGTCAATCGTTCAAAAGCTGGTCAAGGTCGACCGTCCAAGTATGTACAGTGCAAGAGAGAACTCTGTGTGCGCGGCCGCTGACTGATTGACAGTTCTTCGTATTCCCACCCTGGCAATTCATCTGGATCGGACGACTGACTTCTCCTTCAATAAGGAGACGCAGCTGTTCCCAATTGCTGGCTTAGTTGCGGCTGAACTCAACCGCACTAGCGCAGATGGATCAAATGCCCAAGAGGCCGAGAAAGTGGACGATTTTTCTCCTCTCAAGGCTGTGACTGAGCGTCATCACTCGCACTTTGTTGAGCTGGTGGCCGCTGAGGCGGGTGTCAAGCCCGAGGATATCCTGGATTTCGAATTGATTCTGTTCGACACTCAGAAATCCTGCCTGGGTGGCATGCGCGAGGAATTCATCTTCTCTCCCCGTCTCGATAACCTGAACAGCTCTTACTGTGCCACAGTCAGTCTGATTGAGTCGGTCTCGGAAAAGTCATCCCTCGACAACGAATCTGCCATTCGTTTGATTGCTCTCTTTGACCACGAGGAAATTGGTAGTCGTACTGCTCAGGGAGCCGACTCCAATGCTCTTCCGGCTATCATCCGCCGCCTTTCAGTCCTTCCCTCATCCTCTACATCGAACGCTGATCTCTCCACGGCATATGAGCAGACCCTGTCCACCTCCTTCTTGGTGTCTGCTGACATGGCTCACTCAATCAACCCCAATTACGCCGGGAAGTATGAGCAGGATCACAAGCCTGAAATGAACAAGGGTCCTGTGATCAAGATCAACGCCAACGCTCGATATGCGACCAACTCCCCTGGTATCGTTCTGCTCCAGGAGGTGGCTCGCAAGGCAGCGGCAGAGAAGGGTGAGCCCATTCCGCTGCAATTGTTCGTTGTGCGTAACGACTCCAGCTGTGGTAGCACCATCGGTCCCATGCTTTCTGCTGCCCTTGGTGCACGTACTCTGGATCTGGGCAACCCTCAATTGAGTATGCACAGTATCCGTGAAACCGGTGGAACATATGATGTCGCGTACTCTATCCGCCTCTTCACTGGGTTCTTCCAGCATTACTCGGATCTGTCCAAGACTATCTTTGTGGATTAAATCATTCGTCTTTGGATAGCTTGAGAACAAATAAATTGTGCAACGTAATCAACGTCATTGTCTTCATCTGCTGTCATTTGAGACTACGAAGTCTGAGGATAATGCACAAACAACTAGTATAATCGCTACATTTAGTTGCCCTGGAGGGCGGCTCTGAGCCCTCCTATGTTAAGCCCAGCGGCAGCTATTGGCACGTGCTTTTGGCGGAGCTTCATCCGCTATCCACCCTCACCTCCGCCCGCGGTCACCTTATCAAAGATGGCATCCACGCAGTGCCTCTCTTAATTCAGCCATTCCTTCCATGCCCTCATGACCCTCTATGACCGACGTCGGTGTCTTTAGGGATGCGGAGCACATTGCTAATGTCTCTGGCATTACCTTCGACGATGTCGATGCTTCATCGCCCCGCGGCAGCGCCGACATCCGTGGCCAGGACTGCAGCCGCTTAAAGAAGCTCCAAACGGCTGCAAAGGTCGCATTCATTGATAAAGCGCTTCGCGACCTGGACATATTGATACACTGCGAGTTATCAGCGCTGTACTACATGGAGTAAGCTTCAACTTCATTGCCCGAACTCCAGTATTCCCATTTCCTTCACACACCACCCGTATCCATGCTCAGTGTCTCTGATCTCCTTGACTGCGGTCGCTATTGAAGATGCGAAAAGGATCTATGCTGACGCTTCGCTCATTGCCAGCTGCTCTTTGATTCTTCTTGTCTTTCGGGCCGCTGTACAATTATTCTTCTTTACGCCTAAAGAGCCACCATTCGACCCGACAAGGAACCAGCCCTTCATTGGCGCCATATTCGTCAGCAATGTAATCTCCATGCTTTTTCATGCCTTTCTAGTTCGCCCTGAAGTCGGCGAATCAACACGGGGCTATCAACACGGGGGTCTTTTCATTGATTTTATCGGACAAAAGCCGGTATCCGTCTTCCGACTTCTCGTTTTCGACATGTTTATCTTCGTGGTGGATATTATCATGCTGGCACTGATAATTGAGCGAGTCAAAACGGTCGGCCCGAAGGCGACGAACTTGCCAGGTGCAAGTGAGAATAGTACAGCCGCCGATGCCGATACAGATGCAGCATCGGCGCAGGCGAACACACAAGATTATGACGCGGAAGAGCGAGGTGTGCGAAATGCCGACGGCACATCTCCAATCAGTGGAAGCTCGTCCGAACATGCCGCCAGCAACACCTTACCTACCATCAACATTGACACTGGAGACTTTGACGAAACGACAAGTCTTCTAGCCGACCCAAGTATTGCCGAAAACGCATCTATTCCGAGAGGCGGCCACCCACTGGACTTGTTCGCTTCTGGGCAGTCAATCATCATGGACATGGGCTTCATTAGCACCATTGGTGATCAATGGCGACATATGGCAACGCCAATTAGACGGGGTGATGCGCGGTTATCGCCTCAAGCTGCTACGTCCCTGCGAGACCGCCTGGGCTTGCAACGTTTTGGGTTGCAGATGGGAGCTGATGGTCGGCTCGTGCGGATCACTCCATGAAATCCTAGACCCTGATAACCCGAGCTGCTGTACATTTGCATCTAATGTGATTCTGAAGCCTTCATGATCTTAGAATGAAGGCGTGTGGAAGCATGGATATCAAGGTGCCCGTGAGATAAGTAGATGTTTGGATGAATACTCATAACAATGTTGTCAACCGCTCTTTTGGGCACTCCACACTGCAATCGTGCCATCATAGTGTTGGGGGCTTACCATCCCCATCGCCTCCCTTATTCGAATTCTGTACCCTTCGATCTAGAATCTCATCCACGATGCCCAAGTCCAGCGCTTCCTGTGCCCCCATGAAGTAATCCCGCTCCATGAGCTTTTCAATTTCATCCAGCGACAATTGCTTCTTGCCCGTCAAGTGGTGCTTATAGATCTTGTTAAGCTGTTCTCGCACTCGCAGAATTTCTTTCGCGTGAATCGCAATATCACTCGCTTGACCAAAATATCCTCCTGAGGGCTGATGGATCATGATTGAGCTGTGTGGGAGACAGTATCGCTTTCCAGGCTCGCCGCCGCAAAGAAGAAGAGAGCCCATTGAGGCTGCTTGTCCCACGCAGATTGTGCTGACTGGAGCAGCGATGTATGTCATCGTATCGTAGATTGCGAGACCTATAGTTGGACGGTGAACCAAGTTGTTAGAATCGCAGTGATATCTCGATGAGCGCTAAAGAAGCATCCTTTGACGTACCTGCTGTTACGGAGCCTCCTGGTGAGTTGATATACAGATGAATTGGTTTCTTGGGGTTATCGGCTTCGAGGAAGAGGAGTTGCGCGACGATCGAGGCGGACATTGTTTCATCGACTTGGCCATTCAGGCAGATGATACGCTCCTGAAGACAAAGGCTGTCAGCAGAGTACTCTTTCGTTCTCAAAAAGTGCTTGAGGTTCACTACGTACCTTAAGGAGCCGAGAGAAGATGTCATCTGGAATTCATGGACCGAGTTGTTAGCAGCCGGAGTTGACATCAGGGCTTCTGGTTATCCGTACATGTGTGCCAGCCGCCTCCCTAGAGTCTGAATCAGCATAGGTTTGATCACTCGCGTCAAGCGGACTTTCTATCTCACAAACGTACTACTGTCTCTGTGACGAATGGTGTCGGTGTCCATCCTTGTGGCGGCGTGCGGTCAAGCGCCGTTATCGAGCTTGAGAACTGTCGCGCGCCGAGAGCAGATTGAACACGGGGCGCACCGCAGCGGGTGAAGGAGCGGCAAAGCTGCTGAAGCCTCGTTCTGACCACAGGGCTGTTCATAATTAATTGAAGTCAGGTCACTTAGTTCTCGTCAACAATGAGCTCTTGAAAGAATAGTCAAGAACAAGGTAGCTCTAGTCGCGGTTGCGGCGATTGAGCGGAGTTTGCGGAGACAGCGACTGATAAGCTTCGCATGTTATCGGCTCCGCGACATGATAAACAGCAAATGCGACGATTTTCCTTAGGAGCTCCCCATTCGTCTAAATTACTTCAAGTATGGGACTGAACAAACCAAACCAGTTAAGCATCACACGGCGACTGAGACACCAGAGTCAGTCGCAGAGGTTCCCACTTGTGAACAAATGGACCATCGACTTCTCAAGCGAGCGGACGCTTGCTGATCAAGCGTCGCCTGACAATCTTCCTGCCTCAAAACGTCTGCCTCAATCGCCATTGATCACACACCCTCAGCCCGGCCCCGTCAAGATTCGCAAGAATCGACCAACACGAAATGATACGTCTGAGCTTGAAAAGAACCCATGGGCCGTTGCGCTTGCCTCGCCTGTGCGCATGTGCTCCGTCACAGGTGCGCGTATACCGCGTGATTTACTCGGTGAATGGGGCCTTGTACGAAAGCCCGATACCGAGAATCATTATCTACTTCCAGTTGGTCTCATGAAAGATGCGCTTAAACCCCGATCAAAAGCCGAGGCGAACGGTCCGGAAGAAGTCCGGGCAGATCTACCCTCTACGGATGAAGCTACTCAAGAGTCGACGATAGTAAATGCCGTTCGTCAGGAGAAGCCAGGCCAGCAGCTCCTTCTTCGAATGATAAACTCTCAGCCTCTTCTTCAAGCATTGTCCAAGCCTTTGTCTCGAAATAGCGGAAAGCGTCCTGCTATTGCCAAAATACTTCCCTTTAGATGGAAACATCCACTGGGGCCTATCACGTCTCGTGTGGAAAAGCAGCTCCTGTGGAGGCCAGATATGGCGGACTACGTGTTACGGCAGCGACAGCAAGCCGTTATCAACAGCCTTGACAAGGTCCAACGGAGACATCCTCGTTTAGATCTGCCAGAGGGAGCTTGGAAAGTACTCGATGTTCATGAACCATCAGTTACCGCGATTTCGGAGGCCTTGGGACGACTAGGACCTCTTGAGCGGATGGCTTCCGGTGTAATCCTGCTGCTTTCACCACTAGGCGGTAGTGCGCCGACCGCAGAGACTCTCTATAGTCCCACAACTGAAAGCGAGGTCCCTCTGTTTGACCTGCCAGCATTGCTCACTCCTTCCGATCTGGCGAAGCTGCGCGCGACTGAGCCCGGATACTTTCATGGGGATGCAGTTTTCTTTAGGCCGGATAACCGTGTAGACGTCGAGGCCGTCTTAGCACTTTGGAACCTCCAGCGATATGCGGCAGGCGTCAATTCTTGAAATTTGTACAAGGAATCTCGCTTCACCATCGAAAACTTGGTCGTTCCGCCACAAAGCGAGTCCCATACCCCCTCGTGGGCTCGAGGTACTCTAGACGGTATACCATCTGACCTCTCGAAGTCTCCGCTGCCGTCTGGCATGCGTGCATTACATGGAGATGGTATAGCTTGCCCAAGGCTGACAGGTTCAGGTCACATCACTCGGCACTGGCAAGTCTCAAATAGAGCCTACCACATTCCACCAGGGCAGCTGTGCTAGGAAAAATGGCAAATACTGGCTCCCTTGCTTACGGCTCAGCGAAGCGAAGACTCAGCGTTGACAAGGTCCAAAGCAAAGAAGCTATCTGGAGCACGGAGAACTTTGTCCCCCCTCGAGATACTCAAGGAAACTGTGGGCGCTCGAAGGTATTTACAAATTCCCAACTGCAATGTGCAGCGCCGTCACGATCTCACGTCGATGCATCTCTCTGCAATAAGCGGCTGTTTTTATAATCGCGTCTCCGTTTAGACTTGCGAAAAGGCATCTCAGACACTTAGTTGAAAATCAATACATCGGCAACGACATTCATTTCACTTGTCATTATCAAGTTAAGTCGACCACCTCGATAGCATCAGCCTTTCTTTTGACGCCAGCGGTCCGGAGAGTAGACGCCGAGGCTGTTGGAGCAGGTACAGGGGGTGCCGGTAGTTCACGTAGATTGTTCACTAAGCTCCCTGTCGCAGTCCAAGGTTGGGCCGATGCCCCTGGTCGAGGTGGCTCGGTTGTCCAAGTCCGTGTGTGAGATGAAGGAGGTGCGCCTCGAGCTGGCTGGTGGGGATAATTTAAAAAGCCTATGAGTCTCGTCGCTTCTGCCCTCGCCGCTTCTGCCGACAGTCCCAGTGGATTCGTGACTCTTGATCCCATATCTCTATTCTGGAGTCCCCGGACCAATCCGGGCAGTGGCGGCAAACGGTCTTCTATCTTTCCTGAGGTTCGACGGGAAGGCGCAAGCAAGCCAGCCTTGATCATCAAAGGCTCAAATTCTTTCCCCAGCCATGAATCCATATCTTGGAGTCGAAATTCACGAAGCCATGACCGCGCCACACTTCGCCTCTGAGACCAAGCTACCTGGGCATCTGCATCCTTATGGGCTCCTTTGGTCACCACCAGTGTTTGAGGAATTCCACTTCGCTCAGTCACATGGCTGCAGTCAATGCGGGCAATGTCGAGTTTCGAATGCAGATGCTGTCTGCGTTCCTTGTTGAGCGGGAACCTGCCGACTTGTCGCGTCGGGTCTTGGAGGAATGCATTGAGAGCAGAGCAATCGTTACAGTCGGATGGACATCGCACTGTGGGCAGTTTCAAGTTTCCGGCCATGGTAGGAGGTTCGCCAATATAGTTGTCAATATAGAACTTGATTATTGTGGCGGATACCTTGGTGGCACCCAGATCTGACAAAGACCCTTGTTTTGCTTGAAGTATCCTCGTGAGGGTGATAAGGAAGGGTAGCCAGCCCCAGTGGAATTCATCTTCCGAGAAACTAGGGACCTGGTCGCAAATTCTCTCGAAAAAGGTTGAGACCAGGCTTTTGGTCTCGTCTCTCCTGGCCAGTTTGACGAGAACATGAGCCAAATTCGTGCAAGCGTGATCCGGAAGCCCCTGGCGAGAATCTTGGGAGCTGAAGTTGATGCTGAAATATTGTCGAGGGTCCTGCACTGAGGCTGCTGAAATCTTGCACAGTCCTGCGATCCTGGTCACATCGATCGTCTCAACAAAGACCTTGGCGACTTTCATCCCTATATCGGAAAGGCTTGCACGATGGGAAACGGCTTGGCGGCGCCGAGAACCCACCCTGTTCAGGAATCCATAGATGAATGACATTTGTGAAGTCTGCGCAACAACGGCAGGAACAATATTATAAGTTTTCCTGTGTGGTGTGTGTAGAACGCGGGGTTCAGTGAGTGGACTCACCGAGCAGCAAAGAATTTGTCATCATGGTAACCAAGCATGTCAACAACGGCTTTTCCATCTTTGAAACCCAGCCTCTGCACGGACATTATCCCCAGGACACTCTCATGAACCGTGATGATGAACGGCAAAATCTCATCCGGCCATTTGGTTTTTGCGTCTCTGGTTGGTGGAAAGAGATACTCCAGGGCGCGTTGCTGTTTCCAGAGAATAGGATATCGCACAATGGCCTCAAGAAGACTGACTCGTTAATTTGTGGTTTTTTTCATCTTCGGGATGGGAATTGTCCTACTCCTTCTTGGCAAATCTGATATTCATGACCCCGGCATCGATTTTCGTCTTGGCCCATGTGAAGAACTCAAGAGATAAGTTGCCCGTGTGTAGATCGCGAGCCATCGTGATCAATTCTCGATCCTCGGATAAAAAAGCAGTCTTGGTGAGATTGGTAAGATCGACTTCCGTTAGCTGCACTGTCTTGCGGGATTCAACTTGATATGGATGCTTATTGATTGGTTGCAAAACACGTTGGCACATGAGCTTTAAGGATTTGACGGATCCGGGGTTTCTAGGTGCACGAGCGAGAGATCTTTCGACGTAGCGTAGCGCATTGGTCATGTTTCTGATCCTTTGAGGCTTGTACCCAGGAATGTAAGAGCTTCCTCCCCAGCAAATCTCGAAGAATTCTCCGAGCGAGTCGCGAGGAACGATAACCACAGCCTGGGACCTCTGTCAGTCATTGCGCATTGCAACTTAGGTAACTTCAGGCGGTAGTAAGACGTACTGCAAACTGGTTACAGCCAGGAGCATAGGAGACAGTGTTCTTCCAGGGCCTTTGATGCGTAGAGGGATATAAAGATGAATTGACCGGATAGCCCGAATGCGCATCGTAACTTTTCTCCATATCAGTGCCAGCGAGACATACTTCTTGAAGCACGTTGTCTTCTTTCGCGAAACCTGCTTGGATGATTTCAGATCCATGGATGTCAACCATCGTCAAGACGGTGAGGGGGAACTCGTCCAGAGGATGCGGAGCTTCGAAATTAGATTGAGATTGACCAGCGCCCACTAGCCCGCTATCGATATAAGCTGATCTCTTGCCGTAGCCACCGGTCCAGCCGTCGTGTCTTTTGTCATCCTGTATTAGTGTGCTCACAAATATTTCAACAGTCAAGACCTCTGACAGGGCCTTCAGAACATCAACAATCACGCGGTCTGAATTCCTCGGGCCGTAGAGAGAGAGATCGGCCTTTGTGTATTGGTGATGAAGCCTATAGTAAGCGTGATGCAATGGCCTTTTGCTTTGATCGAGCCATGTTCGAAGGCACTCAGAAAGTGCTTTAGCCTGCTGGGTCTCGAGACTGGCTCCCGGGGGTGATTGCGGTGCATCAATCCAGAGCTTGTACATGAGAACCCGTCGATGTCCCGAGATGATAGGACGAATCCCTTGCACCGAATAAGAATACCAGCCCTTTACCAATAGACCATCGTCATCAGTGAATTGAACCTTTTGTCTGTCTTGATCCCGGATTTCCACCTGGCCTCCTGTGCAACCAGATGGCAAGCTAACGAAAAGCCTCGCAAACCTCCCGGGCTTCTCAATTCTGAAAGTAGAGAAGTCAGATGTATGAAGGGCTCAAGAAAGAAGAGAAAACATTAAGGATTTGCTCACTCAGAATCTGGTATAACGACTGGACCGCTCTGGTAGATGAACATCCTCTTAAGCGTTATTTTGAAACGTTCCGTAACACCCATCTGATGAGCGATTTGGGCAGAAACTCGCTTGATACACGCCCCGAAACCAGGATTGGCAATTTTGAATTCGCAGGACTTAAGTTCGATAACGTTATCTGTGTCAGTGTCCGCGAGGTGTTCGCTCTTCTCGTAATAGGACGACTGATGCGCTGCCTGCGATATGCCAGGTAGTTGACCTCCAAGATATGACGGGACCGCATACTTTTCGTCAATTGAAATTTGAGGATCAAGAGGCCCAAGATCAGCCCATGCAGTCGATATCTTTTTTGTCCCGAAAGCATCAAGAGCCTTCTTGAGCTGCGATCTGAAGGCCGAACGCTCATTCATGTTGGGGCTATCTTCCAGAGGCGAAGCCCCTGCCAATTGATCTGAAGATCTCATGCCCAATGACGATTCATGTATCAAATCAGACCCAGCCTGCATGCGCTCTTGCATCCGGTCTTCTCGAGATCAATCGCGTGTGCTTCAAACTCTGGGTGATTTGATGATATTGGAGTCAACAACCGTTCTCCTCGACCCAGTGCAACGATCGCGAGAGAAGTGCACGTGTCCAAAGAATCAGAATGAGTCCATTGGTATCATCGAACAGCACATAAGTTGGCTGAGGCGCGACCGTCTTCTCAATTGACGTGTCACTTTCTTCAAGCCAGCTATTTTCGGCGCCAAACAGCTATTCACACTCCGCTCAGAGTGTCTCGAGTCCACGCCAAGCTGCCAAACGCGCGCGATTGTGGAGACCGGCCCTCGCATGGGACCCACTTGTTGACCGCAGCGAGTAAACAACTAAACATCCTTTCACCACCTTAGAACGTTCATCTCCCCATTCGGGGTTGTAGATGGATGGAGAGAAATCAAGAGAAGCAGAGCTGTCTGTGTCATATTGAGTATCTTTGTTCAGAGATCCAGTCACGGAGCCGAGGAACATGCAAACAAGAAAAGGAACGAATGGGCAAGGCAGGGTCGGGGCTGGAGTGGATCTCCATCGTGGTGAGAGAAGAAGAGTTTCACAGCCAAAGAAAGTGGACGATCCAATATCAATGGCCTTGAACATGACCGGAAAGGCTTGAAAGTTAGATAAGTGGGAGTGGAGGAGTTTTTGGAATTGAGATGACGCGAGAGAGGGAGAGGGCTGCCTGGAGTAGGCATGTGACTCCGAGAAAGATTCATCATTGAATACATGCCTGGCTACAATACAAAGGGTGACGTTGATTGCCGAGGGTGGAGACTTCCATTCCAGACAGGTTCGCGCCTCTGGGTTGATCTCTCACGGGCGCTTTTCGTGCATAAAAGGCTCGCTTAATTCAGAGATCAGGTCCTGGCTGAAGTGGTCAGAACGATTGAATACCTACGTTAGAAGCCCCCAGACATGAGGGAGCGTCAAAGAAGAGCGCCCTCAGGTTCAGGTAAGAAGGCCAAAAGCAGGAGAACTTTGACTGGGTATCATGATGTATTCCTGCCTCTAATAGACCGAGTGATTGTGACATAAAACGCCGCAGGAAGTCGAGAGTGATAACATCCGACTATGTATGAAATCAAGTAGACTCCAATATGTCTCGCTTTGGAGGACCAAACTCCAGTGCATGCGGTATGTCGGCGCCTTTTTCATTGCCCACGAAGGATATTCGCAATACGAAGCGAAAGATCGAGGACAGAGAGATGCTCATCCGCCCCGTCCACAAGCCGCCGGTCCAGCTCTGAAAACACCATGACAATTTTGTTCTTCTGGATATCAGGAATGGCCTCGTTGAAAACGACTCGTCGATATAACTGTCAATATCAATCAGTCCTCCGGTTCCAATTGCTCCACGACGGAGACCAGGCACGTACCTGAATAACCAACTGCGTCGCACTCCAGCCATCCGCAACCAGATCGGTCACCACCTTGGAAACAGCATCGTATGCCGAACCCGACGGTTTCGGCTGCATAGCCTGCATCAAATTATCCAAGATATTGTCGGGAATCACACCCGCGATTTCTTCAATCGTCCGGACGGTTATTGTCCCCGAAGCCGAATCATTCGCGTCTACCATTTCCGCATCCTCGTCTCCGTCTTTTTGGCCTGCGCGCGTTGCACCCAGTAAACGAGCCGCACTTTGAAGGTAAGTAATCGCACGTCGCAAATCACCCTCACCACAGCGAATCAATGTGTCCACGACACCATCATCGAGCTTCAAATTCTCGGCTCGCGCAATCTCAGCGACACGCTCGCCCGCCGCTGCATTGTCGAGACTCTTGAAACGGAACTTGCTGCATCGACTCGCCAGAGGCTCAATGATCCGCGTCACATAGTTGCAGACCAGACAGAAACGTGTGATACGGGAATATTGTTCCATTGTGCGACGGAGCGCAGATTGGGCATCTTGGGTCATGCTGTCTGCCTCATCGAGAATGATGATCTTGAAGGGAGGGCATGGGTACTGGGCACGGTAGGCGGCATCAAGACCAGTCGGTTGGGAAAGCTGTGCGCGGGCAAAGTTCTTGACTTTGTCACGGACAATTCCGATGCCTCGCTCATCGGAGGCGTTCAGTTCCAAAATACGGGAGCGGTAGAGGGCGGGTCCGAAGAGAGATTTGGCGAGAGCGAGGATGGTCGAGGTTTTGCCTGTTCCGGGAGGTCCGTAAAAAAGCATGTGAGGAAGCTAGACCCACGATAGAGTCAGAAAGTGAGATCGACAACGCATTCCTTGAACGTATCGATATGGGACCTACATTAGAGGCTTGTAGCGTTCGTTGCAGGACCTTGGTTGTGTGATCTTGTGCGGCGACATCTTCAAGTGTCTTTGGACGGCTGGCGCATGATTCTCGTCAGTTTACTGGTCCAGTGATTGTGCTTGGGGAGCAACGGCACTCACTATTTCTCAACCCATGGCTGTAGCCGGTTATTGTCTTCCTTGCTGTCGGAGGGTTTCGTTTTGGAGCTGCCGGAGGCAGCCGCCGCCGCCGCTCGGGCTTTGTTATTGAAGAAGGTGGATGCCATTGGTATATAATTGCCGTGTATACCAATACCGCAGCCAAATTATATCGGTGTAGAAGATGGAGGTAAGCCACGAAGACCCAGATATGAAGCTGAACATCCGCCGCGATCAAGAGACGCGTCAGCACGTGACACGCGTAGCACTTCCGCGGGCGCATCGAACTAAGTGGCCAATCAGAGCAATCACAGAATGATCGGTCCATCAACGCATCTATCGTTGACAGGTACTAGTCGCTCGTCTGAAATGAATGAAATATACAAATTGCTTCGAATTATGCACGCTGAGACGCTCCACAAGGATCAAAACTTGTCATATACCCAGAAACAGCTCTCAGAGCTCATCCCGAACAATTTCCCCCTCGTACATGCGTTTCTTAGGGTTGGGGATGATATTCTCGTCAGCCTCAAGCTCTTCAATGGAGTCCTCGTTGATATCAGCGCCGTCCCATTTGCCATTCTCAACCATTCGGCCAATCTGATCGATGATGCGATCTTGCTCAGCCTCGTCAGCCTCGTCATTTTCCATTAATTCGTCACCGACGAGAACCGGCCCTCCTGTCATGGCTGTCGCAGCTTGATGCATTGTCGCTGTAACGTCTGTAGGCATTGAGTCGGGTACAAGCTCAGTTGTCCCCTTGGAGATGCCGAGAGCGCCCAAGACCACAAGCATGAATCGCATACTGAGCTTCACCGGGAGCCACACCAGCCACCACATTGGACCGTAAAGAACACGACGGAAAATTAACCACGAAATGGTGCCAACGAGGATATAGAAAGCTGTTTCCAAGTACCATGTGTCAGATTTTTGCGAGCGGAGTAAAGAGTTGGCGAGGCTGCGCGAGTTGGCAAGAAGCGTATCGAGGCTGCTGTACGATTCGGACAGCGAGGAGATAGCGGCAGTGGATTGCTCTGTAGTAAGATGATATGAGTACACGTCTTACACCAAATAAGGTAAAGGTCTCGACCCGGCCAATTAACCTACCGAGAGTTTCTTGGGCGAATTGACTTCGTGAGAGCTCTGCCTGCATCAGAGTGTGCGTCCGGCGCAGAGCCGCAGTCACATCATTAGACGCATTCAAAATCAAGTCATCTTGCGTAAGCTTTTGTGATGGAGTGGTTTTTTCGGAAGCGGTATGCGACCTCATCAGCAACAGCTCGCGCTCCTTGCGCTTCGCAAGCTCGGCATTTCGTTTTGCCTGTAATTGAGCGGTACGAAATTCTACACGGGTCCTATCCTTCATGTTAGCGCAGAACTTCCTTGCCAGAATTGTTTTCTTAACAGCAGATAGGCCGAAACAGTCTCCGGGATAGACTCACCTCTTCATTTCCTCTGCTAGTCTCCCACACATAGCGACTACTCGCTCTCTCTCCGCCTCCTTATCACCACCAGCAGAAGCAGATTTCCTCCTGCCATAGTACCCAGCGTCTAGCGCCTCAATGTCCCCGCGCAGTAGCTCCAAGTCTCCCTCTGCATCTTTTAGTTGTGAATGGATTTCTGCACCGAGTTCCAAGCGCGCTTCATCGCCTTGACCAACAGATGCCGTGAAATTGCGTAGGCGATCAACGAGCGGTTGGATCTGGCCGAGTGCGGCGGAGAGCTCCTTCAAGCGGACCTGCAGAGCAGCGGCGGACATGGTGGGCAGTACAATGCGACAATTAATGTGCCCTTCACCACGCGAGAAATTGGAACAGGTAGCGAGAGAAGCCCGTTGCAATCAGAATCTGAGCTTTCGAAGCCCTGCTTAGATTTTGCTTCCTGCCTATCCCGACGCTTTATACGTGTCGTCAACAGAGCAAGCTGGTCCAGCCACAAGTCGAACAGCTGGCGTGGGCGTCACTGCCCGTCCCGCCCATACATGCGTGTTTGCATTCCGGACAAACATCGATCGGACGTCTCCTTTGCCCGCAATCGCGACCACGCCTCGAGGGAATATCGACATACTTGCGCGCATAAGCTACAGTCTTTCCCGGATCACCTGGGTCTTTCGGGCTCGATCTCAATCGAGTATATTCGCATTCGTTCAACAATCACTTGTTGAAAGCAATCCCGGTCTACCGCACACAGGCAACCCCTCTTGCGCTGTGCAAAAAATTAATCCACCGGGAACTCGATCGACGAAGACTTCTATTATCGAGGTAAATAGTGACATCAAACTAGACGTCTAAAACTCAATATCATTCAACAAACTACCTGCTTACCTGAACAATCTCCCAGTCCCTCGAATCCTCCGCGTGTCTCCGACAAGGATTCTCCAAACAAACCCTTGTTCACCATCCAACTTCCAGATCCTCCCACCCAACTCATCTCACCCGCCAAAATGTCCATCCCAATTCACACAATCACCACCTTCCGCACAACATTCAACCCCTTCAGCCAAGCTTCCCGCCCCTGCCGTCTCGTCCTCTCACTCCTCCGCACGCCGGCCTCCGCTTCCCCCGCGAGCCCCCAACACATCGACATCAAGGTCAAGCAGTTGCCGCGGGGTTCGACGGAGCAGCCCTCTATGACCGTGGGCTTCAAGGGCGGAAAGGAAGTTACGCTTGAGGTGGGCAAGCGCGGTATGAAGATCGGTGATGTGGTGGAGGAGATCTCTCGAATTGGACGGGCGATGGAGCGCGAGGCGAGTCTGAAGGGCTAAGAGATTTCGATTTGCATATGATGGGTCAAGGTTAGATGACTGTGTGTATGCTGGCCCTGGTCTTTGTTGGGCTGGTTCAATTTTTGTACAATACATTGGCGAATTATTGGATTCGTTACGTTGATTGGAAGGCATTGGGGAGTGACCGTCACGAGTGTCTAAGATATGTGAGTCGACGATGTGAAACCTCTTGTCTGAACGACTGGTGTACGATCGTTCTTGGAGCGGCACGAGATATTGCAGGAGCCTCCATTTGATGTGTCTTACAACCCAAGCGCTAGCCAATTAAGTACGGGGGCCACTTCTGGAGTGCAGCACTGTCCTCACTCCTCAGTGTCCTGTACCTGAGTCTGGATCATATGTACGGCAGGGGGAAAGATATTGATTGAACACTTGGAAGCCCGCCATGTAAATGATATCGCATGGACTTCCTTTTTGCTTCATTGAAAACTGCTGAGCTATGGTATGATTTTGTTTAAACAGCAGCACCAGAGATGAAGAACCACTTGTCAATGCTACCGTCAATGGGGGCAGGGGCCAGGTTCTCGCCGCGGGGAACGGAGGCAATCTGGCTCTGCTCGGCGCGGTTGTGCTCGAGCTGTGAGTTGGCACTAGAGATGAGAAGAAGAAACGTTAGCGCATGTTCCATGTTCCATGGATGGCACTCGAAAGATGCGTCCAGTCTCTCAAAAAGAAAACCAGACAGGGAGTCCAGAACATACAGGCTAATTCCACCGGAGTTGGTCTTGCCGGTGATGAGCTTCTCCCACGCCTCGGAGCACTCCTTGATGACCTCCTCGGCGTACTTCTTGTTCTTGCACTCGCCGGAGAAGGCGAACTGGTTCTCGGGCTTTCCGTCGGGGATCTTGTAGATGCGGAACCACTCGTTGGTGGCACGCATGAGACCGGGCAGGTGACGCTCCACATCCTCAATGTCGTTGAGCTTGGCGGCGAGGGGGTCGTTCACGTCAATGACGATGATCTTCCAGTCGGTCTCCTCCTCGTCGATCAGGGCCATGACACCCAGAACCTTGACCTGCTTGACCTGACCGGGGTAACCGACCAGCTCACCGATCTCGCACACATCCAGAGGGTCGTCGTCACCCTTGGCCTTGGTCTCGGGGTGGATCGAGTTGGGGTCCTCCCAGGTCTGGTGGACAAGAGTCAGTTGTGGATGCTCTCACGATTGGAAGGTTCCCCGGTTCGAGGACTTCTCGATCCGGGTGTTGCGTGCAACGCCATGTTATAACAGCCTGGGGAGAGATTGAACACTTACGCGGGGGAAGGCACCGTAGTTCCAGAGGTAACCCTTGTGGGGGAAGCAGTTACGGACGAAGCGCAGCTTGCCCTTCTTGGTGTCCTGCTTGATAGGGTTCAGGAACTCCTCCTTGGAGATCTGTGGACGCAAGAATCCGTCAGCATCGCAGAACAGAATTGACTGATCCAGCAGTCGTGTCGACCGCGGCAGGGTCGAATCGAACGGGGTGGGGATGGAACGATGTTCATTCGTACCTCCTGCTTGGCGTTGGTCCAGCGGGGGATCTCCACGACCATGTTGAGGATGGTCTGCTCCTCATTGGCATAGAGGGGGATATCGTGGAAGGGGGAGACGGGAACGCCATCCTTCTCGATGTAGACCCGGTGCTCCAGGGTGTAGGGCTGGCCGATCTTGCGGACGGTGTAGGACATTTTTGCGGTGGAGGTAGAGAATGGACGAGAGAGAAGAGGGAGAGGGGCAGAGGACGAAGTACAAGTAGCGGGAAGGTTCAGGGCCGTAGTGGGGGCACAAAAGGAGGACGAGACCGCGAGTGGGAGAGGGGTAGTTGACCAAGTTGACCAAGTTGACCAAGTGGGGGGCAGAGCGTGGATGGACGGACGCCAGACTCGGCGGCAGACGGAGGCGGTGGACGCCAGTCGAGCGGCCATCTTTTGGGCGTTTTCTCTGGGTTCCGCTGACAAGAAACAGTGCAAAGCTCCAGACTGGTATCTTCAATCCCAATTGGCCTGCACTGAACCGGTTTGGACGGGACCAGCAATTGCAGGGCCAGGATCCTGCACCGAAGTCTCCCCTGTCTGCAGGCGACAATAGAGTACAATGCACGAGCCGGTGAGGATCGGCGCCCAGGTGGATTGGCCAAGAAGATGACCGATTCGAATCCGGACCTGAATAATGGTAAATTCGGTCAACTGGACAGTTGACCCCAAATGGGAACCCGCTGGCGTCGACCCGTTGCTGACCGCGCAAGAGACTCTCTGGTTGGGACCAATTGACAGGATGGCGTGACCGGAGGGGGTCCTCAATGGTCCAGATCAACGGTTATTGTAAAAAAAGGATCAAAGGTCGGAGAGGAATCTCTACGAGGAGGGCTGCAGTCCCTTTGGTTCTTTTGGACTTGGACTTTGGGTTTGTTATGATCAAATCACAAGTGTTTGGTTTTTCCGCTTGGCCACTTTGCGTCTCAGTGGGGCCCTTCCGGTTTTCGGCACGGCGTCGAGTCAAAGTACTAGTGAATCTAGTGATGAAGTAAATGATGTCTCCCGATCCGGTTTGTCGATATGGCAAAAAAAGAAAAGGAACCCATGCGATTGAAGAAAGAGCTTGGTTGAAAGACTACATCATTACTGAGTAACAGTCTCCATGAGGAAAATCTGGCTCAAATAGCACCCTTGCCTCGCTGGTCTCGTGCCCGTCTGCCGCATCTACTCGTCTACAAGGATCATATGTGTACGATTCGCAAGAACTATATTCCGGGTCACTATGTCCATTGTCCTCTGAATAAGATAGAAGTAAAGTTTGAAGATACCTACCTAGTAAGGTACGTACAAAGGATGTAACTAGCTTGGACGTAGGTAGGCATCTTCAAACTTTCCATGACTACAAGTCCTGATCATCATCGTTGCCGTCGAGGTCTTAGATCTATGCTGATGAACATTTTCTACAATAATGTGGATGGAAATCGACCACGTAAAGGTGTAGCTGGCTTTTGCTAAATCCTCTCCTGCTGATATTCGACTCTACTTCAAATTCGAATTCGGGGCACTATACATCCAGGTACTTGAAGCGTACACTGCCGCGACTGCAAGCGCCATCCCTAACGCATCGAGTCGAAGTCTGCAGCGGCATGACATGCACCTATGACAGAAGATTCTCTCATGGCACGTCTCCGCTCTGCAGGTGCAATTGATGTCGAATTTCCTACTCTTTCCTCTCGCCACGAAGGCTATGGGTTGCTGTAATCTCTCATCCCGCATCTTGTCGATGCCATACCTGTTGAAGCTGTCACGACCGTGGTCACTGGCCATAGACTTAAAATATTAGGATTTGAATTTGGGGATTTCAAGAAACCATGTTCGCCTTCCTAGTAAAGTACGATCAATGATGTGCGTTTGCATTTAAAGTACCTCGGCACAGCCAAAATAATACATAATCCTGGTACATCGCCCTTCCAGTCCTCTCCAACATTGGTACCTCTCTTGTTTCCTATCCTGTAGTTCTACAGTCTACACTACCGAGATAAATGGGCGTATCAAAGAGGCAGAAAAACGTTATCGTTGATGACCACGTGACAAAAGTGGGGTTATCCCGCCCGATAGAGGCAATGACTAAAGATCTTTAGATCGTCCGAATTGATTGTGAATTCAAGAGTGCCGAACGTAGCAAGGTTCACCACCCTCTTCAAACAAGGTCGCGCTATGCTATGATCAGAATACTACGCTCCGCCATGTCCACTCTCGCTGAATCCGCCGCTGCTCCGGTACATGTGCCGCGCGTACCCATCCCACCTCGAGGCGTCGATTATCGCGGCAAAATTGTCCTCGCCCCCATGGTTCGCTCGGGCGAACTCCCCTCACGCCTGCTAGCCTTGCATTACGGTGCAGACCTGGTCTGGGGCCCTGAGACTATCGACCGAGCCATCATCGGCGCCGAACGTCGTGTGAACCCGCGCAACGGAACCATCGAGTTTACCCGAGTCCCATCGAATGGCGGCCGCGCGGAAAAGGCCGTCAAAGAATCAGTCATCTACCGCCTCGACCCGGAGCGCGAGAAGGGCAAGCTCGTCTTCCAGCTGGGATCTGCCAATCCGGATCTCGCCGTTCAGGCCGCCAAGGTGGTTGCGCCTGATGTGTGGGGGATCGATCTCAACTCGGGGTGTCCCAAGCCGTTCAGTACCAGTGGTGGTATGGGCGCCGCTCTGCTGAGAACCCCGGACAAGTTGGTTTCCATCCTGGAGGCCCTGGTTCGTGAAGTTGGCGAGCCGTACCAGATCGGTATCTCGGTCAAGATTCGCATCTTGGAAACCCCCGAGCTGACCGAGGCGCTGGTCTCCCGTCTTGTTCGGACTGGTATCACAGGACTGACGGTCCACTGTCGCACGACGCCGATGAGACCTCGTGAGCGTGCCATTCGCGACCAGCTCCGTATGATCGCCGATATTTGTCACAAGGCCGGCGTGGCGTGCGTCATGAACGGCGACGTCACCTCCCGCGATCACGGGTTGAAGCTCATGGAGGAATTTGGCGTCGATGGAGCGATGATCGCTGTCTCCGCCGAAGCGAACTCGTCTTGCTTCCGGACAGAAGCCGATGGGGGTCTTGCTCCCTGGCGTGACGTCGTCCACCAGTACCTCAAATTTTGCATCCAGAGCGAGAACCGCTACGGAAACACCAAGTATCTGCTCAACATGCTGATCCCGGGCAAGGCGCAAGATTTCAAGGAGGCCAAACTGTCCAAGACCTACACCGACGTTTGCCGCCGTCTTCAGTTCGATGATTTAGTGCCCCAGGCCATGCAGCTCGATGAGATCCTGGACTTGACACACAAGCAAGAGATTAACGTTGCAGCACAGCCCGCCGCCTCAAAAGCCGTGCAGAATGCCAAGGACAACAATGAATCTGCCCGTGCTGCCGGGGGCAATAACACAAGACCCAGCAAGGCCAATGGCTCTTCCACGTCCAACGCTGGCCCCGTGCGCACCTCGTCTTTTCCACAGCCAGCGAAGCCAGCAAACCCCCCTCCTATGACTCAGACAAACACTCCGTCCGCCGTCGATCCATCAGTTCCAGCTTCAGAAGTTCCACAGCAATCTGGAGTCACGGTCTGAATGATGGATGGCTTTCCGCTTGGTGTTAATGTCTTCGCTTCATCATCTTCATTTTCTTCTTTTCTGTCGTTCTGCATAGCCTGGGTACCGGATCTGATTAGGGGGACATCGTGTCTTGTACAGCAAATATCTTTCATTCGAATACTTTTACATTTCTAGCTTATAGATTCCCCTCAAAATCCCTGTATTCATACAATTGACACCTATGCGTCTTTTCGATTTTGTCATGTTATCATTGGGATGCAGGCAAGCAGAAAGAAGCTCACCCAAGAGAAATCAAACAGACAGTCACATGCCTTTAACTTAACAGTATCGAAGACTGATGCTCCGGGCCTAGAACTCAGGACAAAGCTCGTCTCAGTATACTCAGTCAAGACCCAGCCGATGTGTGTTTGGATACGAGAAAACGTTGATTATGTTACTCGTCGTATTCTTGGGTAATTCGAAGACTTGACTAGGCATCTATTCTTGTGTTCTCCATTGTTTGGTCTTATGGAAACAAGGGCTTGGGAACGGACAGATATGCTTTCGTGTGATGAACAAGGCTTCTTTTGAAATCTGGAATGGGCAGGAGATAAATATTTCATGCAATCGCTCCGGAAAAGTCCAGAGAGAGATCGTCGACTTTTGGCAGAATGATGATATGCTAAACTATGTGAATGCTCGATGCACCTTCACTCCGTCGTGGAAACCGACCAACCTCGGTCACGTATGAAGTACATGAAACGCCAAAATGAAAATGCAATTAAGGAAAAAAAAAACAAGAGAGAAGCGGGAAGGATGACATCTCCAATGCTCGAACTGTTGAGAGAGAAATAAACTTAACCTCAAGATTTCAATTGGTGGTGTGTCAAGTCCTTGGGCCTATTGCTGGGCTAGTCGGCCGTGGACTGATTCTGCTCGGCGTCCTTCTTTTCCATGTCTGCAAGGACCATGTTCTCGACGGCCTTCATGCCAACTTCTTCGTTTTTCTTGGACGCCGCAGCGTCATCGTCACCCGCGACGGCCTGGTCTAAAGCGAGCTTAGTCTGACCAAGAGCGTAGATTTGCTCTTCGATGGTATCGCGGGTAACGAATCGGAACACTTCGACGTCGCGAGTCTGGCCAACGCGGTGGGCGCGATTCTCGGCCTGGACATCCTCCTGAGGGTTGAAAGACGAATCGAAGATGACGACCTTGTTGGCGCAAGCTAAATTGATACCAGCACCACCGGCCTTGGTCGAGAGAAGGAAGACTGGGATTTCAACCCGCTCGTGGAAAGCATCGAGGATTGACTGCCGGTCTTCGACATTGGTGCGGCCGTCCAAACGGACAAACTCGATCTCAAGGGTTTCGAGCACATTCTCGAGGATGTCCATGACCATCGTGAATTGCGAGAATATTAAGGTGCGGTCGCCGTTGGCAATGAAACGCGTGAGCAGCTCGCGAAGCTTCTCAACCTTGCCCGAGTCCATCCACTCCTCGTTCTTGAGCTTGTATTTACCCAACGAATGGGGATTCTCGAGGCACATGTGGTGACATTCGAAGTCGTTGTAAGCCTGCAACTCCTCCTCAATGATGGCCGGGTCCGAGGCTGCCCACTTTTCTTCCTTCAAACAGCTCTTGGCCATCTTCTTGAGAATTGCGTCTGTATAATGACGCCGAGCCAGAAGGGGGTGAATCGCGGCCTGGCGGAGCTTCATCAGAATGTTTGCAGATTTTGAGCCAGTCTTCTTGCCAGCAGCGCGATCCTCCAGGAGCTGTCGAACCTGTGCCTTCTCGTGGTCGTAGATGTCTCGCTGCGAGGACTTCATCTCACAGTATTCGACGAACGAATGCTTGGCCGGCAGGTCAATGACCTGATACTTCTTGCGGCGCAAGACGAAAGGCTTCAGCATGGACTTTGCACGCTCAATCCGCTGTGCTGATAATAGAGCGGCGTGCGATTCGTCGGAGGTCTTTGCCTTGTTGGCGAAGACAGCCTGCAAGTCGTCCTTATGATCCTTGAACACTGCGGGCAGGATGAACCCGAGCAGAGACGCCAGCTCTTGCAGATTATTCTGCAGAGGAGTACCCGTGAGGAGGAGACGGAACTTTGCATTGATCCGGATGAGCTTCTCGTACAGGAGGGACTGCGAGTTCTTCAGCATGTGGCCTTCGTCGAAGACGCAGACACAGAAACCCATATCGCGGAGGAATTTGGCGTCGACTTTGGCCTTCGCGATCGTGTAGGTAGTCACGACCACGTTGATCTCATCCCGGTCGTTTTCGAGCTGCTCGCGAATGTACGCGCGCTCGTTCTGGTTGGCATAGTAAGGCCGAACCTGAAGCTGCGGGGAGAAATTGCTAAACTCACGGAGCCAATTCTCAATGGTCGAGGAAGGAACGACAACCAAGTGAGGCCCCTTGACCCCCTTCTCGTAGAGATGCGACAAGAAGGAGATGACCTGACAGGTCTTTCCGAGACCCATGTCGTCTGCAAGAATGCAGCTCATTTTCTTCTCGAACAGAAGAGCCAGCCAATTGAGCCCGACAATCTGGTAGTCTTTCATGACCAAATTCTTGGCCATGATCGCAGGCTGTGAGATGAAGCCAGACTGACCAACAGAGTGAGGCTTTCTTGCCTTGACAACTGGTTTGATCTCATCCTCGGAATTTTCACCATTTGGTGACGGGTGACTTGAAGATGGCGTTGCGATACCCGAGTCGTGGGGGCCACCCAGCGCAGCGAGATCAAGCTCAGCATCACCACGCTTTCCAAAGATGTCCACTCCCCACTTCTTCATCTCCTCCGCGACAGGTTTACCCAAGGCTTCGCATTCCGCCACGAGTGCGTCGATCGCCATGTAGCCGGTCCACATTTCCAAGCACTTGTCGACAATCCTGTCTCCAATGGGTTTGGGAGCCTTGCGGCCCTTGCCTTTACCCTTGGATTTTGCACTCTCGTCGATTGGAGCAGTGACCTCGCGCACTTCGTCCAGACTGCGGAACGGTTGTTGAGAGGTGATGAGCTTGGCAGTCTCCTCGGGGACTGCAGCAATGTCGGCGAGGTCATGAGGCTTGCAAGTGTTGAAGAAGCGCAAGACCTTTTGCTCCAGATCGCCAGTGTTTGCATCATCCTCAACGACGTCAGAATCCTCGGAGTCCGAGAGAATGGCCTCTGGAGTGAGAGAGGGAGCACGGCGAGAGCCTTTCTGTAGCCGCCCAACTTTCTTCTTGGGCGGGGAGTCATCGGAATCAAGCGTGATAGCGTCTGTCGATGCTGCGGCTTCACGGTCTCTGGGGCCTCGCACAAGACGGCCACGTGCCTTGCCTTCGTCTTCCCTCAGAGAGCTGATGGATCCTTTGGCGGTGGCCCATTTATCTTGGATGGTCCCGCGGGCCTTGATCTTCTGCTTGGCGATATGGACCCCGCCGCGAGCCGGCTGAGCGTTCAGTTCATCCTCAGAGGAGTCAATTTCAATGACAGAAGGTCGGGTGCCGTTCGAGTTCACCTTGCTGGACTCATTGGCAAGCAAGTCGAGAGCGAGATCATAATTCCCGTTGGCCGACATGAGAGCGTCCGCGCATTCCTGTACCGACTTTGTTGGCATGACCTTAAGAATCCGTTCGACCTTGACTCTCACTCGGAAATCGGCAATGTCCAGCACAGTCGAGATCTGAGCATTCACAGGCCGAGCAGCAGAAGGACCTGTTTGGCGGATTTTCTTGACAGCGACGCCTCGAGGAGCCTGAGATGAGCTCATTTGATCGGCAGAGCGCTTGTTGCTTGTGGTGGTGGGATCGTAAATGGCGGAAGAGGTGATCTGCTTGAAGCGATCCATGGAGCCAGTCCCATTGCGTACAGGTGATTCGGCCACCTTCTCGGGGCTTCGACTCGTCTTCTCAAACATCACAGGCTTGATGTCAATGCGGTTCTCATCATCATCCGAAGACCCGCCTCGGTAAGTAGGACCGTCATCCATGTTGAAGGTTGGCGTTCGTTTTGTAGGTCGAACGATGGTTACAGGAGGACGATATGAAGTGCCGGAAGGGGCCATGAGCGAGCTTAAAAGCCCACCCCGTGGACGCTGTTGGGGTGGAGATGATGCAGAGGCGATGGGCGAGGAGGCAGCAACTTGGACGGTTGAATTGTTTGCTCGGTAATACGGTAAGTCAACCAGCTGTGTTGCCTGGGTCAATCGTTGGGAGGGTGTGGTTGTTTGCGCCGGCAAGGTGGCGATAGTCTCATAGTCACCCTCATCTTCGGGGGTGCCTGGTTCAGGCTGCTTCGTCCTCGTCGGAGTATCAGGCACCGTTTCGGCCATTTTTTTCAGAGAACAATCGTCCCAATTCGGCAGTCGAGGCCCGCCTCTTGTCTGATGTAATGTATCACCACTTTTCGTACACTTTCTCCAGGAACGCTTTTTTCTGCCGGCGGAGACGCGGTTGAGAGACGCGCGTGGATCACGTGATTTATATTGAATTTTGATTTGCATAAGTTTTCCACACGATGATGAAGCTCGAAATCCACTGTCGCAATCATAATTCAACACCTCCTGGTGATAGGCTTCGTAGAAAAAAAATACCAAGTGCCTTCATAACCTACTGCGACACGCGTTTAACTTCTCATGAGTCTTGAATGGGGAAACGCATCCAAACCTACGTAGATTGAAGGGCTGCCCCCATGTGACCAGGATCTTTCCTGAGGACGGGTCTCCGCAATGGATCTGATAGTTAAGCTCCACCAACTCTGAAACAGACAACCACGAACATTCAGCCTTGCACCTGATTTCAAACCCAGCGACTCCGATCATCGAGCTGCTCATTGGACCGCGACTTTGAACCCTCCGAATATGTCTGCTCGTCGTCCCCACGGGCAAAGCTATGCCGACGTCACGGCTCAGCCGGCTCAAGCAGCTGACTCCGACACCACTCCAGCTGTTCCCGCGTACGTTTTCCATTGCAGCCTATGCAATCCCGAAAAGGGAATCCGAGGGTGGCTGTTAAACTTCGAGTTAATAGTGACGTGATATACAAATTGCTTGCCTTTACGGCGGCGATGGCAATCGGGCCTATCGGTGTCTATTTCTTGACTGTGAATTCAGTCTTCGGAGGTTCGTACTCAACGGACTGTTTATCACCTGAAACGAGCCATCAACTGAAATCAATAGGGAACTCGACATATGCTGGTATCACTGCTGCTGTGGTCGCCAATCTGGTCTTGTTTGGATATATCTATGTGGCTTGGTTAGAAGACCAAGGCGACAGACAGGTGGCGGAAAAAGCCAAGTCCAAGAAAGCGCAGTAGACTTGGGATCAATCTGATTTTCTGTTCATCATGCTACGACTTGATGTCATATTTAGGGCGTTGTGGGTATCATCCTAGTGTTTGGGGCGCTTCAAGAATAGGTCTACCCTCAACAAGCTGCATCGAAGATCAATCTCCAACTAAATCTTTAACTTGGGGATCTCAGATGGACCTGCTCACTTCAAGTTTGGGGTGAAGCTGGATATAATTCCATTGCAGTCGAGACTGAGGGACCCTTGACGCCGTCCAGATTTAGAAGATCGCGAGGAGGTGAGTCCCTTGTTCCCGACATGCAGTAGTTTTGAGCGGCGCCGATACAGTCCGTCCTTTTCTCCCCGACGAATTGTCCCGAGCCCAAGTGCCGAACATCATGGTTATGAGTCCCTTACGCGGGCCTACGTTTCACGAACTCCTCCAGATCAGACTTTGTGGCAACTCCGAGGACGAACTTGCGAGTGACATCAGTGACCACCGCAAATTGCTGCTTCTCCCGCTTTTCACCATTCGGCCCAGACTCGCTTTCGAAAAATTGCTCCAATTCCTCCAAAGGAGTCTCCATCGTGATCACTTGGTAAATGCCACGCTTCCGGTTGAAGCGCTGCATAGCCACAGCCACAGCGTCCGTATCCTTGACAGTGCCGTGTTGGAGGAGTTCCTTCAGCCGGGGAATGCTCAAGTAGCCGAGGAGGGATCGCTTCGTCGCGTCAATCACTGTGAGGTGGGTGTAGTCGCGCTCGTAAGCGGTCATCAAAGCAGCGGCGATCGGATCATTGGGCGAAACAGAGAGCGCTGGTGGGGGGTCCAGATCTTCCACAGTAGCCTAGCCATGGAGTTCTGTTAGTCTTCGTGTACATAATCTCATGTTGTGTTAAAGAAGAATGAGGGGCGGAGGCGTACCCCGCGGTATTTGTCCGCCCAGGCACCTTGCAGACTAGCAGTCGATTGCGCTCGGTTTTCATGGGCAAATGCCTCGCTACCTGTTTGATAGGATGCCATTGCAATAATTGAGGGACGTTGTTGAGCGGGGAGTCTGAAAGATTCGCTAGAGAAGGGGGACTTGTTCAGCGTTGTTTCCGTAGCTGTGTTGCCCTTTTTCTCAAATTCGACGCTTTCCCTCTTTCTTCGGTGCCAAGCCCGATAAGCCCGATAGGCCCGAGACGTCATACCTTGGGGGGCCGTTCGCCGGTTTAGTCTCGGCTTACCAGCCTTCCAAGCTCATAAGTCGTTGGTCACACCTCACCTTACCTCTCATCCTCCCTGATCCGCAAGTTGTCCTTGAGGACTTTAGCAAATTATTCCATCCACCAGTCTCCATAGAGCCTTTTCCCTACGGTATGTTACACCTCTCTCTACCCTCTGTTTAATGATTGAACGATCGACCCAACCGTTCCCGATCGTTGTCTCCACCTTGAGGACCCGCATTAACAGAGTACATGTGGATGTATTTGTCGATGACAGGTCAACATGCTTCCCGACTCGGTGATTTCAGCATTTGCGGCACAGCATCCTCTCGGTGCTTTGGCGAAGAATCAACGATCTCATGGCGAAGAGATCAATTCGGTGACTTCTCCACGAAGGGAGCCTTTCCCCGCTTGGAGCGCGATCGATGACGTGAAGAAGACGGCCGACTCCATTGCTCATGAAGCTGCCCGAGAGTACAATGTCGCCAGCCTGAAGGCTCAGGAGAAAGCCGGCAAGATTGAGATGTGGACTCCGAAGTACTATGCTGCCTGTATCTCTGGCGGTCTATTGGCCTGTGTAAGTTTGACTACGACTTCGGAAATCCACGCAGTCTAATCGGACTATCTAGGGTCTCACTCACACGGCAGTGACCCCTCTGGATTTGATTAAATGCCGTCGTCAAGTCGACTCGAAGCTGTACACGAGCAACATGCAGGCGTTTTCAAAAATCCGTGCGGCCGAGGGATTGCGCGGTGTGTTCACCGGCTGGAGTCCTACTTTCTTCGGTTACAGTGTAAGCTGCATTCTTTTCCTCACACAAGCTTCGGCCAGTTAATCCTAACCCTTTAAAATCTGCTACAGGCTCAAGGGGCCTTCAAGTATGGAGGGTACGAGTATTTCAAAAAGTTCTACAGTGACCTTGTTGGCCCAGAACGCGCAGCTCAGTGGAAGACCTCAGTCTACTTGGCGGCCAGTGCCTCGGCTGAGCTGATTGCCGACGTCGCCCTTTGTCCATTTGAGTCGGTCAAGGTGCGCATGCAGACCACCATTCCTCCGGAAATCCGAGGTACCTTTAGTGGTATTTCCGCAGTGGTGGCCAAGGAAGGCGTATCTGGGTGAGTATTGTATCTCATGGCGATGCATTTCCATATTTCCATGATGGGAACGGATCTCGAAGCTTAGGGCCGGACTGTACTGACTTTGATATTTCCTCAGTCTCTACAAGGGCCTTTATCCATTGTGGGGTCGTCAGATCCCCTACACGATGATGAAGTTTGCTTCGTTCGAGACGATCGTTGAGATGATCTACGCCAGTTTGCCCGGTCAAAAGTCCGACTACAATAAGGGGGCCCAGACCGCTGTGGCCTTCAGTGGAGGTTACCTCGCTGGTATTCTTTGTGCTGTGGTCTCTCACCCCGCCGATGTGATGGTCAGCAAATTGAACGCGAATCGCCAAGCTGGAGAAGCCTTTGGAGCTGCTATGAGCCGTATCTACGGAGATATTGGTTTCCGCGGGCTCTGGAATGGATTGCCGGTTCGAATTGTCATGATTGGTACTTTGGTGAGTGGTCTTCCAGAGTATATTGGTATATTGTTGAAGCACATGTCACTGACTCGAACTTTGTTTACAGACTGGTCTCCAATGGATGATGTACGTTTTGACCTGGGCTTTATCGTGCGCTTTTATTTTACCGCTTGCTAACTCGTTTACAGCTACGACTCGTTCAAGATCTTCATGGGTCTACCCACCACTGGTGGTGGCTCCAGCGAACAGAAGAAGTAGGGAGGTCGAGTGTGTGCCGTGACTCGATCAGGAAGCCATCGGGCACTGAATGCCGGTAGCTGTCCGTGCATCAGATTGATCAATACTACGTTCCGCTTTTTTTTTGTATCATGGTCTTGTTTTTCTTGATAGTAATTGATTCCATATTTTACGAAATCGAATACTAAGTAGTGAGGAACTCATGTTTACCTGATACTTTAATGCTGGCCTACTCACTACTGTATGCCTGGAACCGAGGCCGCGTACAGTGGCCGATAGGTAACGGCCATGCCGGGCAACGGGGACCATAAAGTCGCCAATAACGGTATACCCAAGATGATGCCTTGAACTCTATGGGCGAAAGCTCTCTTTTCAATTCACTTTCCTATTTAGCGGCAACTGGAAATCTGCTACAGACATCATAGCGCAACACCAGTGCAACAAACCTTTCCCCCCTGTCGGAGTACTCTCCATCTCTTATCAGTTCCGTCAGTTTAGTCACCGACTCCACCAATTCAGCTACCTTATCTTATCAGTCACGACGTCACCAATCGCAATTGCAATCTCTCGCCAAGCCACTGACTTTGGTACGATCCTTTGCATACGTGCTCTCACTTGGAGAAAGGCAGAGAGACAACTCCTTCGACAAAAATGGCATCATTTGTGATTTGACGTCAAAGAGACCATGGACTGGCAAACCAGTTACTACCTCATAAATCTCACATAGTATGTCTGTCTGCATCCTGCGGCTCAGCAGATGACGAGATCGCACCTTCCAAGATCTGGATGTCAGGTCACTCGTTTTACCCTATCATGTAGGAACCGTACCTTAGGAGCAGTATGTTTGGACAAAACCATCTTCCTTCATCTTCCGACTTATTCTCGTATTTCTTAAGTGGTGTTGGTTTTCCCTGTGTCACGTTAGGGTCCACGAGCTCGTATAATCTTTTTTTTTTCTCGAACTGTCTCGCTTTTCTTTGTCATACTTTATATCTCGACCTATTTATCTTCCTGCATCCCGATCCCCCGTCGTCAAACCTACAACTCCTGTGAGACACCATTTTGCTCGTCGATCCTGCTCAATTCCTGTCAGATCTACCTTGGACCCCGACAGTAAGTGTGCCACTATCATCTCTACTCTTGACATCCACCCGGGGCCTGATCTGCTCGCGTACCTGCATGGCTGTATCTGCTTCGTTATCATCTGCAAAATTTGTCCTACCCAAATCTCTTCGCTCTGTCCATGATCAGCCCCTTCTGTTGCTTGTTGCTCGCTCTTTTGGCTCGATTTCAGTCTGAGTGCCATCACATCATACCCAACGATTGACTCATTCTCGTCTTCTCACACTCCCTATAATGATAAGCGCATGATTTAAGGTTCCGATACTGGAGCTATAATCTCCCCGTCCGCCCCTCCGGTCCCCCTCCCCCACGTCAATCGGCGCTTATCAGCCGCAAGCAAATCCGTCGTTTACTGCCCTTGTCACCCAAATGTACCTAACCAACCCGACTTTCTCTTTCACGCACTAACTATTCGCAGTCAGCCATTCTGAGCTTCTGACATCCTTGGCCGCCCAGTCCCTTCAGGTCTTGATCCAGCATTTGACCACTCATACTTCCACTCAAAATGGTCGACCAAGAACAACCGATGGTCTCTCACGGCCGTGGAGGTAAGCAAAACAGATCGGAGAGGGAGGTGCCACGCACAGAGAGCAATGGACCCTACTTGGGATTTACGTGACCACATCCTTTTCGTTTGCAAGAGCACATGTAAAGCTAATACTTCTCGGTGGGACTTCTTCAAGGCCAAGGAAACATCGGCAAAGACACCACAGAGTACGTTGACGGCGAGATCGTCCGCGAAGGCATCTACGGTGATCAGGGCGATGGTGCATACTCGGCGGGTGTAAGTAGCAGTACTCCTTAACTCATACTGGTGTCTCACAAGCTTGAGTTATTTGACGGAATATCTCTTCTGACTGACTCTCTTCTTCATTTTCCAGCGTGGCGGCGTCGGTAATATCGGCTCTCCTCGCGTGCGACCGAGTTCCAAAGTCCCCCACGACGCAGAGATGATTCCTGAATTGGCCGTGCGCGATTCAATCGATGAGAATTATCACACTGGTGTAAGTGCGCTCTGAAGAGAGGACTAGCATTCGTTCGCTCCATGATCATTCCAAGATTCTTCCCGTCTCCTTCTTTCTACCCTCTTCATTGCCAAGCCTACCCATGACATGACATGAATGGCCAAGCCAGAGACTAACCACTTCCTCGATTCATTGTGACCGGCCAGCGTGGCGGCCAAGGAAACGTCCACCTGGACAACGAAACTCGCAAAGAGAAAGAAGCCAAGAAGAAGGGTGTCGCGCACGAGGGACTGGCCGATAAATTGAAGCACAAGCTGATGGGTCGGAAGTGATCCTTCCATGCGAACCGGGGAGACCCATTATATTTTCCGACCTGGATCAAATGCGACGACGCAGACGAGGGCTCCCCCATATACCCGTCGCAGTTGCATTTACTCAAGTGTTGTCGCCCGTTGACGGGGGAAAGGTGAGATACGGGATGGAATACCAATGCGCTTCGAATGGTTTTTGCTTCCTTTCGACTGCGTTTGCTTTGTTTTCTTTTTATTTCATTCACATAGTATATTCGAGCTCTTTCGTGCCGAACAGCTTTATATCACTTGATTTGCTGGGGACAATCGTTTATAACAATAATATACCGCGTCCGAAGATCCCCACCAGGAATGAACTTTGGGTTGTTTTTTGTTCAATGCAACGAGCCGATCATGCAAGCGTGCCCTTGGAGTCAAGGCAGTTCTGGCCGGGGACGGCCGAGATCGCGATGTGGAATTTTGGTGTCATTCTATCCGATGGTCGCTCACTGCAGCCAGCTCTACTAGGCCAGATTCACTTGCGTCTAACCTGTAGTCGTCGTCGGGGCGGTAGTTGGTGGTGGTGTTTGCGCCGACTGGAGCTTTCGATCCGTATGCAGGGACTCACGCTGAGAGCAGAGACCGGATATGAGCAAAGAGGACTCGAGTACAAGGTACTCGGCTAGAATTGGATGACGATGGCCGATTGCTACTATGTAAGATTGAACCACAGTCTAGTAGCTCTGTGGGGGGGAAAGAAACCGCGTCATGCAGAAATGATATCTGCGAATCATGCACATGAATGAATAATCTCCAGAGACAGAGAAGGCCTCTCCGGATCGACAAGTAAAAGGAAAGAACCCCACAATCAAAAGACAAGACGCAGTTATTGTCCAGTCAAAAGGTAGTTCCTGTGCCACGCGCTCCATATCGTACCCAGAGAGAAAAGACAGAAAACAAAACAGTGCTTCGTAATCTCGTAGGACCCGTGAACCAGTGACTCGAAAAAAAAAATGTTAAAAGGATTGCAAAAGTAGTCGCAATTGGCCAAAAGTTGGCCCTGGCGACAAAAGATCAACGGCCGCGGAATGTCTGGCAGATTTCTCCCACAAGGCGCGAGAGAGAACCAAAATTCTCCCAGTACCAGTGCACGGGGGCCATTGAAATGACACGATCCAAGAAAAGGGCTGAGTCACGCCTATAGAACACCAAGACAAAGAATGAAGGACCGATTAGTAGACGAAAGGCTGAATGGATGAATGGTGATACATCGCTTTCGAAACAGGGCGTCGTCGGTACTGTGTCATTCTCACTCGAAAAGAAAAAAAAAATCGCAAAAGAGGCGAGCCCCATATCTATCCTCGGCTGAACCGTTTCTTGAACCAACCCTTCTTCTTATCGTCATGCATCTGAGGCTTGGGAAGCGGTGGTGGTCCTCTGCTGGGAGTCCCGGCCGCTGAGGGGCCCCATCCGGGTACAGCAGAGGCGCCTCGCCCGGTACCGCTCATCTGAGACCCACCACCATAGCCCGGAGGGCCATATCCGGGAGATCCTCGCTCATCGGCTCGTTGTTGTTGTTGTTGGAGCTGGTCCAGGGAGCTATTGAGGCTGCTAGGGTCGGTAGATTGTCCGTGAGAGTCTGTGTAGCCGGAACCAGATCCTGACATCCCCGCGGCATTGTCGTGAGATCGGTCATAGTTTTGTTGTTGGTACGCGTATTGGCCGCTGAAGTTATTGCCGCTTCCATTCCCGTAGCCACTTTGGTCTGTTGACATTCGGGACATGTGACGTGGGCGCCGACCATTGCCATTTTGGTGATTATAAGGGTAGTAGTTATCAGGCGCCTGGCTAGAGTTTCCGTAGCCATCAATCAAGCTGTCCGGACGGGATTGAGCGTTACGGCCGTAATAGGCATTCTGGTCGTTGTAGCCACGACTCGAGTATCCGCCATTTTGGCCTGCATGAATCGGGTTAGCCCGAGATGCAATGTCATATGGGCAATTCCAGCGCAACGACGACCTTCGGTTCTTACCTCCATGATAGCTTGTTCGGCGACTTGTATAATCGCCCATTTGCGATGCGGCGTCATCTGCAGGTATGTGATTAGCACTCGGGGCTCTGTGCGGACGAGCGGGACACGCGCACGCACCCGTACGGATATATGAACCTGGGCGATTGTTGACATAGGTGCCATAGATAGCTGCCTCGAATGATCGAATCGTGTCCAGCGGGCGCTCGTAGCGTGGACGAGTTGGGTTGGACCAGTCTGGCTCAGCTGTTTCATCGCAAAGATAATTCCAGTCAGATCACGGTTGTGTTCCCCAAACAGGCGGAGGAGGGCATGCGGAAGTGAAGAAAGGGCCCGCCCGAAGGCGGGTAAACAACGATCAGGCATGGGTCTGCAGTCTGCAGTCTGCACCATCAAGTTGATGGCCGAGATGATCCGGATGACTTACTGATCGGATTACCAAACTGATCCTTGTGCTCGATTGCCCGTAAAGATCCCATATTAGACTTTTCCAATGCGACCGCCACTAAATCCAACTGTCAGCTTGCCTTGTTCAGTCTTCCGAGAATGCGATCGCAAAGAATGATGAATGGGTAAACGGTGTCGATCGGGGGGCCCACGTGGGTCAAACGGTGGACGAGCGATGGAAAACTGGAGCATCGGGGAATGCGACGAGCGAGAGTGACCATTTCAACGTACTGGGCTGTAACTCATTCATCGCAACGGTGGGATCTGCCTTGGTCTGAAGACTGCGACGGGCTTTTTCCTGTGAGGATTCAGACAGGTGTGATTTGTGGCCGGAGGTGTTGGATTTATGGGATTTGTCCGACTTGACGCTGAACCCACGATTGCGGGTTTGTTGTTCGGGGCCCGCCATCTTTTTAAGTGTTGCGTTGCCGAAAACCGGTTGCCTCGTTGATTGATTTTAGTGCTCTATTTTTTTTTTGGCGGTGGTTTCTTCTTCCCTTCCCCCTTAGCGTCTTGCAATTTCAAGGCAAACCCAGATTGACCTGGGCTGGTGGAGAGCCCTGGGTGGGCTGTCACTGGGTGATCAACAGAGCGCGCTGAAACGGTGTTGATCTGCTTGAGTGCACAGAGCCTCGTGCTTTGGCGGCCGTAGTGGAGCGCGCCGTGATGGCTCTGAAGTGGGAACTGCCAAGAGTGACTTAGAAAGCTGAACGGGGGTGTCAGTCGGTGTAGCAGCGGAGGAAGGCTTACGAGAGTGATTTGAGCGTGAAGGTCGAACTTTGCCAGTGATGGGCAAGAATGCGAGAGAAGGCGAGCGTTGAAGAGTCGAGGGTCTTCGCTTCTTCGTTTTGTCTTTTTTTTTTTTTTTTTGGCGCGGTTCAAGACGATGTGCAAGAAGGCTGGGAAAGAAACCACAGGTGGTGTGACTTTGGGCCGGTTGGGTGGTACCGTTGGGTACAATGGGTACAACGGGTACAACGGGTACAACAATAGGGTGGTGGTCGGGGTCAGTGGCCTCTACGGCAATCGAGTCCCGGAGCTTCCACAGCCGGTGGAGGAGCTGGTCTTCACTAGACTGGAGACCGAGAGAATAGGATTTTAAGCAACGCGCAAGAGTCCGAGAGAGACAAAAAGAGAATAAAAGAGGGTCAACGCTCAGCAGAGCGGATCGACTGGTGGAGACAATTGACAGATGAGATCGACTCTCATGAAGTCAACGGTGGCTGCTGGTGTCAGTGTTCTCGACGGCAGTGCAATCCTGCAAGGTGCTCGACTGAAGAGGAAGAAGAAACCAAAACCAGCAGAGGGAGACGGACTGACGGAAGTCAAGACAGATACAGGAAGAGAAAAAGGTTCAGAGCGAAGAGGCGGGTGATCTGAAAGACGACCATCCAGGCTTTGTGCCACGTCTTTGCGCCTTTGAAGATTTGATGGTTGACGACGCCAGCCACGCAATGGCCGACGACCAGCGACACTTTTGAGTTCTGATTTTAGGCAGTGCCCACTACGGACCCGGGCACGACCGGCATAGTAGTAGTAGTAGTAGTAGTAGTAGTAGTAGTAGGCAGCACAGTACTAACTTACTTATGATTATTCAAAGACTTCCTGAGACTGGGTCCTATTTTGGTCGATGTTTGTGCACGGTTTGTGCGTGACTGCGTACCCGCTGCAACGTGCAACTGGAACAGCCTCTCGGCATCAAGAAACCATCTGCGACCATCGAGTGGGGCGTACTTCTGGCAGGGACCGTGGATATGGATCAGTGATGCTTCTTCACCCGATCTATCATACTACTACTGACTTCGTGAGTAGTGAGTAGTAGAGTACTACTAAATCTGACGGTCAATCATCCTTGATTGACTTTCATGTAGATGCCCACACATGGACTTTGACTGCGTGAGGTTGCCGACGGTGTCTTCCTCCGGCTCTTTCTGATCAGAATCGGCCGTCTGGGAGTTGTTGACTGACCCCAACACAGGGAAGACTGGTCTGGTTGTTGTGGCTGGTCGCCCATGGGCCGTGGTACACAGCCCGGTCCATGGACATGGAGACAAGTGGTGCTGTGCTTCCAACGGAGATTCGGTCCATCGACTTACCGAATGCCAATCGGTTTTGTTATCTGGAATTATCTACAGCATCCGTCGTTTCCTTCAAGAACCTGTCGGTGTGCTTTATTCAATGAATGATCGAATTGGTTCGTACTGGTAGGGACTGAGAGGTCAGTAGTAGTACGAGTCGCCAGGGCACAATCAGGAACCCTGACATATGCGAGGATCGATAGAAGACTGTCCCGAACTCCCGATCAATCAAGTGGGCCCCCTTGCTCCACCCGACCATTTCCTCCTCACGATGCCACCAATGCGACTCCAGCCTAAGCTGTTTCTGCCTATGCAAGACGAGGTCAAGTTTAATGGGAAGCAGGTTGTACATTATACAGTAGACCCTGAGACCACCTCATTTTATTCAACTTACCAAGCCTCGTACGTGAAAAAATACAGTACTACCGTCTGTACAGTGAGTGTCACTTTCTTGCTACGTAAACAAGCCCAGCCACCAAAACAGGTTCATGCAATTCCTGATCACTTGAGCCCAGACGATACCCACCCGAGATGTACACCCAACCGTCCCAGTAGGCCACTACGAAGGTAGTAGTACTTTACTGAGTCGACTGACTCGCTGGCAAATCCTGCCAAGCTTCCTCTCCATCACCCACTTGAGGGATTCTCGAATATTCTGAACCAACAGGTGGATGCTGCAGGCTGCGAACACACACAGATCAGAGTCTAATAGTCTATACTCTGGACTCTGTAGTGATGTATGTAGTCCTCGCTTACTGATCGCAGGACTGACCCAGTGCTGCGACTAGATCACTCCAACCAGGTATCAGGGAGGTACCGTACCTTTCTCACGACTACTAGTACTGTCACTACGCCGAGTGACAGGTAGGTACCTAGCCAAATTAGTCCGTTGAATCACCATGTCAACGCATCATCATCACCATCACCATCTCGCTTGGACTATTTGATTGTACTCCAGCCTCCGGACACTCCCCCGCTTTTCCCCGACCCCTGTTCTAAATTAGGACCCCCCTCCCCCTCGCCCAGGACCCATTCACAGGCCTCCAAATCTAGCTTGCAGTAAGCATCTAGCCATGATCTGGGCTTAGTTGACGCCTCGTTCCCGGATCACAGAGGGATCGGAGATAAAGTCAAATGGAGCGCACGGGCTGGTCTGACCCGTTTCTGAGGAAATCAGTACCCCCCCCCCCCCCCCATATGACATGAGCGAGTAAATACATGATACATGAGCGCGGCAGAAACCCCTCCCCATCAGGAGGAAAATCTTGACTAGCGAGAAATCACCATGACCGCGTGCTGTAAGTGGTGGGCATTTGGGCCTTAAAGCTTGAACCTGTCAACAATGCCCAGCCAGATTCGGTCAGATTGAAGGATCAATGCCGTCGTCCGGACGGTTTCAATTGGCCGGGGTATCCGGAATAGCCTTAGCACCTCGGCAGTCCAGCTGGAAGTGCCTGCTGAGTTCAAGGACTCGGTGATCTTTCTGCTGTGAGAAGCCAAAGAGCCATAGCCTTGGTAAAAGCGGTCCGAATATGAGCCACGTATGATTCTTGTTTACATTAAATTGCCCTGAAGAGTGAGACAGAAACCTACAGGTATGGAGCAATTCTCGTCAGCGACCGAGACCCGTGTTCGTGTTCGCCTTGGTCGATCAGCACCGAGGGTACGGATATATCGACCAGATCGCTCGGAGAATACATAATTGGCAGCTCCTGTGATAGATACCTTCGAGGCACTCCGGCGTATAGGATATTCAGACTACGTTGTCCAACACACATCCAGTATTCATTCACAGATCCTCATGTACCATTGAGACTCGGAACCTCGAACCTCAGTTCTCCATAATCCTGGATAGCATGATGGCTTTTACGAGCGCGCAATAGCCGCGCCGCTCCACGCGGCAAGCTCATCCACCGAATGAAGAGGCCATTGAATTAGGCACTTAGGCAGGGTTTACAGTACACTTTACACTTTACAATTATGTTTAGGCGTACAGCGCGTTCCAGTACTGTATTAGTACATTGAGGTATCTAGTATTCTCATGTTTATCGGTGACATTGAACGAGTATACAACACTTGTATTAGCGCAAGTCATGAATCCCCAAACTCAGATTGATCTAATCCCATCAATCCATCATGACAACTTTGGTCCTCTGAAATACTGCAGCAGTAGGTGTAGCCTCTGCGCAGGCTTGCAGGTGGCAACCCTGAAGACTTCCGTGATTGGGCCGGACCGAACTCTCAGCTAGTGTGTGACTATGTATCGATCTCCATGCCCTGTTGGCAGGTACCCGACCCTCCCGTCCTCGAAGATATATCTCGACTTCTTCCCGTCAGTCTCGGATCTGGCGCAACCGAAATCACAGCCCGCCCGGTCTTTCTCCACAAGTTCAGGAACTTTTAAGGGTAGGATTGACCTACCCAATGGCATATATGCTGGATAGAATTTTATGGAATCATAGGTGTTCACCTAATGAAGACACCTACCTACCTACCTGGCAGGTAGTCGCATGGTAAGCCAGTCGAGCAAGCTTGATATGAGGCTACCTATCTGACAATAGGTACAAGAACGGCCCCATCGTACCAAAGGGTCTATTTACAACCCCAACGCCAGTCGCCTTGACACACTGCCTAGGTGTGAGGATGAGCTATGTACCAAAATATCGAAACCCCGAAGCTTACCCCGATTAGACCGCAGCGTCAATATTGGCAATTCTGGAGTGAGCATCTAGTTCTTTGAACATCGAATCGCGGCCGAGATCCCGTCTGTTCAAACCCACACTGTCACAAAGCCTGAAAGGAGAACCGGGTAGTTGTTGAGATAGACAGGATTGACGGACGATCATCAACTCGCACGCAGGTCAGTGGACAAACTTAAAAATGCGGGCCGAAACTGGAGCAAAGTGTAGGTGAGGATGAATGGCACTGGACTGGTATAAACCCCGTTGATGTCCCCAATTGCTAGTCCAAGCTACGAGGGTCCTCTGAGGGGTGACTTTGTTTTCAAACTCCGGCTCTCAGATCGTACAACGAAGCACTGTCCAAGCACTGGATTAACCATCAACATCCAGTCTACCCGTAGAATCAAGGAGCTAGAAATGCGATAAGGCCGAGGCAGGCTGCTATTGTGAGAGTGTTTGCAGATGGTCACGCCAGTCAACTAAACTACAGTCTGGAGAACAGCCTGGTGTGTGGCAGGCTGGGATGGCGATGGAGCTGAGTCGCGCACGGCTGATCAAAGTCATAGTTGCAGTCGGAGAAGGTGAGGTGTGGCGGTGGTAGAGTAGCGAGTAGCCCGGTGTGTCCGGTGTTGTAATTGCAAATCGTCTATTTGGCTAGAATACCCAAGTCACACGCAGTTGAATGTTTTCACAGATTGACTCTGCTGAACTCGGGCGTGATTGATATAGAGGTTGCAATGAAGAATGAGAAATTGGCGATTTGAAGCGTGAATTGTGCGTTGGGAGCTAGCGGGGCGGGGAATAAAGCTGGATAAGAGTGTGACGCCAGAGATCATCATATCGGGCAGAAAAACAACACATGACACGAGAAGACAAATGTGCAGAGGACTCAGGAAAAGAGAGGACGAGCAGAGGAAGAAAGCTGACCGGTATTATGCCTGGATGTCGAGAGCTCAAAAAGACTCGGGATCACAAACAAACACAACGCAGCCAGCATTGATTCGTTCCAATGTCGCACTCCCCCTTCCCTCGGTCCCCGATCATCCCAGACAGTGAACGTTGTTAAATTTTTTTGATTCGTAGGGCTGTGATATCTTGGGCCCTGCCTTATCCCACGAATGAAAACGTTATCAAACCGCCAACTCCCGTCACCTGACCATCGACATCCGGATTCGTTCCGTCACGACTTTTTTCAACAGATTCCATTTTTGCCTGACACCGAAAATCCGTCTGCGTGCAGAAAGGATCGAGGGAATTCACCCACTAAATACAACATAGAGAAGCTGTTTAGATGGTGGAGGGGTAGAGCATGACGCGGACGGTGGCACCGAAGGACTTGGGGGGGGAGGTTGTGGCGGAACTTGGCGCGCACAACACCGGAGTTGCCTGCACATGGAATATAGTCAGTATAGGCGCGATTGCGAGACCGAAGATATACGCTCGGCCTTTTGAGAGTCCCGTGAGACTCCTGGAAGTAGCCGCCGCAGAGAGGAAATGACTGGTTCTCGGCTTGAGGTGATGCGTACCGTGAGGGCGGGTGACCTTGCCCCAGATCACACGAATGTTGGAGCCGCGGACCTCACGCTTAGCCCGGTAAACGAAAGCGACCTTCTTGCCCAAGTAGAAGCTGGCAGCCTTGGGGTCGGTGACACCCTCGATCTGGACCAAGCTGGTGTTGGGGTTGAGGTTGTGCTTGCCACGCTGGTAGCTCAGGTGGCGACCCCTGTTGGAGAAATTGGTATTAGAATGATGTTGAATTTCGATGTGCGTGTTCTCGTTGTTGCAGATAAGTTATTCCCCCTTTCCCCCCCCCCCGAAAAACAATCGAGCGCAAGTTCTCAGTCGATCATAACTGAAGTTGCCCAAAATGGCCTTTTGACGATGCGTGGACGGAATGGTATGAGATGGTAGGATGCGCGACGGCGGATATGGAAACTTACTTAACGTAGACTATAAAAATTGTATGTTAGCAAGCGGATTCCAGATTGATATCATCAGTCCCTTGTGCATTGTGCGTCGCTTGGATGCGCCATATCCTGATATCCTGTTCGCATGCCGACCAGACCCGAGCATCCAACGATTTCAAGATGGCGATCCGAGAGACGCTGCGCGCTTCATTCCTCCGGGGTGATGGAACTCACGTCGGTGTCCTTGTTCCGAAGGCATTGTGACTGCTTTTCTCTGAGCGGCGGGCAAGGATAACAAGTCGAAAGAATGACCCGCAAAAGATCAGAGGTCGTTGCCGGTTGTCGTGGATGTCGTCGCTGATAGAGTCGAGCGCACAATCAATTTGGGAGGTGTGGTGGCCACTTTCGCCCTAACCCCAATCGGGACCTTAGCGACAGGGTAAGCGAGATCCCGTGATGGATCCGCTAGCCCCGACCGAAGGATATGGGAGAATTATTGTTCCTGGATCTCCGCGATTTCGATCACGTGGTGATTATAGATCATCCCGGCATTCCTCTGGTAGTAGTCCTGGTCGTTCATGATTCTTGACCACTTGACCGATCGCTATGATTATCGCTCCGGCGACGATTGGCGCTGCTGGGATGCTGTGTTGAGTCGTTGACTGTCACTTGATATGTGTTCGAGACTATCGACGCAACCGTTCTTCACTCCCCTTGCATTGGTCCGTAGTTGGAGTCTTCTTTTTCTGATCTTCTCGTCAGTCACCAAGGTTGATCTCAGAGGCCGCCTGCGTAGAGCTTCCATGAGCAGCCGATTCGGTCTGGGAATAATTTGAGCACCAAAAACGTACTGCTGAACTGCAGCATACATAGTTTATGTTTTACTTTATGAAAAACACGTCAGGACTTGGTCGTTTTGAGGATGACCGTTTGGTTTTTGGTCATCAACTTGGAGCGTGCCGTCTCCAAGTCCGAGGTATACAGCCACATGACGGATAAAGGGGGAAGAAGCATTTGGTTCGCCCTCGATCCATGATGCCCCACGGTTCCAGCCTTCTTGAGGCAATCTTCCCATACAATGTATTTGGGACGTCGCGTAACTCCAACAGTTGTGTACTGAGTACTGTGTAGTGTGTATACTTGATAAGTTGATGGTCGCCGTTGGGAGTTACGCTAGAGGCTTTGATTTGAGAGTTTGCTTACCCCATCATGGTTATTACGGGAAATTCCCTGGACTCTTCGATCATGTAACTCGAGTATACTCAGTATACTACTAGAATGTAGAGTGTAGGGTAGTCGTTATAGATCTCACACCCACATACGGCTTGTCCAACATGGCCGTTGATCACTGGGCTTCAAGGGCCGCAACATGAATTCTGCATACAAAAGAGCGTAGACGAAGAGTGACTCGTGGGTCTCCGTTTCCCATCCAATCTGACTTGCGCACATCTACGAGGCATCTCACCCACATTGACCCCGCGTGTTGGTGTTTGCGCGGTCATGATTACTTCTCGCTGAGGCAGCCTGTCAGCCCCCAAGACGGAAAGAGTCTGGGCTGGGACCAGCGGTTAAAAGGGTCCGAATGCGGCGTCAGCGGGGGCCCAGGCGCCCTTGGGGGGCTTTTGACGTTTCGGCATCAGACGGACGGGAAAATACAATCCGTTCGAGGACGGTGGGAACCGCGAGGGATGACAAATGTGCCGAGTCGCCCGCTCAACCAACTCGGTCACCGGGAAGATACAGTCCGTACTTACTACTTACAGACTTACAGTATAGTAACTCACTATAGTTAAGTTACAGGCAATAAGATGAGACGACGAGTTGGTGGTTCACTACCCTTCGTTGCTCCAGCAGTACTTGAGTACTTGCTCCCCTTGCACCTCAGTGACCTCCCATATTTAGGTAGTGTAGGAATCTCCAGTAAGACAGTAGCTGCTCGCATTTCTGCATATGCAGCAGCAGTTCGTACGTCGTACAATAGTATAATGTAGTAGGGTCCGCTGTCCACTGGACAGTGTCCACTGTCCAGTCAATCGACAAGATTGTTCGCATGCGATTGACGCACGTACAGTAGTACCGTCGACGATCCGGGGGGAGCGGCTGGTGACTGCCGTTGTCCCCGAGCTTTCGATCAATCACGCAATTGCATCACTTCTTCACCACAGATTACTACTTTGGAAGCGTGGTGAGGGTGACAGTCTAATAGGTTGACTTGGTAGTCAATGCGTGACATGGTGGCCGAGATTATTATACAGAGGTTGATGTCTTGCGATTGAGGCGTACCCTTAGTACAGTCTTTCCTGGGGTCGTTCGCCCTGGACTTAGGTTGATCTACCTCCAATCCCCTGCAATCGGTTGAATATACAATCAATACCTATCTGTGGAGGATGGACCAGCAGGTGTCGGAGGGGAGGAGCGGGGCACAGACGGGACTGCGCGGTTGATGATTTGGGGCAAATGTAAAGATTGCAACGTGATTGTCGATGTTATTCGCGTAACTTTTTTTGGGGACCAAGGGTAGCCAATGTACAGGTCAGTGCAAAGTCAGACTGCTCAGTGCTGAGTACGGAGCAGTGAGCACTGAGGGGTTGGCTTGATTCGAGCAATGGAAGATCAACATGAACACCCTAGCTGGTCCAACCGTCGGTCGGGATCAAGCGCTTTAGACTGCTGTAGACTTGGCGGAGGACATGAGACGAATTCACGTACAAACATTGTCAAGTCACCCCTCCATTCCATCTACGCTTCGAATCACCATCAGTCAGACCATGCGATGTATGTACCTACTTATCCAGAGAAAAGCTCAAAACAATGATGCACTCAGTTGGCGGTGCTGACGGGAGTGACGATCATGTCTCCGGGCGCGGAGTTATGGCCGGAGGTAAAACCACCCTCCTCTGAACCTCCAAAGTACCTCGACGAGCAGATCAATGGACTGAAAGCGAGAATCACCGAATAGAAGGGGGCAGGATCCGGAGGTTTAAGCCGTGGACACAGACATGTGCACTCGCTCAGAGGGCTTGAAGAATGAAGCTTCTTCAGGAGACTAGAAGTGACCGACGAGTCCCTGCATCGGACCGACTGGAATCGACTTGTGTCATGTCCAGAGAGAGCATGCGTCTCGGGGGTTCCTATCATTGCCCCTCCATGGCTGACGAAGATCGAGGATCCTCCGTCGCTCCAGGTGCAAGGAAAAACCCACATCATCATCACGTTGAGGGTACAGGATCGGACAGGGTCAGACCGGATGGGTCCTCTGATTTTATCCACCAGGATAAATGACCGAATCGTCAAGCGTCACCGGGGGACGTTCGCCTGGCAGCAGAGAGACCGGCCGCGACACCGCAAAAACGGAGAGCAACCGGAGGCGCAGAGGGGAGGAACGACTGCCCCAAAAGCCCCAAAACGACCACCGGGCTACACTCCTCCAGCCCCACCACGCAACAGAGACGGAGCTACCGTACGTGACCGAGAGCCCCTTCAAAAGTGCCCCCGCCGGATCCTGGTGGGAAGAGTCTCTCCTCCTGGTCCAGCAATTCTTTTTTCTCCTCTCCCTCCGTTCGTCGCTTCCCTTTGACCCAGTACCTGTTCAACTTCATCCCCTGCCCCTCATCCAGTTTGAGAAGTAATCGGTCATTCTTGCCCACATCATGACGAGCCTAATCAACCAGAGCGACGAGCGCCAGAATGCTGGGTAAGTTGCCTCTCTGTACTCCCTCGTCTCTGACATCACCTCCCCCCCCTTCCGGCACGGCGGAAGCGTGCCGCCAAACCACCTCCAAACAACACTCGTCGAATTTCGTGGGACGGGACCATCCAGATCACCCACGTCTCGCTTCCTCGAGCTCAAATAGCTGCGGGTGACACCTGCCTCGTGCTCTCAGCCGTAGCTCTCAACTATCTTGAATTGCACGGTCACTGTTCCCGCGGTCGTCGTGCCCCTCCGCCACCAGCCCCTCGGTCGAGGTCCTGTCCTTTGGACCACACACTTTGTGCACTCGCCAAACGGGATCCCTCAGCCATTGCCATTCTAACCATGTCTGCCACAATCAGCACTGTCGAGTTGAAGGATGACACCATCATCGTGGTGCTCGGCGCATCCGGTGATCTCGCAAAGAAGAAGACTGTATGTTCCTCTCTGGTCTTGACGCAGCTGCGCTCCTCATGGATCCGGGTATCCCCAACAATTCTTTCAAGATCGGAAATGCTAACCTTCTGAAATAGTTCCCGGCTCTGTTTGGCCTCGTACGTTCACCATCCTAATGACAGCATCGATACCGGGAGCGAAGGCAGGGTCTGCTGCACCGTTACTGACCATGCATTTCCCCTTTTGTCGTACAGTTCCGCAACAAGTTCCTCCCCAAGGACATTAAAATTGTCGGCTATGCGCGGACAAAGATGGACCACGATGAATACCTGAAGCGCGTGCGCTCCTACATCAAAGTTCCCACAAAGGAGATCGAAGAGCAACTAGATCAGTTCTGCCAACTGTGCACTTACGTCTCCGGCCAATACGACCAGGATGACTCCTTCATCAACCTCAATAAGCACCTCGAGCAGATCGAGAAGGATCGCCAGGCCAAGACGCACAACCGCGTCTTCTACATGGCTCTTCCTCCAAGCGTCTTCACCACCGTGTCCGAACAATTGAAGCGCAACTGCTATCCCAAGTCCGGTCTGGCCCGTATTATCGTAAGTTTGGGAACACGAGACAGGCCCGGGGGCGATCAGCGAGTGCCGAGCCAGCACTAACCCCTCATGCATTTTGTCGGAATAGGTCGAGAAGCCCTTCGGTAAGGATCTCCAGAGCTCGCGCGACTTGCAAAAGGCCCTTGAGCCCAACTGGAAGGAGGAGGAGATCTTCCGTATCGACCACTACCTCGGTAAGGAGATGGTCAAGAACATTCTCATCTTGCGATTCGGCAACGAGTTCTTCAACGCGACATGGAACCGTCACCACATTGATAACATTCAGGTGAGTCGCTTCAATCGTTTCAGGAGAGCCCTGATCGAAGATCGAAAGCTTCCAAGGCTGACGTGTACTCTGGGAAACAGATCACTTTCAAGGAGCCCTTCGGTACTGAAGGTCGTGGCGGATACTTTGATGAGTTTGGTATCATCCGTGATGTCATGCAGAACCACCTTCTCCAGGTGCTGACGCTTCTGGCCATGGAGCGTCCCATTTCTTTCTCTTCCGAGGACATCCGCGATGAGAAGGTCCGCGTTCTGCGTGCGATGGATGCCATTGAGCCCAAGAACGTGATCATTGGGCAGTACGGTCGCTCTCTGGACGGCAGCAAGCCCGGCTACCTCGAGGACGACACTGTCCCCAAGGAGTCGCGCTGCCCCACCTTCTGTGCTCTGGTCGCCTACATTAAGAACGAGCGCTGGGATGGCGTGCCCTTCATCCTGAAGGCCGGCAAAGGTAAGCCTTTGGCCTGACATCTACTTGGTCTCCAGTACCGCTCAACTGACCTTTTTGCTCTTCGTTTTTCTTCTCCCACAGCCCTCAATGAGCAGAAGACCGAGGTCCGTATTCAATTCAAGGATGTGACTTCCGGTATCTTCAAGGATATCCCTCGTAACGAGCTGGTCATCCGTGTCCAGCCCAACGAGTCCGTCTACATCAAGATGAACTCCAAGCTGCCTGGTCTGTCCATGCAGACGGTAGTGACCGAGCTGGACTTGACCTACCGCCGTCGCTTCTCCGACCTGAAGATCCCCGAGGCGTACGAGTCTTTGATCTTGGATGCGTTCAAGGGCGACCACTCCAACTTTGTGCGTGACGACGAGTTGGATGCTTCGTGGCGCATTTTCACTCCTCTGCTTCACTACCTTGATGACAACAAGGAGATTATTCCCATGGAATACCCCTACGGTATGAATGACCCTTGCTATATGTTCAGAGTCAATGAGCTGTACTGATTTTGTCTTCATCCAGGTTCCCGCGGTCCTGCCGTCCTTGATGACTTCACCGCTTCCTACGGTTACAAGTTCAGCGATGCCGCCGGCTACCAATGGCCCGTGACTTCCTCTGCTCCCAATCGCCTGTAAAGAATCGATGCAGCAGACAGGTGAAGTTCTGAGTACTGTTTACGATGATATGGGATGTGAAATCTATGAAGGCGAATAAAATCCATTTCCTTTTTTTTTTTTTTCCCTTTCGAGTCTTTTTTTTTTCTTTCAATGAAGCATATCTTGGTTGAATTTTGCCTTTTGCACTAATAAGCTCATCGAGAACTTTCAGTAGAGACAGTAGAGATCACCACACAGGGTGGCCTAGTAAGGTATTCTAGCGCTAGCTGTCAGTATATGGGGTCAGCGAATCTGATCAGAATGATGCTATAAGTATGAAGCCTGCACAGTGCGAGCCATTGATACATAGCAAGTATACTCTGATGGTACTATCGGCTGGAACATGCAGAATATAGTAGATAGTAGATTCGCCTTATTCCTTAAATCTTGCTGAAATTTCGAGGGACCTCTGCGATGATCATTAAGAAAATCCCATATTGCTAATGCACGAAATCTTGGCCAAACTGGGCGTAATTCGTAAAAGCGCCACAGGTGGCGCGTCATTAGTTTTTAGTACGTACAACAACTCTTGCCCACACTGTTGCTCTCTCAGCATGCGATGCAAATATGTAGGTACATCTGGGTAGTTGGTCTCCAGCGTTCAATTCGTTCTTGAGACGACACCCGTCAGCATGATACTGGTCAGCTGACGAACCCCGTGTTCATCATGATTTCATGATGATCATCAAGGGTTCGGCAATGTCATCGATTTTCTCGACCTTTACATCGACTCTGTAGTTTGTACCATCTCGCAATAGGGCCTTCTCGGCTTGCAGTCTTTTGTTTCTCCAAAGACTTACATTCTGTGAAAGCGAGATCTGAAGATTGGACAAACGTGCGATGCATTTAGATAGTATGGTAGAAGGGAGCGCTTTTGTTTGGGTTATATTTCTTATCTCGTGTGACGTCGCAATCGTGTGGAACTGGAGATACTCGGTCTTTTCGAGATGGGGATTTTAATACTAATGGGAGTCCTCTCCGACCTATAGAAGAAAGCTTTAAATTGTCAGGTGCAGATGAATCCTAGTGGAGTTTACTCGACTAAAGTCAAGCCCGGACACGCATGCATTGAAAATGTCCACGACCACCGGGTAAGCTCAGCTCAGCGTCCACGTCCAATTCCCCGATTTACCCCTGGCTGGACCCGAGCGGGTCCCAACTCAAAGTAGGCCGCGTGCGACAAGTGCGGCCCGGGGGCCCGCATGAATGCGGCGTCCAGACCAAGCCTCTTTTTCTTTTTTTCTGCTTCTTTCTCTTCTCACCTTGACACTTCGTTTCTCTTCTAATTCGACTCGAAGATACATCTACCTATTGCGCCTCGTTGCTTTTACATCGAGTAAGAACGTGCCTTAGCGCTCCGGTCCGAGTGTCATCATACGATCATCCCTGCGAGCGCAATCACCTTAGCTTCTTCGCGGACCAGTACACACGAAGCGCAACCGGTCGAATTCAATTGTACCTCGGCCAGTCGACGCACCACGGTATACTACGACTTGCGACACCTCTCACGACTGTCAGGAAGGAACATCTCATAAAGGGCGTCGCGCGTCAATTGTCCACCTTGAGTACTGCGCTCACCATCCCGCTTTCACGAATCCTGTCGACCGTATCGCAATTGTGCCTCGGGCAACTGTTTACACGAATAGCCGCGCACGCTTTGTTTCGCCTATAACCCATACCGTTCAAGAAGGAGAGGAAAGAGCGAGGGGAGAGCACATGAACGTCACTACCTGTGACTTTTAGTCATGCCGCAGGCAGCGCGATGGGCGGGCACGCCGTCGATCAAGGGACGCAGTGAGTCCACGCGCATGGCACTTTTGACGTTCAGTCTGGTGGGATTACAGTGCGTATCGCCCTGGGGGAGCAGCACGTCAACAGGAACTTCGTGGGCTGGGACGAGGAGAAGGACATGCGGAAGGAGGAGAGAAAGACAGGGAAAAGGACCCAGTCACTAACTTTTCACATCTTTGAGAACAGGTTCACATGGGGTACAGAAATGACATGTAGGTGATTGCCTGCTAAAGTTTCCGAGTCTCTTCCTTATTGAACTGGAAATCAGAGGAGAGGATACTGATTGCCAACGGCTCTTGTCAATAGATTGCACACCATATCTTTTACAACTTGGCTTGACAAAATCGAAAACCTCCTTGGTTTGGATCGCGGGGCCCTTGTCTGGCTTGATCATTCAGCCTTTAATCGGTGTGATTGCGGATCGATCACGGTCAAAATGGGGGCGACGGAGGCCCTTTATGGTCTTTGGATCGTTCGTTGTGGCAGCGTGTCTGATCGTTTTGGGATGGACATCCGAAATCGTGGGGACATTTGTGGCAGACCCTGAAAAGGTGGGTCCCGAATCCCATTTCTCTGGAGTCTGATATGCATTGCAAGTATGTGCTGAGACTCATTGGACTGTATGCAGGCCAAAAAGGTCACCATTGCCTTGGCCGTGTCTAGTATCTATGCGGTTGACTTTTCGATCAATGTTGGTAAGTGGAAGAAGGTAGAGGCTGATCGTTTTGGCTCGAACTAAACCTTGTCTTAGTTCAAGCTTGCTGTCGCAGTCTGATTGTGGACACATTACCGATTCCCTTGCAGCAGGCTGGCTCTGCATGGGGTAAGTCTTGACGATCATACACAGTGATCTGTAGTGCCAAATGTTGCTGTAAAGCATACTAATTGTGTATCGAACATAGCTGGTAGAATGTGCGCCATCGGTCAATTAATCAGCTATGTGATTGGGTCAATCGACACAGTCAGTATCTTTGGAAGTCTGCTGGGCGACACCCAATTCAAACAGATGACGGTGATTGCGGCGATGTCTTTGATCTTTGCCGTTGCGGTGACTTCGTACTCTGTCAAAGAGCGGGTTCTGATCTCCGCGAGGTGAGTGACCTGCCGATGCGCGAGGGATTCGAAGATAAGCCACCCGGAACATCGACACTGACTCGTCATCACAGAGACTCCGATGGCAAAGGAGGTGCCGTTCAAGCTATCTCTCAGTTGTTCAAAACCACCATGGAACTTCCGCCACGCATTCAAGCTATCTGCTGGGCTCAGTTCTGGGCATGGATCGGTATGACATTCGAGTGGACATGCTTTGCAGCACGCAAAGACTCATTTGAGCTAATATCTCTCTGTACAGGATGGTTCCCTTTCCTGTTTTATAGCACAACCTGGGTGGGCGAGACCTACTTTCGCTACGAAGTGTCCAAAGATCAATTCGCCAAGACTACTGACATGCTTGGTGAAGTTGGCCGGGTCGGCAGTCTCTCCCTCACGGTCTTCTCATCGATCACATTCCTGAGTTCTGTGCTATTGCCATTCTGCATCCAATCCCCCGACACCAAGCGCACGCGATTTACTCCTCGTCCGCCCCCTGGCATCGCTACGATTCTCACAAAGTTCACCTCTGTCCGGCCAGATTTGCAAACCGCGTGGTTCATCTCGCAGATCATGTTCGCTGCGACCATGGTCTTTGCCCCATTGGCGCACTCCCGGGCTTTCGCAACCTTTCTCGTTGCCCTCTGTGGCATTCCCTGGGCTATCAGCGGCTGGGCTCCCTTTGCCTTTATGGGGGTGGAGATCAACAAATTGACCATGAACAGTCCCGGCCCAGCTTCACCAGGTATGGCTGCCCAAGCCACACGCTCCGGTGTGACCATGATCACGTCCGCTGGCCTTCGCAATCCCGCCGCGGACACGGAACTAGAAGTCCTTCGCTTGAACCACCGCGACATGGACAGCGACACGGACGAAGAAGATCAAGTCTCAAACATTCCTTCCACGGGCGAACTTGCCGGTATCTACCTGGGGGTGTTGAATGTGTATACCACGCTCCCGCAATTCGTGGGGACCTTTATCAGCTGGATTGTCTTCAGCCTGCTTGAGCCGGGGGCGTCCCCGACCAAGGACGGAGATGCTTCGGATACGCAGTGGATGAATCTGGATCGTGATAAACCCAATGCGATTTCCATTTGTTTGTTCATCGGAGCGATCAGTGCTCTCGTTGCCGCGGAGGCGACTCGACGATTACGATATGTTGCATGACAACGCGGGACCTTTGTGAGTTGAAAAGATGGAGCAGCTCTAGGGAGTGTGTTGCAGCTGTGCATCGTTTGGTGGCCTGCTATCTGGAAGTCCTTGAGATGGGGACCACGTGGAGCCGATGAAGCGTGCGGACTATCTCTCGCTCTCTCGTCTCACTGTATATGGACCGGGGAACGTGCGGACTGCGGGACCCCTACTCATCCCGGAATTGAGACTTTCACTCGATGACCCGGTCATGTCACTGTCGTCGTCGTCTCCGACTGCATATAGACTTAACGACCTTGTACTTTAATGGTAATAATATCTACTGATGATGATTATGAATTTGTCACGTGTTCACACTGTGTTGACGTCTCGAATGGGTGTTTGATCTGACATTGCCTGTCGATTCTTGAGTACAGACTTTGACATTCATTGTTATCACGATAGGGCCTTCCTTTCTCGTGATAAACGCACCAGATCTAGACCTAGTCCTAGCCCGCAGAACAGTTCCACCATAGTTACATAGCTCAAGTACTGAATAGAAAGAGGCTTGCACCCTGTGTTCAATACATCTTGTACTCTCTAGATTCTACCCTCTCCTTTCTAGAACCAGCTATGTCGGTACCTAAGTTAGGTGGGTAGTACGACGATTACCTCTCTAGGAAGTGACCGAAGCTACCTAGGCGCAGTTGGGATCCCAGTTCCCACATGGACGTGTCCGGCGCACAGTTACACACCGCTCCGTCAACCCTCAAAATCACCTAAGCAAAATCGGCAGCGGGAGCAATCTTCATCCCACTCGGAGACTTTGCAAGGTGGTCTCGGGCAAACAGTCCCGATGTGAAAGCCAGGGCTTGCTAAGCAGTGGGGCGTTTAGACTTAAGAAGAGGGCCCTCGGTGCGGAATTCCATTCTTGGGCGGTTTTTTAGGGGGTGGGCGGGTTTCGGGTCAAAGTGGGGCCGGCGAGTTTTTAGGTCGGGTGGAGGGCTTTTAGGGTTACGCTATGACGACATTGATGATGGCATGCGGGTGGGACGGGACTTTGAGCGGAGATCGTTTTGCTACTATACAGTATACACTTGTACAGCTTACATGAGTCAGTAAGTTACTAAGTACTACTTAGTAAGTAGTAGTTGAGTACCCTATTACAGTGGTAGAGTAGACCGTATATGCTGCTCTTCATTGTTGCAGGGATTGGAGGTACCACTGCCACTTTCGAAAATAAAACGTTGCAAGTTTATTTCCTTTTTCTTTTTTTGGATGGACCACATGTCAGCACTTTCTATGGACGTCATGGCAGGAGTACCGAGTCTCCCGAGTCTACCGACTACCGAGCTCTACCACTCGAGTGCGATATCACCATGCTTATTGCGCGTACGAGGAAGCTCTGGAAGCTGTAGCTTCACATTCGAGGGACTTCAGAACACGCCTCTGCTCGTATGTATGGACAATCCAAACACCTTGGAACGCGATTCCTCTTGAGTCATCAAAGTACTGCAGCACTCAGCACTCAGCACTGTACCTACTAGGGTACTCAGTACTCACGAGTCACTACCTAACTCAATAGGTAGTAAATGCAACGAACCGAAATGGATCCCTCATGGAATGTCTCCATTAACGAATGTCTCATTGGTGAAACCTCCAGAAGCTTGGTCGGCTGATTTATCCGCGCGCATCCACCGTTGGCGATGGAGAAGCGGATTGAAAAGAGAACTTGATGACCCCCCCCACCATGCAACCTTGGTGGCTGTTCTGGATCGCAGTCAATGGCTCCCTTTAAATAGAATCTCTCCCCCGCCATCATCACTCCTTTCCATCATTAAATTTTCCAACTATCGCTTCTTGCACAACCACTCAAACCTATTCAATCTCCTGACCACTTCTCACACTTGATATTATACCTATCCTTCATCATGTCTCCCAAGGTCCTCGTCGTTCTCACCTCGGCCAACGAGATCCCCAAGCTCCAGAAGCCCACTGGCTGGTACTTGGTAAGTCCATCTCTCAGAGGATGACCTCACTGATTCCCTATTCCATCAATGGGCTCTCTCTTTCGGCATCATTCTCACCTCTGTTTCTCCCTGCAGCCTGAGTTCGCCCACCCATGGGAAGTCCTCCATGAGAAGGTCTCGTTGACCATCGCCTCCCCCAAGGGTGGCGAGGCCCCTCTGGATCCTTCCTCCGTCGAGATGTTCAAGTCCGACGAGACGTCCACCAAGTTCCTCGCCGAGCAAAAGGCCCTCTGGACCAAGACCGAGAAGTTGTCCGACGTTCTTGCTCGCGCTGATGAGTTTGACGCTATCTTCTACGTCGGCGGTCACGGACGTAAGTATACCACGCAACTTTGATTTTTTTTTCCCTCTGTTCCCCCTCGTCTCTTTCTTTCCCCATTTCCCTACTTTCTATCAGGTGGGAAAATAAAGACAAGTATCAAGTGCAAACAAATAGCTAACATGCGCCTCCTTTCCCCCTTTGGCTCCGAATCACCAGCCATGTTCGACCTCACCACAGACTCCACCTCTCTCTCCTTGATCCAGACCTTTGCCGTCGCCAAGAAGCCCGTGGCCGCCGTCTGCCACGGTCCCTGCGTCTTCCTCAACGCCACCGCTCCCTCCGGCGTGCCCCTGATCTCCGGCGCCACCGTCACCGGCTTCTCCAACACCGAAGAGGACCAGGCGCAGCTCTCGGATGCCATGCCCTTCATGCTGGAGACCGAGCTGCAGAAGGTGTCGGGTGGCGGCTACGTCAAGGCCGACGAGCCGTGGGGCGAGAAGGTCGTTATCTCCAAGACGGCCGGTATCGGTGGTCCGTTGATTACGGGCCAGAACCCTGCCAGTGCAACTGGAGTTGGTAAGGCTTTGTTGCAGGTTTTGGGTCTGTAAGGGAAGGGGGTGAGAGAATTGAAACATGAGAGTTGTGTCGTGGATTCGCCCCCTTTTTGCAGTTTGTCTGAGTTGTTTTGATGTCAGACGTCGGGTCGGGGCTTATGCCCTCCATCATTTGTCTATGAGTTTTACGAGATTGCAAGCTTAAAAATAACGTTAATATCATATGGCCTTTTGCGGCAAAGACTATGTCTTTTCGATCCAAGTCAAGTCCAATTGTCGTCTATCTAGGTGCTACTACAAATTGGAAAGGAGTACACTTGTGGTACCTCTCCGTCCTCACAAATCCCCGCGATTTGTCGCCATCGGGCTTTCTTGAAAACCCCAGTTGGCCTGAAGCCTGAAGCCTGAAGCCTGAAGCCTGAAGCCTGGTGGAGCCGACAAAGTTCACCACCCGAAAAGCACGCTACGGCCACCAACCTCTCCAGTAATAGCCCCATTGGTAGTTCCCATCTTTCCAGGTACACATAGTCTGACTTTCTTCCTCTGTTTTGCATCTTCTCCTACACAAGAATCTCGCAGGAACGTGAGCCAGCAACGTTCGCGAATAAGCTCGTCAATAGTCCGGAATCACACAAGCTCTCTGTTATAAGCCGAGAGTGTTGGTGATTTTCGAGTTTTATACCGGCAATGTGCTGTTCCAGGGCTGAGAAGCGGTCCTCCCAGCCTTGGTGGTATCGCGCCCCAATCGTCGTGGGCCATGACCTGTAGACGCTTGACCACTCGAACCGTGGCCGATTGGGACTTTCGAGCGAGATCTTCTCGTAACTCGAACAAGAAAAAACTTTTGCTTCGTCGAGTTTCAATACGAGTCGCAGACGATAGGGATCCCGGCTCAAATCCTGGCTTGACGCACGGTGTAGACTAGGTATCCTGTATCAAATCGTGGCCTGGAACCTGACTTGAGTACGGGTGTGACTGGTTCGAATGATGATTTGAAAGGTCTGCGGACCTGCCTCGGATTCTGACCTGGCCAGTAACTTCAACAGCCGCTTGACTCGTCGTCTGGATTCTGGCGCGGATCCGGGCGTTGCAAGGCGAGAAAGCCTTCTTACCCGGTTGGGGCAACAAGAGAAACCTACTCAACTTTAACCACTCGCCTAAGTTACCTCATAGGACAACTTATTGTGTCTCGTCAGAGACACAACCACAACAATAGTTTAGGCTAGCTTCTTGATAAGGACAAGTGAATAAGTTAAGATAACACTAGACCAGTCTGTCTTCCGTATTCTCAGCAGCTCAGAGTGAGGAATTGCAACGCACGTCGCTGCTCAAGAAGTATTGTACGAGACCAACTTCAGTCTTGCTCGCGAGCTCGACAATCTCCTTCCCACTATCAAAGGGGAAGAGCCCGGCCACGGGACCCGAGTACATTGCCGCCATGAACCGAGCCTTTGGTCAATTTGGATACCATCGCACAGCCTCTGATCTTGTCGATGGGTTCTCGACAAGCGGCAAGGGCTTTTTGATCAGCAACGCATGGCCGAGATGGTTCGTGCCAAACTGAAGCTCGTAGCCGTCTTTCGTGAGACCCAAAGAACTTGAAAGACGATAAGTTCTCTATATCCGACTCTCATACCGGGTTACAATAGAACCCGAACCCGGGTTTAACTTGGGATAAGACTTATCCTCTCCTTTACCCCTTACCTCCGGGTCACGTTCCCTGGGAGTCAGGTGATATGGCTGATCCGGTACTCAGGTTCTGCTACGGAAAAAGCGCTGGAAGGAGGAAACATGGTTCATTCTGAATAAGCTACGGTTGGAAGATACAAGTTGTGGATGGTGGTCACGAGACCTTGCCTAATTGGGATAGAGATAGGGGCTTGCCCTGTTACCAGGCAGGTGCCCCTGACAGGTTCCCAGTTCTCACTCCATCCACCTGGAACCGAACCCGGTGTCGATCGACGATGAGTAGTAAATCACTGTTATTATACAGCGTGGTCCCGCGCTGTGCTCGTGGCTATGCACGACGATTCGGCTCTGACTTGGCCTGTGGCTCGGACAGTGACTTGAATCGCCGGCTGAGTCCCGACTCGCATTCGGGCCGGAGTCGTTTGAATAGTGGTTTGAATCACAGCCTGGCTTCGGTGTTGCACTCTGGCGGCAATTATGGTGCGAGTGTTGAGATCGATATCGAGTGGAGGAATGGTTGAGTTGAAGAGTGAGTTGAAGAGTGAGTTGAAGAGTGAGTTGAAGAGTGAGTTGAAGAGTGAGTTGAAGAGTGAGTTGAAGAGTGAGTTGAAGAGTGAGTATTGCAGAATGGGTGATTGAGTGAACTGTATACGGTGAGTGCTGTGGATTGAAGCTGGAAATTGAAATAAAGCTGACTTGTAGCAGAGCCGAGGCAATGCTGAACCAGTGTTCAACCTGATCTGTGGGTGAGCAGAAGCGTGAGCTAAGAGTCAAATTGATGAACTATATAGGACGCAATTTCGATTTTCGCTAATGGATCGAAAAACCCTCATGGGTTGAATGCCAGCTTGGAAAATGGTGGAATCACTGGTGAGAATAGCTACCACACTGACCGAACACTAGACGGACTCGGAATCGACGATACTCACGGACCCTCGATCCGTTAAGTACAGCTTTGAAAAGACGAATATCTCTCAGTATCAACGCACGACCTTCAAGACTCGACACTTTCACCCGCTTTTGGGCATGGCCAACTGATACCGCGCAGTTCTGATGCACTGGCATGGAGACGAACGCTTCGTCTTTGCTGTGCGCGCTTACAGACGGAAGAAGCCCCCAGTTACGGATTCCCGGGGAGGGCTGGAAATGACCAGAATTTTATGCAGGTCAACCAAATATCCAAGCTACTACGATGTCCGGACCAATATGTGAACTAGTTCCGTGTTGATTAGGAAATTGAGATCCAACGAGTGGTCTGAATGTAAGATCGGCATGTCTATCGTTTACTGGGCTGAGAAAGGTCTTCATTCCAGTCGTCACTTCAATCCTCCACCGATTCTATCTTTACGCCAATCTGCACTCACTCCTGACTTCAGTCTTCGCTTAGCCTTCGCCTCCCGTCAACATTCTCTCCCATCCAGTCTTTAACATTGAACACGGTCCTTGATAAAATCTCCATGTCAGCCTTTAGGCCCGGACACCGAAACTGGCACACCACGATACATGGAAGTCACCCTGTCGATCATCATCCTGACTATCATTGAGACAACCGCCCAACATCCCTCCCCCATCCTTCACACGAGGGTCCAAACGTCCATTCACGCCAGAACTAGGACCAGAGCCATAGTCCAACTTGCGTTCCAAGCCTGGATCCAGACTAGGATCCAAGCCGAAGACCAGGCCGCGATGTCAGGGCACCTGCCTCTAAGGGATCGGAGTGTAGGAAGGGATGGCTGATGCCTACTCGCGCTTTCAGACCGTCTAGTCTTTGGTATTACGCTGCTATGCAAGCTGGATTTTGGTCCACGTCTTCCTCATCCCAGTATTACATTAATGTGCGTGCAGCACCGTCCGAGGACATGGCTTCAGGCCCAGAAATAGTAGTAAGAGTATCGAAAGAACCAAAAAGTGCCACCAATGTATATTAAATCACAGATTGGAACCCAAAGAAGAAAATCAGAAGTAGCGAAGAGGGGAATAGAGCAAACAACAAGGGACACGGACAGAATAGTCAATTGTAAATACATTGCCATAGGAGGAATCCACACAAGTGAGTACGAGGTATGACTCAACAGGTGGGATATCGCGGGAAACCAGAGGAAATGACCTCGCCGGGACTAGTTTGAACCTCGACGGGTAGGGCAAGAAATTGGGACACGAGAGGAATCAGCGCAAGCCCGCTTGAATGTACACACAAAGATGTACATGCCCACTTTACGCGGGTCGAGGCCAAAGTGGTGTGAATATATTCGAAGCATCGGGCCCTTTTCAAGGTGTCAAACGGCGAGAAGAAGGATAGTGACTTGAAGCGAGAAAATAGGGGAAAAGCAAGGGCCGAAAAGGGGAATCCGTTATTTCGTATCGCGGCATCATGACGCTGTGATCCGTCAGACCTGTAGCCAATTCCGACACAGATGAACAAGGGGAAACGGCAACACTAGTTTGTGGTCATATGATCCTCGGTCTCGGACCATCAATCACAACGTTGCCAAAGTTGACAGCATTGGCCAGCATATCTACAGGCCGGCATGCTGAAATCGACGAACGGTGGTGGTGAAATCAATTAAAATGGTTGCGCAGAAACGAACGAAGCATCCATTAAACAAATGCAATGCTTTGGTCAGATGTGCATGAAAGTTGACAGTGAAAAAGTGGGAAAGTGGTGAAAGAGGAGTCGATAAAGGAGTTGAGGAAAGAAACGAGGAAAAGGTGGTTTAGCGAGCAGCTTCCATGTTGCCCGTCAGTTCAGCAACCCGAGCCTTAATACGAGCAACACGCGACTCAATAGTCTCTTCACCACTGGTATCGCCTTCATCGGTGCGCTCAGAATGGCTAGTTCGCACTTCGGGTTCTTCAACGGGGGCGCTTGCTGCCTCACGGCGTTCAGCTGCATTCCGCCGAATTTGTGCCCAGCGATCCTCTGTGCTCGTGAAACGACTAGGCGAAGCCTCGTTGATCGCAGTGTGCTTCTCCGCCACACCACTGTCATGGACACTAGTAGGAGTCTGAGGAAGGTCCTTTTGCCCGTGATATGCGTCCACGAGCTCATCTTCTGGAACAAAGGCGGGCTGCTCAGTTAGAGGGCCTTGGTCGAATTTGGAAAACTCTTGAGCGGCGGCGGCGGCCTCACTGGTGCCTACTCGGGAAAGAGCATCGGCTTCGATGGCGCGGCGAGTCTTGGGAGGGCTACCGCTGCCTGGAATCGAGTGAGAGGGTAGTTCTTCTCGGGTAGGCTCAGGTGTCGCTCGAGGGGTAGGAATGGCTTGCGTGGGAGGCTCGGGTTCAGACGCAGGAGCAGCGGGGGTAGGGGCAGGCCCACTTGAGACCGAGGGAGCCGGAGTGTCGTTTACCGGCTTCTTTTTGATAACACCAGGCCTGGGAGAAGACTTGCGCACGTTCTGAGACTCCTTGGCCTTGGCCTCCAACGCGGCACGGGCCGCGGCCACCGCAGAGTTCCCCTTGGAACCGTTGATGGGCTTCAACTCTGTCTGTGGCTGCTGTTCGATCTTCTTCTTGTTGCCAAACATGCCCTTGAAACCGGCGTTTCCAGTCTTCTTTTTGGTCTTTTTGCTTGCATCATCGAGTGACTCTTTAGGCTGAGACTCAGCCGGATCCTCAAAGACAACGGTCTTGACACTGTCATTCTTGCCTTCCTTGAGTATCTCACGAGGTGTCTCCTGCTGTACGGGCTCTGGAGCAGGCGACGGCAGGGCTGGTGGCACTGCTGCACTTGCGTCCTTGGGAGGGGGCGGAGGTGGTCCGGTCTTTGTTGTGCTACGAATCGTAGGGGAAACGGGGGAAACAGGCGAGACAGGTGGCTGTTCACTATCAACGCCATTTGAATGAGCTTCAATGCCATTAGCAACAGAGCCTGTTCCTGCCCGATTATCATTAAGATAGGCCGCTCGAACTGCGTTTTTGTCATAGTTGCTTGCCCACTTAAGGGCTGACGAGGCCTCATTCACAATCGCAGGTTGCAGTGTCATTACCGAGTTAGTCTTGGTTGACCGCGTATCGTCGCCTGCATTCATGGGCGACCGCCTCGCTTCCGCTTCTTGCTCGCGATGTTTTCTTTGAAGAGCGGCGGCTGCAGCCTGAATCCTCTTGTGCTGATCAGGCCCAATGCTCGACTTGCTCTGAGGGGCCTGGTTGTTGGGCCGCTTGTATGAGTCCTCAATGGACGAAACCTTCTTCGCGGTGGACTTGCTCCGGCTCAGCTTACCGCCAGGTCGCCGACTGCCGAAACTAAAGAAGCGCTTCTTCTCCACCAGGTGGGCACCGGCCTCGGGCTCAGGAGCGGCGCCCTTGACCTGCTCCTCCAGGACTAGCCACTTGGTGTCACGAATGCGAGTCTCGATGAGTGCGCATCGACCAAACACGGCCTTCCGAGCGCTGGGCTCGTCAGCAGAAAGACTGCTGATCCAGACCCACCAGAAAGAATCATCCAAGTCGAGACTGTTGATGCTGGCTAGTTCCGCAGGTTCGAGCGGATCATCGGCGCTCATAGTTCGTCGGTGGGACTGGGAGCTCTGGCCCCGGGGAGCCACAATTGGAGGCAGAATCTTATCGGGTGGCAGGAGGAGGGGGCCAACTCGGTCTTTCAGATTTTCATCGGCGAAGCCCGAAGACATAAAGTCCGCCCATGATGGTGTGGTTGGACGACCGAGATCGCCATTCTGTGAGTGGGGAGCGGTTCTGATTCCACCAAAAGTTTCGGGCTTCGACATGGATGGTCGAGTCGGGGTCTCTTCCTCGTCGGACTCGATGGACCCGCCGAAGCCGATATCTTGGAACCGGGACCACGAAGCGTCGCGCAAACTCGTCGACTGTTTGATGCTAGACACGCTCGATTCATTGGCGGAGGAGATACATCTTAGCACACGCAGACATTCATCAGTCAAAGCTTTGACAGGGTCATCGAAATTGGCAAACTCCTGCAGATGCCAATGCTCGTCACGGTACTCAAAGTTCTTTGCCCGGCGGAGGAGAGCGAAAGGTGTGGGCGAGACGGTGTCGACAATCATCACGACCTTTGTCGTGGTCACTTGAAGAAGAGTGGGCGTCTCAGGAGGGTACTCGGTCGCCTCGACTAATGTCTGCAGGGACAGCGGCAGAGATGAGATCCCCGTCATGCCTCGTGTCGCATCCGCAGCGAGAGAACGAAGGTAAGCGAAGAACAAGTGGCTCGTTGCATCCGCGGCACTATAATCATCGGTCAGTGATTGTTCCAACTTCCGCAATATCGTCCCATGAAAAGGAGTCAGTCGTACGCCGCCCAGTTTCTGTAAGAAGCTTCGAACCCCTTGCCCGTATCGGTGTGTTCGAAGGCCCACCATCCTGCGTAACGAGAAAGTTTGCGGCCTCCCAGGCCATTCGACTTGCCGTGCGCGGCGATGGAGGCCAACAGATCGAAAAAGTCGAAGATGATTTTGGTGCGGGCATCGGAATCGACACTGATGGGGATAAAGGTGGCGAAAGCATCGCGCGCAAAGTCCGAATCTGGTAGACAAAGCTCAGCTTTGGGCCAATTCTCATTGGGGGTAACAAAAAGCAGTGAGAGTGTTTGGATAGTGAAAGCCAAAACCTAGCTCCAACATGTCGTCTCCGCTGTAAGAGTCAGGATGTCTGTCATACCTTGTTCGCCCACCTTGAACAACTCATATGCGTCCCATGTGACCACACCTCCGGCGAGTCGACTCCAACACCATTTCAGTACGCTGCACAGAACCTATTTGCGCGTCCAGTCTGTCAACCATTGGTCTCACGAGGTCGTCCCTTACCGGCACGATTCTATGTAGGAACCCTCTTACCATTGGCTCCGTGAGCCGCAATTCCTGCATCAACTCATCTCCACTGACGGGGGCACCCTTGTCGAAGCTCTGGTTGAAGTAGTTTCGCACGAACGTACGGGCAGCGCTGGGATCGGAACTCGGACGGAACGGTAGAAGGAGAAAGGGGGTATCGAGTGCTAAAGAAATGCCACGAGCGATTAGCTTCGATCCAAGGGATACGCGGGGTTGACCGTTGCCGCGCTTGTTCCATTCCTCCGCTCCGCGCACGCTGGCTGCCACATGGCCGAGGGACATGGGCAATCACCGACATACCTCGAGCTTTGATTTCTTGCGCACAGCCTCGCACCAGATCCTGTACTTCTTCAGGAGCGACCTCTGTTCGTGCCCAAGCATCGGTCCATTTTGGTCGGGCGGGGAGTGAATTAGCCGCGGCCGCGGGTTTCGCTTGTTTATTGGCGCCGTTGGCGTCTTTGCTGCGAAAGACTCGCGAGAAGAAGGCCGGCATGATGAGAGGGAGCAGTGAATCGGGCGCGGCCGCTCAATCGTGGCACACTCCACTACTCAGTCGTACTCTCCGAGGGAGGGTCAGAATCGAGACTGCGCTTCAACGGTCTCTGCGAGACGCTTAAGCGGGTGGGCGAATTGTCCAGCGAGCGCGGTTTTGTGTACTTTTTTTTTTCTCCTTTGGACTATCGATAGGAGCTACACCACGCCGAGCCGTTAGCGATACAGATCTTCTTCCACAAGGAGAATGCATCCAGACATGAGCTGTAGCAAGGAGCAAGCCGGAAGAACAGCCACGGATACTGACAGGAGAGAGAAAAAGGAAAAAGTCCGGTCGAACAGGAGGTGTAGAATAAAAAAAACAGAAGACAGCCGGAGGAAAAAAGCAGTCCGTCTGGCCGGGATGTCCTGCAGGCCCCGGGGCCAAGTGCAGACTACGAGTTGACGGGGATCGTCTTGGTGAGGAATCAATCGCCTGTGCTCGGACGCAGATCGATTATTGCTCTTCTCTGCAGGAGAATGCCAGGTCAGGAGCAGCTCCCGACGAACGAGTCCTCGGGTTCTGTGGTCGCAAACACGAATATAGAATGTCGAAACACCGGAGTCACTCGTGAAGAGAGAGACAACAAAGCGGGAGGTAGCAATGTATGCTCGAGATGGAAAGGGAAAGAAAAAGTGGTGAGTAGGTCGCGATGCGCCCCAGGAGAGTCGTGGTGAGTCTAGTGACTCGCCAAGTCACTCCCACGTCCCCCGTCCAGACCGAGTGTCGATGGAATCCACCGGGTTCGGCTTGTTCCAGGCCAGGTTCAGGGGTAAAAACCTGTGCTCGACCCTATCACCAGGATCCCCGACGGCATGAATTTCCAAGAGGCTACGAGCCGAAACCTTCTTGACTAACCGGAAACGAAAGTGAAACAACGAGCGGTGCCCGTGGTTCAGCGTGAGTTGAGTGCCCCGTCTGGTGTCACCAAGTACCTGATCAATGCTACTGCTATAAGTGTGAAGCAAACAGTGTTTACTGTTTACTGAACTATACAGTTGGACCATACGGCAACTGCGTTACAAAGTCGGTAGAAGTGGTAGAGTGGTCACTTGCAATACTGGATGAAACTCTTGATCGTTGACGCGACTTTCCAACAGCCGGTGGGATTTGGAGGGCCTGTGCGGGCCTGTGCCGGTGGACGAAGGACGATGGATGATGGACGATGGCGATCCTCATCATATCGCAGTTGGGCCCACTGAAGAAGGTCTTGTTTCCTATCCCCGTTGGGTGCATTGATGGGGGCCACGGTATCTGCCACACCACAATGCCAGATGTCAACGGGTCCAATCCGAAAGGCTGAGACTACTGACGATGTGACAGACACCAGATCATTGATATGAGACTGACCTACTGAGGAATCATCGGCAATGAGAGGTCAGGAGCAGGTCCAAGCATGGTTTGAATGTACAAATAGCAGATAAGGTAGCAAGCAGATGCGCCTAACCCTACGTCAAGCTTCGGAGATGGAAGATTCTGTACGCTTGGGCGGACATCCATCTAGGTGGGAAGGGAGTCTGGAATTCACGATCACTATAACCGTAATATGTAGATCTTCTACAGTGATCTTTCATCTCTTGTCCATCTCCGCCTTTGTGTGGTTGTGGACTCGAACACTGTCACTCAGTACTTGGTCGCGTCCCTGACTCTCCATTCTGCCGACTCGGTCCTCTGTCATCGGGCTACTTCAAGGGTTGGAAATACAGCCCGACCACCTCACATCAGCCGAGTTCAAACTCCAAACCCATGCAGAGGTGACCAGTCGACCACGTCACGGCCAATCAGTGAGCGGAAACGACACGTACACTGATGCTCCGAGTGCGTTGGATGAGCTAGTGTCAAGCTAGCGTCCGACCGGGATCATCGTTAGGTAGGCATAAGGTACCTCCCGACGTACTAACGACGTACTACACAATTGAAGGTAAAGAAGGTCATGGATGATACATCGTCATGTCTCTGCAATGGTCATGTGCAGAAAGAGTCAGTCATCGCAACCTTGATACAGGCTTCATTCCACCACTGAACGTTGTATAACTGTATAGTCTGATACATTAAGCTAAGGTCCTTCAGGGACCCATCATCCCCAAGAGCCCCGCTACAATCTAATTAAGCATATTCCATGGAGGATCCAGGGGTGTCGGCGCGAGACACAGACATTGACGGGAGTCAAGAAGGTCGCCCCATCGCGACGATTCATTCGACGCGCACAGATTTGGGTGGTCACGCTTGAAAGATCTCTGATGGACTTTATAGTCAACTGTACTGGGCTACGAAGCCAGAAATCGGGCCACTATTCCTGTACATACCAAGCCATTAGGCTCATCAGTACAAGTCCTCAAGGTGACGAGCAACGCTTCGGGCTCCCTGTAGGGTTGGCAATCTCCGTGAGCTCTCGCCCGTTCAGCCTACTTGTTTTGCGACCATTGATGTATCAGCGACATGATTCCAAACCGCCGTGGAGACCTTCATGACAAGCTGCCGAAAAGGCACCGTCCTGTATCATGATGCACTGGTACATCGGGATCTGAGGACTTGGTCTCGACAGTCAATGTTGATGCAGTTACCGCCCACCTAGTCAGTCTCGACCTTGCATAGAGATAGCACTAGGGCCTACGGGTCAACATTAGCCCGAGGAGGCTCAATCTAGGCCGATAGTAGTAGTCACGACTCACTAGAGCATGAAAATACTTAGTCCCCTTGTGGTCAGTGTTTCCGAATTTCGAGCTGGTCGGTTCTATATACTCTCAACATGAATGACATAGCAAGTGTGCTCTCTTCGTAGGTGGTGAGTGGGAAGTAGAATGTGCCGAGTCAATTCTCATGATCAGAGGAAGGAAGGCCACGGTCACGAACAGGGTCGGTGACGAAGTCTCCCCTCCGAGTTTCTCCTGCTTCCTTCTTGGCATGTTTGCATTGCAAGCTACGATCAAACTGCCATACGAACCGACATCCATTCGCCGCAATGCGCCGACCAAAGCCTCCGGGTGTTCATCACACGATGTGACTGCACCGTGGCTGAAAGTCGCGTGTGACGGGATGTGCCGAACCAGCGGGTGGGTATTAATAGCCTGTGAAACCTCAGGCATCCGATGATGACCTAATCCGATGTCCGCCCGTCGGCCGTTCTTCAACTTCCCCTCAAAGGGAACGTGATTCTATCTTTAGAATCAACCTTTTTCTGCATCGTCAATCAGCCCCTCCGTCTCTATAGACTCCACGATTAGGTGCCGCGGCTTTGTGGCCCCATCAAATCTAGCACCTCTTCGGCCAACTCGGTCTCCCATAGAAGTGTCTATACCATCGCGAACTGATCAGCGACAACCAGATTAATCTTATCTGCGAAGCTTGTCAGATTTCTCCTCTACGGGGTCGCCACGGCCACTCTGCGGACCCTCCCCCGTGCGGCACGAGCAACACCTAGTAAACCAGTTCTGCCATTCATATTTCCGCGTCGTATATCTGTGCGCATAGGAAGACATCCTTATTGAGATCTTGATACACAAGATCTCGCAGCCTCGACTACCCCGGTAGCTGTGAGACACGCGTCTCAGAGGAGGCAAGACAATCCCATCCCCGGGACCTCGGGGTTGACATCACCTCGCGCGTGCCCGTTGCGCGAAGCTCTTGCCGATCATGGGTCGGAGGAAGATTGAGATCAAAGCAATCAAGGATGATCGAAATCGTTCAGTGTAAGATTTGACGCAGTCCCTGTTGGGGACACTTGCAACCTTGGAGGGGCTGAAAATTGCAGCGCTGACTGTACCACCACAGGACCTTTCTCAAGCGAAAGGGCGGATTATTCAAGAAGGCCCATGAGTTGGCCGTTCTTTGCTCTGTTGATGTCGCGGTGATTATATTTGGCCAGAACAAGAAGCTGTACGAGTATTCTTCATGTGACATGCAAGAAACACTCGGTCGCTATCAATACGTAAGACTGTCTTTAACTGTGTCGTCGCAACCAAAAGCACATGGATCCCCCTGACTTTCAATCTTTCTGTCTTCAGTTTGGCCCACCCCATGAGCACAAAGGACCCGATGACTTCTCTGGCAAGCGCGAAGGTGACGACGACGATGAGGATGAGACGACTCCGGCCCCCGAAGAGATGCAGGTCCAGCAGCCTCACGCCGCAGTCGCAGTCGCAGTCGCGTCGCACCTGCAACAACCAGGTTTCCAGCATATCAATCACGCTCCATCTGCTTCTCCGCCGATCGTACATAACGGCCTCCCGGTGATTCGAAATGGCACCCCTCAGTCGCAAGCCTCCCGTCCCACATCCAGAAACCACGTACGTCGCGTCAGCTCCAATCTCGGGCCCCAGGGCCATGCAACGCCAACACCACCACCGCCAACGGTCCAGAATGGATATTACATGGCAAATCCGTCCATATACAATCCCAATGTGCATGGGCCAGTCAACCAGGCCCGGCCTGCACAGTACGCGCAATATGGCCAACCGCCCAATGCTCCTCCTGCAAACCCGTCGCAGATGCATCCACAACACCCTCATGGTCCACCCGTTCACCACCCACATGCACCCCACCATTTTCAGCATGTCCACATGGTGGTGCAGCAGCAGATGGGTATGCCACCTGCGTCGCATGCGCCAGTGCAGCAAATTCCTCCACAGCCTTATATCTCGGAGCCAAATAGAGGGTCGCTGCCCCCGGCATTTGCACCGGAGCCCCAGTCGGAACGAACCGTCCCCGTGGTTGAGACTGCCCAGGATGCCTCTGTCAACACAGTCAAAAGCGAGAGTAGCCAGTCACCGCCTCAGCCAAGACCATTGTCCAAGTCACAGTCCCGCAGTATATTCACTCCCATCGACGATCGGGGTTCGGTTTTGGCGCGCCAGTTCGGGTTCTATGACTCCCCCTCAGGCCCATGGCAATCAAATGTTGAAGCCCCAGCTGCCCTCGGAGAGTGCACCAGATGACTTGCCCATTGCCACAATTTCTGCCCCGGAGCCGAAGCGCTCCCTCTCGAAGCCTGCCGCTGTCGATATCAAGGCCCCGTCCCGTACGAATAGTGGTGCACTGCCTTCGAAGAGACCGCAACTCAAAGTTCAGATTCCTAGCGAGCACTCCGATCATGGTAGTGCAACCGGCGAATCATCTTCCCGCGACTCTGCTGGGAATAAGACGGCGACTCCGGCCAAGGACAGTCACCCGGCAGGAGTGGTTCTCCCACCCCCGTCGCCGTCTGCCGGCGTCATCCTTAGTGCCGGCGCCCAAGGGCCCCCTAACCCCTTCGCCCGGCCACCCCCGCCTGGATCCACCGGCCAGGGCACTTTTGCGGGCAGTGGGACCAGCGGTGGAAATGGCAGCAGCAGCAGCAGCAGCAGCAACAATAACGCTAACAGCAACAACAACAACAACAACAACTCGAACCACATCGAAACACCCATATCTGCACTACCCAGTCGTTTTGTCTCCGACAACCTGCTCCCGTCACCGTCCAGCTTTTTCCCTGAATGGGGGTTTGGTCGCTCTGGCCCGGACTCAAATCTGCTGCCGAGCCCACTGACTTTTCCCACGCCCGCCATCCCGACGGGGCCGAGCTTTTCTCGAGAAGATGAGCAAGAGAAAAAGCGAAAGTCTCCGGATGGGGGTGGCTCTGCTGGCTCTGCCGACGGAGCGAACAAAAAGCCAAAGACATGATTTGAGTCTGAACCGGTGCTGCAATGATGAACATTGCATCGATTGTGATCCTCTTAACCCCGTCACGGACATCCTGGTTGATGATCCCCCGTCGTTTTTTTCTAGTTTTCGCCCATAAACTCTTTTCCCTTCTGTGTCCCCCGTGGTTTGTTGTCTTTGTGTTGGATCTCCTCGTTGAATTCCTGATCTTCAGCTCTCTATACCCGATTCCCCAGTTCCGTCGGATTGTTGGCATACTGTTTCCCTGCCATTCGCTTTTATTGGAGCCTCTTTCTCACTTTTCCGCACCCATCATCATCCCTTCTTTGCTACCTATTTCCTTGCAATCTTGACCGAATCCCGTCTAAAATCCAGTCGGAAATCCAGTCTGAGTATGGTTACCACCACCGAATGACTAGTTACCGTTGATCGTGGGTCTCTGGGCACTTTCCTTCTGACATTCTCCTTTGCGGTCTTCTCTACCGGTGTTGTTGGCCACCAGATTTTCGAAGTTGGGTGCCGGGGTGTTGGGGGCCTTGTGTATATACGCTCATCTCAATTGCAGTATTACCATTATATCAGCCTCCCTGTCCATGCACGTCATGGATGACAATATTCCATGAATGCTTTCGGCTACACCGAGGGGCTGACTTGAGACATGCGCAACTGCACTGAACACCGTGGACAGTAGTACTGTCCAGTGTCCACTGTCCAGTGTGTAATATTCCACGCTCAAAAGTACTGCAGGAGCATGCATCCTATCGCGCCCCATGTCGTCGGCTTATTTCTCGCAGCTGCAGGGTTGTGTCATTGCCGCAAAGCCAAATGGCAAGTGTGTTGAGCTGAAAGCCGGACCGTAGTCTGACCGTACCTCCCAAGTTAGTCGTGACTAGTGAACCGCTCTCACTGCTCCAACTCGGCGACTTGTGGGTTTCCCGAAATTCGTCAAATCGGCCGGTGGTTGCCGCATTGGGCGGAGGGGAAGTGGGGAATTGCCTCTGTAAGCGGGGAAGATGCAGGATCGAAGAGATCGAGAAGATGCCGGAACAATGGAGAGAGTGTGTGGACTGTGGACTGCAGTCAATCGAGAAAGAATAACATGCCACGGGCAGAGAGAGAGAGAGAGATGACAAAGGAAGAGGGAACTTAGGAGTAAAGTTAGAAAGACGCGGAGGTCGAGTCGGTGACGTTGGGTGTTTTTGCCTATAAATACCACACTCCTTCTTCGCCTCTTGTCGGCAATTATCTCACTTTGATTCCTCCAGGGTACACCATACCTACTCGCATTTGAAACCCCCACCCATCAATTGCACCCATACTCCAATAATACACAAAAACATCGCCAAGATGACTCTTACTGGAAGCTGCATGTGCGGAAGCGTGGCTTACTCTACTGAAGGTACCACCACCCCCAGCACCACCAGCATCACCCATACTATCCAACTCCCATCTCTCTGTATTCTTCGGATCACACGGTCGAGATCAGATGAGGAAATGTAGCGGAGCAAGCTGATCGAATATCTCCCTCACATAGCCGACCAGTACCTGAGCGCTCTGTGCCACTGCACCGACTGCCAAAAGGTGTGTTTCTGCCCCGGGAAATCGCTTCGACTGTCCGCTTTCCCAATCGGGCACAGTTGAAGCTATCCATCAACAATCGACCATTACTGACCCAATGACCAGTGGACCGGCGGTGCTTTCACCTCCAACGCCGTTGTTCCCCGCTCTTCCTTCAAAGTCACCAAGGGTAAGCCAAATGGAAAACCTCCCACCCTTCCAAACCCCTCTAAAAACTCTATTCAATTATATGCGCTTTCAATTCCTAACATCCATCCTCTCTCTTCCTCCCACCCCAGGAACCCCCTCCTCCTACGACGCCATCGGCAACTCCGGCAAAGTCAACAAGCACTTCTTCTGCAGCAAGTGCGGCTCCAGTTTGTACACCGAGCTGGAGGTGATGCCCGACAACACCGTCATCAAAGCTGGGACTTTGGACGGCGGCGCGGCCAATCTGAACGGCAAGGTCGATGTCGAGTTCTATGTCAAGGATCGTCCGTCGTATCTTGGGGCGGTGCCGGGTGCCAAGCAGGAGCAGGCTTTTGGTGCTTAAGAGTTTATGAGAGAGACATGAAGAGTCAGAGCATGATGTGAGGAGGATGCCAAATTGTTTGATAATGATGATCAAGACAATCGGGACGAAATATGAAATGTTCAAGTCATGCTCGTAGATTGAGAAGGAACTAGGGTAGTCATTCGAGTGGGTCAGTCGTAGCTCATAGCTATACTGTGGCAAGACTTGATTAATAGACCGTGCTGTATACGCTTCCAGCATGGCGTACAGTGCATGCGAAATCTGCGACCCGATCCACGCAAGCATCCAGGAGGTAGCTGCATAAGTCAAGTATCCTTGACTGTAATATCTAGCGCTGTCTGATTGAGAAGCACCTCTCCTCCAGATCCGGTTCTGCTAATCACAGTCTTGCCAGGCTCCAGACGCAGGGCCCCAAATTGGAACCCCGAGTGGCATCCCGGCGGCTTCCTCGGGTCTCCAAATGGAGCCCGTTCCAGTTCCACCAGTTCCAAGCTGACAAACACCTTTTCGTATCTCGACGGGAGTGGGGAAGGGAACCCCAAGGCGGAGGGGTGGCCTGAAGACCCGAGGAACATGATCTTGTTGACCCTAGCAAAGTACAAGCCATGAGAATTTGATAAAAGCTACAAGAATCCAAAAAAAAAAAAAAATCCACCCCAGGATCCAGACCGAAGTTTTCAGAACAAGAAACCCCCCGGTCAACAAAGAAAAGAAACCGCAGCTATGACGATTTCCGAGCGCGCTCAACACGCCTCTAGCGAGATGGCCTCCCGCATCCAGTGGGAGGTCATGGTCGATACATACTCGGCCACAAACCCCAATGGCTACCTGAATGTCGGCGTGGCCGAAAATGCTCTCATGCATCCCGAACTTCAACAATATCTGAAGCAGAAGCTGGACTTACCCGTCGAATATTTGACCTACAATGATGGTGGGCATGGCTCGACCAAGCTGCGCCGCTCCATTGCCCATTTCCTCAACCGGCACTTGAACCCAGCCACACCGTTGGACGCGGAGCACATGGTCGTGACGAACGGGTGCTCGTCGGCCATCGAGCACGTCTCGTGGGTGTTGACTGATCCCGGAGAGGGGATCCTGCTGGGTCGGCCGTTCTACGGGACTTTTATCCCGGATATGTCGTCGCGACCGGGCGCGGCGGTGGTGACGGTCGAGTTTGGCGACGTGGATCCGTTCAGCGAGGAGGCGGTATCCAAGTACGAGGAGGCCCTGTTGGCTTTTCAACGGTCGTCGGGGAAACCCGTCCGGGCGTTGATGCTGTGTCATCCACACAATCCGCTGGGCCGATGCTATCCGCGCAAGGTGTTGATTGAATTGATGCGACTGTGTCAGAAGTATCGGATCCACCTGGTCAGCGACGAGATCTACGCGCTGTCTGTCTTTGCGAACACCGTGGATGAAGCACCCGCGCCTGTGGACTTCGAATCCGTGCTGTCGATCAATCGGGACGGGATTATCGACCCGAGTCTGGTCCATGGACTTTGGGGAATGAGCAAGGACTTTGGCGCAAACGGGATCCGTCTGGGAGTGATTATTTCCCAATCCAACCCCGAGGTCCTGGGCGCTATCAAAGCCACCTCTCTGTATTCATATGCCTCGGGAATCACAGACCACCTAGTCGGCAACATGTTGATGGACGACGCCTTCACAGACGAGTACGTCCAGGAGAACCGAAAGAGACTCGCCGAGTCATACGCATACGCAGCCACCTTCTTCAAGGACAACCAGATCGAATACGCACCGGGCGTCAACGCCGCCTTCTTCCTATGGGTCAATCTCGGCCGGAGGTACCGCGAGCTTCATGCGGATTTCTCCGCCGAGGAAGTGGTCAACCAGAAGGTCATGCAGAATTTGTTGCGCGAGAGGGTGTTTCTGTCTGATGGAACGCTGTTTGGGTCGGAGAAGGACGGGTGGTTTAGACTGGTGTTCACGCAGCCGAGGGATTATTTGGATCTTGCGCTGAAGAAGATCCTCAAGGCTTTGGAGTAAGGAATTTGTGGGGTTTTGAAAAGGAGTGGTGGGTCACGAGCTCTCGGCCATGACCCGTGACTTGAAGTGTAAGTCATATGAATTGCAGTGTGAATACGAACCTTGGATAACGAGCAAAGGATGCTCCACTGGCATTGACAATGGGCCATCATACCTTACTTGGTCTAACCAGCGGATCACTTGTACATATCCCTATCTGGATCCCAAACCATGAAAGGTGAATTGCTTCGGTGAATCGAGAGCACCGTCAGACCTGCTGTACTCGAGTGACGTGGTTTTTGTGACCTTTTGATTCTTATAACACAGTGTTCATGGAACGTAGATGGCACGACAAGGCATCTTCGAAGAAATCCCCGTGCGACTTTGTTAGATCCAGACCGGTACTCAGACCAACATTCAGCAAAACACATCCCACCGACCAGGTCTTCTTGATTCACACCCCAGAATCCGGATTTGAACCTACCCCGTGCTCGAATCTCGAATCCCAAGTTATTCATGTCGATCCCCGAGGTTCTTTCCAACAGATCTCGTCCAGTGGGGAGGGGTTCGATATCGATTCTCCAAAGTCGATGGCTAGACCAGAGTCGATCGGAAAGTAATCCCATGTAAGTTGGAGTGCCCTGGGTAGAACTGGGGAACTTGGTGCGTCCGCGTTGGAACCCCTCCAGGTTCCATTGTGACATGATATCTCGGATAAAGACTTTTGTTGCATGTTGAAGGAGAATCTAGGGAGTCTTGAACCGGAGACCGGAGCAGATAATGACAGCGCACACAGAGAGGTGAATGAACCACTGGAGTATGGAACAAGGGCTTTTAATCTCCGAGTCAAACGTCTAATAAACGTGTCGAAGAGGTTGAAGGAGGAACGGTAGACGCATAGGACGAGGACGAGGACATCAACTGGTTTGCATCTTGCACGCGGACGAGGAAGTGGTTGTCAGTACCCACGGTCTGTCATCTGTGAATTCTGTTTCCCTTTTTAGTTATGCATGATATCTGGACCGTGCGTACATGTTCCTTTACTGTTACCTTGCAACTGATCTCGAAGGAATATGTTTGTGACCAGTGCCGAGTCTCTACTCTGAGTGGTGACTCTCGTTCGTTGTAAATCTTCCGTGTACAGTTGTACTACCCGAACTACATCCGTGGTAACGCAGCAAAGTTCATAGCAATCATTCGTATTCGTATCATTAAGACGGGATTGACATCAAGGTCATATCGGTCACTCAAACCGTCGGGGCTTTGGGACCTGAAAACGCAATTGCTGACCATAACAGGTTTTGCTCCTAGTAGGTAAACAACTATGAAATAGCCCAACCCTTCCCCTTCGGAAGAAAAGTGACATCGTTTCAGTCTCAACAACACTTACTCAGAGGGACACCAGTCAAGGGTCCCGTCCTGGTTATTGCCCCACCACAAGGGGAATGGGTATTGCTTTCCACCGGCACCAAAGACCGCAAAAGAGAGAATGAACAACACCGTGAGACTGGCACCATCAAAGGCACCGGTAACCAGGTACGAGTAGTCCTTGAAGATGCGGGGACGGTAGTTGCGCAGGTAGTACTGCACGTAGAACCCGGCAATTGTCCAGCTCATAAGCACGCAGGTCTGACTCTGATTGTAGGGAATGTAACCGGCGTACTGGATGAACTGGGGCAGATTGAGCTCGTTGAGGTCGAAGCGGCCAATCTTGGGGACAAACTGAATATGAAAGTGTCAGTGTGAACGAAGCGCTGATACCGCTGTGGTTGGAAGAAACAAACCTTGACGATCAGACGGTGAAGAACGACGACTGCAGCGCCAATGGCAATACCAATGGGAACAATAGCATAGCGTCCTCCCGACTTGTACAGATAAGCCGACAAGGCCCAGGCCGTGGCATTGGTGTTGAACGCCTGAATGGTCGCACCACTCCAGGAGGAGCTCCCGTTGGTGTTGACAAGTTCGTTGCGGTTTCCTGAGATAATGGAGATCATCATCACATAGTTGATGAAACCACCGAGGATAGTGCCGTAGAGCTGAGTAGCAAGCATTACGCGCGGTGGTACCTTGACTATTTGGAGGGAAGAGCATCAGTTCTTGCTTTTTTGGGTGATTGGCCGGCAAAAGGGCATACGGAGCGACTCACGATATTCACCCATCTTCAAGTCCTGCGCCAGGTTGACACAGTTGCTAATGACGTTGTGGGACCATGCAGCAAAGTACATGTTTCCGACGGGACGACCGGGCAGAATGAAACCAGCAATCATCTTGGACAGGTTGTTGGTCGCGATACCGTTTCCGAAACGGGAGAACAAAATGGTGCTCTGAAGTCGCCTCGCGCGTTAGTGATTCACTCTGACAGGAGGCCTGTAAGATCATTCTGATGTATTGGTCACTTACAAAAGGTGAGACCACAATACCCGTAAGCAAAGACACAACATAAGCCCAGGCCGGAAGCGTGATATTCTCCTTCAGCACGACGATGAGGCCAAGAATGAAGCTGACGAGTAAGATACCCGCATACCACAGCCACGGGACCTCCTTGTAGTGTTCAGCCATATGTTCGTGATGACGGTCGTCTGAACGGCCCTCTTTGGCGCTGAAGTAAGCCTTTTTGATATCTTTCCCCCAGAAAAGAGCGCAGTGTGCAATCAGAGCACCGATCTAGAAATGTGCTCAGCCAAAGGTTCATGACACGCGTCCGGAAAAGAACAAATCTGGAAATACTCACCGCAGCGTTGGCCATGAACATTGCAAAAGCAAAGGCGCCTGTCAGTCTCGGGATGCCATACTTGGCCAGCGCAGATTCGTCGAGTTGACCGCCGGGGAAGATCTTCGTCAAAGGATATGCCTTGCCTTCGTCGTTCAAAAGTCTTGTGGACATGAAGGGAAGCGATTTGGAGCCCCACGCGTTGCCATAGTAGATCCCAAGCATGATGAAGGAGCATGTCACGAGACCGGCAAATTGATGAAATTGGAGTTTGAGAGGAAGCGATGTTTGGAAAGAGGTGATCTGGAAACCCAGTCAGTCTGGGTGCAGCGGATGATGTCTGAACCTCAGGGTATGAACGGGAACGCACGTATTGCCAATCCAAGCTGAGGGAGAAGAATCCAAGCCCTTCGTTGTTGGTGGCCCCTCCGAAAATGGTCGTCAGAATGCTAGCAGTCTCGCCAGTCGCTTTTTGGGATGCTAAGCACTAACAGGCAGGGGTGTGAGAATTCATGATCAACTCGGTCAGTTATACCATCAGTCCCTCAGAATAATGACATACCGGAATTGAGATAGAATTCAGCCAGGGAAAGACATAGGCAGGGAGAATCTCCCAGAGCGCCATGCCTCCAAACGCATACCAGAAGACTCGGAGGGGCTTCGAGTTCCTCACCTCCTGCCAGTGCAGGGCTTGCAGACTCTTGACGGTAGGAAGAGTGCTCCAGTAAACGGCTTCGGTGTGCCAAACGGCAATTGGACGCATCAAACCAGCCAGACCATAACCAAACAGACCCACGGAGATAACACTGAGGATGACCTGCGCGGGTCGCAAGGGCATGTCGTAGAAGAGATCCTGCGCGGCGAAGACTGAACAGGTAATGGCCGCATTGGAGGCAGATGTAGCGGTGATGGAGCAAATGGCATGCTCCTTCAGAGACCATTCGCCGTTGTTGAAGAACTTGGCAAGCTTGACATACAGTGGCAAGCTGCCTTGTCCCCCACGGCTTCTCCAACGTGCTTCAACTTGCTCACCGCGGGGCAAGAGGTATGCCCAGGCGTTACCCGCGAAGTAGGCAATGAGGACAATGAACGTTCCTTGGATGGTAATTTGAGTGGGTTTGAACTAGAACCCACATCGAGGAAGAGGGTCAGCAATGCAGAGTCAAGGGACGGACGCCCCGATGAAAGATGCGCAGTAGCTCCAACACACGGCCATCACCTTACCTGATAGATTTGGTACATAACCGCCGAGAAACACGAGAGACCGGTAGCGAGAACCATGCTCCGGAAGGTCAAGGCACGATCGAAATCATCACGAAGCGGCAGCAGATGTAGAGCTGCATCTGCGCCAGTCACGATCACCACCTCGGCGCTTTCACGGTCTGACTCAACACCGTAATTGCCACGCTTGATGCCGTCGTCCTCAAACTTGTCCGGCAACACGGTGACGGTTCCTTTCTCGCCGAGATTTTCCTGCGAGTCACTTGCGGCGTGATCCTTTTCCGCCGGGCCATCAGGCCCAATGGAATATGCCATGATGCCGGAGAATTCGCTTTTTGAAAATGCGTTGTAAGGCTGATGAGTGCAGTCAGTCGTTCTACGCAGGTGGGATGGGGAAGGGGAGGAAAGATCAAGGGTGAGAGGCGAGATTCTGCCCTTCCTTTTATGAGCCCGGCTTTACATCGAGGGACGGTACCACCACGTCGCATGGCGAGCACGTCTCCCCCTCATGCCTTGTGACACAACCGAGGACCCGAGAGAGACCATCCCGGACTCATCGTGGCTATTTTCCATGTATTCCACGATCCAACCCAGTGTAGTTTGGTGGCGATCTTTGGGAGGGGCAATCATTCCACGGCTTACATCTGGACCAAGAGCTAATAAGACTAGCACTAGCGCGAGCATGGGCCATTTGAGGCCTCCGATGGTGTTATCTCTACCCAATACTCACGACCAGCAAGTATCGCACGGTGGAAGCACTTTCCAGCTTTGCATCTTGCCTTGATTCAACAGAGGTCGACATGGATGGAGTGTGTCTTGAGGCAGACGGGTGATGGGAATCGTACACTACAAAGACACAAGGTCCATGCAGACGCAGTTTGGCAGGCTCAGTATTTCTACTGTACCACTCTACAGTCTGCAGTCTGCTCATACTATGCAGTACACCCTAAGCCTTACTTTATCGGACCAATTTGGAAGAGTGGGCCCTGTTGACGGCTGTCCTGGACCGTTGGGCTTGCCGATGGCCCGAACTGGATGTTTCGAGATACTCAGAACGGCATGTGGCCGTGTACTGAGCTGGAAGCTCAGAACGTGCCAGAACACGTGGATGTGCATGGAAACGAACTCGACCCAGGTCGAAAGACGTACTGGAGACAGTCATTTTTGGTAGGGATGATATGGTCTCACAGTACGTGGAAGACCGAATGTCTCGTGCCCCTTCAGCGGAAAAGAATCCCCAGTTGGATTTCTACGTCCGCCGTGCTCTTGGCTTGTTTGAAGGTTGAAGGTTGGCACGAGGCGAGTCGCTATCTTGGACCACGCCCTCTGTGCCAAGATCACGCCATCCTGGATTGCGATTAGGCAGGCTGAAAGGGTTTGGGTTGAAGTATGAAACCCCGACGGGCGATCCGTACGATGTCCGTGGATTTGGAGTGCGATTGGGACATTCATTGGTCATGTCGTTGATTCAAATCCCTCCTTCTCCCTGGTGTATGGCATGCGCTAGGCGGAAGGCGCAAAAGCCTTCATCCTGGGGACCTTGGCGAGCGCTGGGACTGTCCAAACTACAGAGTACCGAGACGTGCCCGGTAGACGCTATCTCTGTCGGCTACATTATCAATCATTCACAAGCTCCCTTGGTCTGTCTGACCTTTCCATCCATGTTGCCTTGTCTGAACTCGACAGCGCCATTTACCCGGCGGTCGTACCGAATCGGTCGATTGTCTTTCTTGTCACGGCCAGCAATACTCACCCCGGATCCAGATGATCTTGAAGTTGATATCTCGGACCTCTCCGAGACAACTCTGCCGAGATTGCCCATCTACTTTAATTTCACCCCTTGACCAACAGGTCCATCAACCCGAACCTCAGAATGCCCCCTGCAAGCTCCCCCTCCAGTCTCAAGCCACATGCTTTCTTTCCAAGAATTCTGTGATCCCGCGACCTGCGCCACGCGCTTGTTAGCTCCAGAAGCAATGTAACGTCCCTTTTTCCCCGAGAGATAAGTGGGAGCCGTCCTCGGCTATCAACTCATGCAAGACGTTATGCAAGACAACCTTTATCTATTGGACGCCACCCCTCGGCCCCCCTACAGCTCAATGTCTCATTCTCCAGGCGTTAGCGAACGTTCGTGTCACTTTGGCCGGGGGCTAAGGTCCGGTAAAAGAGGTTCTTCATTGGGCTAAGTTTCATAAGTACCCGTGTCGGACACTGTATAAGGGTGACACCGGACGAAGGCCGACCGACCTTGTGCTTATGGCCTTGGCGTGAGTGGATTAGGGCATGATTTAATAATGTGCAAGTCAGTGGGAAAGAAAGCCTAAGTTGAAGGGTAAAACAACCTCACTTTGTAGAGTCTATACCTAGTTATTAACTGTACTCTTGGACTCTGTGCCTCATGTGGTCGCTGTTTGTTAGCGGGCGGCCCACATGTCCTTTTCGGGAAGCAAAAACAAAGTTCTGACTAGTTTAAGCTCCATGTTGGCAAACTCTGTTGGCGTGCCCCTCCTCTTCGGGATACATACAGAGCCAAAGTAACTGGGCGACTTTATCATCCATGAAACCGAATGATTCTTGTCGTGGAATGACGAGGGATGTGATGGGTCATCACGTTGACATAGAAACCTTCGACTGAAGACCGAATTGAATGGATCTGACATGAGGGAAAATTTCAACCAAAAGCATAATAACAAGCACAAGGACCTGAATTCCACGACTACCTAGTACCTACTACCTAGTACCTACTACCTAGTACCTACTACCTAGTACCTACAGTACCTCATCCATGGGCCAAGCAGGCAAGATAAGGAAAGTAAGACGTGATACCTTTTACCGTCAGTATCCGTCTCCATGCGATGGGTTCGCTGATGGTGGATCTGATAAGGATGGAGGCGATGCACAGCTAGTTGGCAGTCGACAGAACTCGTCCCATTTGATTACTGATTGCGTTCGAAACATAAGATCATCCGCTCAGCATGAGCGGACTGGCCAGTCCAGATTGACAATTATCGGGATCTTTGATGGGAAACATCAATGTCTCTTTCAGAGTGCAGGTCTTGTCGACTATCACTGTGCGTTGCCTGGAGGACAAGGTCCCTACTAGGCCCCCCGTTAGGCCAGCCCACCTTATCAACAAGGCAATGCGACCATGCATCCGGTGCCATATCGCACCAGCAATACGCCGGGTAGACCAAAAAGCCAAGTCTTATCGCGGCCGAGTTTATTCCTCGGGCGCCGATGGGCTGTCGCCGCCAGATCAGCGACTATTGCGAGTCATTGCCAGGGCTCAGACCTCCTATATATCAGTCCACCGCCAGCCATATCTCCCTCAGCTTCTGGCGAACCACTATCTACCTCTAGTGGTGTCCAATACGGACATCAATTGTGTTTGCACTTGTGGATAGACATTCGTGAAAAGAACGGGATGACGGGTGCCCGTGGCGCGATGTGTGCACGGGGAACAACTATGGCCACAACGACTCGCCATAACGACTCGCAGCAGCGACTCGAGGAAGCCGGAGCTTTTTATACTCTGCACCCATCGAGGAATCTTATGCCGGTCTTAATTCCTCTTTCAGCATCTTCGGAGTTTCCGGCATGGTCTTGTGATTTTCCATCGAGGCCACCCCTCTCCTTACTTTCCTCCAACTTGCACGGCTTGTACCCAAACCTCCACAAATACGATATATGCATGTAGTGATGTACTGCCCGATGGGGCACTTGTCGTCCAACTACTACTACTACTACTACTACTACTACTACTACTACTACTACTACTACTACTACTACTACTACTACTACTACTACTAAGTAAGTACCTAGTAGACTTGCTAGTTACTACTACCCGTAACCATCCATGGATAACTAGCCCTGCCCGGTAAGTGCCCGCGGACAGTCGGGGATGACTAAGCAAAATTAAGGCTGTATTAAGGTTGCGCTCCCGGAAATGACAACGGAGGCTTTGATGGCACGCGATACGATCTTGGCACATCACACAACGACAATCGGCAAAGAGAGCCCCCGGCATTGGATTCACGTTCCGCATAAGACATTCCGACCGTACTTTGATCGATCATTGCTGATTGACGACTTCAAGATGGCGGGTCTTTGGCGATTATTGAAAATGCAATACACGCCACCTGCAGACCCTCTCACCTCCTTCGCCGGCAAGACCGTGCTGTTGACTGGTGCAACTTCTGGGCTGGGTTTTGAAGCTGCTATCAAGTTTCTCAACCTTGGCGTGGACTCTCTGATCATTGGAACTCGCAATATGGAGCGCGGTCATCAGGTCAAGCAAGAGCTTGAGACACGAACCAATCGACCCAATGTCGTGCAAGTCTGGGAGCTTGAGATGAGCAGTTTTCAAAGTGTGAAGCATTTCGCAAGTCGCGCAAATAGTGAATTGAAACGCCTGGACATGGCGTTACTCAACGCCGGACTGTGGAATCGTGAGTATGCACAATCGCCCGAGCACTGGGAAGAGACGTTGCAGGTCAACACGTTGTCGACGACGTTACTGGCTTTCCTACTTCTGCCCAAGCTCAGGGAGAGCTCAACTGAGACCAATCCAACCCATCTGGCGGTGGTCTCGAGCCAGCAATTTGCACAAGTCAAGGCCGACAGCTTGCAGACCGACGGTCCACTGCTGGAGTATCTGAACTCGCCAGAGAGGTTTCATGGCCCACGACAATACGGGGTATCCAAATTGCTCTTGGAATACATGATGAAGACCCTGGCAGGGCTGGTCCGCGAGGAGAATGGAACCCTGCCTGTCATAGTGAACACTATCAGTCCTGGTCTCTGTCGATCGTCGCTTGGCCGACAGTACGATCGTTTCTATGAGCGATGGTTGGTATGGATCATGTACAGGCTTTTTGCGCGAACGACTGAGCAGGGTAGTCGCTTGTTGGTGACGGGTGTATTGCAAGGCGCAGAGGCGCAGGGCAAGTGTTGGCGAAATGATGGGTATCTGGAGTAAGTGTTTCGCTTTGGGGAATCGGTCGGAGAGCGAAGGAAGGAAAAATCTGACAGTTGCCTTCTAGTGAGTCACAAGCATTGACGACTAAAGAAGAAGGAGAGGCGTTTCGAGCCAAGGCTTGGAGGGAAATCTCATTGCTCTTGGAGCAGGAAGCCGTAGAAGTTCGAGAGATCACCCAGCGAACTATTTAGCAACAAGATGCTCAGCTAATACGAATACGCGCACGCGTACGTTCACGCACGTGGAGGGTCCCCCGTAAGAGTGGATCTCGGCTTTAGCTTGGAGACCCCATCAGTTCACCTTCCCAATGCCGTGTGTGTCATGTACTCGCTTCAGGGTAGGGCAGATGGACCCCAACTGGCCTTGCGGCGTTGCCCTTTGATAAAACGAGCTCTACAAAAGGCCTTACAGATGCCATGAGCTCGCAAGCAAAGCGCTGAAGATGACGGTGCAGCTGCCCTCTGGCAGTTACTCCGAGCGTACCAAAATCCTTCAAAGAAACATCTCGGGGATAAGGAGGCTAACTGGGTGAATGGACGCGGGTCAGGACCCAGAGGTTCATGATTGGTGATGGCGATCCTGCTAGGGGAAGAAACTGGGGTCACTGTTCCGGTACCATCCCAAGGAGCAGCGGGTGTGGAATCCATCGATGACATGGGAAAAGGAGAGTTCTGACAAAAGAGATTAATAAGCAAGTGGAAAATGATCGGTTGAGTGTCATCTTGACCATCTTTGGATGAATGCGACGCGATCACTTCTTTTGGATACACTGAGATCAACAACCTCGTCTTGGCAGAGGTACTCCGAGTTACCCGCATGAAGTTGCCTCAGCGGGCCGCCTGCTCGGACTCGGGCGAAGAAACAAAAGCCAAAAAGTCGCCCTAAGCCCCACGGCTCCGCTTCGGCGCGAATGCGAGGAATCCTCAGTCCTCTGCTCCTTTTCAACTGTCTCAACCCTTGCTCACTTATCCTGTCTCTGGTCTGATCCTGACACCCGGCCTACTCACCCTTGAAACTTAATTGTGTGAGGATATTGAGCACCTCCTTCTTGAATTGCGACGAAACCAGCCAATTCGTGGTCATAGCTCGTGCCCGTCCCCGCCATCATTGCGTCAGTGCTGTGGCCATCATGGCGTACAACAAGAGCTACAACCCCGATGCGCTACCAGCGTAAGGCCCTTGAACCAACGATATGATTCAGGATACAAATCCATCTAACGTTTCATGTTTTGACGTCTATAGGCACGCGGAGCCAGAACAGGTCAGATTTCCCTGGAGATGTTGTGAATGCTGCTGCCTGTTTCAGCATTGTGTATGGAAGCCATGGGCTAACACCAACGATTCACAGGTCGCGCAGATGCTTGGGAATCTGCAAATGTCCGGAAATCCAAGCCATGGTGCGATGAATCAAAAACCACTTCCATCTCGACCACAAGTACAAAAATCCTCGAGCAGCCCCCCGCCGGCTCGCCCACTTGGCTCAAACCCCCCGCAGCAGCACTCTTACAGCCACCGGCCTTCAGTCGCAGATGGACATCCCCCACCTCTAGGGCAAGCTCGGCCTCATCCATTGCATCCCTCACCACCTCCTCCCAACTATGGCTTCGGGCCGCCTCCATCTCAGCCTCAGCGCAATCGACCCCCTCCTGCTTCACGCCCTCCACAGTCGCCGCATCCCCCTCTCACTGCGCCGAGCGATGATCCGCAGCAATTATTCCCGCTCTTCCGCGCCGCAAACACCTCGCATACTGGCTCGCTCACAGAGCATGAGCTTGGCTCTGCCCTGGTCAACGGAGACTACACTTCCTTCCACCCGCGCACTGTCAAGATGATGATTCGCATGTTTGATCGGGACGGCAATGGCACGATCAGCTTCGACGAGTTTGTGTCGCTCTGGAAATATCTCGCGGCCTGGCGTGAGCTCTTTGATCGATTTGACGAAGACCGCAGTGGACGCATCAGTCTGAAAGAGTTTGAGAATGCGCTGGTCGCGTTTGGGTACCGTCTGACGACCAAGTTCGTCTCTGTGCTTTTCCGCGCATTTGAGAGCAAGGCCAAGCAGGTCAATGGACCTCCTCGGGTTGCTCCTAACCAAGCCCTGAACGGAATGAGCTTCGATCTCTTTGTGCAAGCGTGTATCAGTCTGAAACGGATGACGGACGTGTTCAAGCGGTATGACGAGGACCGTGATGGGTACATCACCGTGAGCTTTGAGGAATTTTTGACTGGTAAGTCGATCCATGTCCATTCTGACGTGTATTTGTACTCCGAGTCATGTGCCCATCTTTCTCGTGAAATAAGACCAAATTTGATGTGCCTTGCTGACCAAATGACCTCAAAACAGAGATCATCCTTCTTCAGGACTGATTTCCGTGTCACTGAATACTATATAATTGTCTTTCGTGGCGTCGCGCCTGCCGACTCGCCGAGGCCTGTCTCGGCTGCAGTGTCATACAATTGACTCGACTCTGCTCAAGCCGAGCACCTACACAGGCTTTCTTATACCCAACTTTGTTCCCAACGACTGCACTAGAAGAGATGAATGAGATGCTGAATATAAATGCTCAAGCCCATGATTCCACGGAGTTCCGAGACGTATCGCTGATCACAGTGTGGTATTCGAGGTTATCTTGCCAGTGTACAGTTATTCACTTTCGTCCGGTCTCGAGACACCAACCTTAGTGTAGCTCAAAGCATGGTAGTTGGCGGTCACTAAATTAAAGACACCTCTGGTCTGAACTTGCGAGACTCGAGGCAGACTACGACAGCCGGCGAGAGCACTGAGTGTGGACATACTCTACGTTTAGTCATACAGTTCGACACCGGTGCTTGGGTCTACGATTAGTACATGTATGGAGAGCCCTCTTTTTGATGGACTTTTCCATCCGATTATCCTTTCAATGAGGGTCCTTCCCATGATCTATCCGATGGTCTCACTGGGTGCACTGAACCAAACAGGAGCTGTGTATACGCAGAATAAAAGAACATCCATCTGAGCACGCAATCATACTCATCTTCCGTCCCACATCCCTACACATATCAAACCCCCTTTCGTTTTGTGACGTGCCTCTACAACCTGAGCTCTGAGTAAGCTCATCGTGATCTCAAACGAAGCGTTGAGACTCCAACCACTCCTTTGGTGGTGAGTATGTGTATCAAAATAGTCAGTACCTAAATTTAGCAGAACTTCTCTGTTTACCTGCCTAAGGTTGGAGCGCTGTATAAATTCCGTACCTAGGTGTAGAGCGGAAGTGGTCTTAAGAATAACACTGGAATCCTCGAGTGGAATGAGATCCCGTCAGCGTCTATACTAGACCTAGATGGCGCGATATTGACACCGTGAAGCGAGACGTGAGAAATTCTCCTCTTGAATGAGTATTTCAGGAACAGAAAAATGAGTAAATTGTAAATGAAGCAGAAAGCTTCCGACATTAATCAATAGTGAACAACTTGACGAATATTCCCATTCTCCAGCTTCCATTACCAATTGCCGCTTTCCTCGCGGATCAGACTTTGGATTATACTGGAAGGCGATGAACGCTTTGAGATCTGGGCTTGAATTCTATGTTGAGGGGGCAGGAACGGGTTTCTATCAATATTTGAGTGTTTACAATGGCTATGCGATTGACTTTGCGCAAGCATGTGATCTCGTTCATATAGTTTCATGATATTTTCTCTAAGCCCATTTCCATGCAATGGCTGACGCTAATCCAGCCACCTGAAAAATAAAACCGCGAAGAAACATAAGAGGGAGGCATCCGCACTTGTGCAGGAAGGCCCCTAGGTAGACATGAGGATCGTGAATACAAGAAAATAAAAAAAAAAGTAAATAAACATTTCAACCACCGTGAAACCAGTTCGGCGATGAGAAAAAGATGCAGTGCTTCAGTGGTATCGCACTCGAGACAAGTTTTTCCGTGTTGGACAGAATGCAAGCACAGGATTGTAGCTTCGACCGCGTCGATTTACTTCTTCTTGGGGAACTTCTCGGCACCAATGTCAGAGCCACGGAGCTTGATGTTCAAGACACGCTCCATGGCACTGAGCACCTTCTGATCAGGTGTGGCGGTGCCGCGCTCGAAGTCCTGGATGACTGTCATCGTGGTGTTGCACTTGGTGGCGAGTTCCTTCTGCGTCATCTTGTAGCCCTCCTCGGTTCGACGCCTCTTGATAGCGTCTGCGACTTGGTGACCAACGGTCTTGGGCTTGATGATATCGTCACTGCGGTCGACCTTGGTCAAGTGCTGACCATCGGGAGCGCCGGATTTTGAGGCCTGCGCAGGTAGGGCGTCGTTAGTACTTGGTCTCCCGCACTCAGAAATGCATTGGTGGTCGGAACAAGTATATCACATACCAAGTTGCCCGTTGTGTACTTCTTCTCCGTGCCAAGGATCAAGCCTGAGCGTTGAGCGGCGTTCAAGGCGCTCTTGCCCTTCACAACAGTCTCGCGGGGGGCAGCGCCACCGCGAGTCTTGCTGCCAATCTTGGTAACGTTGTCCCAGTCGGCCATTTTTGATGATTTGTAGGTCGTGGTAGGTGTAGAGAGAGAGAGAGAAAGAGAGGTGGGGTGGGAATGGGTTGAGTTAGGTCAAATGAGATAGTTGGAGAGTGGTTGACGATCGCTTGAGGTTGAAAATGCAATTTATATGGCACAGAAGCTTCTCGATCAATGGGGGAGGGGAGTCATGCCCTAGTCCTGTTTGGGTCTAGTGCGGGTCTTGCCGCGGAGGGCCATCCCTCGATGAGGGTTGAGAATCTGATTAATCCTCTCTCTCATCATCGCTGTGGTCATGCGTCGCGTGGCAACGATCGAAAATTCATATAATAAGCTGCCGTCGCTTCCAGGGATTTTATATTCGCATGTGTCCGGATCGCACGATATCCAGATGCGGCTGTTGTAACAAGCAAACTGCCAAGGCGCATATTGTGCCACATAAAGAGCCTCCTTCGGATTATTCGGATTGAACAAATGCAGGCTTACGGGATGCTAGTCCCCCGATGCCTGAGCCGTACAATCTCCAGGAGGGATGTTTGCCACTTACTCCTAGTTACTCGTTGTGCGATATACCTAGTTTTGAGCATATCGAATTGAATTCTCAGAGTGTGATCGCCCTGGGCACATTGAAGAGTCCCGCATCAGTGATCTCACCGCCCCACTTGATGTCATTCGCCTCGTGTCATCAAACGATCGAATAATCAACAGTATGGATTGCGAATTTGCCAGTACTGCAAGATACATCCCATTCGGCATTATCTAACCCCCAGACCTGCATCAATCCGGAGTCTGAGCGACTGTCCTAGCACGGCTCCTCCATTCTCGCTAGAGCATACCGTAGACTCAAAATATGCTTGAATGTGCATTTTGCCTATTCGGGTCCCCGCCATCCCGGGGTACGACTTCCAGGTGGTCCCGCCGGCCTCGACTCTTCCTCTTGACAAATCCGTGAAGTCGGCTTCCAACTGTGGTCTCGACTGCTTGAAATATACGCATGGCTTTGACCACGGCGAATTGCGACGTGAGCGCAAGTATTTAGACAGCCAAGATATCCTCGAAGAGTGATTTTGCCACGCGCATAGCAGGATCACGTGAGAATCTACTACGAATCCCCACAGTCAATCTTTCCCCCCTTATGACCGAGTCAGGATGACTCCCACCAAGCAGTCAAGGGACGCATCCCCACCCATTTCCGCGCAGCGTGGTACAGGGAGCCGTCCGACACCAACAAGTCATATTCGCATTGCTCGGCCATCGCGGTCGCTCGCCGCTGCCGAGCGCTTTTGGAAAGATGGACTCGGCCTCCACGTGCTTTGGCGTGCACAGCCAGCCGAAGCGATCGAAGGTGGCCATGAACTGCTCATGCTGGGCTGGCCCGAAGCTTCATGGCACCTTGAGCTAGTGCAGCTGCATGATCGTGACGGTCCAGATATGCAGCCACACCCAACCGAGGAGGATTTGCTGGTGATATACCTTGATGGCCCTGTCGATCCTGCTTTTGTGGATGAAATGGTCGCCGCTGGAGGAAAGAGAGTGGCATCCCCGAACCCGTATTGGAATACATGGGGTGTCACTCTTGAAGATCCCGATGGCTATCGACTTGTGTTGTGTAAAAGACGGTGGAAATAATTGAACGCTCGCGATACACTCATGGCGCCGGAGGAGTCTTATTACGCCTCTGTTCTAATGCGGCGAATCCGACGCTGGAAAGTTTCTCGCTCGTATGATATTTGTGGAGTAGCCATGTGATATTCAAGAACAATGCAGTCTTTGGTGATGGTACTGTATCTCCCTCGAAACGGAAAAGCGCGAGTCGTCGAGTACTGATAATAACATTGGATAAAGTATACACTCCATGTACATCGCTCCAGCAGTTGTCCAGTGTCCAGAGGAGGAAGACGTGGGTGGATGTGTGAGTGCGGTACATCTTAAGGCTCTTCCCCATTTCTGTCCTACTTAAGATCCTGTTTGCACTGAATACTTCAGTATCGATATGATCATGACTCAATCACCTCCAGCTTGATCGACAAATGGCTCTAGGATCGCAAACACAATACAAATGCCACTGAACTGACCTTTTCTTTATCTGAAGAAAATGAAATAAACATGTAAGCTTGGTATGTGATCATCTCGGTTCACGATCTGGTAAGACCTCATGCGAAGCAAATCATGAGCCCCATTTGGCATATTCTAATCAGATCCGGATACGCTTCCGTGAGTGGCATCGATGGAGCCCCGCTCAGCCCAACTATCCACGCGAGCTATGGGGCCAGTCAGGGAATTTGGAGCCTTGAGCTACCAGGAATGGAACAAGATCCTCGGACTGTCTGTGCAGGAACAAAAGGATTGCCTGATCTGATTGACTGCAGTACTCCGTAGTCAGTGAAGTACTTGCTTTCGGATATCGCGTGTGCTGCCCACCGTTTCTGACCACGCCGTGTCTCTAAAAATGACCAAGTCTTGGCCCCAGGCTGAGTCCAATGAGACCTGCCACCCCTCACGGGTGTGTGCTGGACTCTCCACAATTGGCACCTTCCCAAGACATCCCATCTCCACTAGATCACACCTCCTTGTCTCTCCTGGCTTGAGCTCGATCGCACATATTTTTCGGCAGCACTTGCGGTCCTTGCCTCTTCCTCTCCCGCAACCAATCCATCTGTCTACCGCAAGCCCAGGTTACTCAATCCCATCATGGCGAGCGAGTTCCAGTCCGCCATGACCGTCCGGTCGCTCCGCATCCTCAAGAATGTACGCCGGTCGAAAGAGCCTACTTGACAAGTCCGGAGCACTTCACTAATACATCACAGGAGCTCGAATTCCTGGCAGACTCCTCTGTGATTCAGCCCGCCCAGCTCAATGCGATCCTTGCCCAGCTACCCACCGAGACCGACGCTCGCGCGGCGGCCGCCCGCCAGACTCAGGTCGCTCCGTCTCCATTAGCGGTTCAGCCTGTACCCACGCAGCCTTCTCCAGCCCCGTACGCGGCACCAGTGCCCCAGCCATCTAGTCTACCCATGCGCGAGAAGGCACCCGCGTATGACCAGTATCCGACTCCGCCTCCATCGCAGGCGCCACCCGCATACCCTCAGGCGCCAGCGTCCCTGGGATTCGCATCTGCCATGTGGGCATATACCCCAACCGATACAGGCGATCTTGCGCTGGCGCAGAATGATCGCATCATGGTTTTGGAACACATGAACGACGACTGTGAGTGGGATTCGATGCGGGCATCTCCCGAGGTAATCAAGAAGGGCATGCTAACACGCATCTAGGGTGGCGTGGTCGCAACGAGCGTACAGGCAAGGAAGGTATCTTCCCCAAGAGCTACGTCAAGCCGATCGATGAGAAGGCTGGTATCTACTCACCACCACCGCCCACGAACTACGGCAACATGCCGCTCGCTGTCGCCCAGAGCGGCTCGAATGCCGAGCCCAGCAATCCAGAACAGAAGAGCAAGTTTGAGGAAAACGGCAAGAAGTTTGGTAAGAAGTTGGGTAACGCCGGTAAGTATCCCTTGTCTTTTCACACACCACCCCCTCCGAGTGACACTGGCTGACTGATCCAAAGCAATCTTTGGTGCGGGCGCCACCGTGGGTTCCAACATTGTGAACAGTATCTTCTAAGTGCGACGTCTACACCGTTCGTTCCAGCTGATCAAAGAGCATCGGGTAACGAGCACAACTCGCGCAAAGACAGGTGGACAATGGTATCTCATCCAATGGAGTTCTGGGGTTTGTGACTAAGCCGGTTCGGGTTGCTTAGGTATTCTTACAATGGAGATTTTGATTCATGCCTAAATTCTTTTATTGATGCCCCGGTACTCTTGCGAGTCAGGCACCTTTTACAACCTAGAGAATCCGTAGCCTGTGGATCAAAGTTAGACCACGGACTCCGTCATGTGTGATCTGCAGATGGTTGTCAAGGGTCAATCGTGAAGAGTATGCCCCGGGCCTGTTCATCATCTCAGGAGCAGTCCAAGCCTCGCCCCCTGCATTGGAAGTCAAACCTTTGGCCTGCGTAATTGGGCTGCAAGGCAACCCGCACCCTTGTATTGCTGGCTCTTCAGTCTTGACACCAGGTACAAAGTGCTTGTTTTCCATGAACGAGTGGCATTTGTTGTCACAGAGCCAAGCGGTCCCATGAAGATGAAATTCGCCGTCAGGCAAGCCCATGGCAGAAGGCTTGAGGCGCAGCACTTTGGTCTCTCGGCGGGCCGTCGTTCGCGCTCGAACCGAGGCGAGCACGGGGTGCGTACGGAGCGTTCATACGGCGGCCGCTCAGTAGAAGCGCATGGGAACGGACGTACTCTGAAGGTACTGGTACAGGCGGCGGTTGACCTGATGAGACCATTGCATCATGAACGCCTGCTCATAACCATGCCAGACATCATGTCAAGAACAACCTTATGATTGACACTTCGCAGTACGGACGGTACATCCAATTTTGGGTGTTTTATCGGCCGTCTGAGAGGGGGACGGCACGGCGCTTAGGGTTATGCAAGCAAGCCCAAGTTGCATTGACCCGCAAATAACAACACCCGTTCTATAGGTTATGGATCGATTGTGAGGACTTTCGTGGCGTATGGCCCCTGCTAGTGCGAAATGGTTGGGAGGTTGATCTTGATGAGGAAGACGAGATCCCTCAGTGCATGGGCTTGCGGGTTTTCTTATATTGCAGCATGAAATCCAGGGCTCAATGCAGATTGCCCAGGAACAATTATCCTACTTTTCTTGGAGACAATGCAATTGACATTGTTATGTGTTTTGATCTTAGCCCCATGTGTGTTGGCTGGGAGTTGGGGGGATTTTACGAACAATCTTGCAACAGATCTGGTAAGCATACACGAAACAGACAGATCAGCTGGTTAGGAGAGCGTTGACTTACGAGACATTCCACCTTCTCAGGCTCCATTGATCGCTCTTTTCGGCGAACGATTGACCAAGCAGTTCCTGTCCGAGTCTATCAATCTGCTTGACAACCTCATCTTTGCGTTGTCTCCTCTGGGTGTGATCACAGCCGTGGTCTCCGTCATCCGAGTATGCGGCGGATCCTCTCTTCGAGCCTTTATCGGCAGAGCTCAAGAAGGTCCCGCCGAAGCCGAAGCTGAGCTCTTGCCGTGCGTTTCAGAGTCTACTGCAGAACTTTTCAATGAAGGTGGTATATCACGGGTCTTTGGAAGGCCCAAGATTGTGGAGATCATCATGTGGGAGGACAAAGATGCCCAGGATGACGCGGACCGTATAAAGATCGGTACACTTCGCGAGGCACTGAAGGACGGTGCTTGGTCCGCGAAAGACTCAAAGCTCTCGCGTGAGGATCTGGACGAGCTTTCCCATCTGCCTGAATTGGATATTCCGAACTTGTCGTTGAACAAGGGTATCAGAAGTCGTGGGAAGTTCTGGTTCTACAGTGTCGCGGTGCTCGGAGTCATGTTGCAGGTTGGTGAGTTTGAACGAATGAAAAAATTCTTCGATGAGCTTGCTTTGAGTCCCGTCAGACTAACGCGTACCTTTTGCAACACTCTGCACAGGCTCTATATGTTATGCCGCAATCACCGTGTTTCTCTTTCCTTTGTCTTTCGAAAAAAGTGGGAGCCCCGTCTCCAGCTACGCGTTCCCCCTCTATATGATTGGATCTGTGCTGCTTTTCATGGGAATGTTGGCCTCTGCGATCATCATCCAACGCTCATCAGAGCAAATCTATTTCAAGTCGAACAAACCCAGCAAGATATTCTGGCTTCAGCCGGGCAAACAGAACGTTGGTGATCAGGTGTTCAACGAGTTCATGGCGGTCAAGGAAGGACCGAAAGGGACTATGGCCAAGAAAATGGAATACATCAAATCCGTTCGCGTCCGAGAATCCGACACGCGACACCTGGAGACCTATATCACGGTTCTTTCGACCATGTTGGGCTTTGTCTTCCAGTTTGTTGGGTTGAGAGGGCTGCATGCGTCAGTCATTCTGGCACAGATGGGCTCAATATTCGTCATGTCTCTTCTTCGAAGTTGTCTCCGAACAGAGCGCGTGCCACTCAACGAGAACAAAATCCGTGATGATCGAGAATGTATCTCATACAAACACCAGGAGCTTGATTGCTTCGCCTTTCGCCTACACGGCTTCGAGTCTCTTGAGATTTCGACCGCGGGTTCCTTCACGCCGTCGTCTGTAGATGAGCGCGGTATAGCTTCTTTGCAGCAGATCATTCGATCCAGAACTCGTCTCGCCCAGGTGACTTCATTGCAGAACCACGGCCTCGTTGTTGGCTGGGATAAGATGCCGATTCGAGATGCTGCTCAGAGCCTTGCCAAAGCGATTGAATCCACCATGGACCTGTTTTCCGCCTGGGGCTTCAAGTTCGACAAACCCTGGGAGTTCAGTATACCATTAAAGTACCAACGGTCATCAATCCCTAGTCTCTCTCAGAACTTTGGGTTCCACCACTTCGAGCTGGCTCGCTATGGCGATGCACAACGATGGAGTATAAATGTCGATGAATTGGAGGCAGTTCTCGGACTCTCCGTTTGGTCCTTGTACAAGTCCGAGGACGAGGACTTACAACATCCTCTTTATCGCTTGCTTGGACTTACCGCGGACCAAGCGAGTCAAAAGGAAACATTTCGCTTGTTTCACAAGTGGATTTTTCGACAAACAGAAGCCCGACTGGTCTCCGCTAAGGCGGTAGATTCAACACGGCGGTTGTTTGGCTGGCACAATTTGGCCTCGGATGCCTTGGGGGAGGACATACTCGTAGTCCAGACCAAGAGCGATGTCGAGAAGATGGTTGCCCAAGACATCTTTATACACTTCCTCCTGTCGGCACTCACTAAGGTCGACAAGCTGGGCGGAGAAACGAGTCTTACCGAATATGACGGATCATATGGTTCTGTGACGGTCCAGAACACTCGGGTTGATGACATGGTACGTTGCTTCGAGGGCCACAAGCTAGGCTCACGGGAAGATGCACTCCTCTGCGTGGTCCTTGTTCTTGAGAAGCGAGCGCTTCTTCCAGAATTTGCCGCGGATTCGCTCAACGTCAGAGGGCAGGTTGAAAAATTCATCGGACGCAATGACTGGGAGAGTGCCTTTGATCGAATTCGATGGCTATGCCAAAGAAGTGATGGACTTGACTTGGAGATGTCTGCGTACGAATTAGGCAACCTTTGCCGTCGAGCGCTTCTTGACCAGTCCAAGTCGGCTCAAGAGAAAGGCCTGCAGAATATATGTCGGATTCTTGACTCGAACACCGAGACCGATTTCTTGAATGCGCGAAAATTGACTCCTCCAACGAGATGGGCAGTTTCTCCAGCCTCAAGAGCTTGGTGGACCAAACTCGGGCGCCAAATTGGATGGGTCGCCTGGCAGGTGTCAATTCATACCAAAGGCATGCAATGGATACAGCCAGCTTTGCAGAGCAGGCGAACAGCTGACGACTTGATGTTGGCCTTTGAATCGGTCATGAACACGACACCAACGTCGCACGCTCCTGATACAATCTTTCGAGACTGGTTGATAATGGACCCTGACGAGTTCATACACCAGCATTCCAGTGATGAAGATGTCTTGGCCTTCAAATACGCTGTCATGAAAGGTTACTACGGCGTGATCTTCTCGACTCTGTTGAGATTGATGGAGCTCGACTTAGCTTACCCTGGCTTTATTCGACATGCATTCATAGTTGCCGCACGAAGCCAGTGCGACTGGGCTATTCAAGTGCTCCTTCGACGAGGTGCCGACATCAACGCGCTGAACGACCGAAAGATCTCAGCGTTAACAGAGTCCATCATTCTTGAAGACTTGGATGCGATTCGGATGCTTTTGAACCACGGAGCTGATTGTAATGGTGACCGGACTCCCGATGTTCGACCACTACTTCTCGCCGCACAGCAAGGTTCAATAAAGGTGGTTCAGCTGTTAGTCTTCGACTACAAGGCCAATCTTGAAAGTGAGGACAGTGTAGGAATGACGGCGCTGCATCGGGCGACCCAAAAAAATCATGTTGACACAGTCCGAATCCTACTGTCGGAGGGGGCTGAAATAAATCATATGACCCACGATGGCATCACGCCTCTCCTTTCAGCTGTGATGAATAATCAGCTTCACATGGCGGAAGTGCTTCTCCAGAGCGGTGCGAATATAAACGCTCGCGGGGGAGGCTTTGGTCAGACAGCGCTCGCTATCGCGGTGACATATAGGGATCGTGACACTTTTGATCTTTTAATGTCCAAGGGGGCTGACCCTTGGATGCGTGATGACTTTGGACGTACGGCGCTGGATCTAGCGAGAGATTCTGGCCGCGATGATATTGTGGCCACTTTATGCAATCTCTCTAGTCCCACGCAAAGTATATATTCAGCCGTGGATGGTTCACCTCGACGTCTATGAAATTGCAAAGCTTTTCCAGTTGAGGCGGGTTGGAGTTATTGGAGCACTTGATTTGACATCACAATGATAACTACTTTTTCATGACTTAGAATTACCTACCATCCATGTCGGTTATTGCAAGTTACTTTGACGTTCACTGTATAAGCTTCCTAACTCGTCTCGTTCTTGACCCTATTTCCTCCTTTAGCCGCCGGGCTCCACCGGTGCCTAATGTGCCTCATGCGACTGGCAGACTGGATAGTAAATAGTAAACAGTAAACAGTAAACAGTAAACAGCAATAGTAAATAGTAAATAAATTAGGAGTAGATACTAAATAATCAATATTGTATGTTGTAAAAGGATGCACCCAAGCCTGATAGGATATACTTCATACCTACAGCTATTTGGATGCCTCGCGTAGGACTCCTCGTACTGCAAGTTTAAGGTTTCGTCAGCCCCAGTCATGGCTTGATACTGGAAAGACTGTTGAGCATACTATTCTCTAATATACCCGATATCTGGTCTCTTAAGATAGCTTATTATTTCAGTGCTCTCATGCATGTACTTATCATGTCACGGGGGTGCTTTTAGGGGCAGACGGCTGCCGTCAAGAAGGAGGGGTCGCTCGTACTTCTCACTCGCCCTTGGCCTTTGGCTGCTTGCAACGCTTCTTAAGCGCTCGGACTCGTCTGCAATCACCATGGCAGATCCACCTTGGCGCCGAGTCACTCAGCCCATCAGGTGGTTCGATGCACTCTTTGGAGGCGCCCGCTGGGATTTGCCATGCAGTAGTCGAGTGTGATAGGGACGAGGGAGCAATTGTGCTACATTCACATGGGCCTTCTACATGGGGTGCATATGGGCAATCCCTTTCCAGAATCTGCCACGGTCGGAAAGCTCACTATTAATAGCCTTCCGATCATTTAATTCAGCGCGGGGTCCGACTGAAGTTGAGAATTGCTTCTTCGTGTTGAAGGGCTCGAAAATATCGCACTGACTTGCTTTCCCTCTTGACCACAGCCTACGGATTCAAATTTCGATCGGGTCATCCGGGCAAGCACAGCTCATTGATATTCTAACGTGGACGCAGTTGCTTTGACGGATCTGTACTTTGCTCCATGCCCATCATGTCGCAACAAACGCAATACGCTCCTCCACCCATGTCAGGTATGCACCGACAGACTCCTGGTGATAATATCTGAATGTCTGAAAGGTAGACTGATTGCGACATAGCCCCTGCACATGTTACATGTAAGACCAGCTACGCCTTTTCAACACATCATGCCCACAAGAAGCAAATGCATTCAGAACTCACACGATCGTAGCATTTCCCCCACCCCCGCAGACTTCGTCTGGATATGCGCCGCCCAAGTACAGTTACCCTCCCCTCCAACTCAATCGCCTCCTCCCGGTGGCACCGTCCAAGCATATCCCGGGCCTCCATCATCGGTCAGCTCGCCTGTGCCCACCCCGCCGGTCAACGAAAAGCAGCAGTACTTGCAGCAAAAATATGTCCAGCGTAATGCATATGCTCAACAGGTGGACGATGCCGCAACTGCGACGCCAAAACCAAGGGCACCGTCCTTGTCTCATAAGACTGCGCCCGCAGTCCAGCTACCTGGCGCTCCTACACCGGGACAGTTTGTGGGAGCCCAAGCAACCAACGAGGACAATGTGGGAACCTTTAATGGAGGAAGCTACAGAATCAGCCATCGGGATTCTAACTCACTGTTGACAATTCAACTCGCAGTGGGTTGTCCACTGAAAGCGAAGCCAGGTACGGGTGATGTCTGAATCATCAGCCAGCGGTTTTGATGTTGATTCACCCTCCTGTTGAAATCGATTTTGTACTGACTTCATCAAAGGTGTCATGATTGCCATGTCCACGACCATGAGTCTGAGGGGTGAGCTCACATTTGGATGGAAGAAGCTCATTGCTGGCGGTGAATTGGCGATGTCGCATTATACAGGGCCCGGCGAGCTCTTGTTAGCACCATCGGTCCTAGGAGATATGATGGTGCTCCGTCTAGACGGCGAGCAGGAGTGGAAACTCGGCAGAGACGCTTTCGTGGCCATGACATCGGGAGTGACGCATGACTATGTAAGACAAGGTATTGCGAAAGCATTCTTCTCGGGAGAAGGCCTGTTCATCTATAAGTTCGGCGGAAAGGGCTTGCTATGGCTCCAGAGTTTTGGCGCAATTGTTCGGAAAGATGTGGGTTTCCCCCCTTTCCTTTGTCTCGGCATTCTTCAGATTTTTACTCATCCATTGTTGAAATCTTGTAGCTCAAAGAAAAGGAAGAGTACTTTGTCGACAATGGCCATCTCGTTGGCTGGAACTGCAAATACAAAATCGAGCGTGCCGCGGCGGGTGGTATCATCTCCGGCTTGAGCTCCGGGGAAGGTCTTGCCTGCAGATTCGAAGGCCCGGGAACGGTGTATATTCAAACACGGAATCTCAACGTCTTTGCCAAGCAAATGAAGATCAGCACGGCGAGTGGTTAATCGCGAGTGGGCATGGATATCGCGTCGGGTCCAAGTTTTGTCCGGGGGGATCACCTATACCAGAGGTTAATGCGCATTCTTCAGATGTGTATCTCATATCGAGTTCAAAGGGCCTAGACAGCTTTGACGAGACTCGTTGTGAACACGGGTGAACAACTCAAAGCTCGTTTGGGGATGGCCTTAGCACATTTGAGTCAATTAGTAATTTTCCAGGGATCAACTGACAACTTTGTACCGGTATGAACGTCCATTACATGTGGCTTCGATCTAGCCGCATAGCCAGACCGAGGCTCAAGAAGCCCTCATGTATGGAGTGAACTTGAGGGGCAGGCTGCATCGATCGACAGGCATAGGTCCTTGAGTTCTAAATTTTACCTGCTTGGACCGAGACGGAACCGCAAAGGCACTTTAGTTTGTAAATCGGATCGGCTCTCTTGAAAATGGAATGAATGAATGTTGGACGTAAGGTAAAGGTCAGATCAGTGCATTTCATGTCAAGCTGTCTCTATTTTTCGTATCATTCTCTCATTTCGATCCCATGCAGTGGAAAGACACAATACCAGGCAAAGCTCCCCTTTTGTTCGTCATCAACTGGGAATCCAAGGAACAGACACGCCATAAAGAAGAGTAAAAAAAATAAGACAACTCCCTCTTCTAAGAATATGCCAAACCAGCCAGCTTCAGCATTTGCTTTAGCCGACACGCTTTCTGCGGCCGACCTGGGATCGGAAACCGGTCTTGATCGCGGCGACCGAACGACGAGATCCGCAGGAGTTGCAAGTAATGAAGTACAGACGGTTCTCTCCCTTGTTGAGCTCGGTGTTGGGGCTGCGGCATGTCTTGCAGGTGACGTATTCGACAATATACTAGAAAAGAAAGATCAGAGAAGGGTTCCAAGAGACATATTGTGGGTTGTAGGCAGCAGGACTCACTTTTCGGAGAACGGATTCCAACTGCTTGCCCTGGAATCGACCCTTGATCACTAGACGCTTGCTACCGTCCACACTACCGCTTGTACCCAACTCAGCGAAGAGGAATTGCGTGACGTGCTCTTCGGACCGCTTCATACGAGCACAGATCTCGGCAATGTTGGCGAAAACGGTACGACGGTTACCTTCACGGAGACACTGGGGAGGGGGAATCTTGTAGGCCTTGGTGCCGCTGGCGAGCAGGTCGGGATGGTGGCTTTGAACGAGAGTGAAGAAACGGGAGACGAGGAGAGGGTAGGGAATGACCTGGGTCGCATCGTGTTGCCAGATACCGGTTCCAGCTTCGGGGTCGCCCTCGGGAAGAGGCTCCTCGCCCTTGGTCTCCTCACCCTCGCCCTCAATACCGGCCTCGGCGAGCTTGGCCTCAAAGTCACCAGCGTCCTTCTTGGACTTCTTCTTCTTCTTCTTGAGGGCGGAGGCATCGAACTCGCCGTCGGCGGTGGGCTCCTCGGCGTCACCAGACTCCTTGCTGGACTTCTTGGTCTTCTTCTTCTTGGAAAGACCCTTGAACATGTCGGTCACCTCATCAACCTCCTTATCTAAAATTCGAAAGCAATTATGTTAGTGAGTTCTGGTCGATACAAGCGATGCGGAGCTCGCACTATGCGGGGGCAACCAATCTGAGGATTCAAAGTATGGGAGCAGGTTGCGTACCGGCAGGCTTCTCGGCGGCCTGAGGATCTGTGACCTCGCCGTTGGTGTCCATGATCACGGTGCCTTCGCTGAAGGCGACCGACTTGCGCTGCTTCTGTTCGACTTCCTATTTATGGCAAAGAGAGCACAAAGTCAGCGTTTGAGCTCGGGCAACAATAGCACCAGAAAAATATGAGCACAAAAAGAAAAGATAAGAGCAGGAGCGGAGCGTAAAAGAGAGGCAGAGATCGCTTTGTCCAACTAGCCAAGGAATGGCTTTGCGCGAGCTACCAAGGCGAATAGCGGGGGGATGTTGTGCACGCTCAAAGAAAATGTGGGCGAGTCGGTAAAATTGGCATCAGGTATAACGTACAGTGTCCGCCATGTTGGGTGGTGGGGTGATGTAAATTCGCTTCACGAGACTGAAGATTATGTGACGTGCAACTTCTGAATAGCGTCACAAAGTTGTGGGGAGGTCGACAAAGCCGAATTTGATCGAAATCTTAAGATCGCCGCCGTCTGGTGAGAGGAGAGTCTGTTATCGCGGATCGAGCTCACGTGATAATTTTGAGTCAAGTCTCGAGGTCCAAGTCACGTGTGTCTCACTTGCGTGTGGGACCGTCGAGGCGGCGGGAAGTCAACAACTTGGTTTACATAACGACTGCCAACCCCATTCCTATCCTACGCTTTACAAACCGATGCTTTCACCCGTACACGGACAGTAGGCAGGCCGCTGCTCCGCAAGCTTTCAATCCTCTCTACTTGCATCGTTTTTGTGGCCATAGTGTGTCATTTGCCTCAAAAATGGCCACCCCTCCTCCTTCGTCTTCCGACTCCAACCCGTCATTCTCCATGTCCGCATACATGATGCCTTCACAGCAGGACTCCTTCGCCTCGGACTCGGACCTAGAGGATGACGTCGCTTCTCTACCTTCAGTGTCAACAAGTGACTCAGATATGGAAACCCTCTCCGACGACTACTCCGACGCCGAGGCGGAATGGCGGGAAAGCATCGAACAATTGGAGCTGATGTTGACGATGGTCCTGGTGCCTTTCGTCGGCAAATATCTCGGTCGCCGCTGTGCATACTGGAGTATGTAACGGAATTATCAAGGCTTGCCACGTTAAGCTAGTTGCACCTTTCTGACAAGCTTCTAGGCTGGACGAGGTTCATGCAGTGGAAATACCCTGTGGAGGTGACCATTACCAATCCCGGCTTGTTCAAGGGCGCCGGTGTCATCGAGGCGGCCGCTACTTTGTAGAGCTTCGTCCATCATTCACATACGGTCTGGAGCCGATCTGCAGATTCCTGATGGCTCTAGATCGCCACTTGGTCGGCGCGGACACTCACCGTCAACGATGCTATTGACAGTCCCACAGGATGGACCAACTACTGCGCCACCATAAAGCAGCGCCAGCACCAGCGTGGCTCCCCGCAACTGACCATGAATACCCTCAGGGTCAAGGCAAATACTCATCGCTATGGGGGTGAGAACGGGCCTCGGCGCATTGCATCTCTCAGGCGAGATGCTACTTGGCATATCGTGGCACTTTGTGCATCTTATACCCACTCTACTATGAATTGTAGAACAATTATCTTTTGAAGCAGGCGCCTGTATGTTTATTCTATTCAATCAAACAGAATCCAAGAATGAACCAGGTCCTACAGTATCCAAATATTACTCAATAACCACTTCCTAGGCTGCCAATCAACACATATAGGAATGTTTTTGCCCCTAGTGACATGCTGGAAATTTCAGAAGACAACAACGCCAAGTCTACCAGACGCATGCCACGCAAAACAGATCCCATGACCCACAATAGGAGGGATTGAAAAACATACCAGGTGCATCCATCTCGATTTCGTCCCGTGGGCGCCTATACAGTAAGGAGCAAATATTGTATGCGCCCAGAAGCTTGCACTTTCATGCCGATACTGTGGGCGGAGACTGCTGTGAAACTGCACCGCGAGTGCTGTGCGACTCAGTTGAGAAGAACCAGGAAGATACATCTGGCCTCGGAAGGCCCATCGCTTTGCAACTTGCTTCAGATTCGACCACTACAGGGCACAGTGTACACACGATGCACGAAACACAGCAAAGAACGCCGCATATACCTAGATCAATCTTCTCTTCTGCCAGAAATCTGGAGGAATAGGCACGTGTGGATTGGCTTGGATGTTCCCCGCAGCAGACACCTCATAACGTTTCAAAGAGGAGTCGAACATCGGAATATTGAGCGCTCCGCTCACCCTGCGATGTGGAGTTGTTGGAGGTTCAAACTCATGTACCTCAGTCGCATGTGACGGAGGAAACACTTCATAGGCATTTATCATCGACCGAGATGGTCGCTTCAAGCTAATCTTGCGAGGTCTTATGACATTGTGAGTGTAAGAGGGAGATATTGTTTTTTGTTGAGAGGTGTTATAAGACGGCCCACCAGTCTCCAGCACGGAGATATCCATAAGCTTGCTGGGGCATGGCGTCTCCCGCGCTGAATTATTCAGCTGTTCGTTTTCCTCGCCCACAATGGAACGGTAAGCTGCCTCAAGGCTCTCGATGAACAGATTGTCGTCTATTATTAGACTCGATGGGGGTTTTTTGTGCTGATACCATGCTTGCGTATGCCGAGGAGCGACCCTGGGGCTCAGATATTGACCCGTCTGAAGCTGGTCTGATGGATACCCTCGATAGACTCTCTCTCTTGATGATGGAAACAACCCCTCAATGGGGCTTGCAGATTCAATGTCAGCATGATGATTGAGCGCATCTGAGTACAAGCCTTCACTCCGCATTATCATCGCATTTCCGGATGTGCAAGCTGTGGTCGGATGCTTCGAATCCCAGTAGACCTTTCTCTCCTGCAAAAGAGATTTCAGATGCTCCAGATCGACTTCACCTCTTCCGGAGGAGTCCCTAATCGGAGGCTCATTGGCAGAGCATAATCCTGCATGCAAAATTTCCAAAAGATCGTCGCATACCGCTTCACTCTCTCGGGAGAGTCTTTCATTTGTGATAGACCACGAAGACGGCGTGGGGGAGCGCGAAGTTGCCGGGAGGGGTGATTGTTGATTCAAGTCCTTGGGGAACGCTCGGGCAACGGCCAAGTCTCCAGCGTTAAACAAACCATCCTTTTCCTGCGACTGGCGGGATGGACCTCGAAACTTTTGATCCGAGGGGAGACTGGGTGGATGTGCTCTTGACTCGATTGCTTCTTGACTTTCAAACGATCCAACAGGCTCACGAAAGTCACATTCGAATGGAGTTGGACGTGGTCGTTTCGCGTGCGATTTCGCCGGTATGAGCATCGCATCGGTGAATTTCTCATCGCGAATATGGATAGGCTCGGCTTCTCGAATTGCAGGACAAGGTGAACCAAGGAACTTTCTTTTTGAGAAGGAAACGTCTTGCGCTTTGTAGCCAGGGTTGTCAGAAACGGAGTCGAAAAGCAAGTAACACCCCTCGCGAGCCTACCTGCTTGCAGATTTACTGGTGGAGAGGCTTTCCCCTTGCCAAAGATCCCGACATTCTGAACATCACGAAGCTATTGACGAGATCAGTATCTGGCAGTAAGTAACTTTGAACGTGAATCGCTGCTCACCGTGAGTCTTTGACGAGGTACATTGAAGGCATGAAATGTATCATTGATTGTGTGTTTTCGGCTCACACGTGTCCTTTTGACCTTGTCTGATTTCCCTTGACAGGGACGATCCATCGTCGAAGTTTGCTTGTACACATATTTGTCTTCCCGAGTCTTGCGTCGGGGCTTCCGCTCGTAAGGGTTGGTGCTCTTCGGGCAATCTGCTTGGGGGCGAGAGTCTCCCTTCGCCTGCTGTTTGCCATTGACCGTCGGTATTCGGATGGCTGCGTCATTTTCACTGGGTTCCAAGAGGACGCAGCGTGCAGCTTCGAACTCGGGACTCGCACATCCGCGGAAACCTGGACTCATTGCTGCATTGCGAGTCAGAGTGTTTCCCGGCCGCCCAACAACTTGCCGCTGATGGGGGAAACAACGACCTACCCGTGTCAAGCTCAAATTGATTGTCTTCTGGCAAGTCTTCCAACCACTGCTGCACCATTCCGTGATATGTGTGGTCCATTGAGCAACAAGTCAACCTTCAAGTCCATCATCGGTCAGAAAGTTGTTGTCTTGAGTCTCGCAGCTGGGCTCGGGTACTCAAAGGGTGTCCTTCCACATGGAGGGTGGTCCCAGCTCGAGGCAGTCACGCCTCGGATACGGAATAAGAGGAAAAAGTCTCTGGCAAGAGGTAGTTATCTTTACTTTCCATTTTCAATTGTAGGTTTCATGCTTGCTTGTTTTAGCTCTTTCTGACGCTCTTGCTTACCGTGGTTCCTTCTCCCTGTGCTTTCCTCTCATTCTCACCTCCGAGAAACATTCTGCACCCTTTCACATTTAATATCGCTGACGGGGCTCTCCACCTGATTACCAGCCTACAAGGCCACTGACGACAAACAAGCGAGACTCTCATAACCCACACCTCGAGAGAACTCAGAGGTCAGAGATCCCAGGGACGAAAACAGGAAAAGCCGCGCGTATGCGAGAGTCCACCGACACTTGTCGGTTTGACATGGACAATAGAGAACCCAGACACCAGCTCGGCTCATGTGAATGTCTCGTAAGTTGTCAGCTCGGTATATAGTTCACGGCAAGCATGGTCTTGATTGTGTGGGCTTTGGAGCGGACATCCTTGTCTGTGGGCATGGACCTGACCGTCGTATCTTGCGATGCCTATCGAAGTGATCATCCTGGAACATGGTCGAGATCTTATTCTTTCTTGTCATTGAGGGGGTCTGCTGCAAAGTCCACACTATCGGTATTCGATTGCATCAGGCTGGGATCGCAGACGAGGCGATTCAGGAGCTGGTCTCACGGGCCTTACTACCCTTCTCGGCTTTTTTCACTTGGCTGCTTGGAGTATATACCATTGCTAGCGAGCAATCGTCTATGCTCGACCCAGTCGTCCCAGTGCCCGATTGCATAAGCTGTGATCGCAGATACGGTGAACGGCAAGCTGGTGACACTTCGTCCGAGGCGTTCATTCCAAACCTGAGACCGGTCAGTCATGGCGTTCTGAAGACCTTCCGACAATGTCCCTGGATTGTCTTTTTAGGTTTCGGGTGCTCTGCACATAGTCTGTATAAGGAGCTCAGTCCAAGTAAAGTGATCACCGCGTACCGGAAGAAAATCGTCTGGTCCTTCACATGCGCCAGCATGGGGACCGAGACTCCCAGATTTAGTCTGATCTTCCCTTCATGTCTAGTAGTTTCCATTTGGTCCTCCGGAATCGTCTCGCCATACCTTCTCGACGGCCTCGACGCGGTCGTTTTTATTTTTATTGATCGGTCTTTGCTTCCAATCCATGGAGGGGACGTACAGCGCCGGAGGACTGAACAAATACATGAAGGGCAACCCTCATATCTAAAAGGGTGCTCTGTATCATTTTGACAACGCGATGCCAAGTACTACAACGGCTCAGCCGCAAACTCACCGTGGCTACAGAACATAAGCGAGCAGAACTATTTACCAAGCACTGCAAGAAGCAAGTGTGAGATTGTTCTTCCCCACCTTGATCGCACGAGGCACCGGCGGCTAAGGTTGTGGGTCCCTCTTATCCAGCATTGTGCACGGCGCATGGGCGATGGGACGCTTGTGGGTGGCTTGATTATCGATTGTGGAGGATCGATCCGGATGGAGAGTGCAGCCGAGGCCGCCTCGCGAGATCCTATCTGGCAAGACTCGGTATATTATTCTTACATTATTATGGCTGGGAACGCATTCAGATCATCTTGCTGCAACTGCAGCTGCAGCCGCAGCCTGGATAGGAGTTCGAGGGCCTTTATTCAAAAGCTTCCTCTATACACTGATACAGTACCACAGTACCATGCACTGCAAAGTCAAACTGAATGAGTATGCGTGCAGTCTTTGGCCTGAATCAGGGCACAACCTTACTAGATTCGGGGAAGGGCTTGCCCAAGATATACAATGAAAATTAGAGTGTCCGTATGGTAGCTTTTCCAATATTCTGACATGCGACCTTGTAATTCTTCTTTACAACTCGTGCTTTTGCTGGTGGTCAAACGTTTCCCAGTTCTCGCCATGCACTTGTAGTCTCTGCCTCTGATTCAATGTTGACTCGTATGTACAATTCAGTACATGACTACCTACCTACCTAACCTAGGTCTGCCCTGCACATCCAGGTACAACGCCGAGTGTGATCACGGCTCGGAATTCGCCATGGCTGGGGCGGACAATAACCCCCGCCCGGCCGCCTCCCAAGGTCCCCCCCTTTGCAGCTAGCTCAGAGTCCCCAAGGACCCGCTGGTATCCAGCTCCCCCCGATAGAGACAGGTCTTTGAGTCGTAAGTACCTACCTAAGGTACGGCTATGGCAAGACATTCTAGCGGAGAGAGTTGCCATGGAAAGAGCTGAAGCAACCAAGGCACGGGACACCAGGCCGAGGAGGGGGTTTGGTATTTAATGGAGTAGTGGTGACACTGACTCGTGAGTCGGTGACGGTACTGAGTCACTGACAAGTACCTGGACCCCAGGTAGAGAGGTAAGGACGGTCAGTAGGTGTTGACAGTACTGGCGCTATTAGGTCACTGCTTGGAGTCTTGTACTGCTTCCACTTCTGTTCCTGTGCAGTGCTTTCCCCTCTCGGCAAGTGCCATGAGTAGGTAAGTAGTAAGTAGTAAGTACTGAGTAGTGAGTGAGTAGTGAGTACTGAGTAGTGAGTACTGAGTAGTGAGTACTGAGTAGTGAGTAGTGAGTACTGAGTAGTGAGTACTGAGTAGTGAGTACTGAGTAGTGAGTACTGAGTAGTGAGTACTGAGTAGTGAGTAGTGAGTACTGAGTAGTGAGTACTGAGTAGTGAGTACTGAGTAGTGAGTACTGAGTAGTGAGTAGTGAGTACTGAGTAGTGAGTACTGAGTAGTGAGTAGTGAGTACTGAGTAACTACTGAGTATTCAACTAGATAAGTACTAGTAGTAGTGAGACTGAGCTGACAGCCTCTCCCGATCGAGACTCGGGTGCTGATGAATACTGGCAGGCAATTGAGAACTGGCCGCTGGGACCCGACGGTCGTGCAGCACTGCAGCGAGTTCCAGTCTAGCGCCACACCGCAGTGGGACTTTTGGGCAAGTGGGACACTGGCCATTTCTCGAAATATCACCTCCCCAAGACTCGTTGCCGGTGGACAGGCCATTGAGGGGTGGCACTTCATGCATGAATTGCGAATGCGGCTTAGGACAAACACTGTTCTCCACGATGCCCGTGGCCCCGCCATCGACCACCAACAGTACCACGGGCATCGTGGAGAACAGGCATCCGCTCGGTCACCAATGGCACTGTTCTGGTGTTCACTGGTTCAGAACTCACGATCCGGAGGTTCTCCATGGGAGCAATCACGGCATCCACAGTGAGATGCATCCACTCTGAGACCAGGGTCGGCAGGCGCGTAGCAACACACGCATCCTCCGAACAGTACACACTGAACCGTGTAACTGTATACTGTGGGCTCACTGGGCTGTATATCATGAACAGTTCAAAGAGTCCTCAATCTTACTCCTCGAAGATAGATGCGACTATCTGTCCTGATCAGCTAAACTCCTTTTGGATAGGCTCTTTTAGTCAGCTGCGTCCCCCTCTTTTTACCCCACTTTGGGGGGGGGGGGGGGTGGGCGACAACCAGCTTAGCCACTCTCTTCGACTCTTTCAGTCTGGAGATGCTCTTCGGGACCGTGTCAGCTGTCAATTCCCGCTGGACAAAGTCGACTTCGTCCCTGTCCATCAGCAGCTCACTACTGGTCCTCTGCCCACCGAAGAAGTAACTGAACGGGAGAGAGTTTGTGGGTGCAGGGCATTCTGCCATTGGTGATGGATCAGCACCCCCAAGAGGGACTGTTTGTTTCCTTCTCCGCCAGTAGATGCAACCCCAAATACCAAATAATTAATTCATCTGCGTCCATTAATTCCAGGGATTAATCGGCAAGCCCTAAAGCAGTGTGATTGTTACACCATGGACGGCTAGACTCTCGTTTCACCTCCCACTAAGCAATCTCCTCCGGCCTTGCCCTGACGGCCCCTCGTGCAGCACCACCTTTTATTATTTTTCAACTGGGGCTCCGAGTCCTCTTCCTTTTCTTCCCTCCCCTCCAAAGCCTTTCTGTCGTCGATCCCTCTTTCATCGACCGTGAACTTTCTCCATCTCCCCCCCTTCTCTCGTAAGTCGGCATTCTTGGTGCAAGTCCTCGATGGAGTGTAGTTACTGATATCACCGCTCAGCTGGCATCGGCATTCTCAAACCATCATGTCGAAGCTTTTCGTTCAGTACGTCGGGTTCTGTCAGAATGGACCACCCCGCTTCTGGGGAGCAGTCTACCCCTCCCCGCGTGAAAATGGCCCCGTGGCTTCACATTGCGAAGAAGAGAGCCCTCTCGGTGCCACGGTGCACTGCTGTCACGACATCCCCACTAATCTCACATTTCTTTGTATGTAGCGGCCTTTCTTGGCACACCAATGATGATGCCCTGCGCGCGGGTTTCCAGCAGTTTGGCGAGATCCAGGAAGCTGTCAGTATCTCCACGCCCCCAGTCCGCTATTTCCCTCGAGGCCTCGAGGGAAGGCGGTCTCTAGAGGAGCGGACGGACAGAGAGCTGATTTCCGTCCCATCCAGATTGTCGTCAAGGACCGTGCTACCATGCGCAGCCGTGGATTCGGATTCGTGCGCTTTGCGACGGATGCTGAGGCCGATGCGGCCATGAACGCCATGAACAACCAGGAGTGAGTAACATCCAGCACCGAGTCATGCCTCTGAGTTTCCTAGACTTGATGAAAATGGAAAGCTCACCCTTGTCCCAGATTTGATGGCCGTGTCATCCGTGTCGACAAGGCTCTTGACCGCCCCAACCGCCCCGACGGTGGCTTCCAGGGTCGCGGAGGATACAACCAGGCTCCCAACCAGGGCTACCAGGGCGGTGGCGGTGGTAATGGTGGTGGCTACGGCCGTGGTGGTGGTGGTGGTTACGGCGGTGGCTACGGCGGTGGTTACCAGCAGCAGCAACAGCAGCCCTACGGCGGTGGTAACAGCGGATATGGTGGTGGCGGCTACGGTAAGTTGTCAATTCCTCCGGTGATGCCCCATCCAAGTGGGATAGATTCAAGGGTTGAGAAGCTCACCCCTTGCCAAATGGATGTGTTGGGAGGGACATCTTCTTGAAGATTCTGGCAGCGAGGAGGCTAATCAAGCATTTATATTCGCAGGTGGTGGTAACTCTGGCTACGGCGGTGGCGGTGGTAAGTTTATGGCCCCGTCCCTTGGCCCTGCTGCATTTCCACAGATGCAGCAGGCGCTCAACTCGATCTCTCTTGGATCCTTTGATATACTGAATGCTAACTGTGGGGTTTCAATCAGGCTGGCGCAACAACCAAGGCCCCGCTCCCGAGGGCAACTAACGCACTCATGACCTGATGCTCGCCATACCCCTCCATTACATGGACATCTTTTTTTTGAAGTTTTTGTTTTCTGCCGTTCTTGCCAAATACACGCAACGTTGCTGATGGACCTGCTTTTGGAATCAATGAGACGGGACGTCTTGCTCTCCACCTGATCGGATCGGAACTTGGTACGATGTCACGAAAGAAACATGGCATGGGGAGCTTCTTTTTTGGATGTGAAACTTGCAACAGATCCTTCCCGCGGCTACTCGGGGATGACTGTTGCTGGCTCGTTGTTCTCATTTTTGTCTCGAACCTGTGCACGCGAAAAGCAGCGTTGATATCCCTTGAACTGGAGGCAGCATGGGGCTGTGATACCCAACGGATCTTGGTCCTTGTTTGAGCAATAGTATGACTTATGGACTGATACCTGTTCGCAAATTGTTTGATCCTGTTCCCTTTCGGCCAAGACTCTTGGACTACGGCTCCTCTTGTCTACTTTACTTGGTCGTGCGTATTGGTGTGGTATGTGGTATGATGGATCTCGGGACTCTGTCCATTGCGACAGCTGCACGCACGCCGTGCACACGGAGTCGGCTCTAATGGTGGACTCGATGATTCGACTTGCCCTGTGCCCCAGTCATAGTTCAATTCTGGCCCACTACTCGGCTCCGCTAGTGAGGTATGTATTCTCTATGCATATCAATCCCATTCTAAATACCACTTCAGCAAACGCCAGTCCGCCCCCCTCACCATTGCAACACCCCCGCCCCCCCCCCCTCGACCTCTCTCCCTTTCACTCAATATTATCTCTCTGCAAGACTTCTTCAGGTGACCGAGACAAACTCGCCTGCACATCTCGCTCTGCCTGCCATTCCTCCTCATCCGCAAGACCAGCGGTCTCAATCGCCCGGACCCGCTCTACCAAATCAGTCACATGCACATCTGCCGTGCCCAGCCCCAATCCTTGCAACGCCTTCTCCAACAGATACAGATACTCCGTGTTCTTACCGCTCTGTCCGTGGCCCGCACTGATCACTTGCGCCACGTCTTCTGGAGCTCGACGCTCTGGCTCACGCAGGAATTGCGGATTCGATGGCTGTCCGATATATACCATGCATGTGATGGGTTCCTGTGACTCAGACGAGGATTCTCGGGTAGGGTAGAAGGGTGTGAACCGGACACTGTACCCGTCGATTTCACGCTCATCGAGGTAGTCGTGGACTTCCTCGGCGTGGGAGGCGGGGATGTGGTATGCAGCGCCCCAGACTTTGCCCGTTGATGAAGATGAGGATTCAAGTTCGGCGAGCTGTGATTCGACTATCAGCTGAAGTGGTACAGTACCTCATTCTATCAAAGGTCGGAAAATCGGGTTGGGATTCGAGCACACGGCAAGGATCGAGAGAGGTCACTTACGGGATCACCCAGCGTTTCCCAAAACTCACGATCGATCACAGTGACCACACGTCCAGGTTGTTCGGGCGTTCCTCGGTGGTCGGTGCTATTTTTATGCAAGGGCGTCAGCGCGCCAGTCATTCCCCATGAGTAGAAGCCTGCATCAACGACGAAACGGGCAAACTCACCTAGCCTGTCAACACATTTGACACCCCGGGGTCCCAATGTCAGCTACATGGTATTTACTCCCTCCTCAGGGATTCTTGATCACTGCGAGGCGTGATAAAGCGATACTCGCAATCACAAGCAAGCAGGAACTCATCCCCTGCAAACGTCGGATACGGGCGTGGAATTTCGAAAAGCTCATACCTGCCAGAATCTGCGCACAAAGCCATCAATGTACCCCGGTACACGCTGATCTAATCCACATGACATGGTTAGCTTGGCACAACGCAGGTTCAAGGATCTGACGCGATACGGATCCAGAAGGTCGAATGCATGTATGGATACAACCGTCTCCAGATATCTCATTTGAAGTCTGAAGAGAGGGACCATAGATACTTGTCAATTGTCGGTTTCTCGACAGCAGCACGAACATACCGTAGTGAGGTGGTGGTTTCCAGATCAAGCTCCTATACATGCAAAGGGGCGTAGAAAAAATGATATTAGAAATGCAATGGCAACTGGAGGCTTCCAAAGAATCATCGTTTCGATCGTGCAGTCGAGTCTCTGCTCCTCCCGATTCTGTCTTTCTCGACTGCAATACGTATACCGAAAACAGTGATCAACTTAAACTTGGCCGGGGAATGAATGCGACCACAACCAAAGGATTCAATATCGGGAGAGCATCGACATTAAACTCACCCATAACCAAATACCCAAAGATCCCCCTTTGAAAAATGTTCTTTCCACGTCCGTCCCTCGGGATGGACTTGATGGCCTTTTGAAACAGCTGCCATTTTTCAATCCAACGTCAAGGTGAACTGCGCAGCTGGTAAACACGCAGATATTAATACCTTTATACAGCGTCGTGTGCATATCCAAGGTTGCAAGTGTGGTTCCGTTGTCCGCGGACACCAGCGTCCCTGGTCTTAAAAACATTCGGGTGAAACTTGGAACGCACTTACCTGGTGTGTTTTGCTCCGTTCTATGTTGAGTCGGAATTTGAGCTTTCCAAGACAATATTAAAAATCCAGGCACTGTCTGCTTTAAAGGTCGGTCAGTATTCACGTGGGCCGCTGAGGAATCCAATCTGTCGAGTCCCCGCCGCGGGCCGGGAATTGCGCTCTTGACTCGGGTAAAGTGCCCATGTTTGCAATGTTTGTATGACGAAGTTTACTGGAAAATCTACAAGATAGATGACCCTCAGTCCACAGAGCATGGAGTATATCAGAGTATGGTTGCAATTTGCTAGTGAGAGATTGAGGTAGTTGGATAATTGTTAGAGATAATGAGGCCTTACCATGACTAGATGTATTATGATGAGATCGAGCTCTGATCGTGGACCTATCCAGGAGTTAATACCATGTTCGTGCTTTACAATTAAAGCTCAGGGCAATGTCATTGGCTTCATATATGACAGGTACTAGAGACCACCTCAGCATTGATATTGATTAGGTAGATAGCATCCTGACTCCTACCATGCAAGTAAAATCGCCTATGAGATGGAACTTGGAAGGTTTCAGGATGTACTTATAGTGTGGACGGCGTATACTGTAATATTTCGTTGCTGTGTTCAAGACCACCATCTATGATACTACATCCACCTCATCTGAGTGGGTTGCGCTACCGGCAGATAGCTAATGCGAGGGACTTTCCGAGGAATTTTCCGTGGGTGTTTATGAAGGTCCAGGTGAATGTCCTTACGGGAATTTTTGCAAGGGTCATCATAAGCACTAGTCCAACTCCAGTGCAGTATAAATCATGGACCTACATCATAGATCGCCTGAACGCGGGTTTCTGTTTGCATAATGATTCTTCGGTCGTTCAGGCGGGAAAAAGAGCGGCTACTTAGATGGATCTCTGAATCATACATCATCGCTAATAGATATTAGAATTCTTACATGATTCAAGGCTCGCTTTTTGGGTCCGAAGCACCAAGTGTACAACACAATGTAAGAATGTCGACAATGTAAGCAGTTTTGAGTATAGCTTAGGTAGCTCGCTTATGGTGTGTAGATTGAGATGTGTAAATGGCAATATATAATCATGTAACTTCATCCCTGCTTCATCCTCATCTCATCCTTACTTCACCCTCGCTTCACCCTCACTTCAAACTGATCGATGATGGTATACAGCTACGGGAGGGGTAGCTGTAGGATACAAGAGAGGGATAAGGAGTGAGATTACTACTGGGGAGAGATTAGACTTAAGCTATGGTATGCGGTGAGTGAGTGGCAGGATCACGATACAAACAAATCATTTATTTCACCTTCCAGTTCTGTTGCATCGCCTCATCATGACCTCTACTCATATCTTCCCAGCATACCTCCTTGTTACATCTCCTCATTCTGACCTCACTCCAACCTCGCTTTACCCTCACCTCATGAATACTTGAGAAATTTAAAATACAAGGGGGTCAATGAAGATGTTGACCAGTCCGTTTTTCGAGTGAGGATTTTCCTGCTTATGACTGGATTGCTATTGTTGTGATGAGTGATGATTCATGGTAAATTCATGCAGTTACATTTGATGTCTACGGAAGGCATGATACATTGAGTGCCAGGGGGCGTAGAAATCTTAACCACGAGAAGGCGAGTCGAAAAAAAATTTGGTCCAGGTATCTCCGTTGATAGAATGTACACAGAGTCAATTGCAATTAAGAATTGGTCCCTCGCTGTTGACAGGCCGCTAAAAGATTAGTCTGCCTAGTAGGAACGGCAGAGGAGGAGGATGCAAAATATACACGTGGCAGAAACATTCCTAAATGCTCGAAGCTCGTCACCTCGTGCTCCTGATGTGCTACGTAAACGCGTAGGAAGGAGATAACAGAACGTGGGTTTCAATGGCAGGGAATTCGGTCAAGATTTGACTTAGGGTTTAAGTGGTTGCGTGCTTGGTAGTTGGTGCTTGGTAGTTGGTGTGGTAGTCGGTGGTTCACAAAGGAATATCAAGGGCTCAAGACCATCCAGAAACATTATTTGATCCAAATGATCGATGATACCAATAACTATAGTAGACTCCTGAACGTGCTGTATTGGAGCCATTCGAGCGAACTTCGAGCCATGATGCAGGATGGCGGGGGTTCCTCAGCAATGGGCGAATCTCGTGCCTATTCCTTGATTCCGCTGATTTGGAACAAATACTGCAAATTACGGAACAGCCATTCTGAACGCAGTTTAGCCCTCGAAGCACCTGGAGAACGTCAACTTACGGTTGGAATATCGGTTAGGTCGAGTAGATCTTAAAACGTGAATACTTAATTGTTCGAGTCATTCCTCAGGTGTTCGCACCACCGGGCATTGAACAGAGTCAATCTCACCTAGTAGCAAGCTCATATGGGCATCGAGGGTCGAGCCCTTGCGCCCGGTGCAATGGAATTCTTGTGCGGAATGTTGGAGGCCTCACTTTTCGGACGGGAGCGCTGCAGCCCGAAAATGAGACCTCAAGAGAACACAGGACACATCTGGCTCCACATTCGGTGTCCGGCTGTCGGGCCGTAGCCGTGTCAGTCGCTAGTCGCTGCTTGGCAGTGGTCTCCATCCATGCTATCAATCTTTTCATTCAGGCTGTCGTCGCTGGCCCCGTGTTCGATACGTCGGGGGAACGACACAGGTCGATTATATTCTCTGGCAGACTCCCTATTTCTCCGGGTTTCGTGACCGTGACAACACTTTCCAGGTTTAGAACGGTATTCGCCTGCAGGTGGGCTTCGCTTAGAGCATGTCACGTTCCTGTCATCAGTGCCCTGACTCATCATACGCGGCAGGTACCGTCTTACTAGTCTGAGGTTAGCATGCGTATTGAAGTAGACAAGCAATGCAGGTAGATAGATATAATAAATGACCCTCATTCCAGAGCACTCATTTTCTTCTGTTTACTTCATTTGCTCTGAAGGTTGAATGTAGTCCAAATTCCAACTTTTCAGCGCCAGCATTGACTGAATCGGGCTGGCTTTACCGTCGCCAACAGTAGATCTCAGCTGCAGAAAGCCCCACTTTCGAAGGGCGCTCGTTGTCGTTCAATGAGGTTTCTGACGTCAAGGTGTTCGTCGGCACTTCGGCATTGGTAATCTCCGGAGGCCGAATTTCTTTTTCAGGTACCTCCACAAGACTTGTCTCCGGCATCCCTGCCAAACAACAATTGCAAGACGAGCTGAACGGGTCACATTCACTTGTGACAACGTGTGCCAAGGGACCGCCAGCTTTCGTACAGCTATACTCGTCTTTTTCGCCGTACTCCTGGGTTTCGCGTGAAGTCGGTTCTGGAAGGGCATCGGATCTCTCCGAGAAGTCCACGCATCTCGATCGATCGATTCTAATCGCCGAGTCAATCACCCCTACCAGATTTTTGTGACTTCGATCGCTCATTTCCCCACGTTTCATTACCTTCTTACATAACAGCAACATCCTCGCTCTTTTCTCATACTCCCCTGCCCGAGCAAACCTTCGTTGACCTCTCCACGATATCGTCTGCAACCACAACCATCCATATGACGTCTGCTCAGCAAGAGCCCGATTCCGCGAGCGGAGACACAGCCGTTTCGCTGGAAAATGTGAGAAACTCCACCAACGCGCCCACACTTGCAAGTCACGAGCAAGCGCATGAACGTCGTCGTGATGTGCCCACAGATCAAGAACCAGAGAGCTTGGAAAAGGAGCAAGGAGATGATATCGCAAAGGATACAACGTCTCGGCAACCGCTGGAACGTACAACTTCGCAAGCAGACAAGATGGGCACCAAAAAGATCATTGTGGTCATGCTTGCTCTATGTCTGGCGCTCTTCTTGGCCGCACTTGATATGACGATCATCTCGACCGCTCTCCCGACGATCGCCGCGGACTTTGGTGCCTCGGAGAGTGGTTTCTCTTGGATCGCATCGTCGTACTTGCTGGCAAACGCGGCCTGTATTCCTCTCTGGGGCAAGCTGAGTGACATTTGGGGGCGCAAGCCGATGATCTTATTCGCCAACATTTGGTTTTTGGTGGGCAGTTTGATCTGTGCACTCGCAAAGAATCTAGCTATGATCTTGGCAGGTCGGGCCATTCAGGGTGTCGGTGGTGGAGGTATCATCATCATGGCCAATATCAGCGTGACCGATCTCTTCAGCATGAGGTAAGTCGTGGTCCGGCAGCCCAAGGTTGTCTTTACTGGAGCTTCACTAATGCGCCTCGGCAGAGACCGCCCCATGTATTACGGTATCTTTGGAGCGACATGGGCCATTGCCGGTGCTTTGGGTCCGATCATCGGTGGTGCCTTTACCACTAGTGTGACTTGGAGGTGGTGTTTCTGGCTAAACTGTTCGTACATTCTCCAGAGCTTTCCCTTCTTATACGGCCAGAAGCTGACCAGTAAACAGTACCGATCGGTGGATTCTCGCTAGTCATTCTCTTCTTTTTCCTTTCCATCGAGTCCCCCAAGACTCCTCTCTTGGCTGGGCTGCGCAGCATTGACTGGGCAGGAACGTTCTTGATCATTGGAGGCACTCTCATGTTCCTCTTTGGACTTGAATTTGGCGGTGTCAACTATCCCTGGAAGTCTGCGACTGTGATCTGTCTTATCGTTTTCGGAATCGTCGTGTGGGCTCTTGCCATGTTTGCTGAATACAAGCTGGCAAAGTATCCCATCATCCCCCCACGACTATTCAACGAGTGGTACAATATTCTGGTTCTCATGGTCTGCTTCTGCCACGGATTCGTATTCATCGCAGGAGCCTACTATCTGCCGTTCTACTTTCAAACGGTCCTCCTCGCGTCACCCATTCTTAGCGGTGTGTACACGTTGCCCATGGTGCTTTCGCTTTCATTTGTCTCTGCTGCCACTGGAATCATCATGAAGAAATCTGGCCGCTACCGTGAGCTCATCATTGGTGGACTCTTCTTCATGACTCTTGGCTTTGGGCTGTTCATTGATCTCAAGCCCTATGCCTCTTGGCCGCGCATTGTCATTTTCCAACTCATTGCCGGTTGTGGTGTGGGTCCCAACTTCCAGGCCCCCTTGGTTGCTTTCCAGGCCAACATTCGCCCGGCAGACATGGCCACTGCGACTGCAACCTTTGGCTTTGTTCGTCAACTGGCCACTTCCATGTCTGTTGTTCTGGGCACCGTGATCTACCAAAACATCATTGGGGGACGACGTGACATGATCGTTGCAGCCATTGGCCCTGAGCGCGCCGCTGCAATCTCAGCCTCATTTGCCGGAGCTTCCAAGGACCTTATCGAAAGTCTGAATGAGTCGCAACGCCGAGTCGTGCTTGACTCCTTCACATTTGCGTTGAGTCGAATGTGGATTTTCTATACCGCCGTTGCAGGCTTTGGATTCATTCTGTCGCTGTTCATTGTTCCTCGTGAGCTGTCCAAGAATCACACGATTCGCAAGACTGGTCTCGAGGAGCAGGAAAGAGCTCGCCAGGAGTTGATTGATTCCAAGCGCAAATCCGAGAACAAGCCTAAAGTCGAAGCCTAAAACATCGCTCTCATCATCTGATTCAAATCGATACCCCTACTGATTGTTTTCACCACATTTACTCCACATCCTAATCTGCATTTTTTTTTCTTTATTCCAAACACAGAACTTTCTCTCTGAAATTGTGCAGTCGAGCTATTCATATATTTGTAATCACTTTTAGCACTTTTACGATGGTGCACTCACGACCCCGCGCAATGATACTCATTCGACGTGGCATACACCTGGGTGGCTTCATTTGGCATACAAGAAGTAAAGGAACATTCTCAAGCTCCCTGAAGACATTCATCTATTGCATGCGTATGCGTCTTTTGCTCCCTGGGAGTGATTGGAATAAAGCAAGAACCGGATCAAAATCAACTATTTCTTTACTTACTTAACTATGTACTAGTAGGGATAGTAAGGGGATAGATAAGCCCGAATCGGGCCTGACGTAGAGACACCCTTGTCCCCATGTTGGAGGCCAAAAAAAAGCCCGAGCTTATCCCTACTGGCTATACCTCGGCATCTCTGCCACGCAGTACACGATGTGCGTGAATGTAGGTATGTCCTGTGGAAGATTCTATTGATCGGCCGCTGGGTGGACTATCTCCGTGTATTTATTGCTGAGCTTGCAGTTCACTGCTTACTGTCCATTTTCAACTTCAATATTGAACATCAAGAGATGGAAACACATCATGTCATATGCCCTCGTACTGGGGACATCCGAGGTTTACCAGCAGAAGTCACGCTATCCGAGAACAGGATGGTTTTTCAAAAGCTTCGTATTGTCTATCTCGCGGTTTACTCGCGACATGCAAGAGTGATGCACGTTTCCTCCACCGGGTGCTCTGTCCCCAGCTGAGGAAATGACAAGATACACCGACAAGTGCAGAACGAGAAGCACATGTCCTTTGATTAAAAAGGGAAACCAAAATGAATATTCAAGGGGTGGTACCAACTCCGGTTGATCGTGGAATCAAGATTTGGGATGAAAAACCTAGCCTGGAGGTCATCAGATCATTCCGTATGCCGGACTCGAGGGGGTGCAAAGCGTTGATATAATAGAAAAGCAAACGCTGCCCCGAGTCTTCCGATTGTATCATAAAAAAAACAAATGTTTGACAAAAGGCATCATGATGGACTCATGTCAAGTCGTCATTTCGCTTTCGTCTGCTGCGACTTCTTCTACTTCTTCACATATCCTTTTTTTCTCTCTCTCCTGTCTTTCGAACCTTTTACTTCCGCATTTGCTCCCGCTCAACCTCATACATGAAGTCGAAGTAGGGCTTGTCGAAGTGGTGAATACGGACGTAACCGTCCTCACCACCGGAAGCGTAGGCAGTACCGGCGGGGTGAACATCGATAGTGTTGAGGGGACCGAAGTGACCACGGACACGACCAATCTCGTCTTCGAAGACCTTGTGGTAGAAGCGGGCCTCGAACTTTCCTTGACGAGCCGACGTCGTTGTGACATCCATGGCGGCTTGGCCACCACCCAGGATAACGTAGTCCTTCTTGGGGGTGATAGAGGCGGAGTTGAGAGGGGTATCGGCGACGTAGGTCTTGAGGATGGCGAGGTTGCTTGCGGCAATGAGCTAAAGAAGAAGAAAAAAAAACCAAAGTGGAACCGTTAGACTGAGGGTCGCTCTTAATCGAAACGCATCGCAAAATGCCTTACCTTGGCGGACTTGTCCTTGGAGGCGGTGATGAAGTAAGAGCGATCGGGAGAGAATTGGAGGTCGTTAATTTGGTGGTCGAACTCGTGAGCCTGGACATTCTCGAGCTGGTCTCCAGACTGTGAACAAGCAGTTAGCGCAAAAGCCTTTCCATAGACCAGTATGGCGCATGTCGGTGTTTTGGTCGACACGGTAAGGACAAGTTTAGCGTACCTTAGGATCGTACTGGCTGACACTGCCATCCTCGTGTCCAGCGATGATGTAACGGCCCAAATAACTCCATCCGGCAACAGTGGCCTTGCTCTCAGTGCAAGTAATGCGCAAGCTAGGCTCCTCCGCCTGAGCGTTCAAGTTGCTCAAGTCACCATCACCATAGGTGATATCAAACACGGCGATTGTGCCCAGGAAACCCATGCGCTTTTCCGTGACAGCCAGCAGCTTCGATCCATCAGGGGAGAACGCAACTCGCTTGACAGCCGTAGGGAAGTCCCAAGTCTTGACGCACTCGCCAGTCTTCACATTCCATAGCCGAACGGTGTTATCTGCGGAGCCGGTAGCGAGGAGGACCGTGTTGGGGCTAACGTCGACCGTCCAGACAGCACCTTGGTGGCCGGCATATGTTCCCAGGCGCTCGCCGTTGGCAGACCACCATGCGCACACGATCTTATCCTTAGAGGTCGAGAAAAGCAGGTCGCCATCTTTGTTGAATCGAATTTGGGTCAAAGACCGCTCCTGGAGAGAGGCGCCGCACCGGCATGGTTAGTTTTCTTCAAGGATTCTGATGCGGCAGAAAAATCACGCACATGGCCTGACAGCAAAATGGGCCGCATCTTGAAGGTTGACGACTCGAAAGGTCCAGTCGGAAGTCGATAAAGAAGTCGACGAGGATCGGCGTTTGATGAAAGAGGGAGGGGGGGGCGAAGGAGGCGGGTATACCGGAGGGGGTCAATCTTGTCAACCTCACTTTCTTTGACTAGTGAATTTCCATCGCACACTCGAGCACCCAGTGCCAAGACCCGGCCGTCTCGAATCCCGCTTTCCGGATAAAGCTATTCTCCGGTATCCTCACGTGAGGTCTTATCTTTCTCCAGCCCTAACCCTATAATACCCGTTTGAGAAGTCCTGCTGGAGTGGTCACTGCGCGCTTTCCCGCGGCGAATGACAATGACTCATTTGCTTTCCGCCGCAATGACACCTTCTGATGCCTCAGGCGGCCAATTACATGGGCCTTCGAGCCTCTCATTGGAGTATCTCCGAGTGCCTCACCCGCCGACCCCGAGTCCGGTCTCCATTTCGTCGGAGTGCATGGATGGGCCCCAAAGTTCAACCGTCGAAGACGCCATGAAGCGGTATTGTTGAGTGAACAGGGTAGAGAAAGTCAGGAATTGCAGATGCGATCGAGAGATTGACGCGATCAGAGAGTATATCTGATTGATCAAGCAGAGTCTCATCTTCAGCAGCCCTTTTGAAAGGCATCTATTTCCCTATCTTCAACAACACCCTGTGATTCCGATCTGCAGCAGACTAGCTCCGAGGGTCGAGGTTCTCGCCCCAAAAGAAGCAATCACGTATGCTGTCTTTCCCCGCCGCGGGACCCCGCTATCGCTTTTTCTGCGAAGCGCGAGCTTCCAAACTTTGCCTCCGCACCTTTTCTTCTTGGCCTTCAAGTTTATCCTCCTATTCTCTCTCTACACGAGGGGCCCGAGTATTTGTCGGACGGTCATTCCCATCCTTGATTGGTCATTCCTCTCTCAATCGGACCGTCGGAGATCACACGGCTTCTACTTGTCGCAAGTTCACTAGCTCGTCAAAAATGGCGTCAAGGATCGATGGCACTGCCATTGCGAAGAGCATTCGGGAGAGTCTGAAGGCCGAGATTGAGCAGGCGCAGACGACCAACCCCCGATTCAAGCCCAACTTGGTCATTTTCCAAGGTCAGTTGTTTTGATATCTGTCGCGGAGACCAATGATAGTATACAAGGGGCGTTGGCTAACTCTGTACTTTTCTAAACAGTCGGAAACCGTTCTGATTCCAGTCAGTATTGATCAGATCGAGAGCTTACAAAATGACAGGGCCAGCTAACACAATCCCGCAGGCACATATGTTCGCATGAAGTTGAAGGCTGCTCAAGAGGTGAGTGAACACTACTTCACAGAGTTGCGTCATACTTGAGCGATGCACTAACTACCCTCATCTTCCCTCTTCAAAGGCCAACATCATTTGCACCCTCATCAACGTTCCCGAGTCTAGTACCGAGCTTGAACTCCTTCAAGAAATCACCAAGGCCAACAATGACCCTTCAGTCCATGGCATCTTGGTACAATTGCCTCTGCCAAATCACATGTCGGAGCATACTATCACGTCGGCTGTTGCGGACGAGAAAGACGTTGATGGATTCGGCGCGATCAACATCGGTGAGCTGGCCAAGCGAGGTGGCCACCCTTTGTTCACTCCCTGTACTCCACTTGCTGTCAAGGAGTTGCTCAAGGCAAGCGGTGTTGATCCGGCCGGCAAGGAAGCGGTTGTCCTGGGTCGCAGTGACATCGTTGGCAGTCCCGTCAGCTACCTGCTGAAGAATGCCGACGCGACCGTCACGGTCTGTCACTCCAAGACGCCGGACATTGCCCGAATTGTGAAGAATGCAGACATTGTTGTCGCTGCTATTGGCAAGACCGAGTTCGTCAAGGGCGATTGGCTCAAGCCTGGTGCCGTCGTCATCGACGTTGGTATCAACTACAAAGCTGACGCGACGAAGAAGTCTGGACAACGTCTGGTCGGCGACGTCGACTTTGACTCTGCTATTGAAGTCGCCTCGCAGATCACGCCAGTGCCCGGCGGTGTTGGTCCCATGACCGTTGCTATGCTACTGAAAAACGTCGTCGCCTCCGCCAAGCATTACTTCGATCGCCAGCGGGACCGTCACATTACTCCTCTGCCCGTGAAGCTGCAGACGCCTGTACCGTCTGATATTGCCATCTCTCGTGCACAGTATCCCAAGCCTATCACTACCGTTGGCTCTGAAATCGGCATTGCTCCCCACGAGTTGGAGCCATACGGTCACACCAAGGCCAAGGTCAACTTGGGGTTGCTGGATCGCCTTTCACATCGCCGCAATGGTCGTTATGTCCTTGTTTGCGGTATCACCCCGACACCCCTCGGTGAGGGTAAATCCACCACCACCCTTGGTCTTACGCAGGCCCTCGGTGCTCATCTGAATCGCATTGCATTTGCGAATGTCCGTCAGCCCAGCCAGGGCCCGACCTTCGGTATCAAGGGTGGTGCCGCTGGTGGTGGTTACAGCCAGGTCATCCCCATGGACGAATTCAACCTGCATCTGACCGGTGACATCCACGCAATCACTGCCGCCAACAATCTTCTTGCCGCTGCTATCGAGACTCGTATGTTCCACGAGTCAACCCAGAAGGACGGCCCTCTGTACAAGCGTCTTGTGCCAGCCAAGAAGGGCGTCCGGGAATTCAAGCCCATCATGTTCCGCAGACTAAAGAAGCTTGGCATCGACAAGACTAACCCTGACGATCTAACCGAAGACGAGATCCGACGCTTCGCGCGATTGGACATCGATCCCGAAACTATCACGTGGCGTCGTGTTCTTGATGTCAATGACCGTCACCTTCGTGGCATCACTGTTGGACAGGCTCCCACCGAGAAGGGCCATACCCGCGAGACTGGCTTCGATATCTCAGTGGCCAGTGAGTGCATGGCCATCTTGGCTCTCAGCAACAGTCTCGAGGATATGCGTGAGCGTCTTGGTCGCATGGTTGTTGCCACATCCCGCAGCGGTGACCCTGTGACCTGCGACGACATTGGCGCCGGTGGTGCTCTAGCCGCTCTGATGAAAGATGCCCTCAAGCCCAACTTGATGCAAAGTCTGGAGGGGACCCCTGTCTTGGTGCATGCAGGCCCATTCGCCAACATCAGCATCGGTGCTAGCTCCGTCATTGCTGATAAATTGGCTTTGAAGTTGGCGGGTACCGAGCCCGACGAGGATCACGACGCTAAGACTGGCTTCGTGGTCACGGAAGCTGGTTTCGATTTCACCATGGGCGGTGAGCGATTCTTCAATATCAAGTGCCGCTCGTCCGGCTTGTCACCCGACACTGTTGTCATTGTGGCTACAGTTCGTGCCTTGAAGGTCCACGGTGGTGGTCCCGAGATCAGCCCCGGCGCGCCTTTGCCCGAGGTATACCGCACTGAGAATGTTGACGTCTTGCGCGCCGGCTGTGTGAACCTGCGTAAACACATTGCCAACGCGAAGCAGTACGGTGTGCCCGTTGTGGTTGCTATCAACCGCTTCGAGACTGATACCGAAGCCGAGATTGCCGTGATCAAGGAGGAGGCCATCGCCGCGGGTGCAGAGGACGCGGTCCCTGCCAACCACTGGGCTGAAGGTGGTGCGGGTGCGGTTGACCTGGCCAAGGCTGTCCTCGTCGCCAGCTCCAAGCCTAAGGACTTTAAGCTGTTGTACGATCTCAACGGCAGCATCCAGGAGCGTATCGAGCGCATCGGTACAGCTATGTATGGTGCCGAGAAGGTTGAGTTTAGTGAACTTGCCCAGAAGAAGGTGGATACCTACACCAAGCAGGGCTTTGCCAACTTGCCCATCTGTATCGCCAAGACACAGTATTCGCTCAGTCACGATCCTGCCTTGAAGGGCGCCCCCACCGGATTCACTGTCCCCATTCGGGATGTGAGATTGGCCGTGGGTGCTGGGTACCTGTAAGTGTCTCCCGATCTCCCCGTCCTCGTCGTTTCGAATGCTGGATGCTTCTTCTTTCCCTTTGAAACCCCGTTCTCAAGACACCTGCTGACGTTTGTCTACAGCTACGCCTTGGCTGCCGATATCCAAACCATTCCCGGCTTGCCTACCGCGCCCGGTTATCTCAACGTAGATATCGACACGGAGACCGGAGACATTGATGGATTGTTCTAGACCATGAACCTCTGATCCGAGGTTCAGGATGGACCGGGCCTGGATGGAGATGACGGCTTTTGTATATATTTTAATTTTTGGTGGCTTCTTTAAGCGATGGACGAGATGGGATCTTTTGACCTTTTCAACAACGACATTTACGGCGAAACACTGGCGACCGAGCGCGGCCAGTCAGGAGTACTGTAGAGGGAGGAACTTTTCAACATCCGAAGCCCGCATGTTCTCGGGCCCTGTCAACTTTCAAATGAACCAATATAATCTACTTCGATCTACATCAAGAGCCGTTTATGAAATCTTCTGCTTTTTTTTTTTTTTTTTTTTTTTCGATTTGATATTTTGTGACAGCTACAAGGGCATTCTTGGACGGCCTTCCATCCCCACCCACGATCTCGCTGATCCCTGAGTCATGCTGCTGGCGATGGCCGAATTGAAGTGAGTCATTGTTCAAATTGGACGGGACCATGACCGAGAAGTGCGTGTAGGCGTAGTGATATGGGTTGTGACTGTTTGTGGAAGACTGTTTGTGGAAGACCACTCCTCCTTCCAGAAACACGGAATTCCCTACCGCGTAGCTCCCACTTGGGCTCTGATAGATCGTCTGCCATTCTGTAGTGGCGACCCAGCCAGCATCCCAACTACGCGTGTAGACGAAACGGACGGCTTGCCGTTGTATTCCATGCTTGAGATATTGCTCGGGGCCTGTCTTGACGACCAATTGCTCAAACTGAGGTGGAATGAACTGCATCAGAGGGCAGAAGAGAAGGACGGCAGATTGATTACGAGTCGTGTGCTTAAACCTAGTTGCTGTCGGGTTCCTGACAGTTGACCGCTAACTAATTAAGCTTACCTTATGCATCACAATCGACCACCACGGCCAGGTACTTGGGGCATCCTGGCGTCGCCCAACGGACCCGCTTCGCACTCTTCAGATGATGACATTACAGCAGTCCGTCTGAGAGAGAGAGTTCGACTTCGGTTTCCGAGCCAAATAGACAAATAGCCAAATAGCCAAATAGCCAAATGAGCCCCCTCGGTGAGTCTCTCGGAGAGGGAGCTCCGAGACTCCGGGCTTGCGATCGCGCACGCCAGCTGCTTGCGGGTCGGGTGGAGTCACGCAAAGAGCACTGGGAAGCTCTCTGACTCGCCCAGCCGGGGTGAGTACGGTAAAGTCAGAGCTTGCCCGTCATCGAGGGTCATCACCAATCTCGAAGATCGTGGGTGTGGTGGCTAAAATCACATAAACACGTTGATAATATCTGGAGCGGCCGACCTCCCACCGAGACATAAATATGGACTAGGTAGAACACTCGACGGATGGATGGTCTGTCGGACAAGGAAACCTCTTAACTCCAATCAACTTCCTACCAGTGCCCTCCTCCAGTACCTTCCTTGTATCTCAGTCCCCTGCACGGTGCCGTGAACCTAACCCAAAGACAGTAGGTGATTTCTGAGTTGTGACCAAGTTGGCAAGGAAGCATCACCGTGTCGTTGAATGAGTACAGCAATCAACCTGCGGGCGATGCACTCACTCGACTGTCGAGTGCTACTAGTCTCTGCTGTCTCGTGACATCCGGCTTCGGCGGTTTGCGCAGACTGCGGAGTTGGACAGACGTGCTGCCCCCAAAGGCGATCATCACTTCGTTCATCATTAACCACTTCCATCTTACAGCCACTTCCCTTGCCCTCCGGTTCAAGGCTTTCGCGCTCTCTCTCGCGTCTTTTCCAAGGCTACGACTGTCCCGTACACCGTCTAAGCGATTAATCTCTCTTGGGGACCTATCGGCTTCGCCAGTGCGCTTGTCCACTTGTCCACTCGGTAAGTTCTGCCCCTCTATCTCCATCGTCTCAGTCGGCATAATCGGCGAAATACGGACTATGGCGTTCGTCGTCGGGAATTCGTTTTGGCGCTCGAGCTGGGTGTATCTCCTAAGGACCTACTACAGACGAGTTTGAACCCAGCAGCTGTCGAAGGATCTGCGCTTCACTCCAAGACTTGGTGATTCTCTCCTGGAGTCACTCGTGGATCCCGCGCACACCGGCAGTGGGTTTTGCACCGTGAGTCGTGTAGTCTCTCTTTGGGGAGATACCGTGGCCGAAGAAGCGCAATTTGTGCACGTTCTCAGGCACCCGCGGCCAGCGGGAGAGAAAGTGACGAGATGCGGGAAACCCGGGGCTAGGCGCGTCTGACTCCACATCCGCAACTCTTCTTTCTGCCGAAGATCGTTGCTCGCCCTTTTCCCTCGGTTGTTCTCTCTTGATGCCGACGGTCTGACGGCTTCACAAGTCCTCTTCGGTTCATCGTCGACACCCACCCCCCACCTTTTACCCCCCCCCCCCAAACTCGGCCGAATCCACCAAACAGATTGCGTGGTCGACTCGTGAGAAGCCCGCCGGTGGTAATTTGAGCTGACCTGCCCGTTCACTTGGTTCAGTAGTATCGAGGCAGTTGCGAATCGCATCTCCCGCCATCATGATGAACGGTTATTCCCTTCGGTCCGCTTCCGCTCTCGCGCGCCGGTCCCTGGTGACCCCTCCTACGGTTGTCCCCAAAACTTCTTCTTCTGCTGTCGCTGCTGCTCGTCTTCTCTCAACCTCCTCTACCTCTTCCGCGCTTCCTCACTCACGACGATCTTTCTCCTCCGCCCTTCACCTTTCTCGCACTACTCGTGTCGCCGCTGCTACCCGTTGGTCCGCTTCGACTCCGTCTCCGTACCTGACTCAATCCCGCACCATGGCCTCTGAAAGCACCAAGATCAAGGTCAAGAACCCAGTGGTGGAGCTGGATGGTGATGAGGTATGGAATGGATCACTCCCCCTCACTCTTTATAGTTCAAGTTCTTCGGATCCCCGCACTTGGTCACAAGCTTGCTTTGCTGCGTGCGCCGTTTCGGGGAAGATCGTGTCTCTGCTGTCTCGTGAGCGCGGAGAAATCCGGGGTGGCATACACCCTTCTATTGGGGGGCGTTTGCACGTGTCAGAAGTCTATTCTGAACCCGAGGAACACCACGCGGTCCGAAGATATGGTCTGCATGGAACGTCATTCAGCTGACATTGAATGGTTTGTCCCTGGCTACAGATGACTCGTATTATCTGGCAGGAAATCAGGGAAAAGGTAAGCTCTGCGCTATTCCCATCCTCTTCCCGTGTCGTCGACTCTATCTTCTGTTGCCCCTCGTGGAGCTCGTCTAGCTCTCGTTCCTGCATAAGGTATTATGCGAACGTGGTGGCGCCTGCGGGCCAGATTGATACGTCACATTTCAATTTGTGATCTCGAAGATTTCAGCTGAGGCTAACGCTGCATATTATAGTTGATTCTGCCGTAAGTCTCGATCATGTGGATCCCGGTCAATCAGATCTGTCTCGTCCATGATACTAACACCCACCGAAGATACCTCGACATCGATCTGAAGTACTATGACTTGGTGAGTAGTACTTCCAGGAACTCCACTCTTCTCGAAGATCACGTATGCTGATTCATTTCAATCCCTTCAGGGTCTGGAATATCGTGATGAGACCAACGACCAAGTCACAATTGACGCCGCCGAGGCGATCAAGAAGTACGGCGTCGGTGTCAAGTGTGCTACCATCACTCCCGATGAAGCCCGCGTGGAGGAGTTCAAGCTGAAGAAGAGTACGTCCTCCACTCTTTTCATGATCATTCCATCATCACCAGATTACTAAGTTTCGCTACAGTGTGGCTGTCTCCCAACGGTACCATCCGTAACATCCTGTAAGTTCAGTCTCAGGGTGCCCAGCAAGGGATCATTTCGATCAATCTCGCTGACCATGTCTCCAGCGGCGGTACTGTCTTCCGTGAGCCCATCATCATCCCCCGCATTCCCCGTCTGGTGCCCGGCTGGAACAAGCCCATCGTCATTGGTCGTCACGCCTTCGGTGACCAGTACCGTGCTCAAGACCGTGTCATTCCTGGCCCCGGTAAGCTGGAGTTGGTCTACACCCCTGCCGGCGGCGAACCTGAGCGTGTTCAGGTCTATGACTTCAATGGCGGCGGTGGTGTCGCTCAGTGCCAGTACAACACTGACGACTCCATCCGTGGCTTCGCCCACGCTTCCTTCCAAATGGCCCTGATGAAGGGTTTGCCCCTGTACATGAGCACCAAGAACACTATCCTCAAGCGCTACGATGGCCGCTTCAAGGACATCTTCCAGGAGATCTTTGAGAAGGACTACAAGAAGGACTTTGATGCCAAGAAGATTTGGTACGAGCACCGTCTCATTGACGACATGGTCGCTCAGATGATCAAGTCTGAGGGTGGCTTTGTCATGGCCCTGAAGAATTACGACGGTGACGTTCAGTCCGACATTGTCGCCCAGGGCTTCGGCTCCCTTGGTCTGATGACCTCCACCCTGGTCACCCCTACCGGAGAGGCCTTTGAGTCCGAGGCTGCCCACGGTACTGTCACCCGTCATTACCGCGAGCACCAGAAGGGCCGCGAGACTTCCACCAACCCCATTGCTTCTATCTTCGCCTGGACCCGTGGTCTCGTCCAGCGTGGTAAGCTCGACGAGACTCCCGATGTCGTGGCCTTTGCCGAGGAGCTTGAGCGCGCCTGTGTTGAGGTTGTCAACGACGAGGGTATCATGACCAAGGATCTTGCTCTCGCCTGTGGCCGTAAGGACCGTGAGGCTTGGGTCACCACCAACGAATACATGAACGCTGTCGAGCGTCGCCTCAAGGCCAACCTCAAGGCTCGTCTGTAAAGTTCTTTCTCGTTTTCCGTATTCTGGCTCATGGGTGCATGTCTTGATGACTTGAAAGTTTCCCCCCCCTTTTTTGGGTTGCAAATATGCTTCGAATTTCTACCAGCGTGCTAGGTTGATATTGTGAACAAAATCAGAGTTCGATGCTATTTTTCCAGAAGTCCCTGCTTTGATGGACACTATTTCCTGAAGTTTCTACCATTTTTGATATGCTTTCTCACATGGTGACTCCTACATATATCTACGCAAACTTGACAAAATCTCGGTAAGAAGTCTACTTTCCCCTGATCTAATTAGTTGCGTGGCTCCTACGCTACGGGAAGGGCCAGCCACAACGCAGGCATCACCTTTAAAGTTACACACGACATCTTGCGTCCCACCCTATTCAGGATTTACCACCACCAATGATTCACGCAAAATCAAGTCAGAATAATGCGTGGGTGTTGAGGCGATTCGAACGACCAACCTTGAGGGTTACGGTATTATCAGGGGCACCTGCCTCGTAACAGGGCCCCTATCACTTCCCAATTAGGTAAGGTCTCGTGACTACCATCCCTATCTTGTATCTCCTAACCGTAGCTCTATTCAGAATGAACCATGTTTCCTCTTTCCAACGCTTTTTCAGTAGCAGTTGGTAACTTGGTAGCAAACCCCGGTTTCATCCAAAGGTCCTTTGGAACGGGCGAAACAATCCAATTACTTTCCTCTGACCTTAAACGAACCTAAACCCCGGGTAGCCGGTGGTGGCGGATACATGTGAGGACAAAAAACCCTTTAAGTTCTAACCACCCCTTCGCTCTACCTCACCTCTTATTCAAGAGGTCCGTTCGTTTTCTAAGAGCTCTAATACCGTTATCAGCTCGTTAATAGCGGCGTTATATCTACCTCGCCTAGGAGCTTCGTAATTCGTATATACTTTGCAGATATTAATAACCCGTACTGTTAATTTTATTAAGGAATTAACTAGTATAGAGGGGAATGCTCAAGGCAGTCTGATCTCACCAGACAGGTCGAGTCATAGAGGAACCAAATCACAACCACCAGCACGCACGTCCAGAGATCTCCCAGCCCGACCGTGCAACACCTATCCGTAGGATGTCAGGAGGTAAAGAGGAAGATCAAAAAGAGTATGTCATTGCAATGCAAAAGAATCCGACTGTAAAGACTGTGCTGAACTCCCATGAAGCCGTTCAATCCGATGGTTGCTTGTTCTCATCCCTCCTGGTTGTCAAGTTGATTGACTCCCTCTCGTTATGTCCATACAGCCTTTCCCGACCGTAAGGCCACCATCAGGCACACGCACCTCAACAGACTATCTGCTCTATGTACATGCAACCGGATTCCCTACTACACTAGCTTCTATAACGGGTGACCACAACGTACGATAACCTAGGCCTAATCTTCTTCCTTCAACAACTTAGCGAACAACAAGGCTATAAAGATAATGTTTTAGAATTCTACATCTCCTTATGGTAAGCTATCTAGAGAGCTAAAAATGTAAATAAAAAGTCTGGTGTTCAGAACTTAATTTTTTGTTGTTTTTGCCTTTATAGAAACCCAAAAAATTCCGCACACACCCATATATTCACATGGGCCCCATGGGTATTCTCTCCTCGGAGTGTGATAGCATATAAATCGATGATAGAATTTTAGGTATAGTGGTTAATGTTAGAAGGGGTTAGATTCCTTGACGATACGAATTTTTGAAGTTGAAGTGAAGTGGGTCAAGAGAGAAAGTGGGCGTAGCCCACCTACACTGAAAGGTATAGGTAGGTCGTAGTACTGAGATTATCAAGGCTATAGATACCAGTGTACTCCAGTACTCTAAACGTGTAGGCAGCTAGGGGGTACAGGAACTACTAACTCACTGGGAAGGTCGTTCTCAGGCAAAGCAAAACAAGACAGGGTCTCCAAAATCAAACAACATACCACCCCTCGACAATCAGGTCGTCCAGGTGGGCGCTGATGCAATCGAGACCGTTGAAAAGATGGAAGAAGCCTGTCACTGCGCCACTCTCTACCTCAACTATTGGCGCCCCGGAGATCCCCTCTGCTATCACCGGGTTGATTGCTCCAAAGACCGTGTCGACGGAGTCAGGCCGCCAATGCTCGAAGGGAATTTCAGGCCATCCCGGGGGACGTTGTGGTCGCCTGAAGTATTTGCCCACTGTGAGCAGGCTGATCAATCCAGAACTCATCCCATCCACTTCACTCCACGAGCCCGCCTCGATCATGTCCCCAGGTTTCAAACTTCGTGGAGGTTCTGCCTGGAAGTAGCAGCTGTTAGTGAAGCTTGCGGAGGCAGCTGGGGTGAGGTGGACCAGGGCGACATCAAGTTCCGGGCGGGTGTCGTCAACGGTACCAATAAGGTCGTCGTATGTTTTCGGGTGCCAGACGTCCCCGGAGTGTAGGAAGCCATGGTGGGCAACAGTGACCCTCTCTTGTCCCCGCACGTTCCGGAGTTTCACGCCGAGGGTTGTCGCGGCTGTGGCGAACTGAAAAGGGGAATCAATTGGGCCATACCCACTTTCCACTCTGCATCCGGGGGTCAATTTTTGGCCTCGGAGATAGTTACCATCATCCTGTGGCATCAGACTAGATACGTGCTGCGCGGGGTCTAGTAATCGAGCGCGTGTCTGACTTTGCATATCGTAGTAGAAAGGTTTCCCTGTATGATGGTACAGACTCGTCCGACCTGCGACACGCCCCGGCAATGATCTTGGCTCGTAAACTCGCCCGTCGCCGTAGTAGAGCTCAACGATCGTCCAACAAGGAAGGTAAACAATTGCCAGGATATTAGCAAAAGCTGCAAGAGAAGTCAGGACTTTTGCGTTTTGCTCTCTTGTTGGAAACGACATCTTTGGCCAGTACACGCCGGGGCACGGATCTTGGAGGCGAGGGTTTGGGTAGGGAAATTTTGGGATTGGTATTGTAGGCCGGACATCAACAAACATGACCGGCGTGCATCCAACTGTGAGCGGAATGGGCTTGGGTGGGTTGCTTGTTTCGATCCACATGTACCAGCCGCTCATGCCCATGTGTTGGGCCTCGAACGTCTGCAACACCCACTGCGTTTCCTCTTTGGTGGGGGAGCGGAATACTCGTGCTTCTTCTACCCAGAGCGTGAAGGGAGCGTTATCATGGTGGTGTCGTGCACCCCAGCTGCCAGCGTCTTTCCACCGAGTGGGCACCGGATGTTCACGTTGAGGATGAGTACTGCACTGGACTTCAGCTGGCGGCTCACGGAAGAAAGTAAGGGGTGCATTTGTAGAGATATCAATATACGGCGACACTGCTTGAATCTGTTGTACCTGTGGAGACAGGCGGAAAGTGTTAGCCAATGCTATTTTTGATGAAACAGAAGCTGGAAACATAGGAAATGGATTCGTGGGAGACGATGGGAGATGAGTGAGAACGGAATAGAGAGTGGGTGAGCGACATAATTTGACAATTATAGAAGTGGCTCCTTCACATGACCTCTATATTGGTCCGACGCCCGTTTGAGCAGGACCATGCTAGATACGGGAATCGAGTGAACCCAGGAAAGAAATAGATTGCATCATTAGCCGAAGCATAACGGAGAGAGTGGTTAAGCGTCTGGCCATCGACGGAGGCGCAAGGCGAAGGTGCTGAAATCTCTCGTGCCTCTCTCAGGTGAGGGTTATGCTCCAGTTCTGAGTGTTTTATGCCTTAAGGCTGCAGGCACTTTGTTGGTGCATATACGTTAACGATCACTTGATTCTGGTATTATGGCCATACCGTGATACCGTCGTTATTCGTGTATTTAAAGGGGCTCCAAGGTAAATATTACCCTATAATGAAGGTCTTCGCAAGTGAGGTGAGGACAATGTCCAGGTAATTTAAGGAAAATGAAGAAGAATAGATGAGGAGCACATGAAGAAGATTAAGGAAAATAGAAGATAAATGTGAGAAATAGATAGAAAGTCTGACCGTCAATCGAAGCGAAAGGTCAAGACGCCGAGGGTCATTGTACAGGCTTTGGGTGAAGTTTATGTCTTTCGGAAGCATCCATGTCAATTTTCGAGCTTGTAAACACTTTCACGTTCAGAAACGAGGTGTACGGATTGATAAGCCACGCTAGTCTGCACGATCTCATCTGGTCTAGCTTCGTGCTTAATTCTTTAGGGACTGTTGTCGGAGACACACACCTAGGCTATTAGAGCCGAACTTCCTAGGAACAAGGGTGCTAGAGGCGTGAGCTACTTTAGCCTGATGGCGCTCATCCAGAACCCTGGACGGGTAGTGGGTGCCGTTGCCTTCTATGTCGAGACCCTATTGATGGACCCACAACTTTGGGGGCGATTAGTCTTCTTGAAAGCAATTTGTGGTGTCATGATAATGGGCCTTTTGCCCATGTCTCGAGCTCTGGCTTCGCTGTTTGCGCATTGAACGATTTTGGACTAGCAGGCCTGGCGAGCGGCAAGTCTTACTTATCCAAGTTCCTGCTTACGAAACAGCGTATACGGACACCTATACATCACACCACTCGCCCCTAAACTAGTAAACTTTCTACGCTATTACCCCCTTTCTACCTGGGCAAGTTCTGGCCTTGATGAGGCCGGATCTCACAGGCCTAGACGGGATCACAAACACGATATCCTGTTTCGCGTTAAACGCGAGGACTTACTGGTAGCTGCAAGCGGAACACAAAAGCATGGAAGTAAGCGATACATACTTGTCCATGAATTTTTCTTGCTCTTGGTTCACGGCTCACCCTCAACTTGAATAGAGGCGTCACATGGCCCAGTGCTTGGACAGCTGTCCAACAGAAATTTTACAATCAATCTTTGATCTGTTGTCGTCCTCTGAATACCGTGCACTCTGCCTGGTCAATCGAAACCTTCGTACTCACGCAGAGCCGTTTCTGTACTCCCAAATCGAATGGATATGGCGGGAGGTCGACGGCCCTCCCCCTGTTGTTAAGCTACTCCGATCGATCATAAGGAGACCAGATCTGGCGTCCTTCATCAAATACCTTTGTCTGGATGGCAAATGCTTCTCCGATGGCGTATACCGCAAATCGATTCCCCCTCTCGTGACTCCTCAAGCCAAGATAGAAATCGATGACTTGAACGCATTTGTCAGAAACACCCAATTGCCGCAAGCAGACGTCTGGATAAAGGAACTTCAGAAAGGTACCATAGATGCTTTCGTGGCGCTTCTCGTGGCGCAAGCATCAAACATCCGCCATTTGAGTCTTGGTCCGGCGTTTACTCAACGCACCGAGATTCTTGGTGTGCTTCTCCGGTCGGCTCTCTGCCCGCCGTCGCATATGAAATTGCCTACGTTCGAGCTCCTTGAGATCGTCTCAATTCGTCTTCAAACTTGGGAAGATCGAGCGCGGGGCAAGTCTATCAAGAACACGGCCAATATTCTACCGCTCTTTTATCTTCCGAACGCCAAGAGCATGTCTGTCTCGATCGAAAGTCCATCGGTGTTCTCATGGCCGGCATCATATCCCCCTTCCCCGACGAATCTCGTGAATCTTGATTTGACATGTGTTCGTGAAGTTTCGCTTGGCAATGTACTTGCCGCCATGGTCCACCTTCGCCGTTTGAGCTGGAAGTGGTACTATGATTTTGGTCTCGACGATGATACAAACAAGCCCATTGTGGAGCTAGATCAGATTGGGGCGGCTCTAGCCCATGTCAAAGACACGCTGGAAGACTTGAGCATTGTGGCAGATATTGGAGTGGGAGGAAATGACCAATTTCTCCCCGCGATCAAAACGAGAGGTTGCTTGCATGAAGTCGCTGATCTGACCAAATTGCGGAAAATTCAAATCCCATGGGCCTTCCTCGTCGGGTTTGTGCAAGATACCAACCAACAATTACTGGAGGTCATCCCAAGAAACATTGAAGAAGTGATCATTACGAACGACTTGAGGCTGCAGAATGACGACGAGATGGAACCGTCGTGGCCTGCATGGGAATGGACTGATCACGCAATCATTACGCTCCTAGAGAACTGGTTACGTGATTGGAAAGAACATACACCTTTCCTCCGCAGCGTTTCCTTGCACTGGACCGATCATGAATTTCAAGAATGGGACCCGCAAATGAGGCGGCGACTGAAAGAAGTTGGTGCCCAGGTCGGGATTTTCCTTGAAATTGTGATGATCGAGTCTTTCTATTGAGAAGAGGATGCCAAAAGTTCCCCCCAAAAAATGCAGCCCCCATTTGGTGTAGGGGAGATTGTGTGGTCGAGACTCGTTGCAAGGAAATCAGGCGTTGGAAGAGGACTCGGGCTTCTTCGCGGGCGCCCCGCATAATTGCATCTGGTTGATTTCTGGTTTACCCAGCCCCATTGTCTCGAAGTCGTAGGCCTCGGCAGTGTCTCCGATATCCAATGGTCTGAGTCCTTCGACTTCGACAAACTTGTTGCAGCCCCAGACTTGCTGCTGATCATTAGTTCCCGTATGGTGGAGGAAAGCCCGTTGTCATCTGAAGGAAGTTCACTTGCCGTTGACTGATCCGTCCCACAGGGGTCGGTCTGAATGGGCCTTCCTTCGGCTTTGTTCCAGAGCACTGCGGCAATCCGGGCACCTTTGCCAAAGAGGGCCTCCCCCGGATGTATCGTGTAGTATAACTGCGCTGCCAGAACCTCGCCGCAATTGGCACCATTCTTGTGTTCCAAAGTTTCTCCGGATTGCTCAAAGAAAGCTATTTGGCAAAGATGGAGGGTGTTCTTGACTTTGGTCTCTTCGTAGTTATAAGCAAAGCTGTTCGCGTTCTTGGCCGAGGACGCAAAGATGAGTTCGTTGCCCACAGCAAGCACGACCATGGCCGTGGGAATATTCCTCACAGGAACTTTGTATTGCGCCGCATCGGTCCTCATTTCCGCGTGCGCATCATGGACAATTTGCCAAAGCTGCCCATCGGAGAGATCGTCGACAGTTTTGCCGAATTTCAACCAGCTGCTCCAGAACAACATCCTTTTGGTGGGCAGGGCACCCTCCACAATCCGGGGCCAATTGTCGCGGGTTGCAGTGTCCAACGTGATCCCCAGCGGACCTTGAGGGTCGAGACGGACTTTATCGTTGGCTGCATCGAGCAGTACCCCGAAGGCCCAACAGATGAAGAGGACTAGATACGAGGGACTCAAGCCGATCATAGCCTTCGGCCACACGAATTAGCAAAGGCAAGACTGTGGACAGCAAGAATGTATTGCAAGTCCTGATTCAATTGACTCACTAAGTGTAAACGGTGGTCTGAAAGGTAGAAAGAGGAATGACCCGATGGCAAATTACAGAGTGAAGAAATGCGTAGAATTCGGCCATTTTATAGACTCTGGATTCGCGTGGATGGACACAATAAGTTAAATTCACGCAATGCCTCTGTGAAATCACTTCTAGACCTCCGTAATGCTGACACTCGTGAGATATTCCAGATCCAAGTCGGTCATACTAAGCGAGAATCTAGATGGTCCGCCAGTAGCGGCTCCAAAAGGCCTTTTCGAAGATTTCATGCTACTCCAGGGGGGCTAGGGTCCTGTAATATCGCCTCCTTCTCAATATTTCAAATGGGGACCATTGCTTACATTCTAGCAGGACCTAAATAAACCGGAAGTGGAAATCTGGGCAGTAGATCAAGATAAAACTTCAGGTCGTTTCGGACCCGCGCTGCGAGCGTCCTAACGCAGCAAGACCTATAGTCGTCCGGCTCAGGCTAACGTTAAGAGCGCAGTGCGCATCAAGTATGGACTTATTTCAGTGAGCGTGTTATAATTTTGATTCGGAAAGTTTCAATATCAGAAACATCTTGACAAGGAACATCACAAGGGCGGCTATCGTTTCAAGAAGGATATCAGTGGCAGTGAGCACCGAGTACATGATCATGAAAAGACAACTTCGCAAAAAATATCCGCCCTCAGACTGACATCAGCACTAGTTGATGGCCGTTTCCGAATCTCATACGGCGGGTACTGTCTTTCTAGGAGCATATTCAAGAGATTGAATGAGAAACTCAAATTGTATCTCGACCCGGACTAAATCGATGGTGGGCATCTGTGGAGCGTCGATGAGTACTTTGACACCGGTAAGATCAAACTGGACCCACTTCAAGTGCAACAGTATTATGGCTAAGATTCCTCAATTCTGATTCAAAATACATCAATGACATTCATCTATTTGAGCGAGTGTTGACCTCGGCTTTTGGTGCAACAGGAACTGTACTTGATCATTCTTCTCCGTCATGGCCATGTGCAGAAGGACACAGGTTTCATCTACTGAGTAAGCTCTGTAACATAAGATGCGGCTCAACTACCCAGAACCGGCATAAATACCGCTTTCATGAAGAACCATATACCTTCGTCAAGGATGTATAGAGCGAAGGGGGTGATCCAGTCACGTGGCATCGGCATCGGTATCGGCCCCCACCGCCCGAGGTGAAGGCAAGCCGTGCTTACATGGAGCGGAGTCTCTTGGCGCTCTTAGTCTGTGGCGCCCCCACGGGCAGAAGCTCTAGAAACGGCACGACACCGCGGACTGATTTGGAATTGCAGAATCGAAGGAATCAATTGGCTCACAGGCGCTTGGATTCATCAAAGCCATCAGCACAGCGGGAAATCCCTCGCATCTGCTTCTATAGCGGACATTGACACGTGAAGCAGCAGGATTGTAACGTAGGATCCGTATCTGGTTTTCTTTTTTCTTGACGCGGATCGCGATAGCCTTTTTAGAAAGCTTCACCATCTATAGATCAGCACAGTGTGGAAGACAGGGGTGTGGGGCAGATGGGTGTAATACACTCTCGCACATTTGACGGCTTACGTTTGACTTTGAATCAACCTTGTATCCGATGATCTGTTTATCTAGTTCGTGTTTTTTGTTCGTTCTCTGTCAAAAAACCAAGGCAATCGACGAAAACCAGGGCACTTCAAGCGGATGTGTTCAGAGGGAAGTTATCTTGATGAGCCGTCATCGCCAACACGGTGTGAGAATTCCGCTGGAATAGCGGTGGGTTTAGTATACAACGTGAGAACAGTTAACGTCCCGCTAGGCGAGAGAAAAAAGCCGCCGGGATGACCAAGTAAGATTCCTGTAGTATATCATTTGCAGCATCTACTGTCAGAGGAGCGCCAAGACCATCTAGCAGGGGCCAAAAGCTTCGGTTAATCTCATGCTGACCTACCGCTGGTTCTGGCTAGCCATCCTGGCAAAATCGAGAATGCATGACCCTTTTAATCCACGTGTTTTTTGGATTCAACGATCCTCCCCCTGGTCGGATAAATCCCTACTTAATCTTTCCCGTCTGTTAAAGATACGAAGTTTAGCCAGATTGGGAGACTCTGACTGCCTATTTCTTGTGGCTTGAACGTCGCAAGATTTCTGGAACTGTCGCTGACGGTCAAATAATCGAGACATACATACATCGAAGAACACGACCCACAGCACTTTGCCGTCGCAGTGTCGGGTGTTTTCTTTAGCATATGGGTAATGGTCTTAATGCCGTATCGTAGCGCGAGGCCCAGCCACCAATATATCCAGGCTTCGGATGGCCATGCTTTAGTAGGTTCTCTCGAATCGGCTTATGTGATACGCTAGCCGACTCCGTCCGTCGAAGATATACCGAACCTTCCAAATGAAAGAGCCTGCATGCTCTGACTTGACAACGAGCTATGTCTCTCTGATAACCCCGAGCGGCACGATAGATAGTCACTCACAGTCCCGTTGGAGAATACAGTCAGCGATTCAGTGAGCGACCCGTCCCGTGCTTGGCTTAGCTCATTAAAGAAGTGGAGGTGACATAGATTCGATGTCTCGCTTGCAGATTGAATGCTCAAATTCATCTGGAATTATTTCAACAACACCAAGGAATTGTCTGTGCATGCAATTAGCAGCAGTCGTCCCAATCGTGAACAAACTTCGGCAAGAATTACTCTTTCCATCAATGTCAGTTTCTTGTCAACTTCCCGGCGAGCTTTTTGACCTTCCAGTAGAGCGGGCCCAGATCCTTGTACACACAATACGAGAGAAGAGAACCTCCATCTATCGCGAGGAGATAGATGTCTCCCTGCCTAGACTGGGTACCGAACGCTTCTCAGTCGACATGGCGAGAAAATATATATATAATAAGTACTGTTGCATGACCATTCGCGCTCTCTCATTGCTACATCAGTTTTACTTTTCCAGTCCTTTATAGCTCCGTTGCTTTCTTCTAGCTCAATATGCTAGAGCTACAATGGTTTGGCTTGTTGGCCGTCCTTGCTGTTGCGGAGCATGGCCTCGCAAAACCAATCACAGGAGGATTGGCGCTTGGGAATTTCAGCTCATATCCTGCTCAGTTGCTCGGCCGAGATACTGTTGATGATGACGGATTCGACCCATCTGATCTTTCGTTCATCACGAGAATGGCAGCTATTGGCGATTCCTACTCTGCTGGAATCGGCGCAGGGACTCGTCTTCAAGGAGACGGTGGTAAGTTCTTTCCCATCGTGAGCTTGCCCAGCACGCATGTGCTAATTTCTGATTGTCACCGAAAAAGACTCGGCATGCAGTCGATATGACAACGCATATCCGAATCTCATTCACAACGACGGCAGACTAGGTGATCCAGCTTCTCGAACGTTCCAGTTCAAATCATGTTCTGGGGCACTTACAGCCGATGTCATCAACAACCAGATCCCACAGATCAGCGGGAATCAGCAGGTCATTCTGCTCTCAGCCGGTACGCTTTGCCCAAGAACTTAGGACATCAACCTGCCAAGACTAAAGTTCACAATATCAGGTGGAAATGACGCCGAGCTTACAAAGATTCTCAATCAATGTGTGTTTCAATGGGCGGTACTCAATGCAAACCAAGTCAATACTGCAAAGGCGGCAAGCAAGTTGGATCCCAAATTTGCCTTGGTATCTTCAGTCGACTGGGACTCCCTTGGTGTGGGCTGTGCTGGACAGCTTGCTCGGACCCAATCAATTATAGATGGGGACGCATTTTCTGAAAGTATTGATGCGGTCATTTCTGCAGCAAAGTCAAAATTGGCGTCTGAGTAAGTGAAGCCTCGTCAAGTGCCAAATTCAAATACTAATTGACAATAGTGGGATGATCTACTATACTGGGTTTGTGAAGCGTTGCTCCTTACAAATTGAAATGGGAGATTATTAATCTTCTTTCCCAGCTACGCCAAGTTCTTTGCGGAGGATATGTCGTCTGATTGCGACAACGTCAGCTGGTCTACTTGGATCTATGTCAGTAAGATCACTCTGGGCCGTTTTGACTTGGGTACTGATGGCTTCCTAGAAACTTTACAACATGTTCCAGCCCGAGGCGAAACTCACGACGCTGAATCGGAGAGCAATGAATGCCCTCGTGGATGCCGTTAATTCGAAGATTGTAATGCATCCCGATCCCCTATCCGTAAATTTCGATTGATATGCTGATAGTCACACTGCAGTCTGGTGCGGTAGAAAGAGCAGGAAACCAGGTGCAGTTCGTCAACTACGACTCCTACGTAGGTCGCTTCAACGGCCGCTTTTGCGAGGCTGGTGTCGATGAATCTACTAAGGAAAGCAATACCCGGTATGTCTTCGTCGTCACTTTTCCTATGATAAGCTAGCTGACTTGTGATGCAGAACCGGTCTCATGTTCTACGAGCTAAACACCATGGACCCTTTTGGAAGCAACCCGTGGAAACGTACTCAAGAAGATGACCTCGAGGGCACATTCGGCGGCACTGTCAATCAATTTGCCTTGATCACGCAGCTGGTCGACCCAGATGCACAATTGTCCGACCAGTCGATGGTTGTTCAAGAAAGCTCCGCCTTGACTGCCTCGAAGGTAATGTCGATTGAAGCCGCGGTACAGGCTAGAAGTATTCCGAATCTTCTTCCGGACGGGTAAGCAACAGTTTTGTCTTCTCATATTCGACGAGATCAAACTCCAAGTTTCGAAGTACCTGACACCGATATCACACAGATATGGACGTGTTTTTCATCCTCAGCCTTTGCTGCATCGGGTTATTGCCTCGCTGGTCATTTACCATATGAGCAATCACAATGAAGTCAGCCATGGATATGAAGAAATTCCAGAGGAGATGCGCTTTGACTCTTGTCCCTACTTGTCTTCAAATGGCTCTGACTCCTCGGCAAGCGGGCGTACGTGTGATCTATACACTCCTAAAATGTAACCAAGCTGACCCGTCGTATCTTTCCAGAGCAAGTTGCGGTGGCATCTTACATCAATCCTCTCGCCGACCCGTCAGCTTGGAATCGCCTGGTCGGATACTCCCCAAAAAAGATGCCTATATTGGTTGCGAACGTTATGAACGGTCCAGACTCCGCGGTGGATTCCGACTGGACTGATGTGATCACTCGGGCAGCGGGTTCTGGCAAAACCGTTCTTGGATATGTGCGAACGGGCTACCTCGGTGTGAGCCAACAGAAGTTTGTCACTCGGCTGGGCTCTGGTGATTTGGCGGACTGGACCGCGCAGATCGAAGAGGATGTTGACATGTGGTACTCGCTGTACGGTGACAAGATTGGCGGTATCTTTTTCGATGAGGGTTGGCCTGAATGTGGTGCCAACAATGAGTATGTCAACCTCTACAAGTACATCAACGCCTACACCAAACGGGCTCACCCTGGCGCTCTCACCATTTTGAACCCTGGTTCACCCATGGCATCCTGCTACGAAGACACTATGGATACGTTACTGACGTTCGAATTGGATTACGATGCGTACAAAAACTCTTACACCCCCCAACGACTGGCCAGCCAAAGATCCACGAAAGCTCTGGCACATTGTTTACAATGTGCCCGAATCTGCCATCTCTGAGGTGATCAAGCTATCTCAGGAACGTGGGGCCGGCTTCATTCAACTCACCGATGATACTTTGCCTAACCCTTACGACAATCTGCCTTCGGATTCCTATGTGCAGAGCATGCTCGATGCCGTCGATGGCGGCTCTCTCAAAAATGCCGAGGCGGCCGGTTGGGGCTCAGGGCCAGCGGGAGGGCCGACAGGCGGACTATCAGTCATCAAGACAGACTATAGTTTAGCCAAGCTATCTTGGACCGCAGCATCGAATGCACTTGGCTATCATATCTATGCTGGAGACAATGTAGTCGCTAGCATTCCTGGCTCCATGACAAGTGTCACAATCGGAGGTCTTCAACCGGGAACAAGCACTCAATTCCACGTGCGTGCTGTCGGAGGGAACGGCGACATGGGATTCTCAACACAGAGAGTCACCGCTTCCACTTCGTCCTTGCCAAATGGCAAGACAGTCGCCAACTACCACTCCGTGCCGAAAATGGGCTCTACGAAAATCCAAGCTGACATCCTGGTGCCTTTTGCATTCATTCGTCTCTACATTTGGGATTCTGTGGGATGTGACTTCGATGTCGACCCTGGATGGAGTGTCAACTTCAAAGTCGACGAGTATGTTTGCACAAAGTACATGGTCGAGGGCACTACTCTGTATAAGTACAGTGGCGTTCTTCCAAAAGGTTCTACGGCACCACCCTGGTCTTGGTCAGTGGTAGGAGATGTGCCGCTGACAATCTCAGGCTACACTTACACTTGGGATTTGCCTATTGGCACGCAGACAATCGATACGAGCAAATTTGTTGTTCAAGCTCAAGGCTACAACCCGCTCATCGATGCCTATGAGCCCTCGCCCGAAGAGTACGATTGCAAGGGTTCGTCAATGTGCTCCACCCCAGACTTCCTCAAGTGGTGCGACCATGCTGTCAACTATCTTCAACGAAATGATCAGAAATACTACGGAACCTAGTGAGTTGCCCTGAATCTTCCCATATATTATTTTCGTTGTTCGACTCCTGTCGTCTGAAAGTGGTCTTGTCGTGGTCTTTACTAATACCCGGGCATTATGTAGTGATAGTCAATTGACCGGAAACTGCTGGGGAGACCAGACTCGAGGTTGTGGCGTCTTTATCCAAGGAAACAATTGCAGCATCAGTGGCAATGATCTGTGGAACGATTACCAGAATATTCGAAACGTTGGTGGATGCAAAAAATGTGGATCATTCCACCGACCTGATGGATGTCTGGTCACTATCAATTATGTGTATACTTGTGACAATCACGAAGGTGCTTGAGGTCGCAAATTTCAGCGGCACGCAGCTTCTATCTCTGCGAAAAATTTTCATTCGGGTTGCACATGTTTTTTTTTCGCATAACAAAGTTGAAATTTTACCAAGTGTCCGTCGTCGTGCACTAATGGAATAGTTGACTGACATCAATGGGAAAACTTCTGCCTCGTATACGCTCGTTTGCAATGTAGATATTTTCCGCTCGCGGCTGAAATCAAGCCATCCGGACATTGGTCCGTGGACAATCACTTTAAAGGCACGTGAAGAGGAAAATGAACTGGGTATTTGGTAGGGTGATAAGCTCTACCTAGTCCCTGATAGCTTTGTGGAATCCTCTCTTAGTTTTTTGTATCCTTCTGTCTTTTTTCCGGACAGAATCTGCTTGCGTATGAGTACCGAAAAAATAGCTATTAATTTCTGTTTGTATGGCATGCCGCATGTGATACTGCCGACTCACCGCAGTCCATAGCCTAAATAGAATCTCTCCCCCATAGCAATGTCGATCCTCATCCCTCTCACACATCGATACTGCTGCCCCTGCAGTAGCCGTATCCCATCACTTTCTAATCGATTTCAGTGGTTTTCTTTGGCGGCCTTATCTTTTGTAGGAGGAAGAGTAATCTCTCTATGCCTGAGAAAAGCTAGATTAATTTCCGAGACCTGATTAGAGAAAAGATATGTATTGAAGTCAAGAGCGAAGGATAATCCATAATCATGGCATGATGGCACTGTGTTAAGCAACCGTATAATGGATATAAGAAAGGTTGAGCAAGCAATATCAAAGTCGGTGGAGATCGAAACTGTAAATGCAAGGAACCATCGACTCATTTAAGGTGCACGATCTAGAGCGTTCTTTTCAATTTATGTCCATGAACGAAGGACTAGCTTTTAAGTGCCTGAAACGGCTCGAATGACCATGCATTCCGATTTCCTCACCGGGGTCGCAAAGGCCTTTCTAGTGTAGCTTATCTCTCCGCAAAGGTTAAAAAGGCCCGTCTAGTTCATTGTGGATGCAGTGCACAAGCCGAAAAGTCATTCGTCCATACAGTTTTATACTCAAGACCACCCACTTGGAGACGAAGCAAATGCCACTCATTCGCCATGCCGCTATACATGCCTCTGGACACGAAAAAAATGTCGTTGCCGAGACTGTAGCTTGATCTGTCTTTTTGCATATGCTGATCGGATTCCGTGTACTCTCTAGTGCACGTACAATTATATACTGCTAGACTACCTACCCATACAGGTGAGGAAAACCAGTCACGCTGCCTGACCTTAGGGTCCAAAAATCTCTGGTCTAGTCGCACCGAGAAAGGGAGGAAGAGGCAAATGAATATGAACAGCTCTTTCCCTTTTTTTGTGCAGGCATATGGTAATCCGTGGTTACTCATTGGAGTCACGCATACAATAGGTATTATAGGTGGCTTGCAGGGAATTCATTTAAGGGGTCGATTATCGGCATGTCCGAAGATCCGTGCGGAGATAAAGTGTTGCCAAGAGTCTTATGGTTCCGGGGGAATGTTCCAGGGAGAGCGTTGATCCCATTGTGCGACTCTGTCATTTCTTATTATCTGAACAGTGGGTAGGTTAGCCCATCCCCATTTTCACTGCGATGAGAATCCAAGTCTGTTCTAGACCACTACCTAGAACCGTGTACGTGGTCATCTAGTACCGATTCTGCTGGCTTTAGTCCAAGCTTGCAAAATAAGCTACCGCCACTGCTCTGACTCACATTAAGTGCGAGCATGATCAACTCAATTGACTGGCAAACATGCAATAGACAATAACCTAATCAGAATCGAGGACACGGAAGATGAATAAACTGGTTATTATTGAAATTCATACCATCCATGGGTTTATCAACCACTCGTCTAACAATGGAGAAAGAGCAGCGATTGCACTTACACTTGATAGGCTGAGTCCCGGGATGAAGTGCAGAACATGGGAGGCGGGCGCCTGGATGGGCCGAGGCCGCTGGAGATTGATCCCACATACAGGATGCGTTTCTCGGCCGTGGGATGATTCCCTGTGTAACCTTGGTACCGCCATCTAGCGTAGAAGGTCTAGAGATTCTCAGTACCAGAGACAGAGTTCTGATGATAGAATAGTAGCCCAAGCCACATTTGTGAGTTTGTGAAAAGTCTGGAATTGTATGACACGGGCCAATACGAGAAGATTGTTCCGAGCATTCGGAGTGGTGGGTCTTTGTGGCTGAGGCCTCGATCCACGCTAACTTGATCTATCGTCCCCACTACTTTAAATCTCACCAGTTAAGCCTGGCGGAAATGCTTTTCCGTACAGGCTTTGACCACTTAAATCGCGTCACAAAGTGTTCGAGTGGCTGGAAGTGCCGCAAAAAGTTAAGCCAAAAGTCATTGACGTCGTTGCGCTTCTGCAATCCTCCGCAGCTGCCTAACGCGGGCATCTTGGAAATTTGGTTACGCCAATTAGATCCAGAAGCTCCAAGGCCAGTCATAGACGAAGGAGAGACGACTACCGTCCGAGAATGACAGAATGGGTGGATGATTGTCGATCTGCACGGGTGCGCAGGTGACAGGACCACAAGACGATTGTGGGTTCGTCCGACAAGCTCGTAGTGAACCTTTTGACTTCGCTTTTTCTCGCATTGTGTGTTTGGTTACTTATCACTTTGTAAATTCTCAATGTTCGTTGAATCACGCTGTCTTTCTCCCTCTGACCCAGTCTCACCGTCCAGTCCAAACCTTCCGGTGGAGCAAACAGGCCGGCCTCAAGTGCGCATTGAGCACTCGCCACCGCTTGTCGAATCACACACCCCGAAGCCTCTATAACACTTGCTTGTCCTGTCCAGAATTCCCGTTGCTCAAGCCTGATACCTTTGCTCCTCTGCTCTCTGTATACAGTATACACGCCATCCTCATCCTGGATCCTGGTGCTTCGCGACCTTCGATGGACTCGGCGAGATCCCGGTCCATCGTCATTCAGCATGCGGATTGCCTTGATTGTCTCCATCTTTCTTGTCCTGGCGATCATTTTTGTGACCGCTCGACTATGGACTAGATTCAAAATTCTCAAGGCGCCTGGGTATGACGACTTGATGATTATCCTAGCACTGGTAAGTTCCTCGCAGTCAGAGACAGCATTGTGAAGGCGGAATCTACGGCTGCCTTCTGCAATGGGCTCTCTCTAAGGAGCGCTCCACTGTTGACAAACTTTCTAATGGTGTGTCACGATCAGATATGCGCAATTTCGCTCTCTGCGATGGTCTTTGTCGGTAAGGCCTCTTGTTGTACTCGAGCGTCTCCCGATGTACTGGTCGTGCTAACTGTATCATCATAGAGCTGCGCTACGGACTCGGGAAACCAGGAGAGACACTTTCCAAAAGCAGCTTTCAGGAACATCTTTTCGTATGTGTATACCCCAACCTTTACTGCAACCTGGTCTTCCTGCACAGACACTGTTTCTAATTTCTTTCTCATTGGCTCCAGTTCCTATGGCTTGCTATTCCTCTTTATAATACTGCGCTCATCCTAGCCAAATTGTCTGCTTTGATCTTTCTTCTGCGCATCTTCCGAGCACGAAGATTTGTGATCTTCACATATGGCTTCATGGCCGTTCTCACTGCTGCGGGGCTATGGATACTATTCAGCTCAATTTTCTTCTGTCGACCTATACACAAGTTCTGGGACGTGTCGTATCCCAGTGATAAGGGTTACTGTCTACCAAGGCAGCCGACCTGGTATTTCAACGCAGGATTTCAGATCGCTTCAGATATGATCATCTTGGTCATGCCGATGCCTATGCTATGGAAGCTTCATTTGCCCTGGCGGCAGAAAGCGGGTATTATCGCTGTCTTTGGCACGGGCATTGTGTAAGCATCTTGTTTGTTTTCTTGTTTTCAGCAGTACAATATGTTGGCTAATTCCTACGTCTTGTTTCAGTGTGATTGCCATCAGTATAGCCAGGACGCTTGAGCTCAGACTACTCTTCCTTTGGGATTTCAGCAGTATGTTTTGATCTAGCCTCTTTCGAATGCTTTGGCCGTGAGACACATCTTTGAGTTAACATTTCCTACCAGAAAACAACGGCAAAGCAGCCACATGGTCGTCTCTGGAAGCCGACGTGTCCATCATTTGCGCTTGCATGGCACCGATGCACCCCTTACTATCCCGCGTCTTCTCCTGGTGCTTCCGCCCACAGCCACTTCACTCATCCCCCGCGACAAAAACCCGATCTGTCTCTGGAACGACTGCCCATCTTACATCCTCACGGAAGCATTCTATCTATGACCCGAACTGTCCGGATGGGGGTATGCAGTATCAGGATTACTTCCTTTGCGGCCCCGGCTCCTACACCGCAAGCGTGTCCAAAATTGACACGAATGAGGACGCCCTCGGCCACCCTGGCGGTTCAGATGGAGATGGCATCCGGGTTGTCAGAGAATTGAGAATGGTCTCGGATGTGGCTCCTACTCCACCAATCTTGACTCCTGGATGGGATCAAAGTCGGGATATTGAGATGGAGGCCGGCTTCCATTTCATGTCGCGAGCTACGCAAGCTACGCAGTCCGCGGACGGCATCAATCATCATGACTTTCAATACGAGTGCGACTTGGGAGATTTTGAGTTTCCTGATTATAAAGAGCGGATGAATGCCCCTGTATGAATAGATCACGTAAACAAATGATGACTTGATATCAGAAGCGACCAGTCATCGTCCATGCCAAGTCTTTGTGAATAATGACTTTATTTGATGTTGGGCTACCGGTTACATTCTCGATGTTCTTCAGTAAATCTTCATCTTATATCGATCAAGGCTTGTTGCAGCCTCACTTGATCCTTAATCCCTCTTCTGCGATTCCTCCCCGAACACCCACCGACTCAGTGCTTGCGGCAGACATTCTTACGCACGACTCCCCTAGTACGGGCAACAAGATGAGCGCAATCTAATGCTTGTTCATTTACTCTCGCTACCCGAGTTTCCCTAGATTCCGTAGGCTCGGTGAACACGAGCAACTGGCGTCCTGGCCGTGCGGTCACGACCCTCAACCGGCCATTACGACAGAAGCTACAACAGCGCCGACGACCAGTCCAACTTTGCTCGAAACTTTCATCGTGGGATCAATCACTTCGGAAAGAGTCTTGCCCATCGTCGTGTCATTCGACGACTGGAAAAGTGTGGATGTTCGACATCGTGGAAACAGTGCTGAAGTTACAACTTACTCGAATGGGGAGGAGAGGAAGAAGAAACCAGCACATGAGCTTGGATTTACACCCATTACTTGATACCAACCCCAGCGTCGGGTTCAAGATGTTCTCTGGCAGCAGTTGGATTGCAATTTAGACTATCATTCAAACTCTTGTCTTTGCAGATGTTAATATGTGGCGACATCAACCCATCACAGATTTGGCCGCGCACTATTCTCCCAGCGCATGGCCTGTTCTATAACCTTGGCCACTGACACACATTTCTCCTCGCCGAATCGACCGCCGACCACTTGTATTCCAACGGGCATTCCATCGATCAAGTTGATATCATCTGTAAGTTGAGGAGACATAAGTATTGTACAAGCTTTCTGGTGCCGTGGCAAACTTACACTGCTCTTTGTTGAATTTGTCCCCAGCATTTCGTGGGACATGATCCAGCCATTCTTGATCCGGTAGATCCTTGTCCTTCGATACGACAGTCGCAGGCACAGCCAGGGCAGCATAGCCCAGTAGATTCCAGATACTGGTATATCCAACATATGCGTTGGATTTGACCCAAGTCCACGGCTCATAACCAACCCATGGGGTGTTGGGCATGATTAAAGCATCGATCTTGGAAGTTGTCCACCGGTCGAGATATTTGCTTTCATAGAGATATTTGTCTGCGTGAAGCTGTTGGCAGAAAGATTTGATTTGCGTTAGCGGTGCTAGATCTCCTATAGAGAATTTGCGAGGAGATGTTCAGGGAAGGGTACCTGGTGAGTCTCGGACGTAGTGAGAATATCTTTCTCGGTGCCTACGAGCATTCCTTCAATCAACGGTTCCCCCGTCATCTCAATCTTTTTGCGGCAACCTTCGCCGCCATCGGAAAGGATCGCTTTCTCCCATAACTGATATGCATACGCATGCGACGAAGGATCCCATTCGAACACTTAACGCCGCTGAGTGAGAAAAGGGTGCTCCCAAAGAAGACTGAATTTCAAGAAGCGAGTTCATACCTTCATGGCCCGCATTTCTGAGTGCATTCACCGTCTCTCGCACTGCTCGATCAATCGGCGGTTGCACTTTGACCACGCCATCGTCCACCAAGAATCCAATCCGCAATCGCTTGGTAGGAAGCGCTGCTAGACTTCGTCGCCACGGTACAGGCGCAACATGCTGGTCGATTTCCCAGGGCAAAGCAGACGGTAAAGCCTCCATGTACCGTTCGATACTTGCTAAACTGCAACTCATAGGGCCTGCGACTGAGCGAATTATATCCTGTCCCGGACTTTTTGCATCGAGTCAGACCAAATGTGCGAAGGTCCCCTAAGAAGAGTCTTCTTGAGCCCTACAAATGAGAACCAGCGCATCACTTACTTTCCACGTTCATATGGGTGTCTTCCCGGACTTGGTGACAAGCCGTATATCCCGCATAAACTTGCAGGGATTCGAATCGAACCACCCAGATCTGTTCCAATGCCCAGTGCGCTACCTCTAGCGGCCACCAGTGTCGATTCTCCGCCAGAGCTACCTCCGGAGATCAACCTTCGATTCAGTGGATGAACACATTGCCCAAATACATGATTATACGAGTCGGACATCATCATCGACTGTGGGAGGTTTGTCTTGACGTACAAGACCGCGCCCAGGCGACGTAACGTTTGTGCTACAGCTTTGTCGGCCGGAGCTGGATTATTAGTCAAACCGACCCATCCTGGACAAGAGAAGCGAGTCAGCCTTGAAGCTTGCAAAGGTTCCGTCAGATGGTGGCTTTGGAGGGCCCACCTATGGATGTGTCTACCCCCTTCACGGAGAACAGATCCTTGATAGAGACGGGTAATCCATGTAGTGGACCAATCGGTGTTCCAGTTCGCGCGAGATATTCGTCCAATTGCTTCGCCGTCGCAAATGCCTCTTCAAAGAGGATCTCTGTGCAGCAGGTCGTAAGTTGATGTGCCAATGCAGCGCGCTTGGCGAAGGCTCTGGTCAGCTCCAACGACGATATTTCCGCAGAGGACAGTTTGCACAGAAGTGCCGTGATATTTGTTTCCTCGGTCAATGCGAGCTCGCGTGGTGTTAGTTCCACCCGTATGATTGTGAGTGCGTTGGGTTTCGAGTCTGGTGAAGGGATTGCAGATAATCGCCATTCGATCGGAATGAGAGCAAGTTGGCTGGCACGCTTTTCAGCGGCTCGCTCCAGATAGGAAGATGGGCTCGTAGACGCGGGTGTCGTTGTCGTCATTATTGACTATTGAATCTCGTCCCCACTGACGATTCGGTGAAGTTCCTGAAGGCTCAAGATGCCTGAACTTAGATTGTTTGTACAGGTTGGGGGTGCATATATACTTGTATGATCAGGACTCTTTCGGTGCTTGGGAATCCAAGGTTCACTTTATGCCCCTCTCCGTTGATAAGAAATGCGGAGACTGCGGGGAAATGGGAGAGACTCCTGTCCGTACTTGCCCGAATCGGTAGATCAACACTCAATGAAGCCGAGCCTTATCGTGTAATCCGGCACACTGTGTTTCTGGTGATTTCGACGCTACAACTACGATGCGAGATATGGAAGTGATGCGGACTTGATCAAGAGCCAGACTTTCGGCCAGTGAACAAGCTCATCGGCTCAACCTGCTTTGTAGTTCCTCAGCCTGACTTATCATCAGCACATCAATTGTGATCGGTTTCATCGCAATAGAAAGGGAGCTAGCTATTGCTGATCATGTTGGATGGGTTCTACCACGACGGCCGGTAACATCGGTCAGGAATGAAAGTACAGTATAGGTAGCACTTGGTAGGCTCACATGGTCGAAGTGTAGAGGCCAGGGTCCCGTACCTAGTAGTTACAAGATGCTAGTGTCTTTACTTTAACACATTAGGTACTCCGTGTAGCGGCGGTCCCCAGGAGCATGAGTCTGGCAGGTTTAAGGTAGTAGGCTACATTGGTAGTGATCTTATGGGTCCTTTTGGAAGGAAATATACTTGCACATTGTTACGAGAGGCTTCACGAAGGTGGTAGATTGAATTCGTTTTCAAATGCTTCGTCCACCGCTGGATATGATCAGAGGTAAGTTGGCAGTGTTTCCTTGCCAATGTGAATCCGGAAGGTATATCTGTCTCAACCGAGGCTTTTCCAAAACACATCTAACACACTCCAAGGTGCGGATTCAGCTCGGCCGTGGTATTGACGCAAATTGCTGTGGGATTAGCCAGACTCTGTGGAATGACTTGAATGTTCTTCAACTTAAAGTCCTTGCAAGAACTTGCCGTATTGCACTGGATGATGACCGACTCCGTATGGTTCAGATGCGGTAGTCCAGCATCGTACCAGCAAGGATCTGAAGTGCAAGATCCGTCACCTGGGTGGTAAGTGTTGAGTGAGCCCGTGAAGTCCTCCCAAGTGAAGTTTTCCATCACAACCGATGCATTGTTCACGCGAGGCGCCTTGGTCGAGCCTTGATCGAAGTAGCTTTGAGTGACAAAGATGGGGAAGGTCACGTTGTAGACTCGGATGTTCTTCCAGCTGACATTCTTGACCAGACCTTGTCCACCGATCCAGGACTTGAAGCGAGCAGCATAGATGGCGTTGATCACCGTCACGTCCTCGAAGTGAATGTCCGACACGTTGTTGAAAGAATTGGGATTTGATCCTAACGAGCCAATGCTCATTCCGTGACTCTGGAAGCCGATCGTGTTGTGCTTGAAGACCACATTGTGGGATCCGTCTGATACCGCGATTGCATCATCACCATTGTAAAAGATACTGTCGGTGACTCGGACATTGGTCGCAGAGACATCAAATCCGTCGGTGTTGAATGGGAAGGATTCGTTGTCGGACTCTGCGTCGATAAACGCATGACTGATATCGATGTTATCGCCCTTCAACTTGACATTCCACGCGATCGGCTTTCGAGACTTGAAGTACTTCATTGATCCATCAGTGGTCTGGAAATTCATCAAATGAGGCCGAGAATCGATTCCTGTTCCATTCGCTGGGTTTGCATCCCACCACGCCTGGCCGTAGGAGTAGATCCAACCACTGTTGATGTCTTCTGATCCGACATAGTCGATCTGAGGTCCCGAGAATGTGAACCAAGTATGTCCATCTGTATTTGGAACACGATCCGTGCCGTTGACGATGCGCTGGATCTGAGCAATACTCTGCGGCAGGTGGAGGTTGCCCTTGACCTGTATTTCGACATTGCTCAAGTTGGTGGCACTGATCGGTTTGAAGATATTGTAGTCCACACCCTCCTCGAAGATAATCACCGAATCATGAGCACATTGAGCGAAGATGCTACTGACTGTTTCGGAGTCGTCAGCCGTCTGGTCTCCACTGCATGGAATCACACAGCGATGGGGTCTCTTTGGAGACCCAAAAGTGAGCCCGAAAAGGAGGGCGAACACAGGCACGTGCGAGAGAAGCATGATGAGCGTCGCTTGGTAAAATGTAGCTCGTGGATGGCTTCATGACTGCGTCCTTTACCGCCTTTAATAATTTCGATGAAAGCATACGTCAATTCCCCGGAATTTCCAAAAGTGGCCAAGATCGTCAGGACGTGGCACCCAAGTCATGGTCCATTCTCGCTGTCCTGCGGGGAAATCCCCACAGTAGAACTAGAGTGGACATGTGGATGGATTTATTGCTCCGTGAATGCGGTGTTGGGCCTTTATTGGTGGAAGTACAATTATCCGGGTGTCTGTATAAGATTCAATAAAGCAAGAGTCGGGGTTGACATTACTCCCATTGAGTAAGAACAAGAAAGAGGTATCCAATATCTCCGAGGGTTTTCTTTCTAAACATTAGACGTTGTGTTGCACGGTTGTTAGGCAGATCACAATTCGTGCTTTATCATACATCCAGTATCGGAGCTAAAGTGACCCTGGAATCTATAACGCACCGAGTCCATGTATTGGTTATAGGGGTAATGATAACTTTACATCTTGCAGAGCCAGTCCGTAGAGCTTGGGAGTCAAAGCAGCATAACTGGATAAAATATCCCCCATTCCACCATTTGGCTACCCGCGTCGCCACCGCGCTCGTCTCCCATAGGCGCCAGGTCCAGATGTGGAGGAGTTGCCGGCGGGTATTCGGGAGAAGTGGAAAATGGGGATCAAGTGAGGACCCCTTCCTCGGACAAGAATGAAATAAGGCCAAGAAGTAATTTTCACAAGACTCGATCGATATAAGACGGACATGTACTGAAGAAGATTGATCATATGAATAGTTACTCAAACTAATGTTGCCTTCGTTTTAAAATAGGGTATGACTGTGAGCCTTTTATGAGGGCTGTTCGTAATAGTCCAACCTGATATAACCACAGACGCGTATGTGGTAGCTCTGACATTGTATGGTATGGCACCCAGTGCTACCTATCAAATTACCCAGAGGTCTTCGAAGGCCTCATGATAAAACTTATACAGCTGTACGCGACCAAGATGTTTGATTACATCACGGAGACAGAACACGGGGACATAATTCTCGTGCTGGTGGTCATGGTGGAAAATTCTTGCGATGGGCTTGAATAGATCCGAGAAAAGGAAGAGAAGACCCCAGATATGACGAGGGTCATGGACCAAGAAAGAAAAAAGTTCCATTTTCTCTTCCGAAGGAACAGAAGATATTGATCAAGTCAAACATGACTAAGTAGATGATAGCTCGCGAATACACGGACGGAGCTCATAAAGACACAGTGTAAGTTCTTTTCTCAGGTCTCAATTATTTAAAAAGAAGTATCGTCGATCAAGACGCGATCATCGATAGTCCATGCTTGAATAATTCGTCCTTCGTCCACGACCATTCAGAACGCGGGGAATGGCGTAGTCGGGACTGCCACCTGTGAATGTTGCTTGGAATGGACCTCTTTCGAGGAAAAAGCCTCGTTAGGTCGGAGTGACGGATTAGAGACGTTGAACTTATAAGCTTTTGGACTCTTGGGAGAATGAAATCAGAGCAGATTCAGCTAGAAGGCTCAGAGAGGAAAGGCCTGTATTTTTGGTGTTAATGACAAACAGCTTTGTTAATGACAAACAGCTTTCTTAACCGACGCTGAGATCAGAATATGTTAGAAAGTAGTGGAACTCATATCTAGATTCTGGAGTAAGACTCGCTTACGTTGGCTTCGAAACCCCCAATTGACGAACTAAGTATAGTGTCGCAGTAAGGCTGTTCTAGAAATGAACGGTCACTGTGGGTGAGTAGGGATTGGCGGTGTCTTGGCGACTCTTATCTATTCTCTGCGTACCTAATTGGACATCGCATCTGAGAAACGAATTTGGGATTTGGGTCGGGAAAAACGTACTATACCCGGTGTTCTACTGTTGTGGCACTCAAACCGATAGGGCCGTTCGGATTGCTTGTACATGTTTTGATATAGCTAATCGAGAGGCTTAAATGAAGGAACGGTTCTCAAAGTTTCAAGATGAAGCCTTAGCTGATAGTCTGCCCAAGGTACCTGGGTGGTGAATATTCAGATTTGTGCCAAAAGTGTGGATTCCTTAATCTTTAGTTAGCATGTCATCAGCGCAATTTATCCTGCACTTTGAGCTGGATTTACCACAAGTGGAGGTCATCGTAATGTGTTGTAGAGACGCTTTGAAGATCGGGCTTGATAGATGTGCTTAGCTAATACTGTGTGCTCCAGCTGGTCAGAGGGAGTTCCCCGCAAATTGTGGAGCGGTGACTGCAGCTTCGATAAGAAGCTGAGCTCGGAAAGGCCGGGCTCTTATCGTCGATGACGCGAGGGACGTACAGGGGCTATGGCAATGCAGGCTTATCGGCTAATCGCATACAGTGAGATTTCTACTTAGTGACATGTAAGTTAGGTACTGAACGTACTGGTAGGCGGTAGCACCGAGCAATCCATCTGCCTGCTCTCCGGACATCCAAGCCTTGCGTAACCGAGCCAAGCAATTCAAGTTTCTGCCCATCGCCTGCGTATCGTCACTCAGCTTGTCTCGCGCAACATTTACACTCATCGCCCCTACTTGACTTCGTTTGAATACTTCAATTTTCACCAAACACCGGACACCAAATTACTCTACAAAAGGTCCGGGCGTCTCAACATCCACGGGAAAACAACAACAACAACAACCAAGAGACACTTCATCCTCCCACAAGACGAACCAACGATCCCAAAATGTCCGGAAGCACCCTACAAGACCCCACAAACTCCACCCGATCAACCCCCAACATCGACGTCCACGACGCCGTCCTCCAAATCGGCAGCTCGGCGCTCGTCGCCGCCCCATCCACGCGTGTCTGGGCCGCCCTCCTCGACACATCCACCTGGCCGGAATGGAACACGTTCGTCCCACGCGTGACGATCCGATCTCAAACCGGGACTACACAGGCCGACACAACCGAGCCCGACTCTGCTCCTGGCACTGAGACCCCAGCTGCGTCTACAGCTCCAACTCCGTCTCTCTCCCCGCGTCTCTGCAAAGGCACGCGCATGACATTCCACGTCCGCATGGACCCGACGTCCACCAAGCCCCAGGCCGCGCGCGACACCCACCTCGTGGTAACGGAGTGCGTGGCGCCAGATCCTGCCACGAGATCGCCCGGGCGAATTGTCTGGGTCTCAGATACTGATGCACCGGGTGGATTTGCGCCGTCCTTGTTGACGGCCGAGCGGGTGCATGAGGTTGTGGATGTGGGAGGGGGTGAGGCGGCGGAGGTGCGGAATTGGGAGTTGCAGAGGGGGTATTTGGTGTATGTGGTGAAGTGGGTGTTTGGGGCGAGGTTGAGGAGGAATTTCGAGCTTTGGGTGAGTGATTTGAGGGCCTTTGTTGAGAAGGGAAGCGGGAGTGGGAGTGGAAATGGTGATGGTAATGGGGAGAGGGGGCGGAGCCCTCGGGAGTGAATGTGGTTGCTTAGTGTGAAGTTGATTGAGGGTATATCTACTCTGCTGGAAGCGTGACAAAGCTGCGTGATGAGGTAAAGCTTTGCCGAGCTCCATGGTGGGTGAGAGTCTGGTGGTATAGGCATAGGCATATCTACGGCCTCCACTGGTCTCAGTGAATCGATGCCTATCCAACCTACGATATCTTAACGGCGAACATGGTCATGTGTGTAAAAGGGGGTATGCCCCTCCCGTCCAGAGGTAGCTAGTGGGAGAGCTGCACTCAGTGACTCTGGGTAGATCGGTTAAAGCATCGGAAGAATGAGTGATGATCAATCACCAACCATTCCATCTTCAACATTGAGCGTCGACTTTGGGATAGGCGTGACCCGGATGGCGTCGAATCCTGAAATAGTTGACAGCTACCTTCATCTATACATGTAGTACGGCACATGACACTAGACCCGACGAGATGCGAGCGAAGTGAATCTGTATTTTGTATGTGAATGCAGAATAAATAAAACATTATATATGTTCAACGCGAGGAAAGTCTGCTCTCGAGACTCCATCCAAATTTCTGGGTATCTTCAGTATATGCCGTGCCTATGGACAGAGTAGCCAGGCGAAAAAGATAAAAAATAAAAAATAAAACAAATGCTCCAAACATGCAAATAAGAAACGTGAAATAGAAGAGAATGGTACAATGGTGGTTGCAAATGACGCAGAAAAAAATAGATGACCATCTGTGCCCAACATCAGATGCGACATGAGAATGGAAAAGAATGATAGGTGGAACGAGAGCAAGAATGAGGAGTAGAATGATAGAGGATATGATCGTGGGGGAGGAAGAAGACAGAGAACGATCACGTGGGCTAGATGCAAAGGATAGTCAGAACAAGGCGCCGATCCTCACCAGACCGCTCGTCAGGGACGCATCCAGCTCGAAAGACTTGTTCAGGCAATGTCCGGACATTGACGTCGAGCTAAATATAACTCAACACGAAGCCAATGCCACCCAGTCACCTGTGAGAATCCGTTGCGTGGGATCCTTAACCACAGCCGGCTGAATCAGCTTCTCAACGAACCCATAGCGCGGAATGCGACACCCGTTTGACCCGGCACGCGTAAAGTCCAAGATGCGGTGGCCGTCCTTGGCCATTGCCAGACGTTGAAAGTTGTTGGACCCAGGGTAGAGAAGCAGGTCACCCGTTGCGGCGGCAATCAGAGTTGCAGCAAGAGAAAAGACATCGGATGACGGCAACGGGGCAATCTCGCCAGACCGAAGGGATGCTAGCGAGAGTAGTTCGGGTGCGGTAAATGGCGGGGTGAAAGCTGACAGGGCAGTTTGGTTGACGTTGGAAGTGGAGCTCGAGTCGGACGGTATTTCATACGCCGAGGAAAAGTCCGCCAGGAGAGGTTCGAAGGGAAAGGCATCGGGAGTGTCTGTTACCGTAGGACGAAGAAGCACGTTGTGAGGCTTGATATCGCCGTGGACTAAGCCGGCCGTGTCGTGCAGCCATGCCAGACACGTAATTAATTTGCGCGCCATGTCCCGCCAGGAATCGGGTCCCTGGACCGGCTCAAACATGGTTGCCGTCGAAGGGTTGTGTTTGCGTGCATCGGCTTTATCTTCAATGAATGTGGACAAGGCGAGTGGAATGGCAGACATCACCAGCGCGTCGTATTCAGGGAGGAATCCGTGAAAGGGAACCATATAATTCTCGCATCCGGGGGTCAAACTCAGGCGAGTCATCGTCAGAGCCTCGCTTTGAAGGACCTTGTGCGCATCGCGGCGCAACGGCGCTTTCACAGCTAAGATGCGGCCCGTTGAGGCCGGTGAACTCGGCGGCGTATGCAAGGACCCCGTCGATTGTTTCGGTACGGATCGTGCCCTGTATACGATACTCCATGCGCCACGGCCAAATTCAAACGGGCGTCTGCTTTCATCATGGCAGATGTCAATTTCGTCAGGGAAGATTAGTGGCACACCGACATGTCTCGTCGTTTGCGCGGATGATTGTGTAGAAGAAGATGGATCCTCTGTAGTAGGGCTGGGGGTCAAGAGCTCAGCATGGAGGACGCCCTTGCCGATGGGTGTGACCGGTGGCGTCAAGGCTGAGGCCGATGTTGGCGAATGTGGAGGACTGCGCTTGTCGTGTAATCCTGTCCTCACCGTGAGACGCACGGGGGAATCGCAGGGCGCCATTTTCAAATGGAAGTCGGCTTTTGACCTTCTTTGAATAGTTCACTCCAGCGCGTATTGTTTTTTTTTTTTTTTGGTCAAAGTAAGAGCAGTGCTGTAGCCGGTCGAAACGGCTATCAAATTATCGAGCCGAGAGAATTAGAATAAAAAAAAATTAATAGTCGACCACCGATAGGTGCTTGGATTCCACGGTGTTTAAGCTGCAATTGATGACAAAGAGCAAATTGCGCGGTACGATGTATTGAAACCACGTTATTTTGAGAGGGAGATGATCCAGTCGGTTTAGATCAAAGTAGTTCGTGTGTCTCTGGATATTCACGTCGACTGATGGTCGATCGTCTCGCTGCACGGCGGGGAGGGGGGCTGCTGCTGTCAAGTATATCACCGATTTTCAGGATGATGACGTCCGTGGGCGGCAAAGAGGCGATTGCGCGAAAGATTGGTACCGCAGCAGTGGCTCCGACTCAACCGGGTCGATCTGACAGGTAAAAAAAAAGAAAGAAAGAGAGAGAGAAAGACGAGCGCTTTTATTTGAGCATGTTTTGTGACTGTTTGATTGTTGGCAGCTCAAAGAGGTCTCGAGAAAGATGCACACAGAGCGCAGAGACGGTATGCGCCGGATCGGATTACCGGGCGAAGAGGAAGGTCAATGGAAGTGGCAGCGCGTACTCATGACTCGAATTTCTGGAAGACTGCGAAACGGACAGAATCAGTCGAGTGGAAGAAGCTTGACCACGAGAGCGACCAAAGATAGGGCGTGGTGTTTTGCCTGGATGGATTCCGTCGGCTTATGGCTGTTGGGACCCCAGGAACGCGAACTCGAGTGCGCGCGATCAAAAAAAAAAAAAGCAATGAAAATCTGAGGATGACCAGTCGCCGGGATCGTGGACAAGAAAAGGATGAATGGGCGAGACCAAATGGGAAAAAATCTCGACAAACTGCAGTTGTCTGAACCTCGGACGAAAACAGCACTTTGCAACGTTCTTCTTTTTTTTATGATTATTATGAGTTTAATTACACATATTATGGTTATGATTATCATGATTATGATTATCACGATTATGATTAAAATTTCAGTTTTTCTTGTATTGACTTTGCAAGGACCAAGAACCGACGGCCTTTGAGCCAGTGGCAGATCCAACGAAATAACCATTTCCTCCATCCTTCGTTGGGGGCAATTGGGGGCCAGGCTTGTGTCGACTTCCAGTCCCAAACTCTCACTTTAGGATCACTCCAACAGGAAGAAGTTAGTGGTAAGACTAAGTATTTAGTAGTAGAGTACTCACTTAGTTACTACTACTACTACTACTACTACTGCTGCTGCTACTGAGACTGCTGAGGGTCGACAAAGGTCACGACGGTTTGGACAGAGCCTCTGGACGTCTGAAAAAAGACGATCCCCACAGAGGTCCACCTGGACATGGACAGCACGGGCGGATCCTCGAGCGTGGGCTCTGGACTCGCATGGACGGCCATTCTCGACGCTTGGACGGGTTGACAACGCAAAAGACACCGGGATAGGGAAGAGGGAAGAGGGAAGACGGCCCTTTGAACACGAGTTTTCCGGATCAAGTGTGCGGAGAGGATCAGAAGGAACACAAAAACACAATAAGACCGCCATCGTCGTGTGATTCTCATCTCGTTTGTGAATCAGATCCCTGTCTTGTTGAGACATCAGACAGCACGCCTTGTTCCGTTCCCCGAGTGCCCACTGGCCATATCCATATTCACACGTTGCTCGTCAGGTCGGTTCGTCCCTGATGAGTGGACACGCGGATCGACAGGTAATCTCCTCTGCGTCTGCGCAGAGGGGTGATGACCTCGCTTGTTCGTGCAGTTGCCTCGGTCGCGTAACAGTCGAGATGCAGGTGGGCTCCTCGTCCCTGGTCACCTCCATGGGACGTGCGGATGTGACGGTAGTACTCGACCAGTCCGGTGGTCGGAAACCTCAGGCTCCAGGGGAGGGCTGGGATATCCGCATTGGGCGAGGACAGGGGATCGGTTCCGTGGGTTCCTCTGGTCATCTCCACGGCCGACACCCGACACGGAGTCCAGATGGGGCGATGGAGCGACTTGTGCAATTTCCGGAAAGACGCTAGAACCATGAGCAGTCGGGTTCCAGACTTTGCGCGATTCCCGAATCCTATGACCCAATACCCAATACCCAATACCCAATACCCAATACCCAATACCCAATACCGCAATACCCATAACTACCGAGGCCGTACAGACTGCACTTGCACTCTGTGTATCAGCGGTGGCCCTGTGTGACTAAGACGCTAATCGACCTGGAGTCCATAGTCCATACCATGGCGATTGAGCACGCTTCTGCAAAAGTCTTCACCCAACCCTTCCCAGTTCCCACGAGGCAGGGAACCAGACCAAACCGCCAGGACCACCAGAACCCCGTGGTCGGGTCGCCCCGAAACTGGAGTCCGTCGCCCCAAGTTGACGGTCGGATTGGTCCCGAGCAGGGCAAGGTTGCGAACAAACCTGGTTATCGACCTAATCTGGGACCTATCAAGTCTGATCGCCGACCCGAGTTGTTTTCTTCCCTGGAGACCCTAGGGATCCAGGTCTAGAGGCTTCCTATCGCTCGACCTTCTCACCCCAGTGTAGTAGTAGTCAGCCCTGACGTGTGCTGGGCTTTTGCTGCTCTCTCGTCACAACTCGGAGTGACCACGTCTGCTTGACCGAGCCCCGTTTGCGGCCGGGTAAATGCATGGACCCGGGACTCGCGGGCTGCATCCAGAGAGTCAAGCATTGCAATCCAGTGCTTGCTCGTACCGCGCGCCGTGCTCGATGCTCTTCTTCCCATCTGACGATCTGCCGGTTGTCAGCCACGAGGTTTCGTCGGACCGTATCTCCAACAGGTACTGGATGAGGTCCTGCGATGGATTTGCATAGATCAGTCATTGTACAATGTGCATACTTGGACTACCGATGTACTCGGTAGTCTACTACATCGGTAGTCATCCTGGTGGATCTCATTCATCAAGACTCTTCAAACATCCCAACATCCTTTCCCTTCGATATCCACAATTGCCAAGGAGTTGATAGACCGTGACACCATGTCTTCATGGACACACTCACAGACCCTCCTGCCGGCAAGGATCGTTTTTGCTACTATCATGGAGGACCCCCGACCACCTTCGGTATTGCACGGTGGAGTCCTCCGTATGCACCCCAAACGCCCATCGACGGAATCTCCCAGCCACACGGTTCCAAACCAACAATCTTATCCTCACCCCCCAAATGTGGTCTTATATACCGTAGTGACCTCTTAGGCGCCTACTCCCGGTAACTCACCGGCTCCCGGGGGCTGGGAGGATCCTTCCTAGCAGGAATTCAAGAGCAATGCGGTCATCCAGGATGTATGTCGAGGATCCTCTTGGCTACCAGCACATGTCACATACACACCTCAATACCTGGGACCTGCAGACGGCGCTAGCAGAACAGCCGCATATTTTTTTTTCTGCGGTACAATGGAGTCATGGGTGGAGTCCCTGTCTCCGTAGGGGCCCGCGGACTGGAAGTGTGTCATATTTAAAACATAGCAACTTAGACAAACTACAATAGGTAGTAAGTTAGTAACCACCTAGACAGTAGACACTAGATACTAGACACTAGACACGGTCCCGTCCCGCTTGACTGCCGAAAAATTCCGTGGCTGTCGTGGTGGAAGGGGGGTTGCCATTTGCAGTAGTGCCGGTGGACAGTGACCCTCACACGAGTGTATGGCTGGAAGCGTGCAGGATGTTCTAAAAGTTGGAAACCCTCATTTCATGTCTCTCCAGTGGAAATAAGATTGTACTCGGAAAAACGGTCACAAGTCTAGCAGATTCACCCTGCAGAGTCCTATCTTCCTAGTGTACCTTAGCCTGTGGAGTAACACCAAAAGTAATGTCAACAAGCAGGACAACCTGCCACAAGCACACAAAACTTCCATCTCATCCAAAGCTGCCATCAGGAGATGATTTTCCAAGGTTCCCATTTTCCAGTTTGACAAAGTCATGTGTACCACTGGGCGGGTGATTTTAGATTTTAAATTTTAGATTTTCTTTTTTCCATTTTGGGGGGCTTTTGTCTTTCTGCTCTCGCCTTTTTCCCTGCAGGATGCGCCGGGTCCATCCGCGCGACCAATTGTTTGGCCCCGTGCCTTCTCCGCTGGCTCGGAGGCAGCGTGGCGGAGCTGGATGGGATCGACGCCGTTAGCGAGGGACAGTCCATCGACTCAATCGGGTGTCGCTTTTCTGCATGACGGAGACCATCGCGGTGGTCATGCAAAATGGTAGTGCTTTCCAGTGAGACAACATGATGAAGTCATTGGACTCATCACGACAAGAGCAAAGAGGAATTAGGGCTAAATTATCCAGAGATGCACTTTTGCAGTAGTAGTACGGACCCTACTGAGTACCGAGTACTGACTACTGAGTTATCAGTCTTGAGTTTTGACTCTTTACCTACTCTCCACGAGTCTGCATTCTCCACGAGTCTAATAGACCTCCGTGCCTCGACGGGGGTACTTCAGGCTATCTACTGCAGTTGTACGCTTTCTGGCTAGTCCCTCTGGCTTCCTCAGTCTTTCTGGATGTTCTTTCTGCATTATTATAGCATGAAGAGGTGTGTCGAAGGCGAGCACTCGGAAGGATGCAATGGAGTTGGGGGGGGCTCTGCACGAGCTGACAATGAAAGAGTGGATCAATTAGCATAGTATTATACATATATGAAGGGGGAAAAAAGAGGGTGGAAAGAAGCTGCTCGTTCGAGTTGTACAGAGCTTGGGCGTAAAAATGTCCCTGATCACCCACGTCTCGGCAGCCAAGAAAATGAGCAGTTCATATACACCACTGTACATAATACAGACTACAGTATCCCTGTTCGGAAACAGACGCAATGTGCAGCCATTCCCTCCATTCCCCGTCCGGGTAAGCATGATCAATACCTAGTGCATGCGCTTGGGCACCACCATGAGATTACGCCCTGCTCGGAAGGAGGTCAACGTGCCTCCGATCATGCGGCTAAACTGGGTGGGCGTCACGGTAGGCGCCTGCTTTTGATATTCGAGAAGAATATCCCACATCACCGCCCCAGGGATGCAACGAAGACGGATATCGGTAAAGTCGTAGTCGAGGTTTGGTTGGAAATAGGTCTCGGGGTCTTGATCTTGGTCCCGACGGGAGTCGGGCAGAGCTACGGGACCGGAACCCGCTCGGAGTCTTTTCCTGGCATATCGTGCCAGCGACGGTATCGCCTCGACGATGTCGTTGGTGGGTCGATCCACGAACAAAATCTTGAACAACTCGCCAACGGTGATGTGATTGCGAGGACCGAACACGGAGGAGAGTGCCTCGAACAGGCTTTCCACGTGTTGTCGTGTGTCCGCAGGCAGAGGTCCGATCTTCTGCAAGAATTCAGGATGGGTCTCCGGCTCAAAGTAAATGACGGTGCGCGGCTCACGCGGGAACAGCTCGAATTTATCAATCAGCATCGGCTCCGAGGGTCGTCGGTCATACGTGAGGACCGAATCATCAAAGTTGTCAGACGCATTCATGGTGCGAAAGTCGTCGACGAGCCGATCCCAACTCTTGTATAAACGATGATGCAAGCTCGCAAGGCGATTGGCGAGCGCCGCCTTCTGCGTTGCAATCTTGTCGTCAATCAATTGCAACTCTTCAGCCGTGCGGCTTGGGTCGGCAGCTGCTCGAGAGAGCGCTTGCGAGGTCCTGTCGATCGCGATCTCGAGACTGGCCAGTTCATGTCGGCTGTGCGCGATCGAATTCTCCTTATGCAGGGCGGTCTGAGCTTTCTGTCGCGCTGTCTTGGCTGGTGACTTGACAATGGGGACCTTGGAATCCTCCTGATCACCGGCTTCGATGTCATCAAGTAGAGTCTGGTGACGCTCAGTAAAGATGCGAGGACAGTGGGGTACATCAGACCGATCGCGCTTCTGACAAACGGGTGCAAGCTTCACGGGTGGTGGCATTCGACCAGCAGGCACGGAGACCTGGTGTGCCGCGGCCCGCTCCTCGACTCGCTCTCGTCCCTTCAAGGTCACGTCCACAGGCTTGATGGTGATCCATGAGTGCTCCTCTTCGTAGCAGCTGGCGACTTCAAAGGCTTGCGCAGCGACTGTCTCGGTCAGCAGCGCGGGTCTCCGACGCTCTGCGACTGTTCGGGGAAGAACACCCTCCACTTCGCTGGGCGGCATTGAAGCCAGGATGCGAACACTTCCATATCTGTGTAAGCCTCTTTGCTGCATACAACTTTCCATCATTGCGCTCCACCATCGTTGGGGTGTGTAGTGGTCCGCCTTCTGGGCCGGAACAGGTGGGCTGGCCAAAACAAGGAGAGTGTCATTCCGGGGTAATGATATGCCTGCTTTTTCGATTCGATGATCGACACCCTGCTCGGGAAGGTGCTCGTCGAATATGTCAACCCAGTCACGGCGGGTGTATATATCCTCGGAAATCAGCTTGTAGCTCGAATCGCTTTTCGCGAGTTCCCGAAGCCAGGGTTCATAGACTGGAAGATCGGGCTCGATGAGGAGATGACGTCGTGGTCGCAAGTACTTGTGTATTGCGGCAGAGAGGAGGCCAACATTGGGCCAAAGATCGAGAATGTCGATGGGAGGGCTTTGACGTAGGTACGGAGAGACGCGATGGAGGACATCAGCTGTGGCGAGAGAGATGAGTTAGCGAACGACCTCGTGTGTTGTGGCGAGGAGATTGCTAAGGAGCTTCGTACACACCGCAAAGCTTCTCGCTAACAATACTGGTCTGTAGTACTGTTCTCCGTTTGAGCTTCTTTAAGATATGCGAATGCATATCCTTGCTCAACGGAAACTGGTCTACTGGCAGCCATCGCTGAGCCAGAGCTCTTTTGGTTATGGACATGTTGGACCGGGATAGTGGTGATCAGCGCATGGGATGAATGAGTCTAGAGTGTGTTCCTCTCGTTCGATCCATGATTAGATCGACAGACAAGTTTCCACCCTGAATATAGTTTTCGCAGGCAGTGGTGTGTAGGTTGCAGACCGCGCACTTCTTTTTTTTTTGGCTGGTTTCGAAAGATTTATTGGAGAAGCGGAGAAACCTGCGGCGTCCGCAGGATCGCCCAACCGGGCCGCATCCCCCCCCCTCATCGTCATCAAAACAGTTTCCGTTATCGTGTTTGCCTACTACCGAACCCTTCACCGCGCAGTCTCGTGACGTCCAAAGTGTGCCGAGGCACAGATAATATCGAATGAGATACGGCTCGAGTCCTTATACCTGCTCAATCTTTCTCCCCATCAAAAATCATGCTCATTTGAGCCCGCCACTGTGCGAAGAGGGGTCACGATCGTGATTATCCACTACATTTTGCGCCCCAATCCAAGAGCCTGGACTCGAACTCAAAGTGATCCTTCCAATGACGTCCAAAACTGGGGTTTCCGTCGCCGGCGGCAGCCCTCCGCAAAGTGTCGAGAGGATCACTCGGATCGCTCAGGAATATGACTACAACCCCGCTGTGGCTTTGAAATACTGGCTCCGGACGGCTTCCACATTGATGCGAGAGGTGAGATACATCCAGCTCTTTATCACGGATTCAAATGTGGTCTAACATCAACTTCTTTATCTAGGCGCAAATTTACGAACGCGAAGGCCACGATGAACAAGTCTACCTCCTTCTCTTCCGTCACGCTCAACTGGTCCTTGTGAACCTGTCGAAGCACCCGGACGCTCAAAAGAATGAGAGCGACAGGCAAGCTCTCATCAAGGCGGAGAAGGAAGTCGAGAAGAACCTCGCCAGACTCGAGGTGCTCAAGCCGCGCATCAATAAGCGCTATGAACGATACACTCAATTGATGCGCGAGCGGGAGTCCCGAAAGCATTCATCGGAAGACAATGCGCATCTCGACATTCGAGAGCGGCCCGCGGACCCGGCTTTGACAGGTGTCGCCGAGCCCCTGGAAGCCGGCGAGAATCGTGATCTCGCAGTACGACTCGCACATTCTGAGCTTGACCGAAGGGCGACTGTGCGCAGTCGTCGGGCCGCTGGTGAATGGGGTGACTGGGGAAATGCATACCAAGCAAAGGCGGCCCCGTCGGCTGATCTGGATCTCAGTCAGCGCATTCAACGTATACGGAACAACATGGATAACAAAGGTGTATCTGGTCAGCCCACCCATCAGCGGCAACGTAGCTCGCAAGGTGCAGTCTCGAACAACTCGGCAGCCTACAACTACCCAAGCGTGCCACGGCGCCAGGCTGTAGATCCTGCACTGACGACTGCGCACCTTGCTATCCACGACAAGAATGCAGAGCGTCAGATGCCCCCTATCCTTCCGCCTAAACAGCATTTGGAACCCAGTCAGGCGATGTTGGTTGACGGTACTGCGGCATCGAAACTACCTCGGCGTCCTCCAAAAGAATCTTCCGAACCCAATCCACCGGAGAAGATTCAAAGATCAGGAGAGACCCCACGCGCAAAGCCAGACCTTGATCCTGCCAGTTATACATTCAAGCCTTCTGCATATCTTGAGAATGGCAGTCCGTTGCGGTCAGTGTTTCTTCCCGCTACACTACGCTCGCAATTCCTTGATTTTGCCGCACCGAACACCAAAAACAACCTGGAAACGTGTGGTATCCTATGTGGGACTTTAGTCTCAAACGCCTTGTTTATCTCCCGTCTTGTTATCCCGGAACAGATTGCGACATCTGACACCTGCGAGACCGTCAATGAGTCTGCGCTCTTCGATTACTGTGATGCGGAAGATTTGATCATGCTCGGCTGGATCCATACTCATCCTAGTCAAACATGTTTCATGAGCTCGCGTGATCTGCACACACACTCCGGATATCAAGTGATGCTCCCCGAAAGCATTGCCATAGTCTGCGCGCCCAGTAAGAGTCCGGACTGGGGTGTCTTCCGCCTGACGGACCCGCCTGGCCTCAAGACCGTGCTTAATTGCACCCAGACGGGTCTGTTCCACCCGCACGGCGAGGCGAACATCTACACGGGGGCTCTTCGCCCAGGCCATGTTGTTGAGGTCAAGCAGTTGAACTTTGAGACTGTGGATTTGCGGCCTAAGGGACAATGATTGAAATGTCGGGTCGTATTTTAGCCAGATAACCTCGTTTTATTCTCTTCCGCCACTTATGATACCCAGTTTCTATCCTTTCTTTTCTCCGTGCATATGGCCCCTCCGAGCATCCGTATCAGACATGACTGAGCCTCAGTGTTCGTCAACAATTCACTTCCGGCTGTTCCCCCGATGAGAATGCTCTGCCTTTGACGCAGTTCGTCTCTTCGAGGCGGAACCCGAGCTAGCGCGGGCTTTGTTCGACGTCGTTGGAGATCGACGTCGCCCCTGTCTATGCTGTGCTTTTCTTGGGGCTGTCTTCAATGGATTGAACCACGATCAGCAATCCTCGGAAATGACATCGTGCCTTTAGAAGATCAGAACCTACCATAGACTCGTGGAAATCCGCACCATCATATTTGTGACCGTGAGAGCGGCCCTTGCGCCCTACCTGCGTGATCTCCTCCACTGTATATTCTTGAGACGTGCTCGTATGGACCATCGTGATAGACTGTGTGACAGCTTGAAAGCACTCCTTGATCTCTCCAAAATACAGTCACTGAAGTCACGCGTATGCATATGAATTCAGAGTCAACCTTCTTAAATACGGCCTTCTGGCTCCGCCACTGTTTCGTCATTTGAGCTGGGATGGCAACTCCGGAATCAGGCTCCGTGTGGACTCGTGGAGTTTTGCCTCGCCGATTCCAGAGAAAACTCCGTTGATTTCAGCTCTTTATAACTATCGAATGATGAGTGCTCCATCGAGAAGTGGCAGTAAAATCATCAAACGCTATCCAATCTTACTCTTCTTACCATGATGTTTAGCCTTTTATACACTTGACGACATGCCAAAGTCTTATATCGAGCTCTTGATCTCCAGTTCAAGCGAAAACAGTAGCATCAGCTGGTATCATGTGTTTATATTGTTCAAAGGAGAGAAACATCAGAATTCAGGCAGTAGTATGAAGTGTTATGAAATTCCGAGATGAGTATTGCTCGAGAGGATCGAGGGCTTACAAAGGCACCTTAGAAGGGAGCTGGACGGAAACTTGCTGATCGAACCATGCAGTCTCAGTGGGAATTGGTCTGTTTTCCAATTTTTTGTACATCATCTCATCATCGATTTAAGAACTTTGACACTCATGATGCACTCTAAGCTTAGGCAATTTCCCTCTATCATTTTGAATGACGATTTACGCGCAAGAACAGCCCTTTCGTTATCGGCTAGATAGGCTAAAGAGGCTCCTATTTTTTGATCTTAGTTGCGCAACGAGGTCGAACCGGGCTTTTCATTAAGGCGCTATTTGATCAGTCTGATCTAGTCGTGCCAGATTCGTGACTGTCTCGGAACCTGGCGTCCTTTACCTGCAACCGATTTACTCCAGCAGTGACCTTGCAGCCAAACCGAAAGATGTCAAGTTTTCAACGCGGACATGGGGAATAGGTAATGATACTCCTTTCAAAGCATCCATCTCAGTTTCTTAAGTGTAGAGATGTCGCTCAAATTGTCAACGTAATCTTCTTGGGACGAATCTCCTGAATCAGGGCTGTTCAGTCCCAAGTTTACGCGGCAGTCCTCTCATTCCATAGACGTGCGAGTCTTTCCGAGCCGGACTAGTGTGCATGAAACAAGAACAAAGATCTCGGCGTGAGCCAGTGAGCAAACTCTCCCACAGTTTTGATATATCTACATGATCTTTCAAGGGTCCTGGCCTTCATCAGACAGAATGGTTTTCATGTCTGTGTTGTCCTCTCCAGACCTGCCTATGCCAATGCTTCAGCGATCGATTTCAAGCACTCAATGACTGCTGCCTTTGCATTGTAATCTGTCCCCATTACATTGCTTCGCAGATGTGCCGAAAAGTCCCCCGTTGTAGTGGTAATCTATTGGGTGATCTTCGAGGGAGTGTAGACGAAAGTAGGGCGGACGAAGCTATTCCACATCACACGTCGACGTCAGTATGTGTCATGCAGATACAGATTAAAGAGGTTCTGTATTACGCACCGCTCAGAGTTGTAGACCTTCTGCTCAGCACCAAGGAGCTCCTTCTCGCGGGCCTTGTCGGCGTAGTAGCGGCGAACCTGGTCACGATCTTCTTCGGCCTGGAGAAGAGGAGTGAGGTAGAGGCGGCCCCACATCTTCTCACGCGCGAGCTCACTATAGAAGAGAAAAACATCAATCAATGTGCAATTGAGATTTGGCGAGTCGCGTTGCTGAAACAGTGGTTGTGCCGCATCGGAACCGGTGGAGATAGGGAACGTCGCAGTGGCATCAGACATACCGTTGCTCACGAACACCGTGGAAGTACTTGTAGAAGCCGTAGGCCATAATGGCGTGCATGCCGATCATGTAGTACACGGGCTTAAAGCCACGGGTGGGCACGTTGCGCTGGATATCGGATGCCAAGTGTTAGCGGATGTTCTCGTACCGTTGACCCTGGCTCCTTCAGCTCCAATTCAGCTGATGGTTGGATTCATACCTTGTACTGGACTTGCGCATAGCCCCCCGTTGGGGGCATATCCTGAGGCATGATGGCGTTTATGGGAGGTCTGGAGTCTTAGAAGCTGTGTCGAAGAGTCGCCGAACGGAGAAGTTGGTGATGCATCTCACGTGATTTCAGACTGGAACGAGAGACGCCCGCATCAAGGGCGGCGAGTTCAAGGCGGTCGGCTTCGGGCGGTCAATAGTGGGCTTTTTTGTCCGATGATATCGTCGCGTCCCCCGCTCGCCTGGGTAGTTGACAATAACAACAACCATTACTTTGACAATTTCACCATGGACGAACGAGAAAGACCCCGAAAACTACCCAAGCTCGATCACAACAACGCATTGATTCAACACGAACTCAGCCGCACAATGACTGGCCCTGTGCCTGCCGCCGACAACCTGTCGCAAGCTACAGCCAGCACTCCGCAGCTGCAGCAGGCCCAGTCTCTGCCATCCGCCGATGAGACTGCCGACTTGTTCGCACAGTCCGACGAGAAGAACAACCTATCGCAAGCTGCAGCCAGCACTGCGCAGCTGCAGCCGGCCCAGTCTCTGCCATCTGTCGATGAGACTGCCAACTTGTCCGCACAGTCCGACGAGAAGAACAACCTGTCGCAAGCTGCAGCCAGCACTGCGCAGCTGCAGCAGGCCCAGTCTCTGCCATCTGTCGATGAGATTGCCGACTTGCCCACAAATTCAGAAAACAGGAAAAACATAGCGCAGGCTACAGCTAGCACTACGCAGCTGCAGCAGGCCCAGTCTCTGCCATCCGCCGATGAGACTGCCGACTTGTTCGCACAGTCCGACGAGAAGAACAACCTATCGCAAGCTGCAGCCAGCACTGCGCAGCTGCAGCCGGCCCAGTCTCTGCCATCTGTCGATGAGACTGCCAACTTGTCCGCACAGTCCGACGAGAAGAACAACCTGTCGCAAGCTGCAGCCAGCACTGCGCAGCTGCAGCAGGCCCAGTCTTTGTCATCTGTCGATGAGACTGCCAACTTGTCCACACAGTCCGACGAGAAGAACCACCAGGCGCAGACTCCAGTCGGTACTTCGCAGCTGCAGCAGGTCAAGTCTCTGCCGTCCGCCGAGGAAACTGTCAACTTGCCAACGCAGTCAGAAGAGAAAAAAAGCTTGGTCGCACAGTCGGAAGCTCCAACTGAGGAGAATAAGGATGGCACGGCTCCAAAGCTTTCCAAAAATCAGCTCAAGAAGCTCCGCAAAAAGCAGCAATGGGAGGCTGAACGCGGCCTGCGCAAGGAGAAACGCAAAGCGCAAATGGCCCAAAAGAAGCAGCGCCGTCAGCGCATGGTAGAGGAGGCGCGTGAGACTGGTGGAGAGGAAGCTGTGAAAGCCCTTCGCAAGCAATGGGAAACCACCCGGGCCCAAGCCAAGCGATCAACCCTTCTTCCTCTGTCGATTGTGATCGATTGCGGTTTTGATGACTTAATGAACGACCATGAGCGCATTTCCCTCGCTGGTCAGCTCACACGCTCATACTCCGACAACAAGCGATCCAAGTGGCGTACCCATCTCATGTTCAGCTCATTCAACAAGCAACTGAAGCACCGATTCGATACTGTGCTCGCGCCTTATCGTAACTGGCAAGGGATTCGAATCGTCCAAGATGATTTTGTTCGTGGCGCTGAGATTCTCAAAAACCAAATGGCCTCGCCACAAGGCGGAAAGTTGGTTGGTCCTTTCGCCGATCAGGTCGACGCCAAGCCAGAGGACGGTGAAGTGATCTATCTGAGTAGTGATAGTGACAATATCTTGACTGAGTTGAAGCCGTATTCCACTTACATCATCGGCGGCCTTGTGGACAAAAATCGTCACAAGGCAGTTTGCTACCGATCTGCGATCTCCCAGGGAGTCAAGACCGCAAAGCTGCCCATCGGTGAATACGTTGAAATGAGCTCTCGTCAGGTACTGACCACCAACCACGTGGTTGACATCATGTTGAAGTGGCTTGAAGTTAAGGATTGGGGAGAGGCCTTCATGAAAGTGCTTCCCCCTCGAAAAGGTGGTCAGCTGAAAGGCTGGCGTAACAGCATGGGCGCAGTCGGTGAACCCATCGAGAAGATCGTGCTCGAGGTTTCAGAGAACGAGGACGAGCAAGAGGAGAGTCTCGAGGATATTGCCAATCAGATGGAGGCTGATGCTGAGGGGGATGCGGATGAGGATCACGACAATGGTCTTGAACATGCGGGGACGCATGCCTAATGCTTTCCACATGCCGTCAAGAACAACATGAAGGATGACTTGATATGTATGATAATAGGTAGTACTGAATGTGTACGATAATTTTGTATGACCACACAATATAGCAAGATTTAAGAGTCTATAAGAAAGATACCCCACGCATGTGAGAATTTCTCAGCCTATGTGTTGTGCGGCGTAAGCCTTGCATGATTTTCTTTGCTGCTCGAATGTCGAGAAATGATATTGATCTTTTTGAAGTCATATTCCGCCTTGAATTATATCCGTACAGTCTCATCTGTGAATCCGAAGTATAACTGCCCTGACTGCGCAGGTCCACGTCGGTCACGGTGTTTACATACTTACTTAAGCCACACGTGCCGAGCGCCACAATGCCAATGACGGAGACGATTCTTCGGATAACTATGATGCAGTGGAGCAGTGGCTCTTCCTCTCTGTTTGTTCCAGACTTCCTTTGTTTAATTCTCCTTCCAACACCCAGCAGTGATCAAGGCAGCCTCTTGTCTCACTTGCTCCGAGCTTTCCTCTATAAGATCCGGATCACATTTGGCTCACCACTCTCCTCCTCTTGTGATCACCTTACCTTTTTTGAGAATCCCTGCTAGCAGTGTTGCTACCCCTCGCAACCATGTTTATGCTCCGCAACGGTAAAAAAAACACCCCCCTCTTCTCCCCCCCCCACCACGCAGCTGTTTTGTGGCCCAGATCTCCCCATCTTTCTCGCTATAAGGGGAAAATCTTGCCGCTAACAAGTTTCACTTCACATTCAATTTAGTTGGTAAATTTCTCTTTGGAGACGCCTCAAAAGAGTCCATCATCGAGATTCCCCAGGGCCAGCTCTATCTGGTCCGCCCGCTTTCGCCAAAGGGATATTCCGAGCTGATTTTCAAAGACGCTGCCGCTAATATCCGTCGTACCGGCCAAGAGTTCCAGTATCAACTTGTGATTCAAAGAGCCTACGAGGAAGGCGAGGAAGAACTTGCGGACGACGAAGACGAGCAGGGCGTTGCGGACATTCTTGACAAAGACGAGAAGATTTTCTTGCTGGACCAAACTCTGCACTTCCGATCTGAGTTACGTGATGGGAACAAGATTCTTGCCTGGGATGACTTGAGTGGCGACCAAGGAGACTTGTATGAATTCATTTGCGACCCGTCCGTTCCCGCGGAAAAGGTTGCAACCTTTGAACTAGCGGCCCTCCAGTGTCAATACGAGCGCAAATACCGTCGTAGCGCACAAAAAGCCACTGACGACGAGCTCAAGGAGTTTGAATATCAGCAAGAAGAGCCGATTCCGTCCGCCAGTCCGGTGTCCTCCCCGACCGTCAAGTCGCCAGATCCCGTGGTCACGTCAGCCGACTCAGCCGCTGCGATGGCGCAAGATGTCAAGTACGCCCAGGCTAAGGGCCAAGTGAAAGCCGCTGAACCTGATGAGAAGCCTACAACTGCACCTCCAGCTGCAACTCAACCAGAGACCAAAGAAGTGCTGGCAAAGGAAGTGGCGGAGCTTCACATGTTCGATTTCTCCTCCGGAACTTTCATTCTACAGGACGCCTCGGTCGTTGCCGCTGTTTCTGAGGTGGGCAACTGGCAGTACTGGCTGCAGATCAGTGGCAAGGATAAGGAATGGCTGGGCCAGGCAGTTGTGGGTGATATCAACCCGGTCTTCAACTTTGAGTACCTTTCCTTCATCTTCAATCATTATGCGGAAGATGGGTCGGCGTATTCCTGGCTCTTGCGCTTCAAGAACCAGCCTTCAGAAGAGAGGTTCCAGGAAGGTCTGATGCAGGCACTCTGGGAGCAACTGAACGAGTTGAAGTGGGAGAAGGTCAAAGAGAACGACCGTGATTATGTGCTCGATGCATTCCAAGAGCTTACTATGGAAGATTCGGAGGACAAACCCGAGGAAGAGGAAGAGGAGGAGGAGGAGGAGGAAGATGAGAGTGAGCAGGACGATGGGCAACGTAGCGAGCACTACGATAGTGACGAGGAGGAAGACGATGTCAATCTTCGCGAGCAAGACGGCAACAAGAACTCCCAACTCGCTGTAGGCTACAAACACGATCGTTCCTTCGTTGTGCGCGGATCGAAGATTGGTGTTTTCAAGCACACACTCAACAACAATCTGGAGTTCTCTACGACAATTTCCAAGGTTGAGACGCCCGGGGGCAAGTTGTTCAGCCCAAAGAAGGTCATGCTACATGCAGAGGATCGCAACATGATTCTCCAGAATGGCGACGACCCCAATGCCCTTTATCGCATGGATTTGGAGTACGGAAAGGTCGTCGATGAGTGGAAGGTCCATGACGATATCCCTGTCGAAACGTTTGCTCCTGAGAATGTAAGTCTCAAATGCCCCGTCTTCGATCCTCTCTTTGCCTCCACGAGGGCACTTCGCTGACGAACTCGAACAGAAATTCTCGCAGATGACTGCCGCTCAGCCCTTCGTGGCTGCCTCGAAGAACGCACTATTCCGTGTCGACCCGCGCCTTTCGGGCAACAAGCTTGTCGAGTCCGATCTGAAGCAGTATGCCAGCAAGAACGATTTCTCTGCTATGGCTACCACCGACAAGGGATACTTGGCTGTGGCCTCCAACAAAGGTGACATTCGTATGTTCGATCGACTGGGCATCAACGCCAAGACCCACATTCCTGCTCTTGGCGAGCCTATTATCGGATTGGACGTCTCTGCGGATGGTCGCTGGGTTTTGGCCACCTGTCGAACTTATCTTCTTCTGATCGATTCTTTGCAGAAGGAGGGTAAGAACGAGGGCAAGCTTGGATTTGAAAAGTCATTTACCAAGGACGCAAAGCCTCAGCCCCGTCGTCTTGGTCTTCAGCCTGCTCACGTAGCTCAATTCCAGCATGAGACGAAGAAGCCCTTGTCATTCACTCCGGCGCGGTTCAACACCGGTGTGGATTCTCAAGAGACATCGATCATCACTGCCACAGGTCCCTTCATTGTTACCTGGAGCCTCAAGAAGATCATTGCGGGCCGCAAGGACCCGTACACCATCAAGCGTTATGGAGAGGACGTCATGGCAGACAACTTCCGCTTCGGCTCCGACAAGAACGTGATTGTTGCGCTGCCTAACGAGGTCAACATGGTTGCCAAGCGCAGTTTCCGAAAGCCAACCCGCGAGAGCATCGCTGGACCAATGACCCCTAACCGCGCACGCAGCGGCCGATGGAGCAGCCGTCTCGGAAGGGACGACATTGTCAACTCGCCCTACTAGTCGACTGGCCCGTGGCTGCATGCACTTCATGACTCTCTTCAACGTCTTCTTTTCCTATTCCTTATCCTTCACCCTATTTCCTAGGTATTTGGATGCTTGTATCATGATTCATACCCCCTTATCGTTTGCGATAAATGACCAATTCAATTGCCTTTTGTAGTACTGCAGTACTTTTATTGCCAGGGTGTAGCAAAAGTAATCATCATGGCACCGTGCATCAACATTGAATGATGGTTGATTATCGCGCAGACAATAGGATCGACAGATCGTGCTATCTTAGTTGCGTGGCTTGTAGCGAGTACCGATTAGGGGAAGTATTCACATGACTTGGAAGACTCGAAGATGACAATTGTCAACATCCTCTTGGAGACTTGCGCTTCTCATACCGGGGAGAAACGTGATGGATCCTCTTCAGTATATTAATTTGTATTCTCGATCACCTCTCCCTCTTTGGCATGTAGTTGCGGTGCTCCAAATTATACTCCAATCGGTCACTGGAAATGGAGTTCTAGATGAGACCTGATTCATGGAAATCACTGCACCCAAGGTGATATTACATTATCTCCCGTACTGCGTGAATGTTCATCTTTCGAGACTTCGTTGTCCTCTTGAATACCTCTCGAGGTAGGCCTCACATATCCAAGTTGTTGTTACGCTCCTACATACCAGATCTCCACGCCGAGAACGTCAAACTTTTCGCCTTCTTCGGCGAGAGGCTCGTTTCCGAATGTTTGACAGTGGGAGCTAACACCCTTTTCGAGACTTGAGTCTAACCAGAGACCATATCGACCGTCGCTAGGGAAAAGACTCGAATGTCAGCGTTGGTGTCCCCGTATAGAAAAAGCATCAAACTTGAAGAAGAGACCCGAGGATCTTATTACTCACCCGCCACCCAGGCTGAGGAATCCGGTCTCACAAAACATCATGTAATCATTCACACCACTATACGGGAAGGCCTTGAATCGAATGCGCTCAGGCGTACTTGCCCCACTTCGCGAGGGCGTGTCGATAGAAGAAGGTGACGGAGGCGCCAGCGCTCCGCCGCTGGCGGCAGCGAGATTGGTCTTGAGACTTATATTCAGGTTCCGCGTCGGCGTGGATTCAACCTTGCCCTTGCTGCGCGGGTCACTGCGAAAAGTACTCCATCGTCCAGCGTGGGTCGTGTCCGCAGAAGGTGGGGGTGGAAGACCTGCGCGCTCCAGTGCTTCCACCGATTGAGGGCCATCGCTCGGGAATGCGAGGCCCAGGTTCGTTGGAGGGGGAAGAACGCTGGCTCGCCAGAGGAAACATTCACCCGTGCCGAAGAATTGCGAGTCCGGATGTGGGACGTCGGTCATGTACGCGCCGAAGACGGCGCCTGAAGGGGAGGAGTCGCGGACGACGAGGACGTAGCCCGCCCGCGGGCTACGATGGGAGAATTGCTGGCAGTGGTCGTAGAGGGTGGAGAGAGAGGCGCCGTCGCGATCTAGACTGTATGCGAGACGCCAGGTCTCGGCAAGCTGGAGGCGGGGTGGGACGAGGAGGCGAATTTCTTCGGCGAGCGCGCGGGTGAGAAGCTGCTGTTGCAGTAATTCCGCCCCGCGAGGGATTGCCAGAGTGAGAGGAGTCAGTGGTGGTGGCTGGAAGGGTGAGGCTGTTCGGCGCGGTGTAAAGACTTCCGAGGAAGACGATGAGGTCGACCATGGAACCGAGGACGGCATGGTGGACGTGGAGGTATTGGGATCGGTCAACCGCCGATAAAGACCGGAGACAACGTGGCTGACTGGGTATGAAAAGTATTGACTGTATGATGAAGCGCCTGAATTGCCTTGAGGCGTGCGGGAACCGGATCTTGAGGTGGAAGACGAGTGGGAGGAGATGCTGCTGCTCGAAGCGGGGTGGTTGGAGGGAGGAAGACTGCCTTGCGAAGTGGACGACATGCAGGCAATGTAGGGGCTTAAATTGAATGAGAAACAAGCTGTTCGTAGGCGCTGGGGTGATCAACGTCGCAACGGAGTCTGGAAGCTGGCAGCAATCAAGCCTCGCACAAGCTGATAGCAGCCGGGCACCAGTGACGTGGTAGCGTTCGGGCGGGAGTGGATAAGGTACAGTTAGTTAGCAACTTAGCAGTACGCAACAAAGTTAGCAGTCGGTTGCTTAGTTTGCCAGTTGCCAGTTGCCAGTTGCCAGTTGCCCAAATTATGTGGGGTCGCGATTGAAGCGGAGGTCAAGGCGAAGGCTACGAAAAAGTACAGTGGCAAGTCAGTTACAGTACCAAATCCAAATCTGAATTGCGAGGTATGTGCTTGAGAAAATGGCGTTTCTGGGGGAGAGACCAACTCCTAAAGTAAAGTTGTTGCTGTACTGACTACTGACAATTCTGCTCAAAAGTCGAGGTACGCATGGGTTCTGCCTAATTGTTGAGCTCTTATTCTGACGCACGCATGTGGAACCTTGAGCGCTTGAAGACTTGAATGTTCGGGTTTTGCATGCTCAAAATATCACAATCTGTCTTTCGTATCATCTACTTCCTGCTCTCTGGCTTCGCCTCGTTAGATATACGCTTTTGGTTTCCTCGTAATCATTGAATAAGGATATCCATAGTGTGTCAATGGCCAAAGCGCCGCAGCCGGGGGTATTCGGTAGCTAAGCAAAAAAAAAAAAAAGCAGGAATATCTCTCAACGATGTAGACGCATATTTCATATCGAGAACATGAGCTCGGAACGCATTGAACGGTCAGATCGATAATGTCCGGGTTCAAGTACATCATGTCAAGTGCTTCCGGGGACGACAGGTTAAGGAATGAGAAAATGGAAGAATAGAGGGTCTACATTGGAGTCTCAGCTTGTGAAAATGATCAATCATGTCAAGGGAGGTTCCGAAATTGTTTAGTCTGCAGGTGTCAAGAGGGACGTGAGGTCGCAGTAGTCAAGACCCCCGTCAATTCGTTCAGCCAAACATGTCAGCAACCCCTGAGAGATCGGGACCGTCGTTGATATCGACACGCTGGACTTCCTGTTGAGTTTCCATCTCATTGGTCAAATAACGATTTTGAATCGCAGTACGTGCTTTGCGCCGCTCCTCTCGTGAGCCCAAGATCTTCCCTTGCTCGGCAATGCTGACACCACGCAGAGGCTCTAAAAGCTCAAGGACCAGAGCCCTTTGCTGGCGTGGGGATGTGCATCGCTGGAGGGAGACCTCCGTATGTGAGACCTTCTCCGGGGTAATGCCCGGTAGAGAGAGGAATACCAGTCGAGGCGTTTCGCTGCAGACGCCGTAGAGCACCCAGATCGAGGCAATGAGCTGGGCTAGGTCCTTCTGCATGTCCACGAAGTAGGATTCGTGGACTGAGGAGATGCAGGCCTGCAAAACATCGGTGCAGATGAACTCGCGGATGGTGGCGATCGTAGGGCTGTTGTGTGGAGGCGCAAAGTCAGCCAGAATGGATCGTACCACTCGGGTGATGATGCTGCAGCAACGAGTGTCGCGCATTCGGAGAGCGTGGGTACAAAACAGCATGACAGGCTCAAAGATCTCGGGCGACGAGAGCACAAAGTGGCGGATAGAGTCTGACAATTCAGGAGGTGATTGCGGCGCGCTGGGGTCTGACTCCGCTCGATCCGGGTCTATGTGAATTAGATGTCAGTCTTTGTTGAGCAGCAGAACCTGCCACTCAGAGTCGGAGGGATTATGATCGACTCTAATTACAAAGGCTCTTTGGGTGGGGAAGGAATATGTTCCTTACCTCCGCGCTGGGGATCGAACAGGCTGGCAACCATGATCACAGCCGCGTACGTCAGCTGGCGAAGAACGCTTTCCGACTTCATCTCATCCGTGAGGTCGCCTTCAATCCCTCCATTCTTCCGCTGCTCAATGATTTCCCACTCGGTGGTAATCTTGCGGTCGAGACTACGGAACAGAGTGGAGAGCATTGGCGGTAAGAATTGTGCGCGGTACCTGACTGGACAGTCGTCGATCAGACAGCGCGAAATATTGAGAAGCACAGAAAATTGGTGTGAAGAAAGGTGCTCGGCGTCCTTGAAGAGGGCCTCGGACAAAGGGCCCGGCAGTTCCGCAAACCCATAGAAATGATCGCGCATCCTACTCATGCTGAACAGCATTGAGTAACATGATTCTCGAACGGCGCGGATCTTTCCACGAACAGACGACGCAAAGCCTTCGAGCGTAGATCTGGACGCCGTAATTTTGGCATAGAATTCGTCTCGACTGCCAGTGGAGATACCGGCTTGCCAGAACCGATCCGTAAGGATCCGCTCGACCACAGCACGCATCTCATTGCTCACAGCCCAGTTTGCTGGGTTGTGGAAAGCGTGCGCGTGAGTCAGTAATTGAACCATGGTTGGGAGGATCTGGGGAATCAAGTCTTGCCAGATGTCACATGCCACCTGGTAAGCTGGTGAGGTTCTTTGCAACTTGTCTGTGGACACTGCAAGCATGGTCTTAGTCCCACGCAAGGGCAACATTTGGAACTTCCGAGTCATTTCCTCTTGAACCACCTTCCCTTCATTATCCAGAGCAACAGCAGACCAGTCCTCTATTTTGTGGGCCTGCTTGGTCTGCATATATGATCCGACATTCTCAAGTCCCAACATGACACAGAAGCCCTCAAATGTCGAGCTCATGCGACGGAATTCTTGGTCCTGCCATGCTTCACGTATAGGGGTCAAAAAGCCTGTCAGCCGATTGTGACGCAAATTTGGGTCGAGATTGCTGGCGCGTTGAATTATGATAAGGAGGATCGAGGTCAGCTCCATTTGGAGTTTGTCATCAACATGATTGGCCTGCGTAATCTCTCGAATTTTAGGCTCAAGCAGATCGTAGAACGTAGAGAAGTAGTCGGCGTAACGGATCGCAAGCCGGCGCAGCTCATGACTAGCCAGCCCGTGCAGCTCCTTGACAGCCTCGGCGTAGACAGGGTACTGTGGCTGGTCGGGAAGACGAGTCATGAGAATGTGCTCGAGGACTTTCAGGGCATACGCTGGATGATTCTCCAAAGCTTTTGAGGAGATATCGACAACCAATTTTATGACCTTCTGCTTGATCATCGGATCCTAGAAGGTGACGTTGATTAGTGTACGCTTCATACGAGTCGTGTTATGGGCACAGGTAGTACTTACTTGGAAGTTCCGCTCCATTAGCCTGCACGCCCAATTCTCTACTATATACTCCAATTCTTTCCGTTCCTTTTCCTGATTTCAAGGATTAGTATAAATTGCACAAGATGACAAGTGGAGAACTCACATCTTGCTGCGGCGCCTTTCCATGGGCCTCGACCCATTTGTTGAAGCCCTTCATCACTGCCTCTACCACAGCGAACTGCGCGTCTGCTCGCATGATCGGAATCGACGATTTGCTGTAGTTTTGCACTGCAGATTCATTGGTTAAAATCAAAGCTTGGTCACCGTACAGGCCACGGAACATCTTACTTTGGAATGATTCGACACCGTTGTAGAGATTGTCAAGATTCTCATCAACACGTGCAAGAATCGCGTGAACGGCCTCCTGGGCTCGCTTCTGCGTGATGCTTTCGATTATCGCCGAGCAATATCGACGGTAGTTGCCGAGGAATGCATGTCTTTCCGGAATTGTGTCAATGTCTTCCACCAAGAATTGAATTGTGGGATCCTCAGAATCGGCAGGGAGCGATTCCCACCGTATCAAACGTTGTGTGCAGATGCCGAGGAACACGTGGGTTTGGTCAACAACGAATTGCATGGTTCCGATCTTTTGCACGTTAAAGAGCCTCGACCAGAGATGAAGGCAAGGGATGGAAACGGTCAGACTTTGGTGTTGCATGATTGTCAACATAAAGTTGAGGAAAGGAGGAAGATCAAGACGATGCATTGTGTCGCGCAAGAATCTCTCATCTTCAAGACATCCAGCAATATAGGAGATCATCTGGGGATGTGTCAGCCAATCTGTCACACGCGGTGGCACAGGTTCCCAGCTTACTAACCTCTGACAGCTTCTTCGAAATCAAATATTTGGGCTCGTCGATATCTTCTGGGCCCACTACTGACCATTGATACAGGTTCTGAAGTGTGCTCAGGTAATCGTTTTCGAAAATGAGACAGACCAGGCCGTGAGACTCCTCATTTCCCATGTTATTCCGACCATACAGCGAATGTAATGCCTCAACTGCGGCCTACGATAGAAGGTTAGAGGCTTGAAATGAGCCCTGATAGAGTGAGATGCGCACATACCAACAAGACTTGCTCATCCTGACAAGTCAGTGCCCTGAAAATACTGGCCACGACTTGACCCGCAATGACGGCCTTGTAAATTGACCACGACAGTGCTGATCTTAAAGTCATGAGAGCTTTAACGGCTCCATCGCGTGCTTCAGAAGAAGCAGATACATTCTGCACACAGTCATCCAAAAACCCGCAGATTCGCACCAACCACCCTTCTTGGCCACATCGCTGAACTGAGTTGGGAGTCTTTTCGGCGTGAATCTGTTCCACAATGGCAGCAGGCGTAAAGATCTCGACAAGTGCGCGATTCAGCTCAGTGCCGCGCAATGACGAGACCGTATCCTCGCGGAAAAAGACATCTTCCGACAATGTCTCCAGCACTGAAAGCACCAATTCATAGTGTACCAACGAGACGCCCCAGAATTTGACAAGGGCTTCGTCCATATCCACCCAGTCCAAGCCCCAGCTCTTCTTCGCTGCCTCTGACCATAGTTGTGGGATCTTGTTACGGAAGTAGCTCGGATCCTCTGGACGGATGTTTTCCGCCAGTTGCAAGATCATCGATCGAAGGGTTGTGGATTCCTCGGGATTGGTGAATGAGAGATGGCGCAAGACGTGATCGAGTAGAGTCAGACCAAAGTATCGCACGACAGCGGCATGATCCTTGCGCGAAGCTAGTAGGAACCCATTGCGAGCTGCAGCCTCATTCTCCTTCAAGGCCTCAACGAAGGACAAGGCTTCTTTTCGCAGCGCGTTTGTGGACGTGGGACTGTGGATGACCTCCAGAGCGCGGATGATGTCCACCATGCCGGCTTCTGAGAGATCTTCGGCGGCCATCTTGGTCTATTGTCGCGGTGATGTGCCGCCGCGTTGATCGAGAATCACGAAGGCGGGTATCGGAGGTTGGGGAAACGCCCGTCGAAATCGTCTCACCCGCGATGAGTCGCCCAGAGCGAGCTCCGGATTGCGATTGTCTTTGCGGAATCGTCGGCCTCGTATCAAGAACTTTGCGGTATCTTTCAGTCTAGCGATAAAGTTATCAGGGCGTGTTGCGGTAATTGATATGGCCGTTGATCATGTCCTAGGGATTGTTTTGCAGTCGGACACAGCAGCAACGGCCATTCAAGTTCGGTGTTTTCGAGTGATTTGGACGGAGTTTAACAAATGCGTGTGTGATCAGTTGATCGACGCGGAGTCTGGTGGGAACGGAGTATTCTCCAAGCAACTTGTCAGAGCCTGTCCGGAAAGATGGAAGGTTGAAAGCCGCCGATTGAGAAGTTCGGTAACCTGCTGGTCCGGGCTGAGGATTCTCCACGGGCTATGGTCGTCTCGAGGCTCACCGCTTCTCCTCACTCATTCGGGGATTTCAGCGCGCAACTGTGCCATTGTTTGATTGCTGATGAGATTGCTGAGGTCCAGATAATCGATTTACGCTAATTTTGTGCAACTCTATGCCTCCCTACTACTTTTGCAACCGATTTCACCTTTGTCGCTTTGTTATCGATCAGTGCCCCTCTCTAATGCTGCGGCCAATATGCCCACCGCCTTTAGATTAGCCCGCAGGAGGCCCACAGGAGGTCGGTCCGCCTGCGTGGCGCCTACTACGTAAGGCACCACGGTCGATCCAAACAGGAGTCCAATACTCGCCAGCCCTGGTATAGATTCAAAAGCAGGTAGCGATGCCAGCGTGGACACGATAACCGAGTACCCGATATGAGCACATTGAAGCCATCCATAAGGCTCGGGGCGACAATTTGTTCCCGGACATATGGTCAGGCTGCTTCCATTGCATTTGCTTAGAGGATACTCCCGAGAGTGAATGATAGTCGACGTTGAGAACTGAGAAATATATACTTCCGCCACCGCGGACAAGGGGACCACGGGCTGTACAAACAGATTCGCCTCTATCCCCAATATCCAGTGCTGGTTGTTTTCAGACAGACTTCAGTACGTCGGTTGGAAGTTGCTGCTAGCCTGCTACACAGTATACACCAGATCTGATGGAGAGGTACGCGCTAAAGTGGACCCGATTGACGCCTATCAACCTTGAACTTCAAACTGTTTTCTCGAAGATCCGAGCAAAAATCGCAGCATTGTTCCACAAATCAGCACGAGCAATGAAAAGCTTGCCAGAAACGCATCACACAGTGACCGGTACTATAAGCGGGGGTGAAAGATCTCGGTAATCGCATACAGGAATATGCTGCATTACATGAGACGGCAATCGCCCTTTTCGCATCGTTCCAAGTAAGAGCCCTCATCACTTGAGGAAGTGTTCAACTCTCCGGGCTTGCGTTTGATACCCTCGATCTTGATGCTCTGCTCGCCTTCCGCATGCCACCATTGCAATCGAGGTACCCTGATAGACTGGATTTCTTGGTAATCGATTTGCCATTTACCACCACTGACCGCAACCACAATCTTACTCGCCGGAAAGTGAAATTCGGGCAGGTAGATCTCCGTCGGTGCGTCGGATTTCGTCGCAACGTCTGTCGTTAGAGTCATCGTGAACATACAATTACGAAGGTCAAAGACATGGCTCGTCAAAGACCCACTCACGTAGATCGGACTCGGACGAATGTATGCCTCGGCAGCCCGATACCTTTTGGGCACCTGCGAGCTAACACTGGCGATTGACGGATTAGTCAACGCCCGCTTGAGGTTTCGAGGACCAACTTCTGGCTCGTCGGCATTGCTGTGGCTTTCAGAGTAGGCTGGGGATTGTGGATTTAGTGAAGTGTAAGTGGCTGTGAGTGGAAGTTCCAGATCATCTCGAGAATATATCGACAAGTCTTCTCCATTCCATAGATCACCCCATTGGTGATTATTCTGATTGCGAGAGACGTCAGCGCTAAGTCGTTTCCCGCGACAACGGACAGGATGGAAAAAAAAAAAAAAAAAAAAAAAAAACTCACCTCGGTTTGGTACAGCCACAACGTAAATCCATTGCCAGTGCTGCCTTCGAGAGCAAAATGATTGGCATCCATTGCACTGGATTGGCTACTGTAATCTCCAGTGTCATAGGCCTTCTTATCATCCATATCGTAGGGAATGCCGATCTCAGTGAAGAGAAGGGGATGATTCCCCATGTACTTCAGACTCTCGTCGCGAAGGAACTTCAATTGATCGCGCAGACAGTTGCGAATCGCCGTTTCTCCCACTTTCACAGCGAATGCTGGAGCCCAGTATTTGCCTCGCAGGACACCAATGACATCCACATTGTAAAGACGATTCCAATGTTTCGTCAGGAGCGTGAGACCATCGTAATAGTGAACAGCGTGGACCATGTTAGGGTCATCATCCTTGGTTCCCTTCAGGTCAGGAGGCACTTCCATCACAGGGGGCTGGCAAAGTAGAATCGCGGCGGGCCAAACGTCTCGGATCGCGTCACGATAAGTGCGATAATGATCCATGAAATAAGAATTGGTGAATATCTCGTAGCTCAGGGGCCTTCCAGTGCTTGGAACTTTCGAGAAATAATCTTTCACGAGCAGAGTGTCTGTAGCCGGGTCCCAAACACCGTGTTGAGCCCAAATGCACTCGCCCAATTTCCAGCCAGGATCACGCCTCCATCCATACTTGCTGTCGTCGTAGTCGGTGGGCAGCCAGGCAGATTGCCCCTCCGGATCGACAAGTTTTGTGCCTGTCTTGTAAGGGCCAAAGCTGCCAAATGCCCAAGTATTCTGCTCACATGCTCGGCCAGACCCTGTCAGCATGGCTTGAAATGCGGTAGGTGAAGTTCCAAGTTGGAGTTGCTGATCCGAAGGAACCACAGAGATATCCTGGAATCCAATGAGACCGCGATGGGGTTCATTCATAGTCTCCCATCCAATTACCACATCGTGCTCAATATCAGCAGCTTCATGGATTCGAAGTGCCAAATGCTTACATGCTGCGATGAAGTGAGACTGGAGATAATCTTGAATGTTCATGCCATCGATGACGGCCTTGGGCGCAAAGTCACGGCCGGCCCAAAACAGGGTGAACATGGTCTGGCAAACTAAGCGAGTATAGTTCGTGCTCCAAATCATCTTGGGGAACTCAGCGGGGTTGTCCTGAGTATTTTGGACCAGAGCAGCTTCGGTGGCTTTGAATGCTTTAGGATTCAATCCGGCCGCATACAGTGTCCACATAGGTGCACCCGAACCCCCCGATAGACGAGACCACTGCGATGGTCAGCTATTTATCACGTTCCTAGATATGGAGACTTCGGCTCGACTCACAACGTCCTGATGGGGATCCATGAAGACGTAGAATTCATACTGCTTCGCGATTCTTAGGACTTCAATCGTAAACGAAATCCATTCTTCATCGTAGATTCCCGGACCAGAATGCTCGATTGCTTCCCACGTGAAGATATATCGAATTGCATTGTAACCCCATTTACGAAGTCGCTTGAAATGCGTGTGTGCCTCATCTAGCGGAAATGGGCGGCCCACAAAGGAAACGTCATCTGCCTCGAAGAAGTCTTCGTAGATATAGGAAGGAATGTCAGGTGATTTCGGATATTTGGCATCTCCCGCGACGTTGATGCCTCTCAAAACAATCTCTCGGTTCTCAGTATCGCGAAACACCTTTCCGTCCACGCGGAGGTGCAGGAGACCCATATTTGAAGTTACGGCGCAAGTTGGCGAGCTCGCTCGTTTTAATAGTTGCAACCGATGAACGAAGCAAATTCGATGCCTAGTTATAACCTTCGGCAGAGTGTGATGCGAGTTGTGGTTTTTTTTGAACCGCCGCCTCCGACCAGATGCTCCGCATAGGCTTCAGGCTTGTCGGTAGCGCGCAGCCCTATAGAACGAACGACCAGTACCAGTCGCTAGCAGGCAGAGAGGAGGGCAGGCTTGAACCCAGAGCGTGAGTGTCGTTTTTACCGGTGTCAGGACAGCCACAGATTAAGCACTGACTCGACGACAAGGAGATATGTGCACCGAAATGTCTCCTCGGGTCAGAGCGAAGAGCAGCGAGGCCAGTGATGCTCATGCGGAGAGCAGCTGACCCCAATGGCAGCCCGATAACCAACCCGATAAGCCTGCCGGTCCGTGACGTATCAGCGCTAACCGATCGAACCATCAGATCTCCGCCACATCAAGAACCTCCCCGCTCCTCCCAGACAAAGCGCGACCGGGGATCATGTCAAGCAAGGCCGCATTGAAGGCTGTTAGGACAGCTTTGGACGCCAAGGACTATGTTGGTGCTGCTGAGAAGGCCAGGGCCATCGTTCAGGGCGATCCCCAAAATTATCATGCGTGAGTGATTGTCGTGGAAGGTTCTTTTGTTTAAGTTTACTCAGCTAATCCCGCTGTTGCATCATTTTACCAGAAATGTTTTCCTTGGACTTGCAAACGACAGACTGAACAACTTTGAGGCGTCAGAAGCGGCATATTTGGCTGCAACGAGGATCAAGGATAGCGATCGCACTGCATGGCAAGGATTGATCAACTTGTACGAAAAGCAGGGCGGGTCAAAGCTGGATGCATACCATCACGCGGTGCTGAAGCTTGGTATCATTTTCGCAGATAGGTAGGATTGCTTTGAGTCCCTCCCCCATGAGATTCTCATTAACCGTTCTGTTGTCTCAGTAATGAGAAAGAACGATGCCAGGATGTCGTTGACAAGTACATCAAATTGGCTCGCAAGCAAAACGATAAAGCTCAATACCGCAAGGCTCTCGAACTTCAACTCCCTAATTCTCCCCTCTACTCTTTCCTTGAAGGCCGACTCGCTCATCCGTCCCTCACCTATCTTCGTATGATCGAGATCACTGAATCGCTCGAAAAAGAATACATCAACCGAGAGATTGGTGAACGAAGGACCCGCCTGGGTGCGACTAAAGAAAATGTTACTCTGGAAGTGAAACGGGACGCTTTCAGAAAAAGCCAGCTCGAGGATCTGTACCGTGGTATCATCGACTGGACTAACGATGATGCCATTCGTCGCCAGTACGAAGAGAAGCTGCTGACTCGTGCTTACGAGGAGCTCGAGTTCCTTGGCGCAGGGAAAAAGCCAGCCAAAAGGAAGGAGGTCCTGCGTGCGGCGCAAGACATGGTTATCATCAAACATCCCTTCGAGCTTGCTTGGAACATCGTGCTTGAGTGGAAAGATATCGAATCATACTCCGAATGGGATCTTGGTGTATTGCGCGAATACATTGAGTTTTTCCCCGACACCGGGTTGGCAAAGGTCCTGAAGGGGTTCCTTGCGAGTGAATTGTCTCCATTCCCGCAGGAGGAGACTGACAATGGAAAGCCACTGGACAAGAGTGACTCCCGCAAAGATGCCGAAAGTTCTGAGACTGTCGACTCTTTCGACGCTGGTGAAGCCAACCATGCAGGATTTGCGGACACGCTGATTCTTATGACCGAGGGCCTTGAGGCAGCCCCGTCTTCAACAATTGCTCATCGCATCATGGCTGACCTCTATTTATTTCTCGAGGAATACGAGAGCGCGGTAAATGTTGCTCGCAAAGGTCTTCGAAACGTGGCCAACTTTGTCAAATTGACTGGCTGGAAGTCCCAAAACACTATGGATGCCTTGAATATCATTCTTGCGAACGCCCTAATCTCATACCAATCGCCGAGACACCACCCAGAAGCGAGGTCTATTTTCGAACAGATCCTCCAACAGAAGCCTACCTCTACAGTTTGTCTCTTGGGCATCGGTCTTGTTTTGAAGGTCGACCAGGATTATCAAAATGCGGCAGACTTCTTGAGCCGTGCATTGGAGCGCGACCCCAGCAACGTTAAAATCCGTGGCGAGTTGTTCTGGTGTAAGGCTCTAAGCGGTGATTTGGAGACCAGTCTAGACGGCCTGCAGAGCGCTCTCGATCACCTGAACGAGCAGCAACCACGAAACAAATCCTTTAAATCGGAGCTTCTGTACCGAATAGGCTACTGTCAATGGCAGTTGGACTCTTCTATAGCAGCGCGTAAGGATCGCAATGGCGCATATGCCAGCTTCCTGGCCTCCATCAAGGCCAACATGAATTTTGCACCAGCATACACCAGCCTCGGATTCTACTATGCAGACTACAAGAAAGACAAGCCTCGAGCACGCAGATGTTTCCACAAGGCTTTCGAGCTGTCTGCCGCGGAAACAGAAGCTGCAGAACGACTTGCAAGAGGCTTCGCAGATCAGAAGGAATGGGATCTGGTCGAGGCAGTTGCGCAGAGGGTCGTTGATTCGGGATATGCTAAGCCAGCCCCAGGTTCAAAAAGAATGGGGTACAGCTGGCCATATGCAGCTCTTGGCACTGTTCAAATCAATCGACAGCAATATGCGAAGAGCATTGTCTCATTCCAAGCCGCGTTGCGGATCAGCCCCGAGGACTATCATTCCTGGGTCGGATTGGCAGAAAGCTACCATCACTCTGGTCGATACATTGCAGCCACGAAGGCTTTCGAACATGCGCAAGAGCTGGAGTCGACACTGTCCAAGGACGATCAAGAGCACATCTGGTTCGCGAGGTATATGATGGCCAATGTGAAGCGTGAGCTCGGCATGTACGATGACGCAATTGCGAGCTATGAGAGTGTGCTCTCAGCTCGCCCCAACGACATCGGCGTCTCAATTGCACTCCTCCAGACCTTGACCGAAAGCTCGTGGAGAAGTCTCGATTCGGGTCTATTCAATGATGCTGCAGAGCTCGCTTGCAAGTCGATTGAAGTAGCGGGGTCACTTGTGACTGTAGACAGCAATATTTTCAATCTATGGAAATCGGTTGGAGATGCTTGCTCGTACATGACCTTCATCAAGAAGAAAATTGGAAAGCTTTCTTCTGTGGACTGCAAGTCTTTGCTGGAGTCTAATCTTGACCCGACAGCTTTCGATGTCATGAAAGACATTGATGGTGTGGGTCAGGATTGGCTCGCAAATCAGAATGATGAGGACCAATCGCCTGACTCATGCGCCTTTATGGCAATTCTGGCCTACAAACGTTCCCTCTCCGTGTCAAAGCAGGACCCTCATGCGCAAGCTGTTGCATGGTACAACCTAGGCTGGGCGGAGCACAGGGCGTACAGGACTGTGCAGCGCGAACACGGGACAAAGAGCAAGAAGCCTCGAAAGTTCTTGAGGGCATCAATGCAATGCTTTAAGCGCGCAATTGAGTTGGAGGCTGGCAATTCAGAGTTTTGGAACTCCCTTGCAGTCGTAACGACGGCCATGAGTCCCAAAGTAGCCCAGCATGCTTTCGTGAGAAGCCTCCATCTGAATGACCGAAGCGCACAAGTCTGGACAAACTTGGGTGCGCTGTACCTTCTGCATAATGATATTCAGCTTGCCAACGGGGCTTTTACGCGTGCCCAGTCGACTGATCCAGATTACGCTCAAGCGTGGGTTGGTCAAGGTCTTCTTGCGCTTCTCTACGGTGATGCGGCCGAAGCGCGGGGACTCTTCGAGCATGCCTTCGATATCGCGACTTCATCTGCTATGTTACCCAAGCGTCAATACACCTTGACCCTGTTTGACCACCTTCTTGGAGATTCTTCAGCATCAAACGAAGTCTCACAGCTGATCCAACCCTTCTTCGCTCTCCAACAGCTCTGCTCACAAGATCCATCCGACCTTCCCTTTATGCATCTCTCAGCCTTGTTGGCCGAAAGAATGGGCGAAATGGCCGACGCCGAATCCAACCTAGAGGTTGTTTGCTCGGCTATGGAGGCAGATTTTGAGAGTACCGAGTCCCCTTCATCACTCTTGAAATTCGCCCAAGCAAGTGCGGACATTGCTCGCGTGCTTCTTGCAAATCAGCGTTATGAAGATGCCGCTGAAAAAGCTGAGAATGCACTCACGCTGTCAGGAGAAGATGATGCTGAGTCGTTTGACACCGATGTGTGCCGAAAACTAAGATTATCGGCACACCTCACGGCAGGCCTGGCATTCTACTTCCTGAAATCAATGGATCAAGCTATTGACATGTTTGGTCAAGCTCTTCAAGAAGCCGACAATGACCCAGATGTCGTCTGTCTTTTGGCCCAGGTACTATGGGCAAAGGGCGGCGAAGAAGAGCGTTCTCTCGCACGCCAGCAACTATTTGACTGTGTTGAGAGTAATCCTGAGCACGTTGGGGCCGTAACGCTTCTCGGAGCGATTGCACTTGTCGACGAAGATCGTGATGCCATTGATGCCGTTGAGGCTGACCTTCACAGTATCATCACGCGTGACGATATCGAGCTTCATGATCGTGCCAAGGTTGTTAAGCTACTCGCGGCGATTTCAGCCATGGGACTCAACGAGAAGTCAAGCCTCCCTGAAGATCTCCGGCGGGTTGGTGAAGCCACTGCGGCGGTTATGTTGTCTCCTGGACAGCCACAGGGTTGGATGGAGCTTTCCAACATTTCAGACAGCTCTTATCCAGCAGAGATGGCCATTCAACGTGCTTTGCGGTGCGTTCCACCTCATGGTAGCTTGAATGCCACCGACCTCTGTCAGGCTTACGCGCAAGCTGGGACAGCAGATGATGGATTTCGAGCTATCATGGTGGCGCCGTGGAGAAAGGAGGGTTGGGAGGAGCTGAGGCACGGAGTGTCTAGCATGGGGTGATCATTTATGATCGCGTATGATAGCACCATCCGCTCTTGTATGAAACTTATTTGTAATGAGTCAAGGAAGAAAAGCTTCCCGCATATCATGCTGCCATTTTCCCATCATAAATAGATTCCATGACGTTTTGATATGCCTTAGACGTTACGCGATCATGGCACAAGGCAACAGTGAATACGTCAATGGTAGTCTCTTCCACCGAGCCGACGAAAGGCTTTTCCCATTGATTCAAGATTCATTTGCCATTGAATCAATCCTCTGCAGAAGTCTGGCCTTTCTTCCCTCTCTCCAGGTTTTGTCGAGGTTTTCGATCTTGCCGCCAAGTAGTGTACAGCACCCCGAATCTAGCAGAATCATACCTCGTGCGACAGTCACATTACGCAACAGTAACTTGCTGCCAATGGGTATCTTATCCACGGATATGGCTTCGATGCGCTGCATCTCAATGGCAGCTACATTCGTGCCTTTGGCGTCCTGGAGGATTAGCCGATGAGGCCCATTGCCATTGCTTCCGAATGCGCTGGGATGTCCAGCCGTGCTCGCACTGTTCGTGCTGCCATTTTCTCTCTCCTGGCCATCACCTTCAACATTGACGGTGCGAATGATCTCACGCCCACGTATTGCTTCGCCACGTTCGACGCGTTCGATGGCCTCAACCTGGCTCCACAGACTCGATCCTATATCTTCGATAACTAGGACCTGAACAGGAATAGAGCCTAGAAGTCGTCTTTCTTCAACATTTGGGTCCGAGATATCCACGGGAAAGACAGAGGTTGCACCAGTCGTTAGAGACTCTCGGATATCCGAGGCGAGCACGCGAAAAAGGGCCGTTTTGGTGAGTGCCGACAGAGGTATATTACGCTGTGCATTTGCCATGAAGGCGTTGAGCCAGGTAGGCGAAACAGCAAGAGACGTTGAGCTCAATATTTGCGCGGCGATCTGCTCTGCACTCGTCATTTTTATAACATATATCACCACGGTCTGCGTTGTTCCTTCGATCCCGGTGCTCAATGGGTTGCTTCTTGTCACAGATTCGAGAGTAGCTGCGATATGATCTCCAGCGCAGATAAGGCCACCGCTTAACCCCGGGAATTTGTGACGGGGCCAGCTTCAGCCGCCCTCTTCAGATCATCCATCTTCACGCCAGCAATCAGCAACAACGACCAACGTTGCATACGTACAAGTACGAACACGAGGAAGAGAGCCGAGTCGTTCTTCAGCCTCAACAGTCACAAGTAGCACCATGTCCACAATCTCCTCTCCTCGGCCCTCAATTACCTCCTCGCGAGCTCATTCACCAACACCCAATTCCGCCCGGCCGTCTCTCGATGTGCTAAACACAAACTTCGCTGGCGGACTGAGTGCCTCATCGACACCGACGACTGGTCGCGCGATCTCCCCAAATCCACGTCGCAACCGATCCGCTCTCCGTGATTACTACAATCTAAAGCCCCCTGGTCCTGACTCCTCTGTGCCCGGGGGAGGTTTCCGATCGCGCAGTGTGCCTCGGAATACCGATGCGGGGGACATTTCCAATTCAGATGCTCTAGCTTCAGGGACCGAATTGGACAATGCGGACTTTGACCCGCAACGCTACGTCGATCATCTCCTTTCTACATCGTCACTTGCTACGATTCTCAAGGCTGAAAACACGTTGGTGGGGGACATTCGCACCCTGGATGGCGAGCGAAAGGCTTTGGTCTACGACAATTATTCAAAGCTGATACGTGCTGTTGAGACGATTGGGAAAATGCGAAGGAGTATGGATGAACGGGGGGCGCCGTTGACGATGACGAAGACTCTGGGCCCTACTATTGCCTTTGTTGCCGAGACTGCAGGCGCATTGATTAAAGAAGGCGAGGAGCAAAGGCGTCGTATCAAGGAGGAAAAGGAAGCTGAATCTCCACAGACCAGCGATCCGGCGAAAGAGACCGTCAGATGGGTACTCAGTGCCCCGGGGCGCTTGGAGAAGCTCATCGAGGCCGGAAAACAGGGGGAGGCGGATCAAGATTGGAATGAAGTGAAGCATCTGCTTGACACTTGGGGCGAGGTGAAGGGTGTCGCTGAAGTGCGAGCTGCTTGTGAGAGAGTCATGACGAAATCGATAGAGGAGGAGTGATCAGGCTGACCCCGGGTGGGAGATTCGGACGACATCATCTCCAACTATACTGATTGTGCCTGCACCTGCTCATACCTGGGTATGAGAGAGTTGACTCGCAATTCATGGGCTTTCTCTCGCCTTGCGCTGGGCACTCGACGCCATGGACCAACAAGGTACACGGCGTGATGGCCTCTCCGCATCATTGCCCCCCCCCCCCCCCCCCCCCCCCCCTCAGAAGTCCAAGAAGGGGCGAAGGGCGTCGTCGTCTACCTTGACGACATCCTCATCTTTTCCGACACGAAAGAGGAACACTACGAACACCTCCGCAAGGTTTTCGAAGTGCTCCGAGAACAGAAATTGGTCATCCAGCCTGAAAAGTGCACGTTCGCAGTCGAATGTCTCATTGACTTGTACAAATACATAGATACCCCGGCGCATTGAATTGTTCCACCCATTATCCTTCGTTTTCCGCATTCTGATCGTTTTTGACTCATATCTTCCCAGAGAGAACTTCGCGGCTGGAAAACAAGCTCGCCTTCAAGCCGTACTCGTTATTCGACTTGATGTCCAGATAAGTATACGCATCACACTTATAGTAAATCGGGCGCGATTCCTTGTCGACAAGCCCCTGCTCAACGAGGCTTCTCAACACTCGCTTCACATCCTTCTTGTCACTAAAGTCATCTGTATAAACGCAAATCAGACGGGCCTGACCTGACCCATCGTCCGTAGCGACCTTGGCGGCATCCCCCAGCTCTCCCTTGTCCAGAGCCGTAACAACCTTCTTCCACGCGGAATCCACATGTTCCACTGATGGAAAAAGCATCCATTTACCGGCTGTGACACCCGTCTCTTTAGCGAGGCCGAAGATGTCTTGCTCTAAAGTCCGTCGTAAAGGATTCAATTTGCGCGTCAACGCCGCCTTGGTCTTTGCGCCGGACTTGTCGTGAGCACTGCGGAGTTCAGATGCCTCCTCTTCGTAGGCCTGGAGCAGCGCATTGCCCTCTCTCACCAAGGTGGCGATATCGCCGTCTCCCCCCTGTGAGCGAGACTTGCGCATCCAGATCCACGGCCCGGCGTCTGAGGATCTGGTTCTTGAGGGAGGCAAGCGCGACAAGAAGGCTGCGATGGGCTCTGCACGTCCGCGTTTGTCCCGTGGACGGAAGGATGATCCCTCCGCGTCGTTGTCGTGTGCGGGAGAATCCTCTGGCTCTGCTTTGTGCTGTGGTGCAGTGGATGTATATTGAATGGTCGACAGAAGCCGCGGGTGAACATTCGCCCAGTATGGCTCGGGATCAAAGGTCGCATCTAGTTCTTTGAGTCGCGTCTGCTCCTCATCGTCGCCTATCGCAGGATTTTAATATGACTGGTATGTTGGGATAGTCGGAGACGGGGAGATAGATCCTCATTTACCGTAGAAACTGGACTCGTCAGAGAAGACATCCTCAGATCGAAAGCCAGGGGTCATCTTGCTCTCATTTCGTCAAGTTCAGGGAGGACGGGAACTCTATCAATTGAAACAGGAAGGCGAGGCAGCGTCGTGAATCGTGATTCCGGAGGAGCTCTGTTCTGACCAGGAAGCTGTACGTTCCAGCTTTAAGCGTGAGTGGATGCGCGGAGGTAAGATCTTACCCCCGACGAGCGCTGGCCGGAAAAATCTTGTAGTAGGTATGAGCAGGAATTCCCAGATCTGATGATAGTATCATCTTGGGTAAGACATGGACGCTTCTGCCTTGGTAGATACGCAGCTACCCGCGCTGACCTAAGGTTGGTTAACGAAACAAGTACAGCACCATGGAGGCTTTCGTTATGCCTCGCTACGACAGCTCAAGTAAGAGTGAACTCGAGCTGTCCACAAAGCTTGCTTTCTCACCTGGATTGACGCATAAATGAGTAGCGATTCGATTCAACATCGCGTTTGTGAGAGGACTTGAGGTCGGTCCTTGGATTCCATTGCCTACGCAGTCCGCCAATGTCCGATCTCAATGAATCTACATATCGGTATAGATGCGTAGCACATGCCGTCCTCTAGCGCGCGAGATACGCAAACCTCTTGTAGAATGAGAATATGAATTTCGAAGCGTTTAGCATTTCCCTTGATTAAGTCGGTACTCAGTACTGCCGTAACTGGCGTCCACGAGTGTCTCTTGTGGATGAGCACCTCCATCTTATGAGGCCCATCTCCTCCGACGGCCCCACCGACCATCAGGAGGAGTTTTTGGAGAACCACCGATTGCTTTACGCGGAATCCATATCCAAAAAAAATAGGTTGCACAGAGCGCTTCAAGAGCATCGAAATCTGCTCTAGTGCCGCGCCAATTTCATCGACGGCACACATTTTCGACGCTCAGTATCGGCACGGGTCAACATGAGCAATGTCCAGCAGCCCAAGTCGGCATCCACCGTCTTTCTCGATCAGCCACCCAGCTGTTTGGAGTTTTGCCCTCAAGCACCCGATCACTTCGTCATAGGCACATACTTGCTCTCTGAGACGAAAAACGCACACGACGAAATCCAGCAAACGAAGACCGGCAGCGTACAGCTCTGGAAGCTAGACCCCGATACATCATCATTGTAAGTTCAAGACTGCCTGAGAATTGGTTCTACGAACCCGATGCTGATCTCTTTGGATAGATCACTGGTGCAGAAGGTCTCTCTTCCGTACGCAGTCTTTGATCTGCATTTTCACCCGAGAGATACGGACAAATTCGCTATTGCCAGCAGTACCGGATGTATTTCTCTCTTCAGCGTGGATCGTGCAACGCCATCGATTCATCAACTTTGGACCAAGTCCGTCCATGAAGACCCCTCTGTTCCCGCCCTTTTCTTCGCATGGACTCCCCCCAAGTGGCTGTCCTCAGAGAAGGCGGATGGCTTCGCTGTCACATTCTCAGATGGTCGAACTAGTGTCTATGGCACAACCAAGGATATCATGGAACCGGATTCTATCACCGAATGGGGAACCTTCGACGCTCGACAGATGATTGAGGTGTGGTTTGTCGCCCTTCTTGCAATGTCTACCTCGACTGATACTGAATCTGCAACCCAATCAATACCCTACATGTTTACGGGGAACGATTTCGGATCCCTGCATACTCGGCGATTTGAAGTTCAAGATGGGGATGCGCACCAAGATACTCAAGAGCAACCAGCAGTGAATCTGCTTCTCGAACACGATGATCGTGCCCGTCATCACACGGCTGGAGTTACGGCGATTCTTCCTCTACCGGTGCCGTCGGTTGACGATGCACCAATTATATTGACTGGGAGTTATGATGAAAGTCTGCGTGTTTACCATGCTACCCGAAGAGGCGAAGTTCTAGCTGAGCAAGGTCTCGGTGGTGGTGTCTGGCGACTCCAACTACTCAGCTGTCAGGAGCTGGAGACGAACCATACGATGCTGGTGTTGGCAAGCTGTATGCACGCGGGGACTCGCCTTGTGCGAGTCACTCGCGTCCAGCAACAGGACGGGCCAGAAGACTGGACTATCGAGATACTGGCCGAGTTCACTGAGCATGAAAGCATGAATTATGCCAGTGACACTTGGAAAGGCACAGCGTCGTCAGATGTCCTCTGTGTCTCAAGCAGCTTCTACGATCGTCGGGTCTGCGTGTGGAGAGCAAGTGTCTAGATGGGGGAAGAACAAAGACAGCCCACCCCTCTGCCTCGGGTTACCTGAAGCTTACCCGAGTAGTTTTCGAGATTTGAACAACATCTACAAAGGAAGCGAAGCAGTGGCAGATGGTGACTTGATGATTTATATCCTGCAAACGCGCAGTGATAAAGCTGCAAACTCCTCTCGATGCTTGAATTTAAACAATAGTCTCTAGCTCGCGAGCATAACCCAGTGTGTTCTCAATCACAGTCCCGCTGGCCACCAAGATGTCCTTCTCTGATCTCGTAGCCGCTTCGGGCTCAACGGGGAAGTGTATCCGTCCATCACGAAGAATCCAGCCTCGCTGCTGGGCGAATTCGATGACTGCGCCCTCCGAATCGAGGAAAAGGAGGTTCTTGGCGTTGGAGATAGGAAGTGAGGGGTACGCCTTCTCGGAGCAATCTGCGATCTCGCTGCGAATAGTGCCAACAAGGACCTGAAGGGAATGAATATCAGGATTTATGTCAACAAGAGGTCGCTCGAGGTAGAAAATGACGGTACTTTACTCACGTTCGAGAACAGACCAAAGTCCTCTGATGGTACGCGCTCCGACTTTGTCTCCCGCCACACCTTGTCGTAGCTTCCCTCCATGAGATTTCGCTCCAGTTCCACCGGGTACTTGATGTATGCGTCATCCTCCACACGGCCGCCCTTGAGACTTGCCTCCTCAACTAGACCTTCCAGCACAGTATGGAAGTTCGCACTGTCACCCATGCTCAGAAGCAGGAGCAAGTAAAGCCCAGTGATCTTGCTCCGCTGACTGGTGCTAAAGTCCAGGTCTGAAGAGCCATGGCCGGGAAGACCAGAGTGTCGCTCCAAATCGTAGAATGGCTGGAGCTGCTGATAGTAACGTGTGAAGGACTGAGCATCAGTCTGGCGGATTGAAGCCAAGGCGCCGAGTTCGAGCACTTGTCGAGCAACAGCGACGAGCTGTGGTGGCGTTGAAGAAGTGGGAATGAGGGCGTTGTGGATCAAGAGAGCTCGTTTGGCTTGGCTGAGGAGGTTGTTGGCAGCGTCGAGCTGTTTCCGCTCCAGAGCATTTTGGAGCTCTGGAACGATGGTCTTGAGGTCGGTCATGGAGAAAGATTGGGGTGGGGTGAAGCCAGTCGAGATAGATTGAGTTTGGAAAAAGAAGACCCGATGAGCGGGATGATTGCGAAAGAAGGGGACTGAGTAACTGTGTTGTCTTGGACTTTGATTAGTAGTGCATAGAGAGAGGTAAAAGGCGCGGCCATGACGGAGCTGTTGCGGCGGGCGGTCAGCCGCACATCCACGTGATTACTGAGACCGCTGGCTGGATCGCGACAGCTTCATGGGGGACCTACAGCCATCAGTCTGATTGTTCTGAGCACTGGTTTTTCAATACTGATCAACTTCGATAATTTTTCACCAGCGACCATTTTGCCTCAAGCCATAATTGTCGATACTACTAGTCTGAGTGGTGTTTCTCAAATATTACATACTTTGTCCACGCAAGCTCCTCAAACGGCAAGGCCAACGCTGCCAGTATGGGGAATATGGGTGTCCCCAATCCCGTAACCGGGTCCCAACCCTCTGTAGCATTCCAACTCGCGCGTGGTACAAGTGCGCTTGAGACTCCAGCTTCACCTTCTCCAGAACAACCTCGTGAACCACCCTCTAAAATATCCGTGAATCCAGTCCGCCCGACGCTATACAGCCATGGATTCAGAAACCCCATTCGAGGGTTCCCGTTTGCAAGTCGAATCGCATTCAATTGTGATACGATTGCTGCAAAGACTGGGCCGGCCGCACTATTCGAGGATAAATATCTGGGCTCAAGGGGCGTTAGAAACGGAGAATGGGGACGAACCTCGTTCCGCTAATTTTCAGCCAGGTGTCATGGTCCCGAATGATGAAATTCTTCGCTTGAGCGGCGACATCGGGCGTGGCTCTTCCGCGGGGATTGTAGTAACCAGCCCACTGACTGCCAAGATGATCGAGGTAGTTGTCAACTGCCTGATCCTGGTACTCAGGGCGACCGAAGATGTCCGAAAACCCTCCACTTGAAAAGTCAATGGCGACTTCAGGGTGCATTCCTTCGACACCCCCAACCGCCGTGACAAACGGACAGGAGGCTGGAAAGATGGTCTGAAACCTGGTTCGATTCTTCCCATCGTTACTGAGACATGACTCGCCCACTCCAGAGTCTCCGCTGCTAAATATCACTGACACACCCCGAGCACCCAGCTGCGCAAACAGGTTACACACTGATCTTGCGTAAGCCGCTGGCACGCTTTGCTCAATCTCCCCGTATGAAGTAGTCAGCACTGCGGGGAGCTCGTCATCAGGCAGGTTGATCAGGTAATGCAGCTGATCCAGAAACGGTTCATTCTGCGAGTCGTCCACAACGAGCTGGCCTGCTGGTGACTTTGACCGTGCGCGTCCTGCGGTGGTATAAAAAGTCACTGGAGCATTGTGTGCCAGAGCAGCAGCATATTGTACGTCCAGACTCGCCTCTGTGCTACTAGCTGAAGATTTCTGGGGATTCATGCCTCCATTGACGGAAACGACGTTGAAATCAAGGTTCGATGCAGTCGAAGAGAATCGATGTATGAAGTGGGTAAGATCGGCATGGCGAGCGTATTGATCCAGGAAGCCCGAGACACCCAGTCGGTTTGCGGGATCTGGCGACGCGGTTGTGCTATACAGACCGTATAAATCCCGAATACAATCGGGTCGCATCACGATGCCGCATTCTGCAACGAGATCCTCCGCCGTGGCCCCAATCGGCTGATCAAGCGGCAGTCCGGCGCGCTTGGACAAGTCGGTGTTCTGGGGAGCCTCCATCTTTCCGAACTTTGTCGTTGGCTGAACGGAGTGGATATGAGGCCGTATCTTGCACGGCACTGAATACTCGAGGGTTCTGATCAATGTCCTTTGGCTTGCAGAATTGTGGTGATACGAGAATTGGGTATGGAACATGGCCTCGGCTTGAGATACAGTCGCTTCAAAGCTGACCCAGTTTCCATGTACATCAATTGAGTTCTCTGACACCTTGTTCGAATACAGCCAACTGAGTATTATGTCGAGAACGTTGGGCTCGGGTTGCAAGAGATCAGCCACCTCGTCCCGCTTCATGTGTTTTCCATATCGAGGGTGATGTGGTGACGACACTTCAAGCACAGTTTGTTCGAGGGCGGCAGTACCCGGACTCTTCATCTCGAGTCTGAATTTCAGAACCCTTGAAGACTCGGCTTGCGCTCCTTTTGACCAACTCGGTGGTAAGCCTGAGAACTTCTCGACAGGTTCGAAACACACTTCACGTGTGTATAATGCTACAGTCGGACCAATTGCTTGAAGAATAGTTGTCAACGAGAATAAAAGCATTTTCCGAGAGGTGTTGATTACGCTTGAGCTCCGGGACAGAAAATGTCGAGCCGAGATTGAACCCTTTCCTTATCCTTGCCACAGGGCCAAGTGGGCGCGAGTCAAAATCTGGTGTATCGACCGTGTGTACGATACTGGCAGACCCAATGGAGTCCAATGAGTCTAAGGTGGAAGCCAGGTCTCTGCAGCGTTGTGTGAAGTAGTTTGCGTAAGGAAATATAAGCCCAGCCGGAAGAGGTTCATTATGTACTGCACCTGCAGCCAGCCCACTGCTGGGAATCAAAATGACGGGATTGTCGATTCTTTTCCATTTTCGCGATTACTTCACGCAACCTGGTCCATGAGAGCACCAATGACAGCCACGGCTGGCGCGAAAAGCGTTCCCCATCGAGGGAGATTCTTTGTTTGGCAGCCGCCACGAAAGCCCAGACCAGAGGTTTCCCCGTCCTCAAAGCCCCATTCGAGAACAAGATGGCTCAAGATTGGCTTCGCATATTTGATGGAGCCAGTGCCGAGATTTTAGTCAGTCTGCGCAGACGATGAGACTTGCGATATGTTATAGACTGGGCTGGTAACAGGGGTATTATTTTGCGGACCAAACGAGCTGCCTTGTAGACCAAGACGGTGTCGGCCGCGGAACACGGACTGGCTGTGCCATAACGAAAAGGCTTTGATCGACAAAAAAATCACTTGTACGCTAATCGACCTCAAGCCCAGTTATTGCATGAAGAGATCCAACAGCACATCCCCTAGGCCTCGCATCTCGACTCTCGAGGGACACACTGACGGAAGATCTCTTAATCCGAAGACCGAAAATGCGGGATGATCGACGTCACTGGAGAAATGGTCCGCCAGTGGCCGTCGTGCATGTCGTGCATTTAGCATTTTGCTCGACTCCACCGTCGTCGTGAAGCCACCTGCTGAGCTTCTCAAACGGCTCCCAGCATACCCCACGCTCCACTCGTGTCACAGTGACCGGCTTCTGGTGTCCCCTGCAGCAACGTTTCCGTTTTTCTTCCTCTTCCATCGTCCTCACCTCTGTTTCCACCTCCCTGCGATTAGTTGATCTGCTGTGTTTGAAGGTCCTGCCGGTCTCCCTCACCTGTCAGTTGTGGAGCCATTTCCAGAACTCTCCAGGAAGATCAATTCAACTTGGCCCAGAGTCCACAGTTTGCTAGCCAAGTGGGGATCTACTCTGTTCCCTGGCTTTATCGGGAGCTTACCAGTATCACCGGTCAAGCTCGAAGACAGTACCCCGTTCGTGAATTGCAGAGCATCAGAATCGGTTGAGCAAAACCCCCTCGGCTAAGCGAGGTGGTATGATCAGTTTGAGCTCTTACCGACGTCATCTTCGCTTCTCCTTGACGGGTTCAGCAAATCGCTTTTAGCTAGCCTTTGCTTTCAACCCTTCTCGACTCCCTCCCTTTCTACCTTTTAAATCCCCATTTCTAATCGACAAGTCACCATGGCGGAGCTGGAGACCCAGCCCGTGCGCCGCTTCTCGGCGGATAACCAAACGGTCTCCAAATCGGAGATACCTCTCAAGGAGCGGTTCTTCCGCTACTTTCAGCTCGAAATCACTGGTACGCCAATGATGCGAAATGACTGAAAGATAGCACTTGGCTGACCGTATGACAACAGCTCTTCAACAGCAGATGGATCGACTGGCCGATACCTCCCTCATAGGCGGAGAGCGAGCCGATGCTACCGACCACTGCCTTGCAGGCATTGTACACCTCTCCAACGAAGTCAAAGATGCCGCCAGTTACATCCCCACCTATGACCAAAGAGTCTATGCTGAAGTGAGACACCGCCGTATCACACGAGTGAACGCCCGTTGCTGATGCTTTTAACCCAAGGCAATTAAAGCCCTACAGGAGAAACTCAACGAAACACGAGCAGCTTTCGAGCCCCGAGCCAAATTCAGCTTCAAGAGCAAGAAGAATGCATCCGGGGTCTCCTTGTCCGACGCGGCGTCACTGGCTGTGAATGGCCGTCGAGGCATCCCCGGCTACCAATCTCCGGGTGCCTCTTCCATGGGCTCTTCTACCGCCAATACTCCAAATTATCCCTCTACACCACTGAATGAACCCGACAAGCAGCTTCAGGAAAGACCAGAAGTTGCCCCAACTTCGTTCCCCGCAGCACCTGAGCCAAACACCAAATCCAAGTCGTCACCCCAGGCTAAAGCAACCAAGACATACGAAGTCCAGGGAGTCTCCAACGTATCCGTGGACAATCATAAAGGCCTTCACATCATGCTTCCGGCCTCTGGCTCTGGACCCACAGTGCCGGCTTCGATCACCTCTCTTGAACATTGCGTGGTCGACATGTCGATTCCGACCGCGGATGGCAAGCCTTATGCTAGTCTTACCGTGAGAAATATTGAGGAGAGTCTGTTGATCTGTGGACAAGTGAACGGACCGGCGCATATCACAGGAGTCAGCAAGAGCGTCATCGTGGTCTCGTGTCGTCAATTTCGCATGCATGACTGTTCTGATGTGGATGTCTATCTGAGCTGTTCAAGCAACCCGATCATCGAGGACTGCTTGAACATTCGATTTGCCCGGATTCCGAAGGCTTATGTATGTGCTGAATTTTGATGCCAATTTCTATGCTTTTTGGTTTACTGACTCTTTCTGGTTTAGGCACTGGATCATGATCGCCTCGACCATGAGGATCGTTGGAGCCAAATCGAGGACTTCAAGTGGATCAAACCCGAACCGAGCCCGAATTGGAGCCTTCTCGATCCGAGCGATGCCATTCCAGAAGAGGTGTGGGCGGAGATTGTGCCAGGTGGTCCGGGCTGGTCTCTGGAGGATATTCTCCATGCCATCAAGTTAGTCAAGAATTGAGCAAGGCGTTGTGCATTTTCGCGGAGGTTTGTTGTTCGCATGCGTTACGAAGGGCACAATATTCAGTGCGTACTGTATTCTCTCCAAAGCAACCTTAGCCGGGGCCGGCGGCACCTCGAAATTGACTCAATTTGGAAATGTCAGTTCCATTTGCGACTAGAGTCCCAGACACTGCTCCGACACGAGAGGGACGTAGTATCATTACCACCACGCATAGTCAGATATCAAGATTTTGCAATAGCGTATTATTGCCAGCAATTAATCTATGACTACCCGCCACTTTTACGCCTGGCCAGCGATCTCATCGAAGTAGAATGACTCGTTCAGAAGTCCAGCAACAGATGAAGAGGCCTGAGTTGCGAAAGAATTGGAAGGACATCGTGGTGTCGACTCTATGCCAGCTTCGAGTCACGGGGTGTATTATCCCTGCAATACGCGGAATAAACTCGCTGGTCAGCCACAGCAAGACATTCAAAGCAATACGGCACCTCACACGTTGCAAGCGTTCGCCAAGAAGTACAAGACCACTCACATTTGTCCAAAGTACTCATCAAATCTCTCCTCCGTAACCTTGATGCAATCGAACCCGTAGATCTCCCGCTGAACATCCGCATCCGCCCATTTATCCGGCACCGGGCCCTTACCCTGCCTCAGAGCCGCAAACTGACGATCTCGCTCCTCTTTCGCCGCCCCATCACCCAGGTGCAGGGCACGACCCGAAGCAGCCGCCATTTCGACCAGAGTCTCGGCGCGAGACTTGCGAACCTTTTCGTACACGCGCAGAGCCTTGTTGATGGAGTCCGGCGTGGTGTCGGGTAATCTCGACAGGGCCGCGGCAATGACGGCACCATCCTCAATGGCTTGGGCAGCGCCCTGGGCCAGATGAGGCAGCGTTGGATGGCAGGCGTCGCCGAGCAGAGCGACATTTTCATGTACCCATGTCGGGAGGGGGTCGTGGACGCGTAATTTCCATTCGCAGACTTCGCCCTCGGGAACGTAGTTGAGCAGTCGCTTGACCATGGGGCAAAAGTCGTCGAAGACCTGCATCATGGCGCTCTTGGACCCCTTGGTCGTGTACGTGGCATTTGTGGCGGCGGCGAAGTTGGTGTCTGGCTGGATGGTGGAGAGATTGTAGATGGTGTTGTTGGAGACGGCGTAGGCGATGATATGCCGCTTGGCTCCGATCCAGCGAGTGACGCGCGTGCTGTTAATCAGGGCCAGAAGCTCCGGATCGTCTTTGAGCTTGTCTTTGTGGATCATGATTCGATAGGCGGCCTGGTTGGTGTCGCGGACACCCGTGTGCACATTGAGGCGCTTGAGCATCTCCTGACGAGCGAGCGATTTGATTCCATCCGCTGCGAGGAGGACATCGCACTCCACGCGGAAAGAGACTTCTCCTTGCTTGCGCGGCACAGCTATGAATGACGGTCGAGATCCAAATTCGACGTACTCGGCGTTGATGCCAAAGTGAAATTTGATGGCGGGTTGCTTCTTGCATCCCTCGTACAGACCCCCGGCTAATGATGCACGATGGCCTACCATGTGCTTGTACCCATATGTCTTTTCAATATACCCGAGCTCGACATGTGCAAGCTCATTGTCCGTTGCGCCGTCTACCGAATCGTTAGCTTCACCTCTTGAAATTCAGCGAGTATGTATTTGAAAAAAAAAAAAAAAAAAAAAGAAAAGAAAAATTGGGTCATCACCGGTCAAAGGGGACGAACGCAAGCCACGAATGGAAATTCTACAGACCTCGAACAGACGTCTCCGTGATATCCACGGCCTCGGCTTCTATCCTTCTCCATACACCAAGTCCATCCAGCACACGAGCCATATTTGGAGCCAACTGGATACCAGCCCCCACAAAGCCCAGGTCCTGTGCATTCTCGTAGACATCGATTGACTTGAATCCGCGTTTGGCTAGAGCAAGGGCCGTCGTCAGACCTCCCATGCCGGCGCCAATAATGGCAATTTGCAGATTTTCGAGATTCTGCATCTTTCGCGCGCTCTCAGCAAATAACCAGGCAGCCAAGTGTCTTTCAGTCCCTGGACGGTTGTTATAAGGGAAAAAAGATAGATGAAAAGGTGAGGTTGAACGAGTGAGCAAGGGTATTCGGGGGGGGGGAAAGACAGGTGTCTCGAATCAACCGGTTAAATTGATATCATGAAGGTACGAGACTGTGCGATTAGATATATTTATGTAAGAGAGACAAAGTGAGTCCATTTCTTGTTCAGCTATTGGATACGTGCACTGCCCGTCAGCTGCTATGGTATGGTAGCCTTCTCGGTTGAGTTCCAGGAATCTGATCGATGGAATGGTGGAAGCGGCTGAGATATTTGCCGCTTCTCTCCACAATTACCCCACAACTCCGGGCCGAAGGAATGGAGGGTACCTCAGTGAGTACAAACCTCCAAATGACCGGATTAGAGCAAAGTCGAAATCCTACTGTGCTCACTGTGCTGAGTACGCCGTGGTTATCATGAGTGACTGCGCAGCTGAGTCGTGTATTACCTATGGAAGTCTTGATTGTATGATAAGTGGGAAAACGATATCTGCCGTAGGTAATCTATTCCACTACGATATCGAAGATCTGACCATGGCAGTCAATTGCCTCCCACCTCATGGTCGGGTTTCTGACAGTCAAGACTCAAGAGATATAACGATCGGTCTCTATACTGATCGAGACAACAGTCAAATGGGACGTCGGCTTGGAGAGCGACTACATCAACTTCGAGCTTTGCGACTTATATACAGAATTTGGGGCGAAGTTTCCATCAGAATTAAAGTCTATGCCGTTCTTTTCCGTGACTCTCCTCCGCGAGCAACATGCAAGAGAAGAATTGCAAAAAAATGGATGTGTGAGCTGGTCGCTTCATAGCATTTGTTATGGGCTGTTAGCAGTGTCTCTGCGTGCATGAAGATATTCCAGTCTCTGGTATCATTCCAAGTACGTAGACTATTCTAAATGTAGTGCCTGTGAGGTATATACAACTTCCCAGGTACTTCTCCTACCTGTGAACAGCTCGGCTAAGTCCCACCTTCCCAATCCGTGTATCTGGATCAATTCGACGTCCCCACACACTCGCAAGCGCAGGCGTAATGTCGCCTCCTCGTGGCAGGTGGCTCCGTCAATCTCGTCCACCCTTCCAAATGGGGCGGACTAAACATGTTTCTGGGTGCCTTTGTGAACTGCCGAATGTTCATGTCGGGTAACTTGTTCCTTGTATCATCGGATGTTGGTGATTCGTCTGTGCTTCACATAAGGTTGTTCAAGCCTCACACTGGAGGTCCGGGTATTATCCGCCTATAAGATTCAGGAGAGCGGTCATTTGGTCATTCAGAGACCGGGTGCGCCGGAAATAATGTTGTACGTAGAGTACTGCCGGTGAAAAGTTCAATAAGTCAGAGCAAATCCTCTAAACGGAAGGCAGTGAGATGTAGTAATAACCTCATCTGACTTTTACACGGTATCTACCTCTATGGTCTTCTACCGCGTACTTCACAGAGCTCGATTCCGATTCCGTTAATCGGGGACATCCTGTCTTCTTTATCTGAAATACGATGTAGTCATTTGACACGGTGGCATTCTGGGACATGGCATTGAGTAAATACTACGGGGTTTTGCGCACGCCTGCCGCTTACCTTCCACTTGGTCAAGTTGCAACATCTATTGGCTACGAAAACTTTGCAAAGAGGTCAATTTGAGCGAAGAATGATTCAAGGAGGAAAGAATGGAGGAATATTGTATCCTTAGGTGGAAGAAAAATTGAATTTCCATACCAGGCGCTCAATCTGATATACAAATGTGGATCTATCATGCCATCGCAAGAAAAGGAGCAGACTCAGTGAAGGAGTTCCCAAAAAAAAGGTATGTATAACAATCAAAGAATCAGAAAGAAAGAAAAAGAAACGATGATAATCATGTGCGGGTGTCATGTGTGCGACCAAAGACAGGCGCGGGTGTAATAAGTACATGAACAGAAAAAGCTCAACATAGCGCGAAGATGGTTGCACTTCTTCAATCGAACAAATTCAGTAAATCACTCAATTTACAAGAGGCCAGCGGGGACGACGCTGCCGACGGTAGTGGTCAGGCTGGACAGGCCAAGCATGGAAAGCAGACCAGTGACAGTGCCCTCAACCTTGACGAGGAGAGCAGAGACACCATCCTGACCGAGAACACCGAAGAGCTGGTTCTGGTCGGCGTCAACGTTCTGGGCAGCTCCGGCGAGCTGAGAGACAACGGGGACCTCGGCGACAACGGTACCGACGACGCCCTGGACGGAAGACAGGTCAAGGCCACCGAGGAGGTTCAGGATGGACTGGTTGAGCTGGATGTGGAGCGGGAGACCGTGAAGATTGGTGATGGTCATGACCTTGGAGGGAAGACCGTCGCGCTTGGCAGTAGAACCAGCGCCAGACACGACACCCTCGACGTTGCCGACGATAGAGCCAACCAGGGAACCAGTCTGGCCAAGTCCAAGGCCGGAGAGGAGACCCTCGACAAGGGAGTTGACCTTGACGAGAGCAACGCCGCCAGTGCCAGTGGCCACGGTCAAGGTGGTGCCAGTGACACCATCAAGGTTGAGCTCATGGAGAGTAGGGGCAACCTGGACGATCTGACCAACGGATTGAACCACGCCTCCCAAGTTGAGACCAGCCAAAAGGTTGGCCACGGTGGGCTCCAGCACAACCTTGACCAGCTTGCCGGCTTGATCGGTGACGCCCAAGACGTTGTTGACCTTGCCGTCAACCAAGCCAGAGGCCTGGCTGGGAATCTGACCAGTGGAGACCTGTGCGGCGCCGGCGGAAGCCTGAGCACTGTAACCCTCGGTAGCAACATTCACGCTGCTGGGAAGATTCGAGATGACGGGAACACCGGAGGAGGTATAGCTAGGAGTGGAGAGGACACCAGAAGCAACGTTGGACACGACGCTCGCGGGAAGGGCGGCGGCAACAGAGGCCAAAATGGCAGCGGAAATGGCGAAGGACTTCATCTTGATGATTTGGAAAGAGTGGATGGTGCTTGTTAGAAAGCGTAAGGAATGGACGGTATAAAAACCTGCGAAGAGAGTGACTGAGCTAAGGAGCAGTGGAGATGGGAGTTGATTCCTGGGAAAAGACAAATTGAACCGGCGGTGCAACCTGCATTTATAGTGTTGTTTGTGTTCATAGGGGTATGCGACAGGAGACTGATGAGAGTCTCCAGAGTGGATTGATCGAACACCGCTTTGGAATTGAGGTTTGAAGATCGAATGCTCAGTTTCTGAGCAAGTGGATTGTCCAGCTTCGTTGATCCCCATTCGGTTTGTCCGGAGGAGTGTATAGACCCGCTCGGGAAATGAGAAAACGAGATCTCACCACGAGAACTTGAGAATCTTGTCGATTGTTCATCCACTTTCCTGGACATGAAAATGTAATTCGTGTTCTCCTAGGCCTGAAGACCCGGACAATTTCCTAGGCCTTCCCTTAGCTCGCTCGAGTAGTGAGGAAGTTCATCCCCATTCGCAGATGCGCAGATCATGACCACATTGATCCATGAGTACGGACCCTTCAGTGATTCACGCTCCTATCAAACACGGTGGATTCCTGTATTTCTGTCGACTTGCTGTCCTCTACCAAGGTGCTCAACGTGGGGCGAAAAGATGCAGTTTCGAAGACCCAGGCGCGGCTTTGCAAAAGATGTGCAATCTTGAGAGAAGATATTTGGATGTATCAGACAATCTGATAACAAGAACGGAAACCAAAGAATGTTCCCGGCCACGTCAAATTGTTTGAAGCATGAAACCCGCATGCTGATGAGCCCAGGATCGTCACTCTGCGAGTGCTTATCTTTAGGCTCTCAACCCCAAGCCTCCACCTCTTCTTGCTGAATTCGTCCGAAACTCAAGACGACGAGCCCGCTGAAAAGCGGCATGAGAAGTACCGAATCACAGTGTGATCGTCGGCAGTGAGTGGAGATGGTGGATTCTGGCGTCATTATTTTGTCCCTCGACGTGCTTGGCTGCGAGAGGAAAGTGCCTCGAGCTGTCGAAGATCTGCAATCATTCGGGGTCGACCACGTTCCCAGGGACCTTCCGGTAGCTTGACAGTCATAGCTAGTGCGACTTTTCTGATCCACAGGCTCCTCTCACTAGCCCTCGATGATCATAATCCACTTGTCTGTGGGGAAGACTGCAATCCAAGTGCGTCTTTGACCAGGAAGACCAGGGAACAAGTCCCCTCCCCGTGCAACATCGCTTGGATATGATCTTCTCATTGCTACCAAGGCTCCGTAACGGAGCTGACGGCGACGTGGTCGACAAGCTTCAGACATGTGTAGTCAGATCGATCTTGATTGTTCTCTGGAGCTTGATGGCCCATGTCAAGGGATGTATCGGATGGCCAAGCGGATGCGCATGGTCTGGTGGTCCCCACTTGATGCAATCCTGCCTTTGAGACCTCGTTCTCACCACTCCTCGACTGGGTGCCGTGGCGCAGGGTATTTGCACATCGAAACAGGCTGGAAAAGGAGCGCCAGGGTCACCAAGTGCCGAGACGCGGTGGGGCATCAAGCTCTGCGGATGACTGGGGAGCGGTTCACTGTGGAGTCGGCTTTGACCTCAAGAACGGGCCAAATCCAATACTCGTACCCCTGAAGATCTCCATTTCGCGGGAAAGTCATAGTCATACTCAGGCCTCAAAAAAAGTCCCAAACAATCAGACGGTGTTTGATGAACCAGAAAATGAGGCCAATCTTGACACATCAAAGTGTGTCCGCGATCAAAGTCGTGCAGCTCCTGCATCAGCCGGGATCCCGCCTGAGGCTTAACTTTGCGCCTCTTCGAGTAGTAGTAGTAGTAGTCATGTATGCTCTGCAGCGAACTACAGTACCCCGATCCCCGATCCCGTGTCGGTTCGGGCATCTAGAGGGTCTACCAAACCTGGCATCAACAGGATTGATCAGCATAGACTGATGGGGCAGCTCTCTTGCGCTACTCACCGTACGTTGAAATTCAAACCTTAATCGCCGTCTAGTCCGAAGCCGTTCAAAAAAAAAAACAAAGTTGCCATAGTTCTGTTTCCTGAGCTGCAGTGACGTTCAATTTTGGGTGATTTATCTGAAGTAGAGCTTCGAACCTCTTGAGTGAGTAGGAAGAGCCACCGAGACTTTCTATCTTGGAACTTTGCGTGCATCATGCTCACGTTTTGTATCGATGTCGATTGTCATCACGTACTTGGTGCAAGGTCACGATGTTCATAATGACGTCCGACTTCAATGGCTAAGTGGACGAAATTTGTGCAACCACAGCTCCCCGAAGTCTCGCAGGATATGATTTAAAAAAACGACAATCACAGTGGAGTCCTTAGGTTGAAATGATAAATTAGGAGAAGGACAATAAAGTCAACTGCATGACTCGGTCGCCTTTCAAGGAATTCTGTCAACGGGCGTGTACTGGAAGCAACCTTAACAGCTGATGACCTAAGGCTCGTTATACTTCGCGCAGCAAAGCTACAGCGACTGAGACCCAGGTAAGATGGATGGCATGGAGTTTGGGCAATGGTCGAGTGCTTGAAGTACCCCAGTAACAGCTGAGGCCCAGGGGAAGTGTTGAGATATCCAGCGTTGTATAGAATTATCCCGCGCTGTTTTTTGCAATTGAAGAGGTCCCTAAGCTGTCACCTACCTAACGTCTATATAGGACTTGTAGGTTGCCAAGTCCATTAAAACGTTGCAGTCGCCGCACAGCGGGATAGGTGTACCACAGCATATACATAGAAAACGAACGGTATGGATGTTCTATCTGGTGGAGATATATGATTCGGAACCTGCGGTCCGACTGTGAGAACGGAGATGTACGGACTCGTCCATCCCTTGAAGGAATAAGAGGCAGTTTCCACGCAATTGGCAAGATCTATGTGAAGACAGCGAGCTCGAAAGTCGCTCGCACTCTATCTAGCCAAACTTTGACGTGGAGATTGTGCTAAGTAACAGTTCACCGTAATGATTGTCTTCCAAAATCTCCAAGTCGAGGCTAGTCAGTACTTGTCTGGCCGCGCCGATGGGATTAGTATAGCGGAATAGCCACCTACACGATGGAGTCTCCAAGAGCTCATCAACTGGTGGGCTGATAACCGATAAGATAAGGAAGCTTGCGCGCGACCGGGCAACGCGAGGCACGCGCGCATTATCGCGTCGCCCACTTAACCCGTCTGCCATACGTCCTTGAGAGACTCACAGATTCGTCCTCTTCAGACCGACACCATACCTTCGATTCCAGGTCTGACGGCAATGATCTAGGCCGAAATTTTCACGTCGGTCAATTAATTCTCGGGGAATAAATACCTTACCCTTCGGCTCGTACAATGTCTACACAATCTACGCCGCGCTCGGCGCGCTCGCCCTCCTACCAGGGGAATTCTCCGCGTATCTTGACACCGGGACAAAAGATAAAAGCCATGATGGCCCAATTTGACAGCGACTCGGAATCAGATTCAGAAACGACAAAGAAAACACGATTGTCTTTATCGAAGCTGGACTTCGGCGCTAAAACCACCTCTGCCGGACACAGCAACCTCCATCATTCAGAAGACGACTCGGACGAGGATAATATGATGGTCAGGCCTAAAGGCCGCATGGCCGCCCGCATGCAAGGCGACACCGATGTATCCGCGGTCTCAAACAAGGCTCAGCAAGCATCCATCCCCCCACAGCAGCCAGAGCCGATCCGGAAAAACACAGAACCAAAGAGAAACACAAACCCACGGAGTCCATCACCAATGAGCGAATCGAGTAGCGACGAACTGCCTTCGGCAATCCCACGGCGAAGGCCCAATGCAAGAACGACACAATCTCCCGTTTCCCAACGTCACTCATCTGTATCGCCTGCACCGGCACGGTCTAGCTCACCATTGTTCGTCTCGTCGGCGGCGTCTCAGAATGGTGATATCTCCGAAAATAGAGAAAGTGAGACACTGGCAAACCCCAAATCCAATGCCAGGTTTCTTGCGCTTGTCGCCAAGAAACGTAAGGAGCGAGAGGAGCGCGAACGTCTCGAAGAGGAACGACGGGAAGCTCGACGCGCCCAAATGGAACATTTCAGCTCTGAAATCGTGTCTGGTGAAGAGACCGAAGGCGAGGATGGGAACTCAGGTCAGAAACTGAGCCAAGTCCCACGACAGCCTCGAAAGGCAAGCAAGAAAGCCTTGGAGGAAATGCGCCAGGAGACGCAACGCATGAGTCGAAACATGCAGCTGGCTCACCAGGCCCAGACGAAGAAAAAGCTCACCAAAGAGAGTTTGTTCGCGAAATTCAACTTCATGCAGCCCCCGCCCGCCCCTACAGCAGCCGCGACTACGAATTCATCCTCGACTGCGGGGTCACAGCAATCCTCAGATGGGGAGATCCCGAAGAGGCACGATAGAACACCAGGCACATCCCCTGTGTTGGGGCCGTCAGACACAGAGAAGCCCGTGCCAGCGCTCACCGAGATATCGGTACCGCAGGTAGCTGACGCTGGTGCTAAGCCAAGCGAGGCCACCCTTCTCGCGCAACCCAACAATTCAAAGTCTCCTGTCGGCGTGGATTCAGCAAAAGCTTCGGTCATGTCCAGGAAGGAGATCCGCAAGCCAGCACAGCCCGCGGTTCGCGTGCTTCTGTCACGTCAAGATGTTGCCCGACAGCAAAAGGATGACTCGGATGATGACGACCTTGAGGTTGTCACATCCCCCTCAAGGCTCGGCGGATAGCTGTGTTTGAAAATTTACCTGCACGGAAACTCGAGGAATCGGCATCGATGCTCAAATTGAAGGCTCTCGCCCACCTGACATCTCCTAGTCGCAAGCACAAAGGGATGAACTCGGCTGAACTATCTGCAAATCTACTCCTAAAGGCACGGCAGCAAGCTGCTAGAGATCGCAAGGAACGAATCGACGAGCTGAGGGCGAGGGGAATTGTCATTGAAACAGCCGAAGAACGTGCTGCTATGGAAGACGATATCGAGGACATGATGGAAAAAGCTCGCCAGGAAGCTGACGAAATTGCACGTCAAGAAAAGGCAGAAAAGAAAACCGCTCATGGCCTCGATTACGTCAGTGACAATGAACACGAAGACTACTATGAACTTTCAGGTTCAGAGGATGATGAAGGAGAAGACGGGGACGACGATATGAACGAGGCCGAGGACGGCAATAATGACTCTGACGTTGCGAACCGCACAGAGTTTTTCGACAAAGAGGCTAGCGAGGAAGACGATTCCGCCAGTGAGGACCTTTCCGACGACGACGGTATGTCTGATACGGAGCATTCGGTCGAGGCCTCGAGTGGTCGACGAGTGCGGCGGAGTCGGGTGATCGATGATGACGAAGAAGATGAGCCACAAGTGCCTACCACGCCAATGAAGCAAACAGCCGCGAATCCGCAATCGGTGCCGCAGTCTCTGCAGCGACCACTGTTCCCCGGGATGGAGACACCTGGAGACGTTTCCATGGGACTTACGCAAGCTTTCGCAGGTACCCTGGCAGACGATCAAGACGACTCAAGCCAGCAAGGCCATTCCACGATACCGTCCACCCTTCCTGACCCCGGTGGTCCTGTTCCCCGACTGCGTCATGAGGAGTCCGAGATTCTTGTGGCTGACAGTCAGGAGCAGCCCCTCGAGTCTGATTCCGTGCCTGGCTACGCTCCGAACGTGAGCAGAGTGTCCGAGTCGCCTGCTACGCACCGCTTCTCGCAATTTTCCCAAATGCCTGATCCCACACAAGATCAAGGATTTGTGTATTCGCCATTCGACCCGACCAAGCGCTTCCGTGAGACTCCACCTGTCTCGACTGTCGACACTGTTCTCGTCGGTCAAAGTCAGTCACCCGGTGCGGAACGTAAGGTAAGGCTACTCAAACGTGGCGGCCGCCCTGCGAACCTTTCAATGGTGGAAGAGGTCGAGCATGAGGATGGTTTCGAGATCAGTGCCGATGCCTTTAATGTAATGAAGAAGGGGTCGAAGAAGACGGCTGTTCCTTTCGACAAGAAGACTAGCAAAGCCAGAAACATCATCGATGAAGCTGCAGAGGAATCCGAGGATGAATACGCTGGTCTTGGAGGTGCAAGCGACGACAGCGAAGGCGAAGAGGATGCCTACGACCAGCAGATGATCAACGACCAGAGTGGAGAGACTGTCGATGAAAAGCAGCTAGCTGCGATGAATGCGTGAGTACTTTCCCGCTATCGAGACTTGGAACATGGGGCTAATGAAGATCATTCTTTCAGCTTGCATCAACGCGAGCGCGACGAGAAGGAAGTTGCCAAGCTATACAAAGACATCACCACAGGAGCCTTCCGCCGTCGACGTGGTGGCGACGACGATCTTGATCTTGATGATTCAGATGATGAACGCCGGGCTCGCCAACGCGAGAAGCAACGCGAATTTGCCAAAATGCGACGGGCTCTTCTTGCAGACGACAAGGTCGGGCAGTTGGCCGAAGATCCGAAAAAGGCCGCTTTCTTCAAAGCCATTGAAGATCGAGACGCAGACGATGACTTTGAGCTGGACTTCCTCGAGGATAAGCCCGGAGACTCCCAAAACGAAGCTTCTTCTCAAGACCCGACTAAGGATCAAAGCGAGTCAGCAGACGACGGCAAGAAGCGCAAGCGTCCTCTCGAAGTGTCTGCTGAAGATGCTACTAACCGTCCACCGCCTCATCTTCGCCGAACTCCCGCCAACGCCATGTCCAAGAAACCCGCAACCTTAGCGGAAATTCGGGAGACACTGTCATTCTTGACTGAAACTCATGATTACGACTCATTCCACGAGGATGCCTCGATTGACGACGAAGAGCCCGCTGAGGAGGAAGCCAGATCAGCGAATGGCAACGACGAAGCAATGTCCGAAGACGCTGCACCGCAATCCAAAGATGGTTTCGCGATACCTAGCCACCCTCGTCGCACACGAGGTACAGTGGTGGACCGTCTCGCTCTCCTCCGCCAAGCCTCATCCAACTCGGCTACTGCCACTAACTCTGGAGCGTCTTCGAACACAAAAATGGCCTTCCATAGCGGAGCCACAGCCGACTCCCCTGTTGGGTTCCGTCCACCTCAGCTTTTGCGCCGTATGAACACTGGCTCCTCTGCTTCGTCTAGCTCAAGCACAGCCTCTACAGGCGGCAGCCGTGTTTCCCAAGCCGCGCCCTCGGGTCCCAAGAAGGGTGGAGCGATCAATTCCTATACCGCTGCCCGTGAAAAAGAGCGTGAGAAGCAGCTTCGAATGAAACAGCGCAGTGGCGGTTCAAATATTGCCAAGCTGTTGGGAAAGCATGCTGGAAATGGATTGGGTGCCCTCGCTGGAAAGGGGCAGTGGGAGTAGGCGATCACCTTGTTCGTCCAGTGTAACGATAGCTTTGAGGTTTATGATGTCTTTTTTTCTTTCCTTTCCTCTGACTAGGCGTTGGGATCTTGGGTTGGCTTGGAGTCGCTCATGTTTCATTTCATGGGGATGCTCATTTTCCGGCGTATTGGGCTTCTCAAGGTTCTTCTCATGTCATACTGTCAATTATTGGTTTCGAACACTCTATACAACCCCAAGTGGTCAATGGAGAGCCTCCCCCTGTAAAAGCTATTTACCATGTTATTGTGCAGTTTGCTTCATCGGGTGCATGCCCCGGTGTGGCGTCAAATACTTTGCTTATAGCAAACGTTCAAGTCCAGCTTCTCATACAATGCCATCAGGGATTGAATAGTAGTAGCCGAATCTTCTGCATCACCATCACGCTGCAGAAGATAACTCTTCCAGCCCGCATCAACAGCCCCCGCATAATCTTTCTTGAAATCGTCTCCGACATGCACACAAGTCCAGCCGTCAGATTCCTCTCCCTCCATACCCGTAACACCAGATCGTGACTCAAGCCCGCGATCCTGGTGTTGTACAAACCTCCGCGCCTGCCGCTTTGCAACATCATATATCAATCGATCTGGTTTCTCGGCCCCGGCCTCATAGCTCGTAATCACCAGATCCAGGTCAACGTCCGACAGAACGTCCGCGAGCCCAGAATCAGCCCAAGGCTGGTGCTGATTCTCCGCATCTTCCTGCTCCTCGAAACCAGGTAATGCCGTACTGGATCGATCTACATCGGCACGCGTACGCCCGACCCGAAGCCCCAACGACTTGAGGACCTCGGGAACGCGATCATCCGAGTTCGATATCACGCCAAGGACAATTCGGTCAAAGGGGAGTTTCGTTTTGGATTGCACGTCCGACGAGTCACTCGCTCGCAGGTCGCGCATCTTTGCGAAAAACGGCAAAACGTCATCGTACAGCCTATAACCTCCGTCCCCCATGAAGCGGTCCAACAACTTCTCGATCATTCCACTAGGAAGCTCCAGATCACCGCGACGCGATGTAGACGTGGACGTGGACGCAGAGGACGAATCTCCATTCACTTCCTCCGCCAACACCGTCGCAAAACTCCTCCGAATCACCTCCTCCCACCACTGTCTTGGCCCCGCATACCGTCCGCGCAACACGTCCGCGCGCCCATAATTCGGATACCGTGCGGTCTGCGTCTGAAAGGCGTGTTTAAACGCAGCCTTGAGTCTGGACGGCGTGACTAGCGCTTTGGAAAGGCCGAAGGAGTGACCGATTGCGGCATATTGATCTGGGACGGGCGGACACGGGTAGAAGAGTGTTTCAAAGGCGTCGAAGGTGAGGAGGAGGGTGCGAGCTGGACGGTTGCGGTGTTGATGGAGATGCCGGTGCTGGTGACGGAGGGGGGTCTGGCTTAGTGTGCGGGCTCTGGTGGCGATGGATGTGCTGGGTGGCATGGTCGATGCTCCCGTTCTGGTGCTTGAGCGTAGGTGCTGGATTGGTGTTGTTTTGGTTATCGACACCGATTATGACGTAGAACAACGGTTCCTACTCCTTACTCAATCTGTGAATGTAGTAAGTTGTTGGTCGCGGGTGTTTTCTTGTCGTGGTTCTCAAGGGTGGATCCGTCTATCGACTTGAACTACTGTTTACTTGGAAATAATGACAGTCAATCTTAATCAGAATGAAGATCATGTTTCATATGAGACATTTTGTTTTGTCTTTTTTCGAGATTTGCGCAACACAGAGAACCATTATGAAGCTCCATTCCGAGGGTACAACAAACCCATTGCAAAGACGCTGTTCGCCGTAGAGTCATCACAAAGAACGCCGCAAAGATCCTTTTGCCAATGTGACAGATGTTGCCACATGGAATAGAGGAGACGAGATCAGATCCAGGTCAAAAAAGGAACGCTAACTAAGAGAAACGAATTTGAAATGCATGCCCGGTACAAACGTCAATTTCTTCCTGGTGAAGAAAGACAAGGCCGGGCTGCTTGAGAATAAGAAAAGAATCAGCGCCATACTAAAGTACATACCCAGTCCGACGGTCGATTTCTTCCGAACGAAGAAAGACAAAAAAGAGAACCAGGCAGCTTAGAAGGACAACATTAAGGCCGCAGGATCTAAGGGTCGAGATCATTCAAGAAACTCATCTCATCGGCCCATTCTTCACAATAGGCGCGCAAGATCTCAATGGGCTGAGGAGCATATCGGATCTTGAAGCCGCCCTTGGGTCTCTTAGCCAAGACCTTGGCCAGAATAGATGGCTTGGTCTCTTCCTTGGGCTTTTCGGGAGACGCCGCCGCCGCCGCCGCCGCCGCCGCAGCAGCAGTAGCATCCTCGGAGATGGAAGCACCCTTATCTTGGCCAGACATGTCATGGAACGTCTTGGCAACGGTGCGAACTCGCATGAAGGGATCGGGAGCGGCTTCACCACGGGCAACAGCAGCTGCGTTCTTGCGGGCAGCAGCTCGCTCCTGAAGCTCGGCACGACGTCCGTTCTCGTAGTTGAGCTTTCGGTTGCGACGATTGATCTGCGCAACACGTTCAATGTCGGAGGGCAACTCGTTCTTGGGGCGTTGTGGGGTCAGCGAAGTTCCGAAAGCCAGCTTGGGACCCTTGACCTCCTCCAGTTCCTTCTGAAGCTTCTCAACGAGCTCATCATTCTCATCGTCTTCGGCGGCCTTGATTCGACGCTCAAGTTCAGCACGACGGATAATGTTCTCGTCACGGGTGAGAACACCGGATCGTCGCAGCTTGACAGTCATCTCAGCAGGAGTGAACTGGTAGTTGATGAGGCGGTTGATATCCGCAACCTTGGCAGCCACCTGGCTCTGGGTAGGCATCGTGCCTGCTTTCTCAACTTCCAGAGTCTTTTGGTAACGATTGAACTCGGCCTTTGGATAAGGGTTAACTCGTCGTTTCCGATCAGAATTTCAAGGAAACACTACGTACCTCAGTGAAGGGAGAGTTGGAGCACAGGATAAATGGCCACTCGCGAACAGCGTTTCCGTGAGAAAGCTTGGCATATTGATCGGTAACGAAGTTACGACCATTCATTCCTTCAATGGCGTAAGGCTTGCCGGTGGTGATGCTCTTGATCAAGCACATGCGGTACACATTCTCGCCAGTCTGGGGGTCAGGTCCAATACTGAGACGGGTGTAGCAACCGGGGATCAACTCTTCAAAGCCAGGAGTGAAGCAAACTTGGGCGAAGTTGCTTCGACCAACCCGTGCGCGATTTATTTCACGCAGAGTGGCGGGGAGGTCCTCCTTAGGAGGAGATGGAGAGCGACGATTGTCAAGCACAAGGTCACTGTCTGCTCCAGCGCTTCGCTGGGAGCTTCCAGAGCCACGTCGGGATCCTTGGGAGCTTCGGCGACGCGACTGCGCAGTGTCACGGCGGCGGGCCTCAACTCGCTTGCCCTTCTGCTCACGCTGGCGCTTGTAGGCCTCCATGGCACCGGAGGTCTCGCCAACTTTGCGGCCACCCAGAGTGGTCTTCTGACGCGAGCTCTTGCGCTGCGCCTCATCGAGGCCAGCGGTCCCGGCCTTACGCTTGGCGGCAGCACGAGACTCCTCGCGACCACGTGAGGCTAGGAGACGACGCAAAGCGAGATCCTGATTGTGACGGTCGACCTGCTGGGCACGCTCGGTCAGGAGCTCTTCACGCTTGATCTCGGGCATGGCCGCGATTTCTTCCTTTTCTACGGCAGAGTAGTAGAGCTTTTCGTATGGGAAGATTGGCTTGTCTTCATTGTCAGTAAGTTCATCATCTTCAGAGTCCGATTCCAACATCGAAGCTGACCGGAGAGAAGTTTGCGATTCTGCTTCAGAGCTGCTTTCGTGGTGCCAAGTTAGCAAGAAGTTCGTCTCTTTCCTACAACAGATAATGGGCGAGCAAGAAGAAACTGACATTTCACCGTCTTCCTCGTCTGTGTGATGATTTTTTCCGTGTCGAGTAGATTGAAAATGGCCTTTGGGGCTTAGAATGTCGGGTGAGTGTTCGTGATGTGAGAAGTTGTTGGAGGAAGAAGGAGAATGTTGCGAGAAGTTGTCTTGAGGGGGAGGTGTTTGCTCTTCCTCAGAGTCACCAGCAAGAGCCAGGAGCTCCGCGTCCAAATCGTCCGCCATGTTGACAGCCTGGTGTGATTGTTTGCCTATCGCGGCGTGCTTGCTTTTGGAGCGCGTCTGCCTGGGTCTCGTGTGCCCGTGATCTCGATTTGTTTGCTCTTCAGAGAGCCCTCTGCAAGTCCACCTTGAGAGGCGATAACGACTTGATTGTTTTTTCTTTTGTTTGCCCGATCAAAATCTCTCCTGAGAGTGACTTTGGTTGTATATCCGTTTCCCTCTGGATATATTGACTCGATACAATGACTGCTCGATGACCTCACTGATCTGAGTGCGCGACGCCGTTCGACGGCTTGTGAAGCTTATGCGACAGGCAGAAAGACTCAAAAGGGATGACATTGGCCTTCGATATATGGCCTTAGCCGTCGGCGCATGACGTTCACAATAAGCGCGCGGCTGACGGCTGAACATTGTTCCGCAAGTGGCGTCTGACGGCAGCTCCGATGCATCCCTCTACAATGCCGCAATCTACACTGATCGCTCATGTGGCATACCACAATGGAAAGCTTGGCTCTGCGACATTCATCAATTGCACAGCTTCGGCGCTGCATGAGGGCATCATCTTGTCCGCTATATCTTGATTTTTTGGCTCCACACACCCGTCAACGCCAGCGCCGCTGCGCTTCTACTCATGAGTCCGCTCCGTCACCGAAGCCTCGATATATCCTCAGCAAGCAACAGCGAGAATATCTTGAGAGTGCTCTGCGAGTCAATCAAGCCGGGGAGATTGCCGCCACATTGATCTACAAAGCGCAAACACCGCAGGTGGTACGGTCACATCCTCATCTTCGACCTTTGATGAAACACATGTACGAACAAGAGGCTGGTCATTTGAAGACGTTCAATCAACTAGTGGCGAAGCACGAGATCCGCCCAACAGCGATGTATCCGGTCTGGCACGCTGCGGCCACATTCCTCGGTTGGTCCACAGCCGCTCTAGGTCGGGAGGCGGCCATGGCATGCACCGAAGCAGTTGAGACGGAGATCGGGACACATTACAACGATCAAGTGCGGGAGATTCTCTCCTGGGAAGCCGACGCCGAGCGGCGGGGGGAAGAACTGGATGATGAGTTGAAGGAAATGCTGGGGATATTCCGTCGTATCCGCGATGAGGAGTTGGAGCATCTCGATCACGCTGTGGCCAATGATGCCAAGGAGGCCAAGCCATACGATCCGCTCGTCGATGTGATTCGGCTGGGTTGTCGAACCGCTATCAAGATCAGCGAGAAAATCTAAGCTGAGTGGTAGCTCAACTCTAGTATGCTGGTTGACTCTTTCCTGTCCTACAATAATGTGTATTATAGTCATTATGAAGCCTGTATCCTAGGTACTCCACTGTACAAAATTGAGATCTCATCAGAACAAGACAGGAGCTATGCGCATGGTATTCGGGTCCGCCATTTCATACAGTTCATCGCACATTCTATGTAAAGCATCGTGTAGTCGTAGGGCATCTATGTACACCGCTTCAAATTGCAAATGCAGCCCTTCAAGTGTGCTCTATCGGCACACCAACATATCTCAGTTTGATGAGGGGCAATCTACTGCTTCTGACTCTCGAGGTGATCGACGAAGCTTTCGGAGAATCGCACAACTTGCTTGTAGACCTCTTCAAACCCATTGGCGCCGCCATAGTAGGGATCCTCAACCACTTCCCCTCCCCCGACACGGGCATGCAATTTCCCACCTCTGCCGAAATCACCAAAGAGTCGAACCTCCGCGACTCGCACATCGTCGCCGGGTGTGCTCGCTTTGCGTCGCAGGCCCGCGACGACGGAGTCCCGCATATCAAGCAAATCCTGCAGATTGGACTGGTCCATTCCCAGGAGATAGTCAAATTTCAAAAAGTCATCCTTGGTGACCTTGCGAGCAGCGTGCTTGTAATTTGTGATCCCGTGGCGGCGCAGGGTGGCCATTGTGCGACTATCGGGGCTTTCGCCGGCGTGGTAGGCAGCTGTGCCTGCGGAATCGATCTGGCCGATCACATCGTGGGACTGGGCGACATTGCGGAAGACTCCCTCTGCCATGGTGGATCGGCCTGGTGAGGGGGTTGCGCGTCAGCTGGCATACGAGAGATCAACCGACATGGTAGGTAACGGGGCTGATTTGCGTGGACAGCGAGCGCCTTGGCGTTGGCGGGGGGGGGGAGAAGGGGGGCGCAGGAGGACGCGGTTACGAACAGATGTTGCCTAGGCAGACGAATAGAACGTTGACTGGGCGCTGTGATGACGATTCGGATGCCATGGTTGGAGTATGATTATCAGGGAAATCGAAGCTAACGAGCGTGATACAACCAGACAATAGGTTGATTTGGAAAATCTCGAGATGGACGCATATGAGGGTTCAAGACCGCCTGTTGGTGGGGATCTTTTTTTGGAAGTCTGTTATCGATAGCAGCCCTGTCGTCATCGGTCTTCTAAGCTTTTGTTCGGCGGCCATTTTTGGGAAGCATTGGAATAGACTTAATACCGGACAAGTGTACTCACCACTTATAGTGGTGCAGTACTGAGGTGTCTTGGACATTGAAAGTGAGCAGTATGAACCTTCGTATGGGATACAAGCTGTTGTCCATTCTTAACATCTTCTCCAAGAACCCTGCTCAAGGGGCCAAAGATAATCATTCACTTCAACCCAGGATACTGGATCGAATTGTCCCCTCCGAAATATACTGTTACTGTGAGAAGCCAATCACAGAAAACACAGAAACCTGGTCCATTCATGGATGATCCCGTCATAACAGAATCATATAGTAGTATATATTGTATAGTTCAGTACTGTGAATTCCTACTCTCGTCCTACCACGGTCGCTAACCTCTAGCTATATTAACTGACCCTTCGGCTTATTAACCGACTAGCAATAAAATAGTATATGCATAGCAACAGTCATAAGGCTGGCTGCTGGGATACTTGATTGATTCAGATGGGCGAATCCTATATCTAGCGGTACTGATTATCATGCATCCTGCAGGTGGTTATGCAGTCATCAAGATCTCGGTCCGGGGAGTTAGGAAATCGAAGATGTAGTTCTATTCATAGAATCACCTACGTACTGATCAAAGGTTATTCTAAGTTATGGTGCCTGTGATCTGGATACGTGCAGTCACTTAGCGTAGGTAGGAACTTCCTACTAAGTAAGAAAGTACCGAGTACATGTATTTCCTAGTAGGCAGCACCGTTCCCTGATGCCGCGTGTAATGCGGGCTTGCCACGTCTAAGAGGGATATGATCATGCAGTAGCAGCATTCTTAAGCGTTAGAGCTGCCAACCGCCCGACATTATTCAAGACTGAGTTAGCGTCAGTGACAAAAAACCCAAGAATGTCACATCAAAGAACTGAGGAAGTGAGGGAATAGAATGATTTTTCTTCTTTTCGTTAGATGAAAATTCAAGGCCATGGAGACCATCTCAATTTTTGTATACATCATCAGCACGGGGACATGTATGGTGACTAAAAAAAGAAACATCGGTACCATAGGACTGTAGTAGTACCAGACTACCAGCGTCCAGAATTAACAACAATTGGTACACAGCGACACAGTACACACAAGGATTATGACCCTCTCAGAAGTACCGAATTTTGGTTCCACCATGGTTATGCTGGTACTTCCCATCCTCTGCCAGATCATGGAAGGAGCCTGGAGATTAGATCCGTGGATAGACTACTTTGACCCCGCCACAGTGTCAAGGGGCGCAGTCAGCAAGATACACAAGTAAGCTGCGACTAAGGGAAAATGTCGAGCAGCGTGGATGGCTCCCCCGTGCCTGTTGTTGGCCCAGTGACGAGTTCCTCAGTGGAGACCAGCCGCGCTGCGTTTGGGGCTGATGCTGTGCTCCAGTGACTCGCTGGAGTCACGGGATTTGCATTCTGCACCGCGCCACGGGTCGAGGTATTCAGGTACAGCAAAGTCGGTGGAATTATGGGGATCTCGTGCATTGTACTGACGTTTCTTCTCTATACCTTCTTGTGGCTTGGATCCAGCTCTCACCTTGTCCGACACTCAAACACAGCCCTTAACTGTCGATACACAGTTACACCTACGCCGTACGGCCGTAGTCCGATCCGTCGTATACAAGCCACACTCCAGTGCGGCAACTCGACGGTTCATCCACACGGGGAGTTGCGGGTCTGCGCTCGAAACTCTGATTTGTCTGTTGCCCACCTTTGCCGTCATCGCGGCCATCGGCTGGGAAGGCCTCGTAAACACCCAAACAAGAAGAGGGTGAGATCGTGGCATGCCATTCTGACCTCCTGCACCCTCCTCAAGGAGAACGAGTAATTCACCCAGAAGATTCACCTGGGTTGCTCGGTGGCCAGACTCATCTGACAGTCAACGTTCATTCCTGGATTTCACAAAGTCCAGTAGACTTGTCAATTGTCACCTGGAATTTGATTCTTTTGACGGGTGAAACGTCGAGCAGGGTTTCGGGTCCGTGTTTGGCCTTGTGAGTCTTCCTTCTTTTCACTCCGGCATGCGGGTTGCACCATTGACCTTGAATACCCGACCGACTGACTGTTCTTTTCTTCCCACCGACTAGCCACCTGCAGCGCGGGTTTTCTACGTGGAATCTCACCTGCGGCGCAAGTGTCAAAGAAGATGGCCTATAATCGTGTCGGTAAGTCTACGGCTGCCCTTCCGTCTGATACTGTGATCGCGACACGTCGCGAGAGCCCACCCGTCAATCACTTTGCGGTGCGAGAGGTTTGGCGAGCAAGAGACGCAATGGCAGAGCCTGACATGTCGGCTTCAGATCCCTTCGGGGACGAGCATCGCTCTCCCGAACGAGCTCCCATTACCCACTACGACAATCGCACACCGTCCCCCGGCCGACCACTGGACAGCTATCAGCTGCATGACAATCCTTACGGTCCTCCGGGCCACTTGCCCATTCCATCGAGCGATCGTCTGGCGGAGCAACCCACGGTGAGTTGGATCTAGCAATCAAGGCGCCATGCGACACATCGCTAATGGGACCCTCCACACCACTGCAGTACTCGGTGGAGAACGTCCACAACTCGTACGGTCACCATGAAGTCTACGAAGCCCACAATGAGGTCCAACCCTACGGTTTCTCCCAACACTATACTGTCGACCCAGAAGCTCACCATGACGCCTATTACACCCAACCTTACGAACCCACACCAACCCCCCACGATGATTATGACCTGGGCCAGTATCCGGAGGGCGGCCAGACCCCTTACGATGTGAATGTGCCTATGCTGCAGACAAACGATCCGTTTGGACCCGATCCCTACGATGCCCAATACCAGGACGAGCCACGGCCCACACCCAGTCCTGCGCCCATCAAGCGATGGAAGACCGTCAAGGAAGTGCAGCTGTTTAACGGCAATCTCGTGCTCGATTGTCCCATTGCCCCTCGATTGCTCAGCCAGGTGCCCCATGCCGAGCCCCCCGGCCGTGACGAGTTCACTCATATGCGGTATTCGGCCGCGACCTGCGATCCGGCGGACTTTTTCGAGGAGCGATTCACTCTGCGACAGAAGTTGTTCGCCAAACCGCGCCATACCGAACTCTTCATCGTGGTGACCATGTACAATGAGGATGACTTTTTGTTCGCACGCACCATGTCGGGAGTGTTCAAGAATATTGATCATATGTGCTCGCGCACCAGTAGTAAAACCTGGGGCAAGGATGCGTGGAAGAAGATCGTCGTCTGCGTCATCAGTGATGGTCGTGCCAAGATCAACCCCCGAACCCGAGCCGTCCTCGCGGGCCTGGGTGTCTACCAGGATGGGATCGCCAAGCAGCAGGTGAATGGAAAGGATGTGACGGCGCATATCTACGAATATACCACTCAGGTGGGCTTGGAAGTCAAGGGTACGCAGGTTCACCTGAAGCCGCGCTCCGGTCCTCCCGTGCAGATGATTTTCTGTTTGAAAGAGAAGAATCAAAAGAAGATCAACTCGCATCGCTGGTTCTTCCAGGCCTTCGGTCGAGTGCTCGATCCCAATATTTGCGTACTCCTGGACGCGGGTACCAAGCCCGGAAGAGACTCGATCTATCAACTGTGGAAGGCATTCGACGTAGAGCCGATGTGTGGTGGCGCGTGTGGAGAGATCAAAGTCATGCTGTCACATGGCAAGAAACTACTCAACCCGCTTGTGGCAGGACAGAACTTTGAGTATAAGCTGAGCAACATCCTTGATAAACCGCTGGAATCTGCATTCGGCTTCATCACGGTCTTGCCCGGTGCGTTCTCAGCCTACCGCTTCGTGGCTCTTCAAAATGACAAGAACGGACAAGGTCCGCTCGAGAGATACTTCCTGGGAGAGAAGATGCACGGTGCCAACGCTGGCATCTTCACGGCTAATATGTACCTGGCCGAGGATCGTATCCTGTGCTTCGAAATCGTGTCCAAACGCAAGTGTCGCTGGCTGCTGCAGTATGTCAAGAACTCCACGGGTGAGACTGACGTGCCGGATCGCATGGCCGAGTTCATCCTCCAACGGCGACGTTGGCTGAATGGCAGTTTCTTCGCTGCTGTCTACGCCATCGCCCATTTCTACCAGATTTTCCGCAGTGATCACAGTTTCCTTCGCAAATTCATGTTGATGATTGAATTTATCTACCAAACCATTGCGATGATCTTTGCCTGGTTTGGTATCGGCAACTTCTTCCTCGTCTTTCACATCCTTACGACCTACTTGGGCAGCGACGAACTTCTCGGCACTGCTGGTAAGATTCTTGGTATTGTCTTTGAATGGCTCTACCTTGCGACACTCGTCACTTGTTTCGTGCTGGCGCTGGGTAATCGGCCTGGCGGGTCGAACAAGTTCTACATGACCATGGTATACTTCTGGATCTTCATCATGCTGTATCTGTCATTCGCGGCAGTCTTTGTCACGGTGAAGTCCATACAGAAGGAAGCGTCCTCCAATCACTTTTCAGTCAGCGAGCTGTTTACCAACAAGACCTTCTTCTCGATCATTGTGTCCCTTGGTTCGACGTATGTGATGTGGTTTGTTGCCTCGTTCATCTTCATGGACCCGTGGCACATGTTCACGTCGGTATGTTTCATATCCATTCTCAAAATATGCCCCCGAGATCGCTAACATTCGTGTGTGTGTGTGTGTGTGTGTGTGTTCCAGTTCATTCAATACATCCTCCTCACCCCGACTTATATCAACGTGCTCAACATTTATGCCTTTTGTAACACCCACGATATCACGTGGGGTACCAAGGGTGACGACAAAGCCGAGAAATTGCCTTCCGCCACGTTAAAGCCTGGCGGTAAAGTCGACGTCAACATCCCTCAGGACGACGGAGATCTCAACGCGCAGTACGAGGCGGAGCTGGCCAAGTTTGCCACCAAGCCTCCCAAAGAAGTGCAGACCGTTTCCGAGGAGGACCGACAGGCCGACTACTACAAGGGCTTTCGAAGTGCCGTTGTGTTGGCATGGGTCTTTTGTAACTTTGCCCTTGGAGCTGTCGTCTTGAGTGCTGCCGGATTAGAGACCTTTGACAACACGACAAAGACGAGTAGCACCAACCAGGACTATACTCAGAGCCAGCGATCCTTGATCTACATGGAAGTTGTGCTTTGGTCTGTGGCTGGCTTGTCCATGTTTAAGTTTGCTGGGGCTATGTGGTTCTTGGTGGTTCGCATGGTAAGTACATGCTTTTCTAGAGAGTAGCTTTATCCTGCCCGCCACACAAACTGACTCCGTGACTACAGTTCCGAGGCGTTTGATGGTTTCGCATTCCTTATCTTTCATATTTGGACCGACTGTCGTGCCTTCATTCAGCATTGCTCCGCGACTTGTGTCAATTTGTTTTTATGTCGTGTATTCTCTCCCCAACCCCCACATGTTCAGTGTTGGAATGAAGCGTTGTATGATTTTCCATTGATACTTCTCGGCGGGTCCGCTCTTTTATCGGAATTTGATATGATACATATGAGGATGATGGAGGTTATTGGGAGGTTGGGCGAAAAATGGACTGGGCCATGTATTATACATGTGATGAAATGATTTTACTGTTGTTGCCTTTTTTGTTCTCTATTTTTCGCAGACCTTGATCATTGTTGTGTATTTAGCCGTGCAGATGCCTGGCCTGTTGATGAGCATCGGAGAAATTTCCGAGGCACTTCTGGTGGAGGCCGGGTCTCACAATCTATCTTGGGTTCTGTTTAATACTTTTTCCGAGGAGTGAAATCACATACTGCTGGTATATACAAGCGATCTCTATCCATATGATACGATGCCATCACACACTGCTGGTATGTACCAGAGTTCTCTATGTGCTACAATGCAATTATTCATCTGTACAAGTTCGCCCTGCCCAGGGCATTCTCTCTAAATGTCGAGGTTCCCGGCTGGGCACACAATCCCGTGCTCAGAGACAGGACCGTGGATGGCGAATCATCCGGTCTGATTCTTCGAATGCACACAGAGCGCAATGCCCCCCAGGACCAGAATCAGGCCCAACCACGTCTCCTTGGCAATCACCTTGCGTTCGACATACCACTCTCCAAGAACGGTGAACAAAAAGGCACTTGAATTCGCAAGTGGAACCGTGAGAGAGAGTTCTAGATGACGAGGCGCAAACCTCGGTCAGCCACGACTACTTCCAGGGTAGCATATATGCTGGCCTCAATCCCGGGAGACCCATGATTCAGAGTCAAACTGATAGAGAAAAAATAAAAGGTAACATACCATGCTTCCCAACCAACAAGAAGAACCAAATACTCCCCGTCAAGTTAACAACCAACGGCACAGAATAAGCCGGTGTCCGAAGCAGATTGACCACCGTCCAAAAGACCGAGACCATCTTTGCTCGTAACCACGACTGCCGCGAAGGACTTTGCATCCACGCCGGCGTAGGAATATCACCATTTCTCTGCTCCTGCTCCGGCTCCTCTCCCTCCTCCCACTGACTACTCCCACTCCTCCGTCTCACTCCCTCGCCGAAATCAATCACGTCCGCATGAGGAGGCCGACCCTCGGCCTCGGAGACGGGCAACAAGTCCGGGCCCTGCTCTTCCTCCGTCCCATTTCCGGCGCGAGTGTCGGTATGTGTGCTTGATCGGCCACGGCCCAATGAGTCTCTGGAAGTTGGACCAGACAGCGAGGCTTGCTTCTGTTTCTCCTGACGCGCGTTAAAGTCCGCTGCTGCGCGCCGGATAAACGGCGTGGTGAAGCCCCATGCGACGCCGACCAGGAGGAAGGAAAGCACGTAGTTGAAGACGGACGGGGATGAGTCGGTGGGCAGTGAGGCGTCTGGATCCATTTGAAATAGCGATGGAAGATACGGGGACGATGGGTGAGGCCGGGAGAAGTGCGAGTGCGAGTGGGAGTGGGAGTGTCAGTGTGGACGTGAACGTGGATGTCGGGATCGAAGGCGAGGAGTATACGGGCGGCGATTGCGCTTTGACTGGTGTCCTGGCTCCGTTTGGGACTCGAATGGTACCACTGTCAGACTGGCATTGACACACTGCTGATTGTAATAGTAGGATGCCCGAGGCTATCTAGGTGTCCTTGTCAATGGTTATAACTTACAACAATCCTCCCCGTCCTCCATCGGGGCGTTGGTTGGCCCGAGCGTCCCGCAGAGGTGGTGGCTGTCGGAGAGTTGGAGAGGATGACGGATGTTTCTGTAGCCCAGCTCACCGAACATGGAGTATATAGTCAAAGATATGCTCGCTTTGAGGAAAACAAAAGTGTCCGAAGCCCGACAGCGGTAGTGTCCGATCGCTTACTGCAAGTGAAACCGGACCTTGTCCACTCGCATCCTCACATCTCTTTCCTGACAAATCGACTCCCATCTCAGCGCTTGAAGAGCTTCCCCGGGTGTACCTGGAAAGAGTTTCCGCTAGAAAAGAACCCCAGCGTATGATGCGGTCAACGATTGGCCCTTGCGAAGACCAAGCTTACTCCATCTCCGCCAAAATGGAATGATATCTGACGCTACCGATGCGCTGACACACTGCGGGCACTTTCAAGTTGGAGGCCGTAGCGAAGAGCAGGGGTCTCGCACAAGCTTTCGAGTCGCCAACAGCACCGTCGCCCGCGTCTCGGAGGAGGTTCTCAGCGGTAGATTTCTAAGCACTCGCGAATTGACCCGACAGGCCACGAGGCCGGGGAAGGAGAGACATGATGTGTGGAGCATCTGTGGTCTATTTAACGATGGTGTTCGTCCTCGACATTCAGGATGGAATGGCAAAGCATTACTTCCTCTTCTCTGTCGTGTCCTGACTTCAGCCTCAAGAGAACTGAATCCCCTGGGGGAACCTCTTCCATATCCACACTCTCTTCACAATGTCTATCCCTTCAGACCCCAAACTCGACGGCTTCGAAATCATCCAGGCCAACTACAAGCACATCGGGGACCATGCTATTCGGGCAGACATCTTGATCCCTCGCACGGAACACTCCGGCCCAAGACCGTTGATCGTCCGTGTTCACGGTGGGGGTCTGGTATGCATCAACAGCTCATCTGTAGCATCCGCAAGGCAAGATTGGACTAACTTTGTCCCAGATGATGGGGGATTCCTTGTACATGGACTGGTGGCCTCACTGGGTCTCCGACCTCGCTCTTCAAAAGAACGCCGTGATCATCAGTCCCAACTACCGACTGATGCCCGAAGCCACAAGCTTCGACATCTTCGCCGACATGGCCGATTTCTGGACTTGGCTGCAATCATCCCCTCTGAGAGAGATTCTCGCCGCTCACACCCCACCGACTGCGATCGACCTGAATCGTATCTTCGTGACGGGTGAATCAGCCGGTGGTCTGCTGAGCGTGCATCTGGCGCTGACGTATCCGGATCAAATTCGAGCAGCGTCGGCCGCGTACCCAGCGGTGGCGTTGAACGCAGAGACTTTTACGCAGCCGCGTGCCAACCCTCCATTCGGACTAGATATTCCCGAGACTCTGGTCCAAGGCACCCTCGACTCGATCGCGCTGGGCACCGCCGTATCATCCCTGACGTCCCAGAATCGAGTGGATTTCATGCTGGGTGCCATTCAGCATGGGTATTTGTCGAGGCTGTATGAGCGTGGCGCTGAGACTATTCCCCCCAGTGTTTTGTATCCCATCCTCAAGGTGGAACAGTCCGATTTGAAGGTCCCACGCGGTGGTCTTGTCGTGTTGCACGGTCGACATGATAGTGTGGTGCCGCTGAGAGATAGTGAACGGTTTGTGGCGCGAGCCCAGCAGGTGCTTGCGGGACGGTTGAATGAGCAAGGAAGAGGACGGGTCACGCTGGTGGTCAGGGACGGAGAGCATGGATATGATGCTCCGGCGAGGTTCGAGGAGGACTGGCTTCAGGAGGCGATGCAAGATGCTGTGAGTGCGTGGTTGCAGTGATGTTTGGGGCAGGCCTTTTGCAATGTCTTTCTTTGGTGCTGTAGGATGAGTGTCGGCAGAATGTTTGCCATTGGAGACCTTTGGTTCAAAAGAAATGAAACTGAAATCAGCGTCTCCTGCTGGATTTGAACCCAAGACCTTCCTGTCACCACAGGACCTCTCCCTGAGGTCTCTCGATGCTCAGGTACTTCCAGGATCGAGATATCTACATCCCCCAGAAGTAGAGAATACATCTGACAAAGCCCATGATTCTACAAGCACCTCCTAACCCCCCACCATCTCACATGAATATTGATGCATTGATTCTTCATACTAAGTCTAGAAATGAGATTGATCATCGTGAGACAGTTCCCATAAAAAATCATCAAAAAAATCCGCAGCTTGGTGCGTCCACCAAGCTGGCTGCCCACCCACCCAGCCAGCCAGCCCCTTGACGCCGAGGTACCCAGGGCCAAGTAGGTACCTGTGGAATGTCCTGCCCAGAAGGAATATGAGACACTGTACACGGAGTCTTTCTGGGTTCTATCGGACAAGCAAGAGAAGCCCCCCGTCGGGGGCCCCTCCCACTTCACCATAGGGACTGGCTGCTGAATGGGGATCCCATTTACTCCATCATGAAGGAGCAGTCAGCCAGAAACGGGAGCTTGACGGTGAAATAAGCTAGCATTGTGAATGTGAATTCCATCGAGCGAGACTACCTTAGGACTGACTGCACTGCTTACGACGATGGATATACTGGTCTATGTTGCTATATCACCAACACCCGTCACAACGTCCACCCTGGCACCTAGAGCGTGTTCCCTATGCATCAATGCAATCTCTCGCTTGTCCCTCCTTGTTAAATGGCTCACCATCGACTATCAATCTTGTCCCGACATCCTCGCCTACTTTGTGAGACGGCATACGACAGACACGTGTCATCACGACATACCGTTCCTACACCATGTTTGGCATCATCGTGAAGACGGAGAAAGACGCCACCAGGGAAGTCAAGGACACAGTTTGTTGCAGGAAGCCTAGAAGATGGCTTACAGAATACCTCATGGCCGTGCATCTTTAGATAGATGGTGTTACGGTGTTACAGAGCTGGTCAGCGTGGATGGCGCTTGTCTGTGAAGGAACGACAGTCACGAGACAAAGGTAAGTCTCAGTGTGGATCCAAGCACTGATGAAAATGCTAATCTAGATACCAAGCAGATTCTGAGCGCAGATATACAAGCCATGTTGCGATTTCATTGCCTTGCCTCCACGCGGGAGGACAGACTGAAAGCGGACCGAACGACTTGAGAATCTGAACTGAACGAGGTCTGCTCGATTCAGGCCCAGCAAGCCTGAATCAGTTTCAAGTCTGTTGAGGGACTCGATCACTTACATTGATGTGACACGTAGGATGCACGTTGATCGCCATATATACTCTCCCTGCTGTCAGCATGTGACGGTGGTGAGTCGGAAGATCGCATCCCCAATCGGACATGTCCACTACGCATAGACGCGGCAACCTGACCGTTCTACCATGACCGCTTCATCTGCAGCGACTCCATGTCTTCGCAGGCACTCTGTTCTGACCCTGTCTCGACTCTGACACGAACCTTGACCAAAATTCTGGCCTGGTTGCTTGGACCAAGCCCTGACCCTCGCCCGGTCTTGGCTCTCGGAATCCAATTTCCAAGAGGAGCCCCCACGGACTCCCAAAGTTTGAATGAAATAAGGTTGAACAACCCACCCGGGGGACGGCAAGTCGGCTTTGATTCGGCAGCGGCTAGAAAGAACCCTCGTCTTGGGCACCTCAGATGCCGACCATCGGAATTGAGTCTCCGACGGGCTCGACGATTGATTCACGCAAAAGCGATTACGGAAAGGCGAGCGCAGAAGGTGGACTATAGGGGGGTCCCGTCGTGTTGGGTGAATTTACACGATCAGTCATTGCACAGACTGCTAGTGGCTGGGTTTCTTGACCTCTGCAGGTCTGTCAGTCCCGGATTGACGACATCTGACTCGATTTCATGTGCTGGTTTTCATGTCACCCAGTTTTGTCCCCGGGAAAGACGGGGTTCCCCCACATCGACTGAGGGGTCTCGCGGAGGCAGGATCTGGGGAAAGTGGAGACGATCATGGAACCAGTCCGGGGCAACATGCGTACAAATATCGTGACTTTTCCCACTACTGAGTGGAGGGAGGAACTGCAGTTTGAAAGCGTTTCTCTGCAGCTTTCTACCTGAGTGCCGCCTCACCATGGCTGCTTACGAAGACCCCAACACCAAATCGCTCGATGCGCACGCCGTCTCCATGACCGAAAAGATGGAGGCCAGTGCCGTTCACATCGAGATGGGCAAGAAAGACGAGTCGAGTCTTCTTGAGAATGCCCGAATTGCCACAGAGAAAGAACACAAGATGACCCTGTGGCAGGGACTGAAACTATACCCCAAAGCCGTCGCATGGAGTCTGACCATCTCCACCTGCATTGCCATGGAGGGTTATGACGTCTGTCTTCTATCGACATTCTACAGCTTTGCTCAGTTCAACGAGAAATATGGTCAGCAATTACCGGATGGGAGCTGGCAAGTACCGGCCTCGTGGCAGTCGGGGCTGAGCAACGGTGTCAACGTGGGAGAGATCATCGGTCTGCTTCTGAATGGATTCATTTCCGAGAAGATTGGTTATCGGTATACCATTCTTGCATGTTTGCTCAGCTTGACGGGCTTCATTGCTATCTTCTTTACGGCACCGAGTGTCGAGGTGCTCTTGGTTGCGGAAATCTTGGCTGGTATTCCGTGGGGGGTGTTCCAAACTTTGACCATCACTTATGCTAGTGAGGTATGTCTCTGATCTCATTCTATCCCCCCGTCCTACTGATTGTGCACAGATCTGCACTGGTTCTTGTCTGAAGAAGCCAAAAATCTGACCGTTTCTTCTCGCTTGCAGGTCTGCCCCGTCGCTCTGCGTGGATATCTCACCACCTATGTCAACTTTTGCTGGGGCATGGGCCAGGCTGTCGGTCTCGGCGTGATCAAATCCATGGTCAATCGCACAGACGAATGGGCGTATCGAATTCCCTACGCTATTCAATGGATGTGGCCCGTCCCTCTCATGATCGCAATCTGCTTCGCCCCCGAATCCCCCCTGGTGGCTAGTCCGCAAGGGCCGACTCGACGAAGCCAAAAGGGCCCTGTTGCGTCTCACCAGCCTGAACCGCGAGACCGACTTTAACGCCGACGAGACCATCGCCATGATGGTGCACACCAACGCCCTGGAAGAGTCCATCTCCCACGACGCCACATATCTCGATTGCTTCCGAGGCACTGATCTCCGCCGGACGGAAATCATCTGCATGGTCTGGGCGATTCAGAATCTCAGCGGAAACTCTTTCTCCAGCTACTCCTCCTACTTCCTCCAGCAGGCCGGTCTACCATCAACAACCGCCTATTCATTTGCCCTCGGACAATACGGCATTAACATGGCCGGGGTCTTCGGCTCCTGGTTCCTGATGAGCGCTGGAATCGGCCGCCGATCGCTCTACCTATACGGCCTCTGCGGCCTCTTCATCATGCTCCTGGCAATGGGTCTACTCGGCCTCGTGCCCGCAGCGCACAAGACCGAAAGCGCAATGGCAACGGGAAGCATGATGATCGGCTGGGCCCTCTGCTACCAGCTCTCCGTTGGCTCAGTCTGCTACTCGCTCGTCTCGGAACTGTCCACCCGCCGATTGCAGATCAAGACCGTTGCTCTCGGCAGAATCCTCTACATCATTGCGAACATCTTCTGCAGCGTCATCACCCCGTACATGTTGAACCCGGGCGCTTGGGCATGGGGTAATTTTGCGGGCTTGTTCTGGGCAGGATGCTGCGCGATGTGCATTGTATATGTCTATTTCCGAGTCCCCGAGCCCGCGGGCCGGACTTTTGCAGAGTTGGATATGTTGTTTGAGAAGAGGGTTAGTGCGCGGAATTTCGCAAAGACCAAGGTCGATGTGTTTACGGGACATACGGAGCGGGACTTATGAGAGGACATGTAGGTATGGTTAGGGTGGAAACCAAGGTTAAGGGGGGTTTTTGGTTGGGGCTTGTCTATCAAGTTGGCGGGTGTTTATGATTTGCAGCATGCATTTATGACTGATCATGTATTATTTCAATCTTGACGTTTCAGTTTCGACTTTTGTTGATCTTGGTATCCTTGTTGAATATCATTTTGATGGACGATTGAAAAGTCCCTAGGTAAATGTATGTAGATGTAAGACTGAAGTGCATCTAACTTTGTAGTAACATTGCCAAACTGGAGCAACTTGAAAAGGTAATCCTAAGCTGCCTATATATTCCTTACGTGCTCAGTTCACATATCTTCTCCCACTCAAGAATACACTAATCACCCAGTCATTTCCCATAATCAGAATCTACCGCGCAAAAAGCAATCCAGCGCCCGCGAATGCAGAAATCACACTAATTCCCACAGGAACCAGCAATCCCGAACCTATCGCCCTCCCCGGCACAGCAGCATTATGTTTACTTGTGCTCGTGGTCGTCGCGGTGGGCATATGGAAACCGATGCCCGTCCCCGTGTACGAATGGCTCGAAGACAAGATGGACGAGGAGGCGATTCCCCCCGGACGCTCAGGCACCACCGTCCCCGTCTGCGCGACTGTGACCGCGTCGACGAATTTCCAAGTGGGCGTGGCGGTGGAATTGGCGGGGCTGATCTCGACGACGTTGGAGTCCTGGCTGTTGAAGTTGGTCTTGGCGATGGCGATTTCTTTGCGCTCGAGATCATAGACCACGTATGCTGAGCGGAGGAAAGTGTCGCCGAACAGAATCTGGTTGTTGTTGGGGGCGGGGGCAATGCCGAAGGAGCATGCTGGGTGCCCGTTTTTGAATCTCTGCTGAGTTCCCATGGAATCGACAAAGGGGAAGACCATTTCGGAGAAGAGCACGGAGATGACGGGGCCGTTGGGCCCCCCGAAGCCAAAGTCCAGAGTGCCGTTGTACTGGTTGACATCGTTGCAGTCGACGAAGCCCGTGTCGGAGCCCTCGTAGGAGACGACGTTGGCGAAGGAGGCGAGTTCGTCGTAGAGATCTTGGGGCACGTAGGTGAGGGTTGTGCCGGAGTCGAGCACGGCGGGGAGGGCGAAGGATTTGGAGGTGAGGAGTTTGTTGCCGTGCGTGGGATCGGTCACGGAGAGTGAGGTCCACGCGACGGTCATGGAGGTGATACGGCCTGATTGGGCGTCTGGTTGGACTTTCATGGCGACGAGATCGCCGTGGAATTTGGCAGTGTCGTAGCCGCCGAAAAGGACGTTGCCGGTCTGGGCGTCTGTGGAGGGTTTTCCTTCATTAGTCTGATCATGATTTGTTTCTCCCGGGATGCCAGTATAAAGAGTCACATTGGGGAGGGGAGAATCCTCCGAGCAAAGAGACAACTCACTGATATCATTCAGCCACAGACTGTACGAGCGAGACTTGATAAGTCCTTGCTCAACCATCCTGTCGACCAGGTTCTTATAGGGCTTGCTGCCATAGGCAGCGATGGACTCGTCCGATTCAAATCCAATGCCCATCACACCAGTACCGATGTCCTTGACTCGCGTCGCCACAGCAAGAGTCATACCTTGGACTCTGACACCGCCGATGGAGAAGTCGTCCCTGACATAGTCTCCCTCGACGCCGGAGCCGTCCACATAGCCGATGGTGAAACCGTTACGGTCCAGAACCGTGCTAGTCGATGAACTCATTTCGTCATCTAGATGATCCAACATCCGACGTCAGTCACAGCTATCCTTCAACGTACAATACACGAAACATCCAGCCAGCCATATTGAAGGAATATGAGTCTCTGAGCTCGCTCCGAACCCAATTTGGAACGAGAAGAAAACTCACAGGAACCACCCAGACATTGATCACCAAGTTCCAGACAAGGCCACTTGCCCATCATCCAGATATCACTACTGCCCGTGTCGATCTGCAGCTGCACGAGCTGTCCCGGCGTGCCCACCGTCGCATTGATCCAGAACATGCCGTCGTAGTAATCATTTCTGAGGTTGGCCGTGATCGTGTCACGCTTGACGATCGAGCGACGTTCATTTCGATAGATTGGCAGTGATACCACCTGCGGCTCGGCGACTACCGGTGTGGCTGTGAGGAGAGCGCACTGAGCGAGCAGGAGGAGCTGTGTGCAGCTGTGGGGGATCGACGCAGTCCACCACGCCATGATGTCGGGGAATAGTAGATGAACAAGATTTCCGAACCGAAAGAGTTCTCTGCGCAAAGTGTGGCGCTGCAGTTGCTTAAACTTTCTTATGCTCGACTTTGCAACTTCCCCCGATGTGGCTGCCGATCTCTTCAAGCTGTACAAGTATGGAAAATCCAAACCCCAAAAGAACCCCGATAGCCGTCTACCTGTTCATGCAATGCTAGAAAACGAGCAACTTCACTGAAGAAGGAAACGAGGAGAAATGACCTGTCTCCCGTGAGTCAGATTGCGGCTGAAATATTTACAGAGACCCCGGCCCAGAAAAAATCCAGGAGGTCGTTAAGCGCCCGGCTCCAAAGATGCAGCCTGCGATGGGTTTTCGGACCAGCGGCGGTGCCCCGGTCGCTAATTACGAAGCGACCAGAGCGTACCTTGAAACATTGTGTGGTGAACCACTCAGACTCCTCGTCCTGGGGACTCCTGAGACTAGCAAATCGGTCAGCGGGGGGGCCACGATCTCATGGTGCCCAATGAGACGGCCCACGAACCGGAGGCTTGTCTCTCTTGGCCATGTTTCCGACGCAGAGGGTCCAGTCATCCAGCTGGTCTCAGAAGAGAGAGAGAGAGAGAGAGTGCGAGAGAAGGAGAAAATTGGGGGCGGTTTCGGTTCGGATTTGGTCTCCACCGAGTGGGTCGGGCCGGTAGCCGTGTTGCAAAGAAAAGAGATCAGATTCACGGTACAATCCACTTTACTCTGCGGAGTTTTTTCGTTGTGAACGGATCGAAATTGAGTCAAGACTCCGATCATCCGATGGAGATCTACAGAACTACAGAGTCCGGTCTATTGATACAACTCTGCTAATGATGTCGCCGTGGTCGGATCTCACTTGGTATCTTGTATGGTGGTGGAGTGAAGGTCTTCTGCTGGGTACATCAGTAGACTTCTCGAATCAGGTAATCGCAGTACCATGGCTTTTACAATGCACTTTAGTCGGTAGACAAGACTCTTGACACCATGACTCGGTTGCGCTCACTGCCGCCGATACAAGGCTGCAACAAAGATTCACCCTTGCTACCAACTACACGCCCGCTGGCGGATCGCGATTGCCCATCTAGCGTTCCACAATGCTACTCGGGATGTCAATCGGGTCGATCAAAGACGCACAGACAGTACATTCATATATTGTATAAACATCGACCGAGTCTCGGCCCTTTCTCCTGCTCCCAAACAAATTGGTTTTCCTGCTGACCGGAACTGAATATCTACTTGACCACTCCCCTCAGTCCAGCTGGAGACAATCGCCAGGTGAAATCGTCCGATTCTGCTCCTGGAATCATCAGATCGAACTGCGGACGCTCGGAAATAGTCTGCGCGAAAATGTTCACTCCGAGAAGAAGCAGACGGCGCATGGCCGAGGTTCTCATGCATCGTACTTGAGAGCACGCGGCGCCACATCTGCAGTGCCAAGTACGACATTAACCACCGGCTCCGGATAGTGCATACGAATGTATTCGGCCACCAGATCATGGCCATTAGTGACACCACCTAGTAACGCCGACCTCGAATGATTAGAGCTTGCCAGAAAATGTCATGGGGAAGCAAGCCAGAAAAGCAGCGCGCAAATAATGTACGTACCAGACATCCAGAGATTCCCATCGCGAGTCACTCGCAACGTCTCATCCCAGACCTTGGCTTCCGGAAACGCCTTTTTCACATTCTCAATTAGGAACCGAGGCGCCGTGGCGACACGGCCCTTGGTGATACCGGCATGTGCGGCGACCAGAGCCCCCGTGCACACGGTCATGATCGTGGTCCCAGCCGAATTGTGCTGGCGAGTATACTCCAAGTACTCCTCGGCGGGCGGCATGACGCGCGGAGGAGGACCAGGCACGAAGAGGATATCCAGCGCACCGGGAGCGACGGCCGCGTCTTCGAGGGAGTGGGTGACTTGGATGGAGAGTTGGCAGGTAACCGGCGCATGCGTATTGGGTCCCTCGCGCGTGATATAGTAGATCTTACAGGGACGGCCCATGTCCAGAATCTCCTGAGGCATGTTGATATCCGCGAGCCATTCGGGACTCGTCATGAACAGCAGATCCAAGGCTGCCAGGTCCAACAACTGCACGCAGTTGACCAGCAGCACCCCAATGCGGAGAGGCTGAGGGGCAACTTGGCTCGTCGTCATTGGGTCTGGAGTTTGTGTAGAAAACAAAAAGAGGTGAATCGTCGTGTGAAGTGAAATGATACGAGAAATTTTTGAGTCGGGGTTTCTGAAAGCAAGAGTGATAGCCAAGCTGGGAGGGTAATTGGAGCGAAAAAGAGGGTGATGAGTTTGGAGTGGTGTTGAACAGTCGATGAAGACGAGTCTCTATTTATCGACTGTGCACCCATGGCCCCCACTGAATTACGACCCCTCGATTTGCGTAGGAGGCTGCAACACTATAAGCACTATTTATGCAGTCATGGCGCCCAGTGAAGAAGTAGCAAGTTTCAGGTCATGCTATCCGGCTTCACTTGCTCCATAGCAAAGTCCGCTCCCTCATTCTCACCTTTTTTTCGGAAAGTCGGTGTCGCCCGTTGCAAATGGATACTGAGAGACATGTCTGACAGTTGGGGGAGCATGGCTTTAGGTGGGATCGGCCTACATCCATTGTCCCTTGGGGATCTTTCCTGGCCGGATTCCCGTTCTCTTCGACTTGGAGGCTTTTCTCCGAGTCTCCGGGAACTCCAACTGACCTGCATCTCTTCGTCAACAGACAGCAATCTCTGTACGACGAGGCGGTGATCATGCTCGATCGGCCGGACCGATTCCACCAACCATTGCGCATTCGATCCAGGACCACCTCTTTTTCTCTCATACCTTCTCAAAGTCGGTGAACTGTCGCGCAATCTGCGCAATTGAGCGCATCGCATGGTCGACAGTCATACCCTCCTTCTCCAGGGCCTTTGTCTTCCCATCGAAATAACATCCGCCGATGTCTCGTTCATGGACAAATCGAAGGCCGCTGGCTGTGACACCCGACATTTGTCAACGCATTGAGAACTTCGGTCATACAGCGTGAAAGGACCAAGAACGGACTCCTTCTCTCTTGTCAACCGGCCCAAGTCGCTTTTCCCTCGCCAATGACGGGGGGACGGCTGCCAAATCACGGGGATCTGCGTTTCTGCAGCGCCCATCGTCGGAGTCGTCGCCGATCATCTTGTCTGCTTCCGCTGCAATCATCGTCAGGCAACGCTTTGATTCTGCAGCCAAGTTATCGGCTGGCCACATCCGACCCAGGTCTGCCTGATCGTCTGTTGGAAGTTCCGGCGCTGGTACAGTCATCACTCATGTGAACTAGAGCATAGATGTTTCTGCAGAACCAGAACGGGAGCGCCATTCCGCCCTCTCGCCATTAGGCTTTGCCATTAGGCTTTTGAGGGGAATTTCACATCTCCCAAGGTGGCTGCGATGGGCCATGGAGGACTGCACTGATGCACTCGGGTTTACCCCGACGATACCGGACCGGTCTCTCCTTCGATGCTTCACCGAGTCCACAACTTTCCAATAGTACTTAGTTACTACTTACTGCCTAGGCAGTAGGCACTCTGAGTCATATTCATACGGTCGTTGACTCCTCGTCGGCTGCAATACCAGTGTAGCTGTCGGGTCCCATGACGAGGAAAGCCAAGTTACTGGCCAACGTTGTTCTCTGAAAAGACCGTTGTTGAGGGAGAAAAGTCCATCACAATAAGATACCCTCGTCTCCTCCAGTTAACACCTGTTTTGTCAGGACAAACCCCAATGGAATGTTAAGGAGAATATTCCACACAGGAGCCCAGGACACACATCCTGATAATGAGACTGGTTCCAGTGCGATCTGATTTATGCCACACGTTTACTTGGAACCCAACGTCGATGACTGGAACTGGGACTTGATGCCGTACTGCTCAGTGCTTACATACTTGAGTGACAACAGCCTAGGACCAGGAATGCAAGCTTCCTCTTCAGCAATGGCAGTGGTCGTTCTCGTTCGCCGTAGTGTAGGCAGTGACACGAGTCAGCTGCGGCTCCCTTAAGTTCCAAAGTGGAATCTCCGAGTGGGTCACTCCTTATCGCCGCCCCCCCCCCAGAAGAACTCCACCTCATCAACTTTCACGCATCATCATCGCAACCCATCCAGGATCTCAAGGACGATGTCATCAAGAAAGCCTACCCCTGCATATGTGTCCAATGGACAGACTCTTTCGAAGTATGTAAGCCTCATGTCATCTGTATCTGGCGGAATGCGTCGCGTCAAGGAACCCCCAACTCAACTGACAACTTCATTGCGACGCAAAGCCTTCCCTTGTCCGTTCGACTGAATCGGTTCGCCGAGAGCGTCTACATCTTCCTGGGCTTATATGTCGTGAGCCTCTTTGCGGTATGTACAATTCTCCGGGATCTTGACCGGCGACAGCCTCAACCTCAACAATGTGCCGTGGTAGTGTGGGTCGCGAAGCTATACCACTGATGCTGATGATTTCCCCTCCATCGACAGTTCGACTCCAACGCCGCGGCTCAAAGCTCGCAATTCAACATTCGCAATAGAAACACGGCTTCTGGGTCGACATCCAGTTGGACGGCCCGGGGCAGTTCATCAGGAGCCGCGGGGCGTCGTGGAGGAAATCCCGGTGGTCCACGTCTCGGTCGTGTGGATGATATTCGGGGTCCGGAGTGCAAGAGCTGTCAGTGATCTGGATTGCAAAGAATAATCCGACATGGCAAGCGGGTGGTGCAAAAGTGTGGATTGAGGGATACAGGGGAGGATGATCTCCGTCTTGGAAAGACTCGATGATACAACTTCAGAGCAGGTAGCTTCCTTGTGGCGTGATTTATATGGCAATGACATACGCTCCACTGCTCTGATGTACGATTGCAACATTCTGGAGTATGTGGAAATCACTCAAATCAATCACTCAGTGGGCCGAGTCTCCCGTCACTCTCCTGACTCGATCTGATTAGATCAAGCTTTGATAACAAGATCTGCGGCGCCGGGTACTACAAATCAAACGACAAGTCAGCCATAGGGCTCCTCGAGTGCCCTCTAGCACCCGTCAATTATCCCATCAGTCTGACACAGACTCATATTGCTTCATCACAGATCATACGACCGCGTTCCATACTTTCTAAGTTCGTATCTGCCGCTTCTCAAGGGCAAGCGGATAACCGAGGTCAACTCCCCCGCTCAGTGGATATAGCGCTGTAAAATCTTCACGTGATGTTTCCCCCCCCCTCTCAATCTTTTGTCGCGACTCAGATCGTAATTGCAGCTGATGATATCCCATTGATACCACTTTGTCATCTACCATATTCCAAGAGCGAAAGAAAAAAAAAACGCACAGGCACAGGAAGAAAGCACAATAGCAAGCCAGGTCACAATCATCTCCATCCAGCAAGAGATATCCCCCCTCCACAAAAACAAAATGTCAACTATCCCAGCCACCAATGCCGAATGGGCAAAGGCAATCTCATCACTCTCCGCACAATTGCCCGGCGCTGTGACTATCGCACCAGCCAACTCGGCACATATTCCATCCATGATCGACCACACTCTCCTCAAGCAACCAATTGAGCCTCAGCAGATCGACCAACTCTGCCTCGAAGCTCGAGAGCACAACTTTGCGACGGTCTGCGTGCGCGTGGGTGATGTCGCTCAAGCCGTTGCCAATCTCAAAGATCTGCCCAATGTTGGCGTTGCGTGTGTGGTTGGGTTCCACGAGGGAACCTACGAGATGGAGTACAAAGTGACCGAGGCCCGTGAAGCGGTGGCCCGGGGGGCGAGCGAACTGGACATGGTGATTGATTATCCCAAGGTGAAACAGGGCGAGTACTCTGCGGTGTATGAGGATGTCCTGGCTGTGCGTCGGGCTGCGCCGCTGCCGGTGCTTCTGAAGGCCATTCTGGAAACTTCGGAGCTTGAGCGGGAGGAGGTGATTGCTGCCACTTTGATCTGCTGTTTGGCTGGTGTAGATTTTGTCAAGGTGAGTTTGGGGAGAGATGTACTCTCTCACATCGAAGGAGTGAAGAAGAGAAGAACAAGACCGGCATGGATGAGATACGCCGATAGCTTAAAAAAGGAAAGAAAGGAAAAGGAAAAGAAAAGAAAAAGAAGACTACAGCATGAGATATCCCTTCCAACTAACATTTTTCCCTACAGACCAGCACCGGGTTCAAAGGCCCCGCCACTGAAGATGTCGTTTCCTTGATGCGCACCGTCTCTCAAGCAGCCGGATTTCCCAACGTCCAAGTCAAGGCAAGCGGTGGTGTTCGCACTGCGTCAGACTGTTTGCGCATGGTTCAGGCCGGAGCGACGAGGATTGGAGCGAGCGCCGGTGTCAACATTGTCCGCGAATTGGCCAGCGGAAAAGCTCCGTCAGAATCTACAGGCGGAGACGGATATTAAAATGGGTGGACAATGAGGCAGAGTTTTTTTTTCCCCCTTCCCCCTTCCCCCGATCAGGTTCTGGGTATTTCTGGTTATTTACCTATGTTTGATGAGCCCATGACTCGAGGGCTAGTCTCCAAGGCGAGGATTCTATATCTCTTCTTACGAGCTGTTGAAGATTAGTTCAATGGACGACCTTTTCCCGAAAATCGACCTTCACGCGTCACACAATTCATGTCCTTGGAATGCACCTGCGCTCTGTGTTATTCAACATTGAATCCCAGATCCATCGCCTGGGAGAGGTCCGCTTGCATCGAGGGCAAGCTGACTCTGGAAGCTCGGCACCGCGAGTCAGGACAAGCTGGTACTGTAATTTCCCAATCCACAAGTCTCCTCCCCGAGAGCCCAAGAAGCACAAGTACGATTATAGTTGCGGCCCATAGAGCTCTCGTATCTTTGCCATTCGGCGAGTTACCACCGCTGACTGGCACGGACAGTCTCCAGCATGTCGCATACGTAACAGCCTCCCAATATCAAAATCAATGGATCCAGCTTACCTATGGTGGTGGAGCATGACTCACAGTCTCCGCTCGACGCACATGTCAGTATGCAGTGCCTATATAAACATGCCCTTTTCGCTGAATCAATTCGCTACCTGGACACCGGGGCCAGTGAGCCCCCCTCCACAAGGTGGCGATATGCCAACCAGACCCAATCCATACCTTCGGGGGGAGGAGCAATGGTCATGGTGACCACCCCATCAACACGCGTGGCTTGAACACGAGCACATGACACACGACACTGACTCGCGATTGTCAAGTTTCGACCATGGACGAAGGTAGCTTTCTGGTCCGGCGAGAATCAATCGCCTCTTGGGAAGGGTGTCCTCTGTCCAAGCCCCAAGGTGCTGTCGGACTCACAGCACGAATGTCACAGACTTTGTCAAGAGGTCTAAGAATCAAAGGACCCCACGGTAGAGGGACGGGACGGACATGTGGCACCTGTGGTCAGGTGGGAATCATCTTGTGCACATTCGAGGTAAAGATCGACACTGACGTCTTGTCATGGTCGTCAGTTCATGAACATCTTGCTGATGTGCGGATCCAGACTGTGGTGGGGATGAAGTCGGTTCCATATATCATACAGCACGGGGAACCTGGTTGCGTCTGGTGTGTCTCCGTGTGAAAGGCTACGAGGAAGTGCCTTGTGTGCTTATTCACTCATCCAGGAAGCAGAACGACGGTGAGATCTTTTTTTTTTTTTCACAATGACAGTCCAAGTGCACAGTAGTACGTTGTATCAAGCCAACACCATAAGCGTGACATCTGACCCCTCGTAGATACTAGACGGATAGTGTATATCACACTTGCCCTGTATGGTCGCAGGCGTCAAACCCATGGATCCGGCGCAAAAAGAACTTCCTCTTCGAGTAGCGATGAGCTGTCCACAACGCAGGACAATCAACGCTGAACAGTAACATGAATCCAAGCCCACCGCACCGCATCACCCCCTCCTCCCGAGTCCCCAGTATAAGCGAACGATGGGAGAACACCCAAGTCAACAGGTGAGATAGTGGAGCTTATCCGCCCTCCTGGGATCTTCTGAATACAAATCAGAATCCACCAGACCACCTGAAAAGACCGGTCCAGCTCCTGGAAGGTTTCCATTTCGCCTCTCAGGGTTCTTTTTTGCCCCTGCGGTCGACGTCATTCCGAGGTTCGACTCCTCCGATCATCGAGCGTGCCCTAAGAGTAACCGCATCTCAATCGGAAAGAAAAATGCTCCACCGCGGGACCAAAAAAAAAAAAACTAGAGGAGACAGATACACAGGGAGAAAACAAAGAGGAAGTGAAAGAGTAAGTGAAAGAGTAAGTGAAAGAGTGAGTGAAAGAGAAAGAGAGAGAGAGAGAAAGAGAGAAACTTATACCAGGGAAAGACAGGGAAAGGCGGTCCCGTCAGGGATTATCAACATTTCGAGTATACACTTCATAAACACCCCCTGTCTACACACGTACTTCGATTTTCTCTGGATTCCCGAGAGCATCACTGATATCCATTTTCTTTTCTCTTTTTTTTGTTCTGGTCTCCTCCAAAGGGGAGGAGATGTGCGACGATTGTTCTATATGCCGAGCAAACTATCGATCGTGGTGTTCATCGCCTCTCCGCGAGACTACGCTCGATGCCGACATGCCGCGCTCTATTTTGAATTCTTCCAGGATTCTTCTACACACACATGCAATGGCATCAAATCCCCGTCTGATACCCATCCCCGATTGGAAGTAGAGCCGCATCAGGAGCGTGAGAGTGGTTCTACGCCCTCGCGCACGCCCACCCCGGGCCTTTCGAGCGCCAGACTTCAAGACTGTCAAGATGATATCAAATCCTGCATGATGGAGGTGATTGGATCCCCAGGCTTCTTCACTTTCCATGAGCGTCTCAATACGGCTTTTCCTGTCGCGGCGGCAGGTAAGTCATTCAGCACGAGTGTTGGAGATATCTAGGGAAGGGGGGAGAACCTCCCCTCCCCTCCTCCTCCCTAAAACAAAAACAGGAGAACGATTCGATCTTCCCACGCTGGAAATTCCCCTTCACTACTGTACATCCACATATTTCCACTGTCCGGAACCCCCGATCTTCCCTCTCATCCTGATTTTCGCGTCCCTATCTTTTCTCGTTTCTCATTTCTACTCCGTCGCATTCTTCAAACATCCGTCCAAATGGTCCACATCTTGTCAGCTCCTCTTTTCTGATATACATCTCCGAACGCGCAGGACTGGCAAGAGCGGCTTTCGTGGCAACCATCCCAGACACTGTCTCCATATCGTCCTTGCGGGCAGTTGTGTCGGGGACACCGTTTGCTGGCCAGGAAATTGACTGGAATGCTCAGAACTGGGTCGGAGATGCACTGGAGCGCTTGGTCACCGTGGGCTACTTGACTCCAGAGCAAAAGGACAAGGGACTTGACGAGATGGTGGATATTATACTCGAGGCGGCGGATGAGGAGTCCGCATGACATGACGAGGTTGGGTTGTAAGTACGGCGAGAGAGGATCTTTTTTGTGGATTTAGATCTCAGAATGTCTGTCATTTGCGCTTTTTTTTGGAGGGGGAGGGACTTTCTGGACATGGACGAGGCGAGGCGATGCTAGATCTTTGCTTTTCACTACAGCGTAGGGTCGGACAGTTTGGCGAGATTGCGTACTTGACGATTATTTTGGGAGGGTCCGGTCAGCGGGTGTGCGTGGTAAATCCTCTCACTGACAGTGTTCCAGTATTGGCTACAGGATATGAAACGGGATGATATATCACGGTAAGAATGGCAAGGCTCATTGACTCTTGACTTGGTCCATGCAATAATTTAAGACCCCCTCGCTAAGAAACGGAATAAAGTCGATCATAAAAAGCAAGGCTAGACGAGCAATGAAAAGGTTTCCATCTCTGCAAGCTTGCTATGAGTAGCATGATCTGATGCGAGAAAGAAATAAAACGGAAAGCATGCCCGAAAACAAATACGCTCTGGAAGGGACGTCAAACGCTACACGGAGAGTGGAGAGCCATCAACGGGCGCAAAGGTCGCCTCGTCGTGGGAGTCATGTGCAGTCGGTAGTCGACTGCATGGACGATAATCATTCTGTCATTGTTGGGCAGTGATCTCTGCGGATGCACAGTTTTTGGGAAAGGATTCGTTCCGTCGTTTTCGTCATCTTCTATTTGCGACTCTCGTTGGGCGCCCAATGTATGGGCTCGAAATCTTGATTCCGGAAATGAGCCTGATTGTATGGCGAACTATCAATGAACAGTCAGCCCTCGCAATCATACCATAGGGTTCTCCAGAGGACCTCCTACTTTTTGAACGGTGCGGTCACGGGCAAGTGATTCAAACTCGGCCTCATCACCAAAGGATTCAACCGAATCTGGGGCCCATCGTTTGACCGGCTCGGGAGAGATGTCATCGGCGGAGGTGCCGCTGATGGCAATGACGGTGTTGGTGAAGATACAGGAATGGCGGGAATTATTGCATGGGACTGCATGGGCGACGGGTACATCTCTTGGGTTGGTGATAGTCGATATGGGCTTGCTGGACTAGGTGATACCGAGGACACGGGGGACATCGGGGCGCCGCCCATCGCAAAGGCGGGATCGGCCATCAAGTTGGGAATCGCCATCAGATGAGGGTTGGCATCGAAGGACAGGGCCCCCTGATCCCAGGACACGTAGTCAGACGTCATCGCATACTGGAAATTGACTACCGGCGCCACGTTCACAGTTTGCTCGGCACGGTAAATGATATCATAGTGGCCCCTGGAAGAAATGCAAAATTGTTAATTAGCCATGAAGAAGAGACCTCGGGAAGGGGAGGAGGCCATGTTGATGTCAAGTGGGTCATCCTTACGGTCGGTACAGAAGACGAATGGTCGCATCACTGGGACAATTCTGCGTGAACTGATGAGGTGTCACGGCATCACCTTGGCTGCGGTCCAGATAAAGAACCTCAACCCCAAAGCCAGCATTGGAGATCACCCCATCAGTCAAGGCTTGCAGCCCCACCTGGTCAATCTCACTGCGCACTGTGTCAATCTCGGTGGCGCAATATTGATCCAAAGGTATGGGTTCCAAGAATGGTTCATATTGAGCACGATTTACTTTCATCCAAGCGCCCGTCAAAAGCTAGTCACCAGACGTCAGTTGGCAGAGGCTCATGGTATTCGTACTTTTTGGGCCACCTACTCGAAAATGCATGACGATTGAATTCGAGTTGTATTCGTCGTTGAAAGCATTGACCAAGAACGACTCGTCAGGGTCACTGTTCTGAATTGCCGTGGAGATCTGCGCGAACACCTCGTCCGTGGCATCGGTGAACATCTCGTAAAGGTGCTCCGGGTAGCCCACTTGATCCAACGTGTAATTTAACGACTTGATCCGCATGCGTTCCTGCTCCACCCGCAGGAGATCACGGAAAGAGAACAATGTCTCAAAATAGCCAAATGCCATAGCTGATATTCCAGTCAGCTGTTGCTGACCACGGATTTATCTTTCCAGAAATTTGCATAACAATCGATCTCACCTCGCCAGCCGCAATTCCCGTCTCGCTTCATGACACGCGTCATGGGATGTGTGATAGCAAGGGCCTAGTCGCTGTTAGCGGTGGCGCAAAAACGTGTCCTATCCCAATGTAAGAGACACACATTTGTCTTGGTGGCAAAGGTTGGATCAGCATTGGCATATTCCATAGCTATGCTTTGGCTAGATTGTTTTGGTGATACGAGCAGACCCTGTTGATCAGCAAGGTTAGTCCTCCCTCTCGCTTTGATTTCGCTTTGGCTGAGAAAGTGGTTCGCCACGGCACATACTGGAGCTTCCGGTTCAAAGTCGTTGGACAATTTCTGAAACCGCTCCATCTCATCGGCCGAGAGGGCGTTCATATTGCTAGAGTTGCTCATGATGAAGGAGACCGGTTCCAGGGCGGCCAAATTTGGCAGGCCAAGAGAGCGGAAGAACGCTGGCGGGGCAAGTACGTCCTGATAGCAGCCAGGGAACTTCTGTTTTTCCGAATATGGCTGGTGAGGATCCAGATAACTCCAGGATTGGTGGAACAAGGAGGACATGGCATACAACCGCGAGTGAGAAGACAGCAGACGTGTGACCACAGTTCGCCTAGAAGTATGTGATTGATATCCTCACGGGGGAATCGCTGTGCTTCAACAACCTGGCGTGACATGTCAGTCGGGAATCACTTTGCAAACCTGCGACTCTAGCCGACGAGACAGGTGGGCATTATCATGGGCCTGATCATCGACATGGAGACAAAAAGTATCAACTCACTGCGCATAACTTGACATCGCCTATTGATACACCTTCTCGAACACGCAGTCGGGAACTTGACCTGGGGTTTGGAGCTCAGACGTTACACAAACGACCCGGCACTCTGGATCTAAACTTTGTCGTCAGCCTCAGCGTAAAGGACGTCAATATGCTTCCGTCAATTTCGATGGCGGTTCCACGGTCACAAGAACGAAACGAGTAATGAAAATAGCAAGCGAGATCGCAAGTCACAGATCAGAAATCAAAGACAACCGATCGAATCAAAACGGCATCCGAAGAGACATGAGCCACTGGACTGGCTGTAGACAGGGTAATGTGATCGTTCCTCAGCTCCGCAGCAATTAAATGGAATTCGTGAACCGGCGGGCGACCAATGAGGAGGGGTGGGGAGACCGATGGAGCTTGGGATGAGCGGCGGCTGAGCCCCGAGACGGAGAACGCTAGGCAGCTTTATTGCTCCTTCTCCTCGCCAACCTCTTCGCTTGCGACATCATAGGGCTCAAGGCGACCAGAGCCACCATGTGCTGTGACCGAAGTTCAGGCCCTCGGATGAGTCTCACTTGATGGGCCCTAGCGTGACGAACCCAGAAAATCAAAGCTCCTCCATCGCTGACTGGAGGCCTGCCTTATTTACGGTTCACGGGTGACGAACGAGACCCAACCCGGGCGAGGAAGACAGATGATGAGCTTGGGGCGACAATGATCACGGGACACAGATCAACGGGTGAGCTTGGATACCGCATTTTGAGTGGAAGCACACTTGGCTGCTGAGGACCGGCCTCGGGAAACCGGGGTGGGGGGAGGGTGCAAGAGCATCGGGAATAGGCTGATGTCAGGAGAGCTCACGTCTCAGCGATCTCCAACACTTGGCTTTGCTGCGAATGTGATAGCCAGCAGGCCCCCGAGGATGATCCCCGGCGATGGGGCGCGAACCACTCCCGGAGTCCAGAGGATCTAGGAGACAGTAACACTAGACAATAGTGCAGAACGCCCTCAAGCTGACGAACCCGGATCGGGATTTGCATCAACTAAGGCCGGGAAGATAGCGTAGTGGAAACCGGAAAATAGTTCCGGGAGCATCTGGGTCAGCGGCAGGACGGTCGTCGTAAGTGCAGAATCATATGGCGAGTCGAGCTTGGAGTCGCGCAGGCCGAGCGACGGCCAGGGCGGGGGGGGACTTTGTTGGCCTTGTCCAAAGTCAGACCGCCCAACCATCCAGGTCTTTCGATCCGATCATCACAAATTTCCCATTCAGGAAGCTGGGCATGGCCTGAAAGATGCGAGAGGTGTTGGGGCGGAAAGGTAATCCAAGGTGGGTGTGCCTTCAAATGGAGTCATGGGGGCAATTGGAGCGGACCGTCCGGGGAGAGAAACAAATCAAAGAATGACACGCGCAAGCACAAGCAAAACATCCAAAACAACAAAGGAAGCAAAGAGGATGTACCAAGTGAGACCAGAAGGAAACCATGTCATTGAGGATCTAGAAGATTGCACAAGCTGAACAGGTGAGGGCGCAGACCTTTTGAGAGTTGATGATTGAAGCGTGGTGGTTGATGATCCTTCGTTGTCCTATGCCGACCACGGATGGCTGGCCGAGGATTCGATGGCAGGTGGTGTGGTAGGTCGGGACAAGAAGAGGTCACCAGAGGTCGGTATGTTCGGAGGCGATGAAGGGTGGTGACCGCACCGCGGGCTCAATGATGAAGTAATCAGGATGATCCGCAGTTGAGGAACGAGGGATGGAAGAAGCAAAGAGGAGGAAACATTAGCGGGCGCAGGTTGTAGGCGAGAAAGAGAGGGGGCGTGGGAGGTCGAGGTTGAAATGGAGCTGCTGCTGGGAGACCCAGTAGGTTGGGTACTCCGCACAATTTGAGCGTCAAGTTTGGCCAGGTGATGGATGACGGGTGATGGACAGCGAGGAATTGGAATAAATCTGCAGTCAGTAACGACCCAATTTACCCTTCCAGTGTTTGGTCACTGGGAGTCCGGTGTGCTCAGGGAGCAGGAAAATAAATAAATAAAAAAACACCCCTCCGCCCGATCAATAATCCAGCAATCACTTGGATCATCACTCCCATGCTGCTTCTCAGGAGGAGACAGGAGCCGATTTCGGGTCTCAACCCATTTACTAGGATGGGCGGACAAGTGATGACCCTTGAACGCTGAAACACGACGAGACGCAGGAGATGCGTCCAGTGTGTTGCTCTGGAAAGGGTTCCAGACGCAGAAATAGTGCAGTCCGGTACATGTCTACTGACTCAACAGTGAGTTATAGCCCGGGCAAACTTCAACGAAGCAAGAGGACTTCAAATGATGTACAGTACCAAGTTCAAGCGAAAGTACCAACTACATGCCAAGGCTCGAGTCTGCCAAATCACAGAGGTATACCGCCTTGGAGACCAGTGTGGGGGGGCGGACAAGGATGCAGCAGTCGGAAGAAGTGAAGCACTGCGGTACATCTTTCTTTGTGATGTGGCAGTAGCGAACGTGAGGTACTTCATAGTCATGGTGACTGTACATATGTAGAATGTAGATCATCCTCTACGGCCAAGGACTAGCGTCATGAGAAAGACAAGCTGTTTCAGAGCAAGCAGAGCTCGGACGGAGAGCTAGTCAAAAGGCAAATTAAAAGGCGAGGAATGCACGTATGGAGTCTAATTGAGTTACCAAGCGTTCCGGACGGAATTGACGAGCGGCTATCAACAGCTACTAGAGTCGTCGAGACCAGGGGCGACACCCGGAGCGCAACGGCAATCTTAATTCAATGTTAATACCACAAAGGTGAAGGAGAATAGTTCAATAGCTGTATCATGACGCCTCTGACAACCTGATCGGAGGGGTTTCTGGGCTACCAGCAGAGGCCCGAAAGTACAGGGCTAGCCGGTTATAGTACAAACTACAAAATACCGTACAAAGTCCCTACAAAGGTACAGTACAACTACCAACTACACAAGGCTTCTTTCTCAGTTTCTCTCCAGTCCGATCCGGGACCTTAGTACTAAGGCAGCCAGTAGGCCGGGGCCCAGTACTACTCCAATACACACGTCTGCTCGATTGGGTTGAGCAAGACGCTACGGCGCCGCAAGATGATCCTTGGGGAGCTGATGGCGAGATAGGAGATTGTCAAGGTAACTTACCCGAATTGATCTACTCGACTACTCAGGAGTCAGTCAACTCAGTACTGTGTGAGGGCCGTAGACTCGTCGAGCAATCAGCTGGAGATACGGAAATTGGGTTTCTAAACTTAATGCCAAAGTCAGTATGGTTACTACGGTACAGTTTGGATTGACTATACATACACCAGTCAAACATGAGAGATTCGTGGAGATTTGTCCAGAAAGACAATGCAGGATGGTCGCTGGAATCAAGCCTACCTGGTCATGGATGAGTGGGAAATCATCAATTCGGAGGCTGGTGCGGTGCCCTGATCAGCGTCGCTGGAGAAGAGGCAAACAGGCGATGATGAAAGACGCTATCAATGACCTCCTGAACTTCCTGCAAGTAACGGAGCAAACCGATGCAAAGTCCAGTTGCGAATCGCACTAGACTCGTAGAACTAGACGGAGTTTGAACCGAGACCGGGTCTTGACTCTCTACTCCGTCGCTTGAGTCTCCCCGGTATCTCCCCGTGTAGGGAGGTCCTCCAGCCCGTCTCTCAACTATTTCCACGCAGATGAGCCAACCTGATTCGATGAGCATACGTGAGATTGATCCAGGAACCCAGGCACGCTGTTGGAGGATGGCCGTCTCCTAAAGGACACGAGCTCGTGTCTGTTGATCAGTCCTCTGGTGATCCAACAAGACAAGACCAGAGCGGTCTCCGCCCAATAACAGAGTCTCCACGAATGCATCGGATAGTTATTCCTGACTGCAGCAGAGGAGCGGATCCCTCGTTGCCAACACAACCTCCCAGATGGGGTCATCGTAATCTTTCTGGCACGGTCATGCAGAGCATGTGCCTCCCCCCCTCCCTCTCGCATTCTCTCTCAGCCCAACTATGGTCGCCATGATGGGCGTCCATGCTCCACACTGCCGGTGGGCGAAGTCCGCACGTCCGCACAGCTTGTCGGGCACTGGCCTTTTGAGATCATTCTCAACTGACTGGGATTCCGACTCTGACGAAATGCAAAGGGAGGTCCAATGACACTTCTTGCCCCTCGAATTTTTTTTTTCTTGGCTTTTCTCACGTACTGATAGGCATGAGGATTCCGTCGTCAATTCTTCGCTGGCGAGCAATGACAAGCTCGTCTCGCCGTGCATTTGCACGAAAAAGAAGTGGATTCGGGATTAGACCCTCCTGTCGTTCATGGTGCCCGAGCCATCCTGGCGACCACTGCCAAGTGGCTTCTCCGGGATCAAGTCCCCACTCTGTAAGCGCGAGGGTAGCGCGCTGCTCGTTTCGATAGTCTGAAAGACTCCGGTGCCAACAGAGCATGGAACAGATTCCGGGGTCCGGGTTGATGATTGTCTCATGCATCCATGATCTCAAAGTTGGGGGAGAGAAAAAGTCAGAGCCTCGTATGTGATGGTAGGTTGTGTAACCCCGATCCGAGCAGTGCAGGTACAGTAACAGTACCCTGATCTCTCTCAAGGTTTTGCAGACGTGTCTCCAGTCCACCGTCCCGTTGGCCCCACAGATTCTCCAGTCTTCAATTCCACGTGATTTACCCACCAGTGCGACCGCCCGCGGCCTCGGACCGTTCCACGATGAAAGGATCCAAGGGAAGGCAGATAATTACTAGTAGTAGCTTAGTAGTAACTTAGTAAGTACCTACTACTACCT